TTCTACACTCTCATGGCCACACCTGGTACACTAAACTATACCCTCCATCGATGTACCGTCATGCTAGGTATGTGTCCCTTTGTACGATCGAGCCTCGGCTGTTCAAGCCCCTACGCTTCTTCCCTCCAGCTCTCCCCTAGTTTCACCACATTTCCCTCTTTTTTGTCTGCTCTCGTATTCTCGAGATCGAAGAACACCTTTTACCCCCTTCTTCCCCCCTTCTTCCCCCTTTCAACACTGTCACTCGCTCTTCCTGTCGAAATCATCTGTACTTTACCATGGGCCATCTGCCATCTGCTTTCCAGACATCCCTTTCTAGACATCCTTTTCTACGAATTAGATGGGTCAACTTCAACCCTGGGATAGTATACTAACATTTTCTAAGCTCTCCTAGTTTCCAGAATCGCAATATACAACTCTAAACGCCAAATAATTTTTGGTTTTGGGCGGCCAAAAGTGACTTTTGATGACAAGACATTTGTGCCAACTTCAGTCGAAAATCGCAGTTGACCTGCAAAAGCAAGGTATACTATGGAATTTTCTGAGGGACCTCGCCCATCTTCATGAGCGACACCCCTGAAGCTTGCTATCTTGCCATCTTGCCACCAACTCATTGCTCCCCCGAGTACATAATTCTATAGTACTTACTGCACCACAACTGCCAGCTCACCTTGGCCTCCTCACTTTGTACGATCGAAGTTGGGCTGTTTAAACCCCTACGCTTCTCCCCTTTTCCACCACATATCTCCCACTTCTTTGATGTTTCTCCCATGTTTGATCTCGCACGTTCTTCTTACATCCTCATAACTGCGGTTTGTTCGCTCTTTGCTTACTCTACTGCTATTCCATGCTACTCACCTGCTATATGCATCACGTTCTACGATCAAACCTCGGTTGTTTAAGCCCCTACGTTTCTCCCCTTTTCCACCACAATTTCCCACTTTCTTGTCTGCTTTCGTATCTTTTATGTGAAAGAATACGTCTAACCCCTTTCAACTCTGTCACTCGCTCTTCCTGTCGAAATCATCTGTAGTTTGCCATGGGCCGGATAATATACTACCATTTTCGAGTTCTCCTAGTTTGTTCAATTGAAAAACATCAAAAAAGCTTTCTTGAGCGTACTCATATCCTACTTCGCGAGATAGCCCGACAGAATTACGAACGTATAGCGTCTGAGCACTTTCAAGTTTGGGCGCCCCAAAGTGACTTTTGGCTTTGAAACACGCGGACTGGCTCTTGCTATTGCATTGCCTAGACTACCAACATACAGCCAGCATCAGCTTCACCAAACCAAGTATTAACTTTCTTCGTTGAAGCCTGTCTTTTCTGCCTCCCCTACCACTGCAAAACCTCACTGCAGTCAACATGTACAGCGGAACACTTTGATCCTTTCCTAATTGCACACTCAAGCTCATCAGTTTGTACATGTACCTTTGCTTGAACTCACTGTTTCTTGTGAAACACCTTGCGCTTGTCCATGTCTCTGGAGCTGCTGTAGAGAAACTTCATCTCTCTTTCACCCTCAAACTGTGCAGTGAGATATTCAGGAGTCACGGGATAATCTCTTAGCCAGGGCAATTCCTTCTTTCTTCTTCTGAGATGAAAAGCAGCCCAGCTTTGATAGTCATCGTTCTTCGCACCCCTTGCATCGGCTAGTTTTCCTGTATTGAAAAGTAATAATATAAGACGTTGTTCTGCAAAGTCTTCCACATTTGGTTGTAGCGCTTCTTGACCATGATATCACCTCCGTTGTAGCTGCCTAGTATTGAGATTTTCATGCGCCGATCAAGTAGCTGATGATACTTCTGGTACACCTTTCGGTAAGCCTGCAGAATGCTGGGCTTTTCATTCGCAAGGTGAACAAACCGGCCTGAGAGTATTCCGTCCAAATACTCGTGAATCGCGTCTTCGTATCTATCCGCGGGATATATACCACTGATGAAAGCCAATTGATTCTATAGCAAGATTGCGCAAGGACTGCTCACCCTTTTGCAAAGGCTCTGGCCAGCAATAACACGATTTTCTCGTTTCCAAACATCCGGCTCAGCGCTCTTCATCGTCGTACCGAAACAACATCGTGTCGCTGAAATATCGATGGTCGATACCATACATTGTCATATTCTCGTGTTCAGCGTCTCTGAAACTCAAGAAGTGAAAAATAGTACCATGACCACAAAACATTTTGCGTATGCGACGTTGGGCAAGGCCAAGAGTGGATTTTTGAGATATATTTTTCTCAGGAGTTCCCTTCTCAGAGTTCCCGTCTCAGGAACTCCCTTCTCTGCACTCCTCATCCTCATCGGTTGAGTCTAGGAAATTAAAGTTTTCAATCGGGGCACTCACTCCCTGGTCAAGTACCACACTGTAGAATATCTTTCTTACTCTCCGACACAGACTCAAAATCATTGCAACATCCGGCGTGTTGTTGCTGTGGTAATTGGTAGTCCCTGAAGATCTGTGAAGTAGCACACTCACGGTAATCGATAAAAGATCTATCGGTATGGCCCTGATTCTTCCACAGTGCAATTTTTATTCCCGAGGTCCGAGTGCGTTCCACACGTTGGATATACTCACTCACTTTGGGCTGGTAGTTTAGTTAGATGACCATTAGTATTAGTGCTTCCACCCTTTGTCTGTTGTATTTCAGAAAAAGGTTGACCCTTCGTAGTTTCTCGCTAGTAGCGAGGCTGTCATGATCCTGGTAGCAACCTCACTAGAGATGTTCGACGCCAGCCGTTCTTCCCACTACTAACACTGCCTTGGAACTAACGTCGTAGTCAAATAGTCAATGCAGATACATCAAAGCCTGCTGTAATCCGTCACCTTTCATGTTGATGGAGTGTTTGTAGACATGCGTCACCGCGGGCTCGGTTCTCCGAAGCTCGCCCTTCCAGGTGTGTCCCTCTTCCATAGGTCTTTCAATGCCGAGTTATTTAAGAACTCCCTCTGCGGAACCTTGTGTACCGGTAGCGGTTATGAGCACTAGTCGTCTGAAATGGTTAAAGTAAATACTCTTCAACTGAGCAAAGAATAAACCACGCTAACTCTTCTCGTCATGCAGGTTGTGGAACTCATCGATAACAAAAAGACCAGGCTTCGAAGACCAGTTGTTTATCATATCAATAAATCTTTCACCTGCGGCATCAACTTGTAGTCTCCGAATATCGACTCACGCAAAAGGCCTTTGGTCATTGCCATTTTCAATCCCCCTTGGTCAAGTCTGCTAATGGTGCCCGCCAGAAGAAACAATATCCATCTTCCTCTTTGCATAGCACAAAAGTGGAAGTTGGAAAAGGAGAGTCTTGCCGAATCCGGTAGCCGCTTGTACTGCAATGACCTGCTGTTCTGCCATGTACGTGTTCACGCATGCCAAGAGCAGGTCAACAGCCTGGAATTGGAATTTGGGGACGTAGATTGGCCTGACAGCTTCTAAAAAGTCGTCTGCATCAAGTGGGGAGCCAACTCTTGCTGGCTCTTCCACTCTTTTGTTTCTTGCTTCGATGCTTGGCACGATTTTGTCCAGTCCTAACCACTGGATCTATCTTTGACAGAATTCCTCTTGCATGGCGTATGATGTAGACCCGTCTCCCCGTCTATCCCCTCGAATGAAAAGTTGTCGACACCGTTAACCTCCGGTCTTGACAGAGTTTCTTGCAGAGCACTTGTGAGCTTTCCGTGTGTTTGCTGTTTCGACCAGCAGTCTGATAAGCAAGGGCCAGATATTGTTGGGAGTTCTGGAAGTGGGAATTCCTGCCAAAAAGAGTCTGGCCTGCTACCACAAGATTGTCGGGGGCTAAACCTTCCGTGACAACACTCTCAATGACACTGTCATTGGTCTCTGTTGGCGGCTCCACGACCAAGTCTTGTCAATGTCGCTTGCTTTGAGCTCCTTTTTACGGCGCTCTCTCACTCTTGCGAACATTCCGGACTGAGTCAGATAGTAATGTTTTTTCATATCGTCACATGCTCTATGTCCCTTATTTTGCCTTACATATTTGTACATGGGTATATGCGCCATCATGCATACATATGCACAAATTAAATACCACGTGCATATAGGTCATGTGATGAGTTATCTTAACTTGCTATTCAATTAATGTTCATTGATCAGATTGTTTTGATTGGGAGGTGGGTAGAGGGTTGCGTTATCTTTTACAAAAGACAGCGAATAAGAATCTGGAATACTTTACGCACTCCTCTTCCATTGCACTGAGAGAAATGCGGGAGGATAATTCCATAACACCCACGATACTGATGGGAATCACAACCGTAGTGTGAGCTGCTAAGATTGATCACAAAATTTACTTTTGACAATCACATGAACGTTTTTCAAAAGCATAAGTCAATTGCTTTAACAATTGTTTGCCTGCTTTATCGCAGTCTAGATCCCGTTTCAAGGGCATGTGCCTCAAAAACTTCTGCTTTGTTTTTCTTTGCCATTTGTATCACATGCTAGCCCTTTCAGCAAGCTGTTTCACACATGACAACATTCGAAGAGCCCCTTTCCTCAAGAGCTTCACCTCAGTCGATCCCATTACGTGCTACAACAAGAAGATGCGGACACTTGCCCGCAAACGATATCTAATTCAAAGTTTCTGACGGGAACTTGTCCAATGAAGGCCCGACCTCAGCCACGCTCTCCACCTAAGCCAGGAACTATACCAGCTATTTTCCGCCATCCCGATTCGCAACACTGGGCTTATAGGAGCTCCACCAAGTCTTCGTCAAATTACATCATCACTAAACCCACGCCCTTCTTACTCTCGTGATAGAACCATGTTGCAACAATCATGTATAGAGGAACCTTCTCCCCGTTGCAATCAGCTTCTACAGCACACAATCTTAGCCAGTGTGTAAACATACCCACTCTCGGCAGCTCAGGAAGCCGAGCCCACACCGTGTTACGGAACTCCTTGTTATGAAACATTCCAAACATCATCAGCTTGTAATGATAGCACGACACGGGACTATCCCTTCTTAAAAACATGTCTCGGTCCTCGTTGTAGATGCTCGGGTTTTCTCTTGTGCTCTCCATCTGTGCCTCCAGGTATTCTGCTAGTATTGGGTAGTCGCGGCACCAGGGCGTTTTACCGCTTTTGATGCGTAGCTCTACACATTTAGGACAGCATTCTTTCGTCGGACACCCTATCAACTCTCCTGTACTGAAGAACCACACAACTTCCTTTGATCGAAGGGCCTGCCACGTCTGGTTATATTGCTCGGTCACTTTCAAGGCATTGCACTGCACTGAAACGCCTATGCTGCGGCGTAAAATTTGATGATAGTTCCGATACACCACACTATAGCTCTGCAGCACATCATCCATAAGCTCATGAAGCCTCCGCTGCCAACTCGGCAGCCCATGTACGCTGCAAAACTTTATTTCCTCATTGTATTTTTCTGGAGGAAACACGCTTGATACAAAAGCAAGCGCTTCTAGCAATCTGTGTGAGCTGTAGGATAAACATGATGCGTGTGAGACCTCCAAACACCCCGCGTATTGCCACAACTGTTGTTTGTACATTTCAATGTTCCCGAAAAATCGAGCGTCCAGGCCATACATCAAAAGATCCTTGCGCTCATCTGCCCCGAATTTTAGAGCGTGAAAAATATCGGTGCATCCGACTAAAGAAAAATGGGTACACCTTGCATCCTGTGAGACTCTAGACGGAATGCTAGGCCGAGAATGTATAAATCTAAATCCCGGCTCATGTTCCTCATGGTGCTCCACACATTGCGCAATTTTTTTGCTGGAGTTCACGTCGTGTTTGGCCTGTTGGGAAGTCTTCGCAATTCCTTTTTTCATGCCCTTCGTTTCCGGAGAATAAAATCTACTGGTACTCCCAGCTGAAGGCCCTCCATACTTTGTCGACGGAATCTGTACAAGTGCCTTCGGTGAATAAAACAAATACTTGTTGACTTTTTCCGGAAACACAATTCCTACAACAGGCACTTCCAAAATATCTTTGGCGGGTCTTTGCATGTCATGGGGGTCTACGACCTTCATGTTCCACATTTTGCCATAAAAGTGTTTTTTCTCCGTCGCCAATGCTTCGAACAGACGTTCACAATTGCAAGGAAAGAGGTCCGATTCGTGATGAAGGAGTTCCTCAATGTCGCGAAGAGGAATTCCCCTCATTGTGCGCTTTTCAGACTGTGTAAGTCTCAGGGAGGGAGTATATGGACTCACTATTTTGAGCGTTCCAGCTTTGATGGTACAGACGAGGAATCCGCTAATGATACAGAGCCGCTTAGACACCTCCTTTATGCTAGCATTATCAGTACCGGGGGATTCTAAGGGCATTCTGGTCATTGTATGACTCAGCGGTCGAGTTTCAATTACTTCGGAACCTTACATCGCAAAATCATGATGTTTTCTATCGATCTTCCTCGTTGTAGAAAATGGTATTTTTGTCACTGCGGACGGTCTTCGTATGACAAGAATGCTTAAAGAAGGAAACGGGAGTAGATTGAGACCGTGTCCAATGTTTTAGCTCTTGAAGGGAAGTCTACTAACTTTGAAAGTAATTACCACTAGAAGTACTTTTTACCTATGCGAGCGTGCAGAATGTGAACGATTGTGCATACCGCCAAAATGTCAGACTGAAGTATGTCCATTTTTAATCTTGCAATATCTGGAGTGGGGCTCTTTAGCTTCGAGAGGCCATCAGAATAATGTGATGAATGGAACACTACTACAAGTTCATCTTTAGCGTCTCCGCAGGCTTTTGACCAGTCGTTTCAGCTTTTAGATAACAATGAGTTGGTCCTTTGTGGCTTCGCAATTTGACGATGTATTTCTGGTAATATCCCTGCCTTAAGGTCGTATAACTAATCTCCATTCCAAAATGAACAAGCATATTCACTCACACAGCTGCTTGAGAATGAAACTATACCTGTACTGTGTGCAAGTTGGGTACGAACGTCATAACAATCACTACAACAGAACTTATCTGTTTACACATATTTCACTCTTACCAGGTTCAATTATGCAAACATTCCTGGGGTAAGGTGTTGATATATTGACCTTCTTACAAGTACCGGAAGCTAGGATATAACATTTTCAGTGCGATAGCAAATCGTGTGTTAGACCACATATATTAAACAATGAGCTTTTTTCTGCATTTGCATTGCTTGTAGCTAAAATTCATAGCTAGTTGCACGCCGGAAAGGGTGTTAAACACCTTCTACAGGAGCTTATAGACATTCGTTACAGGCAATGCCAATTCGAATGTGAAATTACATCTGTCATTACATTTTGGGCAAATCACCCTTGCTTTGTAGGCAATTCATAGCATGCAGCACAACATATTCACCTAGGCCTCGTGTAATCTCAGAGTTTTGATGACGAAAAGTTGTTGACTGACATCGAAAGTAAAAATCATGGCATTTTATTATGAACCCGCCATGAAAAATGTTTAAATGCAGCTAACAGTGACGGAAAACTGAAAAAGCACATCTGTGCTCCTACGCGGGCGGAACCGGGCGCCATAAATGTTAAATTTATAACCTGTTAGTCTCGTTTTTGAGAATCCAAACTCTTAACGACCCACCATGCGGCGTGTATACCGGACGGAGCACATTTTCCCTGTTGCAGCATATGGATTAAAATCATCTCCGCACGTCTCAAAAAAGCTGCTGGCTGACGACTACACGATGAACTGTTCACTCGTTCACAAAACGACGCTAGTATATTCGCGTCATAACTTGAGGTAATTGGGCCTCTTCTGGCTTTGTAAGACGTGATATGCCAATATGTTCGCACTTTACTCAAAACAAGCACAACGTATCATTGTGAAAAAAATTAGATCAAACCCTCGTCTAAGGGTTGTTTTGAAGACTTCCAAGCACTTCTAGTACAGAAGAAAGTGCAAGACAATAAAAGCAGCAATGGTGTACTGCAAACCACTGAGTAACTATCCATTAAGCTGACTCATTACTTTTCGCTCATCATGGCCACTCGTTAGCATGGCAATTGAATGTATGTCTAATCGTTGATATACAAACGAACTGGTCCACACACCGTGAAAATAGTCAACATCTTCGAATTTACTTGACATCTAAGTGTAGTCTATGACACCCCCCTCTCTTTGGTGCAGTAAAGACCTGAAGCGCCGTTTAGCTAAATGCTGCGTTATGTAAACAGCTTATATCTTTCAATCAAACCAAAAGCTCAATCCATTACTCAAGCGTCCTGATAGATTTCAGCTGTTTTCTCCTTGAAGCAACACTGTAAAAGCATCCAATACAAACGATTTTAACTATTATCTGCTTCCTCCCGACGAGCATCATAGCATTTTCACCACTGTGTTTTTATTTCCGTGTTACAGCCGCAACTCATCTCATCGCCGAGTATTTCAATCGCGAAAAGGATCACATGGCCGTATTTCCGTCCTAGAACCGAATATCTTTTGTCACAAAAAAAGTTCAAGAGCAGAAAGCTCACGTTTCCAGCGTTCTTTAATCGCGATATGTCAGCGGGTAGAGAAAAGGGTTCAATTAAGTTGATCAACAATATGTATGAATTTGAACGGAGCGCATGTTTTTTCAATGCCAACGTATTCTCAGGCTATCGGCTGACTGATGCCATGTGTAGCACATTGGTATTTAAATAGAGCGTAAAAAGGGTACATCTATCCTTAAGACAGTTGTCTCTTCCAAAAAAAATCAATTAAACAATTGATATAAACTTGATATGACCGCCTCTCACTTACTTACTGGTTTAACTGTCCGTGAAGAAATCGCAGACACGATTGCTCGAGCTTGTTTAGGACTTGACAGAAACGACAAACATCTTTATGACTCAGCTTGGGCTTCCGATCCTGAGATCTCCATTAATCTCAACGGAAACGTTTTAAATGGTCCCGAAGGAATTAAACAGTGTTTTGAGGCAATCGGTCCTATGGACTCTCATCATTTTGTGAGCGGCATCCGTGTCGACGTTGAAGAGGATGCAAATGTTGCTAGTCTCACTTCGAATGCTATGGCCAAGCATTACAGGGCTGGCGAAGGTTTGGTTCCAAATGCTGAGTATTTGTTGGCAGGAACTGCCTACGATATCAGGGTCGTTAAGGAGACTAGTGGACATTGGAAAATGAAGAGCTGGATTATCAAAGTAATCTGGGCAGAGGGCAATTGGGATGTGATGCCATCTTTTTAGGTTTGCGAGGTAAATACGAATTATCTAGACGAGTCAAAGACAAGGAACGCTGGAATAGCAATTGTCGTTTCTCGTTGGAAGCATACGCATTTTTGTACTCAAATTCGATATAGTAAATTTACGCTCAAGGGCTTTAGCCCAATAGAAGGCTGTCGTGCAAGACACTTTAAGTTGGACAGAAAGCTCGCTGGTGAGATCTCTGCACATCAATCTTCATTGGCGTTTTGGTAGGTAGGAAGACTCTGGAAACTAGTAGCGGTGGAGTTCCTCTATAGCCAGCGATAACACCAATCATCTAACCACATGGTTTCGGAGTAAACTTAGGTGTATGCAAAAGGTACATACTGCATGTTAATGCATGTGCCTGTAATTGTATCGCTAAGCAGTATTCATTGATTATTTCGCGTGGTTAGTGTTTCGCGACAGCTTCCCATGCATTTGCACTGCACGAACGAACATTGGTCGGTGTCTCTTTACACTTCAACTGATCTTTACGATTATCGGACCGGCAGCTATTTTTCTCAAAAAGTAAGTACCAAACTTAGCAAGTCTCGAAACCCACGTTTAGTGCTGTAATGCTATGCAATGAACAGAGAATGTGTTTGGTTGTTTCAGTACAAAAACTTAGTTTGAGCTATTTTCTGCGCTCGTTTTCTTTCGTCATCGGCAAAGTACTGTGAACGCAAGAGTCCTTTGAGTTACCTGTGCACTGCACTCTGTCTGACTTGGTGTTGAAGACCATCAAAAGATAATTTTAGCAATATGCTGAATGTTCTCTTCCAACCAAATGTTACCTCCCAAAATAACAACGTGTACAACGTCATTGTGCCAAGCAGTATTTATGTTATCAATCTGACCTTTAAGTGTTAGGTTTTTATTAAATTCTCTCAAGTAGTTACTAAGATGATAGCCTTGCCAGTATATATCGAGTTTTGCCGCGAGTAGTATTGGGTAACCGACAAAGGTCATGGTTGGAATTCTTATCGAAGACTGTTCGTTAATTCAAAGTTGCATCTCAGAAGCTAGATCACTGTAATGCTGAAATTAATAGACATCTATTGGTCCGTGGAAATGTCAGCGATAGTGATGTTATCAACCGGCTTCATCTTAACAAAAATCACGCCACAGAAATACAGAGCTCGAGAATCTGCGACGTCGGCAAAAAACCGTGACACTCGCTGCTTTTCGGAGAATAAAAGACACTGATTATGCACGCAATGCACTTTATCTTCGGACGGTGTTGTTGGAACAAGCAACTGACGCCTGACGAAATGTAGTGGGTCTGAACCCAGAGGATTCTCTCAATCTTGGCTGGAGGGATACTTGGGGCTTACAATCTGCAGCTTGAGACTTGGACGAGAATTGAAGTTGATTCAAATGTTGAAAATGAGAGCCATTTTATCTAGCCGTTTCGAATATATTTTCCGCCCTTCATTGTGAACACTATTCTCAAACTCATCACATATTGTGAGAAGTGCACTTCTGCGAAAGACGTTTTTCGCAAGCAAATGCGTCTTCAGAGAAGAACGAATTTTTAACATCCGTGCCTTGGTTTTAAGTCCTCGGAAAATTGAGCCTAGGTCTTACAAGCCGTTTCCAAGATGTGATGGAGTATAAGCCAAGACACACGTACACCAAAAATCGAGTTTCAAGTAGACGAAACGAGCTGTGTAGTGCCAGCCAAAGGCCTTCTTTGATCTTAACGCTTATCGCACCTCTCTTGAGAAAATGCCCAAAACATTTTTCAAAACCGGTGTCTGCATGACTAACGCTTCTATACCGCTCACTATCTCTATAATTTTGTACAACAAGGCATCCATATCACTTTGCCAAAACTACAGTTACTGCTATCTGCCCAGCGTTTTTCTGACGGTGGCAAAATTTGGGGGCGAATGTGAATATTGGTGATATGGTTATTCTCAGCGCTAAGATCTGGTGTTCGATGAAATGTTCGAATAATTTTTAAATTTACTACTCGGGAAGTGCTGTCAGCACTAGACGAGAACTACATGCCAAGAAAATCCCACCTGTGAGCTTTCTCTTTTCAATTAACAGGTGCAATTCTGGCACCGCTGTGCCTTTTCATTCTTTAATTTCGGACTTTTTTAGGATGCAGTTATTATGTCAGAAACTGGCTCTCAGAGAGTCATTGGGCTTTCTACCAAACGAGAAACTGTAAAGCTCTATTCTACTAGTTGAAGCTCAAAATCAAAATGTAAAGCTCAAATTTTATTTTGCCTTTAAGGTATTCCAAATTATGCCCGCAAATTTAACAGCTCCAACGCAAAACTGGACGGTCATGGCAACGTTCGACAACGTCACTAGTTTGACAATAAAGTACACCGACTCAGCACTACAGATAACTTCTTATTGAAACTCCAATTTCTTTAACATTGCCCAGCAATACGGTGGCGTGATTGCCTGCACTGCTCTGAAAGGACCTCAGATGTTTTGACTTAATATCTAGACCAGTTGGAAAGATTTAAAGCAGCTGTTGAAGCGTTCTCCGATACTTAAAATCTATCACTTATGTACGTGAGCAGCACGGGTGAAGAAAGTGGTGCTTTTTCATGTGAAGAGAAAATGAGTGGTTTGCTTGCCGAAAACAATATCGAAGACACTTGCGATGATTTAAAGACAACATGCGATCTGGAGCAGTATTGTGCTTCAGAAAGTAAGAACGCCGCTGAAGATAGCACCAGCTCTACCAGTAGCTCTGACTCCGGGCAAACATAAACTCCTGACGGTGGAACAGCTTCGACATCTGCTCCGGCCTCTGTAACTACGCCCGAATCAGATGCAGTCTCAACGACGGCCTCTCCATCGGATTCCAGAATAGTTTTCTCGTCAGCTCCGGAACCAACAACAGCGACTTCCTCGACATCTGGACCTGACTCGATTTTGACGTCAGCTTTAAGGCCAACATCTTCTTCTGAGTCTGGTTAAGCTTTAACACCAACCGCAGAGCTAGTACCTTCATCTGAATTTGGTCCATCTTCGAGACCAGCTTCCACGCTATCTTCGACCTCGGATTCTGTATAAGCTTCATCGTCAGCCTCAACGCTTGTTACAGCTTTGAGTTTAACCTCAAAATCAACACCGGCAACAGCTTCCTCTTCTAAGTCATTTTCTTTTTTGACTTTAGCTTCTCTGTCATCTTCGACATCTGGTTCTGGAGCAACATCAACACCTGCTTCTTCGCCTGACTTTGATCCACCTTCGACTTCAACTTTTACGTTATCTTCGACATCCGTTCCAACCTCATGGTCGGCCTCAACGTCCAAGCCAGTTTCAGTTTTGACGTCAACGCCCGCCTCAATTTGTTTGTCCGAGTCTGGTCCGCCTTCGATTTCGACTTCCACGTACTCTTTGACATCTGAGTCCGCTCCAACTTTGTCGTCAGCCTCAACAATCAGGTTCGGATCAACATCGGCGTCAGCTTCGACAACTGGTTCTGGAGCAGCTTTGACATCTGCTTTTTTCTCTAAGTCCAGATTGATCTCTACGTCAGCTCCCACATCAGAGTCTGGAGTACCTCCAATTTCGATGTCGGCGCCAGTCTCTTCGTCTATGTCAAATTCATCTTTGGCTTCGTCTTCGATGTTATCCTCGAAATCTAAGTCTCCATCAGCTTTGTTCTCGGCCTCAACATTTGAGTTTGGATCAGCTCTGTTTTCAGCCTTGACATCTAACTCTAAAGCAGCTTCGACAACTGTCTTTTCATTCAAGTTCGAATCGGCTTCTTCATCTGAGCCTGCTTTCACTTTGATTCCAAGTACGTTTCAACATTTGTATCGGAGTCTGGAGAAATTACGATGTCGGCATCAGTTTTTACATCCATACCTGAAAGAGCTTTGAAATCAGTACAGGCGTCAGCTTCAAAGTCTAACTTTCAAGCAGTTACGACCTTAGCTTCGAATTCGAGTTCTGTTTCTGATTCCCTCCTCAGCTCTCATGTCAAATCTGGCTCTCTCGTTGATTTGAAGTCGGTTGCAAGTAACAGTTCCCTTCCTGCGACTTTCTCACCCGCCGCCAAAAGCTCTGTGCACGGGTCATTTTCTTTGATTAAACCGCCTGGAGCTGCTCCTGCCAGCTCTGTTCGTTCTATTTGGCCGTCGGGGGTTGCACTTAATAGGACGTCGCCCGAAACCGCCGCCAGACCTTCCTGAATTTGGCACACCACCAATATCATAAACACTGGAACTGTCGAACACGTACTGTCGACTACCGTGGTAACATTAAATTTCTGCTCTGAACACAAATGCACGGCCTCTTCAACTACTACTGGCATGCTTATCATTAACGAGAGGTGCACGACCTACACTACCTACTGTCTCTTGAGCGGCAAACAATAATGCCAACGACGGCCTCCGTTCTTTCACCTTGCTTTTCACAGTTTTCCAGCTGGCTAACCAAAGCACATGCGATCGGTGAAATATGAACCACTTCTACAGATTCGAAGTCAGCATTTGTTGCGGCTTCTCCCGTAGAAACTTTGAGCTCTCTTTTCTCTGTCACAAACATCACTCCAGCAGTCTCAGACGCCATTAAAACTCCTGTCGGATCGTCTACGACAGCGCAATGTGGAAACTCGGGCTCCGTTGCGACTAGTTCAATAGCAGCGGTTGATACTTATACGGACAATCTCGTTTTCAAAATGATGGTTTCCAACAGCTGTCTTCTATCAGCTGCGGCTCTTGTACTATTGTTGAGTATTGTGCTGTAGAATCAAATAAAGCTGGAATTTAGACAGTTTGATATGTCAGGATCTGAGCGGAACTTGGCGGACATAGCTGGTTAGTTGCTAGATTTGAGCTTATATCAGATATCAGATTGACGATCACTATGCCTGCGCTCTGAAATGTTTTGGATGTTTTCCAGATACCTGTAGGACTTGGTCTCCTTAAGCATTTCTAGCAAAGATAGCTTCGTATCCACGCTGTCTATGTTTCCCTAGCCATCTGCCAACGATCTTGAAATGGGCAATGAGTATGCAAACAATCAGTAATGTTTCCTCGTTCTTATACTATATGTAACTTATACCATATTGCATGGGTCATCAAAACATCAACCTGTGTACTGTAGACTATCGCGGTTTAAATCCATTTGCTTAACAGAAGGAATTCCCGCAAGATGCAAAGTCATTGTCAAGTCACCTAGTAGTGAGCGCAGAACGTGGCTCACACCATCTTGGCCGCCTAAAGCCAGACCATAGACGTAGGGACGCCCAATGAGAACATTCTTGGCTCCAAGTGCCAGCGCTTTGGCAATGTCGCTTCCACAACGCACGCCAGAGTCGAATAAAACATCAATTTCAGTTCCTACGGCGTCAACTATGTTCGCAAGGCAATCAAGGGAAGCGGGACCACCGTCCTGTTGTCTGCCACCGTGGTTTGAAACAACAATTCCATCCATTCCAAGCTCGACAGCTTGCTTTGCATCTTGAACCGACTGCAGACCCTTCAAGACTATGGGACCGTCCCAATGCTCGCGTAGAAACTTGAGATCTTCCCACCCGTGACTAAACTCTGGAAATATGGTGCTGGCCCACTCTTTTGCAGCATTCTTGACATCTTCCTCGATTTCCTTCCCGTATTTTTGCTTGAACTGCTCTCGAAATGCAGGGTCGGTAAAACCGAGAGCGGCACCAATGGAGTCTGAACGCAGGAACGGATTGTATGCATTGTCGAGATCACTGGGACGCCATCCTAGTTTGTAAGTGTCTAATGTGACAAAAAGCGCAGTGTAGCCATTATCCTTGGCTCGCTTCAAAAGACTCGCAGTAATATGATTATTAGCATTTGAAGGCCAATACAATTGAAACCAGCGAGTGCCATCGCCATTTGCCTTGGATACTTCCTCGATCGATGTTGCAGCCGCTGAACTGTATATGTATGGCACTTTTTCTTCAGCAGCAGCAGCAGCAGCAGCAACTTCGCCGTCTGGATTGAAAATTCGTTGCACTCCGACAGGAGCAATGGCAATTGGCACGGGCAACTTTTTGCCCAGGCATTGCGATTCCAACGACGGATAAGATGTCGTCTTTACCAACCGACGAGGAACGATGGACCACTTTTGGAACGCAGCCCGGTTTTTCCTGTCGGTTTCGCCCGTGCTAGCGCTTCCACAAACATACCCCAACGAGTTTTTCGACATTTGGTCTTGAGCCAATCTCTCCCAGTCGTTACTTTGAAAGGTGAATGGAGGCCTCTCGTATTTCAAACCGTGTCCATATACGGCAGCCATATATTGCATAGGCTCTCCTGCTGTAGTTTCGAGGTATCCCATTGTGTGAAGAAAGCTAAGGTATTGAACTCATATATTGAAGCCAATGATACGATTTTTAAATCTGGGAATGGCTTCTAGTTCAGGAGCATGATTTGAGCTTTCACTGACATCTCTTTTATATGTCATGTTTTTACTCAAAATGCCAAGACAAAATGCCAAGACAAAATGCCAAGACTCAGAAGCAATAAAAAAGGACTCTGTTTACCTAAGGGGTGTTAAAACAGCAAACGTAATGATCGAGGAGCAAAAAATAGGAAGTCTTGATGGAATTTAGATACCGAGATGCACAACAAACGTTTTCTTTCCGAGTGATCGGGAGTTGAGCCCATCTTCAGAAGCAATTGAAGTGGCCAGGCGCACTGTCTAAAGAATCGGTATGACCGACGTCATATTAATGCAAGGCCTACCAGAAAGGACAGTTCGGCGTTAATATCACGCAAGAACCAATCTAATGCGCATCAAGGCTCTTGTTTCCGAGTGAAAAGTGCGAGAAGTTCATTTTCACTGGCGCCTCGCAGACTATGTCAACTTTCTCAGGTATAGATACCAACGCCGTCCTTCCCAGATGCAGGAAATCTTGGCACATTTTCTAATTAACATGAGGACATATGGGTTTTGAGAGTATGTATCGAGATATAGAGCGTCACAGAGACCATTCAGCGCGCGACCATGCCTCCAGAAGCATATAGTGTTTGGCCTGTCATCCAGGTGCCACCTGTTGCCACGAAAGCGATAATTGGAGCAATATCTTCAATCTTAGTTAGTCGGCCATCGAGAGCCACGGATTTGTAAAACTCGACAGCTTCTTGCTGTTCTTGGGCGTAGAAAAATGGCGTATCCATTGGCCCAGGAGCGACGCAATTCACAGAAATTCGTTTGCCAACAAGCTCCTTGGAAGCGCTCTTGGTGTAAAACTCGACTGCGCTTTTAGTGCCTTGGTATACCGAATAATACGGGGTATAGGCTCCGAGCAGGGAAGTCACCAGAGAAATGATACTGCCGCCGGAACTAACATGTTTAGAAGCCTGTGCGATGAAGAAGAAGGCAACCTTGTTGTTGACAACATCCATGAGGTCGAACTCTTCCTCCGTGACTTCGGCAATTGGCTTTTTGAGCACCATGCCAATGTTGTTTATAGCCACATCAATGCTACCGAATTTGGTTTTGGCGGCTTCAAAAAGGCTTGCAACCGACTTAGCGGATCCCAGTTTGCCTTGATAAATTTCGACTTTAACCTTGTAATCGTCTCTCAATTTTTGCGCTAATTTCTCTTCATCACCTTGGGTGGAGTTGTAGTGAAGGAATAAATTAGCCTTGTGCTTCGATGCCAGCTCAATTGCAGTAAGCTTGCCCAAATTCTTGGTTCCGCCCGTGATAAGCACCGTTTTTCCTTGTAGAGACATGTTGGTTTCTAGCAGTATGGTCTTTTTCTAAAATGGCAAAGGACGTCTCGGGATGTAGGAGAGGCTTTAATACCCACCCTTTATATACTCTATGGTCAAGGCGAACCGTCTGTTCTCACCTTCCGCCTTAGCTAGAACGAATCCCTATGATTGAAATAATAATACCCAATCACCTTTCAGCTGACAAGAAAACATAGTTCAAAGTGAGGGATCTTGTGTGCTGCCGTCTTTGACACGTTTATTTTTTTGCTTCCGTCTTAGGCCCGCATACTTTAAAGGGGAGTTTATTTTCTGCTCCCGTCTTTGGCCTGTTTGACGGGCGAAGAGCGGACTTTTAGACCCGTTAACTTACCGAAAAGATAGTGCGTCACTAAATCCACTTAATGTCATGAAAAAGCGTACTCATGAAGATTTTGGATTCATGAAAGTACTCATGAGGAGCTCGTACTCGTGATCGAATTCAAGATTTACAGAAAGCAAAGTTCACATGAGATGTTCACTGAATAGTTCACAGAACAGGGGACTAGACGATACACAGCCGCTTTAGCAAACGGCACAGAACCGCTGCGCTGAATTGCTCCTCGGCGCTTAATCTAGCGGCTTCTCTGAGTGAGGTAAAAACCAAAGATTTGGTGTGAAGGACCATTTTTCGTAGGGCTTTGAGACAGAATAGCTTATCGTAACAAGCAGGTTTGGTTTAGCAGCTAGAATGAGAATATACAAATCGAACCCGCAAAAGAATAAAGACATTTTAGGTTCAGAATTACGTATATTAGATAAAGGTGAGGTTGATGCCAGATCCCCACGTGCCATAGCATACGTATCTAGAATTAGTGCACAACACTGTAGGCATTTCTAATTTCGAGCTTAAGAGCTGCTTTGTCAAACCTGCTGTTGAGCCCAGAATCAAATGTTGACTGCTTTTTAAATGAGGAGAAGCCGAGATTTATGTACTCAGACTATAGTGGACTGACTCTGTCGGTTAAGCAAAGGATGAGAAGGCGGGAATGGTATGCTTCATGACGACTGCTGTGCTCGTCAGTGCCAACTTTAGATTTGGCAACATGTGCTCCAAAAGAATTACTCCGACCAACAGCTCATTTTACACGGCTCTTTGAATTTTTTCGGTTTTGATTGCTGCTGCTGCGGGCACGTTGAACAAAACATCACTGCATGATCGAACTTTAGATTGTTTTTTCTTCAATCACTAAGCTAGATCCGTCATTATTTTCAGTCTCTGGGGCTGTATGTCATATAACATAGTGGCCACAGGACACTAAGCATAGCAGCCGCATAAGCGCAGCTCTCTGTTTTTCCGAGTGACCTCACTACCGCCTTCTTTCGCTATGCCCTCTCATACTGTACCTCATCTGGCTTTGCCTGACGAGAGCATGACAGCATCGGAAACTCCCTTTCCAAACGTAACCACCATATAACGATCATTATCAACTACAAGTTGACCCATCTACACTGCCTGCTTTCAGTGGACTAGTTTAGTGTTACATACCAGCTTACAAGTTTGAAGCTCAGCACGACGCGAGACAAACAGGATAAATGCACACGACTATTACTCTTGCAAGGCCCCCACCTCTACACTATGGTTCTACGCCCACCGTCTCAGTCGTGCCCATAAAGGGCTCTGAAAAAGTTTTGGCACCGCACTGTAAAGGTTACATATCTCTGACGTGAAAAAACATGTTTAAAAACCTTCATGCGAAAATTGAAAGAAAACATTAAAGGTTCATTCAGAAAAATGCAGGGTCTAATTTGGACCCTGCAGACTGCAGGGTGTGTGTATATAACAGTTTCTTCCTGGGTTTCTAAGTTGCTTGAAGAGAAAAAATTTCAGCGAAATGGGTGCGCGATGATCAACGCTAAAATCGTTTCCGAGGGGCTTTTGAACCCTTAGTGGACCCTTCTCAGGGTCCTACACACAGCCAGGAAGCTGTCTAAGCAGACGCGGCAACACCTCGGTGAAAAAAAGAGACATCAACACTAAAACTGGGGCTATGTCGTTGGACCTTGGATGGACCCTGAAGGTTAAAACCAAACTCATTGGTATTGGAAAATTGGCGTATATATGCGATCGAGGATGAGACAATTGGGCAACTGGATGGTTTTGGTCAAATAGTGAATTTTTAATACATACCAAACTGCAGCAAAATTCAACTCAAGCTTATGAGTCTCGATACAAGCAAGTTTGTGCAGCGTCACAGCCATTCGCATACAAGTGGAAGCACTGACATTTCCGCTGCGCTCAACAGTGGTGCGTGGTGGGCCCAATGGAACCCATACGAAGTTACCATTTGGAATGATACCGTGCCAAACTCATGGAAAAAGTGTGCTATGGACCATGTGTACTTTGGCGAGAATGAGTACAGCGGTAGCTTGAAGGCCCGTATTTCTTCCATTTTTGTGGTTTTCATTGTGAGCTCGTCGTTCACTCTCCTACCATTGATCTTGACCAAAGTGGACGGACTTCACGTTCCTAGAGCAGCTTACCTTTTTGCGCGTTATTTTGGTACCGGTGTCATTGTGGCCACTGCTTTCATTCACTTGATGGAGCACTCTTATTCCTCTATCGGTAGTAACAGTTGTGTGGGTATGAGCGGCCGCTGGTCAGAATACACATGGTGCTCGGGTATCGTTTTGTTTACTATCTTTACGATTTTCTTGGTTGACCTACTGGGTGATGTTTTCATTGAAAGACATTATGGTGTTTCCCACTCGGCGGAGGAAGATCACATTGAAGCCGCCATCACAGCCAACAACAAGAACAAGGAAGAAGCTGATGGTGCTAGTGAGCCTTTTTCTAACGATGTGGAGTCCAGCTTGCAAAAAAACGAAAAGGCGGGTTCTGACAACTACGAAACCGAAAGCAGCGATGTGGTTTCCGGTGTCAGTGACGAAGTCATTATCGAATCTTTTAGGAGCCAGCTTGGCGCGTTTCTTGTCATGGAATTTGGTATCATTTTCCATTCTGTCATGATCGGCTTGGAGCTGGGAACTACAGGTAGCGAGTTTTCGGTTCTCTACCCTGTTATCGTATTCCACCAGTCGTTTGAGGGACTTGGTCTGGGTGCCAGATTAATCTCGATTTCTTTCCCTAAAAGCAAAAGATGGCTGCCATTTTTGCTGTGTATGTGCTACGGATGTACCACTCCTATTGCTATGGCTATTGGTCTTGGTGTCCGTAACAAGTACATGGCGCATTCTTTCAACATGAGTATTATCTCTGGTGTTTTGGATGCCATCTCTGCGGGCATTCTGATCTATACTGGGTTGGTGGAGCTTTTGGCCCGTGACTTCATTTTCAATTCAAAGCGTACTAAGGATCTACGAAAGCTGACCTACATGGTAGTATGTACTGGAGCCGGTGCCGGTTTGATGGCCTTCTTGGGGAAATGGGCATAAGCACATCATACTCCGAGCCGTATCCTTGTTGGCTGTTGAAGTATCGCGGACCAGTCAAAGATCCATGGATAGAGAGGACAAGATGTTTTGAGATCAGGAATCCAAAGACCCCGAGACGATCGAGGGACGAAATGACTTTTTTGCCAGTTTGGTTAACAAAACATCCGCTAATATAATTATGCCTCTAATTATATAAATGTCATCAATACCAAAGTTTGCGTAAGACTTGATGTTTTGTGTACAAGGAAACATATACACTGTTAAGATAATAATATGCAGTAAATTATCGGTGGCTGGTGGCATTCAGATACGTGACTTCAAAGAAATTCAGAAGGTTGTTTTTCCTCCAAGTATACCAAAAGAAGCTGCCAAAACAAACACAATATTTCGGCCCTTCGTCATGACTAGTCTCTAAACTAAAACTTTTCTCAAGAAATTGGTTCAGACCTACACCTTCCTTAATCTTCAGTCGAAGGGCTTGGTTTGTATTACCCTTTTCTGTGCGACTTGTAGTTATATTGATACTGGCAAGAGCTTCCTGTCATATTGCAAATGTTCCTGATTCTAAAACCCCTTCATCATTTATGTCGAGACCCCCATCACCTTTCATATTTTGGCTAGACGCTGTCGAGAGCCGTAGACAAAGTGCTACGGTCGTAAGCTTTAACTTTATCTCCGAAAGTTTTTTTTAATATCCGATCTGGCTCGGTAGATTCGCCAAGCAAAGTCTTGTATAAAAGATCACGTAGACCGCAGTCAAGACGATAAACGTTACAATCGACAATCAGGATAACTTTAACAATGGTTGGAAAATGCTGTTTTACCGGAAGTCTGCATGAAGGAGAGGCTTCTGGTGCTATCAAAGAGGCTTTTGGTCTCGAGACCTATATCACGGGCTCGAGCTCAAGCGCTAAGATAATCGTTATTCTCACCGATGTATTTGGCCTCAATCTCATCAACACCAAACTGATCGCTGACCAGTTCGGAAAGGCGGGATATGAAGTATACGTGCCAGATATCTTGTTTGGTGAGGCAATCGAGAAAGTAGATGAGTCTGTCAACATTCAAGAGTTCATTCACAAACACAGGCCAGAAGTCACCAGGCCAATTGTTGACAAATTCTTACTGAGATTGAAAGAAAAATTAAATCCCAAGTTTTTGGGTGTTATTGGCTATTGTTTTGGCGCCAAGTACGCCCTAGACCACATAAAAGCAGAGGCACCAGTTGCCAACGCGGCAGCTATTGCCCACCCCTCATTTATCGAGGTTAATCAACTCAAAGTGATTGGAAAATCCCCATTACTGATCTCTGCAGCCCAAGACGATCACATTTTTCCAATGGAGCTAAGACATGAATCCGAAAAGACGTTGATAGAGTCGGGTGCCGTTTTCAGGCTTGATTTGTTCGGTAATGTCTCTCACGGATTTGCGGTCAGAGGCGACCTGAGTGACCCGCTTGTCAAATACGCCAAAGAAAAAGTCTTTTCAGACCAACTGGACTGGTTTAATCAGTTCTCTAGCGCTTGATGTGTACAAGAAAATAACTTCACCAATAGTTTAAGCACATGCCAGAAACTAACGTTCAGGGATTGGGAAATTTTCGACCAAGGGTGTTCGATATACTGCCCTACTGAAGCTCGGATAACAATCCAACAAATGCAATATTGACTACATACCTTCTAGAAATTGTCCGCAAAAGTATCCTTTGCCATCGCTGAGCGAATAACAAAGATCATCAGTGCGGCGAACAAAGCAGCAATACCTACCATGAAAGTGAATGTACTTCCTATAGTCATTTTTGCTTCCATCCGGTCCAGTGTCGCAATAGAAAGTGCAGCTAATAAACATCGAAAGAGGTTTAGGCAAGCTGCTGCACTCGAGCCTTTATCGAAATAAAGGTCCACTAGCAGTGTTGTAGTACAAGAGAAAATTGAATTGGAAAATAAAGACGCAAATCCGCTGAATAAAAGGATCGGGGCAATTTGCGTTTTTGCCGTCAGGCACCACCCAAAGGCTATGTACCCTCCGAGACTGAAAAGCATGGGTATAATACCGACCTCCAGTCTCGTGCGATAGATGTTAAATTTGAGTTTTTGATCTCGTGCAATTGCTTCATTCACTAATATCTCATTGTTGAAGTTTTTCTTCATCAGAATTTGTCTGCTATCTGCGAGTTTCTTCTCATGTTGATTAATTCTTCTTCTGTAGTTCCAGTTCAACAGCCTTCCCGTGGCGAGCACACTGATCAAAGTACAAATGCCACTTGATGAGTAGTAAAGACCTACTTTGGATACTCCCAGCCCGTAATCTTTCTGTAGACTACTAGACAGAACAGTCAAGTGGCAGCTGTAGATTGCAAATTGAACACTAGCAGCACTTAAAACTACCAGCACACTTGGAACGCCCAAGATTTTGAACGTGGAGACAAAGCTAGCTCTGCCTTCGAGACGTACAGTCTCTGGCTCTGGTTTATCCAAATGCAGTGATTTTTTGACAGCAGGTAAAAAAGGATAGGCGCACGGCTGGCCAAATTTTTGGGTATAATTGAGCCATTTCCCACCAGCCTTCGCTTTGTTCCAGGCAAAAAGAAGGAATTGGTAATAAGGCTAACGCCAGAACCTATGGACAAAAACCAAAATACTGAGCGCCATCCCCATTGGGCAATGGGCCCAGCTCCAATGATCGCGCCAAACGCTGAGCCAATTAATTGAATTCCTGACGTTAAGCCGATATAACCTCCTCTTTCATGTCTCAAAGTAACGTCGCCTAAGAGACCACTATTAAGCGCGATTACGGGAGAAATGCCAGCGCTTTGTACACATCGCAGAGCCAGTATTTGTGCGTAGGTTGTTGACCTCGCCAAACCAATACAAGCTGCTAAATAAACAGCAAGCGACCACAGAACAATTGGTCTTCTGTCCCACGAATCGGCGAAGCCACCCATAATCGATGGTGAAATGCCTCGAAATATAAACCAAACTACCACTGAGATATTCACCAGCTCATTGCTCACACCGAATTGATTTTTGATAGTATCAAGAGCAGGGTAGTAAATTGGCGCTGCTATCGTGGAGAAAAGACCACAGGAAGCACAAACCACAGGCAAAAGTACTTTAGACGTTCTCCCAAACCTTATATATGGTGCGGCGCCATGATCGTCACGTGCTCCTTCTTTGCCATTTTGATAACTATATATCTGACATCTTTCGCTCTCTTCGCTTCTCGTCTCCTCAGGGGATTCAAATTTAGTCATTTTGAGCATTGTAAACTATTAGAGGTCTGATAGTACATACGATCGATCTGAGCATTATACTCTCTTATGTATGATAGCGGCATTCGAGATGGCTTTGTTGTTTGAGTTATAATATATGACATATTGAATTATTACGGCCGCGAAGAAGATGAGTCTTAAAGTTCTCACAAAGAAAACTTTATTGAACGTGTCTTCAGGATATTGTTGAAGAACATGTGTATTTAAAGATGGCCATTATCTGCTTTTTCATCTGCTGTAGGCAACGCGCGTCAAGCCAAGCTCAAACCTTATACAAAATTATGTGTCGAATTCCCAGGCTCAGGACAGTCATATTCACGTGACCTGAACTGGATGACAGAATATATAAAAGTGATAGCTTTTTACAGGCGTCGTCCTTGTTTCAGTTGTTAGCTAACCTACTTCTATGTATCGATTGAACGTAGCCAAGAATAGTCTTGTGAGGAACATGGAAAAGCTTGAAAAAACCTGATATCTTGATAATCGGCAGTAGTAACCCTTATTGTGTGGAAACCTATTCGGGGTATGAAGTACAGAGCTTTAATTCCCTGAATATATCACAGTAAGCTTCTCACGCTCTGCTCTTATGCACCCAGTGGTAGTGTAGACTTTCATCTCACGCTTTCCTAATGTGTCTCGGTGTTTTACTCCGATCAGATTACGCGCGTTTTTTCTCTTATTTTTAATAATTTTGGCACCTCGGGCTTCATTTCACGAGAACTCTGAGAAGAGATTATAAAAGGTTAAAGATTGACAACTGATTTCGTTCTTGTCAAACGACATGCAAAGGAGCTGAAGCAGAAACATAGAGACAGTGTTTGCATGGAGGATCGGAGAAATGAGCGTCAAACCCATGACGGATCCGCAACTCTGACTTATCGCCAACTCAGGGCATTAAGCTTCAAGCAACTATTCTTGACATTCTGAACTATCTTAATCGCGCATCAAATTTTTAAGGGCTTATGCTTATGAATAACACTAGACATTAAAACTAAACTGCTACGATATTAGACATCTGCGAAACACTATTCCCGCTTCTCCCAACACAACAAAAGAGTACTTAATACATCCTACGCAGTATAGAACACTCCAAATCATCGGCAGATGGACCAGCTCTTGCATCCGAAAGATGCCCCGCCTTTTTTATGTTGGCATGAATTTCGACTGTCATGCCTTCGTAGCTTGAGATGTTAAGGGTATATTAGAAAATGCGCTCTGGCAGCTCATACAAGACTGGCATCGTCGGAGATATCAAAATGAGGAACTCAAGATGCCAGTCAACAGTAGCAACAGAAGGTCGCGCTCTGGGTGTAGTAGCTGCAAAAGGGCAAGGATAAAGTGTGACGAAACTAGGCCGAAATGTCTTAATTGCGTCAGGAGAGGAGAGAAAGAGTGTGATTACTCGCTGCAACTTAAATGGGGAGGCCAGTTCAAAAGAGTCGCAGGGAAGGTGTCCAAAGACCTGCCGGATGCTGCGCTTTTCAATGGTGTACTAATAATGGGCAAAAAGAGAGCAAGGCTGCCAAACAAAAACTCTAAAAAAGGGCTAGATCCTGAAAACCGTCCCAATGGGAAAGTCTCTGGGCCAACTGGTCACCCTGAAGTTATAACTTCAACCACGCCCGATTTCCAAACAGGAGATATAGTCTGCCTTGACGCTTCCGTCCTCAAGCTCAATCAGGCGCAGCTCGAGTACAGCTTAGAGATGGATGCTCGTTCCCCCCAAGTAGACGTCGAGGAATCTTCGCTCAGCAAAAGACCTTTACCAATCGATAGATGTTCTCTCAATATCTTGCAGCTAGCGCACCCGTCACCGGATATTCTGTTCAATTCAGCCCATCATGCAGAGCTTTTCGAATTTTATCTTTGCGAAACATCGCGTTTATTCGTGCCGACACCTTACTATGCTTATCAAACAAATCCGTTCAATACCATACTTCCTCAGTTGGCCATGCAAAGCCCTACGTTACTGAAATTGATTCTAGCCTTCGCAGCTAATCACAGGAGACAGATTGCAAACTATCAACAAGGGAGTCAGTCTTTAATTCCACTCGATAGAAGCACTGACAACAAAATGGATGGCAAATTAGCCGATCAACTACTGGGCGAAACTTTTGCTCAATTACTTTCACAACTATCTGACATGAAGCAAAGGCGTAGTAATAGTACATTGGCCACTATTCTAATGCTAGCAGGCTTCGACATTTTCTTCTGTGATACGAGAAACAAATGGAGAGCACACATTAATGGTGCCAGGGGTCTCTTGCTGGACAAACTAGGCACTACAGGAAGAAACGCAGTGCGAATAGCCAAGAAAAGCAGGCATTTAGACACAGACTCATTCCTTGTCCATTGGTTTTCGTATCTAAACATTATCGGATCGCTGTCCTCCGTTAAAAGAGTAGCGCAATTGAGCAATCCAGAGCCGCTTGCCTATGAGTTTGATTTTGATCAAGACGTTTCAGTTGTTTCTGTGCACAGAGCACAACTCAAGGACATTGACTACTTCACTGGACTGGAGACGAAGCTTCTGTCACTACTTGCCGATGTTGCTAACCTGATAGATCAGAAGGAAGCGTGCGAAAACGCAGAACAGCTACACCATGTAATACCGAAAGCGCTCGATTTGGCTCACAATATAGAGACTTATTTGGATGCTTCAGAGGCTGAACGAGAACAAATCTACCACCAATTTTATGCCACAAATTCACCATCTTTCGACTCCGCAAAATACAAAACCTACCGGACGTTGAGGGCCACGAATGCAGTTTTCGCCCTCACTGCAGTGCTGCAGCTGAAACGAAGAGTACTAGGCATCACAAGGAACAGCCCCACGATAACGATTTTACTTCTACGAATTACCAAGTTGATACATGAAGAAATACCGTTCAGCTCTTCAGCAGAGTCCTGCATTACATTTTGCCTCTTTTGCTGTGGTTGCGAGCTGATAGGAAGCAACTTAGCTTTGCATCGCGGTGTATACATTGACCACATGGAAACATTGCTGCGGAATGGCATGTCTAGTGCACGCCAAGCCAGAGTGGTAATGGAGTACTGTTGGCGAGATGAGAAGAGCTGGTGGGAGATTATGGAGGAGCAAAATTTAGATCTATCCTTCGCGATTTAAGACGTCCAGCAAGTTGAGAGGTAGAATACATTCAAAGCTACTCATTTGCGAAGTTGTCCAAACAAGAAGATGCAATTCTGCCCTGCCTTGAGTGATTTTTGATCATGCGTTTGAGCAGTTCTCCATTGTCCGAACCAGACCTATGTTCAACCTTATGGGTCTTTGCGTCTCGAAACAATTTTGGAATGTAAGCGCCGAAGAATTTCAGAAGAGGGAGCTGTGGCCGACAGATTCACTCTCTACGATTCCGCAAGCGACAATTCTCCACAGATAAGAACGTTATCCATCCATTGACGAGAAAAAAACAAACACCTCTTGATGGAAAGGGAATCCCGCGGGTCAAAAGATTAAACACGTTGAGACACGAGATTTTTTTAAACGAAAAAAATTCGGTTGGTTAACGTACCAGTAATATACGCCCAATCATTCCTACCGACAGCGCCAAACAGGTAAAAGTCAGACAGATGGCAGGACCGCTGTGCAGACTTCACTTAGGGAAGCTAGATCGCGCATGAGGTTTTCCGTCTAGGTTTTCAAGATGTTATTTATCGTTTCGTTTCAAATTATTTCAGGTTGAGTCTGCGCCTGAGAACGGGCTTCGGACATTGAAGTGCGACGGCATGTAATTGCGAGTAGCTTTGCTTGAGAAGATCTGATATTTTATTCAATGCTTTAAGAGCTTGCAGATTGAGCCTTTGAGAGCTCTAGTATATAATAACAGGTGGATTGTGGGCCAGCATCTTTTTCAGGATAATGAGTTTCTTCGAGTGATCCGCAGTGTGAAAAGTCCAACTGAAAGGACATCATGTCGGAAGAACTTACTTTGCCACAGGTTGTCGATGATCTTGAAGCTAAACCGGATTTCAAGCAGGCGGTTAAAGACATTTTCTGTGGCACTATAGGAGGATTCGCTCAAGTCTTGGTAGGTCAGCCTTTCGACATAGTTAAAGTTCGATTGCAGACATCAGCTGTACCTACTACTGCTCTGGACACTGTAAAGAGCCTGGCAAAAAATGAAGGACTCATGGCATTTTACAAAGGAACGGCTGTGCCGCTAGTTGGTGTGGGAGCGTGCGTTTCGTGTCAGTTTGGTGTCAACGAGTCCATGAAAAGGTATTTCTACTCGCGCAGCGGCGCTGCACCTGGGTCGCACCTAACGCTTGGCCAATACTACGTGTGCGGCTTTGTAAGTGGGACAGCCAATGCTCTTTTGGCCACACCCATCGAGCATGTTCGTATCAGAATGCAGATACAGAAGAGCACCAAAGGTGAGGGCTTGTACCGAAGCTCTTTGGACTGCGCCAGACAACTCATCAAACAAGGCGCTTTGATGCATGGTTTTACCGCGACCACTATGAGAACCTCTCATGGATTTGGTGTTTATTTCTCCACGTACGAGGCTTTAATAGCCAACCAGGCAAGCCGTGGCGTGGCCCGCCAAGACATTCCTGCTTGGAAAGTTTGCATATTCGGAGCCTTTTCGGGCGCGTTTTTCTGGGCGCTGACGTATCCGTTTGACGTTGTCAAGTCCGTGATGCAGGCCGACGACTTTAGAAACCCCCGCTATGGCCGCAACGTGTTGTCTGTTGCGAAAGCGATTTATCAAGAGCGCGGGATCAAAGCATTTGGGAAAGGGTTTGTGCCCACTATGTTACGCTCTTTACCAGTTAACGGCGCCACGTTTGCAGCGTTTGAAATATCTATGCGGTTAATCAATTGATTTCTGTGCGTGGAGGTCAAAATCTGGCGCTTGAGCGATACAAAGATAGAAATTTCCTGGGGTTTTCGAAGATGGTCAGACAAGTCGAAGTTCACTCATATTAGCACTCATATTAGCATTCTTATAGAGGTTCATAGAGACGCTTATTAACGTCCTTAACAGTTAACAAACTAGCATAAGCATACCATGTCTACTGGAGGGCATCGATATAGTGGAGCAATGGCATCTCAAGCCAGGTTAGGCCGCAGATTGAAAGAACGAAAACTCCGTAAATCCATACTTTCAGAACGGTTTACTCGAGGCACTAACACCACTACTTCCGAACGATTGTAATTAGGTCAAGCGCTTCTGAGTTTGTGCCTTAACTAATATAACCTATCAATGTCGGGTACGCCATTGACAAGACGCTGAACTCAAAATAGTATCCAGAACTTGTTGCTAATTTGCTTAAAACGAACCACTTAGCGGTGTTGAACCCCGGACTGAATGCAGAATTAAGCTCATAAGCCCAAATACCTGACAAGCGCGCAGCTGAGATTACCGCTCACAGATATTTTGATTCGTGACAAGGATCGTGCGAGTCGAAGTCACCATTGCAACAATTCCAACTTAAAAAAAGACTTCACTAACTATTTGAATAAAAAACAACAATTTTATCGCATGTATTTGGCACGCACGCGCCTCTTTGAAGAGCATCTGTGGCAACATATGTCTGACCCAAAACCCGATTTCATAGCCTTCAGTATTTTTTTGTATTAGTACTTTTAAAGTTAAGACTGAGTGTTTCTCACTGGCCAAAATGGCAACAAACCTGAACGGCTTAAGGATGTGCCCTATTCACTTAAAGGACAGCGGCCGACTTTGATCTATTTAAGTATTGTTATCTCAATGTCGTATTCAGCTCCGTGAGCTAGCGTTACGTATGCAAAGCCGCTTACAACGGTCATCTGGCAAATGTTGTAAGAAATTATTATCCTCTTGACGTTGTCACGGCTCAAATTAGTGCAAGTAGAGCAGCGTTTTCCGCATAGCAACTAGTCTGATCGAACCTTACCAATTTGGAGGTCTAGATCAGCTTTCAAGATTGAGTGTTCTTAAGCCACTACAACGGGTTGTTGTACTGATCCCGAAGAGGGATCAGCAACGTCAGTTTGGCCAGCCGCACCCTCACTGACGCCTGCGACATTTTCTGGCACTTGGGTTCTCGTTTCAACGATTTGAGCTGTCACCGAAACTCTCTTCAGCTCAGAGAAGGCTTTCTTCCCAATTAATAGCAATGAGATTGCAAACAGCACTGTGTTGAATGCAGCTAGACCGATGCCGGCCTGGGCGGTTCGACATGGCTTAACAGCATTGTAAGAATAGCTATAGTAGTAGCCGCTGTAATCAGAGGTGAAACTGTCTTTTTGCCATTTGCAATTGTATGTGCCGGACTTCGTACCCAACACTATGGCGACAGCCAGCCATAAACCCGTCATAATAATTTCGAAAATGCATAAGATCGTGGCTCTAAGATCCACTGGCACACGGAAACAGGCGACTATGACCGAATACAAAACCGAGACTGTAGCTACTGTGAGCTCAAAAACAAAAGTATCAAAATCCTTTTCCTGCGAATAGCCCAGGAGACCTAAGATTGCCGCAGCAGAACAAGTTTGAACAACTCGTAAAATAATAAAAAGCCAGTAGTTTTTGAAAGTTTTGGGCGGTTTCCCCATTTCCTGATCAGCAACAATATTAGACATATTGGACACGATGCGATTGTTTTCGAGTTACATGGGCGTACCACACTGCCTGCATTTCATATTTGTTCTCGCTTTTATTACTAATACCTTGTTCCTTTGCAGAGGTCCTTTTGGCACTGCTTTTCCTGACTAGGGCTAACTAGGGCTAATTACAATGCTGCAAGACAGAATTGCGCGAAGAAAGATAAATCCTAATCACCGACGTCAAAATCGCTTTACCAACTGAAAAGCTTACAGCCTCGAGTCGTTGACTCTTAGTCGTCCTCGCGAAATGTTTTGCTTCTCTGTAGAAGATGAGTGAGTGCGAGAAAAGGCCCTTTAACTTGAACGTTCACGTCATAAAAAATGCCAAACTGCAAGCTAGTATAAGAAGCGATGTATACCGCTTGGGCCCTTCAAGAAGATCTAGCAGAAAATGCGAAATCTGCAGAAAAATTGGAACTTTTTCATCGGAGATGCACCGCGCTTCTCAAGATGAGCCATAAGCTAAAGTCCGACTACGATCGGTAAAAAGTCTGCCAACAAAAAGCGTCGTATATACGAAACTGAAAGGAACAAAAACAGCCGTTGAGTTCCTGCTGGGTTCCTTTTGAATTTCTGTTTTTCGCAGATTGCAGCCTTCGCGGATCACTCTCACACGTAGCGAGGTAAACGGCGTTTATGGTGAATTAGCCATACATCTGCTTTATTGCAGTTTCGTCATTCATCAATCTTGCAAAAAATAGCGTGCTGCACTAACTGTCTTTGTTCACGATGTCATTAGTTTTGGAATCTGCAGCCTGTAGGGTCTTCTCTGACTGCAGTATAGCCTTGACTCGATGCTCGATGTAGCCATTATCGGGATAGTTGATGGGAGACTCAAATCCGGTGAAGACAAAAATATCGTAGACCAGCGCTCCGGTGATCCCACCAGCGATAGGACCGCCCCAAGTACCCCAAGTCCACCACCAATGCGTCAAATGGAACGCATGCGGGCCGTAGCCAATCATGGATGCAAAAATCCGAGGTCCTAGATCTCTGGCCGGATTGATAGTAAAACTCGTTTGGTACCCAAGAGCCATGCCAATAGCTGCCACGAGGAAGCCTATAATTAAAGCGGTCATTCCGTTGGTCGGAGGGGCATTGTTGTCGTCTAGCAGCGCCATCAAACTTCCAACCAAGATGGCAGTGCCGATAAATTCATCGAAGAAGGCGTTACGCCATGTAACGTACGATTTGGGATTGGTGAAGAGACAGGCGCCTGTTGCTGCTGTTCTGATGTGCGCACCTCCCTCGAATTCTGTAACAGAGCTCCAGAAATAACCATATGCCATAGCACCACCAAAAAAGGCACCGACAATTTGAGCTAGAATGTAGACTGGCACCTTCTTCCATGGAAACTTGCGGAAAATGGCCATCGATATGGTGACGACTGGGTTTACGTGGCCGCCACTGACACCACCCGCGACGTAAACACCCAACATGACACCGAAGCCCCATGCGAAAGATAGAGACTCGAAAGACCCCCCAGCTCCGTTAGTGACAGTGGCTTGAAGGTTACCTCCTACACCAAAAATGACCAGGATGAGAGTTCCCAAGAACTCTGCAAATGGTTCGCGCATGGTGTAACGTATTTTAGCCCAAAAATTGGGAAACGTTTGTGGACCTGAATCCTGACCGTCTTCATCAGCAGCGCCTGGCACAATAATAATCGGCGCTGGTGGCGCCGGTGGAATATCAGGTGGACTGCCTGTCTTGGAGTTTTGTGCCAGCGTAGGCACATCGTCAGCTGCAGAGTTGGGATAGGAATCGGAATTCAGCACAGATTTTGTGCCAGGGTGAGTGCGACGAGAGTTGTCGTTTTCGAGCTCGACCTGAGAACTGGTGTGCTTTTCCTCATTGAATATAACAGCTTTTGATCGCCGACTTTCGGCACTGGAGACGGGCAACTGAGCTTCCATGTCGTTAATCTTGCGACCAGAGTTGACCCGCTGGAAAGCCTTCCTCCAGTCGCTGATGGAGGCCATAGAACCAACACGGGATGGGTTAACTGAGCCTGGTTTGGAGCCTGATTTGGATGCTGGTCCGGAAGAGGTGCCCGATTGGGCCTCGATATTAGTGGTGATCTTTTTTACCAAGGAAGAGTCCAGAACGTGTGGTAAGGGCTGGTTCAAACTCCACACCGGCTTGTTCTGTGCATTGTTCGGACGTGATGATAGCTGATGATATAGAGGGTCCACGAACGTTGATGTACGGGCTGTGTTGTTTTGGTAGTAGTAATCCCGCAATCGAGCCTCGTTGTAATGTGACGCCAATTCTTGCATATTCTTAAGGTTTGGAGAGGAGTACATGAAGCCCATTGGCATAGCTCTATGAGAGACCTGATGTTTTTCTTCCGTACCATCGTGAGCCTTGCCCTGAGGTAGTGGACTGAGCGGTGCCAGTCCACTTGTTGAGAACCCTCCCAGCGAATTCTCATTTTCTGTGGGCCTACGCTGTGTGGACGATACCATAGGTTCTGTAATCTTGGTATTTGCTTTCCATTTTACCTGTCCAGATGGTCTTGCAGCGATGGCCCGTGGTGTTGATATCTCCAACGAGTTTTGCGAACCAGACGACGAAGACGATGTTGAAGACGACCTTCTTGTCATCCTCCTTAGAAGCTATAACAAACTATTCTATCCGAGACGATCTAAGCTCTTAAGCTATATACATATAGAATTTATAATAAACCACTTGCTTGTTCTACGTATAAATGCTATTTAAAAGCTATCGAACCGAAAGTCAAGCTTAATCCCCCACCTTTAAATAATACGACCCCGGAGAACCTTTTTTTAAGATGGATAATTATCCCGCGTTTAATGGCAAGTTTCGCCCGGAAGATTTTCGCTATCCGGTTACGTTAGAGATCTACGCTATGGTTAACTTGGCATGTTATTATTACTTTGGGCACATAATACTCAGCAGAATAAGTCTATAAGACAGCGAGCAGAATAGGTCAAAACTGAACGAGGCTTGAAAGAGAGGAGGAGAAACGAACGCGTATTTTGTATCGATAATTTTGCCCGCGCGTCCGTAAATTAGACGGACTATCGAGGCTCTTGGTCTCTGGAAAATCATTTTGCTTGCCAGCGAAACGAACACGTATAGGTTGGACGATGGCGACAAATATTGCGACAAAAACGTAGTGAGAGTTTTCTTGTAAACGGCTGAATGCTCTGTGCCTGTAAATATTGCTTCTGGAACTTGCGAGTTTTGGAAGAGCTGTCGAAAAGTTAAATAGAGATTTTTGTCAAGATCGGATTGATGTTTTTTGCAGTAATGTCAAATATGACTCCGTTTGGCTGACACCCGGGGTTCTTAATATCTTGTAGAGTTGGTATTTAGTTAAAAAATGTCAGAAGAGTACAGGGTGATAAATGGTGACTGAAAATTGAGAGGACGGGACCGAGAGGCCTGTGTCAGACCAGTAGCAACATATAGACGAGGGCCTCGAAGTGATGAGCCAACAGGCACATGAAGGCAATTCAATTTAGCTGATGTAATTACTTTGCTCGGTGTTGTCACTTTGTACTAATCCGTCATTAGGAGCTAGTACTTCGAAAAGCAGGCCCCTGTCATGGAAAAGAGTCTCGATATCGCAAATCTCAATATGCTGCTATTCATAGAGACGCGGTAAAGCGTGCTGTAATTACATGAACGCTGTGTTGCTTGCATAAGCGAAAACACAATGTCAAATTGCTTCTCAAAATGTGACATTTATTGATCTCGAGAGACCAAAAAGCATTTCAGCTGTACCAATGGCTCAAAAGCTCACTGCAGTTGCTTGCCCCACCGGGCATATCCTGGATTCGCGTGGAGAGCTGGTTGGTCATGATTCTGCTAAAACACATTCGTACAAAGTGCTGTATGCTCTAAAATTGACTGAAAAATTCCATCACCTGCCCAACTCTACCTAGCTCATCGCAGCTCATCGCGGTCAAGATGAATCTCCATGAGAGCAGTAACGAAGAGTTCTCGTCGGATGAAGAACACGATCAAGTTCTCATCACGTCAAAGAAGCAGGGTGGCAAAGATGTATTCGCTAATTGCGAAAGTGACGACGAATTAAGCGAGCCAGAAGCTGAAATTGAAGAGGAAGAGCCCCAGAACAAGAAAGCTAAAACTCAAAGCGATGCCGATATAGAACTGACCGTGGTTCAAGGAAAAGAAGAAGGAGAGGAAGCATTTCCAGCTGACGGAGAGGCCGATCCGGAACGTCTCAAGAAGGGACGACTCGACAGACTCAAGAAACTACGAGCCGTGAAGAAGAGCAAGCACAAGACTGGTGTGGTGTACCTATCGAAGATCCCACCATACATGAAGCCCGCTAAGATGCGGCAGCTTCTGTCTCGCTTTGGCGAGATCGACAGGCTGTTTTTAAAGCGCGAAGATGACCAAAAGCACAAAACGCGTGTCAGAGGTGGGGGTAACAAGAAAGTCATGTTCGAAGAGGGATGGGCCGAGTTTGTGCGCAAAAAGGACGCGAAGCTGTGCACGGCCACGCTGAACGGCAATATTGTTGGCGGGAAAAAGGGCAATTTCTACCACGACGACGTGATGAATGTTAAATATCTTTCTGGGTTCAAGTGGGCCGATCTGACGGAGCAGATTGCGCGTGAAAACGATGTCCGCCAGGCCAAACTACAATTGGAAGTCTCGCAGGCCAACAAGATGAACGCTGAGTTCATCAGGAACGTCGAACGCAGCAAAATGCTGAGCAAGATGCGCGCCTCCAAAAAACGTGACTCACCATCTGAGAAAGCTGACACGGAGACGGACAACAAAACTGCACAGATTTTCAAGCAACGGAAAGTCACTACAAACCGTGCTGCAGGTCCTGAAGAGCATAAGGCAGCTTCCTCAAAACGTTTAGACTCCGTCATCCAGAATCTGTTTTGAGCAGCTATATAAGAACAAAATCAAGATCTCCAAACAAACTACTAGCATTCAACTACATAATCATCATCAACTACAAAAATATTGTTAACCTCATAAACTAGGTGCCGTTGACTGAGCGGTGTCGTCCTTTGTAGCTCAGCGTTCGACGAGTTTATATACTCTGTCGTTTTGAGTGATTATTAAACGGCGGTTATATAAAATTTTTCAAGCTGGGCATCTCATCTCATCTCATCACATCACTCTTTTAGCCATCTAGTTGAATTTTCACAACATTTGTTCACTCAACCTCTGTCGAAGAAGAGGAATTGTAGCTCTAGTTAGAACTGCAGTTATTTTCGACTAATCCAGAGGTCTATAAAGAGCCTACTTTTGTATCGATTCGACCATGGGTACTGGCAAGAAAGAGAAACAAAGACGTATTCGTCAGAATGATACCAAGGACGGGAACTTGAGGGTCAAAGGTGAGAATTTTTACCGAGATGGCAAGAAAGTGAAGTTTCTGAACATGTACACGGATGGCAAGTCGATCAGAAACAAGAAAGGCGATCTGATCCGTGCTTCTCCGCTGCAATCTGCGGACATTCCTACTGCCAGAGTTCAGCCAGATCGTCGTTGGTTTGGTAACACACGAGTTATCTCACAGGACGCTCTTTCGCATTTCCGTGAAGCACTAGGAGACACTGAAAAAAATAACTATCAGGTGTTGCTTCGCAGAAACAAGCTTCCAATGTCGCTTTTGGACGAAAAAGACACTCAGGAATCTCCGCAGGCGAAGATTTTGGAAACCGAAAGTTTCGAGCAAACTTTCGGCCCCAAGGCGCAGCGGAAGAAGCCCAGAATGGCAGCTTCGAGTCTCGTGGACTTGGCAGAGTCTGCAGCGGAACACGTCAAAGAGTACGAGGAAAAACAAGAGTTGAATTCGACTTTGGGTCTGATGGGCCAAAGCGGTGACAACGAAGACGGCTGGTCGCAAGCTGCCAAGGAATCCATTTTCAGCAAGGGCCAGTCCAAGCGGATTTGGAACGAGCTGTATAAGGTTATCGACTCGTCGGATGTTGTCATCCACGTTCTTGATGCCAGAGATCCGATGGGAACCAGGTGTAAATCTGTGGAAGAGTATATGCGCAAGGAAACACCTCACAAACATCTCATATATGTGCTGAACAAGTGTGACTTGGTACCAACGTGGGTTGCAGTATGTTAAATTTTATGCTCGGCGAGCTAAAAACGCCTTTCGCTTCGGCGATTATCAATCTTTTGGGGTTTAAGTCTGGGGCTGTCGTGGGATATTAATTTCTAGCACCAAAACTTCTAGTCAGGATGTTTTCCGTTCCTTGAGAACTACGAAAAAATACGAAAGTGTCTGTTACTGTTTTGGAAGATCAATTCCTCTCGCTTTTCTTTGGCCGTGTCCGTTTTGGACACAAATCGAAGAAATTAGGTGGGTAATTGTCGTATTGACGATATGCCACCGCTTTTCAGAGTGGTGAGGCCGGTAAACCTCAAGTTCGAAGGCGTCTTAATGGACACTTTAACTTTTGAACTAGCAGTTGAAAGCCAAACATGTTGATACTTTTTTCTTGATAGACCCTGACCTATGCCTTAACAAAGGAAAGAATGACGAGCCCAGCGAAAGGCGCTGATGTTTCCGAATGTCACACAATACTAACATTTAATTAAAAACAGGCTGCCTGGGTAAAGCATTTGTCAAAGGATAGACCAACTTTGGCGTTCCATGCGTCGATTACCAACTCGTTTGGTAAGGGTTCATTGATACAGCTGCTGCGTCAGTTTTCGCAGCTACACAAGGATAGAAAGCAAATCTCTGTGGGTTTCATCGGGTATCCTAACACTGGTAAGTCGTCCATCATCAACACTCTGCGTAAGAAGAAGGTGTGTCAAGTGGCGCCTATTCCTGGTGAGACCAAGGTTTGGCAGTACATTACCTTGATGAAGAAAATCTTCTTGATTGACTGTCCCGGTATTGTACCGCCCTCCGCGAAGGACACCGAGGAAGACATTCTGTTTAGAGGTGTTGTTAGAGTGGAGCATGTATCGCATCCGGAACAGTACATTCCTGGCGTTCTGCGAAGGTGCCAGAGGAAGCACTTGGAAAGAACCTACGAGATTTCGGGCTGGAAGGACTCCACCGATTTCATCGAGATCTTGGCCAGAAAGATGGGGAGACTACTGAAGGGTGGCGAGCCAGATGAATCCGGTGTGTCCAAACAGGTGCTAAACGACTTCAACAGAGGTAAAATTCCATGGTTTGTGACGCCGCCAGAAAAGGACGCCAAGGACCAAGATTCCGCGGGTCAAAAGAAGCCTTCAGCCGACGAGGCTATTGGCGACGGCAAGAGAAGCGCGGACGAAGTCGAGGCCGAAACAGAGCCTCAGGAAGCCAAGAAGGCAAAGGTTTGATTTTTCCCGCAGCCGGTGTTTTTAAGCATATTCTGTACAATAGTCAAATAGAAATGGGGCCACTTGATTCTGTAACAAAAACGAACAGATCTTCAGAGATCAATCACTAGCTCTACGTAACGACCCGACGATTGTACAGGCTCATCGTCTCAGTCCCAGTCGCTGCTTAGCTTCTTGCCTTAAAATTGAACACGAGTACCTAACTGTGTGATAAATTCATAATTGATGTCACTCAGTACTGTATCATGTGACCATAAGTGGGATTTACCTCTCACTATGAACGAGATGCTCTTAATGATAAAGCCTAAAAATCCAAAAATTTAATGTTCTAAAGGCATTGATTGATCAAAGCTCAACTATCATACAAACCAAATACCAAAAACCAACCAACTGGCGCTCCATTTAGTTATGCAATCGGTCAATAGACAATTGCATGAGATTCCAATGGGCGAGCATTTCTTCCCTCAACAGGCTTCGCAGCCCCAGCAACCTCCTGGGATTGGGCCACAGTCGTTTTCACCGCAAATGATGCAAGGCCGCTTGCACCAACAACAGCAGCAGCAACAGAGCGGCTTGGGTCAGGATATGCATGGATTGGAAAGTAATCCAGGTCTTCAGAACGTATATTTGCTCAAACAGAAAATGGAAGCAGCGAACGCTGCGTTTGGGCCTCAGCAACTGGCGCAACGGCAGGTGCAAGGGCAAGTACAACCACAACAAGTGCTAAACAACGGCCGGAACACGATGGGCGGCTCACTGGGCTCGCTGGGCTCCGTGGGTGGTCTCCCACCAGGCGTGGGGCTGGTGCAGCAGACGGGGGCTGGGCTGGGACCGTCCACGGGCGCGCTGCTTCCGCACCCAGGGCTTGCAGGCTCGTTTGCATTGCCCCCTCCGAACCAGTTTATGATGCGTGACGTGTGGAGTAACAACCTGCATGCCGAGTTCGCGCAAATTAGAAAGCTCGTGGGTCAGTACAATGTGGTGGCTATCAGCACGGAGTTCGTCGGCACCATTGCTAGGCCAATGGGCAACTTTCGGTCTAAAAATGACTACCACTACCAGACCATGCGTTCTAATGTAGACCTATTGAATCCAGTGCAGGTGGGTCTTTCCATCAGCGATGCACGCGGTAACAAGCCCGAAAGCGGACCATCGACGTGGCAGTTCAATTTCCATTTTGACGTCACGCAAGAAATGGTTTCTGCTGAGTCTTTGGAGCTCCTCAAAAAATCGGGCATCAACTTTGAGCGGCATCAAAATCTGGGCGTCACGGCGTTCGAGTTCGCTCAGTTATTGACAGATTCGGGCCTGATATCGAGCGACGTCACCTGGGTCAGTTACCATGCAGCCTACGACTTTGGATTTCTGGTTAATATGCTCATGAACAGTGCAATGCCCAACAACAAGGAAGACTATGTCTGGTGGGTCCAGCAATTCATGACCAACTTTTACGACCTCAACCTCATAAATAAGTTTGCACAACTACAACTTCAGCAGGGCCAAAAACAGAATCCTACACCGCAACAACAGCCAACACTGGAGGCCATGGCCGATGAGATCGGAATCCCACGTTTCCCGCTTTTCTCTTCGACGGCAGGCCAAAGTTTGCTGGCTTTACTGACATTCACGCATTTATTTCAACTTCGCATTCCTCATCCACAGTTGGGGCCCAATTTGACCAGGTGCAAGAACATGATATATGGAATCACCAACGAATAGGCTGCCCTGGCGCAATTGTAACTTTTAATACACGGAGCCAAGGCTTGAAGTAATGATTTGCCTTCTTTTGCACAAGGCTGATAATTATCTGCAAGCCGCATTGATCAGAGTTCTTACAGCCTGGGATAAGTGCCGTGATGTTTTAATTACTTCCCAGTCATGCCCTCGTTATGGCACTCTCATTGTAGGACCCTGACTTGAATATTTAAGGCTTTATAAATTTCAAGCATCATGCAAAGCATTTGACGATCGAATAGCCAACGACTTCGGATGTTGAGCTCAGCATTTGTGACACCAACAGAACTCTGAACTGCTTAGTATCCCACGAGCCGTCACCCCATTGATGCTGGAGGTTTGCAATAATAACAGATTAATCACTGCAACATTTGAAATGACAGGAAAAACACCCAAAAGTCACCATTAATGAAGGTGGCTAGACAGACTGCTGATAAATGTAGGGAGTTTCAGTTTCACCGATAGAAATCAGCAGTGCCAGAGTTAGTCATGGCTTTGGTTAGTGACATTGCTTGATGTCAGCACCGTACAAAGTAACAGATATCCAGGCTATGAATTCGAGAAGCAACTAAATTTATTGTACTGACTGTTGATTAATCTCGACCAATTAATCGTATCTGTCTATGTTCGGATCTCGCTTTCCTCTCGGACTTCTTTAATATTCAATCACTTATGATGTTATACTTCACTACATGAGCTTCTTTCAATATATCACGCTAAAAAAAATTTTAAAATCGAGATTCGAGGTGAAGTTGTTCAACATTCGAGTTCGACAGAAGCTATACTATCAAAGAGCTCTTTGAGTCCTAGATAAATTGCATCATAGCTGGAAGCTCAGGTTTCATTTGTGTGGGAATTTCCAGCGGTTTTTGACGACTCTCACTCATCAAATTAATTACATTTTTGCATTAGCATCTGAATTCACGAAACGACCAGTATGACCAGCATCGAAAACCTTCCCGAGATCGGATATGCATTTCTCAAAACCTATTATCAAAGGATGCATCAGGATCCATCCAAGGTGCATCATTTGTACTCAACCACTGCGGAGGTGACGCATGTGAATTACCAAAGTGAGTGGAATACGAATGATGAGCAACTGCCTACAGTCAAACTCATCGGCAAGGAAAATATCAGCAAATTTTATACCAGACACAGCAAAAAAGTGCGGTCAATTCAGGTGAAAATCGACACTTGTGATTTCCAATCTGCCGGAGCTAACAATTCAAGCATTCTGATCCTAGCTGTGGGAGAGATGTGTTGGTCTAATACCCCATCTTTCCGGTTCTGCCAATCGTTCCTGCTTGCTCCAGTTCCGAGCAACCCGAAAATCTATGATCTCACTAATGACATCCTACATTTCATTCCCCAGCCCCTACTTGAGCTTGGTAGATTAACGACGGAGAGAACCGAAGATACTACTTCAAAGCAGGCCGCGGAGAACACAAAGGCGCCGGAAAATAAAGAGCAGGAGACGTTAGTCGAAGCGCCAATTGCTCAGAAACCTCAAGAACAGGAAGTAAAAGGGGCAGACAAAAAATCTGAACAATCGAAATTAGTCACTGTCGAAGTACCGGCGAAGTCATCCAAAAATACAGAGTCGGAAAAAGAAGCATCAAGAACAGAGCATAAAAAACCTGAACCTGCCCTCAAGACCGCCATAGAAGAGCTAAATATCAAAGAATTTCCAGAAAAGCTAGAAGACTCGTCGGCGGCGAACGGAAAACTGCCACAGCAGTCTGGAGAAGATGAAACAGTGACCGAGTCGAAAGAAGCGGTTTTCTCCATAAGTAACGAGACCACGAATGACGAGACTCTAGAGACCACGAATAATAAGACGGTTGAGACCGAAAGGCCCTCCACACCGGAACCAGCCAAAAAAATGAACTGGGCATCCAAGCTAGCGGCTTCAGAGTCGAAGGACGTTCCCAATGTGGTCACCAAATACATACGCGCAGAGCCAGATGCTGCGCAGCCGCCTAAAAAGATCTCTGACAGAAAATCGGTGTCGCCTAGTGGTATACCACGGGAAGGAAGAGAAGGCAAAAACCTGAAAAAGAAGCAGTTTAACTTCGTCAATAAAGATGGCTACTACCCAGTGTACGTCAAGGGCACTGGAGGTGTCACCGATGACCAATTGGTCAGGGCACTCGAAAGTGAGTTTGGAGTGGTGAGAAAAATTTCATCGCAAGAGACTTTTGCGGTCGTAGATTTCGAAGACCAGCGTTGTCAAACGGAAGCAATCGAAAAAGGCACTCTAAAAGTTAACAACGTCGAAGTTCACATGGAGCCCAAGACAATACGTAAATCCAGTCCGTTTTCCGCAGCGGCTTCCACGCCTGCCTCGGGGCAGCGCTTCAGCAAAAAGCACGTCAACAAGAAGAAAGCTTGAGATTGCATATACCGAAACTTGAGATAGACGTAAGTAAATAGAAGGTCACCAATAATCAGTCCGATAGCATAATTGGAAAGCCAAGAGTTTTTTCTCAATGAATGAAGGTAGGCTACAGCCGCAATCTCTAAACCTGCCGGTAGTGTGGCGATATGATTGATAGGGTTTGCATAAAGACGAGGCGAACGTCTTAGAGATCCACATATCGAAATCTCAAAATGTACCAGAGAAGAGAGCAAGAATTAGATAATTTATAGTGGTACTTGAACGAGCCTAAAGACATGTAACAAGGTATCGTTTATTGAAATGTTATCTACAACTTTGCCGCTAAAAAGTGGTAAAATAAAGCAAGTTTCCTAAAACAAAATCAAATAAGTCGAAAGTAGACAAGAGTTTCAGACGTCAAAGTGTCATCTGGGTGGCTCGTGGACTACAAATGCCTGGCATTTTGAATCGGACTGACATTTAGTCACGTGCCAGAGTCTCCATACACGTTATTTAAATCTGAGCTAATAAATGGAAGTCCAGCCTCACTTAACTTATCATAGCCTTTAACTATGAGAACCATACCGCAATACATTCCACCCAAGCTCTTCGTCTTGATCGAATCGTGATTCAGAATGCTGGTACCACCGGCTAATTTTGGTGTAGCGGAAGAAGGAATTTGTATGAGCTTTTTTGTCAGTTGTTTAAGCCATGACGGTCACAGCAGAATACTAACCGTAACGCTTGCTAGATCGATGCTCCAAGATTGAAACGCTTAATCTATCGTTTTTGGAGACGCTCAATCTCAAAACGGTGATATTTGTAGGTGGACAAGAGCCATCTAAATTTTTCAGAGAGTTTTTTGAACGTTCTTACATTCAGTGGTTCGTTGTGCGTACAGCCAACGTATCCTCAAATATGGCGCCCGCAAACGCTAGCGGTGCCAAAGCAAATTCGGACGAAAAAGTGATAAATTCAAACCAGCATGTGGGGCCCGACAGTTATGAACTGAGCGACAACGACGACCTGATGATTATCAAGAGCTACAGCCTGAAAAGAACATTCGAGTTGCTGTTGAACACCTCAAATCACAATACTATTCTAGTTGATAAAACTTCTATTGTGGTGGCTGTCTTGCGGAAAATACAGAAATGGAATATTGCATCCATAATAAACGAGTATAGGCTGTTTGCAACCAAGAACGCGAATTACTTTGCAGAAACGTTGCTGGAAATGATAAACGTCAGAATTGTGCAAGAAGAAGAGGATAAGCTCGGACATATCAATCTAGAGGATCTGCAAGTCGGTGATACACCTGAAATCAGTGACTTACGCGGTTGCAGTAAATGGGAAATTGTTAATGAATGGGATCTTAATAAGCCTCCCCGCATACCGGTGCATTTGCTCCGCATTCTGGAAAGTTTTCAGGCAGATAACAAGATTTCCAATGAGCCATTGGACCTGGAAGTACCACTCATGGCCAAAAGCCAGTCGGATCTAGGAATCTTTGGTAATAGGTATCGTTTAGCCTTCAACAAAAGAGAACGTGCAGACTACGACTTTTACAAAGGCGGGAAGCATAATGTGATAACTTTTCACTTGCCCAGAGATCCCTTGCTGCCGCGGTGGTTCATCCGTCAGCGGGAGTTGTGGGAAAACGAAAATGCTAAAGAACACCACAATTTCTACAAGGAAAGCATATTTGTATGAAATGCGAAAGATGGGAATTAAGAGAAGTGGAAAACTAGTCATTTTCTCGTAATGAGCAATGACGAGCGCCCTACTGTAGATTAAAGAGTGTACGTGAAGCCACGACAGTGCTATGTGGTAAAAGATAAGAGTGACCTCTTTTCCAACGGTTGCTAAATCCTTAGCGCTCATTTTCGGCTCGGGATAAGTGTAACACAATTCGTCGGCTTCCGCAATGAAGCAGGAAAAGGTTTTGAATGAAAATAGGTAATTTCGAAGTTTTGCAAATTAAAGGCCCCGTTGATCGGGGATGCGTCGAAAATATATCGTAACTGCGAACCTACGCTGTGTCCGAATGAAATCGAGTACGGCATGGCTCTTTGCAAGACAGGACTTGATGCATTGACCGATTTCGTTTCCTTTTTCATTACCATAATCATTGGATCACTCAAGCAAACCTTAAACACCGCTTTTTTTCGACCATTGCCAAATTGATTAGATCACTCGCAGCCCTCAATAACCGTGTCTTCCTGGCCCGACAAACTCACGTCTGGTGGTAACCACTAGCCGATCGAGACTGTTTTACTAGAAAATGTGGGCACGCTGAACGGTTGCGCGTCCTTCGCTTTACAACTAATCGAAAGACACCGAAGAAATCAACACACAAATCAAGCATCCTCAATGACAGCTGCCTGGTAGGGATAAGCGCCTCTGCTGAGTTCGGTTTGAGGCGATGACGCTCTTTCCCACGTTTCGAACGCCAAGTCAGCTGACCCAAATTCCTTAGGAATTACATGGCTAAAATTGATCTCGAAATTCCACCGGGAAAAGAGGCCATCTCGTCACTTGAATCTGAGGTCTTCAAATTCTATTTAAGACACCGCCAACTTACCTCAACCAGATGCCCTATACCTTTCAAAGAATCTCTCTTCCTCTCATCATCACCTTTAAACAGTCAACAATGGTTAAGAACGTTTTGTTGCTAGGATCTGGGTTTGTTGCCCAACCGGTTGTCGATGTCTTGGCTGCCACCGAGGGTATCAATGTTACTGTTGCATGCAGAACTTTGGCCAAGGCGCAGGAGCTGGCTTCTGCGTCCAAATCGGCTGCCATGTCTGTGGATGTGTCCAACGAAGAAGAGCTAGATGCTGCTTTGTCGAAACACGACCTCGTCATCTCGTTGATTCCTTACATTTACCACGCTGACGTCGTCAAGAGTGCGATTAGACTCAAAAAAGACGTGGTTACCACCTCGTACGTGTCTCCAGCCCTAAAGGAATTGGAGCCTGAGATCAAGAAAGCCGGTATCACTGTCATGAACGAAATCGGTTTGGACCCAGGTATCGACCATCTGTACGCCATCAAGACCATCGACGAAGTCCACAAAGCTGGTGGTAAGATCAAGTCGTTCTTGTCCTACTGTGGTGGTTTGCCAGCACCCGAAAACTCTGACAATCCTTTGGGATACAAGTTTTCGTGGTCGTCCAGAGGTGTGCTTTTGGCTCTAAGAAACCAGGCCAAGTTCTGGAAGGACGGCAAGGTCGAAGAGGTTTCTTCGGAAGACTTGATGGCTTCTGCTAAACCATACTTTATCTTCCCGGGATTTGCCCTTGTGTGCTACCCTAACAGAGACTCCACTCCTTTCAAGGAGCTTTACGAGATCCCAGAAGCCGAAACTGTTATCAGAGGCACTTTGAGATTCCAGGGCTTCCCTGAGTTCGTCAAAGTTCTTGTCGACGTGGGTATGCTAAAGGACGAGACAAGCGAAATCTTCCAAAAGCCAATTGCCTGGAACGAAGCTTTGTGCCAATACTGGGGTAGCAAGTCTGCTTCCAAGGGAGACCTAATAGCCTCCATCGACGCCAAGACCAAATGGGTAACCGAGGAAGACAGAGAGAGAATTCTCAACGGTTTCGGCTGGTTGGGTCTTTTCTCGGACAACAAGATCAATCCAAAGGGCAACGCCTTGGACACTCTTTGCGCTACTCTAGAGGAGTTGATGCAATTTGAGGAAGGCGAGCGTGACATGATCATCCTCCAGCACAAATTCGGTATTGAGTGGGCTGATGGTGCCACCGAAACTAGAACTTCCACCTTGGTAGCCTACGGCCAGCCTGACGGTTACAGTGCCATGGCTGCCACCGTCGGCTTGCCTTGTGCGATTGCCACGAAGCAAGTTCTAAGCGGCGCTATCAAGGGCCCTGGTTTGGTCGTTCCATACACTCCTGAGATCAACGATCCTATCATGAAGGAGTTGAAGGAGAAGTACGGAATCTTCCTAACGGAAAAGACCATAAACTAAACGTGTCTCGCTATAATTCTATTTATCTTTATATGTTGATAGATGCACGAGAAGATCTTCGAAGAACCTCGCAAGCTAGTTAAACGAATCAACGAGTGTAGATACCGCCAGATGCCTACAAATTGTTAGATTTTTGACGTAGTTCCCGCAGTATAGAGATACCTATTATATATAGAAATATTGATATTCTCTTCTTAAACCAAGTCTATCTGACGAACACAACACCGCCTAAAATGAGTGCAAGTGCTTCCCAAAAGCCCACCAGGTTTTGGAGTAAAGTCAAGTCGTCCACAAAATCCATTTCATCATCTTTTGCGCAACTTTCTATAAAACAAGAGCGCGATGGTGATACTGTTACATCAACCGTCGTGCATAAGGCATTAGTTAAGTATTACACGCACAGAGAGCCATTTGAGGGCTTCCCGGATTGGCTAGGGCACAAGGAGGAGCTTCCTGACGAACAAAAAGTGCTACGCAAGCAAAAGATGCATCACCACGATCCAAGAAGTGCAGGCCAGCAACATTCGGCCAGCACCACAACGCATACTGAACCGGTGTCTCCCGTCCCCTCACAGCGTCTCACTGCGGGAACCAATTTCAGAGATATCTACAAGAGTGCAACAAGCGCTAGAGGAGCACATTCTGCATCAGCGCCGGCGTCTGCTGCCTTTCAAGACCCGGAAGCAGGCGTACCACGAGTCTCGGCTCCCCCTCCTACTCAACGAACATCGTCCATGTTGATGCGTGAGCGACTGAAACGCAAGTGAAAGGGTGTTTAGCCTGGTGTTTGGAGGCTTGAGTGTGGTTTTGATAAAGCTTGCTCCGACTTGGGCGAGTGCGCAAGCCGTCCAAACAACAGTTATTTTTGAACAATAACAATTCATGTTTTGATCCTTCCGTGACCTTTAGTGACGACGGTGAAGATGTGATTGTTTAAATGTGCAAAGATCAATTGAAACTTGTGAGTCGGTTCCTGTGGGTTTCAAGGCTCTGGCAATTGCACATTGTCAATTGCTTGCAATAAAAAACGATCAAGGCAGATTTGATGCTCATTAGTGTCAAACGCCCTTTTTTTAAAATATTTCAAGCTAGAGAGGTGTTTCTGTATTGATGGATGGTATATCTTAGGCAATTAATGGTTCCTGAACCCATTGGCAGGGCGTGTATTGTGGCCTTAAAAACAGAAGACGTAGAAAGAGTCCTCTCTGGAAAAGAAAATGTTGAAATGCCCACAGAAGACAGCTCTTGTTTTTGGCAGCCTGTTTATCCCCGGTGGAACCTGGTGGAAGCCAACCAAAATGTTTTACGAAAACTATAGAGTGGGCAGTGTGTTTCAGGCGCCGTTGTATTTGTGATGTTTTCTTGACATGTTTGCCTCAATTTTAGTGATATCAATAAAACGTTTTAGCCAGAGTTTCTCCCTCCAGGTCTTGGGATTGTCGACCGAACTATAAACTTAAACCTCTAGCTACCAGAACTAGAGCAAAGTCCATGAGAAAGGACAAGCACATTATGGACCTTTACCTTATAGTTTAAGCCGTTCAAAATCAGGATTTGAAGAACTGGTGAGGGAGTCTTGACATAAAAACTCGCATACAACGCCGGATGCCATGGAGCTGAAGCATGGTGTCGAAAGACCGCGTTGTGCCATAATAGTACAAAGTGATATGAGAGCACACTGCAAAGTGTTACGAGAGCGCACGACAAACTAGAACTAAAGGTGCCGTCAATGGCTGTTTGGACACTTGTATTTACGATACCAATTACGTGGCTCCGATAAAGAGTCACTAAACGCCCACACTTCAATACTAACGTTTCTTATGTTTACAAATTCTAATATTATCTGTGATCTGTGATCTGAGACCGATCTCGAATGCGAATTCGCCAGAAACGCAGAGATCTGGATAACTCAGTGACTACGCACGCTCACACCAACACTGATGTATTCTGGAGCAATCTTGGCGCGTAAACGACACCGACGTACGCCAAGAAAATCGCTAATATTAGAGCATTGCGAAAAGATAATTTAGAGTCCTCGACACACACAGCGATTTGTAGAAGTCTGAAGAGCCTGAATTGTAATACTTTCAGTTGTGTTCCACAGGTTTCTCATGGTACACTCCGAGTAAAGCGAATTGTTCGATTTTACTGCGACAACCTTTGTCTATCGTAGCTACAGATATATCTTCTTCTTCTCTGGCCTGCAGAGAGCATTCTTATCTTAAAAGCTGGCCCGTCGTCCCACCATCGAGCATCCCAAGTAAGACCGCTCTACCACTGAAAACTACAATATTGCCAACTGTCGTTCGACACACAATGCAAGCAACCACTTCCAAATTGCATAGCAGTCTGGCATGAATTAAGTATAGATTTCGACAAAGTGTGGTGCTCACCCAATACTGAAAGCCAAGTATTCTGCCAGCTCAGAGTGTCTTTCTGGGTGCGCCCCAGTCCAACTCCGTCGTCAACACCAACCGTTCAGCTTGGGCTCGGCGATACATGGACCGATGTACAAATTTTCTGCCTTCGGACTTTACACAGTGCCTGGACGGAGAGGTCCAGTTCTGTTGATTGCAGTATCTACACAGGAACCACCGTCTTGGACGCAGCTGGAGCCGAATATTACGAAACTAGTGGCATCGCTGCATGTGACGCAGTTTCGAGGGATATCGAGTCCGATAAGCGCGGGAAAGTAAGACTTTACAATCGACAATCACTGTTAGTCATCGATTACTGTGGCATGAGTAGTAGTTTCTGTGGTGGTGGCGGTGGGAATGGTAGATTTGGCGAAAATGGCATTAAGCTGTCTTATTGAAATCGATTGATTGGAAGCAAACAAGACGAATCAAGCAGTCAATTAGCTCACAGGAAAGTGGATGTTGAACATCGCTGTGTGTATATATAGATAGAGACGGAGTAGTTAGTTATGTATGGAGTGTAGGTATACATTGTCATTTTGTTAGCTCAATCACCAAGTGTACCTTGAACAATGAGCATCGAGTCAGTTTCATTGGAAAGACAAACTGTCGATGTCGTCGATAAGAGCTTTTTGAGTGGGCCTGCAGAGTCCAACCATTCGACAAACACAGAATACAAAATCATCAGTTCCCGAGACGCAGACGTCACTCTCAAGTTTCTCGAGGATCACGATGCCCAGGTGGCACCTATATCGCCCGAATGTGAACGTAAACTTGCTCGCAAAGTAATGTGGATCATCGTGCCCTTGACCATGCTTATAGATATGATTCTATACGCAGACAAGGCCGCCATGTCTTTCGCAGCCATCTTCACGTTTTTCAAGGACACCGGACTCACGCAGAACAAGTACAACAATGCCAACACGTTGTTCTACGTCGGGTTCATCTTGGGCCAGGGAAATCTGTATTTCCTGCAAAAATTCCCAGTGGGCAGAGTTATGACGGTGATCACCGCGTTGTGGTGCATCATCATGTTCCTGCACTGTACCGCGTTCAACGTTAGCGGGGTTTACGCTTTAAGGTTCTTCCTAGGATTTGTAGAAGCCATCGGTGTGCCTGCGTTAAACATCACCATGAGTCAGTTTTTAACAGCAGAGGAGAAAGCAGCCACTGCTCCTATTTTCTATGCCAGTTGCCTGGGTGTGACAATTCCTGTGGGCTTTATCGCTTACGGTGTGTTGCACATCACCAGCACGTCCATAGCAAACTGGAAGATCTTCTCCATTATCATTGGATGCATGAGTTTCCTCACCACTGCAGTGGTCTTCCTACTGTATCCCAACAATCCCACAGATGCCAAGTTCCTAAGCACAGAGGAAAAGATCTGGGTCATCAGAAGAGTTCAGCACACGACTGGTTCGTCGATTGAACAAAAACAATTCAAGAAATACCAAGTTAAAGAAACATTGAAAGACCCCATCACCTGGCTGTTTGGAGGCTTCTTTCTGCTGCAACAACTAGCCAACAATCTTACTTATCAACAAAACTTGTTGTTTGAAGACATCGGTGGAATCACTAATTTGGATGCAACGCTGGTTTCTGCTGCCAGTGGTGGTTACAATGTTATTTGCGGGATCTTAGCCACCTGGTGGCTAATGTGGAAGAAGGACACAACTGCCTTTTCGGTGGTATTCTGGACAATTCCTTCTTTTGTCGGATGTATTGGCAGTATAGCACTTCCTTGGGACAATAAAATGGGATTATTGGCAATGATCTGTCTTGCCACGCCGTTCGGGGTTCCTTGGATCATGATGTTTAGCTGGAACGTTACTAGCTGCTCTGGCTACACCAAGAAACTGACCAGAAGTGCTGTAGTAATGTTCTTTTACGGTATCGCAAACATCATATCGCCACAGCTGTGGCAGCAAAGCAGTGCTCCCCGCTACAATCCTGCGTGGATCGTTCAAATTGTGTGCTCGTTCTTCATGGCTCCAGTGTTGACTCTAATAATATGGTATATCTTGAAGAAGAGAAACAGCGAGAGGTTAGCAGCACTGGCAAGCGGTGGAGACCCTCCCCTCGGCGTTGTGCAGCACGGCGGTGAAAAAGTGAAGGTCAATTTGGCGATGCTGGATCTCACCGACCTGGAAAACAAAGCTTTCATCTATCCGCTATAGACAGGGATAACGATAGATAGATAAATAGTAATAGGACCATAATATTCAAGACAACTCATTTCTAACGCAGCAGCTCTTCAAGAATCTTGTTGGCGCTTTCATTGTCGTTTGCATCCATTGACTTGATTCCTAGTCTCCTTAAGACTTCAACTACCTTGGCCTCTGCGAAGCCTTGCGACACGAATTGGTCTAACAGAGTCCGGTCAATTCCGTAAAGCGCAGCTTGATCGATAGATGTTTCTCCACTCGAAACGGAGTCCATGGGAGCGTACGTCTTGGTCCAAAAGGCAGCTGTGCTATTGAAAGATTCGCGGTTTCTGATGAAGTGCTGGGCAACTTCGGCGTCCTGTGGATCGTTTGGTTCAGGCGACTGCAATAAAGCCTGTAATGAGATTAGAGCCGACTTTAACGTTATTACTGGTGACCATGCATTTTTCAATATGTCTAGGCAGATGGCTCCTGTCACTGAAGACACATTAGGATGATAGACTTTGGTGTCAAACTTCATTTTAGGAGGCTTGAACGGATACTCCATGGGAACCTCAATGTCTACCAAAAACTTACCGTTCTCGTATGGTGTTCCTGGAGGTCCCAGAAACGATCCTTTCAAAAGATGAATGTCGTTCTCGTTCACCAGTTGCAGGTCAACTTTGGCCTCAGGATCGTCTTTGATCCCTTGCAATTCCTTCATAACTCTCTTTGCTCTTGACATGGCTACTTTGGTGCAGGATGGTGCTTTCTTAAAGGCTAAACTCGCGCTTGTATGGTCCAAATTCGTCAGGTTTACTAAGTTGATGGTCTAAAGTTCACCTACAATAAATGCCCTAAAACGAATTTATACTACTAAATTTACAGATCACGACTATGAAACTACAGTATCTCTCTGAGAGGGATGTCTTGAGTGTTGGGACGATTTTCAGACTCGGTGTTATCGTCAAAGCTTAAAAAGGAGTGGTCTCCTAACTTTCTGGGCTGAATGATGAGCTTGATGAGGAAAACGATGCCAAATACGATGGAAAATCCGGCCACGATCAGATATAGTACGCCCAGGGACATATTGCGCCCGCCTATGACACTGTTGGTGGTGAGTACAAGGGACTTGGAGCCTCCAAACAGGGTTACCGGGTAGTGAAGCTCAATAGCCATTTGATACGTGCCTTTTGGCAGCGTAGAGGTTTCGTTTTTGAGCGCCAATTTGTAAAATTTCGGCAGCCCCGCGGTACGCATCCATACTTGCAGTTCTTCCCACTGCGAGATATCTGGTATGTTGTCGTCGGTGTAACCGTCAGGGAATTTTTCGGCCCAGTTCGGAGGAGGAACGATCTGAGACGCATTGTAGCTGGTTTTCTTGTATCGGCTGCGATCGGCTTTCCACGCAATGTTCTTGTTGGTGAGTTCGTAGTCGAGTGCTGTGTCGTTGACAGCAGTGAGTTGCGACTGGAAAGTGTCATTGAAAAGCGAGTTGGCGATCAGCCCACATGGATACACAACCTTGTCGTTTTCGACCCGCAGAGGGTTGCAATCGGAAGCCAAGTCGTCCCCGTCTACAGCCTGGCCTTTCAACTGCTTTATATCGAACGATTGGACGTATTTGCGGTGGTTTTGGTAGAAGTTTGTGAGCTGGTAATACACGTAAACAGATTTCTTCAAGTTTGTGGGTATTTCGAACTGCAACTCGCACGTTGAGACTCCAGTGTCTAGATCTCTTTGTAGGCGCCATGCTGGCCGATTGGAAACCCTTTTCTTGAAGTGGAAGTGCACGTATTTCGACGGAATTTCGCTAAAAGACTGTGAGCTGGCCAGCTGCTCACAATAACTGTAATCGATACTCAGGTTCTGCACGTTGTTCGCCGTGATTATGAGTGCCACCCCAATGGGTGCAAAAATAGCACTCACCAGGATTAGCAAGGGTAGGACCGATTGAGGCGATAGAATCGGCTGCCATGCTTTGAGTCGCTGCTGTCTAAATGCCGTGTTGGGAGGTTTTCTTGATTTTGTCGTGAGCGAGTCATTCGACTCGAAATTTCCTCCACTCCGTTTTCGAAGCCACGCCATGATGATACTGGCAATGCCCTGGTAGTTTAAGGATGGAAACACACACTCAGGAACAGTTAAAAGCTGTTCATCTTCGAACAGTCAATCCGCTACGTTGTTTTACTAGTTGATTTGGTTTATAAATGTAACTAAGTACGAAAGGTGTAACACACCGCGAGCGAAATGGCCAATGACGGCTGGCTAACGACGACTGAGGATGTTCGATGAATGCTTGGGTCATTTACCTGTTGCAAGTGGAATCACAAAATTTGATTTAAAGTTTAGATGCCTTTCTTTTTATCATTATTTCTCAACATTTCCATAGATGTTCGAGTCGCATTAAAATTAGGCTTCCGACGCTACCAATTGACCTTCACCTTTTCCGTCAACCTTCACCGTGTCGCTAGCATTGATAATGTACTTTGAGAGGTGCTTGATGATGTGTTCAACCTCAGGAACATCTTTGACAAACGGAAGTGTCATGATCGAACACTCGGATGATTTGAGCAGCTCCGTGAAAGTTACAATGATACCCCAACAATGTGGCTTGTTGGTGACAACGCGTTCGAGCAACGTCCTGATGATGATTTCCTGTATTTCGGCAAAGCTGGGGCCCCACTCCTCGGACAAAAAGAGGTTTTTTAAAACGTAATTGAACCAGAGGGTGTGTGCATTTGGATAACGCAATTGATTAACAATTGCCTGCACAACGTGGAACCTAACTTCCGTAGTCCCCTCACTCAACATGCTGGCCAAAAGCGCATAGTAAGAGGACTTTGTGTTGAATATAGCGGTGGCGGTCGTCTTGTCTTTCTCCAGTGCTGCCTCAATCCCGACATGCAAGACAATAGCGTTGATTAGCTTGGTATCGACGGATACCGAGTCATAGCCGATACCGCTATCCTTCTGTTGGTCAGCCTTGAAAATACCGGTGGAAATTACTCTAAGGAGAGACGCACTTGGAATGCGCAAGTAGTTGTCGACTGGTTTCTTAAGGTTCTTCAGGTCTTGAACCGGATCGTAGAACACGTTAGGTACATGCTGACACGACTCAACGTCACCAATACTTAGCTGTGGGTCGTAAGGGTTTGGAAGAACCATTCTCTTAGGAATGGCACTCAAGATCACGTTGCGTAGTTGCATGTAAACATGTGGTAAATTGTTGAGCAACTCGTAGTGGTTCTCTACCAAAAATTCTGGAGCATCGTTCGCCACTGCCAAGAATACCCTAAGAGCGCCCTTGTAAACCACTGAAACAGCGTCGGGTACATCGTTCTTCTTCGTGTATTGAGCCATAAACTTGAGAAGGTCCGTGAACAGTAAGATCAACTTCGACCAACCAACTTTACCCGGAAGACTCAACATCTTGGGCAAGAACATTCTGTGTGAAATTAAAGTAATCCAAGCGAAGGAAAATCCAGGGTAAGCGATGGGCTGGAAAGCATGCAAGAACGACGCTATTATGTTGTAAAATTCTGGCGTGAATTCGATTAGCTCGTTTCTGAACTGTTGATCCTGAATTTTGATGAAGTTGTGACCACTGACATCTTCCCATTGGCACAGTAAGCTTGAAATCAGTCTAAAGTACGGCCTTTCATTGAAGCTATTGTCTGCCATGCCCTGGTCCTCGGAGAATACCATTGTGATCACGGAAATCATTAAACGGAGGTACTCGGAGCGACTCAATGCCGTAAAATCTTGCAGCACCAACAGCTTGACAATGAGCTTGCTAAAGGCATCTGTAGCGATGAAGACCTCGCTGGTAGGATCACTTTCCTTGAAGGACCCAACTGACAGTTCGATGGCCGCCTTGGTAAACTGAATCATGTTGTCAGTCGAGTTGATGACGCCCTTGTCCATCATTTGACGAATGAAGACGGTCACTTTGATATCATTTTCAGGCACTCTTTGAAGAAGTTTTACCCATTCAGTGAAGACAAGGAACATTTTCTCTTGATTGGTTGCCCCCGAAACCTTACTCAAAGGCAGCACCTGTGACTTTTCGAACAATTCGAAAAATGTATGTGTTAAGTCTGTGTTGACGTTTTTTAGGAAACTGATAGTCTGCAGGAACTCAGATCTCATAAAAAGTGGGGTGTCCGACAGAATTACATCTCGAAGCAAATTTACCGCAAATTCCACGGCACCTTCCATTCCGTTCTTCATTGCAACAACCAGTACACTATCGAGCTCAGGGGCATTGATGAGGTTCACTTCTAGCAGTGAACGTATCACCGGAACATTGAATTTTCTGGCATCGAGAGCGTAGACTAGCCACCAAACCACGTCCTTTCTTGCTACCACCGAAAGCGAGCAAAGTTTCTCCAACAACAAAGCAAGAACTTCTCTACAAAGTGGACTTTCGCTCGTGGCAAACATGCTATTAACAACGGCCTGGGATACCTTCAGCGCAAGCTGATCTTTCTGATTACTTCTGGAGATTAGGGTCAAAATTTGAAGTAAAATATCGTTGATATCATTATTTGGGCCCAAGGTTGCAAGAACCTTATTAGCGTTTTCCTTAATCTGAGCAACAAGATTGTCCATTAACAACACCAAAACCCTGTGACTTTGCTCTAACTCGGCCTGAACAGCAGCTTGAGGCTGCAGTTGTGGTGTACCTGGTTGAGACTGTCCTTGTGAGTGCTGCAATTGCTGTAACAGAACATGATTCTGTTGAGGCTGCTGTAGCTGTTGCAAATGTTGTTGGGGCTGTTGTTGAGTCTGTTGTTGATGATGTTGCTGTTGTTGTGATGGTTTTGGGTCTAGTTCTTGTGCCTCATCTTCAATTTCTCGTCCTTGCTCTTGTTCCAAGTCTTGCCGCTGTTGATTCTGAAATTGTTGTTGCTGTTGCTGTTGGAACTGAAGTTTTTGAAGTTGCTGAATCTGTTTCTGCTGTTCAAGCAACAATTGCTGCTGCTGTTGTTGTTGTTGTTGTTGTTGTTGTTGTTGTTGTTGTTGTTGTTGTTGTTGTTGTTGTTGTTGTTGTTGTTGAAGCTGCTGCTGCTGCTGCTGGCCAAACACTTGTTGCGGTGGATGGCTGGGAGGTCCTTCAATAGGTAAGTTGGAGCTTATCAAGCTACTGCTCCCAAACTCCTCATATATTCTAAATTGCTGGGGTGTTACGCCGGTAGCCTTCAGGCCCAATGGCTCAGGTAAGTTCAGCGAGTAGGGATTGGCATTTTGAGCAAGGAAGACCTGGTCAGATCTTCTTTCTTTGTGATATCTTCTTACCGCGACAGCTTGCATCAATTGCTCTCCTATGTAGAGAGTGGCCTTGTCCATAGTAGCTTTTTCGATAAGCCCTAGCGCTACTCCAATATTGTCATTTATGGCAGTATTGAGTTCTTCAATAGGCGAATTGGGAACGTTCATCAAGTTGGGTGCAAGAGACTGTGTGGTGGAGCGGATGGTATCTTTTAGGAGTTCGATGGAAGTTGCTCGCGCCAGGCTTTGAGCCAAGTGCCTCACCATAGTCACTGCAGCAGTTTTAAGCTTCATTTCATTGACCTCGGTAGCAAAATCTTTCAGTATGATGTTGACTGTAGTGATTACTGCTATACTGGAGGATTTATCCACTGCAGGAACGAGAATCTCTCTGACTGACTTGGCAATAGCCATCTGAAAAACGCGCTTGAGATCAGGGTGTGTGACGAACAACGTGTTTCCAAGCAATGTGCTAAATGGAGTCTCGGTTGTTTGGGCATCAGTGACCGAAGATTGATCAACATTGACCGAGTTTCCTACAGAAAGACCTCTTTGCCGCTGTTGTTGTTGTTGTTGTGTCACCTGTTGTTGTTGTTGTTGTGTCACCTGTTGTTGTTGTTGTTGTTGTTGTTGTTGTTGTTGTTGTTGTTGTTGTTGTTGTTGTTGTTGTTGTTGTGTCACATGTTGCTGTTGTTGTTGCTGTTGTGTCACCTGTTGTTGTTGTTGTTGTTGTTGTTGTTGTTGTTGTTGTTGTTGTTGTTGTTGTTGTTGTTGTTGTTGTTGTTGTAGGACAACAAACTGTTGTTGGTATTGTTGCATGACTAAAACTTGTTGTTGCTGTTCAGCTTGCTGCTGTTCAGCATTCGAAACTGTCAGTTTGCCACTTAATATTGCAACGCTATCAGCGTTGTCCATGTAGTCTGCAGGTTCGACGTCGCTCAGCTTCAGCTTCAAGGTCTGAAATAACACCTCAACTTCAAATGTCAAATTCAGCTTCCAGCCAGCTTTTTGGTTGAGTTCCCGCAAGACTTTCAGAATCCCAAGTGTCCATGGATTAGGTGGTTTGAAAACCTTTGAATTCGCTGCCTGTTGAAGAACTTTTGTCACAAAAGGTACAACGACGTCAAGGCGATTTCCACGGTGAGAATCAAGCAGCAGTTCGCGGAAGGCAATGTTTTTGTGCTTAATAGGTTTGTTACAAGCAAGTGTTACATTCCCAAGCCAAGCCCCCAGATTCTTCAGGTAATTCTTTTCATTAGATTGAATGTCTTTAGTTGACAACAATAGTAGCAACTGTTTATAAGTCGCGTTCAGCACATACTCGAAAAGAAGATCAGAATTCAAGGAATCCACCAGCCTTGCATATAATGAATGATAATTTGGCTCGGTTTTGGCACGCTGATTAACCAAATAGTTTGAAAACCATCCGTAGTAAGCATCCTTGAGATTTGACTTAAATGCTTCGATCTTACCGTCGAAATTATCATCCGTTATATTGTTCACAATAAACAATATTTTTTCGGTCACCTCTTTGGGTGGGCTTTCTTGAATGACTTGTGGGGGAACTTCGTTGATGGCAAAGAAATTCAGCGTTACCATTTCAGGAGCCCTGTGCATGTTATTTTGGCCATTAGTCGATCTTTCAGATGACTGGGCGGCCGCTTGACTCAAAGTCTGATATATTTGAGGTTGGCTTTGAAGAGCTGGAACGGCTTCTATCAAATGTCTGCAATACTGTGGAAACTCCTTTAGCCTCATCCGAAAAGCATAGAGGGCTTGGACAGAGAATTTGAACATTTTCGAGTCTGTGCCATCTGTTGCAAATTTAAGAATAACGTTAAATGCAATGTCCAGTACAAATCCCCTCAGAAGCTGAAACAGAATCATTGATCCGAAAAGTACGGAGGTAGTGGCTAAAGCTTCCAGAGGGTAGTCTTTGAAAAAGTTGGACTCCGCAATCACAGCGTGGGTCATGCAAGCAAATAAATCCTGATCGTGAGGATCGTCACTGTCCCTCAACTTCCTCAGAATTTCTATGATATCCTTTATGGCTAGCTCTCCGCTATACATCTTTTGAAGATAGTTTTGCATCTCCTTTTCAACGTCCATTGGAATTGGGACCAGTTCACCATTAGCTAGAATCGCTTTGTCACGACCGTACCCAAAATTTATTAATCTTGGGAATGCTATAATCAAGGAAAACTGGATGTTTTCCAAGCTCTCCCTTTGAGCCTGACTCAAGGGAAATGAGCTCAACAGATTAATGATATAGTGTAATGCAGAAAGATCGTAAACTTTTGATGAATAGAAAGGTGTACTTGATTCCTCCATTTTGGACTGAAGCTCTAGGAACTGAAGTATAAGTGGTACAGTCTCATGTGTCAGGTTCTTTTTCATAAATTCTTCGAATGCCGTCCAGCCAGCTCTCTTCGCACCTGGGGTGGCCTTTAGTGCCTCGATAAATGGTAAATTGTTCAAAAACCGTTCCAGAAGGTTTTCATCGAATAGGATCTGCAAAAATGCGGAAAGCGGGGAAGATTCTTTACGGATAATCACAATTCCGAGATCCACCACCTTTTCAAATGGTAACTGTTTTATGAGATCGGCCATAGACATTGGCATTTTCTCGAAAACTTTCACGAGTAGCGTTATGAGTAGATCGTCAATTACTGCGGCGTTGTCTACGAGCAATGAGAAGTGTTTTGCCTCTGTCATCACTGCCAACGCTAAATACTCTGGAGCCAGATCGTAATCTTCGAAAAAACATTCCTGAAAGATAGGTAGCATAGGATTGCCTGCAAGCTCTTCTCTTAACAGAAAAATTTCGACATCAAGCCGCGCAATTGATTTGAGCGACAACAGCGTTTTTGTCGAGTTGGATCTCAAATTGATATTGGAAATTTTCTTGATATCCGGCATGCTTAAGAGATCAATGCAACCGTGCTGTAAGTTCCATTTGTGAAACAGGAGGCAGATGTTGAGTTTGAACTGGATATTCCAATCACAACTCAAAAATTGATCGATAAGGCGGCCCCGATTCAAAGCTGCCAGTAGCTGGTTTAGTGATGCTAATGAAACAGAAATTGGAAGGTCCAAGAAGTATTTTGTGGACATCAGATTGAAAACGCGGTTCCAGTTGACAGCTGATGGACCCAGTTTGGTGAAAGCATTAGATAGTTGCGTCCCTCTTTGGCCTGCCTCTCCAATTGCTACCGGTGTGAACCATGCTGAGTTTGGCTGTTGAATGTTTTGCGAGCGTGGGGCTAAAATTTCTGATAAGATGAGAGCGACAAAGTCGTTGAGATTTTCACCGCCCAGAGAGCATAGGAGGCTGCTCAAGTTCTGCTCCAGTGTGTTGGGAGACTCAGTGGTCAAAAAGTGCTGCAAAGATAAGGTTGCGTTCATTGTGAGGTTTTTTAAGCGGGTGAGACGGTCGATTGTTGGAGCAGGGTCTAGCAAGCTGATAGTCTGCTGGTCGTTTGTGGGATCTAGTGTTTGCAAAAAATCCTCCAACTTCAAGCCGGTTTGAGCTTGAACTTCGGGATTCAAAAAAACGTTATTCCTGACTGTCTTTACGACTTCTGGGCTCTTCAGCGGAAGATCTTGAAATAGACGGTAGAGCAGACGATGCAGTAAGTTTGCTTTTGGGTCGAGTTTGCCGTGCTGTTTGATGTGCACAGACGCTAGAGGCAGTACTTTTTTCCAGTAATTTTCGTAAACCTGGATGGGAGATCTCTGTAAAAGGTCGTGAATCTCTCGTTCCACTTGCCTGTAATTTTCTTGGCTGAGACTTGTGATGAGAACACTTATTTGTGCGATAGAAATCTGTGCAGTGATCTTTGCAGCCTCTAATTCCTCCGTAATTCTATTGTTATCCAAGTGCTGCTTTGGAAGCATGTATTACAGTAAGAAGGAATGGCTAAAAACGATTCGACGTTAGTGCAAGTTCTGAAAGAAACCGCTTTTGACGATGGCCTCGCAAAGTATAATAACGCAACTTCTACCAGTCGTCAAAATCGCGAAAATGGGTCGAATTGAGCCGTTGGAAATAGGTAAGAACCGCACTCAATGCGTAGTGTTCTGAGTAATACGTACTAATAGTATCCTAACGACTCTATAGTGAGTGTTGGGTCGTTTGTGTGGTGTTTTTGTTTGTCAATTAGGTTACTCCTTGAACGAAACTGTACACCGCCTAAACAGGTTCAAATTTCTGACTATATCTCTACCTACTAAGAATCGCACTGGATATGATGAAAATTTTGCCCGTAGTAGAATTGAGATTACCCGGCCTTGGATGCGTCAGTGTTGGAAAAAGTGATATGCGCTTTGAAGAGAGAGGACGTTAATTTCGGTAGTGACAGTGCCATAGTTTACCTGGCTTTTATCTTGTGTTGGTGTCCTTGAGACGTTTTATTGAGACTGAGGAATTCTTTGGGGGAGGGGGTTGTTTATAGTGGTTTAAGAGTTAGCTAGGAGATTTGGAGCCATCGGAAAAGACGTGTGTGATCGTTGTGTAAAATAAGGGAAGTAATGATGCTTGACTACCAACAGATGCGCCTAAACAGAACTTTTTTTTGCATTTGGAATTTTTTGACTTTTTGAAAGCTCGCAACTGGTTCAAAAACATTAAAATTTATAGGGCTTTGTCAAAAAATTTGACACTGATAAGACTGGGACGAAAACGAAGCAAATCTTTTAGCAATGAGCTTTTAAAAGTCCTCCGTTTCAATATTCACCACATTCTCGACAAATGTCACCGAGAACAAAGATTGAGACGAGGACCATTTTTTCTAGTCTACCGTAGTATAATAAAAATGTGTCAAACCGAATCAAAGACTCGTCAGGCAAGAATATGAACTAAGACACTTTGTCGCGAAAGAAACACAGGCACGATCACATACCCTCTACATTGCCGCCAAGAACCGGAAATAGCTCCAAAATAGTCGCTTAGTGTTGCCCATTGTAGTGAGCTCTTTGTTTTAATGAGAACAATAATCACCACATACGAAGTATTGAATATTACCAAATATTGATACCTGATCAGCGCAACTGCTCACTAACTTCAAATCCACTCTGTTCGAGACTCACCCTCATATGCCCTACCAGCCATCAATAAGTAGGTTTTTCAAGTCTTGCTCCAAACCCTCGACTTCCAGCGATTCAAAAAACCCACAGGATGGGCAAACGTCAGATTCCAATTTAGCTGATTCCAAACAAGTGGGCCACGCCTCTGCTACCCCACCGGCGTACCGCCCTGGAATTGCTCAGAGTCTAAACACAAGCAAAGCGGCTCTCAACGAGTTTACTTTTTTGCGTGCTAAAACTCAAAGTGAGTCGGAAAATACTGCGTTGCAGGCACGCGATTCTACTGACTTTTCCGCCAAGCTGTCTAAAGCATTGCTAAAAAGAGCCTCTGGTGTAATTGATAAAGCTCACGATGCTGAGAGTGTGGAAACTTATCAAGATGCCTCACCACCAGCTGAAAAAAGACCAAAAAATGGCAAACTGACACCTTTAGATCAACAGGTCAAAGACCTGAAATTACAGCACATGGATAAAATCCTAGCAATCCGAGTCGGCTACAAGTACAAGTTTTTCGCTATGGACGCTGTTATAGTCAGTAAAATTCTTCAGATCATGTTAATCAAGGGCAAATTGACTTTTGACGACTCGAACTTGCAAGATTGTTATTGCAAGCAACTTGCATACTGTAGCATCCCAGATAATAGACTACAAGTTCATTTGCAAAGGCTCCTTCATCACAATCTGAAGGTTGGTGTTGTTGAACAAGTGGAGACCCAAGCTATAAAAAAGGTGACCGGAAGCAGCAGTGGTGTATTCCGGAGGCAGGTGGATAAAGTATTTACCAAAGCCACCTTTTCAATCAATGAAACATTTAGTCGCACAGACATAAGTCATAGAGATGATCTGAATACCATCTGGGCCATAAGAGTAGATGAGGACGATCATTTCAACCATTTCTGGATACTCTCCGTTCAGCTAACAAGCGGAGAAGTGATATACGATAGTTTCAGCGACAGACGAAACTGTAAAATTGAGCTTGATAAAAGAATATCTTACCTCAAACCTATCGAAATTGTATCATCAAGAAAACTGCCCGAGTCTATTACGGGCTTTGTCAAGAGTCGACAGCCTCAAGTGCAGTTCTACGACACTGATTATCTGGTACCGGAGGACACTAATTCTGATCTGTTGAAAGAGCTGAATCTGACAACAGAAATTCTCGATTTACGAGCAGTGATCAAAAGATATTTAGAGGCTTACAACACAGAAAAAGTTGTTGATATCTCTCAAAATTATAAGCCATTCAGCTCAAAAACTCACATGGTACTTTCTCCAAACACGTTGGATAGCCTAGAAATCTTCGAAAATCAAACCGATCAAACCCGCCGTGGATCTCTCTTATGGCTACTTGATCACACCAGAACACCTTATGGCTATAGACTACTGCGAGATTGGATCTCAAAACCCCTTATCGATAAAGGAATTATTAACGAGAGGTTAGATGCCATAGAATGTGTGAAAGAAGAGATCACAAATATTTTCATGGAGGGTTTGGGCAATCTTTTGAAAGATACACCGGACTTTTTAAGAAACCTGAATAGAATCTCTTACGGACAGACTTCGAGAAAAGAAGTCTTCTTTTTCCTGAAGCATCTTGATATTATTGCCAAACACTTCAAAAGTCATCATTTCTATTTTCAAGAACAAGTTATGGCCCCAAGCGGTAGGGTTCATCAGAAGTCTAATTTGCTTGCGTCACTGTTGAGTCAGTTGAACGATGCGTTGCAAAAGCTTGATGTTAGCAACCTTCTTGCCATGATAAATGTTGGGGCCATTCTGGATAAGGACAAAGAAAAGCGATGCGTAGAGTTTTTCAATCTTAACAGGTATGACCACTCCGAGCCCATTGTTGCTAAACTGAATGACATCGAAAATGTCCGACAAGAACTGCACAAAGAATTGGATAGCATACGGCGGCTTTTGAAAAGACCTAGGTTTTTTTTTAAGGATGAGGTAGAGTATTCGATTGAAGTTCGTAACACTCAACTTGCGGGCTTGCCAAAAGATTGGATCAAAGTTAACAGTACAAAAACCCTAAGCAGATTCAGAACTCCGGAGACAACAAAGCTCGTCGAACAGCTAGAATACCACAAAAACGTCTTGAAAATCGTTTGCGATGAACACTTCAAATTGTTTGTCAGTCGCATTAGCCATGAGTACCACTTATTAAGAGAGATTGTTGGTAATTTGGCGGTATTCGATTGCATTCTCTCCCTGGCTGCAACGTCTTTCAATCGAAAGTATGTGCGCCCCAAATTTGTCGATGGCACACGGCATGTGAAGATCAGAAACGGAAGAAATCCGATCATTGAGTCACTGGATGTAAACTATGTTGCAAATGATATCCACATGAGAGAAGACGAAAATAAACTCATGATTATCACTGGTCCTAATATGGGCGGCAAGTCGTCGTTCATACGCCAAGTGGCCCTCATCAGCATCCTGGCACAGATCGGCTCATTTGTACCGGCAGACAGCGCTGAGATGCCCATGTTTGAGAGCATCTTTACACGTATTGGAGCTCACGATAATCTCATTAGAGGTGACTCTACTTTCAAGGTTGAAATGCTGGAGATGCTTGACATCATTCAAAACTCTGGAGAAAACTCTCTACTTCTTTTGGATGAAGTAGGAAGAGGAACCGGTACGACAGATGGCATCAGCATTTCATATGCGATCATTAGGTATTTTCTTGCCTCAGAAAGCAAATGTCCTTTCATTCTTTTCATTACACACTACCCAATACTAGGATCTATCAAATCACCATTACTGGATAATTACCATATGGCCTACATTGAAGAAAAGCGCCCAGGTGAAAACTGGCCGACCGTTGTATTTCTTTACAAATTGAGAAAGGGTTTGGCCAGCGATTCGTATGGTCTCAATGTCGCGAGGCTTGCTAGGATTCCCACCGAGGTAATAAACAAAGCATACGACATTTCCCAGAGATCGAAAGCGGAGGTAGAAAGTGAAGGGGCCCTACATTTTGCCAGTATGTTGAAGTCCGTTATTACCACAGACTCTCTATCTTATCGTCAAAAATTGGCAAAGCTGTTAGATATCTAGAAGAAGTATGTAGAATTCTTGTCTCGGGCTTTCACCAACTTTGGATTTGCACACGTTAAACTCATCAACATTATATCGTATCGTTACCTCTTGAAGAAGCGATGGCTGTTGCTTCTCGACCGATTTTGGTTTGGTGTGTATGACACTTTACCGTAAGAGTTCTGGTCACCATAGATCAATGAATTGTTATCCTGCTTCATCAAACTCATGGAGTTGAAATCGTGAAATGGGTCATCGTCAGAAACAATGTCGTCTCGTTCGACCTTTTCTTGAAACATAATCTTTTCTTGCTCGGCAACCTCATCTACTACCGCATTTCCGCCGGTCGTGGTGCCCTTACCATTCCCCTTGGTGTTGCTCGTCAACTTTGTGAAGTCATACCCATTTTCGGTCAAGACAGGAATGAGAGGTGGTTCCTGATTCCTCAAAAGTGACCACTGCACTTTCTTGAAAAAGGGATGCTTCTTGATGTCGCTAGCCCCAAATCTGGACCCCAATCTTTTACTCTCATTCTTGAGGAGCAGTTTTCTTATCAGGTCTTTGCAGCTTCTCGAAACCTCGTTATTGTTCGGAAATACGACATCGTTCTTCAAGACGTTGGAAAACGTTTTGTTTGTATTATCACCTTTGAAGGGTGTGAATCCAAACAACATTTCATATATCAAGATACCAAGGGTCCACCAGTCAACAGCTGCCGTGTGACCGTTGCCTCTTATCACCTCCGGTGCTAAGTATTCCTCCGTACCCACGAAAGAATTTGTTCTAAAACCATCTGAGCATATCTTAGTGTCGAGCAATGAACTTTGAGCTGAACCTTTGACAACGGGGTCCTTGGTATCTTTAGCTTGAACAGAGAGGTCAAAATCAGAAAGCATGATGTGTCCTGATCTATGCAAGAGAATGTTTTCAGGCTTCAAATCTCGATAAATGAAGCCCATTAAATGCAAATACTCGATGGCAGCAGTAACTTCACTGGAATAGAAGCGGGCTTCGTCTTCTTCGATGCATTTTGTCTTCCTGGTCTGCAAGGCCCGGAAAAACTCACCACCCATACAATATTCCATGCACAGGTATAGATAATCCTCCGATTGAAACGAGTGGTAAAGAGTAACGATGAAGGGATGGTTGCTGGTAGCCAATATCTCTTGCTCAGCTAAAATCCTTTTGATTTTTTTTCTCTTAATCATTTCGGCTTTGCTGAATATCTTGAGCGCGTAAAGTCTATTCGTCTTCCTTTCTTTGACCAGGTATACTTTACCTACATCACCTTGTCCAAGAAGCTTAATCTTCTCAAAGGATGTAGGCCCAACGATGACTTCTTTGAACTTGCTGCTAAAGGACTTGTTTCTCAGGCGGCGAGATCGCTGTGGTCCTTCCACCTCAACCGCAAATGGTGCGATGGGTGACGTTTTAGCCGAAGAAGGTAGTAAAGGTGAACCGCGTTCTCCGTCAATATTTTTTGCTCCAGTAGGCGAACTCTGCTCTGTTTGCAAAGCGTTCGGCTCTGAGGCTACTCTCCGCAAAATGGGCTTTGAAGATTGGGTATTCATTCCGGGAGGGGGCAGCGGTGACATTTCTACCTGTCCAGAATCAGAGTCGCAGTCTTGTTTAATCACAATGTTAGGATGGAAAGGTAATCTCTCAGGGATTATCCGGGGACTGACAGATGATGCGGAGTAAGATGCAACCGGAGCTGTTAAAACCTTTCCGGTCGGGTGCTTGGGGACTGCGGGCGAACTGAGTGGCTCCGAAGACTTGAAAACGTCGACTTCCTCATTTTCATTGATATCGTTCAGAGACTTATTGCTGGCATTCTGGTAGCTGTTGTGAAAGTACGACGTGACACCAGTGGAGCTTGTTGCAGGTGGAGTCATTAACACGGTGGAGTCTTCGTAGCGCGTCCCGCTCGATAGATTTGCCGGATCGAATTCTTGTGATGAAAACGCATGTGGAGGGAGGCCTTGGCAGGCGAAGTAGGGATTGCTACTTCGAACAGTGTCAGACCTATTATTACGCCTATCTGAAGCGGGCCCATGTCCATCAGCGGCGCCCGCGGGGGGACTTCTGGCGTTGCGAGAGGTCTTGGCATTCGGCGACATCATGTGACTCGGCATGATAGGCGTGGACGGCGATCTGGCTCTGCCCAATGTCGTTTCGAAACGGGCGCTTCCAACTTCTTTGCGAGCAGCAGCAGCAAGTACCGGACCTTCTATCCCATCAGCAACCTGCAATGCACGTAAAGATGGTGAGTTCGACGACGTTGCTGTAGGAGGGTCGCACGTGACCTCTGTGGCTGTCGTTGTTGCAGCAGGTCCGCGGTCTGGCGACGATTTTTTGAACATTTTGCGAAGACGTATGGACAGTTTCTCAACTTGCTGAGTTTCAGCGGGAAACTCTATAGATTCCGACAACGTTTCTGTCGAGTCTGTTGGTAACGGTGCCTCCGCGTTAACCGACTCCGCACGTGACAGCGGCTCATGCTGCGGTTTCGCTGGCAGAATAGTCGATCCAGCGACTGATCCAGCATCAGCTCCTGACCCGCTAGGTTTCCTGAAAGACCTCGGTATCAGTTTAGAGAGCGAAGCGCTTCTTGAGCGCTCCTCGTTGCTGCTGTTGACGCTGCTTCCATTGACTGGACTTGGCTGCGATATTGCCTGCAAATTGTCCATGAAGCGGTCTGAGAAAGAGGTGTTTGGAGGAGTTTCAACAATGAAGCCGAGACCTGTTTAGTTTAGCGGACCAATCGCTATTTGAGTGAGAGTTTCAGGGCGCTGATTGTCGAGTTTAATGGTTCATGAGTGTGAGTTTGTAAATGTACCTATAACTTATAGTTTCTAGAATACGTAATAAACCGCTGGAAATTTGGACAAAGAGGTCACGTGAATGTGTTGAAAGCAGGGTTTCAGGAAGTCTTAGGCAAGTTTGAGTAGTTTAAAAAGAGCAAGCGGTTGGACATTAGTCTGGCGACTCGTTATGGGATCGAGAGACGTACAGCTGAGAGGTTTGAAGACCCCGTAGAAAACGATCTAATGTACCCGTCGCCCGTTGAATTCTTTAGAGTTCCTATAAAGCGAAACCTGGGCGTATCATGATCAGAGCTTACTATGGGTGTCACTGCTGCTGAGAATACCGATTTTCTATACAGGTGTGAACTCCAAGTTATTGTAGAGGTCGTACATAGTGAGCATACATGATGGTCTGAGATCTGCTCTTCAGGAATAGTCAGCCCTGTTCAAGGCCAATTTGGACTGCTAGGAAGCGCGTGAGATGATGTGTATCTGGGTTTTGGTTATAGGAGCGTTGGTAGGTTCTGAGTCAAGATAGAGTCTTGTGCATACATATTTGCTCTTTCAATCTGGCGACAAAATCGTAAATGACTTTTTTTATAAGTCTCTACGTTATAAAATCCACCGCTGTTGCCGAATGCTTGTTGAATCAGCCGTTGTCCTGCTCCGCTCGAGCAGCCTGCTGTTTTCATTGAGACGTCTGCAATGTGTCAGATTAGTACAAAGTGATATATGCAAACTACTGTAGAGCGGTAGCTCCAGCACGGTTAGCTACCATGACACCCGCGTAACGATAGTAGCACTAAATTAAATGTCCTGGCTTCTTTCAAATGTTGAGACTCCGGTGGGGTAGCGTGTCTAGGCCCTTTCCTTCCGGTCACCTCAGAAGATCACGGTGAAGCTATTTGACATTGTTTGCGCATTGATCGAAAAAGCTTCATTTAACTCAAACTAGTAATGCCTTGATGTAAATTGGCAGCCATAAATGTCCCGGGAGATCAGCCTGAGCTGTTTGACCAATGAATATCTACGCCTAAGCTGCTAAGACATGACGAAATAGTTTACTTAATGCAAATTCAATGCTTCCAACGGCTAAAAAAAACAGTATACCTCCTGCCACTATGCATCAGACCCGTTAAATGGTCTTTTTGAAGGACAAATCTCGACTCGGGTGTATTACAGGAGACCCGGACTGGCATACCGAGCACGATCACGACCTACGTCTTGCCTTCACCAGTCACCAATAAACTCGTTGAGCGGCCGAAATCCAGTGCACGGAGCACAACGATAGAAAAAGTTGTGATAATATTTTCCGGTGGCTAAGTGTCCGCTTCTGAGAACCACCGAGGCCATTGTCAGGGCCACTTTACGCCAAGTGAGGAGGTAACAGAAGATTTGGAATGCTATTCTTGATGTAATATATGTGGCCACAGTTGCGACACACCATCTCGCCTTCTACTATATTGGTCTGGATCAGCAATGTATGCAGGTCTCTCAAAATAACCATATCTTCCTCTGACAACTCTTCATCGGCGAACTCCGGTTTTGATGGAGGCAGGCTGCTGTTACCCAAATCAGCAGCAACGCTTACGACAGCTGGCCAGTCAACACGGTCAATGATTCGAAGTAAAAACTGCGGATTGAATTCTAAACTTTCATCCTGTTCTAACTGACACTTTTCACCATTAAATTTAAGCGGGAAGTTGTCGTTACTTCTATCACAGTCTTGCACCGAGCACTTCAAGAAATTGGATGTGAGGAACTTCATTATTAGCGGTTAGAGAAATACAAACAACACTGGAGAGACTGAGCGTTGGATATTTTTGTTTGAATGGATGCTGGATACATCGAGCTCATCGCATTCAATAGTCGACTTCAAAAATTTTTTTAGATTTTAAGTCGGCAACTGCTCACGAGTAGCGAATCGAGAAGAGGATCAAATGAATGTCGCATTTACGAAAAGTATGGAGACAGCTCTATGCCACTGGTTCCTATGTAGAGAGCCACTCTCGCTGGCTGTGTGAATATGGCATCGTAGCAGTTGCTTATACTGCTACCATTGTGATTGGTATTTCTCCAGAATATATACATGTTAAATGTTGTCCACTTTAAAGGCTTGCTGCCCGAACGTCGCATATATCAAACGATAATAAAGCAGAATGCGTAACGATTTGTATCCAGGCGATAGTTTTTCGTGCTTAAGTGAAATATTGCCGTGCATATCAAAGGGTATCACGAGTATTTCAATTGTTTTCGGGTGAAATAGTTCGCTGTCATATCTCTGAGCTCTGAGTTAAACGTTGCCTGGCAGTTTTAATCTTACTCAGTCCCGGGCCATCTACTCCAGTTCAAGAAAGTTTTTTCGTGTTCAGCGAAAAGCAGACGTGATTTTGCTCGTTGAAGAAAGGCGAACATGTCCTTTTCGAAATGCGCGGATGAAGTTGGCAAATGGCTTCGTGATTCAACACTTCATATCCGGCAAATGCAGATACGAAGGGCTGGGAAACCAATGAAAAATTAGGCCAAGCTACCAGAAAGTAGCAAGGACGTCTTTTTTGGGGGGTCTCTATGCAATGTTATCTCAAAAAAATTCCTTTTCCAAAATGATTCGTCCATCAGCGATGCCTGTGTCGCTGGTTATTTTCCTTAACCCGGATGTTTCGATATAGCACCCAGAACAGCCATCACCTCTGGATTTTGACTCACCAATCTATAACATTCATCTCTATTGCGCTCAGAGTTTATCACCTGGCTCACGGACTCTTCGCTTCCCGAGTCTTCGTCTGACAAAATAATCTGCACTTCTTTTCGGCCCGAGGGACCGCTGATGGCCACGCAATTGGTACGAATCATAGAGACAAGTCGCAGAATAGAATCGTAATTATAAGCATCGGACGCTGCCCGTAGGTTACCTTTCAGTACATCAAGGACCGTGTCAAGGGAGACCATCACGGGTTGTTCTTGACTATGACTTTTGAAGAAAACACGACGTCTTGGATTATCTGAATTTAGCAGAATTGAGGCATAAAGCTTGAAAAGGGATTTATCGTTGCGGCAAGATCTCACAAGGTCTCGATAGAAGGCTTCAGAGTCGCAATCCCCAGCACTCTGAAAAAAATGCAAGTTATCGTAGAACCAGGAACGAAGTATAGAACGGAGGTCACCTGGAGTGATGCTGCGATAAAGCCTCTTGAAATCAGCCACTGTTCTTAGTTCATTCTTGTCCAGCGTTTGACATATAATTTGGAGGTTCTTTGGGTAGTGAGCCCAATTAGGCATGTGAAATTGCTGCGATCGGCTCAGATTTATGACCAAGCTTTCGAACTCCTGGCTCCAGGTTCGATAAAAAAATTTCGGAGACGGTTTGTTCAAGTTTTCATTTCTTAAAGCAGCTGACCCTCGTCGCAGTTCATTCACCTCGGCATTGTAGTGGAGCGACCCCGCAGGATCCTTGTGCGCTGCAGCATCGCAGTAAATGTAGTAAGAGTACAGTAAATGGAATAAGGACATCTTAACGTGTTGAATGTGGCATGTCGTGGGAGGACAACTTTTGTGCAGCAGAATCTCGCCTGATTTATAATTTTTAATGGGACTGGGCAGCTGCGAGCCTGCACAAAGTTCCTCGAGCTCAGACTCGCTTGGCGGTCTCGTATTTTCGACGTATTCGTGCAAGGCCTTTTCGCGAGCCATGCTTTGGAGTGTCGAATATGACATGATTCCTACCAAAGTCACCACATTTGTGGCTACGAACATTACGTTTCCCGGGGCATTAAAATATCGCCACAGAGTAGAGCTAGTCCGTGTAGGAGGAAGCATGTTCCTGAAAGCTCTTTGGCGTTGAAAAGATCTGGAATTTCGAGTACAAGTGTGCACATTTTTGCATGGCCAATTCAGTCGTCCAAGAAGGCTCTTGCGTCTCAAACTTCGCAAAATTTCGCACATAAAGTGTTCTCACCTTTCGGCGCTCGCCTGGCCAATAGAAATTCAATTTTGAGCGAGAAGTTGTCTTGTATATTTTCTGCTTTCTTCACTTGTAGTTAGTTTATAAGAATATCTATCATAATTGATAATTTTCAGTTCACTTGTATAGCCAGATTCTGAACAATGCGAAGAATATTGAATATCGTCTCTCAAGAACCATTTGAAAGACCATGCTCTACGCTGTAGTTTCTGCCACGCTCTCTGATAATATCAGTCAATTTTCGGTTCACGATACCGATTCAGAAGTTGCAGATTATGCGCTGGAAATAGTATGCACGAACTGTCGAGAGAAACATGATTCTTTGGTAGTGATGAATCGCCTGGAAAAGTACGATATGAACCATGGGAAAGGCGAGGCGTCTTTGGTTATGAAGTGCAAATTCTGTGGCAATCAATGCACCGTGAACTTGGAAAAAATGGAGGAAAAGCTGTACAATCTGGACGTGGACGGAAACGGCGAGGCAGTTGAGAAAGTCAAGCTTCAAAGAAAGAAACAGGGCATAAAAAAAGTGGACTCTTCCAAAGCGATAGTTCTAGCTTTGGATTGCCGGGGCTGCGAAGTCACCGGGCTTGATTTTTCAAATTTGAGCTTTGACGTCCAATTGACGTCGGGAAACACGATGCAAGCAACGTTTGAGGACGAGAATGAATGGTACGATTATGACGACAATTCTGCGGAGGAGGTTTCGATAGTAGACCTTCAATTTGAGCTGGTGAACGGTAAGTGATGAGGACAACTCTTGAGAAGAGAAGTGAAGTAGTGAGCTTTGCGGACCATTACTTTGAAACAGAAGGCTTGAAAAATGGCTAATCCGTGATGCTGACTACTAAAAAGCATATTTCATCTTTTTATATGGTTTGAAAGTTCCTTATATCACAATTATAAGTTGCACTAAATAATAGCACAGTGCCTAGACCAACAGCATCAATACTATCGCTGACAATGCATTAAACCAACGGTTAAACAAAGAGCTCTTCCCAATAGCGGCTCCCTGGTAGGTTGTTATAACCGGAGTGGTGACCCACGTCGACGATAGTGTGCCTGTTGTCACTTTGGCTGTGAAGCTTAATTGAGACGCCGACTGCACAATCACTTCAGTGGAATACGTGGAGACAGGAACCTTTGTACTGATCATCATTGTTGTTACAGTTGGCATTACTGTTGATCTTGAGCTGACGACAGTCACTAATTGGCCATTGCTGCTGGTTAAGATTGATGTGAATGGTAAAACAGTGGTCACTAAGGTAGTCGAGGATGTGCTGTATGTTGTGGCTCTTGAGCTTGTGACAACCGTCTGAACTGGGCTCGAAGAATCAACTGTAGAAGTTGAGGCTGCAGACTGCGAACTTGGCGATCCTGAGCGAGCTGCGATGGTACTGGACCCTGATAAGGGACACCATGTGGTATACTCGGTGACGATTCCATTGCTCGTTGTTGTAACGATCTGAGAGGCATAAGACAATAGCGAGCAGGTTGAACAGGTTCTGATCAAGGTGATACTCATTGTAGTAGTAGCGGAAGGCACACAAGATGTACAGCTTTCTGTATCAACTGTTGCGGAGGAGGTCAAACTTGCTTCAGGAGAGGAACTAGAACTACTAGCATCAGAGTTCAGGCAAGTCGTACACGCGAGGCTGCTTTTGCTTTCAACACTTGTCGTCACTGAAGATCTGGAGGAATCTGTCGAGGTAGGGAGCGTAACAAGAGTGGTCGCTTCTGAAGGTATCGTTGTTGTAGCTGTTTCTGAACCAACTTGAACAGTACTTATTGAGGCAGATGAGACACCGGTGACAAGACTGGCAGATGCAGTACTTGAAGATGAACTTTCAAGGCTCGACGTAAGTGTAGAAACAGTGTAGACTCTAGGACCTGTTCCTGATGTACTAGTTGCCTTTGTCGTGGTTGAAGTAGCTGTACTGCCTGAGATAGAGATGCTTGATGGCGACGGTTGATAACTCGAGGAGCTACCTGAAATTGTAGTAGCTGTACTGCCTGAGATAGAGATGCTTGATGGCGACGGTGGATAACTCGAGGAGCTACCCGAAATTGTAGTAGCTGTACTGCCTGAGACAGAGGTGCTTGATGGTGACGTTTGACGACTCGAGGAGCTACCTGACATAGTTGTAGTTTGATGTGCCGCAACCGAGGAAGAGGTGAGTGGACACCATGTCGTGTATTCAGTAGTGATGCCATTGCTCGTAAAAGTGACAATAGAAAATGTGGAAGAGATTTGCGATGAGCTAGTACCAATGCTTGATTGGCTTGTAGTCGTCGTTAAATCCGACTCCGAGCGTGTGGGGCATGAAGAACAAGGCATGTTTTCTGTTAAACTCGTTGTTGGCGAAGAAGTCGTACTGTGCACTCCGGACTCGGAACGTGATTCAAGCGAGTGCGATGAGACTAGGGTTGTTTTACACGTAGGCTCTGTGCACTCGGCTGTTATTATTTCTGTCGATGACGTTGCTGAAGACGTTACACCCGAAGGTAGTGAGCTGTACTGTGTAGCGAATGACAAAGGAAGGGAATCGAGTGTAGTACTGGATTCTTTGCCACTCGTTTCAGTCCCGGAAACGATTGTTGTGTGACACTTGTCAGATGAGCAAACTGTAGTAGTAAACTTCAACGTATGCACTGATGTAGTTGTGTGATCTGTTGAAGAGGAGGTAACAGTGGAAATTTCAAGAGTTGAGGTGGTGTAACTTTGGGGCTCACTTGAGGTCTTGCTGCCCTCTGACTGAATATCCGTTGCAAGAGAAAGCGAAGTAGAAGAATGTTTCGGAGCGACTTCTGATGTGCGACTTATTTGTGATTTCAAAGAGTTTGCCGTAGATGCGACACCAGTTCCACTCGAAGATTGGCTGGCAACTCCCGTTGAAAAGTGGCTCTGAGTATTTTTTGAAGATTCAGAAGCTTCTGCTGTGAATTGGCTGTGAGTGCCCGTTTCAACCTTGCTGACGGAGGCTGTGGTTGCACCAGTGCTAATAATTGCCGAGGAAGACATAGGCATCTTCGCTAAAGGACACCAAGTTGTGTACACAGTGGTAGTACCCCCGGAAGTTATTGTAGTCAATGAAGGTGTAGCTTCAAATGTCGTTGCAATGGTGGAGCTTGCACTGTTAACAGTGTTCGTTGTGATAGTGCTCGTTGTAATGATGCCGATTGTCTGACTTGTGGAAGTTGGTGTTGTTGTCAAAGGACACCAAGTTGTGAACACAGTGGTAGTGCCCCCGGAAGTTATTGTAGTCAATGAAGGTGTAGCTTCGAATGTCGTTGCAATGGTGGAGCTTGCACTGTTAACAGTGTTCGTTGTGATAGTGCTCGTTGTAATGATGCCGATTGTCTGACTTGTGGAAGTTGGTGTTGTTGTCAAAGGACACCAAGTTGTGAACACAGTGGTAGTGCCCCCGGAAGTTATTGTAGTCAATGAAGGTGTAGCTTCGAATGTCGTTGCAATGGTGGAGCTAGCACTATTCACAGTGTTTGTTGTGATAGTGCTGATAGTCTGACCCGTAGAAGTTGGTGTTGTTGTCAAAGGACACCAAGTCGTGAACACAGTGATCGTGCCACCAGAAGTGGTTGTAATCAATGAAGGTGTAGCTTCAAATGTCGTTGCAATGGTGGAGCTGGCACTGTTAACAGTGTTCGTTGTGATAGTGCTCGTTGTAATGATGCTGATTGTCTGACTTGTGGAAGTTGGAGTTGTCGTCAAAGGACACCAAGTCGTGAACACCGTGATCGTACCACCAGAAGTAGCTGTAATCAATGAAGGTGTAGCTTCAAATGTCGTTGCAATAGTGGAGCTAGCACTATTCACAGTGCTTGTTGTGATCGTGCTGATTGTCTGTGAAGTTGTTGCTGAGGTTTGTGATGTCGAAGACGAAGGTACAGAAGAGACGCTGGATGATGAAACACCCGTAGACGAAGTCGAGGTGGTGCGCGATGACCTGGTAGCGTCTGATGTCGAGACACTCAAGGTGGAACCGCTCGAGCCAAAAGCTGAAGTGATTGGGGAACGACTTTCACTGCTTGATTCAAACGATGTCATCATAGTCGCAGCAGAACCAGCTGTGAAGAAACTTCGGCTTTCTGATGGAGAGTGGGATGTGTCACCGGAACTTCCAGCTTCGGAGGTGGGGTGACGAGTGCAGCTTGCGCAGACGGTGATGGTGTATGTGCGAGTGCCTGTGGTAGAAACAGTGGTTATACTACTGCTTTCGTCTGTCGAAGGGAATGCCGATGTGAAGGTGCTTGTCTCTGTTGTCACATAAGAAGAGCTGTCAGCTTTCGATAGATCAGAGGCTGGTACTGACGTCACCGAAACTGCCGGCAATGGACACCACGTAGCAACAACAGTAAAAGTATCACCATAACTGGACGTGGTCAATGTAACGAGAGCCTCAGATGTGTAAGTGGTTCTAGAGCCAAGGGAATCAGTAGTTTTCAGAGTGACTGTAGTGAGGTCCCAAAAGGAGCTTTGGCTTGCAGATGGCAGAGAGCTATTACTATAATAGACCCTTGGATAGAGAGCTGCTAAAGCAGTTCCACCACTTGTCAAAATGGCTGACAATCTCATATTCTCGGTTCGCCTACGTTAAACTCAGCAATTGGTAGCACAAAACTCGGAGATACCTCCATTAAAGCAACGGGGTCATAGTGCTGAAAGGTAGCTCTTTTATACATTATCAGTTTGAGAACAATGCGATACGCAACACCGTGCCATGGTCACTTTTCTAATGACTTTTCTCAAACACATCTTTAACACGGGCTGCGTCTGGCACATCCAGAACGTTTCTCTACCTGAACAAGTAATTTAATGGCCCAAAATATGGAAAGGATTAGATGGATTACCTTGTTGTGTTGTTAGTTATCGTGTTTCATCTGAGTTCATCGGAGTTGATCTGTCTACAAACTATAATGAAATGTATCATCGTGAAACACGTTTTACCTTTACAGCTATAGAAAATCAGGTAAACAGTGTCTCGGTATCAGTATTCAATGGAATCTGATATTCATTCTCATAGTCCTTGTAGTGAACGCAAACATTCAAGCCGCTCTTGCTTATTTAGTCGACCAATTGCACGTAATTGCTGGGGAACAGACCTTTTTCGCCGGTTGTTTCTAGCTCACCTAACCACCAGTCATCGTCGACAAAGACGATGTTAATGATCAAATCACCCTCCTTGAAGGCAAGTTCATTGTGTTCCTCAGCTTCATTGTCATACTCGGCAATCGCAGAGGGAAGTTTTTCTTGTTCAGTAGTGGTTGTCTCCTCAACGTCAGATTCCGGCTCAGATTCCTCGACAGGCTGTTCAGGTTCCTTAGTCGCCTCAGTGGGAGCCGGCACATTTCTTCGTGGTGGTGGGGGAGGCACAAATGTAGATTCAGTAGTGCGAGTAGGTAAAGCAGGCGTTGTCTCTGGTTCGGGCATGAGTTTCTTGTCGACACTTTGAGTCTTGGGAACGACACTTGGCACAGGAGCTGTCACAGGCTTCGCTTCAGTAAGCATGGTGGTCTTTAGCATCTCCTTCTTGTCTTCATCGTCATCGTCGTCCCAATCATCGTTGTCGTCGGTGTTTTCTTCAGATTCAACATCGATTTTAGGTTGCATGCCTGGTAGCGGGTTTCCTATAGGCATTTTCTGTCCGCTAGGAGCAGCTGGCGCGGTTGGCTCTGCCTCAGTGCTTGGAACTGGGCGCTCGACCTGTCCCGGTTTGATTATATGAGGCTCTTTTGTATTCATCTTTTCAAATTTTGTCTTGATGTCAGAAACCTCTGGTGGCACTTCTTCGTCCGACTCACTGAGCTCGTCAGTCTGTGCGTTTGCAGCCTTCGACCCACCGTTCGTGGTAGAGGGCTGGCCTTGGTGTTTTTCAGCCCAGATCTGAGCTGGCGATTTCTGACTTTGGAAACCCTTCACCACCATGTCGTCACTTTTTTTGGGCATCATAGTGGATGGAGGTTTTGTACCGAAGTAATTTTTCATTGCTGCATCTCTTTGAACCTTGGACTCTTTTTTCAATCTTTCAATATCGTCTTTTGGATTTATCTTGGATGGCGTTCCTGCTTCTGTTGCGTTCACAAGACGAGGATCTGACTTGGAATTCTCTTCGGCAATAACCTTTTGCAAATCGACTTTCCCTACTGGGTTCCACGCAGATTTGTTTGGTTTGAGTGGGTTCGAATCCAAATCGCGCTCTTCAACCTCGGGTTCGTCCCAGTCATCGTCTGCAGCAGCGTTTCTGGCGTTTGCCTTGGTAGAAGCCGCTGGAGCGGGAGCAGCTGGCTCGACAAAAGGTGGTTTCGTAGAAGTAGCTGGCTTGCCATTCGATGACGTTTTTGTTGTGGTCTCGGGTTTTTTTGGCACACCTGAAGGCCGTGGTTTTGGAGCAGAGGAAGTTCTGGTGGGGCCCTCATTTTGAATGGAGTAACGAGCGCCAGCAGCATTGCTGACTTTGTTTAAAAGCTCTCTTTCGTCCAAGTCGTCCTCGTCTCGAGCAGTGACCTGAACATGATAGCTTTTGAGGACTTGGTTGGCCACGACACCGAAATTGGAAGCAAATGATGCTCTTGTTTTCAACGGCGCGTTATCAGGGCACCATCCGACCAAAACAAGCTTTTGGACGTCCGAACCTGGAGGACTGACTCTGGCCAGACCGTATTCGACTTTAGAGTCCTCAAATGAGCTCAAAAATTCGCTAAAGCCCAAACCCAACTTTTCTGGAGCGTACTGTTTTTGACCATTTGGAGACAAGATTAGCCAGTCAATTTTATCGTCTGTAGCCCGGACAACTTTCTGAAAAGCATCCTCAATGGCATGGCAGTGCGTGGTGTAGTCAATTGGTTCTAGGGCCATCGTAAACCGATCGTAGTGGTCTGTTTTGAGAGTGTTCAAGAGTAGTCTGAGATCACATCTTGAGATCTACTACTGAGGATCGAAAACCCCTATAAGAAATTTCGTTGAACATGATAAAACTGGACAATCATTAAAGCGGCGAAGCAAACTACTGTCTTCGAGCATTGAGACCTGAGTGATCGATAGACTGTGGGAACATACGTGATTTTATTTTTTATCACTGAGGTGGCCACTGAAAAGGCCGCCTTTTGATTGTTTTCTAAGATATAAAATCGCTAGATTTTTCTATGATTTTTGATGTATCTACCGATATTGAAAATGAGTTTATTGATTTTGACAGGTTGGCTATCGGAATTTATTCGAATGACTAACGCATTGCTTGTTGTTTTCGAATCTGGTTCTAGCTGTTGGCCCGAATTATTATTATTATATTGCGGAGTGTCAGTATAGTACAAAGTGACCAGAGTATATTTCTCACGAATAGTTAGAGTAGGGTAGGACACTGAGATGTGTAGTCGATGAATCGTAGATATCTTAATCTCCATGTGTGCTTGTATAGACTGACGCACTGAGTCAAAGACACGGTGTTAATCGTATGGAGAAAAATGATTTTTTTTGAGGTCCGATACCAATTTTATGAAGAATTTAAGCGGACATGAAGTTCTGGTCATTGCCGAATTATTTCAATCTTTATTTTATTTGTAAATAAAGCTGCTGCTGTGTCAGTATGCTATCTTCGGCTCACATCGAATTGTCTCTCGTCAACCCAATTCTCACTGCTGTCTTCCAGTTGAGTAAATGACAGCTCTTTTTAGTCAATTCGACCCATCTCTTTAGATGCATCGAGCGGTAATTTAGGAATGCTTGCCGAATTGACTGTGCAGCGTCCATTATGGCGACTTTTGGTGATCAATGTCGAACTCCATGTCTGAACGACAGAGAAGTGTAAAGTGATATGAGGAAGCCTTACATTTAATTTAAGCCAGATACCATTAGACCTGCTTTACAACCTCGATAGAAACAAACCAGGAGCAACAGTTGCTGAATGAAAGAGGAACTTATGTCGGGCAGTTATCGACTAGTGCTTATCTTATGACAGACCGGTGAAGATACATTACAACTTCGTTGACAGGATAGTTTTCCTTCTCACGGGGAATAAATCGTAAAGAACTTTTTCGATTTTGAGTTAAAGAAGCTAAGGAACTCCATTGACCTACCCATCTCTCCCGGATCTCTGCATGGCCAACTTGCTTGAGGACCAATGCTACACCCTCATAGGAGTCTTGAGCGACTTTCTTTACGACGCGACAGGAAAACATAAAATGATTTCAGAAAAAAGCATCTCATCATGCAAAATTTCAGGCGAGCAGAGATGAGCTCATCGCATCGCATCTCGAACAACAACATATTAAATCAACTGCCGTCAGTTCCTATTTCAATAATGGTCACTTTCAACTGTGAGGTTTGCAACGACACTGTTCCCAAAAAAAATACGGAAAAGCACTACTATAAGTGCCCAAATGCCTATTACACATGCATCGACTGCAACGTCACTTTCGATGACGGCTTGTCTTATAAAGCGCACACTCAATGTATAAGCGAGGACGAGAGATATCAGGGCGCGCTTTATAAAGGCAAGAAAAAGAAAGGAAATGCGCAGCAGAAACCTCAGCAACAACGGCAACAGCAATCACAAGGTGCGAAAATCGAGGCTAAACAAGCTACGAAAGAAGTTAAAGTTGACTCTAAGGTCGATAGTAAAAAGGCTGAGAAAGCCAATTCCATCGGAGACGGTGCTGTGGTAAGAATTCCAAGTACTTTACTTGCTGGGAAGAAGGGAAACAACTTGTATAAAATCCTAAAATCTGTCAAAAATAAAGACGAAAAGAAGAACTTCCTTAAAAAGCTTGTGGTGGACGGGGAAGGCCGTCTGATTTACCAGGCTGATTAGTAAGCTCTGGAGTGGCAAACTGTAGCAATTGTCGTGTGGTCAATTGCAAGCGCTGAAGATACAGTTTTATAGATGTAAATTATATGCGAGAATGTAGCAATGATGTGGTCGAATGCGAGTGAGAAAGATGACAAAGGCAGCATAGAAGGTTCTGCTCGAACAGTCGTTTCGAATGTTGGGATAAAGGCGCCTTTGTTGTTCATGGTCGGTTAAGCGGCATTAGTTATGGGCACTGGCTGCTCGCATTGAATCATACATTGAGCCAGTATCAAAGTTCCTGAGGTGGTCTGCGGACCTCAGTCAAAGTGCTCGTCAATTGCGTCCGTGGAAGCACGATGAAACCAAAGCTAAGGTCGTTTTCATGCTTGACGCTAAAGTAGGAGGCTATGAATTATCATTGGAGATCGGGGCCAGGATCCCTTGAGCCACGACTTACTCCGCTGATTTTTCAGCTTTGGCTAAACACTTACTCAATTTCATGTAGAATTGATTCAGTGATCTCAATGGAAAACTCAAAGTATCGAAAAGGTAGCCTGGCATTTGTTTCTGAAGCAGCTGCAGCTCCTCTGCACTTCTCTGTTTCAAGAGTGGCACATAGACCACCTCAGTTCCTTCTGTTTCGCCTTCAGCTCTGACGAATCCAAGTTTGTAGTCCATCACGCCAAACTTTCCACCCTGTGATGTGTCGAACCACAGGCCTGTGTCGTCTTCGTACGATTTGTGAACTCTGACTCCGCAAAGATGCTCGAATAGATCTCTCACTATTTCGGCTTCTTCTTCAGCTACATGTGCCCGTTTTTCATCTTCTTCATTACGCTTCTTGATATTCTCGAGCTGTCGTTTCAGCGACTCGATTTCTTCATCTTTATTCTCCGTTTCTTGAGCCAGCATGCGGTTTTCATGCACAAGTTTTGATACCAAAACATCTGCGCTATCCAGCCTATTCTGTACCGATGCTTTGTAGTGAGTCAGTGGGTCCATCGAGCCTGATATATCGAGATTAAGGTGTGAGTTTTGGATATTAATGAATGCCCTACAATCATTTTCAAGATATGTTGATAATAAAACGCCAAACTTACAAGAAAACCAGTCAAGAGAGCGACCATAGAGAAAAAGATCTAGCTGTAGGACGATGTTTTATGGTTGCTGCTGTTGGGATCAGAGTTTAAATGTATATATTTATATCACTAAACCAACGTGTATCCACCAATTCAATTAAGATCATATTTATTATGTGTGTTTATTTCGAATTGTTCTAGAGGCACCACCATGGGTTAGATTACCATCAGATACATCAATTGGGAATTGTGTTCCACCTCTTTTTTCATATATAGCGAAGCCCTAGATATTATAAAGATTCTTATATAGAATTAGAGGCAATGATGCTTTGAATGCAAGTTACTAAATCATCACCAAGAGATGAAGTTTGTACTATTCAGGGTTTCCTAGGCGTTCTTGCACAACCAAAAAAAAAAAATAATGCCAAGTTGCCAACATGTGTCAATTTGGGATCGGATAGCAAATCGTAATTTCCCAAAGATTGGTAAAGAGCTTCGTGTGGACTAAAAAACTGTTTAGGAATCTGCATAGCGAAAGAAGTTAAGCTCGTAGACCAAGCTAAAGACTTGTGCCAAATAAATAAATAACTAAGCAGCAGAGCTTTCTGAGCTTTTATCATACTTTTAGATATATATGTATCTGTCATTTATATTGGCCGCGTCACTCGTAATATATAAAACGCAACTATCATCAAAAGAGAAAATTTGTCATAAAACGATAGCTCGTGGAGTGTTGATGTTTGATGTGGGTGTGAAATCAAACGCTTTTTTTAATTCACCGATTGCCATCTTTTTCTCTGGGTGCTTTGATGATTTCACTACCATTTTAGTTCACTGTCATGGTGAGTTTCTGAAATCGTGGCCGTATACCGGGAAATGGCTAAGATTTTATCGCCTTCATAAGCATGATAATCCCGATCAATTCATTCGGAGGTCACTATCATGGTGTACTTCATATCCTTTCCCTCGACTCGTGTCGCTTACGAATTTCGAGTGAACTACCTAATGATATTTTCTCAGACGGATGTCATTATTACCCATACGAGCTAACGATAGAAAACTGTTCGAGAAAAAGGTAAGCACATTGACCGATGTTTGTCTCAAAGCCATTCCGCAAGCTCCGATTATAATTGAAAAACACCGTCAAACATGGCTGATGCAGTTTTACCGCTTCGAGTCACTGGACTCTATCAAATGACTTTTCGCTGGCGGCCATAAAAGAGTTGGCCTTTGAGCTTAGTTGATCACTTAAGAGCACATCGAAGCACTCGATGAATCACAGCTTTCCCACAGCCCAACCACAGACCATTTCTGTGCATTTTGGATTTCAAATCACATCAAGATTTTGCTCAGGAAACACCACCGCAAGCTGGATTTTAATTCATATCAAAGACAAGTTCCAGCTCCGTTGACCATTCACACGACATACCCGTCCCCAGGTTTCCAAATGTGCCCATCTGTTCGCTGTGACACTCGTATCACGTGTCGTGGTGACAGCCAATATTCATGTCTCTTCATAGGACGATATCCTGCGAACTAGAATCTTAACATCTCTTTCCACATGCACACAAGCTTTAACGCCGTGACTCCTATATGGCCGAGCAATGACCAGGAGAGACAAAAACGGAAATCCAAGAGAAACACTTGCAAAAAAAAAAACATCGAAAAACTCTCGCGAAAGTCTCCCAGTAAAGCTGAAATTTCCCACACAATGAGGCTACTCTCACCGAAGCTTCAAATATGGTGACAATGCTACAACAAGCCTTATACGTTCGAAATAGATTGCCAATATGTCACCTTTCACGAAAATCCAGACGCCAATGAAACAAGGCTATTGAAAATTAACTTCGTCTACTGCCCTATGAAGGTGCTTCTATAAGCACAACATCAAGCGCAGTATTGAAGGCATTGAATGCTGTAAAAGATAACTTCACGGTGCTCCCAGTAAGCTACGTTTTTTCTGGACACCCTCGAAATTATTCCAGTCTCTAACCTTATCGGCTCAAGTGTCACGCCTTGATCATAGTAGCGTGCTCGACGACTCTGGGAAGATGGAGCTAAGTAACTCGATCACGGAGAAGAAAAATCTACAGGTCGAAATTTTTCTCAAATTTGCTTCCAATGTGGGCTCCGGCGATGTTGGGCGACGAGTGCTGACTTTCAATGATTTTGTGAGAATGATTTCGGGCTCGAAGGCCCTGTACTCGAAATTTACAGACCACTCTTACAATTTGAATCAAATTCCAGACCAGGCGTTTGGATGCATCTTTTTCGCCATTGACGAGAACAACAAGGGCTATTTGACGTTAAATGACTGGTTTCATTTCAATAACTTACTGGAATGCGATAACTATCATCTGATCATCTTGTATGAGTTTTTTCGAAAATTTGACATTGCTAGGCTCAAAAACCGCGGTGCAGAAACTTCGGGTCAACTTGACAAGAGATCCAGTGATCGTGCAGACGATCCAAGAATCAAGCCAGTCAATTATGGTAGTCCTTTTTTGAGTTACGACAGCCTGTATCTGAATCTTGATCAGTTCAAAGACACGATCAAGCTACTTCATGAGGCGGTAGACAACAACTTTCTCATTTGTAACCGAATTTTGCTCAATTGGGATGAGTTCAGGTGGCTGAAATTCTATCAAACGTTTCCCTACAGTAAAAGTGAAGGTCCCTACATCAGCCTCAACTCTCTGGTAACAATTTTGCAAAGCGATCTGAAGAATGAAAAGCTCTACCTAGGGTTTGAGAGGCTGTCACACCTCAATCACAGAAACAACGCTCTCGTGCTCAATAAAAACCAGCTCGTTTACCTGTTGAAAATATTCTACTCTCACAAAATATCCGCGGATGTTTTCAACTCTCTGAATTTGTCGAATACGCGACTGATAAAATCCGACAACAACTACATCAATTACAACGTTTTCAAGGACGTTTTCTTTTTGTTCCAGAATTTTGATTTACTCAACCAGGTGTTCATGAGATATGCCAAGACGCACAACTTCGATGATCAGGATCTAAGAGAGTGTGTAATCTCGAAAGAAGACCTCAAAAATTTCTTGAGCGTGGAATACAATAAGGTCAATAACATAGTGGAATTCTCACCCTCTCAAATTAACCTCCTGTTCTCCATCGTCGCAAACTCGAAGAGGAGCAAGATGATTGAAAAGAATCTAAATACTCACCACGAGGACACAGCTATCGAAAGTTTCATTCAGAACGAGTTTTGCAACGGATCCAGCAGGCGCAGACAAAACATGAGAAATTTCAACAATAACTATCGTGAGGTGATAGGTGGAATGTCTGGTGAGCTCGATAATGTAAAGCAGCAACGTCAACACTCCTCATCAAGCTTGTTGGACCGTCTTCTCAATCAAAAGGAAAAGGGAGAGGGCTTCTCGGAGCTTGATCTAACCATCGATGATTTCTTAAAGATTTTGAATCCTAATTATCTCAATGACCTCGTTCACCAAATGGAGATACGTCGGATCCAGAATGAATCCCTATACACAAACTTTTACTTTTTCCCTATTTTCGATTCCATCTACAATTTTTTGCTGGGTTCGATCGCTGGATGTATTGGAGCCACGGCTGTTTACCCAATTGATTTGGTGAAAACTCGGATGCAAGCCCAGAGGAACTTTTCTCAATACAAGAACACTTTTGACTGCTTTTACAAAATTTTTACTCGTGAAGGAATTCGTGGCATATATTCAGGTTTGGGTCCACAGCTTGTGGGCGTATCACCTGAAAAAGCTATCAAATTGACAGTCAACGATTATGTACGCCGAAAGCTCATGGACAGCAACCACCATCTGTCTTTTCCATTAGAACTTGTTTCGGGTGCAGCCGCTGGAGCCTGTCAGGTCGTGTTTACCAATCCTCTAGAAGTGGTGAAAATTCGATTACAAGTAAGGTCAGAATACGGCCCCGCTTTAGTCGAATCGAAAGTAAACGCAATAAGCATAGTCAAATTTTTGGGGTTGAAGGGCCTTTACCGTGGGGTTGGGGCTTGCCTGATGAGGGACGTCCCTTTCTCGGCTATTTATTTTCCAACGTATGCCCATCTGAAGAGAGATCTTTTCAACTATGATCCGCAGGACAAAACCAAAAGACCACGTCTTCACACATGGGAATTATTGACGGCAGGCGGTTTGGCAGGCATGCCTGCAGCTTATTTAACAACACCATTCGATGTGATAAAAACCAGATTGCAGATCGACCCAAGGAAAGGGGAAACCAAATACAATGGTATTATCCATGCTGCGAAAACAATATTCAAAGAAGAGAGTTATAAGAGCTTTTTCAAAGGAGGTGGGGCTAGAGTACTGAGGAGCTCACCTCAGTTTGGGTTTACTTTGGCCGCATACGAGATATTTCAGAATATGTTTCCTCTTCAAAATACTACGAACGAGAAGATCAAACAAGATAATGAAACTCCAACGGTTACAGGCTCGTTTTCTAAAGCTCTAGCTTCTTTGAAGGAGTCATCGCGAGATCATGTTGAGATCACTGAGTTTTACGGACCATCGGTAGATCCTTATAGCTCGAACTACTTGAACTATTACTACAAGAGTTGTCGAGTAGCCAAATTATTTATAGATTTGGACTACAATTTTGCCAAGTTTGACTTTGGAGTATATTCCAAGTTTCACAACTTTATCAAAGAAGCAGAATCCAATCCAAAATAGCATCACTTAATACATTCAATGCATTACGTCGTCGTCTGTACTCAGTCTTACGTACCTCCCATCGTTGTTGTGACTGTGTCCATCCTTCACTTTTGGTACTCAGGGGTAGGATTCAGCTTCGTACCCTGGCTCGAGAAAAAATCTTTAGAGACTTCGCATCCCACTCAAAGTGTCCTTCGTTGATTATATCGTTGAGCTTGCCGTTTCTGAAGACGAATTCTCGTTTGTTGGGACTTATGTCCGACCTTGTAGCGATCAAAAATCGATCCTTCGTCTTGTTGTATAGAATTTCCCTGGATTTCATGACGTCGTTGTTATTTTCTTGAGTATTGGGAAAATCCAAACGGCCAAAACCAGGCGGAGACCTTGACCTTTGCCTCATATTATCAAACTCAGCCTCCACACCGTTCTCGCTTGCATGGCCTGTCGGTGTCGGGACATTTTCGGTAACAAGTTCAAATCCTCTGTCTGGATGTAAGACTAGCTTTTTATTTAAAACCGGAGCCCCAGCTGCAGACTGAAATTTGGAGATCTTAGAAAAGGCAGCGTAAGGTGTAGTTTTGTTAGAAATTGCCAAAAGTTCATTGGCTTTGAAGTCTTCAAAAATCCACGGTTTCTTGGTAAAGGGATTTTCGTTGAGACTTAACTTTCTTTGAAATTCCATACGTTCATTATGCACCACATTGAAGAGCTCCTGCGGCTCACGTTTAACTTGAATTGAACTTGGGTTAACAGGTTCCCGTTCTTCCGTATCGGACCAGTCCAGTTCGCCCTCTGAGTCGCTGATCACGGCCAGATGGTGTTTTATAGGGCTTGATTTCTGACAGTTTGCTGCATGTGCGCTAGCAGGCTTCAGTGGAGAGCTGAAATCTATCTCCTTGCTCTGCATGTCTAAAGTTCCTGGAATCGAATATTCGTCGATAGCGGCAGCCAAATTCGCTCGTAAAGGAGAGTTTCTGCTTTTTACAGAAGAACTTACTTTCTGCTTCTTCTCTCTCTGGGTTAAAGGCAATTGATCCTCCAAAGATTGAGATCCCGAATCCTCTTGGCACGCTATTTTCTCGACATTTTCGCGCTTTCTCGCATATGGAAAACTCCTACCAAGTTCCACATTACCTTGACTCTCCTCCCTCTTTCCGTTGGCCATCAAAAACTGTATTTCGCCTAAACTCTTGACATGTTCCTCCAGATTGTTAACACGTTCCCCGATCTCTCTTGTGAGAGCTTCCTGAAGGCTAAACAGCTGCTTCAAGTCCCATTTTTTCAGGTCATCTCTAACCAAATCCTCTTCTAGTCGTGGATGGCCTGCTGAACGCCGCATAAGCTTCGTTTCATGCTCTTTAGCTCCTTAAAATCTGGTGTTCAAGATATTAAATTTTGTTTAGCTTTGAGTTAAATGGTAATCTAACCAAATTTAAACTACTTCATTTCAGAACAGCAGTCAAAAAACGCTTAAATCTCTACAACGGTGCCAAAAATGTCTATCAACGACTATCTCAGTAAAACGTACGGCTCAAATAATCATAAGAAGTCGAAACGTAAGAAGGCTGTCAGTCAGAAAAGTCCCAGTTTAGAAATTGTAGATTCTTTCCCCAGCACTGACACAGCAAGCATTACAAGCCAGCAAACTCTGAGGAACGAGTTTGTGTCTCGTTCAGAACCAGGATCATCATCAATTAAAAAGAAGGGCCTTTGGAAAAATCTTAGCACGAACGAAGTTTCGGTTCGAACTGCTCAGACGATGACTAAGAAGGGATCTTCATCTCCCAAAAAACAAGTTGGAATCCAGTCTGCTGAGGACGTTAGACGACACACAGAGGTCAAGGAACTGGAGGCCAAAAATCTGATCGGAAAAAACCCCCAAAACGAAGAAACGGTTTACAGAGATAGTCAGGGCCGAAAAATTCACAATTACCATGAACATATGTCACACAAGATCCAGGAAGAAGAGCAGCGACGAAAGCAATGGGACCAGGAGCTACGCGACCTAAATATGGGAGAAATACAAAAAAGTGGTATTTTGGACTCTTTGGGAAACATCAAAAAAATGGATCTCAGCGACACGAAAAGCGAAGATCCTCTCAATGCTTTTGATCCTATTGCATCACAGAGCGCTGCTAACGCATGCCCAAAATCACCTCTGGGCAGAAAGTTGTACAGTAAAATTAGCCCCGAAAACAGATTTGGGATACAGCCTGGTTGGCGCTGGGATGGAGTGGACAGGTCAAATGGTTTCGAACGCAAATGGTTTGCCAAACAGAACGAACTTAATGAGAAAACGATTCAAAGCTTTACGTTGCAAGAGGACGAGTAGTTAAAAAATATAATTACATAATGTCAGCAGGCAGTATTTTAGTAGGCAACAGTAACTGCAAAGAGACTCTGCAAAGAGACTAGTTATGGCTTTATTTACTAATTTTAGTATAAGAAACAGAAATCAAATGTTCAAAAACTTTTTTTTATTCGCACCGTGGACTTAAGCGACGTTATTGGCATTTCCACGTCCAGTGTGGTTACCTCTGCCTCTACCGCAACCGCGACCACGAGTGGATCCGCGACCTCTGAAGCCTCCCCTGCCTCTACCTGAGGTTCCACGACCTCTGAACGAGTGCTGGATGGCGTTTCCATCTCCATTTTCACGGTTAGAGCCATCCTCAAACTCAAGAGGAGGTTGTGTACCATTGATATTGTTAGTTCCGTTATTCAACGTAGCCGCGTTGAAATGCTGAACGGTGCCAGGAACCTGGTATGGCTGAGCAAAGTTTCCTGCGTGCGGTGGCATCATAGGAGGAACAGGACTTTGAGGAGGATAGTATCCCATAGGTGGAATATGACCCACAAAATGAGGAGGCACGGCATTTGGAGGCGGCACATCGTATGGGAGACCATGAGGAAATTGATTCGGAGCTGAAATACCTCCCTCGCCAGAAAATTGGTTGAAGACAGCATTGTAAATGTTGCTTGCGATGACTGTGTCGCTCGGGGAGCTTACCTGGGGATGTTCATCAGATGCAGCCTTTTCACGTTGTTGAGCGCTATCTTTTTCCGAAGACTTTCGATCGTCTGACTTAGCATCACTCTTCGCGCCCTTGATGTGAGTTAAAAGCTCATGAGCTTGTTTTTTCTTGGTCTCGGCGTCTCCTTGACGGACGGGTGCACCAGGTGCGCTAACTCTGGCTTGACCAGTTCTAACAGGTTTTTGGGATTTCTTGGAAGAATCTTTCACGGACTTGGAAGCTTTAGAGTGGTAAATGAACTGTCTGTTTGTTAAGTTAAGTAGGAAAGAAGAGTCTAGCCCGAGACCACGCTTGGTTCTCAACCTCCCTCCGAAATTGTTTCCTGCTACAATCTCATGATCAAATAAAACCTGTACTGACAGCCTTGGGCCAATTGTAGTGTAACCTACCACTGTACCCTTCGAGAATAGAGGTACTTTGCCTGAATTTTGGATGTAAATCACTCTGTCACCAAGGTCAAATCTTTGGGTGCGCAGCATGGAAAGAGACACCTGAGGGTCCAAAATAGCCTCCCGGGGGACCTTGGCCAACTGCTTCCTGCTAGATGTTGGAGCAACCGCAACGTACTTTTCAATTTCATCCTCAACCGCAATCATAGAAGCTTTTGTTAAAGAGTCGCTTTCAAAAGAGACCGTAACAAAGTTTTGCTTGACGTTCTTGAGCCACGAACGCGCGTTGTCGATCAAACTCTTCAAATCTTCACGTTTGGCATCAGGGTACATCTTATCGAAAGATGGGGTGTCCTTGGCTTGCGTTGACAACTTGAAGAAAAGATCTGGAAAGTTCTTTCTATACTCAGAAAGAAGCGCCATTGTCATGTCTGAATATTCCCAACCCTTCAGATTGCGTCTAGCATAGCCCAGTACCTTTTCATGACGTGACTCAAATTTGATTTCCAAACCAAAGTTTATGGGCCTTTCACCGAAGCCTCCAACCATGAACCGCGACGTAATTCTTGATAAAAACAGTGGATGAATTTGCAATTTCTTGGAGACAGCAAAAGACGGATAATAGCGAATCATCTTTTCGTCTAATTGAGCCCTCATTTTGCCAATACTTGGTTCCCTCTCAGTACTATGTTTTTCAACTGTAAGTTTGAGTCTCGTGCTGCTACTGTAGCCGTCAACGGTAGCTTTGCCACCGTAAGCATAATCCCCCAAAAATATGACATTCATACCCTCTGGGAACTCTTCTTCCACCGGTAGCGGTGTTCTCTCCATAAAACGTGCATCTTTATTTTCAACGTCTTCCACGACTAGCTGCAGCGGATAAAATTCCTCGATTGAAGAAAAGGTCTTTGTGTAGGCCCCATCCGCATTTCTACTCAGACCATTGACTGGAACAACGCGCACAATTGCACGAATTTGACCAAGCATTACACCCTTTTGCACAGAATAATTTCTACGCAAACCCGCTTTCTGTGTATTGAATAGCTTAGTCTCAACATCGTCCAGCCTCCTCTCTACTACACGGGGCTTGTGGTTGGGAGATTTTCGGTCGTTGGAGACCTCGAAAATGGTCTGACCATCGGTAATAGAGAGTACTTTTGACTCTCTGAGGTTAGGCCATCTGGTGTAAACCACGTTACCCAGGTGTGTCTTAGCAAATTCATCTAGTGTTAAGTTGCTTTCCTCGTACGCATCTTTGATATTGAGCAACATAGATTGTTGCTTGGAAGGCTGCTGAAAAACCGTGCAACCATTGTACTCTAATTTGTTATCAAACGAAAGAGTCTTGAGTGTAGGAAAGCCAGCCAAAGCTTCAGATCCCAATTTAGCGCCTTCTGGCAGCCCATATAGCAATTCCAGGCCATCCATAGATTTTGGAATATACTCACGTTCCGCGCAGTGGTTGTGTTCGACATCAGAAAAAAATCCACTGAGAGGAGATTTATAGATATCGTCAATTTGAGGGTTGTAAATGAAAATCAAGTCTGTACCGAAGCGATTCCTATTGCGTTCTTCGACAGTCAACTTATCCTCCATGGTGGTCATTGCCTCGATGAGTCTAGTCTCATCCACAAACGAAAGCTTAACCACAGCTTCCCAATCTGCGGTTTTCCCATTTTTGTCTAATTCGACTTCGCTTGGATAGAAATCGGCGATAGGGGACTTGGGATCGTACATCAGAGGTCTGTAAGCGACGGGTATCAAGTTTTTTGATCTCTCCGGTAGAACGGCCATTAACTGTTGAAAGGGTTTAAACGGGGTACCCTTATCAAATTTGATCATTTGATTTAGACCTTTTTCAACGTCAGAGATACGAGGCGCATAATGGTACTTGTAATACCAAGACCACGATGGACACCCTCGGTAATAGTAGTAGAGTACCCATTGAAGACCCTCCACATAGTTCTCCGTCAGTTCGCGCAATTCATCCTCGTCATGATAACTGAACTCCAATTTGTCCTTGTAGTATTCGTCTCTCCACTTTTCGAATCTTTCACCGTAAAGCTTCTGCTCTGACTCCAGTTCTTCGCTATCTTCAACAAGCACAGCTTGTTCATATTTTTTTATTGACTTTCTCAAGGTAGCAATGCGACTTGCATGCTCCTCTTCAGACTCATTAGGATTAATTCCGTCTATATCAAGCTGCAAGTAGTACTTGTTCTGGGACTGGGAGTGAGCCACAAACAAGCCCAAGTCAAAGGCTAGTTCTTTTAGAAATGGTAGGTTTTCCTCGATGATACCATCGTCCAGAGGGAATGTGGGCACTTGATCGCCTGATACACTGCTTGCATCAAAAGGTGTCGAAGATGTTTTCAACAGCCACGGTTTTACTGCACCGACAATCTTCTTTTGTTGTTTGAGTAAAAGTTTCTTGCCCATACGGGCCCGCTTTCTCTCCCCCTCCAAAGAGATATTCTCCAATTGCTTGTTAAACCATTCAACATCGATGTCATCTTTCTCAAAGTTCATTAGCTCGAACTTGGCTAGGTATTGTAGCCAGACTTGGAAACGAGGCAAGTTTATAGTACCTTGCTCATTTATGTAGCCATCAAGATGTCTCAAAGCCTCCTTGAAAGTTTGAAGCAGAACGGGGAATGCGCCCTTGTTCAAGTGCAGATCGGGCAGGTTGGGCAAGAAGTCATTCCCGATGACGAACATTACTAGAATGAAATCGTCCAAAATCCGCTCAAAGTCATAATCAAATTGCAAATCATCTGCGACTTCACTGAACTCTAGTTCCAGGTATTCACGTAACAGAGAAATATGGAGCAGATAAAAGTTTTGGTGTTCTAAGGGCTGAGACTTTTGGCGTCTGCCAAATGTGACTTCTTCTCTTAGTAAGGCGAAATGTGGGTCATGTGTCGAGAGACCCAGCATGATCAAATCCGCATCTAGCCCATAGATACAATGTCTGGTGTTAGCGTTATAGTCAGGCTGTGATCTCAAGCGTCTGATATGTTCCATGATTTTGTGCTCTCCTTCACCAGGGACTTCATGGCCGGACAAAATGATCTTTGCCGAGCTCCAAGCCGAGTCGTTGGAGACCTTGTCATGGATGAAGTATTTCAAATTTTGCGTTAGCTTCGCCATAAACTCGGTGCCCGGGGTGATACAATTGGAGTCGAAAGGTTCACCCTTGGGGATTTCCTCGCCGTTCGCGATGGCTTTTTGCAGGGCTTTTTCTGCGTCCATGGCCGTTCTAAAACGACGGGCTCGTTGCTGGTTCATTTTCGCACGCGGAGCCACACCGTCGATGGCCATGTAGAAAGTGCACTTGGGGCCTATGGTGTGAAACAAGTGGTCGATGTACGCAAAAATCTTTGCAAACACCTCTTCCTCCGATAACCGTTTCGTCACGTCATCGTCGTTGGCGTGCGTGCACGTATGTAGGATCGAGTTCATATCCAGATACAGATTGTCGAACTCTGGGATCTGAGACCCATCAATAAGCTGTGATATCATTGGCCATCTCTCAGAGATGTATCTGAAAAATTTAGGAATACCCATTTTGTTGTAAGTCCAGTTAGCTGCTTTATCCACACAGAGATTTCTAATCTATTGAAGTTCCAACCCTTCACAGCCTTCGCTTTTCGGTTCGATAAAGAGTTTGGTCTAGTATAATACCAGATACTTGTCAATGCTCACCAAGGCTTGCTTTTGCTCGCCAATGTTCGCCACCTAAAGATCCCTTTCCTGCAGAGAATAGAACGACCTAAAATTAAACAATAACCACTCAGAAAAACGGGTTTTTGGGCTATTTTTTTCGCTAAAAACAGAATTGACAACCAGAATTTGTCTTGGTCGATCAAGCTAAGTCCAAATTAAAGTGTCTTGAGTTCTTGTCAACTGAATGTTGGATCTTTTTAGCTGCAAAAACTCATGGGAAGTTTAGTTTATATCTTGCCAACTGGTTAATTCTTTTAAAAGTGTTGATGTCACTTAATACGCAGCAAATTTTCAAAAGATTGTATTAAACCTTATAAACCTTCGAAACTTAAACTAGATATAAACATTCAAAAACTGTACTTCAACGACTCAATAAAGGCTCTTCGATGTTCAATTCTGGAAGGGCATCTTCTGCATCGGCAGGAAATGGTGTGGGCGGAGGCTCATTGTTTGGGCAGAACAAACCAGCCGGTGGTGGACTGTTTGGACAGTCCAATCAGCAAGGCCAAAGTGGAGGGCTTTTTGGCCAGGGAGCGCAGCAGAACCAGACTTCAGGCTCTCAATTTGGCCAGGGTGCCCAGCAGGGCGTGGGCGGTAGCCAGTTTGGTCAGAACACGCAGAATAGTAACGCACAAGGCCAGAATGCAACAGGAACTGGTTTTTTTGGACAAAACACTCAAAACACTCAAAATACTGGCACGGGCCTGTTTGGCCAACAGGGAGCCGCTTCGGGACTTTCCAATGCTGCCAATTCGGGGCTAAGATCCGGATCGACGCCAGGGGGCGGTCTTTTTGGACAAAATACTCAAAATACGAGCAATCCTACAGGAGGTCTTTTCGGACAAAACTCGAACGCATCTGGAGGCACGTCGAGTGGTATTTTCGGCTCCAAACCCTCCGGACTTGGAACTTCCTCTGCGGCACCTTCAGGCGGTCTTTTTGGAAACACATCATCCAATAACACCACCACTGCCAACAACAGTGTAAGCGGTGGTTTGTTTGGCAATGCGTCCAAAAATACAGGCTTTAACAACTCAGGTGGGCTTTTTGGCAATAGTTCCAACAACGCGGCGTCTACAACCTCCACAGGTCTCTTTGGTGGTAACAATTCAGGGTCTACAACATCGACAGGACTTTTTGGCGGCAATAATGCCGTCCAGACGTCCTCAGGGGGGCTCTTTGGGAACAAACCTGCCGGTACATCACTTTTTGGCAGCGCCAACACCAATAACGCTTTACAACCTCAAATGCAAATGCAACCGGCTCTTCAAACGCTTTCTCAGCTGCCGGTCAATCCTATGACGCGAATCGCTGATCTGCCGCCTCAAATTCGCCAAGAAATTGAACAGCTAGATCAGTACATTCAGCGGCAGGTTGCCATATCTCAGCACCTAAAAGCGGACTCTGAGGACCACATGGAGTTGATCCGCTCTATTCCTCGCGACATCAAATTTCTACAGACCACACATTCCCTCACGCACCAGTCATTGATACAGGACCTGCGTAAGATAACAGGCATTAAGGACACCATAGACCAGAGTATGGCTGATTGTCAGACATTTTCCACCATTCTGCAACAGATTATAACTCCGGGCTCCAAGATCTCCTCTTTGGAACTTGATAAGTTTTTCCAGGACAAGATCCTGCACTACAAGCACAAATTGGACGAGTACTTCTACGTTCTTTCGGACATCGAGAGTGCGGTGCAAGGCATAGAGCGCGACATGTTTGGAGCTACGTCTACCGATGGCGGTTGCGACTCCAGTGGCGACCGCATGAATTGGAAGACCGGGATCAACGCAATTGTGTCTACAGTACTTGAAGAATTCGAGCTTTTCATGGACATGGCCGAACGCGTTGCCGAGCTACATCAACGGGTCAAAGAAATAAGCGGTGATCTCAAGAGCTCCATGGTGAAGGTATAACTCCCTTCTACTTCCTCCCTCGTTCTTTAAATTGAGAGCAAAGTGTGGGCATTGGTACAGACACACCACGCACTCCCGCGAATCCATAATTATATGCTATAAAAAGGTGTGAAAAAGGTACGAAAAGTCTCCCAAAACTGCGATGAAAACTCTGCAAACGATGCAAACCACCCTCACAACAATTTCACCAAACTCCAGCCCAGGATCTCGTCCATGCGCCTCACAACCAGTCAAAAGTTCAGTGTGCCAGCGATCTTCTACCTATCATCGCTCGATACGAAACCTTACCATAAGGGCCGTCATATATATTGGTCTAAGGGGGAATCGATGTTCCTTCTCTCAACCCACCATCCCGTCCTCAAGATAGCGCAAGTTAGGTTTTATTTGGAGTTGGTTAACAAGCAACGTTCACTTGAGGCTAAATTACTGGGTTTACGAGAACTTGTCCGAATTTGAGTCTTGATTTCAACGTTTGAGATTGATCCTAAGCTCAGTTGTTCCATCTGGTTTACATTGAAACCAAAAGTATCGAAATCATGTCTGTGAAGAAGAAAAATACTCACATTTTGGGAGATAGGACGTGGAGTGTGGTTAATTTTGACAGAAACGCGATGTGTCAACGTAACGACCCGGTTTCGATCGAAACTGTGTCAGAAGAAGGTCTTTGTGACGATGTTCTCTCCACGACCAGTTCCGACGAATCAGACGCACCCGTGGGCGCTTTAAACAATTTGAATGAAGTGCAAGCTACGGGCTTTGGATTCGACACCCTTGTTGAGCAAAATGAGCCCTCCGTGAATCTTGCAAACACTTTGTCACAGGCAGCTGATCTCAAGATTCCAAGCAATTCGACGCATTCCTGTGTTCGGGAGCGTGCAGCTCGCACGCTTTCACAACTGAACTCCTGGCAAATCGTTCTTTTGACTTCATCGACTACTTTTTTGATCACCTGCGCTTTACAGTCGGTTTTGAAAAGTCCCTCTGCAGTACCCTTGGATGAAACTGCGACGGCTCCATATTTCACGAATCACGGTGCCACATACAGAAACGTCGATTTTGTGCTTCCCGCTGGGAACCCTCATGAACGTGCTGGTAAGTTTATTGTTGACTTCGAGAACTGCGTGGCTTATCCAGTTGTCCCAGAAGTGTCCTTTTGGGAATCGGCCAAATTCAACGTAGGCCAAATGGCCAAGGCGTTTCGTAGCCACATCAAGGAGCTTGACAAATCTTCCCTACAGAAAGCAAAAGATCGAGTCCACAGCAGAACAGACGCCATGTGGTCGACCATTAACACGTCCTTAAAATCCTGGTCTTCCAACCTCAAAGAAGCTTCCGTTAATATGAAAATTCGAAACAAAGCAATGATGACGCAGTCGAGGGATCAGCTCACCAAGTGCATGAGAAACGCCGAAAAGGCGTTTCAAGTCCAATATTCAAATCACCTGGCACCATTACGCGACAAAGTCTTCTCGCATGTCCTTGAGATGAAATCAGCACTGGGGAACATAGGGCCTTTGACTTCTAGGTTTAATTCTGCGTTGCCGGGGGCTGCAAGCGGCGTCGGCAGATTTCGTGAAAGAACTGGCTCAATCTTATATGATAAATGGGATAATACGATGGAAATGCTTAGATTTGAGCGAAGTGGCATCGATCAATAGATAACAATGAGCATTGTAAGGGTTTGCCAAGGTTTTATAGTTATTTGTTACTGGAATCCGTAAAATTATTCGGGATTTAAGTAGTTATTGTGGAAAGGAAATACTTGATTAAGATGTGATATTCTGTATATATGGTGGCAGCGAGGTGACCTGATCTTAAGTGAGCGTTGTGTCTCAATGCTTACCGCACTAACGTCTAAAAACAATAAATCCCTAACCAATTGTTATATTTTAAGCTTTTAAATATATATATCTCAGTCTCATTCACTATCGAGTTGCACGCGAAGTATGATAAAACTAACAGCCAAATTTAGTCACGTCCAGCTTTTCCAAAACTTGCAATACCCTCGTCCAAAATACCATAATTGAACCACTCATGGTCGATAGCCTCCCTAGCAGTTATCCTTTTAGTAGGATCAAATTCAAACATTTTTTTGCACAAATCCATAAACCAGTACCAGAACAAAAAAACCTCTCTGTCGAGTACCTGTTCGTCGAATTTTGATTCCAATAAAGCCCAGTTGTCCTCAGAGCTTAAATCCCAATTTATGACTAACCAATCGCCATAATCCTGTCGTATTTTTTGCATCACGTATTTGTCTAGCCGGTCGCAGCTAGATAAAATTCTTTTCATGGATCTCTCCTTTGTAACGATTTCACCCTTGGCGTTACGTTCTGGCCACTGAAGTGCTAATGATTCTCTATCAAAGTGCTTGACGACAGTGGCATTTAAATCTGGAGCCAAATTCCCTATTTTACGATCCGACTTGTAAAACATATTTTCCACGATTTTAGGCGGGAATGCTATACCATTGAACCTTTGCATCATAGCCATATGTTCCAAATTTTCGTGTATCGGGTACAATGATTCACCTGTAACCAATTCTACCAAAACACAGCCGATAGACCAAATATCGCATGGAAAAGACCATCCAAGTCCTAACACAATCTCAGGCGCACGGTAGTGGCGAGTTGAGATAACCGCGGGATGAAACTCGTTGTAAAAAACTGCGCTGCCAAAATCAATTAATTTGACTTCGGGATTGGTTAAAAACTTCCGTTCTCCATTGCAAGCACTTTTCCGGCGCGGACTCAAATTCGACAATTGGTGTTGTGACAGAGGCTTTCCCACGTAAAATTCGTCGCATAGCAACACATTTTCCGGCTTCAAGTCGGTGTGAATTATCCCTAAATCGTGTAGAAAACAAACTGAACGAATAAGCTGTTTGGAAATAGCTTGAACATGGGAGCCTGGGAAACGCGGGCAACCATTATTGCACATGAAATCGTAGATCGATTTTCCAAACAAATCAGTAACCAAGCAGATATGATTTTTGTAATCAAAACATTCGCGCAGTAACAAACATTGATACTGGCCCGAAGGATCGTTGTTCAAAATAGCTTTAAGAACCCGCAGTTCGGTCTTTGCAGCCTCTCTGTACCGATCAACAGCACGTATAATTTTGATAGCAACTGGCTTTGTTGGATTAGGGACACTGGCAGTATTGGAAGTCGAATAGTCTAAATCGAAATGGGAGTCTTCGAACGATTCTACGAACGGATCCTCGAACCCTTGGAACTCGTTGTTATGTTGAGGAGTTGAACTATTATCAATACATTCAACCACTTTCCCAAATGTCCCTTGTCCCAACAAGCCTTTGACAACGAATCTGCCGTTACAGAAAATGTCATTTTCGCGGTATACGTAGTGACCTTCTTTATCCGTTTGGAACAACTCTCGCTTATTCTTTTTTTTGGCTGCAGATACCAGTTTGGATATCTTGGGTGCCGCAGTCATGCGTCTGAAAACCGGTGAGCCGTGATCATTGACGGTTAACGGAGAGACACTTTTCACCACGTTGAGGGTCACGGCGCGATTCCCATCTATGGTCTTGGTAGACGAGCCACTCAGGTGGAGCAAGTCGTCGTCGTTTTGACGACGGGGCTGGGCACGGTGTTGAGCAGCCTCGTACAGAAGTTTGGAGTACGGAAGCTGTGGTAAGGATATGGTCCTCTGTTTCTTGAATTTTTTGCTAGTGTAGTGGTGCTCTGTGCGCAGATCCAGCTGCGCTGGAACCTGGACGGGCTGCTCCTTGATAAAAATGAGGTCATCGTCGTCGTCGTCGTCGTGGTCGTAGTGACGATTCACGACGTTATTGTTGACAGTGGCATCGACGCTTTCGTCGGGAGCTGTGTGTCCCCGAAGCGCATTTTCGTTGCCCCCGGTGGCAGAGCCCTCTGCTGTGGTTGTGGCCGTCGCACTGGCAAAGTGAGAGTCGATGAGATTTCCCTGTAAAAGTGCAGACTGACGTGCCAGCATTTCTCCGATAATGGGATCCGAATCGTTGTCTAGAAACATGCTCTGGGGCACGGACCGCAACGACGTGCCTGCACGTGGTGCGGTATCCAGTGTTCTCGTGCGTTTACGTTTGACCTGGACGTTTTGCGACATGTATAACGAAAAACGCGACCGAAACCTGAAACCCCACTTGTTTGAGCGCCTGCAACAGCTACAGGATCGATTTTTGGAGTGTTTGAAAGCGCTTTTTTCTTCTAACGGCCAAATGCACTTGAGACACTCGATTTTCGATGTTCAGTGGCTGATCAAGAACCCCTTTCTTGTATCTCTGTGTGCTTGTCTCTCGTACTAGCCCTTCCAGAAACCCTATTTTCTCGCTGGAAAGAGCGGCTATTAAAACCCCTGGACTCCTTGTACTGCGGTGGAACTTCAGACCACGCAGTTAGCTCAATTTGTAACCTATTAACGAGCCAATAATCAACCTTGTTGTTACGATCTTTCGTGTGGAGAACAAGGTTAACATTTATCTTGAATTTCTGACTTTTTGAATTTCCATATCTAAGGGCAACACATTTATTGAACCCCCTTAGTAAAATAGTCGTGATAATAGATTTTAATTTGGGCAGGTGATAGATGGAGGGAGGGTAAGCGGGTAGAGAGTGAGTCGAGATTGAGTCGAGAGTGAGTCGAGCGACAGAGAGAGCGAGCGACAGAGGGCGACAGAGGGCGAAAGAATAGGATACTGATGGAATGGAGAAGTTTGGATTGTGTGGGATATGTATTTGTAGATTTACGTTGGGAGATCTTTTGCTTGATGGAATACTGGCATTAAGATGGTAGGAAAATACGCATTTTTTTATTCATTTTTTGGGAGTGGCTGTTGATGAGATGGCTGGGGAAGGTGACTATGAATCACGGTTTGGTACTGTCTGTTGTGCTAATTTTGGCCAGGGATTGGATCTTAGATGGCGTAAAAGTGCGAATATGGGGGGAGGGGGAGTCAACGGCCACTAATTTCATGCTACAAATTTGCACTGAGTCGCTGCAAGTCACATTTGGTGACATGAGTATACGAACTATAGATGTACGTATTAGTTTTTTTGTATTTATTGACGATTTTGTTTAGCGTGGTGGTGACTGGTTTTTGAGAATGCGGTTTGAGAGTGTAAAAGCTTCCTTATAATGAGATTCTGTTTGCCGAGTCATTACAAATTGCTCATTTTCGAATGGGCATAGGTGTTATATCGTTTGATACTTTTATTTCGGAGATTATGTTGCGCAGTGAACGGACCACGAGTGTTTGAAAAGTGAAGAACAAAGGCATTTCAATATGGCCAACAAGACGATGGAAAATCTGTGCTTAGCATTTCATCTCCAATCAGCGGTATACATCGAGTTCGAGCGTTGTAAGGACTCCGAAGTGGAAAATGACCGGTCTGTCATCTTATCACGTGACATTGACGTGTCTGGACGATATTTTTGAGAATCCCCGCCGGTTCATCATGAGCATTGCTCCATAAGAAAGCGGTTATACTTGTTTGATTGACTGAAAGCTCTCTTCTATGTGCTTTTCCGGAGCCTTTCCATCCCCAAGACCTTGCAGGCCCACTTATCGAACTCATCACTTTATACTGCTCTGTCATTTGTCGTTTTGTCCCATGACATCATGGCTATCTGTCAATCCCCGCCAGCTCCAATCGTATCTCGCATTGACTTCATGGTCGTCTCGCTTCGCCGTTGCGCTCACTTAGCCTTTTCTCCCCAGTGACCGACTTTGTTGTTTCCGTCAATATTATTTTGGAAGAGCGTCAAGAAGATTTTCAATATGTCGTTTGCTCAACTTCCACCGCTGCGGGTCACAGTCGATGGTCAAAAAATCACGATTATAAGCTGGCGTTTGCTCATAAGGTGGCAGTTCTCGCGCCAATAACGTTAAAAATACGCTCACCTAGGATTAGCACGCCTGGAAAGGAAATGAGCTGAACGGATTAGACACTCGTTATCACACTGAGGAAAGACTAGGCAGACGGCAAAGCTGAAAATGGGTTTGGCAAGGATGACACCCTCTGTCGCACTATCCCGGTGCTAAGAGGCTTGCAAATTCATTGACAGATCAAGGAGACGCAAAAGCGCAAATTATAAAAGACCAGTGAGAATTTTGGCATTTGTGACCACCCCACAAGTGCCTAACACTTGGAAGAGTGCCCAAACCTCGAGAAAAATTTCCACTCTCTTGTCTCAGCCTGGTAGGTAAAGCCAAGATAGCTCCCTTTACACGCCCCGGGCATCCTGGCGGCTCAAAAACACTTCAAACTGTCTTGACAAATCCCAGATTACGATCAAAAGTTCAGGTTCGGTATATGTTGCAGAGCTGACAGTTGAAAATTACCGAGTAGAAGAATACTAGGAACGCGATCATTGAAACAACCTGGGCCTTCAATGACTACGGCTGCCCTTTTGGGCAGCCTTTCTACTGCGTACTCGGTCCTTGTCACTTTGTACTATTCTGTCACCAAACCTGATCGCTACCAACCTAGCTCATCTGCGTTCTCCGATCTCCGTCCCACGCACATAAAACGCAACCGTAACTCGACCAAAACGATACCTGCGAGTGAGCCGACGGGTCAACGAGATCTTAGTTTTCTTTTGGACATTGCAAAATTTGTTCCGAGCCCGGCACTATAGGTCATCCCAGAGTGGGTGCTTGAGCTGCAATTTAGAGCGTTTGGCACTAGCCGAGGAATTGGACCCCCCATCTCTCGGAAAATCCTTCATGTTGTCTTAGTGAACTTACCTTTTTTTCAATTCGTGAAGACCGTGCCTACTTTGACGCAGCCCTGCCATTGATATTAGTTCTAGACGCTTGCGGGGGAAAATTGAGCGCTTGTTAATTTTTCCAACGCTTGTCGTTTTGACCATCGCTTCCGGTTCGCTTGCAGAGTTTTGCGTTATCTAATGCACAAGTATGGTTTTTTCTGCTTTCCGTGGATCGAGGACTACGCCGCACAATTGTATGCGAACCGACAACCTGACACAACCAATTAAGACCACCACAGTCTGCAAACTAAGTTCTGTCCAATGGCGTCCGATAAAATACTACTACGCAGCGTATTTTTGTCCCGCGGGCTCGTTTCTCATTTTCTCAGACCTGCACCTCGTCTGGGTTTTCAACCAAAATTTAATGTAGAAACGTTGACGGCTCAGACGGTACCTCTGAGCAACAGACCTGAAGATATCATTGCCCAAAGTCTCGAACACACGGTAAATCTGAAAGGTGTGCCTTTCGCGATTCCATTGCTTCCCAAAGCGGTAGCTGCAGCACCCAATTAGGAATGTCCCTTTAAGGAAAGGCACTTGCCTATTCTAGATCTCGCCCCGAGCCCTTCGTTTAGTCGTTTCTTTTTCCTGCAGCACTGCTCATTGAACGAGACAATGGAGATAAATTCAGTATTCTCTCGAGCACCAGGACTTAAGCGTACGTGATATCTACAATTCTTCTAATGCTGGCCTGATCACTTAGAAGAAACGTCGCACGCACGCTGCCTTTGATGAGTGCCAGTTTGCCGTTTTTTTGCGCTTAAATTTTACGTTTTCAGAGCATAGTCGTACCGCAACGCGAACTGAAGTGTGTTCAGTCTTTTCTGGAACTGCACGGCCGCAAGAGCGTTGAGTTTTGGCCCATCGTCAGGAAAATTTACGGTCGATTTTGCCCTATGTTTAGGAGTCTTTTCTTTGGCATAACAGAGGGCAATAAAACACTATTTACAACTACAGTTGATTGGAGAGGTCCGAACCACGACGGTAACCGTGCTATACTAGTTTTCAGGCGCCGAGTTCTCGTTACTATGCAAAAAGTTTTTTTTTTGGTCTCTTTTTCACGGTCTCTTTTTCTCTTCTCTCTTCATTACCACTTGATATTCTTGTGTGCGCCGGCGCCTTGATCGCCGGTGTAGCGATCGTACTCCTGGCGCGCCGAATGTGTGTGTGCGTGCTCACAGGCGTGGTGTGTTCGCAGACTTAGGGTGTGTTTCTGTTCCAACTGCGCAAGCAACTCTCTTTGAGAGTCCAGCTCTTGATGGAGAGGGTCTAGCTTCTTTGTGAGCTGTGCAACGTCTTTCTGGAGTCGTACGAAAATCTGTAATGGACTCTCTTGGCAGTTGAACGCAGTGACACTGGGCTTAGTTTCCGCATTCGGATTCGTTTTAACTTGGGCACTGGCGTTTAGATTAGCCTCTTCTGCTGGAGCATCGCTAGTGCGAGCCGTGGGCCTCAGCATCAAGTTGTTGTCTTTGTCGATGTAGAAGCGACGCATGCATTCTTGCTTTAAAGTTTCATGTTCGCTCGTAGTAGCGGTATGTCTTTCTTGCTGTTGGTCGCGAACAGCCTTCCAGTAGATGAGATTGAAGCGGTCGCGACACTGGCGTTTGTTTCGATGCATACCATATTCTGAGGCCAAATTCTCGCTGATGCACGCCCAGTAACGACTGCGAGGGCGACGCCTGTACGCTGAGAGTAGCAGATCTTGATGGCATAGCATAGTCTTCAGTAGCGCCAAGTCGTTTTTCTCGCACCAAACGCTGCGACCGGACCGCGCTACGGGTTTTCTGCTCTTATCATTTTGACAAGTGTGCAAGATCGAAGGCTCCGGGTTAACCGTGGCGACAACAGACGCCTTTGTGGGCTGGCTGTGGGAAACCTTAACAGGAGAGTAAGTGGAAAGGTCGGAATCGTTGTCCATGTCCTGCATGGGCCAGCTACTTTCCAGTGCCAAGGTGGCCATGTCCAACCCTGGTCTTAAAGAGGGTTGTAGGTCCGAGCCCGCTACCAAGCTTGAGTTCCAACTGGGAGAAAGCGAGGTGGGCGTATTGACGCAATTATCCAGGTCTGCCGTTGCTGTGCTACTGGCGCAATTTTCCATTAGGTCCAGGTCTGAACAGCCGGGAAATTGCCAAGCACCGGGCTTGACAGCTTGATTGTTGTGGCCAGCACTGTCAAAAAAGGCAAAGTGGGGATCTGGGGTCGGGACTGCTGCTAGAACCTCATCAGAGAGAAGTGTTTTTTGGAAATTGAAGCCCGGATACAGCGTTTCGTCTGGATTGCCGAGCCTCCTATAGCCAACGTAATTGTCCTTTGATGGCATGCTGGAGAAGGAAGGATAGAATTGAGGGCACCCTTTCGATGGCCTGGAGTTTGGATACTCCACGAACACGCCAGTTGGGTGTTGTGGCATTTGTGTACTTATATATATGCACGCTGTCGTCGCTGTCGTACCTTAAGCGCAGAAACATGCTTAACTGGCGACCCTCGCTAATTTGGGCCGGACTCCTGTAGCGGCAAAAACATGCATGCTTGGGAGCACACACTGACACACCACAGACCGGGCTATCTGAACTTAGCTCCGAACGATCGGGGACAGTAAACGGCGTAAACGCGAGCGTGCGGCAGCTTCACGTTTTTCGATGCCACTGTGGTTTGCCTGAGAATACACTTTGCATCGTTCTTTGATTATGTCGCAGCCCAAGGAATGTTTCGATCGTACCGTCGATGAACGCAGTGTTTGCACTCTATGCTCAGGACAGTGACGTTACAGCAGGCCCTGCCTGCTGCGCTGCAAAATTTAAAAAAAGGCCTCTGCTGAGAGTCTAATGTATCACCGCACAATCGTTACTGTATCTATGGCACTGGAGAACCCATCCAAACTGCAGAAACCGCAGACATCCTTGCTGCACGGTTCTCAGACGTTCGACGGCAAAATTTTGTGCCCGCGGAATATCTGACAATTGTACCCATTTCTCGAAATGCTTTATCGCTGTAATTGTATCGCTTAACCTCATAACTGGTTATATTGGCCTTCAGCACGCACGGCTGTTGCGGCAATTAGCTACAGATGGTCAGCCAAGCCAGGCCGTGTATATGTCGTCTAGATAGCACGCACCGAACGGGCGAGAGTTTACACGATAAAGACAGAGTTTTCGCCGGAGTGCACAAGGCAAGGGCCAGGCACCTATGGGCACTTCCCATTAGACTTTGGGAGAAATAAAAACGCTGCAAACAAGATAATTCGGATTGGAAAAAGAGGTAGAGAAGGGCAGAGGTGTTGCGAAAATGCACTGGCTTTTTTTCTTTAGTGTAATAGGTCTATTCGTAGCGAGTTGCTGGTTTTTTTGCATTGTCGTCGAGTGATGGTGCTCGAGAGCAGAGCCTGTGAGCCTGTGAGCGAAGTCGTATATCATGTTGCCAAGGGCATGTACGAGAAAGCTGGGCCCGTGGCGTGTGCGCGTGTATGAGCCATTGAGAGTGATCTGTAGACTCCGGAGCTAAGCATCGTACGCGGACTTTGGAAGACAGATGATGTCATTTACACGTGACTATTGGCGTATATCGTGATATCGTTTTTTTGTGTACACCCGTGCACCCGATATTCCTAACACCATTGCATCCGTGCATCCCTACACCGGTACATCCTGAATTCGTACACCACCGCATGGGAGCATCTACCAGTCTCAGTTTAGCACCATTGGGTGCTGGGAAACCATTATTGATGTCCATGAAGATTGATAGCTGGAGAAGAGACCTTATAGCAATGTAACAATTCATGCTCCATCGCTTTTTTGGTCTCTTAAATCGCAACAATCTCTGGAATATTTGTATAAAAAAAGACAGCCTGCGTCTGCAAAAAACGATCATTACCGACCAGGGACACATTCTCACCGGGTGTGTAAAATTAAGGTCTTCGGCGCCAAGCGCACGGTAGAGCTACTTCAAGGATAGACTTCCTTGGTCGTTGACACTACGTCGTGTAAACACATTGATCATGTGACTTAATGACAGACCTCAGCCTGTCTAAAATGATTATATATGAAACCCCAATACTGTGGAATGCAGGCTTTCAAGTTCAGTTCTATTAATGATGCTGCGTATTACTATGACTTGAATATCCCGAAAAACTTCTTTCACGCACCAATCGTTCACGGTGTCGATTTGGTAATCAAGTTGCGCAAATCCCGTGTGTCGATCTTGAAACAGAAATTTCGTCCGTCTGCCGCTCCATTTTACCCATGAAGAGACTCCTCGATTCACACCCATGATTGTGAGCTCTTTGATTTCGTAACGAGAAAAGTTCTCATCACTTTGTACTATATTGTCATGTAACCTTCCAAATTCCTTCTACCATCGTTCTGTAAACGCGGACAATCTTTAGGCCCTCTTCTTTTCCTACCCAAGTCCCAACTCTACCTCATAACTTGCACATTCGCGGTAGGTTAAAAAAGCTAACACCAAGGATCCCCCACTCATTACAATATCGCAACAATATCTTTCATAGTCTTCGAGCTGACACAATTCGCAAGTTCTATCTCGATACCAAATACATCAATCTGTGGCTTGATGTGCACTTCCAAACACCTACGAACTCTCGCTATGCCGTAGACCACCTTGTACTGTACTCATCGCTTCAAACCAAAGTACTCGCCAATAGCCTTCTGAGTACTCGTCTCAGTTCATAAGTTCACACAGCTCACTCTCGCACAACAGTCGGTTCGATTTCACGTCAAAATTACACCTGATCGGCTGGAAAGCACCTCAGTTCCCACCCCGCACACATCCCATCATCATGGTGGACTCCTATGAGACCGATTTTGATGATGGCAAGCCACCAGCCCGCATATCGCTAGCCTCATGGGTCGAACTCCTAGACCCCGTTTCTCCCACCGCACAATCATACTACCTGTCCCGTCGCTACTTTAACAGTGCTACACAGCGAATCAGAAGCACCAAGACACATCAGAAACTCGCCAAGCTCAAGAACTCTGCACAGGATCTCACTCCGCAGCTCGAAGAAATCAAAAAACGCACCCTCACCAGGCTCCAAGCCCTTGACAAGCCTCTGGAAACGCTATTCTTTCATAAGAGCTCGTATCTCGAGAAATGGTTTTACCCGTTCACGCTCTTTAACATTTTCGGCATCGGGTTTATTATCGGCAAGTACCCCGAATGGTTTCACGTATACTACACTGCGATGCTGGTGCTATTGATGCCTGTGCGCTTCTACACATACTACAAGACCAACAGTCACTACTATATGGCGGACTTGTGTTACTATGTGAATATGATGTGCCTGCTTTTTATCTGGGCTTGGCCAACTTCCGTTCATCTGTACCAATCCTGTTTTGCATTTACCTTCGGTACACTGTGCTTTGCTGTCATAACCTGGAGAAACTCCCTAGTCATTCATTCGGTCGACAAGATCACCTCATGTTTCATCCATATCATGCCTCCTTTGACCATGTACACCATACGACATGGTATCGGCGAGGATCTAAAGCTCGAGCGGTTCTCAGCGGCTTCTGTACTGTCCTCTAAAAGCTGGAACCTAAAATACAACATTTTGTGGACCTCGCTGTACTATTTGGTTTGGCAAAGTGCATACCACTATTTCATCACTCTGCGGCAATCTTCAAAGATCAAATCTGGGCAAAGAGTGACAAGCTTTGAATACCTCACTTCACATCAATTCAAGAACTTTTGGGCTGTCAAATTGCCTGATCCTTGGCCGATGGTTTGCTATATCTTGATCCAATACTGCTATCAACTGGGCACCATGATGTTGTGTGGAATTTGGTTTCACCACCGGAGAGCAGCAGGTGCATTCTTGATGTTCATATACCTTTGTGCTGCAAGAAACGGTGCATCATATTACATTGACCATTACGGCAAGAAGTTTGAGAAAGAGGTGACTAAGCTGAAGGTTGAACTTGAAAATATGCAGCAACAGCTCGACCAAAAGTGTTATTCCGCTAACGAAGAAGAAACTCATTCACTTTGACAACAAGTATGCAGCTCACATCGGTCTCTTTTCAGAAGCTATCCGCTATTCCATAGATGCAGGGTCATTATTCATTAAGACTATATCATATATTTACTTTTGAGATAACGTTCGCAGCTGAATGCCTTAATTGGCATCGATTCTACAATTTGGCTTTATGACGAGCGCTTGTTGACTATTCCCAGTAGTATTTTAATGCTGTTCTCGTCCTCCAATTCTATTAGTTTATGATGCAGTTTTTTTACCATTGGATATTTCCAGTTGATGTGTCTCTGTGATGACATTATAATTCCCATGGAGTCGGTATACATTTCTTGATTGGTGAAAAGATCCACCATCAACGAAGCGAAGACTGAATCTTTGCTGGCTCTTTCAGCTGCATCCAACTTTTGAAAAGCCCCGAGCTTTCTAAAAGCACCGCGGCTCTCCCATGTATCTCTGGCAAATGCGACGTCACGAAATTTGATGGCAGCCCGCATGGCCAGCTCGTACAAAACCGAGTCTCTTAATAATTTATGCTTCATCGAGCATAAGTATGTAAGAGCAGCCTCGGTATGGTGATTCTGTGCCGAGCTCTCTTGCAAAGTAGATTCCGACGTATGGGGCAATGAGTTCATTTTTGCCTCATTGAACACAACTGAAATGTATTTGTTTAGTTCTTGCTGTTCAAAGGAGAACTCTGAGAACCTTAGTAAAAACTCACGCTTGTCGCCCATCTTTATCGGTATTGTCAGAAATGACACCAGGGTCTTGGCATTCAAAACATGATGGTTGACCAACTTAGACCTCCATGCAGAAATTTGGTTGAAGGTTGTGAAAGCAAATTCGTCTAGTGAATTACTGGAATCCAATGAGGCCATCAATTTTTTCGAAACATCTTTTGGGGCTTCTCTAAGATTGCAAACTCCGCCAAACTCGAGGTTGAACTGCCACAAAGCCCGAGACTCTAAGATTACTTGGGAACTATTGCTGAAATCAGCTACAGGCAGCATCGGAATATTTATAGGGACCTCACATGCAAATTCATTGGATACTTGCTGATAATCGACGCTGTTTATCAGATTTCTTCTGGTGATAGCTCCTTGATCAAAGCCCATTACTAACGGCAGCTTTTCTGGTGAGAATTTAGCATATGCTAGCAACAAATAGTTGAAGATGTATGGATTGAGTGTTTTTGACCAAATAGCTTTGTAGTCGATAGGACTCGTGTCGCCAAACTTAGCTCTCCACTTGCCGTAGTTATCGGCAAATTTTGCGGTGACATACTTGAAGTACAGTGCCCTAGCGAGACCTACGTCTCCGTCATAAGCACAGAGTGTCATCATTGTCATAATAGTGTCCTCTAAAATGCGACCTCTCATCTGTACCAAGTCTTCATTTTGATGCAGATACTTCCAACCCAAAAGTCTCAGCGACTCTGCTTTTCCCTCACTAGAGATTGGGTCTCCACTAGCTACTGCCAATACTCTAGCAACAGCATTCAATGCTTCAGCAGATATCTCGATTTTTAAATCGGACATTTCATTGAAAAGATCGATAGCTTTAGCATAATTCTTCTCTTTGACGCAGAGTTGCAGCATTGAAGTGTACGCTTTTGCGTCTGGCTTATGTTCTGCTGACAGAAACTTCATAGTCGCAAATACATCCCAAGCTTGACGGTTCAGTCCCAATTTGTTGTAAAATTGGAGTATAGCGGTATAGTTTTCACGGTTGGGCAGAATTCTGTACTCTTGATTAAACTTTGTAAGGTAATTGTTGAGCTTAGAAGCATCCATCATCTTTGAAGCGAATTTTATGCAGCAGTTTAAAATGAACTGATTCATTTCTGCCTTGTGCCGCTGCTCCGGAACGAGACTGTTGGGATCAGTGTTTCCTTGCTGGGCCGACGTGCGAGCTGAGTCAAATCTTTGCAAAAGTGAGTCCAAGAAAGCAAAAACCTCCGTCGATTCTGCTTCCTTTACTGGTTTAAGATTGGAAAGATTTTGGAAAAGGCACTCGTACATGGCGGTGGTGAGTTGAGTACCAGTACTCTCGACATATTCCACCAACATCAAATCCAATTTTCGGATATTTTTTAAGGACAGATGGGTAACTCTCGAAAGAAGCCCCGTTTTCAGAGCTTTGTGACTGACACCGTTGAGCTTTCCGGGACAATCATAGAGTTTCGAGACAATTGTATTCCAATTGCGAGAACGATGGTTTATAAGCGACTTTAACACCAGCTCGTCGTCATTTATACGCTGCAGTAGCATCTGCGGCAAGAGTTTTTGGGCTTGGCCGGCTGTGCTGAGCAGAAATGACGACAAATTTGAAGTGTCAGTCATTTGACTTTGCCCAAGAATTAGTTCTGCGGTATCCTCAGTATCGAGCTCATCCTTCTCGGACGTCGCCAGCACTTTTTCTGCCGCCTCTTTTCGAGACAGGTCGTCAGCCATGCGTACTTGCGCCTGTAGGTTTTTCGTAAATTCGCGAAGTTGTCGCAGTTTGAACTCTAGTTCTCGAGGATCTGTTAGTTCCAATGGCTTGTTGAGCTTCAGGTCTTCCACCGACACATTTTGTCTCACACTTCTGACGTTTTGCCGCCGCCTCTTGGTTCTAGTTCCACTTGCAGGAACCACCACAAATCGTCTAAAAACAGATCGACTAAGCAGTTTTAAACCGCGCAAGTTTGGAGCCAACATATTCTACCAAAAATAACACACTATGTACAAGGTCAAAACACTCAAAAATGCCTTCTATCTGATGCTATTCTTCAAGAACAACGTCAGTTTCTTCAAAGAGCTCATCTCATCGCACCGCGATGAGCTCTAAATTGTGTATTTTTCATCGCACTTTGTACGGCTGAAAAATTTCAGAAATTCATACATAACAACGAGATGAGATGAGATGAGCTGCGATGAGATGGGCGATGAGCTTATTTCAACAGACGAAAACTCATCAACTAACGATTCAAATTCACGTCAGTAGTTGAAGAACTTGAAGATGGGTACTGGAAATGGTAAGGACGAGGTTTCGAGCGGTGTCTCGAGCACTGCTTCAGGTGCTACTACTGGTGAGAACGAGACCAGTGTAAAAGGCTCGAACGTTAGTGGAAGAGCTTGGAAAGTGGACAAAGGTCAGTTCAGAGTGGGCAGCCGACAGGTTAAGAACAAGAAACTGAACTCGTGGGAGGTCAAGAAGCAAAAAATGCTCGAGGATAAGCAGTTCAAACAGAAGTTGAAAGAGTTGAAGGAGGAGAAGGACCAGGCGCGCAAGGACAAGATCCAGGCTTTGAAGGAACGCAGAGAGAAGAAGGAAGAACAGGAACGGTACGCGGCTTTGGCCACCAAGATGCACGCCAAAAAGGTGGACCGTTTGAGACGCCGTGAGAAGCGCAACAAGGCTCTGAAGGAGCGCTGAAGCACAGCTCTATGAACGCTGAATGCCGAACGCGCTAAAAGCATCCGTGTATTGCAGGAAACAAACAAGAATGCAGGGCGAGTCGGGTTGTTGTATATTAGATAAGTGCAAATGTGTACATTTTAGCTTTCGACCACTCCTACTTTAACGTTACCCACCAGGAGCCTTACCAGAGTTCAATAGCGGTTCTAATCCACCCTCCAATTTACCAAATATTCAAAAATATATGCGAATTCTGTGGATCGAACACAGGACCTCCAGATTACAGATGACCGAAGTTTCCTTCAGTCTGGCGCTCTCCCAACTGAGCTAAATCCGCTTTTTCTTGAAATGGTAATAAATTTAGACGGTATTACCGGGATATACTAGCTGCGAGATCTTGATTACTTGATTATAGCTTTCTTGCAAGAAATTGTCCACACTCCTCATCACTTGACAAGTTGTGTCTGGAGACAACTCACCAAGCTCCACGCTCTTGAGACTGCTCAGCTGCACTTTTAGAACGCTTTTCCAACGGCCTGTCGTCAGTTCTGGCGACAACTTATTTTTCAAGTCTATGAACTAGCAGATCCTCGAACCACAGACGTCAAGGCCAGCTATTTGGATGTCTCGATGTCAAATTCCAGGACAAAGGTCATAAGAACTCATGAGGGCCATCTATTGGAACTTATGGACGAGAATGTCCAATCTGTGAATGCTTTAAAATCCAAGCTCACACGGAATCACGATCGTGATGACAGTCGTGATGACAATGACAATGACGATGGCGATGGCGATGGCGATGGCGATGGCGATGGCGATAGCGATAGCGATAGCGATGGCGATGGCGATCGCGATGGCGATAGCGATAACGACCAAGAGCATGTTGTGAAGAAAGCTAAACGGCAGCTCGCAGTGCAGACCCCCACAGGAACTTTACAAGTTAATTCGGATGACTTCAGACAATACCACCAGGCCAAAAGCAGAGTACGAGATTTCTACCGAGAACAACACGAGAAACAAACCATGGCGTTCAATTTACAAGCGCGTGTGAATTTCAAGACCAAAACTAGGGCCAAAATGACCATTTGGGATGCTCTATGCAAGCTAAGTATGCTGATTGATGATTCAGATCCAGACACCGAACTCTCCCAAATAGACCATGCTCTACAAACAGCAGAGGCTATTCGTGCCGATGGAAATCCGAGGTGGATGCAGCTTGTGGGCTTGATTCACGATCTGGGTAAAATCCTTTACTTTTTCGACAGCGAAGGTCAGTGGGACGTTGTAGGAGACACGTTCCCTATCGGCTGTAAGTTTACCGATCAGATTATTTTTCAAGAGTTTTTCAAGGGAAATCCGGATGACTCGCATCCCATCTATTCCACAGAGCTAGGTATTTATGAACGTGGATGTGGTCTAAGTTCCGTAATGCTTTCGTGGGGTCATGATGAATACATGTACTATATTGCCAAAGGCCAATCTACCCTGAATGAGAGAGCACTAGCCATGATTCGGTACCATTCTTTTTACCCCTGGCATAGAGAGGGTGCCTACCGCTACCTGATGAACGACAAGGACTTCGAAATGCTGAAGGAAGTCCAGGCCTTCAACAAATACGACTTGTATTCGAAATCGCTGAAAAGATATGGTATAAAAGAGCTAGAACCGTATTACTTGGAATTGATAGACGAGTTTTTTCCAGCTAAGTACGTTGAATTCTAATCTCAACGAGAAACTCTCACTTATCCATATTATCCTGAATTATTACTTTACAACTATATTAATACAATGTTACCTATTACTGAGAATGCGTTTTGATGTTTTGTTGCCTTCTTTTGAAACGTCTTGTGGTTTCATAGCACTTACGACCGTGTGGTTGCAAGTCGGCCAAGTTTTCTCGTGCTTTAAGCGTTTGGAAGAATGCTCGAGATACCGAAATGGTTTTCGATATTGTAAGGACCGGGTTGTTTCCATAAATCATCGAAGGTAGATAGGATAGTCACTTGCTGGCCCATCTCATTCAAGATATTTTGCACAGCGGTAAGCTGATTTTCAGCCGATGGAATGTTACCTCCATTTTGATCTCCATCAGATGGGTAACCAGTCTCTGTCACAACAACATTATTTGTCCCGCAAATTTGCTGAATGAGCTCGAATTGACCCTTGACAAAGGTGCCTGCAGAGGCTGCAGATGAATTTTCATCAAAGTAAGCATGAGAGTTTATACCAACAAAGTCGATCTTGGCGCTTGTGCACAGTTCTGGATGGTTTTGGAAGGTCACTGGGGGCTCGCTAGTTGTGAACTGGCCATTGAATCCTGCGTTTTCGAATTGAGATCTGACAGATGAGATCTTGTTGATCAAATCGCTCACGGTGCAGTAGCCAGATAGAATAGCTTCATTCCCAATCGTCAAAACATCAAAAAGGTCCCACCCGTTAGATTGGCCATACGATATTAGCGCAGTAACAGAGTCATCAATGGAGTCGACACCTGAAGATGTAATCCACAATCCCTGATTGATCGTAATTCCCAATGATTTGGCAGCAGAGGTTACCGTTTCCAAAGAGTTGCAATCGGTACCGTAAACTCTGATTTTAGAAACACCTTTAGACTTGATGAACTCTAGATCTTGATAAACTGAAGAGGAGTCTTTGCAACTGTTGTCATCGTTGTAAGGCGAGTATACCAAAGCTGTAGGAGCGCTTGTCAAACCACCGGATGAAGTCGAGTATGAAGTTGAGGAAGTGGAAGTCTGCGAAGTGGAACTGGTTTCAGCTTGCGTGGTGAAGGAGCTCGTCTGCTGTTGTGTAGTAGAACTACTCTGTTCATTTGCGCTTGTGGTCGATGTTGTTGGCTGAATGCTTGTTACAGAAAAGCTGGAAGTGGTAGAAGCTGGAGGAGCTGGAAGGTGAGCACTTGGCGCGTCCGCCCTCTCTGTGCTCGAAAGAGACGTGCTCGACGAGGTTGAAACCGAGGTCGCGGATGAGGTTGGAAGAACAGAAGCGGAGCCGACCAAAACGCTGCTAGAATAGGTGGACTGTGTGCTTCGCTGATTCTGAGAGGACGGAAGAACAGAACTAGAAGCCACTAACACACTAGTAGGATAGATGGTCGCAGTGTTCTGTTGGGTCTGGGAAGATGGAAGAACAGACGCAGATGCAACTAGCGCGCTGCTAGAATAGGTGGTCGCGGTGTTTTCCTGGGTCTGGGGACTCGAGTTCACGCTTGACGCCTGGATTGGAGAAACATACACAGTTCCTTTAGGAGAGCCATTGGTAATCGTGGTGGCACAGTCTGTGGAGGAGGTCGTAGGCTCAGCAGCAATGTTATTTTGGACACTCACCGTGAGCATAACAGTAGTTGTGGGGCTTCCGGTTGGGGTGGCACCGTCAGCTAGAGGCAAAGTGGTAGTGATTGTAGTGTCGCCGCTAATAATGAACTCTACGGTGGGAGCGACCTCAACTTGCGTAGTGGTTGAATAAAAGTCCGTTACCATGTTCGTAGTGCTTGCAGTGTGCATTCTGGTTATTATCTGTCTCTTGGCTTGCTGATCCAAAAGTGGAAGCGAGTTGGCATACTGGGACAACCACGCCAGACAAAGGAGCACTGATACAAAATTAGGTCTGTATGCTATCATTGTGTTAGCGTTCGATTTTTTTAGGTCAGAAATGATTGAACGTTCGAGATTCAATGATCGGGCCTGAGTTTGGTGAGGTATAACTGAAAGGTAAGGATAAAACATCTCTTGTGCCTCATAGCCTCAAGATCGTTCATTTTATAGTATTCTGAGGTTCAGTTTGCTCGGCTGATGTTCCCAGCATTTAGTTGTCGTCCACACACCTTTTGGCAAGCATTTGAAGATCTCCCAGGCTAACAAAGCCCAAACTGGTCGAAACTGACAGCATTTCATCCAGCGTAACAACAAAACATAAAAAAAACCTAGTTGTCAAATTCCAAGCTCTATTTTGAAGTGTTCGTCGCTCAAGGCTTTCCATTTCGCTGGTTCCTCACTGGCGCCAGGTATACATTTTCCAGTGTTTACATTTTTTCGCTTACATAATAAAATCCGAAAGGCTGGTTTTTGATGAAAAATGGGAACTGATTAAGGTTGCTCTGGGACAGTAGGTAGAACGTGGCGTGTACTGAGTAGTGTTGGTGATCATTGCGTGGAGGGCATTGTTTGGCTTGGCCTTTGTTTGTTTTGAGTTTTTGGATGCTTTATTTCTTGAATTGTTTTCAAATATTTTCCTTTGGGCTGCGTCGCTGGCAGGTAATGCTCTACGTGCCAACCACTTGCCGTTGTTGTCAATGATTTGTTTTCGTTCCTTTGGTCGTAGTTAGACTTTTTTTTCATTTAACTCCCCAATGTTTGGTAGACTATGTTGACTAGACAGTTTTGCCAGTCGTCTACAAGCTCTCAGGAAGACGGCCCAAAATGTTGACAATCAAAGCACTCCAGCCTGTGAAATGCTGGACTCCGCTGCCTTTCCCAGTATTGTGGTTGTAATTTTCGTAAACGTAACCATCCTCGGCCCACACACGGTGCATATTGGATATCAAGTTTTTTCTGAGGTCATGGTACAACTGCCTGGCTTTCTCAACCGTCTTGGTATCTTGAGCATCGCCTCCATCCTCAAAATAATAAGCTAAACTGTCCAGAAACAAATAATTCATGTTGATCCAAACCGGACCCCTCCAGTAAACCTCGCCTGTCTCGAAATACTCATCTTTTCTCGAAAGCGAAAGAATACCATAATCGCCAAAAAGTCTGCCCTCGTCTGCCATCAGTTCTACAAACCATTGTAACTTGTTTGAGTTCTTTGGCTCAAGCTTGAGAGCGAAAGGCATTAGCGAAACGTAACCTTCGTGACGCACGAATTCTCGCATTTCATCACTGTCATCGTCAATTGTCACATCGTAGTAACAGTGGTCCTCTTCGCTCCAGTGAATTGTGTCCAGATTTTCAACGATATTCTGCTCAATTTGAGCAAATTTCTCGTATTCCTCAGACATGTCTAGAACCTTGGCGATTTGCTTCATTGATCTCGTCATAACTCCGGCCCATGCCAAAGCGTCCAAGTGTAGTTCAGCGACGTCAGGTGGCTGACTACGAGGATAGTCGTCGAGGCCACTAGGCAAACAATGTGTAAAGGTCCTTCCGACCCATCTGAAGGCTTCCTCTGGGTGCAAACTGTCACCCAATATTTCCATGTACTCCTCAGTGAACCCTCTTTGGCTATCTGTCCACCATGTATAATGCTTCAATAAGTTCGGGTACACCTTTTTTGCGAATGAAGTTAAAAGTTCTGGCCGTCTCAGTAGCTCGTCAGTCTGTGAGCCGGCGACAGTAGAGAACTCCTCCGTCGAGCCGTAAGCGGACTGCTGCAAGTCCGAAGCTCGAGTGAGCAACTCGCTGAAGCACAACAACAACGTAGGCGGGTTGGCTATGTTCGGGTTTTGAATTTGGAATTCTTGTGGAACCTTACTGCGAGCCTCATTTCCCAATATAAGCTCGCGAGCTACCCAACCAGTTTCCTCCTCGATGAGGTCGAACCAGCTTTGCAGTATCTCTAAAACAAGGTCGCAATCGTACTCCATCATTTGTAGTAGATGGAATCCCTCATCCCAATAGAACCCACGAGGGAAAAATGCGCGACTGGGCACAGAGCTGAACAGTTGTAAAGGTCCCTCTTCGCCAGCTCTGTTGAGCTCGATCTTTTCAAAATGTTCCTCGTCTAATTCTGTTTCGCGATCAACCATCTGAGTACCATAAAAGTACCCGATCCCACCCATTAAATTGGCTAGTGTTTCTTGTGCAAACACCTTTAGTTTCAGATCCTCTATGTCGAACTTATTGTTGAAACGCACCTCTAGCTCGCTCACGGTCCAGGAGATCAAAGTTGATAGCTCATCGCTTGACTTAATGCGTTGTTGCGATCCCTTTTTGTTATAAATGACATCAAACTCAAAGGGTTGATCTAGGTCAAAGGTCTTTTGAATGAAATGGAAGTTCCCTGATGGAAAGTTGTTGATATTTCTTACAATTAAAGCGGAAGGCAAAGATAAAGGATGCATTTTGTTTCCTGATGACAGTAGTTGCTGAACAGATTCTCCCAACATCGATTGGAAAATATCACGAGCTTTCCAAACTTGATCGCCAGGCACCGTGAAAGAAATGTGGGAGGTCTTTGAGCTATCTGCATCCTGTGCCAAAGCCGGGCCTCTGCTGTAATAGTTTCCAGAAATATCACCAATGTGAATGTCGTAATTTCCGAGCTCAGGAGAAAAACCTTTCAAATTCGTGTGATGATTGTCTTGACGTTTGGTGAGGTCTTGGTTCAGATGGCCTTTTTCGCCATTTTGACTAAAGTACATGACAAGTGAGGGAACCTTGGATTTGGAGGAATCCAATGGACGTCCTGATACCCTAAACCCCCAATTTTCGCCATTTCTGCTTTTCGCAAAGTGAATTGTCAAGTTAAGGTTGTTTGCACTGTCGATTATGACCTCTCTGCCACCCAATCTCGGATCATATAGCTCATAGCCGTATTTGTCGAGTTTGTCGCCAGTGTCAACGAAGTGTCTTAGCTGGCTGACTCCCTCAGCACTCGATGAATCGAACCACATAAGGCCCATCATCATTGGATTCTCGTTCACAAATCTTGGTCGGATTCCAAAATAGCAATTGGATCGGTATGGGGCCCAAAGCAGGGATTGGTTCATATTCCTTTCATAGTCCTCGGTTTCAGCGGAATTGAGTACCGCATTGTCTGCAAACACTGTAGCACAGATAGAAAGAAGTATTGAGGCTATCTGGAGAAGCATTGAGTGTGCAGATTCGTCCTTTTTAAATATTTTTAAAACTTAACAAGATTGTAGATGAAATAGTCGAACATAAACGTATTGAAATTATAAAACCAAGTGGCATTTTTCATTAAAAGTATCCCTCTCTACACTAGTCGGAACCATCAGTACCATCGAGTCTTGTAGATACGCTATCCAAGAGATTTTACTGGTTTCTATTCTAAAATCTTGAACAATTGATACAATGGCTTACAGGACTTGAATGTTCATCGCTGTAACTAAAACATATAAACGTCCAAAAGATGGAATTTCGTATGTGCTGAATGACGCTGGAATTAGTGATTTATGGGTTGGTGGTCGATGACTAGCCGAATCCTTTGACTCTCTTCTTCTTTTTTCTGTGTCTTTGGGAATTCTGAGTTTGAGAATCAGATAGCGTTGGAACGGGCTGAGAAGCCGATATTAACGAAAATGCTGGCGCCATAGTGTTTGGCAGTATATTTGATGCGTCTTGAGAATAGGTCTGTTGCTGGGACATCGAAGGATGGGACCTGCCAGGAACAGGCTGTGAAGCGGCCTGTAATGCACGAGGTGGAGGTAGAGCCTTCTTTTTCGGATTTCTAGATTTAGATAGGTTTTGTTGGGAAGCCCTGACTGACGGAAAGTTGGAATCTTCCTGGGTATGCGTATTTCTGCTTATTTCTGACAGTGGGATTATAGTTTCAGTCTCATCGGAAACATCGTCCCAGGAGTTTATAATTTCGCGATGGCTATCGCTGAGCTCATTGTAGGCATTTTTCGCCACAAACGGGAGCGGTGCTACACTGCATATACCTGTGTTCTTAAGAATAATTGACTTCAGAACTTCACTTGTTGTGTCTTTATCATCTGGAAACCCAAAACTCCAGCACTGCAGCAACTTGTTGTATAAAATGCCCAACTCTGCAACATTTTCTTGGATAATCAAGGAAGAAAGAGTGGTCAAATCTGTAAAGCTGATTTCTTGATCTTGGTAGTGGATTTTGAACTGCTCCAGTAGCGAACCAAACTCCTCCATATTCTCCACTTTTGAAATTGGTTCGGCCAGGCCGGCAAATGAGTAGCATTTTGGTCCACGAACCTCCTGCGGATTTTCCAGGTCCTTCGCCCATTCCACCAAGTGCTTGTTCATCCCATCCGAAAGGTCATATCCGTACTGTTGGAAAAGAGACTCTTCATTTGATGCGTCATAATCTTTTCCAGCAGACGGCAACGATAACGGCAGGTCGATAAAATCCTTGTTGACATTACGCACCGGAGGCGAGTCCAAGCCGCCAAAGTCCACCGAGTTTTTGTTCTGAGCTTTGGTAGGATGTAGGTGACTTCTCGCTGAATGTACGACCACACGCCATATCATACTACCACCGATTTCACGAAAGAGACATTCGAAGCCAGGTGTTTGGGGCGCATTTGCAGCTTCCTGATGAAATTCCACTGGAGTTTGTAGAGATGCAAGACAACTCAAACCAGATAAAATGCCATCGATCTGCAACAAAGACGGAACTCCAATGGATTGAAATAACAGGCCGTTTTGAAAGAAGACATGCACGAGGATCCCTGGCTTCAAGCCGGAGTAGACGAAAACGAAGAAAAGCCTCTCATATTGACAAGACCACTGAGCACCGCTGACAGTTCGCACGAATGCTTTGATGCTTACATCCTCAGGATCTAAAGAGTGCTTCCAAGAGACGAGTCTCTTGATGTCATTGCCCTTGAGATCAATCAAAATGATCTCTTTACTCGTGGTCAAAACCGCAATCTGGTCATCGACGCGAGTGAAATCTCGTAGCGAAGACCAAGACTTGGCCTCAATGACATCAAGTTGCAAGCGACGTCTGAAATTCAGTTCAATTAGTCTTGATCTGCTAACAAGAAGCAGACTGGAATACTCTGCGCCCCATGCTATCTTGTGCCAAGAAGAAAGCTCTTCCGGGTCATAAATGGAACCTCGTTTGTTCCCCGACAGTCGTAGACGGAAATGTCTCGGTCCTTTCTTGACTATGTTCCCAAGGGTCCAATTGCCCTTGGTATCAATAACAGCAAACTCGTTGAAATCCCAGGGATTGAATGCTATGTCCACAAATGCAAAGTCCTCCAGATTGCTGAACTTGCAAGGTCCCAAATTTTCGATTGATAGTGTACTACTCGACCTTTCAATGAATTTGACTTTGAAGACCTGAAGGGAATTTTCGGTTAGAACAGCTATAACGTCTGCTGCTCTGTTGAGAATTGGAGAGAATTCAGGTACCACGATATTCTTGATTTTCGATTGCAAATCGTAGCTCCAGACCTCACCAGCACACTTGGATGGGCGATTAGCGTCCATAGTGTCCACTAAACTAAAATTTATTATGCTTTGGGTTTCTCCAGATGCGTAGGCAACAATCTGATGAGCGTCACTGTTCATACGAAGACCACTGGTGGTGTGTATCATTCCAGTGATAATATCACAGACATCAGTGGGATCCACTATTTGAGGTTGCAACTTGAAATTTCGGTTAAAGCTGCCTTTCTCACTGAAAGACGCACTCTCACTTAAGTTTCTATCGCCACCTCTCTCCACGCCGCCGTATTCCCCCAACGCATCTGAAACGCTTAAAATCTGACCAGGACAGAATGTTAGAGGCGTAACGGGACTGTCCACCCTCGTTTCATAGCCAGAATCAGGAAGAAGTCGGACGTCTCTGAACAATTTTAACGGATCGGTACCTTCTAAAGGCAACTCATCACGGGCCTTCGACCCTGTTCCATACACAGTGATACTTTCCGATTCACTGTCACTTGTGGAGCTCAATAGCAGGTCATCGCCGGTATGTTCCCAGTCACTGTTCACCTTAGTATCGCGACTACTGCCAGTGCCACTGTTATTGTCCAAAAACTTCTCTTTGCCAGTCACAATTAGCAAAAAGCTGTCATTTGTTGCTGAGTTCTTGGCTGCACCAAATATCCACTTCGTGTCAGCTTGCTGCGATCTGTCTGTACTCGCAACGTATAATGCTGAGTTTCTGATGCCTAGGCCAAGCTGAGCACCAACGTTCTTCTTGGACGGCAGGAATTGACCTCTATCCATCAAGTACTATAAAGTTAACCTGTAATAGCAGCTGAGGCAAAACCAAAAGCTCTTAGCGAGCTTCAACTCCGGGGCATATATCGAAAGCTTTTTGTATTTATATCACTTTAGTGGGTCCGATGACTTTGGATTTGATCTAACAAGAATCTCGTGTAATAGTACCTGTTGGTATGATCAACAGCCTAGATAGATATATCTCGATATTCACTGAAGGTATGCTGATACTAAGCTCTTCTACAGTAAAACTTTAGTATGGCGAAAAATTGACCATTTTTTATCATGAGTTTACATAGAGGGTGACTATTCTTCCTTGCCCTTCTGCCTGCGTAACGAATTAACAAGATTTGGATGGGTCTTCTTCAAATCTCAAGTCCCAGCCGATTTGAGGACCCAACTTAGGCAAGACCTCAGCAACACTTTGAACGTCCTTGTCGCCTCTTCCGGAGACGTTGATGATAAGATGTTGGCTCTTGTCCATTGTTTTGGCCAATTCCACGGCTCCGTGGACAGCATGCGAAGATTCCAAGGCAGGGATAATACCTTCTAATTGCGACAGAAGCTTGAAACCTGCAAGAGCTTGAGCATCAGTGGCAGCGACGAAAGAAGCACGGCCAGACGCTTTCCAAGAAGCCAACTCGGGGCCCACACCTGGGTAGTCCAGCCCGGCAGAAACGGAATGAGTATCGTGCACCTGACCGTCGCTGTCTTGCAACACGTAGGTCTTGACACCGTGAAAAACACCTGGTCTACCAGCAGTCAGAGTGGCAGAGTGAAATTTAGTGTCAACACCGTCACCGCCAGCTTCCACACCTAGCAGCTTGACGGAGAGGTCGTGCTCGAAGGGCGAAAACATACCAGTGGAGTTTGACCCACCTCCAACGCAAGCGACCACGGCATCCGGAAGTTTGCCGTCGTTGAGCTTCGCGAATTGTTCCTTAGTTTCGTTACCAATCACAGACTGGAAGGTACGTACCAGGGTTGGGTAAGGGTGAGGACCGATGGCAGATCCCACGACGTAGTGAGTTGTTTTCAAGTTGGACACCCAGTAGCGGAAAGCCTCGGAGGTGGCGTCTCTCAAAGTCTTGGTACCGTTGGTAACAGCAACAACATTGGCGCCCAAAATACGCATTCTGAACACGTTCAAAGCTTGACGACGCACATCCTCGGCGCCCATGAACACAGTGCATTCAAGACCGAACTTAGCGCACGCGGTAGCCGTGGCCACACCGTGTTGACCAGCACCGGTTTCCGCGATAATCTTCTTCTTGCCCAGCCTCTTGGCAATGAGAACTTGAGCCAGGGCGTTATTTATTTTGTGAGAACCAGTGTGGTTCAAATCCTCTCTTTTCAACCAAATCTGAGCACCTCCACAGTACTCCGTAAGTCTATCAGCTTTGTGCAACGATGAAGGGCGACCAATGTAGGAATACATGTCCCTGAATTGTTGCCAGAAAATGGGATCGGCAACAGCACTTTCGAAACCTTGTTCTAATTCTCTCAAACAGGCGTGCAAAGCTTCAGGCACGTACTGGCCACCGAAGTCTCCGAAATTGGCCATAAATTTGTGCTTTTCGTTGAAATTGGTGATGGCAGCTTTACGTGTTTTGCCTTCGGCTATGGACTTGACTTGCAAGTCTTTGAATTGTTCTGGGGACAAAAGCGTATGCTTTTGACCCGCTAGAATCTCCTCAACGTAGGACTTGACGACCTGGTAACGCTCATCGGGCTTGCATTCCTCAATCAACTTGATAATCTTAGAGCCGATAACGACACCGTCAGACACTGAACCGACCGTCTCGAAGTGCTCTCTCGTGGACACACCAAAGCCGACAGCGAGTGGGATGTCCTTGGTGAACTTTCTCACGTGGTCGACCAGAGCAGTGACGTCTTCAGAGACAGAGATTTGAGCACCAGTGGTACCCATTCTGGACACAACGTAGATGAAAGACGTGGCGATCTCTGACAAGAGCTCTAGACGGTGATCGGTTGTAGAGGGAGCGACCAATGGGATCAAACTCAAGCCATAGTAGTTGACGAGGTCACGCAATTTAAGAGCTTCCTCTGGGGGCAAGTCGACGATAATGAACCCGCTGGCACCTGCCTCGGCAGCCTGTTCAATGAACTTTTCTTCTCCGAAATTCAAAATAGGGTTGTAGTAGCCCATAAGAATGATTGGCACGGTAACACCTTCAGCTCTGGCTTGACGCACCATGTCCAGGGTTTGGATCATATTCACACCGTTGCGCAAAGAAACAGTGTTGGCGTACTGAATGGTTGGACCATCAGCAATAGGATCGGAAAAGGGCATGCCCAGCTCGATGACATCGACACCACCGTCTTGGAATCCTTTTAGCATTGGAATAGTGTCTTCGACTCTGGGGTAACCAGCGGTCATGAAAGTCACCAAAGCATTACGATTTTCAGCCTTGGCATTGGCAAATGTATTTCTCAGTAGTTCAGCCATCTTGTGGTGAATGTAGCAATGGTTCTGTTGGGGGTTTTGTTAAAGGCAACGATGTTCTTATATGCAAGAACTTTTCACATTGTGAATTTGATGATTCATCGAACTCGTGAGCACTAGAAACGAAGCAGTAAAAGATTAATCTGACTCATGAGAACTGGGCAGAAGATGGTTTGATGGCTCGATAGGCTTGATAGCTTGATGGATCGTGACAAGGTGCGGGGGTGGGATCAGAGCCTTGGTTTTGTAAGGTCTTGGCGGTTTCTTACCAAGAATTGATAATTAGAATGGTAAAGGCAAAGGACCTTCATAAAATGGTCATTTATCGTAGGTGCCATGGTGCGAGAAACCTTCTCCTTTGAATGCTTCGGCACACACGGCCGTCTCTTGAATATTCTTGTGTTTATAGTATTTTGTCGTATGCAAACACTCGATTGGAAGTCGAAAGCGAATATGGTGTGCTTGATCAGGCAATGAACACTGTTTTTCGCTGCGGTTGCGTAGTTTAGAACACGTAAATATTCCAAAGGTTTGACGGCCAGCCCATAAATAACTGATGATGACCTCTGCAACAAGAAATGGGAAAGCAGTCTTTGTACGGTCTCATATGCTGGTCAGTACTTGACTCTAAAATCAACAATTCACACTTAAACTTTGTTGTCGTTGTACAGCCTCATATGCTAGTCAGTGCAATGTCATGCCAGGGAATAACTTCACTGCAAAAAATCCATATTGAGAGTCGAAAGATCAATACTGTTAATGTCTAGCGAATTGAGGTCCTGGTTCATGTTGGGTTGCTGCGGAAGAGGATTCGTCTGCTGTGTGTGGGGTGTGTTGCCCGAGTCAGACATCGACATGTTCAGGATGTTAGCCGGGGTGATGCTTTCGAGGTTAAACTGCTGGGAGTTCGAGGGAACGTGGCGTTGTGGATGCATTTGTGGTTTTGCAGCAACAGAATACGGCATTTGGGACATTGATGCTGAGTTGTTGACAGGTGAAATCGTGTTCATTGGGCTGCTCATCATATTCATGGGTGACATGTTGGAGAGAATCTGAGTGGGATTTGTAACCGGTGTGAAATGCTGTTGCTGCTGCTGCTGCTGCTGCTGCTGCTGTTGTTGTTGTTGTTGTTGTTGTTGTTGTTGTTGTTGTTGTTGTTGTTGTTGTTGTTGTTGTTGTTGTTGTTGTTGTTGTTGTTGTTGTTGCGCTTGCTGCTGCTGTTGTAGTTGCTGTTGGAACTGCTGCTGTTGCGCTGCCTGCTGGGGCTGAGGAGGCATGGACGATGGTGACGGACCGGACGTTTTCTTGGCTCGTGACTTGCGAGGCTTCTTAGCCAGTGTGGCAGTGGTTGAAGACGGAGTGGGAACGTTACTCAAGGGCGTCTGTGCGTTGGAAGGCGCTTGCTTGCCCGCACTTACCAAACTAGCGCTTGGCGAGCTCGCGGTTGAAACCTTACCTGTAGCCGGCTGGGACGGGTCGTCCAGACGTAATAATCGTTCCAGAGGAATAAACTTCGTGGTCGCGTTTTCTTTCTTTGAAACTTCTTGCAAACTGTCAAATAGCGACTGCAGCTTTCCATAATCACCTGAAAAGAGCTGCATTTCGTTGATGAACTCCAAAAGCTTTGTTCGCATTTTGTTGAATGACTCTAACGCAGATTCGTCCGATTTTTGCTCCATCAAAGCCATAGCATTCACAAGCTCATTGAATCGCAGTCTCATGGGCAAAATGGAGTCCTGTACATGCTGAAGTTCCTGTTTAATGGAATCCTTGTAATTGCTGTCTGATCCCAATCTCTCGTTCAAATTGTCGACTGCGGAACTTTTATTATCCGAAGCCTGCACAGCAGTAGCCTCGTTGCTCATCTTGTTCGTTATAGAGCTCTATTCCTTGTGCTAACAGTGTTTAAACTTCACGGTTCTCCGGTGCAAGAAGAGCTCATCATTCATCTTAATACCAAGATCGCTCTTGCGTAGAACATGATATAGAGTAAGGTGACAGGCCAGTAGTTCGAGCACAGCTCAAAGTTTTCAGGAGTCAGCGATTCACAAACCGTCGTTGACTCATGAACGTTTTGATTTGAATTTCACCACTCTTGTCCCAGTTTTCAGCGTTTCAATTGACCATTTTTGAGATATTTGCGGTTCGAGATCGGCCCAGAGACCACTGAACCAGTATGCGCTCAAAAATGATATGGATATCTGGTTGTAGCTGCTTGAAACCATCTGAATAGTTCTTTGTTTCATCTCTTCAAAAGCCGGAAGCGTTTCGAGAAATTGGCGCACCAAAGAACTGGCTGGGATCTGCGTCATAGCTCTGAACCAGACGCAGGACGGCTCGTTTTTGATACAGTATACCAACGACAGTGTTTTGCACAGCTCGTGAAGTGTGAAGTCTGACATTTGAGACCGTAGTAGTGAAAGACAGAGGGAAATGTCGTGCGCGTAGTGAGAAATGTAGAGAGCGCAGCAGATCGCCAGTTCTTGCGACAACGCTTCAGAGGCGTCATAGATCAAGAGATTGTGCACGTAAAACTTCAAGAAAGGATAACTTTTGTGGTGTTCGCCGCGTCTGGAGTAGAATTGCACGGTTTTCTCGCAAACGCGCGCTGCCAGCGTCCTAAATTCCACATCGCAATAGCTTTCAGAGTCCACTGTGATGATAATTTCCCTAAGTTTCCGAAGGCCATGCTCGATAAGCGGACTGTTCCCGTCTAGGCTTTCCTGAGCTTCGATTTCCGTCCATAGTCGCATTCTAGCGGCTTGATCATTTTGTAGTAGGTGCAGATTCTTGTTTATCGCTCCAGATCGACTCAGAAGGAATTGGTCGTGCAATTGGTGATTGAGAATCTGCTGCCGCGCATGCTCAGAGAACTTGAACCGTCTTTTCTCAAGCCTTGTGTCGTGGCTCATCGTTTTCCTTTATTTGAGTTAGGATGATCAGCTCGTAGTACTGATTTATGTACTTAATTCATAAACTTCTAGTGGTGATATGAGGCAATGAGCTTCTTTTGCCGATCAATAGCTGGTTCCTTAACTTTTCAACGATCATACAGCAATGTCTCGAAACCGCTTGACGTTTTGTTCTTTGGTTCTGACCATTTCAGTGTGCATTCTTTGAACGCATTGTACAATTTGAAGAAAGAAGCTCCAAAGCTCATCGGTGACATCCAGGTGGTGACAAGAAGCACAAAGAAGTGTGGAAGAAACTTATCCGTGACCAAGAGTGTCCCAATCGCCAGGCTTAGCTATTCGCTTGGCCTGCCTCGCGTCATTGAATGTGATTCTAAAGAAGACATGCTAGGTCCACTAGCAAACGCCATGCAAACAGCTAGCTACGATATGATCATTGCCGTTTCATTCGGCAAGCTGATACCTAAACAATTGCTCTCTAAAGTTTCCTACACACTGAACGTCCATCCTTCTCTGCTTCCGCGCTACAAGGGCTCATCGCCAATTCAATATACGCTTTTGAACGGTGACGAAACGACCGGGGTTTCGATCCAAACTTTACATCCAGAAAAATTCGATTGTGGTCAGGTTGTGGCTCAAACTGAGCCTGAAAGTGTGCAGCAATTGCTTCAAGAGGGAGACTCGACGAATGTGGACGCTGGCCTGTACTCGGATCCATCGACTCCACCCAAAGTGTCAAAGCTTATGGACGCGCTCGGCGACCGCGGTGCGAAACTTCTAACCCATGTTATTGAAGAAGGTCTTTACGGGACCCACAGAGCCGTCCAAACGCCCTATGCTGAGAGTTTTGCCCCGAAGACCACAACAAAGATGCGTCAAATCCAATGGGACAGTGACACTGCTCAGACAGCGATCAGAAAAATGGATGCACTGGGCTCGGTTTATGCGTTCAAGAAAATATGCAAAAAAAACGGCGACCCGACCCAGCTGAAGCGAGTCATATTTCACAATCTGTCAGCGTATGATGACGCAGAAAAGGTTCCCGCGATTCTGGGGCTCCAACCCGGGAGTTTCGAGTACGATGAAACTCACAGATGCGTAGCAATACGGGTCGATCGGAAACATGTCCTCCAATGCTCTACAATACAATTTGAAGGCTTTAAAATCGAAACTCCAGAGCAGTTCTTCAAGAGCCTTCGCAAACGATGTGGAACACTGAGCACAGAAAAAACCTTCGCGTAATTATTCAAATATTCAAACAGACAAGAAACAATTGAGGAGATGTTCGACGAGCGCCTACGAGACTCTAGTAAATCTGATGTCAGTCCAATGAGTGTCAGCTTATGAGCTGCAGCGTCAGGAAAAAAATAAAAATCTCCGCGACGGGGAATTGAACCCCGGTCCCGGGCGCGACAAGCCCGAATTCTAGCCACTAAACTATCGCGGATAATAGATGGAAATGGAGAAAAATAGACAACACATAGTTCTTACAATCAGTAGCCTGATTTATCCAATAGATCTCATCATGATCAATCTAAGCGTGTTTTTCAAGAGTACTAAAACCCAACAATCCCACCCTCCGGGCACACCACGGCAAACGGCACCTAATTCGTATTTAAGCTTGAACTGTCAAGAGTTTCACTCCGAAAGGCTACCATATTTACGTGTTGTATATATTAAGGCCAATTGCAGCTCTAGCAAAATTAATATTAAGTTTCCAAAGTTTCCCTTTGTCTGTGGTTCTTAAGTTTGAGAATACCGCTTAACAAATATCTTCCTGGGGTATTTAAATAGCTCTGGAATAGCTCGAGAAGATAACACAATTCTTGCTCTGCGGAAAATACATTTCTCCCTGATAATAGCGCTCGCTCTTGAACTCTGCATTTGCTAGCTCTCAGAATGACTACTAAAAGTACGATGAGCTCAGAGGATGATATTCAAGAATACGTGTACGAGGAACCTCCTACGTACCGTAAAGTTGTTTATGACGTTTTTTTATGGCTCTTGAGCAACATTTTCGACTGTTTCTTTCGCGAAGTCCGCAGTAGAGGCAGGTACAAGGTTCCCACCCAAGGACCTGTTATTTTTGTTGCAGCTCCACACGCCAACCAGTTTATCGACCCCATTATTTTGATGGGACAAGTCAAAAATGCCGTCAACAAGCGTGTATCGTTTCTAGTCGCCGAAAAATCACTCAAGAGAAAAGCCATAGGTACTTTTGCTCGTTGCGCCATGTCAATTGGCGTTGGAAGGGCCCAAGATAATTTGAAACCGGCGGTAGGTAAAATTAAGGCCAGTGACGATAACCCTAGAAAAATTATCGGCGTTGGCACCAAATTCTCGCAAGAGTTCGAGTCACAGGGCTTGATAGGTCTTCCTAAGTCTTTGGGCAATGCCGTGATCGAGTCCATTGAGAGCGACACAGTGTTATACCTTCGGAAAGAATTCAAGCTCAGCAAGCCAGAAGTCAAACAGCTTCTAGACAGAGGTACCAGTTACAAATACGCTCCTCGGGTAAACCAAAAGAAAGTCTATCATCGTGTCTTTGAGCATTTAGCTCACGACCAGTGCGTTGGAATTTTCCCCGAGGGCGGATCTCATGACAGAACAGACCTACTCCCTTTAAAGGCTGGTGTTGCCATCATGGCTTTAGGATGCATGGGAAAACATCCTGAAATTAACGTGCAAATTGTACCTTGTGGTATGAATTACTTCCACCCTCACAAGTTCAGATCTAGAGCGGTGGTCGAGTTTGGTAACCCTATTGTCATTCCTCCGGAACTCGTCCAAAAATACCAGAATCCTGAGACCAATAGAGATGCCGTAAAAGAGCTCTTGGAAACTATATCTGATGGCTTAAAGGCCGTTACAGTGACTTGCCCCGACTATGAAACCTTAATGGTCGTGCAGGCAGCTAGAAGATTATACGCTGGTCACCTTTCCGCCAAATTGCCACTTTCCTTGGTAATTGAGATGAACAGACGTTTGGTAAAAGGCTATCAGATGTATCGCGACGACCCCAGAATTATGCAATTAAAGGAAGATGTTCTGAAGTATAATGCCAATCTCAGCAACTTCAATATACCGGACCATCAAGTTGAATCTGCGAAAATCAATTTCGCGAAGAATCTCGGTCTACTCGTAATCAGATCACTTCGTCTTTCTGTCTCGCTTATTTTGGCGTTGCCTGGCATTATTATGTTCTCACCTGTGTTTATTGTCGCCAAAATTATCTCGAGACAAAAGGCCTCTCAAGCGCTGGCAGCTTCTACTGTGAAGATTAAGGCCAAAGATGTAATTGCTACCTGGAAAATTCTCATAGGAATGGGTCTTGCTCCGCTACTGTACACCGTTTGGTCAATGCTATTGACATATTACTTCAGACATTCCATTACAAAGAACAAGTTCGTCAGCTTCATTGGAATATACATTCTTTGTGTCATTGTGACTTACTCGGCGCTGATTATTGGAGACAATGGTATGGACGTGTTCAAGTCTTTGAGACCATTGTACTTGTCAATAACAACTCCTGGAACACTCAAAAACCTGCAGACTGAAAGGAAGGTTTTGGAAGAGAAGATTACGGAAATGGTCAATACCTTAGGACCAGAGCTCTATCCAGGGTTTGACGGTGTTAGTCTATATGACAAATACAGACATGGACAAATCGCTACAGATGAGGACGAGGATAGAATTACCACCGAATTGAGAAGAAGAAAACAACTTAGAAAGCGTAAAGAACGCGGCAAACAAACATTCAGACACGGGACAGAGACAGAGGGCGAGAGTGATGCTATATCGATGATTAATAGTGACAACTCCTTGTCAAATATCCCATTGTTTTCTAATAACGGAAATAGATCCGGTTCTGTATCTTCATTGACTTCATTGAGTTCGGGATTCGAGGTCGTTGAAGATATGACCAGAACGAACGAATTAAGCAGTAAGATCGCCCACGCAGTGCGTGAGAAAAGAGAATAGTAAATCAGAACATATTAAATATTCATATTTTAAAGACAAAGAACCAATCATCGAAACGACACTTACGAGGAAGATGTCGAGAGTTTGGCCTCCTTCAATGCGTGTACCTGGACTCATTAATTCAACTACTTGTACAGTTTTTTATTTAAATAGTTCAATGGACACCTGGTCCAAAATAGTAGTCCTTCCACAGCATAATATTTCTATCTTTTTTATCGCATCCTAATGCTCAGAAGCTACTCCAATTCCAGTCCGCCGGAACGCTACCCACAATGCTTTCCAAGCGACCTCTTTTTCCTTCTTCGACAGAAGTTTTCTGACTTGAAGTGTCTTTCGCCCCGGGGACGGGTGTCGTAGACTTTGGGGTGTCACTGCTCGGATTAATGTCAGTAGATGGACCTTCACGCACAAGTGTATCATACTCCTGAAGACATCCATCACAGATTTTTGATAAAGCACCAGCACCCGCTCCCCCAATGAGAAACTTGGCGTTACTATCCAAATAAAGCCAATGTCTTACATGTTGAGAACAGAAAATGTCTCCGCAATGCCTGCAATGATGCTTACGCTCCCAGAAAGTGAAAATACGGTGACAGTAATGACAGGAGTGTCTTTTATTGTCAGCTATCCAGTGATCACGAGTAGGTCTGAGAACCTCAGCGTTGAGATTGGTGTGATCTTTACTCCACAGTGAGCCGAGCTTCTTGGCATAGTCGGAGATCATCGAAGATGACGTTGATCTCAGACTTCTCACACTGCTCCGCGTCGTCTGTACGGCCGAATTTTCCAAAAATAAGACGGGAGGTCCCGGCGAGCCCAGCTCGGCATTGGTTATGTTTGTCTCGGAGATGTCCCGCAAGACCGCAGGCGTGTATAATGGTTTTTTCGGCTCGTTCATCTGCCGCAGGGGACGCTTGGATTTTGGCCTTTGCCTGCTATTAGTTTCCAGAGCAGATGGGAGCTTGTCAAGCGGGTTTCTGACAGGTGCTATCGATGCTCTCTTATTTGGAATGGACGAGTCCAGAACGATATTTTTGCCTCCAAATTGCATGTGCGCTGCGGGCTCTTCGCAGTAAATGTCACGAAAAGTCGGGGTGGAGTCAACGTCTGCAGCTTGTGAAGATGGCCGTTCAGAAGACTGTGCATAAGTGGTTCCTTCAATGTCAACAACATTCGTGCTGGGGCTGCCAACACCACTATTGCCGTTTCTCATCATCGAAAGTCGACGCAGAGCATCTGTAGTGAGTCGTTTCTGTTGTTCGGCTTCGTCCTCCGGTTCTAGATCAGTTTTTTTCGAGCTATTGATTCCTGAAGGAGTTCCCGAATCCGAGGCACTTTGGCCGTCCTTAAAATTGAGTTTTCCACCGTTTACGTTACCCGATACGGCGTTTCTGTTGCTGGCCCTGGAATTTGCCGTTGACCTGTCGCCTTCCAGCTGTTTCCTTCTGTTGTCGGTAAAGGGCAGTTTCTGGCCGATTCCATCTTTGAAGAACGAGTTGGAAGTGCGTTTCTGCGCTACCGACGTCATGGCTGGAGACTGAATCTGCTGTGTGAAGGGAACATTCTTAGTGAAAGTGCTGCTGCTGTTATTGGTGGTATTATTATTATTATTATTGGTGGTATTACTGTTATAATTCGCGTAGTGCTGGCTGTTGTTCGTTGGCAACTGATTTTGAGACGCTTCCGAGGATTCATCGTGGGCTGGTTTACCCATCATGCTGCGCAAGGATATACAGCTCAAGACACTCTGTACCGACTGCGTTCTGGCCCTAGGAACAACTTTTTGCTTCTCGAACGTTATCCTTGACTTGTTACTATTGCTCGATGAGCTTCTTGTAGCTTCTCCTGTCGCATTTCCACCCGGTTTTTCTGTCTTCCGGGGTCCGGTTCCGTCATAACCCAAGTCGCTCGTCTGGCTCCGAACGCTGCTCATCCTAGGCCAGCTAATAGCACTCAGCAAGATTGGGAATCAAGCAGTAAGACAGGAGTGAAGGTGTCGATGAGTATGGTTATCGATTATACTGGGCCTGTAATTAATTAAATTAAATACTGTAAAAGCTCCACGTATAACGTGATGTTCTCATACTTTATGGTCAAAGAAAGAGCTGAATAAAAGTTGATGGCGGAAGATATATTTTGTTTTTAAGGCGTGTTTTGGGATGTTTTTATATCTGACGGGTGGAAAAAATAGAATTCGCGAGATCCGTTTATGTGGTGAACAAGTTTGGGTTTTTGTCAGGTTTTGATGCTGATTATTGGAGCAGCTGTGAAAAATTGATAAATGTTTAAGATGCAATACTGGGAAGCATCGCCAAATACCCGACATTATCGGTGGACCGCTAGAGATGAAGGTATCATTTACAAGTAGATGGTGTGATCATTATATACGGATGTGTCGTTGTTGATTGGTGAATGTAGAGCGTCGTTGTCGTTTGCGTCGAGCACGCTTTGCGAGGTGTCGAGGCTGTCAATCAAACAAAGAGGCTTTGTTTTTTGTGATGTTATGCCGAGACACTTCTCAACAGCCCTCTACTACTGGAATAAGACGACTACGGTTTTTTTCCTCGCAGATGTGTGGCAGTTTCCTCACGCTGAGTATGCCAGACCGACTATTATGCTCATTCGAATTTATTTCAGACTACAAACTCGGAACCAACAACGCTACAAAACCTCACGTCGTATTTCTCTTCGATACGTTGGCGCACGAGAAAAATGGGCAAAAATGTCAGCAAGAGCTTGGTTTCACCATTAAACGAAGCAGTTTGAGACGCCATGAATGGTGCACTGGGGACACCCACTGCCCCACTAGCCTGTGCGGGCTTTGCTATTATACGTGAAAGCTCTCTTTTTCATCATTTTGTACTAATGTGTCGTGTTGCTGTATGCGTTATGTTACACGGCCTATGGAAACCACACGACATGCCGTAAACGAAAGAGCCTTTGTTGACAGAATACCCATTCTTTCAAATAGCTCTTGTTAACGCCTTGCCTCATCGCCCTCAAAGAACCCCCTCAAAGAAAAACTTCATACACTTTTAATCGCCAATCGTGTGACGAATTGAAGTCAAGTGTGTAATTGAACTAACCTATATCTTGAGGTGGCTCTTCTAATGAAAGCCGTGGTTACAAATGCAAATTAGAGAAAACGCGAGACTTTAAGGAAAAGGTCGTGCTTTCTTCCAAACAGCTTGTTCTATTCAATTTCGGTAGCAGACGGCGTTCGAACAGTAAAATAACGGAAAAGTATATGGACAGAATCTATCCGCCCACCGTGTGATTTTTTTTCACGCGAGGACCATCAGAGCAGACTTAAGCCGTCAGCGTAGATCCTGAACCATCAAACATAGCAGAGCGAGTCACTAGTCACTCGACGTCACACCCGTATACGATGATAACTAATTGGAAAAGGAAATAACTACGGTCAAGAATACGATCCTATAGCCTCTCAGGATGTTGAAGGACGCGGGTATTTTGGCCTTATAACAGCCATCATCTGGACTCAGCACTTGGCTCGAAACCATTAGCGAGAATTACTCCAAAATCCATATAATTTTTCTACCACGTGACCCCAAAATTATTATCTTTTCGAGCCCCATCCACGAAACTGGACACTACAACATCTTTAAACATCTACATTGCCAGTAACACGTACCTGCCAATTGACAACAAGCACACACAGTCAAGCATCCACAATGGCTCAGAATCAAGCCTTGCGCTGGATTCAGCTGCTGCTGAAATGTACGATTTTTCTGTCGATGACTGGGGCCGCTGTATCGTCGAGATTGTTCTCAGTGATTCGGTTCGAATCCATCATCCACGAATTCGACCCTTGGTTCAACTTTAGAGCCACAAAGTACCTGGTGAACCACGGGTTCTACAAGTTTTTGAACTGGTTCGACGACCGAACATGGTATCCGCTGGGAAGAGTGACCGGTGGGACGTTGTATCCGGGTCTCATGACGACGTCCGCTGCTGTTTGGCACGGACTACGTAAGATTGGGCTGCCCGTGGACATCAGAAACGTGTGTGTGCTGTTTGCGCCTGCGTTTTCCGGTGTCACTGCGTGGGCCACTTACCATTTGACGTGCGAAATCAAAGACTCCGGTGCAGGCCTGTTGGCAGCCGGTTTCATTGCCATTGCTCCCGGTTACATTTCCAGATCTGTGGCTGGCTCTTACGACAACGAAGCCATTGCCATCACTCTGTTGATGGTCACGTTCATGTTCTGGATCAAAGCCATGAAAACGGGTTCCATCATGCACTCCACGTTCGCCGCTGTGTTCTATTTCTACATGGTGTCCGCATGGGGTGGCTACGTTTTCATCACCAACTTGATCCCGCTTCACATCTTCCTTTTGATCTTGATGGGACGCTATTCCACTCGTCTTTACTCCGCCTACACTACCTGGTACGCCATAGGAACGCTAGCGTCGATGCAAATCCCCTTCGTCGGGTTTTTGCCCATCAGATCCAACGACCACATGGCTGCTCTTGGCGTCTTCGGATTGATGCAAGTCGTGGCATTGGGAAATTTCGTCAAATCTCAGGTTTCGTGGCAAAAATTCAAGACCGTTATGGTTCTATCGTTGGCTTTCCTCTTAGCCGTTGGTATTTGCGGTCTCTTTGCGCTCACCTATTTTGGCTACATCGCACCTTGGACTGGAAGATTTTACTCGCTATGGGATACCAATTACGCCAAGATTCACATTCCGATCATTGCATCGGTGTCAGAGCATCAGCCTACAGCATGGCCCGCATTTTTTTTTGACACCCAATTTCTGATTTGGCTATTCCCTGCAGGTGTCTTTTTGCTGTTTTTGGAGTTGAAGGACGAACACGTTTTCGTCATCGCTTACTCGGTTCTGTGTTCCTATTTCGCCGGTGTAATGGTTAGATTGATGTTGACGCTGACTCCTATCATTTGTGTATGTGCTGCCGTTACCATCTCCAAACTCTTTGATGTCTATGCGGATTTCTCTTTTCCCCAGGACAATGCTGCCTCGGGAGCAATTTCGCGGAAGACTCGTTTGATGACTTTGATTACCAAGTTGACCGTGTGCGCCTCCTTTTTGGGTTACCTGTACTTGTTTGTCTACCACTGCACATGGGTCACATCGAACGCGTATTCATCACCATCAGTGGTCCTACCCTCGCGTAATCAAGACGGATCGCCAGCGTTGATTGACGATTTTCGTGAAGCATACTACTGGTTGCGTATGAACACTGCGGAAGATGCCAAAGTCGCTTCGTGGTGGGATTACGGTTACCAAATTGGTGGCATGGCCGATAGAACCACGCTTGTTGACAATAACACTTGGAACAACACTCATATCGCCATCGTTGGTAAAGCCATGTCTTCGCCTCAGGACAAGGCTTATGAAATTTTGAAGGAGCACGATGTTGACTACGTGTTGGTCATTTTTGGAGGTTTAATTGGATTCTCAGGCGATGATATCAATAAGTTCTTGTGGATGGTCCGTATCTCGGAGGGTATTTGGCCGGACGAGATCAAGGAGCGAGAGTATTTCACACCTTCGGGCGAGTACCGCATGGATGCGATGGCGTCGCAAACGATGAAGGATTCATTGATGTACAAACTATCATACTATAGATTCCCATCGGTCTACAATGGTGTCGAAGGAATGGACCGGGTACGTGGTCAAAGGATCAGACAGCAAGATATTGGGGAATTGGACTATTTCGAAGAAGTCTTTACCTCTGAAAACTGGCTTGTGAGATTATACAAGTTGAAGGAGCTAGATCCAATTGGTAGAGACCTACGTTCTGCTGGAGAATTCGATCGCAATGCGGCTCGTGGACTGAAAAAGAGAATTGCGAGAAAACCAGCATTGGACTTCAGGGTTTAGATTGTAAATTTAGCATATATACTTGCGTAAACCGTTCCTGTCAAAGAAATCAGAATAAAGAATAACATTCAAACAATTAGATATGTGCGTCGTTTTTGCACACGAATAAGGAATCTGGTCGCCTCGTTCCAGGCGTACTAATGGCTATCGTACCCATTTGAATTTTCTGCTGTATTTAGAACTTTTGCGATTTTTCTTGTTAAACTGTGCGATCTCGTCTCGACGAAGTCTTTGGGTGTGGCCTATAAGGTTTGTTACCAGGTCTTCGAATGTGTTTTTGTCTGCGATCAATTGCGCTCGTAGTGCGTCTTTTTCACGTAGATTCCTGCAAGTAGTCAGAATTGCGTCTATCAGTTGGTCGTGAACCACACTCAGGTCAGAATCATTAAGAGAGTCCAGTTCTTTGCTTCGCAGGTCGGACACTGCAATTGGTGTCTGCTGGTGAGTTTCCTGTGGTGGCTGCAATTTTGAACCAAGAAGTTGTGCTATGAGATGTTCGTTGTTCTGACCTTCCGGAGTTTCCAAATGCACGCTCAGGCTTTCGTAAAGCGAGCGATCCAGTATTTTGACCACTTTTGGAGTTTCTATTATATCTTCGATTTGCAGTGTATGCAGTAATTCCGATCTCAGCTTGGAATGGCGCCATTGGAAAGGCTGTAAATGTGGTTCCAGGATCACCAGCTGTTCATACACCACTTTTGGTCTTTCATCTTCAAGCAGCTCTTTTAAAGTGTGTTCTTCGTTCATATAGGGTATAGCCTGGCTAGATCCCAGGATTACATTTAGGTGGTCTTCGATTTTAAGAGTAGTTGGTGTTTCTAGACTTGGAACACCTTCGAAATCACCAAAATCGCTGTCACTATCGCCAAATGAACTAGTCATTGTGAATATGGGAAACTCTAACAGAGAACTTCAAGAGTTCGCTGTTCTTGGTCACCATCGGTAGTCGCTATATCCAAAGTTTGGCCAGAACCGTGCACGAGTACGAGTACTTGGCACACACACAATTGAACGATTGAGAGCGTCAGCGATCAATTGTGAATGAAGAGAGGGCTAGAAGCACTGTGGAATAATCGATCGTTGATGTCTCCAAATTTGAATAAGGAGAGAGCTTTTTTGAGAACATCAGTGATCAAAGACAATTAATTTGAATGTCTACAACCACGAATCAAAGATTGAGAGCGTTAGCAAACACTTGGAAAAGATAACAATGGCTACAAGTACTACTGATTAGAAGCTCGACAGACATTTAGCGACGCAGTAATTGACGGCTAGCGTTTTATCTGCGACAGCCATCGGTTGTCCTCGTTCGAGTACGAGTACGAGCACGAGTACACTCGCGAGTACCAGTCACTGTTGAAATAGGTGTAGCTGTTTGATTGGAAGGCTGTTTCGAAGGCTTTTTCAAAATGCTGTCAATTTACCGTTTATGCCTAGTTGTTTACTCAATTAGTGGGCCCAGTGCTATGAGGCTTCGAGAAAGAATCACTCGACCTTCACTCGCTGGATCGCATAATTGTCCACTCGTGCTTGTAGTGAGTACTCATAGTCGTACTGGTACTGACCTGCCTTGCTTATTCAAAATTGATTGCTTTCGTTCTCAATTGCTCAATTGTGCTTGTAGCTATGGAATTGATCCACAATCGATCGCTGATGTCTTCAATTGTTCAATCTTGCCACGAGTTTTTTTGAAGGGAGAGCATATATATATTAAAATTACGAGATGCTGGGAACGATGACGTCTGCGTGGAGGGTGTCGGTAACTAAGAGATATTTTGCCTCCAAACACTCAATTACCACTTAAGTCTCTGTGAGCACTTTGTGACATAGGAACGTCTGGAGTTGTCTTCCTCTTTTTACTGACGCCGGGAACTGCAACAATGAGCACACGTGATCTGCGCTTCCTGCACAGGTATCGTCTTTTCGCAGACTACTCGAGATGCTCACAAGTAGATCCACTATTGGCAGAAAGGTCGATCATCCGAGAACACTTGTAGAATCTACTCGTTTCCAGCCCATGGTGTAGCGATTTTGAGCTAAAACATTTCTCGTACAAGGTGATACCAACTATACTTTGTAATTTCTAACGCATTAACAGGACTGATTTGAACCAAGGACAAAGAACAAAGTGCATTTGCGAGAGTGTTTAAAGAACGCCTCCTATGAGCCATTCTTGATTCCCAGTTTTTTGTCTTTTTACAAACTCCGAGATCGACAATCATGATCACGTGACTTCCTACTTCTACCACCACCAGAAGCTCGGGTCTATATAAAGAGAAGCAGGACACGAAACACTCTATACCTCTCTATAAAGCCAATTCCAGTGCGTTTGTGAACCATTTATTCGACTCTCAGGGGCCGATTTTATCAATAGCTAAGAATATCCCGTCCACATCACCTTACACGCCGCGCCCATCCCGAAATATAAACAAAGCCATGTAAAAATATACGATGTTTATTTACATTCACCAAGTTTCTAGTTAAAACCACTGACAATTGAAAGGTGTAAAACAACGTTGTAACAGCGTTAAACAGCGTTTAAACCTCCCGTTAGCGTCGCTTGCCACCTGTTCAAGCTTCCACACATACTAAGCCAAATGGCTGACATTGATAGGTGGTACGAAGAGGACTCGGAACTCCTTTCTGGGGGCAAATTCATCGCTTTGGAGGTTTCCGACGACGACGAGGATGAAACGGGTTATGAGGACGAACAGGCTGTGCAACGCACGCCAACAACTGCTGTATTGAAAGGAGACGCGAAAACAGACGCGAAAGCAGACGTTAGGGGACTCACGACTCCAAAACTTGTGAAAAGTCCCGAATCGAGAGGCCAGAATGGCGGAAATACAAAACACAAACGATGGTCAATGATCTCCAGCAGCTCGAAAAAAAGATGGTCGTCGCTGTCTTTTGCCAGTGAGGACCGTCGTATGAGCCCTGCCCCGTCGTCGTCGAAAAAAAGACGCTCCACAGCCAGCATCGATCTTCTAGAGCAGCCAGTTGCAAGCAATGCCAGCGATAACAGCAGCAGCATTAACAACAGCAACAACAACAATGCCAACACCACAGCTGAGAACGGGGAAAACTCGTATGGCTCGTCACGCAGAATTTCCGTGTCGTCCAGCATGCAATCGCTCCCCAGAAGCTCGACCAGCAACTCGCTGCGTCAAATGTTTGGGAAAATAGCATTGCAGGACGAAGAAAAGGAAAACAAGACCGGCGTCAAGCGTTTTATCGGCAAAATGTCGCCCCGACGCAACCAGTTCCGTTCCACGCTCGGCCAACTCGACGCAAATGTCTACGCTACCCTCAATGCCCGCAATTCTTACGCAGATACTGCAAGCTTGATCTCTGAAATGAGCATGTCCTCGAAAGCATCCGTGTCATCAGCCTCGAAATGGAAGTTTTGGAAAAGACAATCAGAATCATATGATCCCAGCTCGCCTTCGGCTTCATCTTCTCAATCAGTCCTGCATTCAAATGGTAGCTTAGTGACTCGAAGATCTCAATCCTCTTTGAAACAAAAATCATCCCATTCTTCTTTGAAAAAACTGAGCACGCATCGTAACTCCGTGACTAGCGAATCCATATCTCTGCCCATCCCAGACCAAGTCTCTAGAGACAAACTGCGCACGAAACTTCGCAATTCAACTTCCATCCTGTCTATGAGATCGACAGTGATAGCCGAGGAGTTCGAAGACTTTCAAATCTCACAACTTTTGAAGCTTTGTGACCAGACAGAACCAGTCCCGATAGAAAAACTGATCCCAGAGTGGTCAAAGATGACCAAAATCTCGAAACACGTTGCTCGTCATAAAGATTTTGTGCTCAAGTTTTTACCATTGGCAGAGGATGAATTTACTCATAATAAAAACATCAGAGTGAAAGAACTTGAGCTTTTAAAACTTTTTAGCGGCACCCCAGGCTTCACTCAATTTGTCTCTTGCCATTTGGCCTTAATACATGGTGAGTCTACTTTGGTATGCAAATTAAAATACGCGGGTGTGCCGTTGATAAAAGCAAAACTTCCCAGCTGGTCCGCGACGCTCAACATCTGGTGGCAATGTGCCGTTATCCTGTATGCAGCGGAGACCAAATATCAATTTGAACATCGAGATTTGCAGCTGGATCACATTTTGGTGGATCAGAACTATAACGTAACTTTATGTGACTACAAACTGTCGCGCGCGCTGAATGGGCCAATGATCTACTACACCAGACTGGATCATCCTCTATTTTTCCAAGGTCGTGGTGATTACCGTTATGAGGTGTATAACACTATGCGGCACTGGTGCGCCGATAGTTGGTCTCGATATGACCCTCGAAACAATTTGCTGTGGTTGCACTACCTGGGCGTTAAGCTACTGGAAAAACAAAACGACATGGCCCACGATGCCAGCTACTCTGAGTTGCTTAAGTTGGTTGCTCAAGTCAATCCTCACCGTCGCAGAAAGCCGCTGTTTGGTAGAAATGATCAGATTATGAGCTGTGGGGACGTGCTGCGACTTCGAAAGTGATGTTTTCAGAGTTTGGATGCGACGAAGCACTGCTCCAGATGTGGTGCAACCCGAAAATCAAATACCATTGTGAGCAGCAAGGACATTATTGTACATTAGCGTAATAAAGGACAAATAGAGTAGAAACATTAGGTAAAACATAAATCATAAATCAATCTTCCCTTTCAGGGCGTGTCTCAGCTGAGCACTGTCGAGATGTTCCCATGAGAAAGGATGCTCTTTTACAAGATTAGAATCTTGAGATTACTTTGATGGTACATACACTAAAGAGTCGGGTCGCCTCTCAAAATACGCCTTTCAAGCAGTCAAGCTACGAGCCACGAATTCCACGGTGTCAAGAACCCTGGTGAGCGCCCAGATCCAAATCCCAAGACACACTGGCGTCTCAATTTGCAACGGTTTGAAAGCGCCTGGCGCCCACACGTATCTCACGGGCGCCAATGCCATTGCAGCCCAGCCCTGCGACAAAACGGTCTCGACGAAACGGGGAAACATGCCCTGAGGCACGCTGAAAACGACTGTTTTGCCCTTCCAAAACCTGAGCAGCAGCAACGGCGCTGTCAGCATCACCAGACGCAGTCTCGAAAGCGATTTTTCTCCGGTTTGTCGCATCTGTTTCAGTTGTTGTTGCGCATCTTTGACCTGTGTTTCGAGCTGTAATATCTGCCTATTCAGCTTGGTCCATCTCGCGTACTCGTCCTGAGCGCTGATAGATCTCTGTTCTGTCTTGAGACCATGGAGCTTGCGAGACAACTCGCGCAGTTTTAAAGCTCCGGGCTTCGACCAAATTGAGTCTATCACGTAGTCTTTATAATGGGAAACCCATTGTATCACTCTGAGTACCACAACAAGTACTAAACTCACCAAAACAATTGAGTCTACCATGGATTGTCGTGTGTGTGAGTCTGTGTGATGAAGTTTAACTACGATCTATTCATGAGATTGCCTATACTTATACGCATTTAATCTAACTTGTAAATTTGAGATTTCCAGATGGACTCTATCGTAGACAGTGAGATGTAAAGTCACGAGATGTGTATCACCATATACTACACCGTAGATCATGATATGTTTATTGAGTCACGTGATATACACGTACATAGAGACCTAACATGTGATTGATATCGCTCCACACGCATGACGTACAAGACGATTGAAGTTTATGAAATTTTCGAAAAAAATACCACGGAAATGACGTACAGCATGATAATGACTTTTTCAACGATTTCTGAAGGTACACTTTTTAGATAGGAAGATAGATGTAATAGAGGATGAGTTTAGTTATAGAAGATGAGTTATAGGATTCAAGCATCAAGGGCCTTACTGGTGTCCAAAGCGTGGAAGTAACCGAACGTACAAGGCTTTTTGCAGCCAATTACTGCTACTTGTACCATTTTCAACGGTCGAAATAGCCCCATTAGACGTTAAGTTCTGTCGAAAACTCGAGTTTTCAAATCCCGACGGTAGTTTAAATCAACTGAACAGACTCCTGTTAGACACTCCAAGAAAGGCATAACTGAAGGACTGCTGTTGACGGGCCTTTTTTTTTATTCAGTGGAATTTTTTAGTTGGCCGTACGAGCACAACAACTCACACACAAATACCTCATCATGACAGAATATATCGGCGAAACTTCCAGAACTGGGAGCAGCGAGGAAAGTGGAACCTACGACGAATGGATCCCGTCATTTTGCCATCGTTTCGGACACGAATATTTCTGTCAGGTGCCCACAGAATTCATAGAGGATGACTTCAATATGACGGGCCTTGCTCAAGAAGTCCCACATTACCGCAAGGCACTCGATCTGGTACTAGATCTAGAAGCTATGAGTGACGAGGAAGCACAAGACTCCGAGGAGCCCGTCAGTCGCAGCATCATCGAACACGCAGCGGAACAGCTGTATGGGCTCGTCCATGCGCGCTACATCCTTACGAAACCGGGTCTTCAGGCCATGGCGGAGAAATTCGACCACAAAGAGTTTGGAATCTGCCCCCGCTACTATTGTGCAAGCATGCAAATGTTGCCATGCGGACTCACTGACACTTTGGGCAAAACCACCGTGCGTCTGTACTGTCCCAGCTGTGGAGACCTGTACCTCCCGCAGTCTTCACGCCATCTGTGCCTAGAAGGTGCATTCTGGGGGACCTCGTTTCCGGGCGTTTTCCTCAAACATTTCAAAGAGCTCGAGGACTACGTGGACCGCAAGACTAAAGATACTTACCAACTCAAAGTTTTCGGCTTCAAAATATCCGACGAAGCTCCTTCCGGGTCTCGTATGCGCTGGCTCAGACAGTACCCGAAGACAGAGGAGGAATTGTCGGAATTTGAGAAATGCGAGTTCGCAATCCCGCAGGTTCAGTAGCGGGCGAAAATATTAATTAATGGGACCCTGACTTGTCAAACAACAACTGACTGATGATAGCTACGATATAGAACGTACGATAGGTGGGGTCCAGTGGCCAAATAAGGATGCATATCAAATAGATTATTTTTTTGAATTTGTTATGCTCATACAACAAATAGATAATGACGGAGGTTCTCGAGTGTCTTTCCTCTTCAATGCAAGGCTCGCAAAAGAAGCAGAACCGGTATACTGGCTCTAGTGATCGAGTTCCAACCTTGTGCCGGGCTCCCATTCTTTGATGGCTTTATCTAAATTGGACCAATATTTGAGTTCCACTGTTAGCTGGGCTGCAAGGTTCCAATCTTGAGACTGGAAGGCATCGCCCAATTTCTGTTCCAGATCTCGCATTCTGGCCTGATTATCTGACGCAATCTGTTTGACGTCCTCCTCACTTGCCAATGTCTCCAGCTCCTCGTGTACGTCCAGCACTCTCATAAGTAAATTAGGATCCCGCTGTGCGATGTCCTGGGCGCTTTGCTCGTTATTAAGGTCCATTTCAGCTTGAGTCTTTAGGATATGCTGGGCCCGAAGTAGCGGCTGTCTCAAAGTTTGATATGCATGATTGAGCTCCGAGCTTCTATTGGAGTCCGTGTTAGCGTTCGTGTCTGGGTGCTCCTGGGCTTGCAATGCTCGGTATTCCTTCCTCAGGTTTCGTAAATCCACGTCCCAGACCCATTTTGCGCCGGAAATCGTCTTGGGAAACACCTTGAACGCATTCAATGTGCCATAAAGTCTTAGTGTGACAATTCTACTCATCCGGAGGGCAGCAGAAATGACGCTTTGGAGGAGTAGAGATGTACTTTTTGGCGATGCTCTCACAGGCTTTTGAGCATATCAAATATCAGTTTCTCAAGATCACTTCATACTATACTGTCATCTGGTCGCGTGACCCGGACGGCCCTTAAAATATCAAGAAAACGTCAGTTTACGGGGAGGCATTGCAAATGACCGAAATTCTGGAGACTTGTAACATCTTGGATGAGTATCGAAAGGTCATGGCCTTTCTCTTTTCCCGATTTGATTCGCTGGTTTTACAAAAAACAGATTGAAAAGTTGGTGCCGTCACAATTGAGACCTTTTGTTGCTATTATTTATTCTGATCGAGGTAGATACCATCGAAAAATCTAAATTTTACAACCGTTCATTATTATGCCTCTAGTACGTCTTTCAATCGTGGAATACCAATGCTATTCAAATCTTATGACTATACCATCAGTTGTCGCATTCATAACCAAAGAAAAAATGCAGTTTCCCGCGATCAATTGAAACCATGAGTTCTTATATTATACAGAAACTCATATTAATCGCACTGACACCAGCAGACCATCACCAAACGTCGTGAAATCGATGCTGGCTCATTGATATTTTATGCATTTTAGCTCTTCGTATAAAGTGCCTCCAATTATAGGTAATATCAGCCCTGTATTAAGATGACTCTTTAAACCGTCTCAATCCCATGCTAAAGCGTCAAGTTCTACCCGAACGTTTTGCCTAGCAGGAGTCTAGATGGAGCTCTCGGATCGGTTGATTATCTCCAAGCCACTGTACTTGACTGAACCGAACGAAAAATGCGGCTACTGCAGTGGCAAGAAGTCTGATAAATATGATTATTTCGCATCGGAATCGTGGTGGAAGTTGCACGAGAAAGATGCAGATATGTTGCAGATCAACAACTGTACGCTTGGATTGCAGGTGGAATTGATGCCTGTGGATATGTACGACGATCTTTGCAATTTGGGATTCCGCAGGTCGGGCAACTTTCTGTATAAGGCAGATCTCCTGAGGAACTGTTGTCGACTCTACACTATAAGAACCACGCCTGACCAATGCCAGATCTCGAAAGAGCTGAAAACGTGTGTAACTCGTTTTCGCAAACGAATCACCACTGGGGCAGACGAGACTTCCAAGCAACAGGCCAAACCCAGAGACAAGAGCACCACCTCCACCACCACACAGCTCAAATTTGACTACATACAAGAAATTGTCCAAGCGGAACTTAAGAGTAACAACTTCTTCACGCGGTTCGAGCCCGCAATGTTTACCATGGAAAAATATAACTTGTTTGTCAAATACCAGGAAAATGTGCACAACGACTTCAAGAACTCGATCAAATCGTTTAAGAGATTTTTGTGCGAATCACCATTCCCAGAAGACGTGGTGATTGGAACGCAAGAAGAATGGGACCAGCTCAACAATTGGCACAACATGAAACCGGGCGAGACTCTGAAAAGGGTCGGACCAGTGCACGAATGCTACTATTTCGAAAACAAGCTCATTGCGTTGGCAGTGACGGATTTTTTGCCCAGTGGCATTTCGTCTGTCTATTTCATATGGGATCCAGATTTCCCACGCTGGTCATTGGGAAAACTGAGTGCGCTGCGAGAGCTTAGCATACTGTCAAAAATCAATCGTCAGTATTATTACCTTGGCTACTACGTCGACGACTGTCCCAAAATGAGGTACAAACGCAAATATGGGGGCGACATTTTGGATGTCTGCAATAACCAATACGTGCCACTTGATCTCGTAACGCCGCTGGTGGAGAACGGCAAGTTTTTCGTGTTGGATCACGAAGCCCGTAATCGAGATAAAGACGATGACGAAGATGATGATGACGATGACGAAGATGATGAAGATGACGAGGAATCGGACGTTGTAGATGCTCAGTTTGAGCTACCGCTAGACGATGTTTCTAGACTTAAATTGACGGGCACCCCTGTGAACATTGTAGACAAGATCTACGGTGAACACGGCGGAGCCATTTTATCCGCCAACGAGGCAGTTGAGAAACTGGTTGATTTAGGAATCGAGTACACGCCGACCCTTTTCGATGACTTGTACCGCTACAAAATGCCCAGTATCTTCGCCGCAGCACCGGAACCGGAAATCACATATGAGGAAGACGACGACGGGGACATCCCGGGCTACATGAACGAGATATACCATCTTCCAAATGTGGTACCGGGTCTTTTACCACTTTGGCAAATTCTACAAATCATCGAATCCGGTGACATTTCACGCCTCAACAACAAACTCATGCTCTACAACGTGAGGAGTGGTCAAATACGAGTTGTCGCTGATTTTGCGGCCGAGACCAAACGCACCAAACGTGTTATTTGCAACGTCATTCGCATGATAGGTCTCAAATCGACGGCCAAGAGCCTTATCATCATCTAAGAGCACCTAGATGCCTTGCGTCATCGCGGTCATTGCGACGAATTAATTATTTTCACGAAAATAAAAACCAGGGTAAAGGTAATCAATATTTCTTGTCGCCACACACAATTGCCAGTATTTCAAGTCTCCTTTACAGACACGTTTTGGGACCAAAAAGTACTCTACAAAGAATTGTTTGGATTCTCTATCAAGCTCATCGACCTAATGTCAGTGTCATTAATATCCTCACTCTGTACGAAACCTACATTTTTCATTAATTTCGTTAACTGCACTATTCACAGCTACCCTTTCACCGGCTAAACTCAAGACATCGCCTGTCCTGAAAAGCCGTTAGATTTGCGTCTTGCTTCATCAATGAACGACTTACAACAAGCTGTTCATGTACGTATTTAATCGCCGTCAATTTGAGCTTTTTTGGCTATTTTACCTTACGTTGTACTAACAATACTCTACAACAGCTTATAGAATCATTGTACTTGCCTCAACCTCCAAGCAATGTCAATGAAATTCAACAGCAGCTACAAGCAGTTCAGCGATCTGATCATGGACTGGAATTGGGCAACCAGTTACTTTCACAAGAGATGGGATCACCCAATATCGAGTATTTTGGAGCTTTGACTTTGGCGGTTCAATTCCACACAACTAATTCTACAGAAATACTAGCAGAGCTTTTGAAGCTCAATATGTTGCATTTGAGTCAACGGGCCCGACTTCACATCACAAATGGTCGGCAAAACGGATCTCCCATGCTTGTCATCAAAAAGCTAATGTCCAATGCAGCACAGATATTTTTTAGAGTGAACAGTGCGGACGCCCTGAATGGACCGCACGCAGTCTTAGAATGGAACAACCCTTTAGAAACCTTCTGCACGCTTGTTTCACACCCAGCGCTGTCGCCAGACAGCGCTAACGAAGTTTTCGCACACGTATTATCCGAAAAAATATCCTATGATCATCTCATCTCACTTATCAACTCGTCGCCAGACTTCAATGCTCTGGCACTTCTATTTTCCGAGGTCATTATGGAAGATTTGAAAAAACATCAATCTAGTAAAGTTGGAATTTCACGACTTCACGGAGTGGTGCATGACCATTTGTACATATCCAGCACGTCCATTATCAACTACAACCTCCAGCAGATCGCATTGGCCTTTCACAATAATCCCAGAGAACGGGCTCCATTTGCTGACAGTGTTTTCCAGTGCGCCATTGCTTGGGTGAACTACACTATTATGGCCAGGAGTAAATCGCAGGGCCATATGGACCTAAGCGAGATGTTTGAGATTCTGATCCAACTAATGTGCTTGCACGATTCTGCAAATCATTTCCCCTTCTCTGAAAATGTGATAGCTATTCTGGGTGAAGTTTTTGCCAATGATCCCACAATGTTGAGCTATGAATTGAGATCAAATGTGGAGGGCATTTTCTTGGGGGTTCATAAATCTTCTGATAATGGCGCCGATAGTCACCAATGGATGCTTCAGTACATGAACCACCTGGTGGTGGATGAAATGTACGAAGAGCTCAAAGAACTGGCCCTCTGTGTCGTGGACTTTTTGCAAATCAGTAATTTAGACGTTTGCAACAAACTATTCACAACGGTTTCGAACGGGAATGCCGGCAACTTAGATCAATACATCAAGGTTTTACTACAGATGACCAACTTTACATTGACTCCCGTTTTAGAGGAGTTTTTCTCCGTGAGAATGGTAGACTTTTGGCTCGATTTATGCGATGGATACAACAATCTGGTGAGAGACACTTTTAAACCTGAAACGCCAGAATTGGCAGCACATTTGTTCGGTCAAGTTGTTCAAATCTATTTGCCTAAGATTCAACTATCGATAAAGCAAAAAATTGTACAGGAGGGAGAGGACGAAACTTTGTTGCATGAATTTGATGACTTTAGAAATGCAGTTTTGGACCTGATGGAATCGATGTGGGCGGTGCTGGGAAATGAAAAGCTGACGAACATTCTCATATCTAGCATTGGACAATTGACACCCAGCTCAGGGGATGATCTGTTCCAGATCGAAGCAATGTGTTTTTGCCTCGACAAGCTTTTGACAGATATGACTCTCAGTGGAAGCCCGGTGGTTTGCGGGACTTTGGAGGCCAATCAGGGATTTCTGACCAACGTTTTGCTGCTGATTCAAACCGGCTGTCAACAAAAGGGAGCCTCTAACGGGAAAGAGGCTCAAATTTTGAGTTGTGATTTTGTCAAGACCGGCTCTTCGATGCTGGCGACCGCGGCTGATTTCATCAAGAGCGACAGCCATAGACTAAGGAGCTGTATGGACGTTTTGTTCGGATCGCTGGAGACGTGTGCGAATGCGGACGCAGCGGATAGTAAAATCGAGCTCTCGCTAACGCGATGCACGACGAAAATGTGTGAGACAAGCCGTGCAGAGCTCGCATCATATCTGCCCACTTTCCTCACAATACAGAAAGCTATGATGCACAGAAGCTCTAAAGTATCGGCCTACACTAAGCAAAAATTCACCTGCTGCGTGGGGTACCTAATTCAGGACTGCTTGAGAGACGGGCCAGCGCGCCAGGCGGAGTACTTGTCGCGGGTGATTGGCACGATTCGAAACGAGATTTTGGAGTGTATCAGCGATCGAGACCACGTCTTGTGCCTGTTGCACTGTGTTTCGGAACTCGGAGGTGCGCTAGCGGTGCCCACAGAGGGTGCTGACGACCAATATGCGGCGCAGTTAGTCCAAAGTAACGAGTATTGGGTTGCAGACCCACCACAACTGCGCGCAACGACGCTTGATCTGCTGGAGCGCGTGCTGGCGCAGTATGCTAGTGATTCCGAGTTCGTGGAGCGTGCGTGTCTGATCATGGGTAGTCAGCTAGCGGCAACAGAAGAGGGGCCGCATTTTCTGGGGTACTCGATGCAAGAGCTGTTGGACTTTCTGCTAAAGCGTAACGGAGCGTGTGAACCCGCTGTGGCGTTGCCATATCTTTCTTATCTGTTGGAACTGGTGGTTCGTCGTTACGCCAGCTCGCTAGCCCCATCGGACTTGGACTATCTCTTTGGCGAGTTTTTCTTGGGCTCACACCGCGCAGCGGTGGCATCGGACCCGGACCTGACACAACTGATGATTAATTTTGTGAGCTCGGTGCTGGAGACGCGTCCTGGACTGATAGTTCACGGCGAACGGTGGCCCACGTTCATTTTGCCCGAGTTTGTGCACGCACTGGGCGTAAAGGAGAGGTTCACCATTGCTGCAGTGACCAAATTCTGGACCAAGGTTGTAAACAACAAGCGCTTTTCACGCGCAGACGAAGTTGCCGTTCGCGCTCAAGTGTGCGAGTTGGGTCCGCAGCTGGTTGCTCACACGTTACAAGCGCTACTACACGCGCAGAGGTCCGACCTGGCGTGCTACTCGGACTTTTTGCGTGCTCTGGTCGCACGCTATCCATTGCAGTCGCGTCAATGGCTAGAGCAGGCGTTGCCCGAGCTGGCCGCACACCAGCTTCGTGCGCACCAGGTGCTAATGGAGAAACTTTTCGTGACGCGCGGCAGCCGGGCCGCAACGAACGCAGTCCTGGAATGGTGGTTGGCCTGCAACGGGCTCCCGCCGCTGGCGGGGGCCACGGCAGCCTAGGTGAGAAGCACCGAAACAATGGAGAGCACAGCATTTTGGCCCAAATTTGTCACACGTGACCCTCGAGGGACCTGCTGACGTTAGGATGCATATATGCGGCGCTATCATCTTTTCTTTTTTGCGCATTGTTCTCTGATACTTCTTATCATGCCCAATTGGGACTGATAACATTCCTTTCAAGACAATGCCGCGTGTGTTGGTCAAGCCACGGGTCTCGAGTCCTTCCTCAGCGGCACTTTCCAGAACTATGAGCAACCGTTCAAGTGTTCCTTGCCAAAATGCTCATTTTGGTTGCCCTGAAAGCGACGTACACATACCTTGGGCGGGGAGCTCAGGGCAACGGTGTTCAGGACAAATTATAAGAATACGCAAGGGTCCTGCACAGCATGCACGGTTGTGAAAGCATTTCTTGATTTTACCAACAGTATTGCGTGAATCCTCGGTTTTCCTTCAGCGATCGCATCTCTTGCCTCGATGAGTATTACTGCAGACGAGAGTGTCTACGCACGGGACTTGTCGCACTTGTTCTCAGACGAAGCGCGTCGACGCAAGTATTCGCCCATCAAAACCACGATGGCTTTCTTTCAGGACCCCAGCGTGGTGTTTTTGGGTGCTGGGATGCCACCTTTGGATCTCTTTCCACTACGATCTATCGCCGTGGAGGCACCACAGCCACCATTTTGCGAGGGCTTGGCGCAGTACGAGGAAACACTGACATTGACGCTAGCCAAAAAGCAAGAAGACCTCACGTTTGCACAGGGTGTGCCACTGGCGCGCGGGCTGCAATATGGCAACTCGCGCGGCCAGATCGAGCTCTTGGACTTTTTGAAGCAACACACGCAGATCTTCCACCAAGTGCCGTACCAAGACTGGGACATTATAACCACCACAGGGTCCACCTAGAGCTGGGATGCATTGCTGCGTATCTTCTGTAATAAGGACGATACTGTGCTGCTCGAGGAATACACTTATTCGTCGTCTAACGAAGCTGCAGAGGCTCAAGGTCTCCATTGCGTGCCCATGGCCATGGACCACGAGGGAATTATTCCGGAACAGCTGGAAGAGATGCTGACGAATTCAGGGATATTTTATACCCTGATATATGCAAACCTAAGCTGTTGTACACCATCCCCACGGGCCAGAACCCCACGGGTCGCACAATGACAAATCGCGCAAGCCGCACGTCTACAAATTGGCACAGCAGCGTGGCATGGTCATTATCGGAGATGAGCCCTACTATTTCCTGCAAATGGACCTCTATCTGCCCGCAAACCAACGCAACCCAAAGTCCAATGCGGACGATATGTCAAAATCTGCGTTTATACAGTCGCTGACTCGGTCATATCTTGATCTCGACACTGACGGTCGCGTGGTGCGTCTGGATTCGGCCTCGAAGACGTTCGCACCTGGGTGCCGTCTCGGCTGGATTGTCGGGTCCAAACAACTATTGGACGCATACTGGAATTTACACGAGGATTCTATTCAGTCAGCATGTGGGTTTGCCCAAAGCATCTTGAGCGGCATCCTGAACCGGTTGGATCAAGACGGCTACATCGATTGGCTAAAGGGCATGCGTCAACAATACACCCTCAAGCGCGATTTTTGCTTGGATAACTGCTACAGATATCTACCGAGCGAGGTGGTCAGTGCCTCGCGTATCTGCTGGCATGTTTTTCATGCTGCTACTGGATGCAGACAAGCACCCCAAGTTTCGCACCATTTTCGAGGGCAAGCGCGAGCTTCTGGAGCAGCATATTTACAAACAATGCGTCACTGCCGGTGTGCTGGTCGCTTGTGGATCTTGGCTCAAAGTCAACGGGCCTGCACAGTTCAGAACCAAGGGAGAAGAACGTTTGGACAATATGCTGATGTTTAGAGGTACTTACGTATCTGTGCCACTGCTGGCAATGGTCAAGGGTCTACAGATCCTGGGACCAACTCTCAGAGAAGAGTTTCGGCTCGCTCAGCACTGTACATAGAACTACGGGGAAGGAAGACAGTAAAAAGGGTTCAAAGAAGATTTTAACAACCAAGAGGCTTATTCTCGATAATATCGGAGCTCAGCTTGGGTATCGCGCCAGGTTCTATTCATTGTTATTGGCATCATAGCATAACATTTGTAACTGTAATATTTCATCTTTTAAAAATATGTCTATGAGATGTAAATGATGTAAACCAGTAAAATCGCACAATTCGTGGCCGTTAAAGGCTCTAAAAGCTCAATGAAACTTCTCAAACTTCCGTGGGTGGCTCATAAAGGTATGTGGAAATTTTTTTGAGCAGATTTGGGCTAGTTTTCGTTAAAATACGAGAGAATTCATATTAACATATCTCTTAAGAGGAACACCGCAAATACGAGGTCTACACAGCAGATGTAAGCCCCGATGGCCAAAGACTGGCTACCGGGGGATTGGACGGGAAAATAAGAATTTGGCTTATAGCTGATATCTTAAAATGTGCCGATACAAACTCGCCTCTAGACCAGGAACTGAAAGCACCATTGGCAAGCATGAGTAGACACACTGGGTCGGTCACCGTGGTGAGATTCTCTCCAGATGGAAAATTTCTAGCTTCCGGTTCTGACGACCGAATTCTACTTATTTGGGAACGAGATGAGGACCAGAAACAGCCCCTTTTTGGCTCGGAAAATGATAAAGAGCATTGGAACGTACGACGCAGATTAGTAGCTCACGATAACGACATTCAGGACATATGCTGGGCCCCCGACTCTAGCATTTTAGTCACAGTGGGGCTCGACAGATCCGTCATTGTGTGGAATGGGGCAACTTTTGAGAAAATCAAGCGCTTTGATGTGCACCAGTCTCTGGTCAAAGGTGTGATCTTTGATCCAGCCAACAAATATTTTGCAACCGCGTCGGACGATAGAACTTTGCGAGTGTTTCGCTACCATAAGGCTGGTGATTTGAGCTTTTCAGTCGAGCACGTCGTTTCGGAGCCCTTCAAGGGCTCCCCCATAACAACCTATTTCAGACGACTGTCGTGGTCTCCGGATGGACAGCATATTGCAGCACCAAATGCTACTAATGGGCCCGTCTCGTCCGTGTCGATTATTTCTCGTGGTAATTGGGATACCAGCGTCACTTTGATCGGCCATGACTCCCCCACAGAGGTTGTACGCTTCAATCCAAGACTTTTTAGTGTTTCGCAGAAGAAGCCCAAAACTGCGACTACAGAAGATATCAAAAAAGATTCAGATCACAACAGGAAGATCGAAACTGAAGGAAGTGAGGTTCTGCCAACTGATGCCGAAAAAGAGCTGGAGCAGCCTGAATCTGAGGAATTAATAGAAGAAAAGGTCGATTCGGTGATTGCCACAGCTGGACAAGACAAGACTCTTGTAATATGGAGCACTGGTAGAGCTAAGCCTCTTGTGATCGCATACGACATTGCCAGCAAGACGATTACAGATATGGCTTGGAGCCCAGACGGCTCCATTCTGTTTCTGACGTCGCTAGACGGTTCGATAATAACTATTGTATTTGAGCCAAATGAACTAGGAGAGGCCATTCCATTGGAAAAGAACATTGAGCAACTTCACAGGTATGGTGTCGATAAAGACTCGTTCGAATTTCCTGAAAGTGTAAAGCAACTGGAACTTGAAGACGAGGCCAAACGGTTGGAAAAGACAGAACTGAAAATGAAGATAGCCGCTCCAAGTTTAGCTGTAGGTCAAGAGCCATCGGAAAGTTTGGTGGACTCCTCGATCGCGGGTACGGTCCAAAAGCCAGCTGTCCTTAGTGTGAAAAGGAAGGAACCTTCAGCAGGAACGAACATTCAGACGCCGACGAGTAAGAAGCCGGACCTCACACCGCCTACGAGCAGAAGCGACACTCTTAATACGATGGTGGTCACGAATGGACGGAAACGAGTCGCCCCGACCCTGATATCCAGCGGTTACTCTCCGACAAAACCCTCAGAGAACAGAGGGCCGTCATTTGAGGTGCAAGCCACAAGCGTGAAAAATATTGAGGCAAAAGATCTCTTTGATAGCCTGAAACACAAGCTTGCTCGCCAATCTTATCCGCTTCCTAGGTTGGGCATTCATTCCTTAATTATGGGAGTGAAAGAACGTGGCGTTGACAAATACGATCGTGAAGGCCAAAAGCCAGATGATGATTGGGAGACTCGGGAGGAGCTGGAGAAGCCAGAGGAATCGCGCTCGAAAGATCATATTATGAAGCTCAATTCCAGAACTACAGCTGAGCGCATATGGTCTGAGGAGCCCAACACACGATATGTGGAAACGCACAACGTGATATCTGACGCAGACGTAGTTCTCGTGGAGTTTGGTGGATTGGACGACCTCTATGTCATGGAAATACGCAACGGCGTAGAACGCGGGCTGCAATTTGACCGCGATGCGCTTTTCGACAACCCGACGAAAATCCTAGCTTACCATCGGGGAGAAAGAGTTATAGACATTTTGATACCTGAGGTTGTTCTTTGCGCGGTGGGATCCTTGCGATGTAAATGTTGGATATTGGCCACTGCGGAGGGAAACCTGCTTTTTTACACCTCTTTTGGTCAGCACAAGCTGCCGAAGATTGCCCTGGGACACAAGGCTATCAAGATGACTACGGTGGACAGCTATTTGCTCGTACTAACCGAGACCGGTTTGCTATATGCTTTTGACATTTTGAACAACAGATGCATCAACAAGAAAGTCTCGATTGCGCCGATACTTTTCAATGCGCCGATCGATTCGAATCGAGTCCGTATTCAAAAAAAAGTGGTCAAGATTGGCATTGATTTGGAGACTCAAGATTTGATTGTGAGTCTGATGAATCCACGAGAAAATTACCGTTGGAGTCGGAATCTGGGTTGCTGGACAGCTCACAGTTAACACGTCGTCTTCTGTCTGTCTGTCATTGTCTGTCACTGGCCTGGTTTGGCGATGACAGACAGGTCGCGGTGTCAGTTTCCAGCTAAAGTGATAAGTAGCGGTGTCAAGGCCGGAACCGGTCGATACCCACCGCTCCTGCTGTGCCCGGTCACTTTGTTAGTCATTGTGATCAACCCTACCTCGTCCCAGAGTCTGATTCATAGCGCTACCCTTCACAACAGTGGGCCCAGTAGTGAAGACTGAGTCAACGCCGGTACCGGTCCTTAGCGGCCCGCTGCCTAAAATGTTGGCCGGTACCGGCCAAAAATTTTTTAAATTAACATTTGGAAAACTCAAGTCCAGGCATCACATCATTTTGAGCTGGCTTTTCCAGTAGAACTCGAACTTTCAAGCCTTGAGTTTATAAAAGGAGCTTCGATTGGTGCTGGTTCTGATTATTGCGATACTGGTTCAATTCCAACTTTAAAGGTCTCAAAAACCATTTTAAACCGACCGCAGATCATGTCTTTTGCCTCTGCTAAAGATCCCAAGACCTTGTACGACAAGGTATTCGAAGACCATGTTGTCCACCAGGATGAATCTGGCTCTTATTTACTTTACATCGATAGACATTTGGTTCACGAAGTCACTTCTCCACAAGCATTTGAAGGCTTGAAAAACGCTGGCAGAATTGTCAGAAGAAAGGACTGTACTTTGGCCACAGTGGACCACAACATTCCAACTTGGTCGAGAAAGAACTTCAAGAGTCCTGAAACTTTCATCAAGGAGGCTGACTCTTTGCTTCAAGTTCAGACCTTGCAGAAAAACGTTAAAGAATTTGATGTGCCATTTTTCGGTATGACCGATGCCAGACAAGGTATCGTGCACATTATCGGCCCAGAGCAAGGTTTCACGCTTCCAGGTACCACTGTGGTGTGTGGTGACTCGCACACCTCCACACATGGTGCGTTCGGATCTCTAGCGTTCGGTATTGGTACTTCTGAAGTGGAACACGTTATGGCTACGCAGACCATTATCCAGGCCAAGTCTCAGAACATGAGAATCTACGTCGATGGGAAATTGAGTCCTGGCGTCACTTCCAAGGATTTGATCTTGCACATCATCGGTGTCATCGGTACTGCCGGTGGTACCGGTTGCGTCATCGAATTTGCCGGTGATGCCATCGAGGGTTTGACTATGGAAGCCCGTATGTCCATGTGTAACATGGCCATCGAGGCCGGTGCCAGAGCAGGTATGATCAAGCCCGACCAAGTCACCTTCGACTACGTCAAAGGCAGACCTCTTGCGCCATCTGGTGCCGAGTGGGAAAAGGCTGTAGCCTACTGGAAGACCTTGCACACCGACGAAGGTGCCCATTTCGATTTCGACATCAAGATCAAGTCCTCGGACATTGTTCCAACCATCACATGGGGAACCTCTCCACAAGATGCTTTGCCAATTACTGCATGTGTTCCAGACCCAGTCAATGTGTCCGATCCTATCAAGAAATCCATGATGGAAGGTGCTTTGAAATACATGGGTCTAAAGCCTAACACACCTTTGAAGAGCATCACCATTGACAAAGTGTTCATCGGCTCCTGTACCAACTCTCGTATCGAGGACTTGAGGGCTGCCGCTGCCGTCGTGAAGGGTCACAAGAAGGCCGACAGTGTCAAGCTAGCCATGGTTGTCCCTGGCTCTGGTTTGGTCAAGGAACAAGCCGAGAAGGAAGGCTTGGACAAGATTTTTGAAGAGGCTGGATTTGAATGGAGAGAAGCCGGCTGCTCGATGTGTCTAGGTATGAACCCTGACATTTTGGACCCAGAGGAGCGCTGTGCGTCCACCTCCAACAGAAACTTCGAAGGTCGTCAAGGTGCCAGATCTCGTACCCACTTGATGTCGCCTGCTATGGCTGCTGCAGCTGGTATTGAGGGACACTTCATTGACATCAGAGAGTTCACTTACAAGGACAACGATGTGCCAAAGATCTCTGTCGAAAACGAAGCCGAAGATAAGGCGTTGCAGGATGCCGTCTACCAGCACGAGAAACAACCTCTACAAAAGGGCGAGTCCGCTGACGAGCTAGAGGACGATGAAGTGCGTGATATCCCACCCGCTGAACACAACTTCAAGGAAACTCCTCTTGAATCTTCCGCGAAGCCAACGCCAGCCGGCATGGAGCCATTCACAACAGTCAGCGGTATCGCAGCTCCATTGGACAAGGCTAATGTTGACACAGATGCTATCATCCCCAAGCAATTCTTGAAGACTATCAAGAGAACCGGATTGAAAGCTGGTCTCTTCTACGAATGGCGTTTCACTAAGGACGCCGAGGGTAAGGATCAATCTCGTGGCTTCGTCTTGGACACCGAACCTTACAACAAATCGCAAATTCTAGTTGTCACTGGTGATAACTTCGGTTGCGGATCCTCTAGAGAACATGCGCCATGGGCTTTGAAAGACTTTGGTATTAAGTCCATTATTGCACCATCATTCGGAGATATCTTTTACAATAACTCCTTCAAGAATGGTTTGTTGCCAATCAGACTTCCCCAAGATGTTATTCTTGAGAAGCTCTACCCCGTTGCTCAGTCTGGCAACCAGTTGACCATTGACCTTCCTAACCAACGCATCTTGGACTCTAACAACAATGTTCTTGTCGAGAACTTTGAAGTTGAAGACTTTAGAAAGCACTGCCTAGTCAATGGTCTTGATGACATCGGAATTACTCTACAGAAAGAAGAATTTATTGTGAAATATGAAGCTAGAAGAAAAGACGAATTCTCCTTTTTGGAGGGCGGCTCCAAGCTAGTGAAACCCATCATTGGATCCAAAAAGAGCCCTTACGGTAACAAGGCTCAAGAGTGGTAAGAGAAACGGGCCTTGGAGTTAACAAACTTTAACTTGAGGATTATTTATAATTGATTATTTATTGAAAGAGACGCTTTATAACGACTTCAATGCATTTAGATTGGCTTTTTAGTCTCACCAATATATGAGATTATGAATCGCCGATGGTAGCGTTCCAATCGTCGCCATGCTAACTTACTGCGTTAAAATCCAAACGGGTTATCGGCACTTGCATTGTATAGATTAGCTTGTCGCTGTTGAGGTTCCGGACCATTTCCAAAGCCAAACCCTGTGGGCTGAGACTGAAGTGCTGGTTGTGAGATCGACGCGTTCTGAAACATGTTGTTAAGTTGGTTCATGCCTCCAGTCAGTGAGTTTCCTAGAGGTTGCTGCATCGGCCCACCTGTGTTGAAGGAGGTTTGAGGTAGAGATGAAACTCCGCCAGTTCTTTGCAAACCCAAGCCAAACTGTGATTGAGGCTGGAATCCCCCTGTGGCGTTCATTGGAAGCGGAACTTGTCCCATTTGCTGTTGACCGCCAGTTCTCTGAGCATTGAACGCGCTTTGAGGGAACCCGCCAGTGAGATGCTGGCCCATGTTCGTAACTCCGCCCATCCCAAACGAATTGTTCAGTGACGTATTCATACCTCCCGTAATTTGACGACCAAAAGTGTTTGGAGGCATCATGTTCCCACCACCAGTCATTTGATTATTGAAAGTCGTCGTGGGCATCAAAGCCGGTCCTCCAGTCAAACCGTTTGAAAGTCCCGGCTGCGGTAAGTTGAACCCACCAGTGGCCTGTATTCCGAAGCTAGTTTGAGGTATGGTATACTGAGCAGGCATTCCTCCTACTTCGAATGAGGGGTTGCCCCCGGTTCTTTGCATTGGCATCATGTTTCCACCAGTGACTGAGGCAGCCATCCCGCCCGTGGGATTTATGCCAAATGAAGTTTGTGGCATTGGCATAGATCCACCAGTGTATCCCACGGTTCCTCCCGTCAAATGTGCTTGTTGTAGGGGAAGAGCACCTCCTGTTCTCTGCAAAGGCATTGAATTATTGGGTCCCTGCATTCCAAACGTCGTTTGTGGTAATAGACCCCCCGTATAAGCAGGAATTAGCCCACTGCCAGTTTTTTGAACAGGTAAAATTGTACCTATTGGATGCATTCCAAAAGTTGTTTGTGGAACCAATCCACCCGTCCTATTGATAGGCAACATCCCTCCAGTGTTGACCGGGACCATGACAAATCCTCCAGTCATCATTGGAATCAAATTGTGACCACCTGTTTTGAAAGGATCCAAGGGAGCCAAGGACTGTCCTGTTTTTTCAGGCGCTAAGGAAATTTCTGCTCTAGAAGAGCCTGTTTTCACAGGCTCCAAATCCTTCAGATTAGGTTGAGGTGCTTTTTTAGGCTCTAAGGGCCGTAAATCGAGAAGATCTTGCATGGAACCGGTGAATTCGGATTTTTGAGGTGGCATAGCTGCTTCTGAAATAGCAGCCGGCTTGACAGTCCAAGCCTCGTCATCTTGAGTGCTTGTTTGTTGACCAGTAGAGAGTTGAGACTGTTGTGGGAGCAATCTTTCTGAAAGCGAGCCTGATCTTCTTCCTTCGTTAGATACTTTGAGGGATCCGTCTGGCTCTGAAAATAGCCCACCAGTTGAAGTGGGCACTTGAGTGTTTTCTCTTCCAAACTTTTGGTCCAGGTACTTCATGACCCGAATAATGTCTCCTTCGCGAAGCCCCAATGTCCGCAAGACAGAAGGTTGGACATCTGGAAGTGTTTCTTCTGAGATCTGTTCCCGCTCAAAGTTGATTGTATAACGTTGGCAATTGTTGACATCAACACCACAATTGAGGAAAAACTCAAACCAGTCGTACTCGATTGGCTTACTCGAGCCCTTCGAAGTCGCCGACACGTGCGACTGGTTCGAAGTGACAGTGGGTCGTGGAGGTTGAATGGGGGGAAGGTCTCTCTCTTGACGGGCACGTAAGTTATGTCTCTCCTTATCAAGCAGATCGCGAGCCTCCCGAAGTTCCTTTAATTCTTGTTCTCTTAATTTTCTATCTCTTTCTCTTTCCTCCCGCTCTCGCTCACGTTCTTCGTGTTCTTTTATCTTCCTCCTTCTTTCGCGCTCCTTGTCTCTTGCATGAGAGCCGCTATTAGCATTCTTTGGTTTGTATTTATCCAAGGAAGTTCCTGTCATCCTTTCCACGCGTTCTAAATCTTCCTCGCACAGCTTGTCGGCCGCTACTGCAATCTTGACACCATTCGCTTTGTGCAAGTGAACTTTGCCTTCGACACATCCGATAAATTCTGCCTCGACTTTGAAGGTACCACTCCTGTCCACCCATATCCTAGTTTTCTTTGAATCTGGATAGTCCTTAGATTTTTTGCTAGAGCTACGTGACGCTGCCTCCTCTTTCTTCTTCCCATGAGATAAGAACGAAGGGGCTCTTTTCCTTGAACTTTTTCTCGAGGTCTCCTGTTCTACATCATCCTTCCAGTTTTTGCTTATCGAAGACTCGGAGACGCTCTTTTTATTAAATTTGCTTGAGGATCTGAGGGAATTCGCCATGTATGATAGCTGATTGATAGGCTCGACAAATTGAGCTGGGATAACACCTTTGCGTCCAGTGTCCGTTAACTCGCACATCCACCAGTCTTGAGACTTTTTATCATCTAAAATATGGACGATCTGGCCCTCCTTAACAGTAAGTTCATCATTGGATTCGCCAATGAAATCGTAAATAACTTTACCTTGCTTCCTATGGGATGACTTCGCAGGAGCTTTAGTGGCGGCTTCGACTTCACGTAGCCCACTGGCGTGGTAAACGCCTTTCAATTCTCCCAAAATTGTCATGATTTCGTTGGCCACATCGGTGGAGCCTGTGTGAATTTCGAGATTGACGTAGGGGTTCGAAAACTCGAAAAATATGTGTTTCTTCTCATTGTCATAGGACGTTAGATCATTTATAGGCCATTGTTGCGGGGTGCCCTTCGAGGGCGTGAAAAACACGGTGCTATTTCCGATCGCTAGCTTCGCCTTGTGCTTTTTCCTACCAACTACCTCAGAGACGTCCCAGGTCTGAAACGATGGACTGTCACCTAGAGGAATGTCGTTTCTTTTTCCTAGACCATCATAATACTCGTCGCTGGCACGTCTAGTTTCTGTGGGTCTTGTTGGCCTGGGAGGCAATGGAGCTTCTTCTTCATCAGAAAAATGGTCTGCAGATTCCGCAGGCTGCGTTGGCACCACTGGGGCTGCTTGAGGAGCCTCTGTTGCTCTAGCCACATGTTTTGGTGGCGGTGGGAAACTCATTGCATTGACATTAGACACCTGTGGAGCCGCTGAAACCGCTGGAACGGCTGTCGACGCTGCTATGCCCGTTGCACTAAGGATTTCGACGTAGTTCCCGGGAATAAACCCGCATTCGCCGCTCCTTTGCAACCGACACAGAATCCAGTCGGGATCTCTGTCGTCGTAAACATCAAACACATCATTTTCATTAAAAGCGATCTCTTCGTCCGCGTTTTGCACTTCTGGATAATCGTACAGAGCTTTTGCAGTTGCCTTGACATCAGCCTCCTCAATGTAATTGTTGGGCACTAGCCCCACAGGTTCTTCGGCATCTGAGCCAATCACTCTCTTCTTAACGGACCACCAGTCGTCTACATCGGACTTTTGCAGAAGATACAACAGATCGTCTTCTTCGATGGCTAGCTCTTCCTCAGATTGCGGCTCATATTGGAAAAGCGCCTTATAAATTCCCAAAAACGCTGTCATTCGGGTGATTGTCAATTGACCCGGTTTCGACGATTATAACGGGCGTTGTTGTCGACTTTTGTTCAGAATGAGTTCAAAATGGTTTAGGTTCAAATATCGGAAATCAGATCTTTAAGAATGCCCCTTTTCAGTTAGAAAAATCTGTATATTTGCAAGTCACGTTTCTCGTGATAGTTCAGCGACAGTAAAATCCATTTGACTTTAGGTATTGGAACTCAACATCAGTTGTGGTGATTGGAGCTATTTCATGGTATGTGGGAATATAACTGACCGTTTTCGACGGGTTTTGATGGGTTTTCACGGGTTTTCACGGGTTTTGTAAGACTTTTTTTTGGATTTTGAGGGGACCTTTTTGGTGTCAAAATGAGCAATCTGCAAACAATGCGGGAGGTGGGTACCATTGAGTTCTCATAGGGAGATTGAAGACCTTGAATTGACAAGACAGTCGCCATTGCGATTCTGGTGTAAATATGGCGCTTCAAAAAAAATGCTTTTCCGAAAAGACGCGATTCCTCTTTTCTTGCGTATTCTTTTTCTTGACCACACTTATTCCTAGCGCCTCCAAACTCGAACATTATCACATAGAACATGCTTCTGCCATTTTGGCTCGACGAACCCCAAATTTCATGCGTCAATGTGGTTTTTGGTTCTTGTCCCCCGTAACCTTTTGCATTATCTCCACCCGGAGCGCTTTGTAATATCCCAACGCAAACAACAGCTCGAAAAGAATCAGAAACGGAGCCGTTATTAAGCTCTGCACCAAATTGTCCACCACTGCCGGTCTGCGACGCTCAAAAACAGCATGGCCGTAAAACTGCGCAAACCATCCCGTTGCGAATACCAAAACCGCCCATTTGACGGGAATTTCCAAAACTCCTACGTCTATGCCCTTCACTGTGCTCGCCAATATGCAAGCCGCGAGTGCGCCTGCTTTCAAATCAAGTACTAAATAGTAGCCTGCAAACGTGGCTGCCAAAAAATGCGTCAAAGTCCAACCCGACCAGATCTCCACATGATGCAGAATCACCATTGATGAGAATAGAATCAAGGGCACAAATACTGCGTGGATCTGCACATTGGTGTCATTGCTGTGGTAGCCCTTGTAACAGGCCAGCTGAGTGGTCAAATCAAACAGTTCTTTCATCAGATGGGAGCCAGTCTACAAATAAATACTGAATTTATATATAAATATATCAAATGAAGATATCTCTGACCGTGTCTCTTCTTTGTCTAACTCAGACCTTAGTTACAATCTTAATCCTTATGAAATATGTAATATATATATATATATATGTATTTAACGTCGCTTATATTAAATATCGACAATCTTCTATGAAAACATTGGTAAAGACGCATAAAAAACTGCTATGAATGGGCAGAAAAAGGCCCGCTCACAATACAAACTCGCCCTACTCGGGACATGGATTAGGAAACGTTAAAACGTCTTACTTGTGGAGTTTGATACTTTTGTCACTATATACGACGGTAATTTAGTAAAATGGATGTTCAGAAGGCTTTCCCATTTGCCACTTCCCATCAGAAACAACACTTCGAATCAACACGGGCGAACCATCGTAAGACAAAGACGCTCTAGTTCACAATGTCTGCTGCAGGATACGATAGGCATATTACCATTTTCTCGCCCGAGGGCCGTCTCTACCAGGTGGAGTATGCCTTCAAGGCCACAAATCAAACCAACCTTAATTCCATGGCTATTCGAGGCAAGGACTGTTGCGTGGTGATAAATCAGAAAAAAGTACCAGATAAGCTCCTGGACGCTTCTACGATGTCTTACCTATTTCCCATTTCGAAGCACGTCGGTATGGTGGCGAACGGACCGATTCCGGACGCCAGAAACGCAGCATTGAGGGCCAAGGCAGAGGCCGCAGAATATCGCTACAAATACGGCTACGACATGCCTGCAGATGTGCTGGCAAAGCGTATGGCCAATCTGTCTCAGATATACACTCAGAGAGCATACATGAGACCTCTTGGCGTGATATTGACCTTCGTATCAGTCGATGAGGAATTAGGACCCTCGATATACAAATGCGATCCTGCTGGCTACTACGTTGGCTACAAAGCCACGGCAACCGGCCCCAAACAGCAGGAGCTCACTAGTGCTCTAGAGAAGTTTTTCAAGAAACGCAAGCTCGACCACGTCGATGAGGACTCGTACGAAAAAGTGGTGGAGTTTGGCATTATGCAAATGATTGATGCGTTGGGCACAGATTTCAGCAAAAACGATCTGGAAATAGGTGTTGCTGTTAAGGATAGCTTTTTTTGCCTCACTCCTGAACAGATAGAAGAAAGACTGGTTGCCATTGCCGAACAAGATTAAAAATATTTTGACAACCGGATCACGCAACAGCAGCAACAACATAGCTTGCAGGGTTACGCCTCCATTTTATTAAAGTACATACACCAATCATCACGTTTTACTGTCCCTAAATGTGGCCTAATAGAGAAAGCGTACCGATGTCCCGAGAAAAGCGACTTTTGTCGTTTAACCTACTACCCTCTCATGCACATGTGTTTCTTCATGTTGGTAAACCTTCGTGGCCCACTAAATCTGGCCTTGCATCTCTTGCAAAGTATAACCTTTTTCACACCGCCATTGTTGCTCGCTAGTGGTTTGGGTTTCCTGACAGACTCAATCGACTCACTTGTCCCTCCAGCAGCCAATGGCACCGTGGGAGTCGCACTTAGCGGTGGAGTTGGTGTGACTGCTGCAGTAGCATTGACAGCGGAATGGGTAACGTAAAAATTGAACGCCTGTATCGCCTTGTCAAAGTCTATTAGTTTGTGGAAGTAGTTGGCAAAGTCCGTGCTCGAAAGAGCCTCTAGCTGTGCACGCGGAACGTGGCCGCCTAATAGCGTATGCTGAAGCTCATTTACGTTATCCAGTGATATCTGGGCATCTATTTTGCTCAAATATCCGTGCACAGGAATACATCTTCTTTCTCTGAGATCGTTTTCCAGGCGTCCATCGCATGCTTCGTCTCTGGTTTTTCTCGCCTCTTGATCAATTTTACAGAGCGCTTGTAATTGTTCTGGCGATATGTGAGCCTTGTGCGAGCACTCAAGTGACGATAGACCGGCGATGGTGTCGTAATAACCCAGAGTATGCTGTGCCATTAGCGTATCTTCTTGTCTCTTGGGCTAGCTGAACGGAATTCACAGCAGTTAGCTACATTTTAGTGCTTGAAGCTATAAGTTCATTCGTCACTTGAGACGATGTGGTGGTGAAGAGGTGTATATCTATATGATAAGCGGTGATGGGCACTGACTGGCCCAGGTGTAGTTTGGACTTGTGTAGTAGCACTCGCGCATTTGCACTCGTGAATTCAGGAGGCAGGGTTGTGGATGGGAAGTTTCTTCTGACTTTCATAGATTATTTTAGTACTTTCAAGTTTACCAGATGAAAGGAATGAAAAGGTAAGGACATTCCTCACGATACTTGTCCCAATCGGCGCCATACTTCTTCTCACACTTGGCCTGGTCACGTAGGGCACGGTGTACTAGGACAATGAGGAAAAAGGCAGGGAAAAACCATGGGAATGGCGAGTTGAAGCCGCAGGAAAGCGCCCAGACCAATGATTGCGTCCAGTCAGCCGTGTAATGAATTTTTCTGGCCCACTTGTACCAGCCGTCAATCAACAAGTATGAGCCATTTTTGGTAATCATGTATTTGGGGTTTTTGAGAACTTGTTTGGGGAGAAATGGGAAAGTTTTGCGCACTCTTTTGTCGCCCGCGATTTGCTTCCGGAACGAGTTCTTTTGAGCATTTGCGGTGTCAAAAAAGTAGTAGGCGGTCAAAAGCACCACGTACAGCGACAAGTTGTAATACCAGGACCAATTGTACTCGCTGCGATCGTGGTAGTATAGATACAAGGTGCAGTGGCAGTAGGTGTAAGGAACACCTGCAATGTTCCAGAAGATCAACATAAACCCGAATTTTTCGTAAGCCATGTCCCAGGTGGGGACGATGAGCTCCTCTCCCTTGGCGCAGGCGTTCGCGTACAGCCAGTGAGCCAGCAAAATGACTCCCATTTGAGGGGAAACAGACCCGTAGGTTTCGTATTGCTTCAATGCACCTCCTAAGGTCAAGAAGAAAAGCGTGAACCACGGCAATCTGACCTCGAAGAACATTTTCAAGTCCAAAACGCCCCATCTGGGGTTCAACGGAGCGCCCATGAACATGTCGTAGATGTGGTTGCCCGTCATGCGGTGGTAGTCGCCCGAGACGAACAGAGTGTACAGGTACAACACGATGGAAAACGCAAACCCGGACACGATGGCGCACGTCATGATCTCGCCGAACATGTCGAGAATCGTGTACAGCTTGAAGACACCAGTGAAATGCAGTACGAGGACAATGGTGACGGACGTGTAGAAAGTCCACATCGCGTTACAGAAATAAGGCAGCTGTTTGTTTTTCAGATGTGTCAGAGGCTGGCCCTTGGTCCAGACTCCCGGTAGCGTGTAGTAGAACACGATTTGCGCGGCCCAGAACGCCATGAAGATCGTCCACGCAAATCTGGACGGCACTGCGTGCTCGACACACAGACCCCACAATTTGGCCAAAAACGAGCCCCAGGTCTCGTTCGACGCGGGCCACGCTGCTGCCCCGCCGTAGAACTCGGCACTGATCCACATGTAGTACATCAGCGCTGGAAACCCGAACATCATGCCCAGAGCACCCACGGGCCCACCAAACTCGTATTCTATTTCTTCCGGCTTCAAAAACTTGCCCTGCGGCAAGAAATTCGCAGAAGCACCAAACTCCCGAGACGTCTTTTTGTCTTCTTCTGATAGCATTATCTTGCGCGTCAAAGCAGGATACAATTGACAATCTTGAGCCAAAATAAGAGCACTTGGAGCACCAAAGAACACTGCTAACAAGGTAGATCAACTTGAGTTGTTTTTTCTAATATGTGTTTATTTCTTAATATTAGCAAGCGCTCGTACGAATCTGACTCTGTCGCTATGTACGGACCTATATATAAGAAAACCGGACCTCGAACAGGAAACCTAGCCTTGAAACAACCACTTCTGAACAAGAAGTGAAGGCAGGTTCAGTCAAAAAGTGAATATATGAAGCTTCGTTCTGGGGTTCAGAGAGTCTTGATAGTGTCAATTACTCGGTCGCGACGTCTTTGACGCATTTCAGTTGATGGTGTGCGATTTTGAGCGGGTTTTATAGCGTCTTTTAGCGTCTTTTAGCATCCTTTAGCTCTTTTTCTGAAGAGTTTGGTGCGCTCGTGTCGAAGAACAAGAGGGGAATTCAAGCAGTGGCGTTGGGCTAACTAGATGTTTCTGTGAGAGGACTTTTTTGAGCAGTGCAGTTGCTATTGTTGGTGTTGGTGTTGGCACTTTGGTGTCGGTGTTGGTGTTTCTAGGGCGTTTGGTATACCTTGAACTTGGGCGGCTAAAATGCGCTGCCACAAAAATGAATTTCTATGTTTTGGTTTTAGGGGATGGGTAGTGGTGTGTGGGTGTTTGATTTTACATCATGTGACCCGTGGATGCGTTGCTTTTGTATTTCCTGACATCGCTAGATACGGGATTGGTTCCGCGGAACAATTGTCAGCAGCCCAGATTACTAAGGCCTGTGGGTGAAGCTGGCTCACACATAAAAAGGACCTGTTTTCCAACTCCACGGAAACGACGACACGCCCACACACTCCCTCCCATTCACGTTTAAAAGCTCGGTCTGGGCGAAACCACATCCCCACACATCGCTTTCCAATGAACGGACTCAGCTCTGGAGGAGTAACAAAGAAGCGCGCAAAGGTCAGCAGGGCATGCGACAATTGTCGCAAACGAAAGATCAAATGTACAGGCGACCTGCCATGCTTCAACTGCCAGAATTATAGCTGCGAGTGTACATATTCCCGGGGCGCTCCACTCGCGCTGGTGTCAGACGGCCCCCGCAGGCACGTAAAGTCCACCACGAAAACCTCCAGTATCGCGGATAGCGCCAGCGATTTCGCTTCAATGTCCTCCAAATCCTCGGTGTCGTCGTACTCCAACTCGACGGCGTGCTCGCATAACGATGCGTCCAACGGACTTTACGGGGACGACAGCCACACGATCGAGCAAATAAATCTGCTCAAGAGTACGCTGCGATGCTTGAAGGAGGCACAGCCGTCGCAACGAGTATTGAACGCCGTCCAAAGCATCACAGAGCAGCTCCGCGAAACAGAAGCGGCTTGGAAACCGTGTCTCGATATTCGAGCAATACGTGATGTGCCACCGACAGCCACCTCCTTGGAGACCCAACTTATGATCAACAAATACTCTGACAAAGTTTCGCTTACAAAGTATGCGACGATACAGCCCTCACCGTTTCTGTCACGGTCAAATGTCCTCAACCAGTATCCTGTTCTGGATGATATGTTTGGATTGTACAGTCCGGGCCTTCTAATGTCTATTCGAGGTATCGGATTTCTATTCAAGCACTTTTTCGACTCCGGGGTTAAAATGTCTAGGGAATACAAAACTACATTGTTTTTGATGTTGAGGTTTTTCGACGCATGTGCCCACTTTGTCGACGTGATGATGCAATCCTGTACTTCGCCTTTAAACACGTACGCGACGTTAATGCAAGTCAACTACGATACAAGAGAAATAGCTATCCAGGAACTTTTGGCCACTATACCGAAGGAAACAAAAGTCAGCACACTAAAGTTGTTCCCGCATCTCGGTTGCCCTCCCAGTTCAAGTGACAGTCTGGGCATGTTTCACTGGATTACGCGGATGATGTTCGTCTCTTGTGTGGATTCTGTGTGTAAACCTCCAAATTGCGACAACTACTTGAGTCTTAAGTCAGATATTGAACAATTCATGCATACTCAGGAAGTTTTATCGGTTCTTGGCTTCGAATTTTTTAATAACACCACTTACACTCCCGCAGGTAACTTGGACTACTTGGATACCCTAGTCTTTTTCATCAAGCACCAGTACTGCTTATCTGAGTACCATGTTATTCCTCACCTGGTTTCTAGGCTTGTAAGCTACTCTCAGAACATGGGCATTCACCGTTGGGAGTATTACGTTGGCATGGATGAACTTACGGCAGAGCGGCGAAGACGAGTGTGGTGGAGTTGTTTTTGTTGGGACATAATGGGCTCTATTTTGAGTGGTAAACAAGCAATGATATCAACATCGAGCGTGAGTTGCCTGCTCCCTGAGTATTTCAGAAATGTCGGAATATTGGAACCAGACGAACTTTTACGCAAGATCGCCTCTCTTGAGGAGCTTCCCTCCGGAAGTATTACAGACAAGATCGAATTTTGCGGTACGTCACTGGCAATTGTCATAGCAGACTTTTTCCAGAACGTCTTATACAGTAAGAAGAACACATGCTTCGAGAATACTGCCAAGCCGAGCTCACTGAGGGATAAGATAATTTCTGACTTGATAAGAGACGTTCAGACTTTTACAGAAAGGATCACAGGGGTGGAAAAACTCGCGAAGCAATTGCAAGACTTTTCAGAGCTTCACGCCAACGACTGCCCTATGGACTTAAATGCAGGGGAGAGAAAAACTCCGCCACGGCTTGCAATCTTTATTGACTTTGCAAGGGCGATTTGCTTGGGGTCCGTAGAGCATCTATATGCCCGGTTCAAAGTAAATGACTTTCCGCGTCCAATACAAGAGTCACTCAACGCTTACAGGCTCTCAATACATACGTCTTGGCGGTCTGTCATCACGGCCATAGGCAACGGAAACATCGATCACGTTTGGCTGGCGCTATCGTGCGGGAGCATCCTTTCCCTTTCTGTGCTCACAGACCTTTTTACCCAGAAAACCAGAGACACAATGCAGGATATAAGGCTCATTCTCAATGCATCAACTTTCTTGGACAAGTTATCATTCCTGGAGCATTGTAGCGGCAAGATAGGGGAGACAAGCAGATTGTTGCGGACGTTTACAAAGTGGAAAACACTTTTCCAAATTTTGGTAAGAATAGGGCTTCAACTTTACATGCGAACATCACAATTGACCATTGCAGCCTTCCTCGATCTTTTAGCCGTTGAAGACGCGGAACTGGTCTGTACTGCTACTCGAATCCTAATGTTATCACAAGATACTTTCACAGCGTGTCACAACACCAAAGACAAAACGTCTTGGCATGTGAACGTCGAGCGATCAGTTGAGCAGGCCCAGGCCTTGGTGAACCCTGATCGCTTTCCAGATGCAAATGCTGATCTCACGCATCCGCTAATAGAAACGTGGTCTCACCCTTGTACCTCGCCAAGTGGAAATATTCCAGCCGAAAAGTCAAAAACCAAAGAAGCTACACTTCCATTGTCTCCTCCAATAAATTTCAATTTAGGCTCGCTGGACGATTTCCTGAACTTTGGTGAGGACGACCTATACAACAAACTGTGGAGTGACATTAATATTGATATCCTTGACTTGGTATCCTCAAACTCAGGCCCCTGATTAAATTCTCAAGTCTAAAGTCAAACCTACTCTACATGTTTTAATACTTTACATAGCTTTTCTTATTAACATCATTCTGTTTCCAGAATACCCATTATTCTTCTTCCGTGAGGAGTGTTTCTAATTGGTCCTACCAGGTGAGGTTTCAAAGTGTCGCTCAGCCGGTAGTACAGGTCTTTGTTTTCGCGTGCGGCATCCAGGGCTGTCTGTAAGACATAGTTACCATACCCATCGTGTAAGAGCTGCTCAATTTTGGCGTCGGCACCATGTGTTAGCAGTTCATTGATTATGATGTCCGAAGCCACGGGAGTGCGTAAGGCCTTTTCGACAACGTTGGAACCAAACTTGTGCAATGATAGCTCGATGACTCTTGGCTTGATCAAAGCGACCACTTGAGTAGTGAAGTCAAATTCGGATCGTTCTGACTGTTGGGTCAGAATGTACTGGACAACATAATTACCGAAAGGATCAGTCGTTAATTCTTCCACATGTTCGATGATGCGCTCACAAAGCTGATCGAACTGTTTACGATTACCGTGGTCTAAACAACGTTGAAGAACACAACACCCATGTCTATGTGTGGCGATTTTGACGCATGCGTCAGTTGCCGCGTCGAAGATAAATTGAGAGTCCTCGGGCTTCAACTTCTGCAAACATTTCTGAACCACATGATTACCGTTCAGATCTCTGCTCAGCTCTACAATAGAACCTCTCAAAGAGTTGACTATCAAGTGCGCTTCTTCCTCAGATGAAATGCATTCGACCAATTTTTGTAGAGCTCTGGTACCGTGCGGATCTAATGAAATGTAAACGAAACTTTCAGCAGATGACCTCACTAATTCGAGTCTTTGGTCGCTAGTCACTCTTTCTAAAAGCTTTTGAATCAGATAGTTACCAAAAGAGTCAGTCATCAGTTCCACCACGTAGCTCTTTGTTTCTTCAAAAATAACGTCCGCGGCTTCAGGTCCTCCAATATCCAGCTGTCTTTGCAAGAATCTACAGCCGTGTTGGTCCTTGCAAAGAGAGAGAATGTTGCCTACAAAGTCCTCGAGCTTCGCATTGGCGTACTTTGCTGGATCTTCTCCCCTGCGGTGATAAGGCTTCTGATTGTGGTTACCTTTGTGTCGACGAGAGTGCATTGGATGACGATTGCCATGGGAGTGAGATGGATGTAGACTATTGCCGTTGTTATTGCCGTGAGGTCCCATCATTTGGTGGTGAATTGGAACCATTGGACCAAAAGGATGGTGATTACCATACATCCATGGAGGCATTGGTTGCGAAGAGGCAGCCCTTGGAGAAGCTGCTTTTTCGGAAACAGGTCCCTCCTTGTCCCGGTCTCCTGAGGCTGGAGATGGCATATTGACAGAGCTACCCCCCAAAGAGTTACCAGGAACTGGTGAAAAGGATTGAAATGGTGAAGAGAATCCGTATGCATGGAAAGGAGAAGGTACACCGTAGGCGGGAGTACTTCCAGGGGGAGTATGGCCCGAAAGAACGGGATTTGGTTGAACGAGAGGACCGCCGTATGGATATGCAGCAGCTGAATAGGGCACAGAACTGGAGTTTAATTTTGGCAGATCAGCCTCAGGGTTTCCTGCAGGCTTTGGTATGTGCTGTAAGTCTGTTTCAGCTTTTTCCAGAGATATGCTTTGAGTTCTTATAGCAGAATTGTCGTCACCCAACAACTCGTTACCTGACACTGCGGGGAAAGTTTGTCTTCTTGACCCATGCGGAACTTCTGGGAGTTTTCCCGACATAAGTGCATAATCGGGACCATAATCTTGCTTGTTGGAAGGCCAAAAAGGGTCCATGTTGGTAGAAAAGCCGATATCAAGCACATTTCCGCGTGAGTCACCAGCTGCCGCAGCTGTAGAATTTGTCTGGGGCTGAGCGTGGGCGTTAGCAAACATGATGGGTTCAGAATCGACCGATGTAGTCAAATCTGCTGGAGGTCCGGATTGGAATGGGTCCGACGATCCTGGAGCCTGGAAGAATCCCGGAGAATGAGGCAAATGCATCATGTGGTGGTAATGCATAAACCCCATACCCATCAATGGCGGTGGGGGTGGGAAAACATTATTTGACGAAGTAGCTGCGGTGGAAGGCTCTGCTGGTTTGGAAGTTGGCGTGCGACTGGTGTCGGACAAGTCGTCCAGATGAAGCTGGTCCAAAGCAGAATTAATCGTTTCGGAGACCTGGACGTCGTCAGCCTGTTGTTGTTCAGCACGACCGTTGGCCATGTCAAAGAAAAATTCCGAGCGTTGCTGTTCTGATTTTTGAAATATCCTACCCTTGCTAGCACCTGTAATCACACAGTACAAGGTACACCTCTGCGAAGTAGTATGACACTAACAAAGAAGAGAGATCGATAAAAACCACGTAAACTCAGCAGAGAAGTAAACCGAAACTCGTTGCAAGCACTAAAACTCAAGCAGCCAAAATTATTCTAATGTACAGGTAAAAAACCACTGGTTCTTTCAATTTCGACAATTCTCCGGTAGTCTGAAATTTTACACGCTAGGTGTCAATAATGTACAATAAACGGAAACCAAAATAGCCCAATGATCAGAACCACTGCTCAAACTTCCAATCGATGCCGAAAAAGGGTTTGCAACAGGGTCTTGTAAAGGAATCTGAACTGGAGTGTTGGTTGAATCAAACGAACTGAGCATTAAAATTTTCTATACCTAATTAGCACGCTATATGAGAATGCTTATTGCACGTGATGTGTACTTGGGTTCGAGTTGACATAGAAGAATGAGGTTTTAGTACGGGTTGAGTGGTGTTTTGGTGCTGTTTTGGTGCTGTTTGTGTGCTCTATTGAAGTAGTGTGCCGTTTCGAGTTTACATGTGTGTACGCTGATAATTCTCCAGTTGGTATTTTTATTTGACCAGCAAGATAGGTATTAAAAAAATCAATTGATCGTCGAGGAGGAGGGAATTGGGTTTGAAAGGAAGATTGGGGGACCAATAAGTTCTTCGTTCAAGTCTAGTGTGGAAATTTGTTGTGTCTTCTCTGCCGTTAATTTATTTTTTGAACCTCGATTAAGCATTTCCAAATGCGAAAAAAGACCTCTATATGAAGGGAGTTATTAGTGTCTTGTGAAATTTCTATGTGGTATGGAGGTTAGAGGTTTTCTTTGTGGTATATGAGGGTATTGTGTTCAGATATAGCCTCTCACAGGCTTGGAAGAATTGCACAAGTCCAATAAAAGTGCCCTCATCACGTATGAAAGAAGTAGTTCCAACGGCAGTGATGGAATTTATTACAGCCTCTTTGTCTGACATTTGACTGAAGAGGGGCATTAGAAGAGGCCCGACCAATATGGGTGCGGGCCTCTTATTACATCAACGCTTTGTAACCCTAGGTTTAAAAGGCGATAGATGAGGAAGCTTACCGGACCTATTCATAAACAAACATTTATAAGACTGTTTTTGGGGGCATTAAATTGCAACAAGGCTCTCGTCCGCACTTCGTGTTAGCCGAAAGATCATTCACGCAAAAGGTCATATCACTTTTGACAAAATCGTCATCTGTAATCTGTCATCTGTCGTTGGGTCATCTGACTGTCTATTACGTAATCGTATTTTTTAATGCGACGTCTGACGCTGAACTCAACCGTGGTGTCATTCTTAATTGGGCTATTAAAATGCCTATCCAAGCTTTCGCTTCGCACTGTGAGAGAGCAGGGAAAAAACATGAAGGGGATAAAAGAGGGTTTTTTCCCTGTAATGTGATTATTGATGTCCTTATGTGCCATTGGCGCAGTCCAGTCTTCCACTTTCGCTGATATTTGCAGGCTATATTACCTGAAGCGAAAAGTATGAATTAATTAATATAATCGTGACACTAGCGTGTTGCTTATTCAAGCGTTGGATAGTCACTTTGTGATCTGTATATATGTGGTTTTTTTCGGTGACAGTCTAAAGGTAACACAACTAACATTTGTACCTTATACCCCTAAACAAGGCTAACTGTGCGGTCAGAAGGATTCTCTTGAACACCAAATTATTCGGAGTTTTTGAAGTACAGGGTTGTCAAATTCTGAGATAAATCTGAGATAAAAAAAAGCATCGTTTCATAAAAGTATTTCCAACTACGATAGTCTACCAGGCGGCCAAAATGCGTATTTTAAGGTCATGATATACCGCGGTGAGGTTTGCAAGAAGACGAGACTAACAATTATTAGGCGACGCAAGGCGATATTGGGCCAATGATAGGTGAGATGATTAATATATTTAACCACATACAATATGTTTCTATTCTGAGAGCTCTGTGAGCTGTGAATGGGTATTTGCAACGGGCGTCGGGAATATTTTGCAGGCCTGAGTCTGGATGATAGCACTGTCATCCCGTGATTAGTGACGAGTATCATCGCGAGTAGGCCACGGCAGGTAGCGTTAAACTGACACCAAAAAGATGCAATTCAAGACACTGTCGGACCACAGCGCAACTTCAAATTACAAATGTCAAGAGGTGCCATCAACCATGGCATTTTAATTATCAGTGTTCGTTCGGAGACCCAGTCTCTAAGTAAGGGTTTTAGAGCTAAAAGTCATAGAATGTGCCTGAAATACAAGACGAGGCATTCGAAATTGATTGCCAGCATTCTCAAATGTTCGGAGGACACCACGAGTTCTTTCTTCACACACAGTTGAGAGCGTCAGCAATAATTTTGTAATTATACTACGGGCTCTTAATTGATCCACAATTGATCGCTTTGGCTCTCTATGAAACACTAGCGCTCGTGGCAAAATGATGCACCTAGTGCTTTAGATACATTCTAAGCTTTTATAGTGTTTGTAACCGCTATCACGCTTTTTGATTATTCGCTGACACCAACGCTCTCAATCTTTCAGTAGTGTCTCTAGCCATATTTCACCTTACGTAATCACCATTGCTCGTTGTCGCTCGCTGACGGTCTCAAAAGATCAATTGTTCAATAGTGCATTTAGCTATCCTAAAGTTTTTGAGCTGAGAGTGCTACCGAGCAAATGCTTTAAAATACAAAGATTTCCCCAATTATTCACACTCGATCGCTTTATGCTTTTAACTGTTATTGGTGATATTACAAGCTTTCATGTGCTCAGTACTGCTAAGGGGACTATTCAAACTTGATTGCACACGGCTTTTAATTGTTCAACAGTGCTTGTATTAGCCATAGTTAGCGCTAGCGATCAGTTGCTCAGTGAAAGTGAGATTCTAGACATTAGGAACTTTAGATGCTGAGAGTTCTAGGGATAAACAGTTGATACTAAATGCTCTATACTTATTCACAATTGGTAGCTAACCGTCTCAATTGTTCAGTAACATAAACAGCCCTCTACTTACATACAACTGAGAGCGCCAGCGATCGAGGCCCAATTGTCACTAATGCTCGTGGCTGCTAGCCCACAATTGATCGCTAACGGTCTGAATTGACAGTTGTGCGTGTGGCCATTTTACATAGCTCACGAACTATGTAAAGTACTAGGAGCTCTTTTATTCACAATTGTCGTGTAGTCACCATAGTTACTCCGAAATGACCGCTAGTTCTCTCAATTATTCATTAAAACTGGAAGTCCTCTACCTGTTCAAAATCAATCGCTGAAGCAATTGTGCTTCGAGTCTTGATCCTCTCGTAGTCAATCGCTGACGCTCTCTATTGTTGTGGGATGTTCAGAGCCCTCTAATAATCGTGCTCGTAGCCATCCTAATTATTCATAATTGAGAGCGTTAGCGATCAATTGTTGAGAATACTGAGAGTTCTTCTTTCATTCAGAAGTTTACTTGTAGCCACCATAGTTATTCACAGTTGATTGCTAAGGCTCTCACTTGCTCGTTTGTGCTCGTAGTTATCAATTTTATTCACAACCGCTCGCTACCGCTCTAATTTGGAGCTCTTTTTCAATCACAATTAAGAGCGCTCGCGCTCTATGTTATATAGTGGGTGCAGCCACTTTGAGTTTTCACAATTGATGGCTAACGCTCTGGTGCTTGTGCTGTTTTCACATATTCACAATTGAATTAATGCTCTCAATTTTTTTGTAGTTCTAAGAGCTCTCAAATTATTTAGTTGTGCTTCGAGTTCGATCGGTAATTAAGAGGTTTCTGATTTTTAACAATTGGCTGCTATCACTCTCAGTTGTGGGTCTCTACTACGATACTTCAACTTCTTCACCATTGATCGCCCTACGCTCATGATTGTTCAGTGCTGCTTTAAATACTGACGCCTCATGTATTCCAGTGCTTGTAGCCCTAGTTATTCATGTAGCCTCCCTTACGTGTTCACAATTGAGAGCGATAATCAGGTCTCGTAATACAATTGAAAGCGTCAGCGATACTACGAGTTCGATCGCTTTCGCTCTCAATTGTTCAAAAGAGTGCTACTGGGTGTCTTCGCTCTCGATTGTTCAATTGAGCTCCGAGTCTCTACTCTAGCTTAGGGCTTGCTTCAAGCCTCGCTTACAAATCAGTCTCTGACTAATCTCCTCTCGCCTCACTCTGCACGACGCTTACCTAATCACATCCAAATTAACTTTGCATTTCGCATAACTAAGCACCACCATATTCATATAGACATATATATGTCGACGATCTTGAGCCCGAATACCACATCACTCCCTCTTCTTCTCCTTTCTTCTCTCCCTTTCTCCTTCCCCTCTCCCAACCCCACTCACCATGCCCTTCGTACCAGACTTCAAACCTTTGCCTCTCAAAGACACCAATTTGTTCAAACCCATGGTCGTGGGTGACACCCACGTCCAACACCGTGCGGTGATGTGTCCACTCACCAGAATGCGCGCCCACACGCCCAAGAACGTTCCCAACGCGAAATACGCCGTCGAGTATTATGACCAGCGTTCGAAATCCCCAGGAACCATGATTATCACAGAGGGCACTTTCCCGTCGCCGCAATGCGGCGGCTACGACACCGCGCCCGGGATCTGGTCCGCGGAACAGATCGCGCAATGGGAGCGCATCTTCCAGGCCATTCACGCGAACCAATCATTCGCGTGGGTGCAACTCTGGGTATTGGGCCGCCAGGCCTACCCGGACACGCTTAAACGGGACGGGCTCCGCTACGACTCCGCTTCCGACAACGTGTACATGGATGCGGCGTCTCAGAAACAGGCCGAGGAATGCGGCAACCCACAACACGGACTCACCAAACCGGAGATCCAGCAATACGTGCGCGATTATGTGCAGGCCGCCAAGAACGCTATCGCCGCCGGAGCCGACGGCGTTGAGATTCATTCTGCCAATGGGTATTTGCTAAATCAGTTTTTGGACCCAATTTCGAATAAACGTAGTGACGAGTACGGCGGGTCCATAGAAAATCGCGCGCGATTTGTGTTGGAAGTGGTGGACGCCGTTTGTGAAGTTGTGGGCGCTTCAAAAGTCGGGATTCGGATCTCGCCCTACGGAACGTTCGGAACCATGTCCGGTGGTGCGGAGCCGCTGATTGTTGCGCAATACGCGTATTTGCTGGGCGAGCTCCAGAAACGCGCGCAGGAGAAAGACCGGGCGTTGGCGTACGTGCACGTGGTGGAACCACGCGTCACGAATCCCTTTTACGCGGAGGGCCAAGGCTGGTTCAAAGACGGATCTAACGAGTTTGTGTACAGCGTTTGGAAGGGCCCGGTGATCCGGGCCGGCAACTACGCGCTAGACCCACGCGCAGCGCTCGCAGACGTGCAGGCCAACGAGCGGACTTTGATCGGGTATGGGCGGCTATTTATCAGCAACCCGGACTTGGTGCGGAGATTGGAAGAGGGGCTGCCTTTGAATAAATATGATCGCGACACGTTTTACGCACCGGGGCCAGAGGGGTATGTGGATTATCCCAAGTTTGAGGCTACAAGCAAAGCGTAGCGAGTGAACTCGAAGAGGGAAGTGGTAGTATTCCTGAACATTCGAGAGCGTGAGCAGAAGGGCTACAAGCACGGCAGAAGGGCTACAAGCACGGCAGAAGGGCTACAAGCACGGCAGAATGACTATAAGTATATTTGAGCAACTGCCAGCTTCAGCGACCGACTGTGAATGAGTACAGAAATTGTAGTATCATTGAAGAATAGTAAGCAATTGTAAATGAGTAGAGCACTCCTAGTACTAGTTTAAAGTTGATAGTGTCTGCGATCGATTGTAATTGAGCAGAGAATTCTTAGCCTTGTGCTTACGTAGTTTCGAACACTGTTGAACAACTGACAGCGTCAGCGATGAATTGCCAACACCTGGAAGGGCTTTAAGCACTACTGAGCAATCGAAACTTCAGGTGACTTTGAAAAATGACTCCAAGCACTCGTAATCTTACTTAGGAAGAGCTACAGAGCTTAAAGTATAACTATCATTGAGATCTCATGGTACAACTACAACTGAGAGCTTGTAGCATGGCCTAGCAGCCTATGGCCAAGGCATCGTTGAACAAAATTGGCGGCAAGAAGGTCAAGCGCTCTCAAACAATGCAGAGCATGAGCGAGCAATTGTGACTTCATACAGATCTCGTCGTAAGTTTCAGCAATTGAGAGTGTAAGCGCTCAATTGTAAATTAGCCGAGAAATCTTGACATTTTGAAACAAGCAAGCGTCAGGTATCAGTTGCGAATTAGAACAGAGCTCGTAGTCCGTTTGAACAATTGAGAGTAATTATAATGGTTACAAGCACCAGTACTCTTCTATTCTCGATCGTTTACCAATAATCAAGTGTTCCTTGATCGTTAGAATTTTTTTAACTATTCAAAATCGGTCGCTGACGCGCTCACTTGTTAAATGGCGTTTGGTGCAACTACGCTCTTAAATGATCAGTGATCTTTCAATCCTGCTAGGTTTTCATGAGTACATTGGCGGAGTACATATACGTGTACCAGTGCTTCAACTAAGAGAATCAGTGATCAGTGGTGAATACTTGTGATGGCTACAATCATTTTAGAATGAAAGGCTAGGAGCATGATTGAACAATTGCGAGCCGTAGCACTTGTGAAGGAATGGCGTCAGAGACCAATTATGGACAGGCACTGTGGGTACAAGCATTATAGAATTGTATATAGATTTATGAAGTACGCACCTACGCACAATTTGCATAGCTTTGGTATCTACATCGGCGACGCTCTCCATTGTAAAAAGTTTGAATAGTCACGAGAATGGTTACAAGCATTATATTTGAGCTTATACACATTTATGAGAAGCAAAGTAAGGCAATTGAGAGCGTCAGCGGTCAACCGTTAATACGATTGATGGGTAAAAAGCCCACTTGAACATTCGAAACCCCCAACGATCAATTGTGATTGCATAAGATAAGTCTTTTATAGTCTCAACTGTGAATGAATAGAGGGCAAATGGTATTCTCGAGCAATTGAAAGCGTTGGCCATCAACTGTGGATATTTTTGGCGGTACAAGCACGGGCTGATTCCGAAGTGTTCAGCTGTTCTAAGAACTCTTTCTACTGATTCGCTAACGCTCAAAAAATATATATTATAATACAAATTCGACTACAATTGAGGGCGTCAGCGAAGCACGACTTGAAAACTTAAAGTATCAACCGTGAATAGCGGACTCCAATTAAGAGCTTCTATACTTTAGATTGTCATAACTATTATCGTGGGCTAGAAGCACTCATAGGCAAGCGATCAATTGTGAAAAAAATAGGGTTCTTAATGTTGAAATCTGAGTATGAATGAACTGTTGAGAGTATCAACTGGAGGTTCAAGCTTCGCTACAGCCTCTAGACTTTTTACAATTGGTCGCTTTCGCTCTCGATTGAAAGCATTTGACGAATTTGAGTGCTATAAAACAAGTGCAAATGGGTAAACAAGTAGTAGTACTCCTGTAAATTTCGTAACATGAAGTTAAGTAATTTGCAAAATCACTGGCATGATCTGTCGGAAGCCAAACAGCTTCAACAAGACAGTGACACTTGTTCATACTTGAACAACTAATAGTCAAAGTGGTCGACAACAGCTAATAATATAGAACTCTTGAAGCGGTAGCGATCAGATTAATTACTGAATTCATAGGGCCCCCAGAGCATCAGGAATCAGTTGTGTGTGTAGCTGCAGTTTTTGTTAGCATAGTCTAACCCTGACGCCCAGAGCATACGATCGTCCACGTTATCTCTCGTGTTTTCAAAACTACTGCAAGATCGATGAGTTTTATATTAAACACAGCCAACCTCTTCTCTCGATGCCTTAAAACCGTTGCATTGATTTTATCTAGTGTAGAGCTCTTGGCATCCGCATGCGGTGAGTAGCGGTCAATACAAACCATACCATCGGTCGCTGGATCACGTGCTCCAAAAGTTGAAACTTCTGGCAGTGCTTTTACCATACCTCCAAGTCGTAACAGCTGCTTGGTTCGTCTGTTGGACTTGCCCGAAAGACGTGTTTTACGGGTGGAATGACGAGTATACACGTTCAGAGTTTGTTGTTCCGTGTGGAAAGCACGACTATCGTTCATTTGTGCACCAAGCCCTACTCATTCCACCACACTCTGGCGACTCACATAAGATTGTCAAAGATATTCTATCACACTGAACCCTGAATTGCTGCTACCCCAAGTCGCTTAAAGAGCTCCCGATTTGTGAAATACTGAATGTACTAGGCACTACAGAATATTCGTCACTTTATACAATAATGAGAGTCGGGCTCGTCATTTGAAGTTCACCCATTCTTGAGTGACGCACAATTTTTCTTTAATTCGCAGTAAAGTGTGCTTTTGCTTGTTTCACTAGTAGTCGTGACCACCGATTTTCTCCTGTACTCGTGGTTGCCTTCTCGAAAGGTTCCCTTAATACCTATGGACTTTCGCGATACCACAACTTTTATCATCAGTAGTCAAATAAATATACAAGGGCCTAGCTTTTGGGCGAAACATAGTTCATGCAAGATAATTATAGCCTAAGAGAACGAATACCTACAAGTACTTCTTTTTATCACTTTGTATTATTCTTTGGTCTCTCGCTTAGTGTACTATTTTTTTAGCAAGCTTTAAACACTGCTGACAGTTCACAACAATCAACCGCTAGCCTCGTTTGCTCGAGTTGTACAACAACTACCAATGTCTCAGCCGTTAAACTTTCACGGCCAAAATATTTGAAATATGATTTCACTGTGTGACGAAGTTTTCAATTCTAACGTCGCAGAGCGACTGGTAATTTACCAGTTGCAAATTTATACCCCGCAGAGAATCATATGTACCTTTCTTAGCACTAATCTTTTGTCTCATTTCATCTAAATAACAAAACCTAAAAATGAGTTTCCTTTAGTGTATGTCTAGTATTGGGTTCTGAGGTAGACTCAGAGAAAGCGCTTAAAACCCTTTTCAAGGTCTCTATGTTCATAAATTTGCCAAGCATTTGAGAGTTAAAATGCTTCCTATTAAACACCTATGGTTTGTTCGCAGTATTGAAATTCCTCAGTCTTCTATTTCACTGTGTTGGTACATAGCATTAGTGTCTTTTGATGAGAGATAATGAGCTTACTTCTGGCCAGAACTTAAAGGCAATGATAGATAAAGTTTTCCATCGATTTCAACATGATAATTGCAAAGCAGTCGGCTTAGAAATATCATATCTCCTCCCTGCTCAGCCAAAAGCATTGCTCCATCACCATTCTGAAATATGAAAACGCTTTTATAAATTCTTTACAACTTTCCCACGACGCTGTATAGCTCACATTTTTGTCTTCATGCTGACAATACTGAAGTTGGACCAAAGCTTGAAGGAATCGATGCTCAGGTCGTTTCAATTAGTAATTTCTTAGCTTAAATGTCGGCACACACTGTTTAGAATAGCAGTCGAGTGTCATTGCCTGGTATGAAAAAGGCTATCGACCCCATTTGATCATTTTGAGCTATTGGCAAATTCTGGTTAACCAACAGCTTTCTCAGTAACAGACATCAAATGTAATTTCATATTTGCCCCAGAGCCTCAAATTCCTGTGAAGCCAGGTTCCCGCACACAATGCCAATTTTCCACATCCCAAAACAATGCCCGTTTTTGAACACTTGACTAACACTATAAAACCTACTTGCTCACATTTGCGGCTTGACTTACACCAAGCAAAACTGGTTTAAGTAGCGTCAATTATAAAGCTTGGAACGTTTCGAGGTTTGGTTAATGTAAAATACAGCTCGCAAGACTAAAATGCCAAGAATCGGTGACAAATTCAAAATCTTACCGGCTGTTTGCTGTGCATGGTAAATCCAAGCAGCAGATTAAATCAATAAGGGAATCACCGCAACGGTGCGGTGTCATAGTTAAAAAGCCATTAAACAAATATTATTATCTCAAATTACTAAAATTACGTTAAGTATTTTTACGAAATTCGTTTCTCGGTGTGTGTGTGTATGAGAGAACGGGATAGTTTGTGAGTGTGCATGTGAATGCGTGCGTGTGTGTGTGTGTGTGTGTGTGTGTGTGTGTGTGTGTGTGTGTGTGTTGTGTGTGTGTGTGTGTGTGTGTGTGGTGTGTGTGTACTGTGTAGTGTCAATGTGTGAATATGTGTGCAAGCGTGCGAGCGTGTAATTCGCAACGCCTGTGACTGCGTGTTATTTGGTGTCGTGTCAACCAGCAATTGTGGTAAGATCCAAGGAACAAGTTAGAAGCAAATACTGGGAATTACAAGTACTGTGTGTGTTGTGTGTGTGTGTGTACTTGAACTCCACAATAAAACTTCAAAAACCTGCCCGTATTCTTTTTGTGAATGTGTGTGCCAAAATTAAAGATTAGTAAAAGGTGGGCGGGGATATCAAATGTTTAATCCATGAGTTTATCACGGTCCCGATAGAAATGAATGAAAACAAAGCAAAGTTCCCTCTTCTTACCGGAGCTGAAACTACCAAATCAATAGCATTTCAGCATAATCCGACCTAGAAGTCAACAAAGGGGACTAAAAAGGGGAATGAAATAAAATAAATTCAAAATTCAATAGCAGTAACTAGGTGGGTGATTTTCAATGATCCTTTTCGAAAGGAAGGCACCTAGCCCATCATGGTGTTTTTGGCAATGAACTCGAATAAAAGGCCAGCAAATAAGATTCGCTGCTCGTTTCTGAAATGTTGAATTGAGAAGGGATATGACGATAGTAGAACATTAAAGAGATTTAATCATTCTATTAGCGTCAAGGTTAGGGAAAAAAAGCATCATAATAAAAAGTTCCCTCAAAGTGGGAAAGCAGTATCATGCGATTAATGACCCTTTTCGTGTTGAGTGGAGACTCTTTGCATGGCAACCAAGAAGTCTTCAATAGATCTCTTTGGTGGCTCTTCCTTTAGTGGCTTACCGTTCATCAATCTGTCGAAAGATTCAGACATAGACATCAAGTAGTAAGCACCACCCAGGACACAGAAGACACCGAAGGAGAAAATCCAGACACGGACGACAGTAACAATGTCGTTCCAGTTCTGAGACCACCAGCCGAACAAAGTGAACATGGTGGCAATGACGTCGACGGCGAAGACGGCGCCAGCTAGTTGCCACGATGGGATGGAAGACCAGAAAGGACCAACAGCTCTGGTGATGAAAATCAACCAGTTCTCAGTCAAGGAGATTTGCAAGAACAAAACACCGTCGATGGAACCGAAGTTCTGGATAATACCACCCTTTGGAACGAACATAGTAGTCAAAGTAATCCAGGTACCGATGGCAAGGATAACACCCAAAATGATGGACATACCCCATAATCTTGGCAAGTTCCACTTAACAGGCTTTTGGTCGAAAGGAGCGTTGTCGTAAGCAATGGCCAAAGTGGCAACGTCAGCAAAAATGGCAATGAAAACAATCAAGTCAATGTTCAAAGAGTTGTTCAAGATGGCAATCCATAGACCCAAGAAGATTTCCAAGTGGAGGGACAAAGCGATACGGTAAACAACGTAGGAGTACATTCTGTGGAAAATCTGTCTGGAGGTCTTCAAAGCATCAATAATGGCAGACAAACCAGGAGCCAAGAAGACAATATCGGCGGCAGAACGGGCGGCATCGGTGGCACCTTCGACGGCAATACCAGTGTCGGCCTTCTTCAAAGAAGGAGCATCGTTAACACCGTCACCAGTCATGGCAACCAAGTAACCTCTTTGTTGCAAGATTTCAACGACACTGAATTTGTGTTGAGGGAAAACTTCAGCAAAACCATCAGCATTTTCAACAAAGTCGGCCAATTCGGAACCTGGCATGTCACCACCACCACCTAGACCTAGTCTTTCAGCGTTGTAAATGTTCGTACCCAAACCCAATTGACGACAAGTTTCCTTGGCGATACCGACGGCATCACCAGTGAGCATCTTGACTCTCAAACCTAGGCGTCTAGCTTCGTGGACGGTTTGAGCAGTGTCGTCTCTTGGAGGATCCATACAAGGCATAACACCCAAAATTTCCCAGTGACCTTCACCTCTCTTTCTGGCAACACCCAGAGCACGGAAACCTCTGGAAGCCAATTCAGCAACCTTGTTTTCGTAGTTTTCGTGGACATCTTCAGGGATAGGGTGGTCTTCTTCGACAGTCTTCAAGACGAACAATGGGGCACCTTTAACACAGATAATTCTTTCACCTTCTGGGGATTCCACCACGGCGGTGACCTTCTTGGAGACAGGGTCGAATGGGTGGAATTCCAAAACCTTGTACTTGGTCAAAGCGTTCTTGGCTCTTGGGTATTGGGCCAAAGACTTCAAGAAAGCCTTGTCAATAGCGTCCAAACCCTTGGTCTTTCTGGAGGCGGCCAAACAGGCAGTCAACATCAAGTCGTCGGCTTCAACACCCTCGACGGTGTAAGGCTCGTGCAAGGATAGCTTGTTCTTGGTCAAAGTACCGGTTTTGTCGGAACACAAAATTTCGACACCGGCTAGGGATTCAATGGCGGACAATTTCTGGACAATGGCCTGTTTCTTGGCCAAGTAGGCAGCACCGACGGCCATGGTGGTGGTCACGACGGCTGGCAAACCGACTGGGACACCGATAATGGTGATACCCAGGGTGTATCTTAGGATTCTGACGATCTTGTCGGTTCTGTAGAAACAGGCGACCCACACGAGTAGCAAAGTGACAATGACAAGAACTAGCAAAATCGTACCGATACCGTTCAACACTTCGGTGAAATGACCTTGGTCGCCCGAGGCCTGGTTGACCAAAGCGGCGGCTCTTCCGACGAAAGTGTTGTCACCGGTGGAGGTGACGATCATGAAACCCTCACCTCTCTTAACGGTGGAGGAAGAGAAGGCAGTGTCACCGTAGTGCTTGTCGACAGCTAGGGATTCACCGGTGATGGCGGATTGATCGATTTGCAAGAAACATTCTTCAGTGACGAGACGGCCATCAGCACAGATGACAGTACCGTCTTCTAGTTGCATGATATCGCCTGGAACAACCTCGTTGGAGGGAATCTCGACGAGGTTGCCGTCTCTGATAACGACGGCGGAGTTGGCTAGAGACTTCTTTAGTTCGTCCACAATGGAACCGGCCTGGTATTCCTGGATGAAACCAACACCGGCGTTCAACATCAATAGACCCAAAATGACACCGAAATCGACCCAGTCCTCTAGACCGGCAGCCAAGATGGCTGCGGCCTCCATGACGAACTGGATAGGTCCGATGAAGAAACCGAGGAACTTGACGATTAGCGACTCGTTTTCCTCGGCCATCTGGTTGAGACCGTAACGCTTGCGACGCTTGGTCACCTCATCGGAGGTCAGACCGTGAGATGGGTCCGTTTGCAAGAGTTCTTCAGGCACCACACGGGCTTGGCCGGCGGCCACCTTTTCTTCCTCGACGTCCTCGTCGTCGTCCATGCCGTGGTGCGACTGAAGCTCATCGATCAAGGCGTCGATGTCGTCGTCCTCTTCGTCAGACTCGACTGGAGCGACTGGCTTTTCCTTGGTAGGTTCCGTAGCAGAAGACATGACTATAGTGCGTGGTGTACGGATGTGTGTGTAGCTTTTGGTTCTGGTTCTGGTTCTGGTTCTAGTGCTTGTAGCTCTTGTAGAATAGCGACACTAGGCAAAGAAAGGCGGAACCGGGTTCACGTTGCTCCTGGACCAAAATCTAACACGACAGCAGTGGAGAGTTAAGAAAAAAGTCCAGAAGAGAAGAGTGAAAGTTCAACTGCCAAAATATTTGACCCTACTGCACCGCTTCGCTTTATATACTTGGGAAACCCGAGCACAATCTGGTCCACAGTGGGATATGCGTGAATTTTTGTTTTCTGGCTGTTCTGTTGGTCGTCGTGTGGAAAGAAATGGGCAGGCAGCGGCAGGCAGGCAGCTACCTAACAGTAATGATAGTAGTAAAAAATGGGTGGTGGTAGTGGTGGTGGTAGTGGGTTAGCCAGCAGTGTTTGTTTTTCTTTTGCCCTGCGAAGAAGCAAAGAATTCCAGTAAAACGCTCTAAAAAGAGCGGAACGACGGCCCGGGCCAACGTCGATTAGGTCGACAATATCCCGCAGCCAATCAGATGCGAGGGCACCAGGCCAACGGGACGGCGGCGGTGAGTTGAGAGAAAAAAAGATTTCACTGGGAAGCGAGGCGGGCCCATACGCAGAGAGGCCCATAAACGTCCTCAGTAAAGTTCAGTTCAGTTCAATTCAGTGTCCTCGACGATGCCCACCCATGTGCAAGTGATGAGTGAGTTGTGTATCTCGCTCATCTTGCCCAAAGCTTATCTGGGCATCATGAGGCATTTTGCAGGGGAAACTTCTTGATATGATAATCGTGCCTCTGAGATGCCTAATGCGGAAAAAGCATAACCCAAAACGGATTCGACAACAGCCGAAAGGGGAACACGCAGAGCCGCACCATGTGTCCCGATTAGGCAATGCTGATTGTTTGTGGGAATAAGGCAACAAAAGGAAGAAAAAAAGAGGAAGCACGGGCCGGGCGTCGTCGTACTGCGGGCCATGACGTCAGAGCGGGATGGACGACAAGGGGTGCACGGGTGTGCGGATCCAAGGTCGGGAAGCGGGAGCTGTATGGTGTGTGGGTGGTGGTGTGCACGGGTGGTGGTATGCACGGGTGGTGGTATGCACGGGTGGTGGTATGCACGGGTGTGGGGGCGGTGAAAGCCCGTAGCATGTCGTGATGATACGAATACGAGTCTTGGTGAACAAATCGTCGTATTTGGCTGTGGACCACTGGGCCTTTTGGTGATGGGCCCTGTGGTGAGCTTCTCGACAGTTTGAACGCTCGTCTGAAACTTGCTGTAGTTCGAGACCTGATTGTTGACAAGAACCCTCAATGAAAGAGAAGTTCTTTCTCAAGGATGGGATGCTTTGAGGCGTCTTGAGGGGTCTTGAGGCGTCTTGAGGCGTCTTGAGGGGTCTTGAGGCGTCTTGAGGGGTCTTGAGGCGTCTTGAGGCGTCTTGACGCATTTCTACCAGAGTAATTTGTCCTGAAGATTCCTGCAGCGATGCGCCCATCCAGTCAACGTGCGATTGCCACCTTCGAGTCAAGAAGCTCCTCCCAATTCGTGCGAATTTCTCTTTCGTTTACCGAACGCAGATAAGCGTTGAGCTTCAAGAGAGCATCATTAATATGATCGCCGTGTAATGGTCAAATTGGCCTCTCATTCTTAAACGTCATTCGCTTAACCCGTGGCATGTGCTGGAGTGGAGTTATCGAAACCGTTTTGGAGTAGTTCCTAGTCTATTCCAGAGTAGAGCGACACGAACGTTGTTGAGTAGTCGGAAGGCTAGTGATCAAACTCCTAGTCATCAAAATCTCAGCTCATAGCTTCTGAAAAACATGCCCTTGTTACAGTCTCTGGACGTCTTGTATGCCAAAACACAACTTCTCAACTCATCTCTCATCCCTGAGCTAAACGTAGTGTACGCCAAAACAAAACCGGGTGCGTTCCTTGTTGACAATCACGAAATGCTTGGCGTGTCACTCTACGCGTTAACGCGACGCAACATATGTGATCATGTGACTTTCCTTTTTCAAAAGTGTATTTAACAAACACAACTCCCGCCAGGCTCCACTAAACGGTATTTCTCGAACAGTGTGAATTCTTGTCATTCTTGATGCTTAGTTATGCCTGTAGGAGTGCTTTCACCAGTACTTCGCTCCATTTGCCAGGAAACGCAACGAAAGAGTCTCGTTTTACCTATTGCATTAGCAAAATCTCTCGGTTTCTGACCCACAGTAATGCTGAGTTCTCAATTTTTATGAGATTCCTACTCTTCACGTCCACACAACTGCTTTTTCCATTCGTAGATGTAAAATGCAAGTCTTATCAAATAAATGCAGGCGGGGAAGGAGACTGTCCATCGAACGTCGCGATTTGGAAACTCAAACGTACCTCACACTCAACACTTCGCAATCACGGAACCCTCATCCTAAAGCTTCAATGGTAAAGGGTGCTTGGGTTTTCAAAGCTTCTGCTCCCGATCGCATTGTTGTCGGCCGGAGTTTCCCACATAACACTGGGTATCTTCGTGTCGCGGTTTCCGAGATGGGACGTCGATTAGAGATCCGTCAAAAGTCTTAAATTTACGTCTATCGAGTCTCTAAGGCGGCATCTTGATGCATGCTTTTTCCTTCCCCAAGATTTCTTCAGGTTGACGAATGCCTCTGTTAGCTCTGTATGCTGTCTGCGGAGTCTCAGTTTTACTGAAGATTTCGTGTAAGTGTTTAAGGAAATTATATCAAGAGCTGCAGGCAGTGAAACAGTGTTTCTGGCGAGCGATGGGGGTAAGTGTACAGGGTCGCTAGACTCAGCGGCTATGTGTACAAATGGCATTGGCGAGATTCTTCCTCGAACCAGGAAAAAAGCGGCAATAATCAAAAGCGATGTCACTTGAAAACCACTACGCTAGCCCAAAGATTTCTATGGCTATGAATTGGGAGACGCTACGAAACATATGATCTAACATGAAAACAAGACGATGAAGAAGAACAATTGACTCCATTCGCCAGTTGCTAGAAGTTGTGATAAAATTCATTCATTTGGGCCTCAAACCCTTGCGAAAAGGATCACCTCGGTTTTTGAGGCACAACAGCCTGATTCAGCGTACATTATATTTAAGGTCTGAGTTTCAGTTGATTATGATAATATAACTGCTCCTACATGAGTGCAGCTCAATACCTGCTGAAACGCGGTAATCCAGAACTCTTTTGACAGTGTTATTCATGACTCCGATCTCTCCTTGCAGGTAATGAATAGTAGTGTTCATGGTGTTTAGAATGATGCTGCGAGACTTATTGCTGCCGATGATGAGCAAAAGGCAGCGACTGGCAAATTTAATGTCAAAACAATTCCCATGAGGATGCCAATTGATTCCATAACTGAGTCATCATCAAAAACAGCTCACTGCGGTCTAGGAACTTCCTTGCCAGAGCACGATAACCCCTGGAGCCTAAGATGAAGCGGGGGAGTTGAGAGAAATCGTGTGAGTACAAATTGTGAGGGACCTTTAACACTCGAGTTCGAGAAACTTAAATTCAAATATTTCGGTCAAGACATGGCATCTACAAGATGGTGAGCGGAAGCGACGAAACATCGAATAACAAGTTGCGTATTCGATTGTGCCACGCCTTTACGACTTTCCAAGACTGACACAACGCAGGCACGAAGAATCGAATAAGACGCACAGGTGTTACTCAGTCAAACCATGGGACAATTGAGTGATCAGGCGCGTGTTCTTGACGGGCCACTTCCGCAGTCCAGTCCAGTTCAATCTTTGGATACGATCTCGAGCCTAGTATTACGTAAGCCGACGTCATTCCATTGTCCAAGATTTATACTCACGCACGATTTCAGCGCCGCTTCCTGGAAAACATTCATGAAAAATCGCCTAGAGCTCAAGATACCTATCTTTGACCTTTTTCCAACGCCAAAAACTCCACAATGAGCTATCCAGAACAGTTTAAAGGCTTTGCTATAGACGACCCCAAAGATTGGGCTCATCCCAAGCTCACTAGTTACCAGCCCAAAAATTTCGAACCTCGCGATGTGGACATCGAGGTCGAATGCTGTGGTATCTGCGCTTCCGAGTTATTTGCACTCCAAAACGGCTGGTCGCACGAACCATTGGCGTGTTTGAGCTCAAAGTATGGACCCAAGACCCAGGTCGTGGGCCACGAGGTTGTGGGCAGAGTCGTGGCCGTTGGGCCCGAAGTCACACTGTGTAAAGTCGGCGATAGAGTTGGTTTGGGAGCACAGGCGTCTTCTTGTATGCAATGCGTGCGTTGTGAATCTCAAAACGAACAGTACTGTTCCAATTCCGTGGGCACCTATTGTTCCGCTTACCCCGATGGCTACATCTCGCAAGGTGGTTACGCATCTCACGTTCGTGCCCACGAACAATTTTGTTTTCCAATCCCACTTGAGCTCCCATCCGAATTGGTGGCACCTCTGCAATGCGGTGGTTTAACCGTATACTCGCCCATCAAGCGTAACATTGCCGACAAAACCAACCCTAAAGTTGCTGTCATTGGTATTGGTGGACTTGGACACATGGCCATCATGATTTCTAAAGCTCTAGGAGCGCAGGTCTATGCCATTTCTCGTGGTTACTCTAAGAAAGATGACGCTATGAAGATGGGAGCCCATCATTTTGTGGCCACCAGTGAACCAAACTGGCAAAAGGATCTTTACGATGAGTTCGACTTGATCTTGAACTGTGCTTCGTCTACTTCTGCTTTGGATTTGGACAGTCTTTTGCCCTGCTTGAAAATCAATTGCAACTTCGTGTCGGTTGGATTGCCTCACATTGATGAAGACTTTAGAGTCAAGCCTTTTACCTTCTTCCACAATGGCTGTAACATTGGTTCTTCCAAGCTAGGGTCTAGAAAGGAGGCCATTGAATTGATGGACTTGGCAGTCAAACATGATTTTAGACCTTGGGTGGAGACTATCAAGGTCTCAGAGGCCGGTGTTTCCGAAGGTTTAACCCGTTTGAATGAGGGTGATGTTAGATATAGATTCACCTTGACAGGTTTCCACGAATTTTTCAACACGGGCAAACAGTAAGCAAGGGTTGCGTGGAATAGGAGGTGTATAGACTAGGAGGTGTTTTGTAGGGTAGCAAGTTATTTATGTTTGTTCGTTGTTCAAAAATATTGTTTTCCTGAGGTACAAGAAGCATACGTTTTGGCATTGAGTGTTCCAGTGTCATCATCAAAGCTATGTTACACTAACCAAACATTAATATCGTCAAGGTTTTAATTTTCAAAAAAAATTGGACATGACCGGAGTCGAACCGATGACCTCTCCCATGCAAAGGGAGCGCGCTACCAACTGCGCCACATGCCCAGTGATTGAAAAGAATGGTGCACTAATCTCACATATTCGATCTAAAGCAGGCTCGATCTAGTGTCAATTTCATTTATATCTGATATAAGAAATTCTGAACTTAGAATAACTCTATTCTATTGGGGGTTCGATCTATATATTCTGATTACCACTATTCCTGCTTGTCATGTTAAACTAGGTCTAATTCGTAACTCTTGCTGGAAATGGCCCTTATATACCATTCATTGGAGCATGGAGGCTCTGTTTCCCCCTGGGTGCACTGCCTCATACCCTATCGTGGCTCGTTGTTCTAGCCTTCCATTGTTAAACTAACGTTACTGTCTTCTCTCTCATTTCTTTAGTATCATGATTACTTGCTCGAGTACTACTCATTCAAGAGAACGTTTATATCCTGACAGGAAGTGTAAAAAATGATCTCAACATACCCGATCAAAAAAAGACGAATGTGTCATAATGTCAACTCAAATACGTAGCACTGCACTTCTAATAACTTTAATTGTATCAACGGTTCATTGGACGTATTCTTACTTCGCACCACTGATCCTGCCCATCATGCTGGGCTGGTTCTCTTTAGCAAACTCTCAAAATATATTTCTTTCATCGTATTTCTCTGGTTCTGAATGTACGTTCTTCACCGTGCTTTAGCTCTTCGGGATTGTTCTATGGAGCCGTTCAATGAATAGGATCTGGAGAGCTCCACCTGTTTCTCTTCGACTCATGAGTACATTACGTTCATGAGTACTTTTCTTCTACGACTCAACCTGAAAGATACAGTTTTATTCATCTTCAAGGAGAATGTATTCAAAATGGCGATGAGCCTAGAAAATTTATAAACGCCCATCTCTCAAGGACCATCTATCGAGGTGAATTAAGTTGATAGAAGTTGGCACAAGTAGCAGAATCAAGAGTTAAAATTACTAGATTTAGAGCCCATGTGCCACGCTAATTGAACCCGTAACATAAATAGAGCCGAATTCGGATAATCTGATGTATCTTCAATCTCTGCCACCTCGTGTTCAGCAAGCTATAGCTCCGCTGCCCACCTCAGAACGCAATCGTGAGATCGATTCCAAGAATGAACCGATAGTTTTGGATGAGATTAGATTTTCAATTAGGAGATGTCACAGACGACAAGGTCAAACTGAGCTTTCTAGCTTGCAATCTTGAAGGACGCGCCCTTTCTTGGCTATTGGATTATGCGAAAAAAGCCAGAACGAGCCAAAACTCGAAATTAGACTACGATCGAGTGATAGCCGACTTTCGATCATATTTTAGGATCTTTTTAAACTCGTTCCACGTATACGAAGAACGGGTATCTCTTAGACAAACCGGGTCGCTAACTGCGTACAGTGAGAAGTTTAAAAAGTGGAAATTCATCTTGGATGAGGATATGGAGATTTCTGAGATGGCCAGTGTCCATCAGTATGTGGTGGGATTGAAGCCAAAAATCAAGAAATTGGTAAGAGAGCAGGAACCCAAAACACTAAGTGAAGCAATAATACATGCTAGGGCTGCGAGTGCATTGGAAACGGGTGATCGAACTACGAAGTCTTCCAAAAAACGTTGAAATCTCATCGAAATACACTGAGCGATTAGACCTTAGAATCAGATTCCATGGATATTGACGAATTTCAAGCGTCAAAAAAATACGAAGAAGGGGTCAGTTAGGAAAACTGACTAGAGGACTTTGTTTAGCGATTCACTTTCGTTTATCTTGCCCTATAGCTGAACGTCCCATTTGAAATCGCCAAAAGACCATATGAATTAGGCGCTGCTAAGATTTCTATGATTATGAACATAAATGCTATGTAAACCGGGAAGGAATTACATTTTCTATGACAAGATTGGCATAAGGAAAAATAGAAGTACCAGATTTTTGAGAGATATCAAAACTCTTAAGAATAACAATCCACCCACTACATTCATCATTCGGAAGTGAGCTAGGGAACTGTTGTTGGATAAGTCAAGAGTTTCACCAAAAAACGTAAAAGGTGTAGCATCCGAGGAGACGGCATACATGGACATTTCTTCAAAAGTAAATTGTAGGCATAAAGGAAAGACCTGCGGCAAAGACGCTTGTGTTGCCAGTTGAAACTCACGAAAATCGATCCCTAGAGTCTGACTTTAGATTTTACCCAGACTGACTGTGATTGGGACAAGCAAACGGCGGTGAAGAAAATGACTAAGAGCTCGCATTTCCGGGATATTTAGGCTTCGAGAAGACTCCTAAATCTTTGTTGTCAGGATAGCGGAGAGTGAGAAGATGCTTATACGTCATAGTCATCACCGCGATGGCTGAGAAGATATGGTGAAACGACACGTATAAAGCTGCCGCCAGGATGCAAGGGCGAAATCTTGGTGGTACCTGAGATGGAACTTGAATCTGACGGAAGGTTGACTAGGATGCAGTTGGATTGATGAGCGCCTAAATTGGAAAGAATAGCACAGGAATCGAAAACTGATGTTGTAAGGAAAGACTTCATTCAACTTATTAAGAGCATCGTGTGGCTCACCGATCGCGATGGTTAGGAAGAAGGACGTATGCTACAGAATGTATGCAATAGACTATCGACCAAATTCTGATGAAAGATTCTTACACATGAGGACAGTTTTGTCTAAATTTGATGACACACAGGTAGTCTCTACGCTTGACGGCACACCAAGCGTCACTATATTTTTATGGAAGAGTACGATAAACCAGGAAAAATTGAACCATACATCAAGTGGAAAGCATGAATATACAGTTATGCTGTTCGGACTGATTATTGCACCAAGCAACTTCACAAGGTAAATTGCAGATCTTAAACTTCCATCGCGCTGAGTCAGACACCATCGAAACGTCTGAAAAGCATAAGCGAGATACGCCAAACAAAGCTCGAAGTAGGAGAACGTCATCTTTTTAGTGAAAAGTGCAAATTCTCGCAAAAAAGAGAAGAATCCTTGGGGTGTGTCAGTGAGACAAATGTGATGGAACCTGCGCAAGGAGCGTGTGAGGTAATTGGAAGCTCCTGATACTTGTACCAGTCAAAAGTGCACATATACGACTAGCAGTTGATGACCGTTGCTTCACAATGCTCAAAATTGGCCAGGTCAAATGTGTCAATAATCTACAAGAAAGAGTCGTGGCCTAAAGTACAATCAATAAGGCATTCACACGGCTAAAGAGCCGTCTTTTGCACATGCCACTGCTCCTCTCCGTTCAGAGACTAGGCAAAAAAACCATCTTACGACGGACGCATCGAAAAAGGGTATAGGCTTTGTGTTAAAAGAAGTTCAAAGGTGGTTTGTGATTAGAGCTGTATGACTCCTCATGAGCTTACTGCTTAGAGCGTAGAGGCGATAAGTTACCGAAGAAAAAGAATCATTATAAGTGATCGCAGCACTCGACCATATCAAGTACGCACTGCAGGAGTAAATTAACCACGTCAATTTGTTTAACGAGAAGAGACAAGTTAGCGGCTGGACTTTCAGTTCGATAAGATGAGCGTGAAAGCGAATATGAGTTCAAATATTTCCCATAATGAAGAAGTTCGTGTCCGCTGCGCCATCCTGAGCGGAAAGCACAAGTGAGTTAGCCATTATGATGGATCTTCGTCCTTCGAAAGACAGACTGACGTAGAAAGCTCTAGGAACAGCATAGTTGAAATGCTTTGAATTTACCTACTATCCGGAAATAACTCATGCGGAGCTCAAAAGCTTTGAGATATCTCAGAAAAAAGGTGAATTATCTCGATTTTACGAAGATAAATTTGATTCAAGATGCCAAACAATTCACCTATTTACGCTGATCCGTTTGGAGTTGTTCAAGCAATGAAAAAGCATGCTTGTAAGCTTCATACACCATCAATGAGCAAGACCCAAGTAAACATGAGATGACACGAGGGTCATTACGAAACAGTCGATATTTCACTTCTATGTGATTATTATACCTTGAAGACATCGAGCTGACAGACTACGATCGACCGCGCTTATGTTACAACCAATACTGGCTCATCTTTACATCACCTATGTAGCATCCAGAATCCTCTTTGTCACACAACTCTGGGGCATGTGGCGCAGTTGGTAGCGCGCTCCCTTTGCATGGGAGAGGTCATCGGTTCGACTCCGGTCATGTCCACTTAAGATTGAAATTCAATCATTTTATTTTTTCATTTTGTTTTTATTACCATCATCGAAAACCACCAAGCTCTAAACGCGTCCTTTACGAACAATGGAAACATAGCTATGAAATCAAGAACTTTACGATTCTTCACTTTGTCGATAGAATGAATCTCGAACCTCGAGTGGACACTTTCCCTTTGTTCGACTCCTTTAGCAAGGGTATTGATCGCCGACGGTAATTAATCAAGATGTCAAACACCATCGATGCTAACGACAATCTCAAGCAAGTGCTAGTTTCGTGTTGAACCATGTGCTACGATCGCTTTGTGCTACTCAGCAATTTCTCAAGGAACACAAGTGCGTTTGTGCTACACTGACAAAATGGTTTATCCACGTCATAAAATACTCAAAAGATGTTAGTTCTATGTGCTACAATCAACTTTCAAGCTGTTTGCTACTCAAAAACTACCCAACGAGCACCAGTTTTACGTGCTACAATGACAATTATATTTCGAATCACTCCCGAAAGCTTTACCCAACTATAATTGACCCTGAGTCCGCCGATCGGTGACTCATTCTATCAACGACTCTTATAGAATCTCGAAGCTCTCGAAGCTCTTGCTTGTCAAAGTTAGATCGCGTCGCTATCGCTCTCTCGAGGCCTGAACTGTGCGCGTAGCGCCCGAGTCCACAATTTTCGGGATATGAGCGCCTAAAGTACAGATAAGGATTATCGGGTCCCAGACAATTTTCTCCAGTTCCCAATTAGGAAAGTGAGAACCTGAGATAATGAAACACGTGATGAGGTGAAAAAACTCTTATAAAGGAATCGCTCAACCAGCACCCTGCCACCCTACAGATATCCAACTTCTGCCTCTCTTGATCGTTCGTTAACGCTCTCAACGCTCTCAACAACACCTCTTACCACCACTCACAACATTATGTCTCAAGGTAGAAAAGCCGCAGAAAGACTCGCTGGAAAAACTGTTTTTATTACCGGTGCATCGGCCGGAATTGGTCAAGCCACTGCTTTGGAATATCTAGAAGCTTCGAACGGTAAGCTCAAACTCATTCTAGCTGCTAGAAGATTGGAAAAACTACAAGAATTGCAACAAAAAATTCAAAACGACTATCCTGAGGCAAAAATTTATGTGGGTCAATTGGACGTCACGCAAACGCCCAAGATTCAAGCGTTCGTGGACACTTTGCCCGAGGAATTCAAAGATATCGACATTTTGATCAACAATGCCGGTAAGGCATTGGGCTCAGACCCCGTGGGAACGATTTCGCCAGAAGATATCGCTGGAATGATGGAAACCAACGTGTTGGGCCTGATCAACGTGACCCAGGCTGTTCTCCCCATTTTCAAAGCTAAAAACTCCGGTGATATCGTCAATTTGGGCTCCGTGGCCGGCCGCGAAGCCTATCCAACTGGTGCCATCTACTGTGCCACTAAGCACGCAGTGCGCGCCTTCACCCAGAGTCTTCGTAAAGAGCTGATCAGCACCAACATCCGCGTCATTGAAATCGCCCCCGGTAATGTGGAAACCGAGTTCTCTATGGTTAGATACAAGGGTGACTCAGAACGTGCCAAGAAAGTCTACGAAGGTACTGAGCCATTGGTTGCCGAAGACATTGCCGATTTGATTGTGTACTCTACTTCTAGAAAGCCCAACACTGTGATCGCAGATGTCTTGGTTTTCGCTACTAACCAGGCATCTCCATACCACATTCACCGGGGATAAATAACTGTGATAAATGCATACGATTAATTATATATTATGTTTGGGTTTGTAGTGGCTCAGTTGCAAAATTATCGTCAAACTCGGTAAAGTCAACTTCACCGGTGTGTCCGGTCATTTCCTTGTACTTTTCAGTAATGACACTTTCCAACTCTATGGAATCGTGATATATTAACGATTCCTCGGTGTTGTAGATTCTAGCATTGGCGAAAATTAAATGGAAATCCTCTAGCGCATTTTTAAGCGTATCGTAAGACTTGGCTTCAATGTGAGTCATTACATTCTCGAATGCAACTGGAAACCTTATCAATTTATAGTAGTCTGGATACAGTTTCTTGGAAGGTTTCACCAGAAAAATGTCTGCCAATCGCCTTTCGTCTTCATCTTCATATTTGATGGCGTAATCGAAAAGCTCTCGAGCCTGCTGTGCAACACGCACCCTTTCCTCCAAAGGTTGAATTAGAAGTGATTTATCACGAATGAAAACCCGACCTGCCTTTTTGTCCGTTCGTACTGGCCGACCACGAGGACGCGGCTTGGGTTTGCCCACGTCATTGATTTTAATGGACTTTTGTCCAACTCTAGGAGATGAAGCCCGAGGACTATCAATTTCTGCAGCTCCTGCAGCGTTGCCGTCATCTATTTCTTCAGGTTCTTCGGTTTCCACTTTGGCTTTTTTATTCCGATCCGACACTTCGCTGGCGCTACGTTTTCTGTTTTCAAACAACTCATCGTCACCTTCGTGGTCGCTTACTTCAAATTGTTTGAGCCATTGCTCTTCGCTAATTTCATCCTCATACAGCGCGCTTTTTCTTTCCCGCGATCCTCTACCACCTGCTGCCAGATCTTCGTCATCTTCTTTATTCAATTCTGCTTCAATGTCTTGGTGGTAAATATTAGGTAACTCAGAAGTTTCCATTAAAGTTGTAGTGATACCATTTTCCAAGTGCTTGCGACTACGTTCTTCATCAATGTCTGCAAAAATTTTGAGCTCTTCTTCATTTCGGGCCAAAATTTCATTCAACTCATTATCATCAATCTGTTCATCTTCTTCCAGCCCCAGCTCCCTTTTCTTCTTCTGACTTTCCTCTGCTTCTAACAAAGACCGCAATAACGCTTCTTGTTCTTCAGCAGTGGATTTGTTGTCAAATTTACCAGCTTGAATAACTTTCCCATCAATGTCAAGTTTTTTGTGAGCTCGATCTAGAATTACCTCTTCTACGGAATTTTCCGTAATCAGTCTCAAGATTCTTACCTCGTTTTTCTGCCCAATTCTATGTGCTCTGTCTTGAGCTTGTAAATCTTGATGTGGATTCCAATCTGTGTCGAAGATAATAACCGTATCCGCAGTTTGCAAATTTAACCCAAGGCCACCAGCTCTAGTGGAGAGTAAGAAACAGAAATACTCGGAATTGGGCTCATTAAAGAGTCGCAAAAGCATGCTACGATCGTCAGATTTCGTGTGACCATCCAGACGTAAGTATTTCAAACCTAACAATCTGAGGAAATCTTCCATGATATCCATAATCTGGGTCATCTGGAAAAAAATCAAGATCCGGTGATCTGTCGCTTTGAATTTCGGCAAAATTCTCTCAAGCAGCTCGAATTTCCCAGCCACACGCCAAATGTTGGCATTAGTTTCCCGTGTGGGATTGATTTGGTCTTCTACCTCTTCAAATACAAAAGGATGGTTGCAGATCTTTTTTAGTTGCATAATCTGATTATTGAACCCGCGCATACCAACCATTTTGTTGTTAGCCGTTATATCGCCCACAAACAAACGACGATGTTTGAGCATCAATTCGTATAGCTTCTGTTGCAATCCACTCATCTTGCATTTGAGTACCTTCTCAACCTTGTCGGGAAGCTCCTTCTCGACATCTTTCTTCAAACGCCGTAGCAAAAATGGTCTCAGGACCTTGTGTAATCTTCTGATTACCAAAAGAGTCTCTTCTTCACTCAAGGCGATCTTGTCTTGACCACCCGTATTAGCGAAGGGCGTATTGAACCATTCATCGAAAGACTTTACAGAGTTGAAAATTTTAGGTAGCACGAAGTTCAATAAAGCCCAAAGTTCTGGCAAATTGTTTTGCAATGGGGTACCGGTCAGAATTAGTCGATAATCTGTGTGATAGTAATTATTCAAGGTCAGAGATAGTTTAGACTGCGCATTTTTCATGCGATGACCTTCATCGATAATCATGTGCACCCACTTGATTTTTGACAGTAAACTCCTTTCCTTAATGATGTATTCAAAGGTAGTTAGCACAACGTCAAATTGACCTGAGCGAATAATTCCCTGCTTCGATTTTCTTTCATTGGGACTGCCCTTATATGCAACTTTTCTTATCACCGGCGCCCATTTGTCAAACTCAGAATCCCAATTTGTAAGAGTTGAAAGAGGCACGATGACCAAAGATGGACCGCGAACATTTTTGACCTCGTAGAGGTAAGTTAAGAGAGAAATGGTTTGAATGGTTTTACCCAGACCCATTTCATCCGCTAAAATACCGTTTAAATGATTATTGTACAGCGATACCATCCATTGCAACCCTTTCAATTGGTACTCTTTCAATGTCCCTCCTACAAGAATGGAAGGCTGAACTTTAACCTCTTCCTTGATCCGGTGAGCCACGTTGTAATAATCGATATTCTGTCTCTCTTCTTCATCCTGAACATCAGGTAAGGATGCAGAAGGAATGGATCCTTCTTCATCAACAACTTCTTCCACGACTTTTATATGAGAATCAATTTTATCTTTCGTGTACTGTTGCTGATCTTTCACAGCTTTAGTCAAGGAGTCCAAGAAGGCGTTAGTTTGCTTGAGTAAGTGTGTGATTCTAGTATCTTTGGTCTGGTCAAGTAGCTTAATGTACGCTTCTTCATCGTTTGCCTTCAGTGCCTGCAAACGCTGCTTGGCATTTCTTTCAACACGTTTCTGCTCCTCTTTTTCGATGTTCGCGTGTAGCGACACTAAACGGTGCCCGTACTTGACTCTTTGGGTTCGCCGGCTCAGTCTATTAGTATAACATGCCATCGAACTGTCCGCGATGCTTTTCAGCCTTGTGAAATGCTCATGCTTGCGGCGCTCACTTTGTAAAATTTCATGTCGTTTGTATAGCTCATCAGTCAATAAGGCATCTTGTATATTCACTCTTCTTATTTTCGAAAGGAAGTTGGGATGCGTGTTAGTCAACAGTGCCTTTTGATACCACTCAAATTGCAAGACATGACCTCTTACAGCCTTTTGGAGCGGTAAAAGCTGAAGCGCATAATAGTCGTTCCTCGCCGAGCTTTTGGCGATTTGTGGCTTGGAGTCATCCAACATGTCCGAAAGACAGGAGTCTACTGCGGTGTCAATATCCAATGCAATTAGTGTCTGATATACCTCCATTGCGCAATGAACATCAACACCAGGCGGCAGCGTTCCAGGCTTTATGGTTAGTAATGGATGTGTTTTGTTGGGATAAAGCTGTTGGTAATTGATGGGTTCATCGATGGGTGCGGGGAGCGAGTAACAATCCACGATGTCAGAGGCATTGATATTGACAATTTTTCCAATATCAGGATTTAGCCTGCGATACTCCTCCAGTGGGATAGGAATTTTTATCTTCGATTGTTCGCCGTAATTCTCTTGTTCCGGCTTCAAAGAGTTCTGTTCAGTGCTCTCAAGAACAGGTTTACGGCTGTTGATGCTTGTAATATCTTCTTCAGCTTTAGCGGGTGGGGCACTTATATCGCCGTTATAAGATGCATACTCTCTTGATGCACTAGCGGGAGTGGGCGCCGCAGAATTGCGATCATCCGGACCATGCGGCCGCATCTGCTGCTGACGAATTGGTTGATGAGCCGAAGTAGGGGTTGGTGCTGGAACTTTGGCTTGATATTGTTGAGACATGGGAGACGAAGCATTCTGCTGTGGCTGCTGTGGGACCCCATCTGGAAATGATTGTTGGGTTACAGCGTTCGGAAGGCTATTAGATTCTGGCGTCTTCGAAGCATACTGCTGAGCCGATTGCCGTTTCTTGACCGTCTCACTAAGCGCAAGCAGCATCTGCTTGAAATTGGGAGGATTATTGAGCGACTGTTGAACTACTTCTTGAACCTCGTTTGGAACAGGTTGTCGGCTCAGCAGGTACCGTAAAGATGTGATCTGAGCCTTCAGCAGTTCAGATTGTTCTGGCGTGAAAAGCGTCTGTCCCGGTGTAGCAGAGTTGTTGGGAGTGTTTGTAGGAGCTGTACTCGCGGGCCGTTGCTGGAGAGCGGGAGATCCACCGATTGAGGTCTGCCCTTTGCCGTTGTCGGTTGCGGGCAGCGACCCATTAGAATATGGCGAGTAGATTTGCTGCTGTTGCTGCTGCGGCTGCGGCTGTGATTGCTGGGTGTGTGCTGTCCATTGAGCTGGTGAAGCCTGAGCTGCTGGACCATTTTGTGGTCCGGAAACTCCCTGCACTTGCTGGTTAGAGTCAAGTGGTGCATGCGGCAGCTGAGGTGACTGCTTTTTTATTTCTTGTTGCTGTTGTTGTTGTTGTTGTTGTTGTTGTTGATGTTGATGTTGATGTTGTTGTTGTAGCTGTTGTCGTTGCTGTTGTAGCATTTGCTGTTGCTGTTGTTGTATTTGCTGTTGCTGTTGCTGTTGCTGTTGTTGTTGTTGTTGTTGTTGTTGTTGTTGTTGTTGTTGTTGTTGTTGTTGTTGTGGCTGCTGCTGCTGCTGTTGCTGCTGCTGCTGCTGCTGCTGCTTGGCAGCCAACCTTAGAACCTTGGTGAAATAAACAAACTCCGGTATGTTTGATGCATTTTCTCCATGCTCATTTCGCAATTGTTGCCAGCGCTGTGTCGCTGTTGTTAGTAAAACGTCCAATTTCATCACCATCGCCAAACTTTACACAATTCACCCAAATAAAGCATTCTCACCCGACAAAAAAACATACCAAATAGCACCTATTTATCTCCTCTCTTGTCAACTGCCTCTGGGGAATCTCCATGCCCTCCATGGCGCCCTTGATCGACAGATTTACAACTGTTTGATGATTGGATTTAACTGTTATTTTAGATATTCCAATCCTATTGATTATTTAATTTTAATTTGAACCTTTAGATATCCCTTTATACGAGATTAGACAATTAAAGCTGGCAGACCAGTATAGATACCTTAAAATATCCAACTGGTCGACAGATCTAGTAACGTAACGAAGCGTAGATTTCGAACCATTAAACTTCAAGCTTTGAGATTTTTCGAATAAGACTTCAAACCAGCAAATCTTCAGTTGTTGTTGGGATCCGAAATTGCCACTTTTAGCTTTCTTGTTGCCAAGCTAAAGAACCGTTAGTAAACAGAGCAGTTGACCTGTTTTATATCTCCATTCTCAAGCCTTCATGTCTATCAATGGCCTGACGTTACAGAGCGGTATTGGTGCTTTGCCATTTGTGCCTTTGAACCAAGAAATGATGGCATTCAAAGCGGCCCCTGTGGTTGACGTAAAACTGTGGCCAGTAAGCGCAGGCGCGAAATCCGAAATATTTGGAAACAACAAGAACATCAGGTTTAAAGGCCATTTGTTTGTGACTTCACAACGACTGCTTTTTCTCAATAGTGACGAGAGTAACGCGGTGCACAATTTGGTCATATTGCACCGACAGCTCACTCTTGCAAAAGAGGAGGTCAGTCCCATAGCGCTGGTGATGCCGTGGTTCGGGACCAATTCTCTGGTCTTCGAGTTCAAGATTCTACCAGAACAGAGTCTCAACAATGGCCCGTGGCTCGATAACGCGTACACGTGGCGATGCGAACTCACTCTCGAAAAGCGTTCGAGAGACGTAAGCGATCTTTTCCAGCTTCACGACTCCATCAAAAGTGCGTTGGCTTCTAACGCTGTAGGTGCCAGGGCCGAAGAGGAAGAAGAAGAGCCATTGCCCGAATATGTCCCGTAATCCAGTTATCTGTTCACTCATCGCCTTCGCCGCCAAATAGCATCATCATGTCCATGTCATCCTGATCGAGTTCCTCAGCAGGCTTTTGATCATCGGCATTATTATTTGTCGTCGTATTCGTCACGTTCGTAGCATCGTCATCATCGTCATCATCGTCGTCGTCGTCCGCATCCGCATCCGCGTCCTCTTCTTCGTCGTCTTCTTCGTCGTCTTCGCCCTCGATTTGATGAGATGCGGCACTTTGAGAACGGCTTGAACTCGACTCATTGCTAAGTTTAAGCTGTTTCCTCTTCAGCTCGGCCTCTTTCTCCATTTTTTTGATACTTTCAATGAATCTGGACTTCAAAAGTGGATTTGTTGCTTTCTCTAGCTTTTGTCTATTCTGCTCTAACGTGATCTCAAGCTCCTCGAGTTCGTCTCTCAGCAGCTCACTATGCTGTTGTTCTTCGTCCACAGCCGGTTTGCCAACGTTTCTCACTACGTCCTGCCCCGGTGCATCTTCTTCCTCAGCATCATCTTCAGCGTCTTCTTCGTCCTCTTCGTCTTCTTCTTCTTCCTCGTCTTCTTCATCGTCTTCGCCATTGTCCTGCTCGACATCATCACCGGTCTCTTCCACGGCCTGTTGACGTACATCAGCAGTGATCTGTTCAAGACCTGGACGATCCTCTTGTAATGCTTGCTCTAGTTCCATTTCCAAGTCCTCGTGATCATCTTCTCCAAACAAATCGAACCCGTCGTCCATTGAGGGTTGCGTCTGTTCTTTATTGGTGCTCGACCTCTGCTGCAGTGTATCCTCGTCGACTAAATCATATGTGAACTCTTCAGCCTCAGCGTCTTGTCGCAGAAGGTGCTCCACGGTTTTTTCCACGTAATCTATTTCTTGTATCGCGAGCCTGCGACGGAATCTACGGTTCCGGACATTGTAGAGAGGTGGTGTCAGCCCGTGTTTGTAATCATAACCTTTCTTGACGATTCGCTCGAGGTGATTAGCCTCCGTGTCTGTTAAGGGACCGCCGTTGAAGCCGCGAATAGAGATTTTTTTGCATTCTTTGATTTCCGTTTTGTAATCTTCATAGTGCTTCATAACAAGATCCTCCACATCTGATGCCAAGACCGAAAAAACCTCTTCGTCGTGATCGATTGGCTTGACGCACAGCAACATTTGCGAGACGTCGAAGGCCTTGATGAGATTTTTGCGATCAACACTTTTATTGACTTCGATGATCGTGGGCAAATTGACCAGAATCGCTCCGTATTGATGGCCGTTGATTCTCACTACTGCGTGTCTTTCGCCTTTCCATTTCAGACTCATTTCGGAGAAATCTCCGCTTTCAATGCAGTTTTTCACGAACTCAGTTTGGACATCGGGCAGAACTCGCAGCACAATGCCGTCTTCGATTAAAGGATCGTCTTCTATGTCAGAAGCTTCCGAGTCGTAGCCTTCGCCAGGAACTCTAACGGGCTTTATTCTAAACCTGGGAGCTTTGGGGGTGACAGAACCGGCAACGCTCGATTCTTCCTTGCTATTCAGATTAATTTTAAGTTTCATGGGCAACGGAGATGCCCTTTCAGTCTCTAGTTTCGAGTCTTTTTTGGTTAGTTTGACCCTCAGCGGGCCACTCGCTTTACCAGTCTCATTACTGCTTTTAGCTTTGGATTTGGGTTTTTTTGGCAGGGGCTTCTCGACTGGAGTTTCTGAAGCTCTCGGCTTCTTTATTCTGATCTTGGGCATAGAATTGGTGCTCCCAGTAGGCTCTTTTAAACGCTTTTTGTTGAAATGTTTGGTAACGAAATTCGCTTCAATTTTGACTAAATTAAATAATATTCAATTATATAGCTTGAACAGCGGCATCTCATCGACTTAATCTTACAGTCAGCATTCGTTGGTAAGTTTGAATTAGCTGATATATGAAACTTATTCAAAGGCATGTCATTAGCTGTCACTTCACTGCGAGAACTGGCTCAAATTCAACATTACTATGGATTCCGATACGTTCTCAACCCAAGCGTACATGAACAAATCTTTGACAAGCTCAAACTGTCGAAGACATACCCAAAACTAGATAAACTTAAAGTATTGGATCTGTATCCTGGTCCAGCACAGCATTCTGCCATATTTAATAATCGTTATAGACCCGCTCAGCATGTGCTGATGGACATGCGGCCAGACTTCGTGAAGCACATTTCTGGGCTACTCGAGCAAGACAAGACCGATAAACCGGCCATGCAGCTTTATCGGCACGATCCATACGATTGGAAGTCATACACCGATTTGACAGATGCGGACAAAATATTGGTTCCGCCTCGCAAGGGCCCGGAAGCCATTCACGACGAGTTTCTCATCATGGCCAATCTGACCGGAATGATCGGTGAGGGTCTCTTTATGCAATGGCTGGCCTGCATTGGAAATCGCAACTGGCTTCAGCGATTCGGCAGGGTCAAGATGCTGGTCTGGCTTCAAGAATGCACCGCTGTCAAACTTTTGGCCAAGCCTGGAGACCACCTGCGATCAAAATGCTCCTTAGTGACCGAGGCGTTTACTGATACCAAACTCGTGGCCACCATGAGTAACAAAAAAACTGGAACATCCAACTTTTCTGAGGATCTTATGGCCGAACACCAGCCGGTAATGTTCAGCCCTCAAGACGTGTGGCTCCCAAGTGGCAAACCTTTGAGTCTCTTGGAAATCAATCCACGCGACCATAGAATTGACCTAGATAATTTCGACTACGTTACCAAGCACCTGCTCATTTTGAAAAGTACACCATTATACGAGTCACTCGATTCACTCGGCCATGGCGGCAAAGAATACTTCCGCCAAGTAATCAAAGACCAGAATCTTCTTGAGAAATGCCCCAAGAACTTGACTCTGTCAGACTTTCTTTACTGTACTGAGCTTTTTGATAAATGGCCCTTCAAGCCCGATATCTATTTGGACTTCATCGACGTTTTTCAGGACAACGATTAGAGGGTAAGAATGTGCAATTTATTGAACCAATCTAGCTACCTAAGGATTTAACCTCGCTGCTCGAGATATTTGCGCCTTGATATCCATCCAATTTTGGGCACAAAGATTCTGCGCAATGGTTTGCCGTGCTTGTTATACAATGCAACGTTTTCCAGTTCCGAGTCCTCTTCCAGTAAATGAGCATTTTGATCGGCAGTACACGTCAATGAGGCCTTTTTGACTGGCAAACCACCATCAGCAAACCCTTTCTCCCTGCACGAGGAAGGCCTACTTTTGTCTCTATTGACGTAGGTTTTCCAGTCTCTCCTGCCCTCTTTTGTGGTTAAATCAAATACCAGGGCTCTGTCTTTTGGCATAAGGTTAACTGAAAGGTCTCTGAGCTTGATACTCAAATCAATACCAGTAGTATTCTCGCCGCCGCTTCGAATAAGAGAGCCGTCGCCAAGACCGCCGCTCAAATCCGTAACAGGCTCCAATTTAAGGTCATCATTCTCCTTTTCGCCAAAATCTGCACTTTTTCCCTGCGCACTTGCATTGAAACTACCTTCAATTGATTGGTACAGCTCATGAAGCATTTTCAACAGCTCAGTCTTGAGTTTGATCATTTGAACGTTTATTGCGCAAAAGCGATGCTCATTCCTATTCAGTAACCAGGGAAGTTTTGATGCTAAACGTTCTTTAAGGCGTATGTTCCGTAATCTTGAGTGATCTTTCAGCGCCAAAACAAGAATACAACCCCAAATCAAAAGTCTTCTCATCAGAGACTCAGCCCTTAAGATAAAATACTTAACATTCTCAATTCTAATCCAACTGAGCTCCGAAGATCGGGGTTGTTCCTTCGCATGTCGCAAATAAGCAAGCTCAGCGCTCAAAAGACAGCTGTAGTATTCGAAAAGTAGGCCCTCCTCGGTCATTGAAGGGAAACTGGATGCTTCAAGCTTAATCTTTGTGAGACATCTGCCCACGTTTCTCTCTATGGCCCCAGATCCTACTACATCTGTCAATTCAAGGACACAATCTGCCCAGTGGTTCACGCTTTGCTTATGACGCAATAGACATCGGCTCACTTGACCAATTCCAAACGTCTTCTGTTTCTCCGGATAGGCCTGAGTTTTAGTTTTGTCCAGCTTGGTCGACTGGGTCTGGTCAAGAGTGAAGTAGCAGCTGCACAATTGCAACAGTATGAATAGACTATGTATGTTCATATCTATGATTTCGATTTGAATTCAATAAGTGTTGAGAGAGCTTCCAAACTCTTTTTTCTTGGTCAAAGTTTGTGACGTCAATGGCTGTCGCTGTCGTTGACGCTATGTTAATTGTAAACAAAAGAGTATAAGAATTAACACACGAAAAAGGTTCTAGCATGCTTGCGAACCAGGTGGCATATTGAGGTCGACGGTCTATCTTATCATAATCTACATATTATACACAATGTTCAATTAATCCATTTGATTGGATTTTTTTCAAGTCTAGCAACGTATTCGGATGCTTTAGCCTTAACATATTCTGCAGTCTTTGCGTCATCAGAGCTTTCCTCGAAATCGAGCCACTTGCCGAAAAAGAACTTGGCTTGCTTTCTGGTGAGCTTCCTGTTCACAACTCTCTCGAAAAGGTCCTCGACCCTCTTCTTCTCTCCGCCCTTGATTTCTTGGTCAACATACACATTCCATAGATCGATTCTCTTTGGAGCGTCTGCTAAAAGCCCCTCGAAAAGAGAACGGCCCTGTTCGCGGTCTCCTTTAGTGAATTCTAGTTGCGCGAATTTCCGTACAACTTCGATATGACAACGCTTTGGCAAAGATTGCAATGCACTTGCAAGCACTTGGCGGGCTTCTTCGTTTTGACGTTGCTCGATCAAAAATTCGCTCCACGATACCCAAATGCCCACCTTCTCCGAGCCAAACTTCTTAGCTGTTGCCTTGAAGAGAGCGCTAGCTTCATGACTATTGTGACTCATCTGATAAATGTTGATGAGTCTAGTGTGGATGGTGTACGAGTCCATGTACTGGCATGCCTTAGAGAAAACCTCCTCCAGAGACGACTCTGTGCCGAAAGTGTTCTCCAAGTTGAGCAGACCAATCCAGATGTTGAGCTTTTCTGACTCTTCCCTGAAATTGATCATTTTGAGTGCCCGCCTTGCCACCTCCCGAGCCTTGTCAATCTCACCTAGCTGTAGCTGGAATGCCATGTAATTCATCCAGACCACAGAGGAGTTTGGATTACCCATGATCATACGCTCGAAATCACCAACGGACTCAGGCGCTCTAGTGTTGATATCAATTGTCTGGTCCTCGACCCCACGCACAGACTTCTTTTTCTTGTTCTTTGAGCGTCTGTTTTCAGTGAAGTCTTCTTCTTCTGATGATTCAGAATCTTGAGCTTGGTCAAGAATGCTAGTGGTCCAGTCAAAGTCAGCACTCAAACTCAAGCCATCGCTTGGCTTTGAGCTGGATGCAGAAGCTTTTTCGACGTCCATTTCTTCATCTTCAGATTCTTCATCATCGCTCGAGTTTTGGGCCTCCTCCACAAATTCTTCGCCACTTGCAGACTCGTTGGCCTCTTCACCCTCTCCTTCAGAAAGATGGCTGTCAGCTGTTACGAGTTCTTCCTTTGTCTTGAAATAAGACGCCTTGAGCCCTAGTGACAATTGTTTCTTTTCTGAATTGACCTTTAACACGATTGCCTTGACTTTGTCGCCAAGACCAAAGATTGACGCAAGATCTTCAAGTTTGGTATCGGCCACTTGAGTTTTATGTGCCAAACCAGTAACATTCATAGTATTGTCCAATCTGACAAACAAGCCGAAGTCGGTGACACTCTTTACTGAGCCTTCATAAATATCCCCAACCCTAATGTCTGCGTAGTTCTTCAGAATCTTGAGATCACCATTGACTTCAGACTCTTTCAAGGTCAGCAGAATATGCTCATCGTCATCGCAATTCACCACCTTCCCCACAACGGCTTGCATTGGCTTATAGAACTTTTTCCAGTCTTTGATGTAAGAGTCTGTTAGTTTGCTCACAGGAACAAATGCTTGCAACTTACCACCTAGGTAAATGAAAGCGCCCTTGTCCATGACCTTCTTGACGAAACCACGAACCACGTCACCCTGTTTCAAAGACTTATGACTCGTCGCGTTTCCGTCTTTAGCGTCTTCAGACCGCAAGGACAAATTGATCTTGTCGTCGTTCCTAGATAACACTGTTGTTGGCACAATCGCGTTCTTTTGAGACCCAAAGGCATCCTTGAGCGACATGGAATAGTCGTTCAAAGCGTCCGTTATAAAGGCGACACCCTTGACGTTTTCTCCTAGCTCCAACAATACATAACTGTCGGTTACGTTGAGAATACGGGCTGGTAGCTTCTCGCCAACAGCCACTTGAGATGCTTCTGTGATCGTATGCGATCTTCCAGAAACAGTCAGGGTGTTGCGGTCCTTGTCAATGTGTGTGACTTTCATTGTTAGTGCAGATCCCAATGGATATGTGTCTTCGATTTTGTCAGTGTACTGCGTGCATTGGTCGGAAAGGTCGAAAAATGCAACCTTGGCCTTAATAGTTGGAGAAACAGTGAGCCATACAATGTCCTTGAGAACGTTGTTAACGAATCCCACGACAAAGTCCCCAACTTTGATGTTATCGATCTGAAGGTGGCTAGCGCCTTTCAAATGAGAGGGTTTGGCTGTTAGAGCCAGAAGAACATTCTTTGACGAATTATGCGAGATAGGCAAAAACTTATGCGTTTTAACATCGTGGTAGCCAATGACCTTGACGTCTAGAACATCACCCTTCTTGAATTTAGCAAGAGGGTTTTTTGCGTTTTCTATGTTTTCACACTTGTCGAAGACCTCAGAAACGTCAATTGCTCCATGTAAGTTATCAGCAACAACAACATTCAGCTGATTTTTCTTCACTGCTTTAACAATTGCTTTGGTGACCTTGCCTATGCTGAAGTCCTCGAGACTTTTGATAGAAGCATCTACCGGATTTATCGCGGGCGTACTTTCCTTGACACTTTTTTGCACTGCGTCAGCCTTTGGCTTCTTCAAGGTGAGTAGAAAGCGTTCATGTTCATCATCAGTTCTCAGCAAATAGACTGTCACGGACTGATTAACGTAATACTTCGCGGACAAATCCACGTCACGGCTATCAGCAGCATAGCTGGGTAGCACTAGGCCTACAAATTGTCCATTGAATGCCACAAAAAGACCCTTTTCGGAAACAGATTTGACATACCCATGGATAGGCGTTTGAGTGCCTTTTTCCTTAACATCCTGGTAAGCTAGAGGTAATAGAGATTTTTCTGCGTCTTTCATCAAAGATTTCTTGCAAGAGAGATTGAAAACTCTGGTTCTGGCGTCTTTATCAATTACCAGTCCTTCAAATTCATTGGCGATCTTGATCTTTTTCAGCGCAGCTCTGTTTTGCTCGATCCTCGAGTCGGAAAGGTGTCCAACATAGATCACACCACGTAGTCCAGTCTCCATTTGCTCAACGACCAAAGAGTCTTTGGTCTTTTCTACGACTGCAACCTTGATGATTGATCTACCCACAATCATTTGCTCAATGGCCTCTTTTTGTTGAGATGCAGCTTCGCTCGAAAGCTTACAAGTTACAACTAACCTGTTTTTTGCTTCAATATGTTCCAAGACCTTGACAATAACCGTTTGCCCTAGTCTCAAATGGTCTTGAGGTCTTTTTACAAACGCTTCGGAAATTTCACTGTTGGGTAGGAAGCCCTTCAATCCACCCATGAATGAGACGACGCAGCCGTTAGTCTTAAAAATTTCAACGCTTGCAGCTACCTTCGAACCGCTGGATGCAATACGTTCAATGTCTTTGAAGCTGGATGCATTCTGCACCTCCTCTTTGTCCATGTTTACGAGTGACTTCTTCAAAGACATGAACAGATGGCCTCTATTATTGACATTTATTAGCATGGCCTTGACCTTGGAACCGATCTTAAATTTTCTCTCGGGGTATACCAGCCTAATGTCCGAGATATGGAGTGGAGGCACGTTTGCTACGAACTGTCCGCTCGAAATGCTCAATTTGATGCCTTTTTCAGAAACATCTGTTATTTCACAACCGGAAAGGACAGTACCAAGAGGGATGTCAGCGGCTCTGAGATAAGAAGCCGACAAAGTTTTGGAGTCCGTTGACAGCTGGTAGTACCCGTCAAAATTGTTAAAGCCCAATACACGTGCAGATATCCCAGACGTTGGATCTTCTGCTCCCGTCTTTGATATGTGAACTTGTCCCATGCTGTCGTTGTTCAATTTCAAGTAGAAAAACTGAGAATCACGATCCTTGACTTCACAGTCCAGGAAGATATGGCCCACAGGGAATGCTTCCAATGCTTGCTCTTGAGCGCAAGAAGCTTGCAGAGACATAATGTGGGGCAACTCCGACATAATGACGAACTTTTCACCGGCTTTGTTGGTGACAGAAGCAATAATCCTGGCCTTGATATTGGTACCAATAGAATAAGTTTGATCGTCCGCTTTTGCATTATAAAACTTTGATTGGTGTGACAAATTGAGAAAACCGTTGACCATACCAAAGACCTTTCCGATCATACCGTTGGAGGTTTTCTTTTGGCACAGGAAATCAACAGGTTGACCTGGGATTATGGCATCAATGGATGATATCTGAGAGATTTTGCATTTTTTGTTGTTGAAATCAAAGTTGATTGTTACGGTTCTGCCAGATCTCTTAGCGACGTTACCTAGAAAGACTTGACCTTGTTGTAGATCTGGTAAATGCGCGTAGTCTTTCTTAGATATGAAGCCGCTTATGCCCTGGACACCAACGTCTAGGATGGCACCATGGTCCTCTATGCTTTTAACGGCGCACTGAAGTGTGCAGTTTCTCACCAAGTCTTCTTCTACCAGTTTGTTAACAGCCTGTGGCTCGATCGAAAGTTCTATTCTCTTGGATTTTTTTGTGCTGTCTAGAGCTGAATTCGAGTGCACAACGCATCTCAACCATTGTCCCAGACTGAAAAAATTCTTCAATTCTGGTACACCCTTGGCCTTGGACGCTTCACGTTGAGTTGGCTGCGAGACATTTTCGTCGCTGTCGTATTCAGCGTCGGAACCATCGTTCTCATTGTCGGCCTCTTCGTCACTTTGCATGGCTTCATCGAGATCTTCCAAAATTTGTGTGAATGGTTCAGATATGTTTGGTAGCGTCACGAACCCGCAAAGACCATCCGATAGAGACACGCAAAGATCGTGCTTGTTGATTTTGCAAATCTGGCCCAACAGTAAAGTTCCCACAGGCAAGTTTTTAAAAGTCAGATGGTCCACTATAGCCACGGAGCCGTCGTCTTCGGCCTCAGATGCAGTTGCTGTTCCATTTTTCGCGGATACAGCGGTCTTCTTCTTCTTTTTAGGTCTTTGGCTTTCTTTTGGAGCTGCAGTCACACTTGAATCGTTTTTGAAGAGCACGTCGCTAGCTGCTTCGTTAGCGACCTGTTTGAGTTCCAATGGTGTCAAAGCACTCGAACCACCTCTAGGAAACGACATTTCCTCGGAGTTTCGCAGAAGAGATGAGCCTGTCGGTTGCTGAGTGCCATCTTGCCTTGTCAAAGGAGACTCCTCTGATCTCTTTCTCTTTTGACCCACAGATGACATTGTATATCTAGAGTCTTGGGGGCACCGGCGAGGTTCGGTTTGTCCTAACTATGGTTCTTATAGCTACGATTTAGCTTTCAGAACACTCAGGAGTAGTTAGTTAGATCAGCGAGTCGCGTTTGCCTGGATGTTTTGAGGATTAACGTTTACTTTACTTGTAGCTCATCGCATCTCATCGCTAGAAAATTTTTCAGATTTTAGCTGGGCGATGAGCTGTGTCGCTATAAACGGATGTGTCGTCAGCGATGGGATTTGCCCGTCATTCGCTTCAGGCCAACAAGTTGGACGTTTCCCGGTGTGAAGTAGAGACGGGATGTCTATGGAAAAGTAAAGTATCAATTGCAGACACGTAAAGTGGTGTCTTTAGTTTTCCATCAGCGCAAGTGCTAAGAATTTGCTGTTTGCTGGAAAACAAATTGAAAAAAGCAGGAGAGAGCTCACTCTGATACACTGATATGACCACATAAAACGTCGAGATTCTGTTCTACAGACATTGAACGCTAAGCTCTCGATGGTGGTCAAAAATCTCATCATTACTGGAACGCAACGCTACGAAGACCTGATTGAGTTCAAATGATTGATAACAACTATAGCGTTAAAACCCATATCGATACCAGCTCATCCGTGACATTGACGAGATTGGTCCTCGAGTGTCACAATAGTATGAAGTGATTCGAAATCAATATAAATGAATATATTTAGATATACAGATATACAGATATATGCATATACAAATCCTACACATGAATACATGTTTGTTAGGTCAGAAGGACCAGTTATATTCTTGTCAGCAAACAATCTTCCTCTAATTGAATCTCAAAGTACTTCGCCGTAGTTTTAGATGTATTATATAACATCTCTAACTGCTCAGAGAACCGTCATCTAGGCGTTTTAGAAGCCTCTTTTTTGCCTTGGCCCATGTATACAGTAAAGTAGTTCAGCAGGCCTTATTCCTGCCTGCGCAAGCCTTCAAAGTATAGCGCACACGATGGAATTCATCCTTTCCAAGGCCAACAGAAGGTGTTTATCACATCACACGAAGATTCACTCAGCTCTCTGGATATTTCGAATTCAAGCTCACCTTCCTACAAACGATATGCTCAACCTTCGCTGTCGTAAAGCTAGCAGGTAAACCACTTGGGAGGCTCAAATCCCGAATGTCGCACTCGAATTCGGTGCTCGGTCGTGACCGTCAAACACGCGGGTCACGCTCATGGGCACGTCCGTCGTTCTCATCGGCCAGAACAGCCTCCAGTTCTAACACGTTGACATCGGCGACTATTGTTGATACCAACTCAACAGAAGCGTATGCAGGGGCCACTTTCGAAACGGTCCCAAGTTCAATCGTTTCCTTCCATCACCCCCATTCATTTGCAAATAGCCGTCTAGGAAGTCCGGGAACTCCCAATGACGCACGCGGCAGGGCTTCACACGAGACAGAATCGTTACTTTCTGGACCCAACTGCACTTCTAACAGATCGAGAGCATCGTCCCGGACGCGAAACTTTCGTTATTTTTCAGACGAGGAGATCGAGCTTGCTGAAGGGGTTTCCTCAACTCTAGAAAATGCCGACTATGATATCAACTGGGATGGAACTCCAACATACGAACAGGAACGTTTACATTACAACCAGTCTTCTACTAGGTCATCTCTTCGCAGTGCTACAGGGCACTCTTTGGCCTCTTTCAGATCACGATCTTCTACGCGCTCTGGCGCTTCGCCTTTTGAAAGTGCTGCCACTGGCTCTATTCCAACGAGACGTGGCCGGGAAGATAACATAAACGGTATATTCGGCACATCTCCTCATTCCTCTTCAAGCTCTTCGAGATACAGTTATAGAGATAGAATCCCTGCACAAATCGAAGAAGAAGCGGATAGGATGTCAATGCGAAGCCATCACTCTTCCGAGAGTAGTGCAAGTGGCCGCCGATTTTTGGACGATGATGACGAACCCTCGGTTCAAGACGAGAGCTCGGACCGAAAGAAAAAAAGCTCATCTTACCATGCCGAGTTTTTGAAGCCGGAGTATCACGACAGATTTTACCCCCGTCATGTGCCTCATTTACATGTGCAGCGGTTCTACATCGCAGAAGAAGATTTGGTGGTGGGTATCGCCGGATTCAGAAATTCAAAGATTGGTCTTTTGATCTACTGCGCTTTGAGTATTCTGTCGTTTGGAATCTTCTATCTTATCTTGAGGTGGGTTCCTCGTTATAAAGTAAAACTGTGCGGGAAGAAAGCATTATTGGCCAAGGCTGAGTGGGTAGTAGTGGAAAATGAATTTGGGGGACTCACGATAATACAAGTTGCTAGAAGGTGGTACAATAGACCTCTGAGTACGTTACTTCCTATGAATCACGGTCTTGAAACTGATATATCTCAAAACCACCGCCACCACTACCACCACGAAGGTGACAACAATCCAAATATTCCGATCATTATCCATTTCTCTTATCGTTATTTCAATCTCATTTACACACCTGTGGAAGATGTTTTCAAGACAAACAGTCACTGGACAGATTATGACTGGTTGACGCTAGACGCCGATCATGCTGGATTAACGACTGCTATGGTTGAGGATAGAGTGCTGGCATTTGGCAAAAATAATATCAACCTGAAACAAAAGACAACAGGACAACTTCTTTTTGACGAAGTTCTCCATCCTTTCTACGTCTTTCAAATCTTCTCAATCTTTCTGTGGCTCGCCGATGATTACTACTACTATGCGGCGTGTATTTTAATTATATCCATCCTCTCTGTGACAGACACACTTCTAGAAACCAAAAAAGCATCACAACGACTTGCAGAAATTTCTCATACTCACGGCGAGGTCAGAGTTTATCGTGACGGTTTTTGGGTTCAAATTAGTTCTTCCGAACTAGTTCCTGGTGACGTTTACGAAATATCTGACCCTTCCTTAACCTCGTTCCCTTGTGATTCGTTGCTATTGACCGGTGATTGTATTGTCAACGAATCGATGTTGACGGGAGAATCTGTTCCGGTCACGAAAGTGCCTTCGACAGACAGTACAATTTGCCAACTGCTCGACGATTTCCAAAAAGCCCAGATCTCTAATCTCTTGGCAAAATCGTTTTTGTTTAATGGAACAACAATAATTAGAGTCCGCATCGCAAATGGCCAGTCCACAGCACTAGCAATGGCAGTGAGAACGGGGTTTTCTACAACGAAAGGCTCTCTTTTGCGTTCTATGATTTTTCCAAAGCCGACCGGATTCAAATTCTACGAGGATTCTTTCAAGTACATCGGCTTCATGGCCCTGATTGCAATGGTGGGCTTTTCCGTAAGCTGCGCCAATTTCATCAGATTAGGGTTGCAGTATAGAGTAATGGTTCTGAGAGCTCTGGATATAATCACAATTGTGGTGCCGCCTGCACTGCCTGCCACCCTCTCTATCGGTTCCAGTTTCGCAATGTCGCGACTAAAGCGCAAGGGAATATTTTGCATTGCACCGACAAGAGTTAATGTTGGTGGAAAGATTGACGTAATGTGTTTCGACAAGACTGGAACTCTTACCGAAGATGGATTGGATGTTCTCGGCGTTCACGTCTCTGTGCCCCACGGTCAACAGAACTCGAAATGTGGAGATCTAATCACAAGTGTTCGCGGTCTATTCTCTAAGTTTTCGCTCAACGATTGCAGTTCTCCTTTAGACTTCAAGTCAAGAAATTTCTTGGTATCGATGCTGACATGCCACTCCCTACGTGCAGTTGACGGCGAGTTATTGGGAGATCCTCTTGATTTCAAGATGTTCCAATTTACAAGTTGGTCTTATGAGGAGGATTATCAAGAGCACATGTTCCATTCCTTGAATGATGAGCGAAATGATAAAAGCACTCTACCAGAAAATAGTGGCATTGCTCCCGCTGTCGTGCGCCCCAATTCCGATGACCCCAGTAACAAATTCACCGAGAATGATCCCCACAATATGTTGGGAATTGTTCGTAGCTTCGAGTTCATGTCGGAATTGAGAAGAATGAGCGTCATAGTCAAGCCTTACGGAGATAATGTTTTTTGGTCCTTCACTAAAGGTGCACCTGAAGTCATCTCAGAAATTTGCAACAAGTCGACTTTACCCGCAAATTATGATGAGCTTCTACAGCATTATACACACACCGGCTATCGGGTTATAGCCTGTGCTGGTAAAACTCTACCAAAGCATACTTGGCGGTACGCTCAAAAAATATCTAGAGAGGAGGTAGAGTCTAACTTGGAATTCTTGGGACTCATAATTTTTGAAAACAAGCTAAAACCTGCAACGACTCCAACACTCACAACTTTGAGGGAGGCCAATATCAGAAATATTATGTGCACCGGCGACAATGTTTTAACGGCCATATCAGTTGGGCGTGAAAGTGGGCTGGTTGGAGAGAAGCATGTTTTCGTTCCTTTTATAAATGACAGAGTGGGCCCCGATCAAGATCTTATAATATGGCAAGATGTTGACGACCCTGACCTATTGCTTGATGGAATGACACTTCGACCAACAAATGGGAGCCTTGATTATACTTTGGCTGTCACAGGTGATGTGTTCAGACTTCTCTTCAAAAATAATGAGATTTTACCCGATTCCTACATTCACGAAATTCTTTTGAAGAGCTCAGTGTACGCCAGAATGTCTCCGGATGAAAAGCATGAGCTTGTCGGCCAGTTACAGAAATTAGACTATGTGGTGGGATTCTGCGGTGACGGTGCAAACGATTGTGGTGCGTTAAAAGCTGCTGACGTGGGCGTCTCCTTATCGGAAGCAGAGGCATCTGTGGCGGCCCCTTTCACCTCGAACTCGTACGACATAAGCTGCATGCTCGACGTTATCAAGGAGGGGCGTGCATCACTGACAACCTCTTTTTCGTGTTTCCAGTACATGAGTCTTTACTCTGCTATCCAATTTATTACTGTCACGATCTTGTACAGTCGCGGCACGAACTTGGGCGATTTCCAATTTCTTTACATTGACTTGTTTTTGATTGTGCCCATAGCAGTGTTCATGTCGTGGTCAAAGCCTTATCACAAGCTTGTTAAGAAAAGGCCGTCTGCCAACCTGGTATCATCAAAAATTCTGGCGCCGTTGATCGCTAACATTATAATAATTTTGTTCTTTCAAGCTGTGCCTTGGTTGATTTGCCAGCAAATGGATTGGTATCAGAGTCCGGTTGTGGGAGGTGACGACGCTGTGCAATCTTCCGACAATACTGTTCTATTCTTTTACTCCACGTTTCAGTATGTGTTCACAGCTGTTGTACTATCAGTGGGCCCCCCATATCGCGAGCCAATGTCAAAAAATGTGGGTTTTATCGCGGACGTTGTCATTTCATTGATCCTGAACATCAGCCTGATGGCCATCTCTTCCAATGGATGGCTTGGCCATGTATTCCAGTTATCGTGGGTCTCTGGCAAATTCAAGCTCTTCCTATCAGTTTGGGCGACTCTAAACTATTACGCGCAATTGACGTTGCCAACAAAGTGTAAGAAGATGTTCAGAAAGGCTAACAGCAGTAAAAAGTACAAGAACATTTTAAAGAATGAAAAACTGGAATGCGTATAGTGCATATAGTGCGTAAAATGCGTGTAATGCTTAAAATAATCTATCTTTGATATCCTCATGTTTTCTGGACCGAATTTGACGCATTGCGCATGGATAGGAAACAATTCCACAGAACACCAACTGAGGAACTGAAAGGTACTTGGAAATGCTTGGGCATCAACATGAAATTGATAAACTGCACAGGGGGCCACAGCATGTAGTTGAACCCCAATGTCCCAAGATAAATCTTCTCTATCTTGGTTTTGAATGTAGAAGAGTCGCCCCGCTCCATGACATAATTGGAATACATGAAAAAGCAGACGAGCGAGATCGGAGAGTAGACCAGCTGGTCCGATAATACTCGCTCCAATGTTTGCACCACACTGGGGTCTTCTGTATAGAAATAGTTGAGAATGCGGTACCAAGGTACTTGAAAAAAAGCCAGACCAGAACCCCAAGCCGTGAAACAGGCCCATCGATATAAGTCAAAATGATTCGAAGCTTCAGACGCAACAGGCCCCTCATGAGAAGCAGTTGTAGGCACAGGGCCGTAGTCATTGAAAATCGATATGCTGTCATCGAGTCCAAGATCATCAACATTTTGATCTGAACTGAAACCACCGCCCAGCGGCAGATATGCTGGAGTCCTGAACCTATTTTGGCGGATGCATTGAGCCAGAGTGTCGGATATGCCAAATAACAGACCGTTGATGTATATGGTCGTCAATAGTGCTGAGTGTGCGTACATCTGCGAGTATTTTGTCGAGAACTTAGCAAGTGAAGCCAGCAATATTAGCAGCATGGACCAGTGCACCAAGTCAATGCGGAGAATCGTAAACTTGCTCAGTCTTGAAAACTGACGATTGGTCCACTTGATTGTTCTTTGGTATGGGCCTGGGAGCCCCGACCGTCGATAGTGATCATCTTCGTATGGATCCGTTTGAAAAGGAAAGCGATCGTTTCCGGCCACACGCTCGTAAACGACCTTGATTTGGTCTTTCCCCCATAACTGGATTGGCATTTTGGAACCACCTTGTGAAACAAATTGTGACTTTACTTCTGTCAGTTCATCAATCTTTATATGACGAAAAGTACCTTGAACTGATTCTTTATATGTCCGGAACGTTGATCTTTGAGTCAATAATATATCACTGTGTACGTTTATTTTACTCTGGCACATCTTCAAGAGTCGACGCTTAACGCCCAGCATTAACCCAATTACGCTGGGCAATGTGTTTCGTAGTTGAATTTGTTCACATTAGAAGTGCTGCTATTTTATTGGGACGATTTTTTTCGATTTCTGTGCCGACGAGAGTCTTCGTGATTACGGAACGAATGCCTGGGTAGCAGTGATAATTCTCTGGGGTTTATTTTACCTTTTCTCGCTGTAAATCGTGGTGGAGAGGAATATCAAGACATTTGTAAGCTTCGTCCTGACCAATTTTATGTATATGTGATGTATGTCAGAGAAAAGAGTTTCTTTCCGAGCGAAAGAAAATCCTCATCGGTTTGGGGGAGCAGCAGAAGACAAGTACAATTAACAGGCGTTTGAATTGCCAGTGTATGCTTATTATAAAACATGTGAAGACGTAGGTCCTCTAGCTGTCGAGTTATCACTATATACCTTTCCGTCACCCTAAGTGTATAAGTGACACATTTTCATGGCTGACACGGTAAAATATGGTGAAAGCGACTAAAACTACGTTGATAACTTGGCTTACAGGCAAATACATTTAGAGGTTCGGACTGACACTCAATCGTCGGCCAGCCGAAGAGGTTCAGAAATTGAGAGAAAATATACGGTGGGTTTAACTAGATTTCTCGAAACTTACTGACGCGAATATTATAGCACTTGTGACGCCAGTAGAATAGCCTGTGATCGTTTTAGTGCCACCAAGAATAAAGAGCTCTTATAGTTATTATGTGGCTTGTATGGCATTTTTAAAAAAGGGTGGGGACCTCTTCTATACATGTGGTTATTTGGGAGACTCGAGGAAGAATGTTTCTTTGCCAAACTGATAATGTCACCTCTTGGAAATAAAGTCTGAGCATTTGAGTTGCGTTTCTCGCCAAATGAGCTGAAATAATAGTACAGGCGTGCCAGGCCATGGCATGGAGTACTACCTCAAATTCAATAGTGGATGCCATGGGTTTGGGCTCAAAACACCCTTTATAAACCTTGAATGTACATCGATTGTTCGAGCGTGTTTAAAGCCATCTGATTTTTTAAGAATCAGTTGGCCCCGATTGTTCAACTGCGCTTCGAGTATCCTCTTCAATCACAATTGATCACTGACACTCTCGATTGTTCACTTGTGCTTGTAGTTACCATGGTTGTTCACAATTGACCGCTGATGCCCTCAATTTTTCAATAAGATTGAGAGGGCTCTGCTGTTCACGTTCGATCAATAGTGCTTGTAGTCCGTTCTTCTTTCACAATTGCTCGCTGATGTTCTCAATATCTCAGTGTGTCTATAGTCATTTTTGCCCTTACGTAATCACATTCGCTCACTAGCGCTGTTTATGGATGAATAATATTAAGAAAGCGTCAACGATCGACTTTTCAAGAGTACTAAGATGGCCCGAATTTTTCAATGGAGCTGGTAGCCCGCTCTTCGGATAAATATCGACTTTCCAGTGATAGCAAGAGTTCTCTTTTTATTCACAGTCGATCGCTTGCACTATCAAATATCCAATAGTGCTTGTAGCTAACGCTCTTGACTGTATAGTAGTACGACTAATTTCACTTACATTACTACTGATCGACAATGCTATCGATTGTTCACTAGTACTGGGAGGGCTCTGCTTCATTCGCAATTGAGAGCGTCAGCAATACAAAGAGTTTTCTGCTCTTTCGACGATAAATTAATTTGTCAATGGCAACAAAGACTCTCTGACACTCTCGATTGTTCGGTGGTACTAAGTGAGCTCTCAATTGTACAATAGTGTTAAGAGAGCTCTGCTTATTGACAATTGATCGTTTATACTCTCAATTGTTCAATATTGCTTGCAGTCCTCTCTTCATTCACAACCGAAAGCGCGGTGCTTGTGGCCCTCTACTTATTCACAATTACTCGCTACCGCTCCGAGTTGTTCAATATTCCAACGAGTATCGATCGCTGACGCTCTCAATTGTTAACTGTGCTTCGAGTACACCTTCCTTGTGACTGTTTTCCGTGCAAAACAGCAACTAGCTTTTTTTCTCATTTTTGAAAAAAACTCTCAAAAATCATCGAAACTCGTTCGAACACCCTCACTCTAAACGGCGTTCCCGACCCACGCAAAAAACACTGAAAAATATCCTGAAACTTTGACCCAGCACGCTGGGAAACCCAACCGGAATCCAATCCATCGTGCAATAGCGTATAGTCAATAGTGTATCCAGTACAACTTTTTAGCTTTAAACTCAGCAGTTGTAAATACAAGGTTTGGAATACTCGCTTCAAGACTACACCGACCAAGTTCCAACATGTTGATTCCTAAGGAAGAGAGAACCAAGATCCACAGACACTTGTTTCAAGGTACGTTGCGCACGGTTTAAGGAAGGTGGAGTGGGGGTGGTGACTGATAGAGAGCACAGGACAGAGAACAATAGAAGAAAGAAGTGTGGGTGAAGTCTTTTGCTAGAAATTGCTAGTTCGAAACTGCGACTGTGGATGCTACTGCGAGATTTCGTCTTTCAAGGCCGCTCCTCCCCGACTCCTCCCCCTCTCGTCTCAATTTCCCGTATACTAACCATAACTCACAAACAGAGGGTGTTGTTGTTGCCAAGAAGGACTTCAATCAGCCAAAGCACGATGAAATCGACACCAAGAACTTGTACGTCATCAAGGCCTTGCAGTCTTTGACCTCCAAGGGCTACGTCAAGACCCAGTTCTCGTGGCAATACTACTACTATACCTTGACCGACGAAGGTGTGGAATTCTTGAGAGACTACTTGCACTTGCCTGAAAACATCGTTCCAGCCACCTACTTGCAGGAAAGATCCCAGGACCAGAGACCTCAAAGAAGATACTAAGCGGTGGGTCCAAATGCTAACTGGAAAAATTAGCGTCGTATCCAAGATTCGGGGTTTTCCTCCCCAAAAAATGTATAATGTTTTAGTATAAAGCACTACATCCAAACTATAACAACAACATCAATTGGTTTTCAAAAATTGCAGTCGCGGCGGGCCAGCGGTAAATAGCTCGCCAGAATAGAGGCTGATGGGCCCCGTCGTAGCGCCTACAAGCATCTTGATCTTATACAGTGTCGGTTGTGACTCACTAGTACAAAGTGATCGTCGCTGCGTGTCTAAATTTATAAACGATTGTAGCCACGCCAAGCCTTCAATCCCAGAGTATTGATTTTGAGCAAGGACTTGTTCCAATTGAGAAATACATGTAGATAAAGCGTCATCATTCAAACGATGACCGACGGGAGGTGCAAACATTGTTGAAGAAAACGTAAAAAATGGCTAACTCAGGCAAAACAACACGCATGAATCCGACTCTCACTTACAGAATCCTGGGCAACTCGCCCTTCAACAGCTGGGCATCCAAGGAACACGCACAGCGCTACTCTCACAAGATGTGTCCTGACGACTCGTGCCAAATTCCCGTACTCGAGTACTTGAAAATCACATGTCTCTTTTTATAGCGTCAGGACCCAGTGAAAATATACATAATTAGCACCATATTCTTAAAGATGCGATGAGTTAACCAACACAGGTCTTTTGCCGTTAAAATTCGTCCTCTTAAGTATCGTTTAATGTGTGCCAGGAGGCTGAATTACGCGGGCGGCGACAACTTGCCAGTAAGTACTTTTCAATTCAAAAATTCCCAGCTCTTTTCCCCTTGTAACAGCAGACTAACAATAGTGGGCTTTGATAGCTTTATGCCACGCCAGAAGAAGCCATGAAAGCGGGTCAAAGACGAGATGAGGAGGAGAGAAGAAGGCGTGCTAGAAAATACGAATATCTGCCGCCAGTTCAAAATTCTAGACAGAGCTCGGCTCCCCCGATGGCGATACCGGTACAGCGTCCGATGAACCCTTCATTCAACGGCATGCCTGTAACTCAGTCAATGCCTCAGATACCGCCAGTTCGATACTCTACGACTCCACAGCATTCTCAGCAGCTTCAACAACAACAGCTTCAACAACAACAGCAGCAACAACAACACAACTCCAGTATGATGCGATACCATTCCATGCCACAGCCCGTGACCCGTGCTTCAAGGCCCCGACCGGTGCCCGCTGCGCCAGCACATACGCCCAAATCGCCGCCAGCGATTCCTCCAGCACGGTCACGAACATCTTTGGATGAGACCGGTGGCAATGCAAATGGCGGGGATTCGCAGCAGGACTCAATAGATGCGCAGATCGCGACTCAACTGTTCCACAACCACGATGTCAAACAGCGAGGCCGACTCACCGCGGAAGAGCTCCAGAATCTACTCCAAAACGACGATAATACACATTTTTGCATCTCTTCCGTCGACGCACTCATCAATCTTTTTGGTGCCTCGAGATTCGGCACCGTGAACCTCAGTGAGTTTGTGTCTCTTTACAAGCGTGTCAAAAAGTGGCGTAAGATCTATGTGGACAACGATATTAACGGCAGTTTTACGATAACCGCCAGCGAGTTCCACAACAGTTTACAAGAACTGGGCTATCTCGTGCCCTTTGACGTTAGTGAAAACCTCTTCGATCAATACGCAGAGTTCATTGATCCCTCCAAAAACGGCAAAGAGCTCAAATTCGACCGTTTTGTAGAAACGCTGGTGTGGCTAATGCGTCTCACCAAGATGTTTCGAAAATTCGACAACAACCAAGAGGGCGTCGCTACGGTGCCCTACAAGGATTTTATTGACTTGACGCTATATTTGGGCCGCTTTCTACCTCATTAAGAATATAGTAACCAATTCTCTTTTTAGTAATCAAACACTTCTACAAACATCGATAAGGACGCGATGTACACACAGACCAAGAGCTGCTACAGGGCTATGTTCTTGTCCTGATTGATGAACTTAGTGTCAATCTCATCAAGCCCTACTTTCTCATTTTTCACAGTTCTGGCATTTAATTTATATTGATTACTTAAGCATCGACATCTATATAAGACAGGATTTTTTTCAATTTGACTTGAACAACTTTGACCAATTCAACACCACTCAAGAGGGGCAGAGTAAACATCAAGAACCTCTGGAAGTAGTTAAACAAGGACGGGAATACCTAGTAGAAAGAAAGAATTCGTTCTAGCTCTGGTATACCATCGTTCTATCGTTGCATAATGATGAATCATTTTTTAGCTTTTTTTCTGGCATCTCTAATGTTAGGGCAGGCGTTTAAGTACTCCGTTCGATGAATACAACTTTTGACATATTCTGACAACGCAACGATGGTAAACTAATCTGTAGAACTATATCTTGTTTTTTTCTTAACTTAGAAAGCTATGTAAAAGATTACGGTGCCACCGAGAAGCCAGGGAAAGGCTTTCATGAAAGACTTTCATGAAACGCATCCATGAGCGGGCATCTGCAGCAGAAGTCCATCGAATTACGGTATCGCAAGCCTCAAATGCAAAGAGCGACGTGCTGGTATCTCTGGATGATTTTTTCTGTACTTTCTGATCCCGATCGTGCGTTTCGAGCGATGTGGAGCAAGACATAAAAACGTCAGTGTTAATCCGGTCGAGGCAACGGTAAAGCGAGCGAGTTTCGCTTTTGGATGAGTGCTTTTGATTAATAATGCTTGGAGACCGACGTAGAACTATTCCAACGGTTCTAGGGTGTCCAGAGGTTGCCAGGACCGCGACTTGCATACATGGCCTGGTCGAACTTGGCACGGTACACCTCCTTGCCGCCCGAGGAGTCCTTGACACTTTTCTTCTTGAGGTAGTCGCTGAATTTAGCGTTTTGTTTGAATGCCCGCTTGTCGAGCTTTCTGCAAATTTCTTGGTCTGCAGAAACGAGCGAGCAATGAGGAATGCCAAAGGCGTCAGCCAAACGTCGTATTTGGGCGTCTTCGGTCACCAAAACCCAGGTTTGGTTATTGCTACCTTCGAAATGGCATTTGTAGGTGCAGCTCTTGAGCAGATTTCTCAAGCGACGGGGCAAAGAATGCGGCGAGTTGGGTCTCAGATCGAAATCGGGCAGATCGCTAACTTGACGGTCCAGCACATCAGACCACAGTATGGTATCCAGCAGTTCTGGGAACTCAATTATCAGGTCCACACTTTCAGGGAAATCTACCCCGTCGATGAACCTGAGTGCTTCCTTTGCAGTGTAGCTGTTTCTGCGATACTTCAAAAAGTCTAGTTCTTGAAGAGTGAAGGTCGGAATATACAGGCTCAACCGGGAGAACTTGCGAGCCTGGTCGGCTTCACACCATCTCTTGACATTACCAATACCCTTTTCCATGCACGAGGCATCTAAAATGTAACATAACTGGGACATCGGTGTCAGAGTGACTCTCTCACCTGTTGTGTGCGAAGGTCATCGCGATGAGAAGAGAATCATTGAAATAGCGAAATATAAGTTGAGACCTTGGGACGTGATCGTGGGAAGTGACATTGAATCGAACTGAATGAGATTCGGTACTGAAACGCACGGTTTGGAGTCTACCGGAGGCCAGATTTGAGGATTTCAGTTATCTGTAGAGTGAGGAAAACGACAGGTTTCGAATGGTCCGAAAAGCGTCTTGATTACGCATTAGGTGAATGCAGGCAGGGCCGGGAAAAGAAGTGGCAGTCTGTGACGAATCAAATAAGGCTCTTTCATATGACGATTGAGGATTTATTATTGCTGGCATGGTCGCTGTTTGTAGAGGGCTTCAAAATATTAATGTCAGTACATTGATGACAGGGTTTTTCTGCTTGGTGCGTGTGTCGCCCTGTGAAATTGCAATTATACGTTAAAAAATATAAATGTGGGTTGAGCAAGAAGATGAACTGAAAGCCCGGGAAAGGTCGCATTGACATAACGATTTGACCATGAATACTATATCGCCATGCGTTCAAAGCCTTGTTTTCCCTCGGTTTCAAAGCCTTGCCTCGCCATTGAACGACGCTGTTTTCGAGAAATCTAAAAAAATATCGCCTGGGCGCGTGTCTGTAAGACTCCGTTCCGCTCACTTAAACAATGGTGGTGTGCAGTGTATGGCGTGTGTGTATGGTGTTGATAGACAGTAAATGATGCCTGGGGCTTCTTAAACGACGACATACCCGTGAGAAGCGACATACTCGCGAGGTTTTGGTTTTCTATGGTCGTTATTTCGCACACTCTGCTCGCTCCTTTGTAAACGTGGATTTGAAGATGCAGAGATATTCCAAAGCGGGAACCTGACCATTGTGAACCGTCGTATTGCGCACTATGGGAGAGGAAGAAAGCATCGAGCGTTCGTGAGAAGTGACGAAACGTGTTTCCCAAAATTAAAATGTACACACAACACAGCGTGGGCACACAAATAGCACAATCTATTTCCCCAAGCTTACAGAACATCTCTAAGCCTCCACCTTTCGCACAACTATGCCTCTTTCCCTCTCCTCTCTCTTCAACGACGAGTCTGTATCGGACATCACTCGTCACGATCGTATGTTCCCAATTTCTCTCTGCTCATCTCGTCGTTTAGTCGTTTTCACCTATCTTCGAGGCCTCGCATCGGCTCGTTTAGCGATTCGTCTGCAATTTTCCCATTTTTCGGGTAGATATAAAAACCAGACGGTGGGTCCTCATCTCATCCAGAATTCAAGAAGTCTTACAAAAAACATTGAAATAGCATCGAAACAGCATCGAAACAGCATCGAGTCGTCCTCTTAGGTCAAAGACATCGATATTTAAAGCTAAAGAAAGCTTCAGGTTCAGACTAAATTGAGAGTCTGTGTTTGAAAGAAGCAAAAAGCCGGAAGAAAGCGTCACAAACGAAGCTTTTTTGGTCGAGTTTGGGTTTCCGTTTGGGTTTACGTTTGGGTTTACGTTAAGGTTTACGTTGAGGTTTACGTTGAGGTTCACGTTATGTCTTCCGTGTTTCAGAACGCCACTTTGGCGTCAACGCTGGCTCACAGTGGATCCTATCTAGAAACGTTGCACAATGTCCAGGCCGGCCAGTCGCAGCTGAACGTCATGGAACAATACTGGGCGTCGTGGTACGTTTACATGAACAACGACGTGCTGGCCACGGGCCTCATGTTCTTCGTGCTGCACGAATTCATGTACTTCTTCCGTTGTTTGCCCTGGGCCATCATCGACCAGATCCCATACTTCCGTCGCTGGAAGATCCAGCCCACCAAGATCCCAAGCACCAAGGAGCAGTGGCACTGTCTCAAGTCTGTCTTGCTATCGCACTTCCTTGTCGAAGCCATCCCCATCTGGACTTTCCATCCAATGTGCCAAAAACTAGGTATTTCCGTCTCCGTTCCATTTCCCTCGCCAAAAACCATGGTTTTCCAAATTGCCCTCTTCTTTGTTCTTGAGGACACTTGGCATTACTGGGCTCACCGTCTGTTCCACTACGGTGTTTTCTACAAGTACATTCACAAGCAACACCACCGTTACGCCGCTCCTTTCGGTCTAACTGCTGAGTACGCTCATCCAGTGGAAACTTTGTCGCTAGGTTTCGGTACTGTCGGTATGCCTATCTTGTACGTCATGTACACCGGTAACCTACATTTGTTCACTCTTTGCGTGTGGATCACTCTAAGACTTTTCCAAGCTGTCGACTCTCACTCTGGTTACGATTTCCCATTTTCATTGAACAAGTTCCTACCTCTATGGGCCGGTGCCGCTCATCATGATCTCCACCACCATTACTTTATTGGTAACTACGCTTCTTCTTTCACCTGGTGGGACTACAGCTTGGACACTGAGGCTGGTCCAGAGGCCAAAGCCGAAAGAGAAGAAAGAATGAGAAAAAGAGTCGAACTAAAAGCCAAGAAGGCTGCTTAGTCGCCAAAAGGTGTCTTCTTCCGCAATGATTCTCATTTTTTCCCACTAGTGTAGACTTTGCGGCTTTTCATTACGTCTTGTCATTTACATAGCCTTTTTCATTCAAATATTATGCACGTACCGAACTCGGTTTACGTTGTTCGCTCCCATCAATATTCACAATTTAAGCATCATTATTATACATATCCTTCTACGTTTGTTGATCAGTGTCCTCAACCGACCCACTTTCTAACCGACTTGAACATTCTTATCCAAGGTCCGTAGCCTTGCCATTCATCGTACTTCTCAGATGGGTACCAAGAATTGGCTTCCAATCTGCAGACACGCTCTGGATGTGGCATCATAGCGAGAACTCTCCCGTTTGGAGATCTCACACCAGCAATACTATTAGCAGCACCGTTGGGGTTGAAGGGGTAATTCTTGGTGACGTTTCCATAGTTGTCCACGTACCTAACGCTGCATAGACCATGTTTCTCAAAGTTTTCGGCTTCTTCACCATCTTTGAAAGAAGCTCTACCCTCACCATGAGCAACAGCAATAGGCAACTTAGAGCCGACCATGCCGTTGAAGAAAATGTTGTCAGTCTTACAGCCCTCATCTTGGGAGATTTCGACCATTACCGCACGAGCTTCGTACTGCTCACTAGCGTTTCTTTCAAAGCTTGGCCAGTTTTCACATCCGGGGATGATATCTTTTAGTCTACTCAAGAACTGGCAGCCATTGCAAGCACCGAACGCAAACGTGTCCTCCCGCTCGTTGAAAAACTTGACGAATTGCTGGCGCACACCTTCGTGATACAAGACAGACTTGGCCCAACCAGCACCAGCACCGAGCACATCACCGTAAGAAAAGCCACCACAAGCTGCAAAACCAACAAAGTCATCTAAGTGGAATCTGCCATCCAAAAGATCAGTCATTGTAACATCGATAGCTGTGAAGCCAGCTTGTTGGAAGCACCACGCCATCTCCATATGACCATTGACACCTTGCTCTCTAAGAATAGCCACTTTAGGCTTTCCGGAAGTGAGAAGCTGACCGAGTCCCATTTCATCGGCGGGATCATATGTTAGGGAGTAATGCAAACCAGGGTCCTTGTCGTCTGCAATGTTCGAAAATTCTTGGTCGGCAGCCAATGGGTTATCTCTACGTTTTTGAATCTGGTAGGAGGTAGCAGCCCAAGTTTTTTGCAACGATGATCTATCACTCTCGAAGGCAACTAGGCCAGACTTGTCTGTGACTGTAATTTTCTGGGATCCGAAGACGGGTTTACCGACAATTGAAATATGCTCCGGTGAAACCCCGTTCTTGGCAAACACTCCCTCAAACTCAGGTAGAGTATCTTCGGAGACTTGGAAAACACATCCCAGCTCTTCGTTGAATAGTGGAGTGTAAACATCCGATGCTCTGTCCAAAACGATATTGACACCACATCTGGACGCAAACGCCATTTCTGCTAGAGTAACGAACAAACCACCATCGGACCTATCATGGTAGGCATACACCAATTCCGTTTGATGCAATTCCAACAGAGATTTCAATAAGCCCTTGAACACTTTATTGTTGTGCACGGTTGGTGAGGTGTTACCAACTTGGTTGTAGACTTGTAGAAGAGCAGAACCGCCAAGGGAGTACTCCGCATGCCCAGCCGCCAAATCAACGAGAACCAATACTGTTCCTTTCTGTTTTTTCAAAACTGGAGTCCAGGTTTTAGAGGTGTTGTTGACAGGTCCAAAAGCAGTAATGTTCAGTGTCAAAGGTGCTGTGACTTCTTTCTCGCCCCACTTCATCTTCATAGACATGGAGTCCTTACCAACAGGAATAGAGATATCCAAATCAGGGCAGAGGTCCATACCAATAGCTTGAACTGCTTCGTAAAGTTTGGCGCCTTCGCCCTGATGAGAGGTTGGTGACATCCAGTTCGCAGATAACTTGACGTGTTTCAAAGATTTCACGTCAGCTGCAAACAGATTTAGCAAAGATTCTGCCACTGAGAGCTTAGCGGATGCTCCTGCGGAGATAAGAGCATTGGTTGGTCTCTCACCCATTGCCAGAGCTTCACCAGATTTGCAAATTTCGTCACCAAGCGCAGTACCAGTCACACCAACGTCTGCAACGGGAACTTGCCATGGACCCACAAATTGGTCTCTGTCTACAAGCCCTGTTACAGTTCTGTCACCGATGGTGATCAAAAATGACTTAGAGCCAACAGATGGTAGACTCAAAACTCTGTCAATAGCATCTTCGAGTGAAGGAATTGCACCCAAATCAGCCGCAGACAGGCTGAGTGGTTGAGTCTGAACTTCTCTGGACATCTTAGGAGGCTTACCAAACAGAATAGACATGTCTAGGTCAATTGGAGTCTCTTTCAACAAAGAGTCTTCGACGACCAGTCTCTGTTCAGCAGTTGCATGTCCAACAACAGCGTAAGGAGCTCTTTCTCTTTTGCAAATCTCTTCGAACATAAACAAGTTTTGTTGAGAAACACCAAGGACATATCTTTCCTGAGATTCATTACACCAGATTTCGACGGGAGACATGCCGGGTTCCAAAGACAATACTTTTCTAATATCAAACTTGGCACCTAGGTCGTTGTCATGAACAAGCTCTGGCAAAGCATTTGACAAACCACCAGCACCAACATCGTGAATGGACTGAATAGGGTTACCGGAGTCCAATGAAATGCAGGCATCGATAACCTGTTGGCAACGACGCTCCATTTCTGGATTTCCTCTTTGAACTGATGCAAAATCTAGTTCGGCAGAGCCCTCACCAGCGTTGACTGATGAAGCGGCTCCTCCTCCTAGACCGATCAACATCGATTCACCACCCAAGACAATCAGGCTGGATCCAGGAGTAATAGGCTTATTTTTTAAAGCAAACTGTGGTCTTACTGCTCCCAAACCACCAGCGAGCATAACAGGCTTATGGAACCCTCTAATTTCTTCTTTATCGTCAGAGTTTTTAACTGTAGTAGTCAAGGTTCTGAAATAACCATTGATACAAGGTCTACCAAACTCGTTGTTGAAGGCAGCAGAACCCAATGGCCCCTCAATCATAATGTCCAAAGAAGAGGCGATATGGTTGGGCTTTCCCACGTCTAGCTCCCAAGGTTGCTTAAAACCGGGGATCAATAGATCACTCACCGCAAAACCGCTCAAACCACACTTGGATTTAGAACCTCTACCAGTAGCACCTTCGTCTCTGATCTCACCACCAGATCCAGTGGCGGCACCTGAGAAGGGAGAAACGGCAGTTGGGTGATTGTGAGTCTCAACTTTCACTAGCATGGGCACGTTCTCTTTTACAGCCTTCCATTCCTTGGTTTTGAAATCTGGAGCATAATAGTATGCTTCATTACCAGTGTCCAAAACAGCAGAGTTATCAGAGTACGCGCTAATGGTGTAGTCTGATGTATGGGCGTGTGTGTTTCTGATCATTTTGAAAAGAGAAAGATCCTTTTTAAGACCGTCAATAGTCCAGTCGGCGTTGAAGATTTTGTGACGACAGTGCTCAGAGTTGACTTGGGCGAACATGAAAAGCTCCACATCGGAGGGGTCTCGGTGTAGAGTTTCGACGAAGGCGGAAATAAGATAGTCGATTTCTCCCTTGTCGAGAGCTAGGCCTAGCTCCTGGTTGGCTTTTTCAAGCGTTTCTCTGGGTGACACAGAGGTCTCAGAGGCCAGAGGGACGTGTGCTAGCGGCCTAGGAGACTGGTGCGAGAAAATGGTTTCGGGTTTGGGCGCTTCGGTCAAATACAAAGTTTGAGTCATTCTGTCGTAGCACGACTTCAAAGACTCATCATTCAGGTTTTCCATTAGGGGAAAGCCAGGAACGGTCTTGATAAGCAAAGCAGTACCACGCTCGATACGCTCGATGGCGTCTTCCAGCCCACAAACGCGAGCGATGTTGGTGGCTTTCGAAGACCATGGCGAGATTGTGCCTGGACGAGGCGCAATTCTAATGAAATAGGTGTCTGGACCCAGTTCTCCAGAGTCTGACGTGACGGCAGCTTTCAATTCTTGCGAAATACTGTCATCATCGTACAACGCATCGTCGTACGTTAGGAGCACTTCTAGCAATTTGGCTTGCTCTTCAGACAAGGTAATTCCATCCTTGACATCAACGTAATGAATGTAGCACGAGCGGACCTCGGAGATCACAGACGAGCTGTTGCAGTACGACTCAATGCCCTTCACCAGGTTTTCCACTCTGAAAGAAGATAGAGCCTGAGGCCCTGCCAAAGTGAGGACGGACATGGTTGCGTGTAGGGAAACGTATGTTTCTCGAAAAGTGTACAGCGTCTACAGAGCTTGAACGAACAAGATAAGCTCGCTGAACATGAACAGTTGTGACGATCTTATATCTGGATTAAATATGAACATCTGAATTTTTTTCAAATTTCTTAATTATCTGTGTGTGTAGTGAAGTAATAAAAAATCATACTGAGAAATGACAGCGTTAGTATGATTTAAGAATTACCTGCAATCGTATGAGAGTGTGGTGATAATAGAGCTATGAAACTCTTGAACCAAAATTACGTATCTAGGCAGTAATGTAACGGTTTAGCCACTTAGGAGCTTAGTTATCTCTCTGGAGCTCGATTTTGTTTTGATGGATTTCCAGTTTTTGACTCTGACGCTATGGTCACGTGATTGTGAATTGAATCATCCATTATCAAAATAGTCATCGCGCAGTTACGGACCAACGATAATGGATGAGCGCTAGATCGCAGGGGAAATCCATTGTCAAAGGGGTTGGAAATTTGTAATATAGCCCCTGTGTGTGTGAGTGTGGCCGGTTTCTTATATTTTCTTGGAACTTGTATCTCGATGTGTTGATTAAAATTACTCGATTTCGTAATTCTGAGACGAATAGTCGCTTATGTAGCGTCCTTAATGCCAACTATAAGAGCCTTTCGGTCAGCTAAAACACTAGGTTTTTGAGAATATTGGCCAAGGATGTGTCGTTGACTATTATATCAGTCATTTGTGACGAAGAAGTACCTTCCAATAGTCAAATCTGAAAATCTTCCAAGACAGGACCTCATCGCATCTCATCTCATCTCATCGCGTCAGCAAACAAGCATTCGCTCAGCTCTCAAACACCACCACTCTCACCATGCCACAGAAAGCTCTTAAAGTCACGAAGCAGCCCAAAGATGTTAGGAGAATCACAAAAAAACAGAAGAATCTGCGCAAGGCTGCTCCGCTGCAAATCAAGTCCAAGAAGAGATCGCTGTCACACCTGAAAAAGTTGAACAAGTTCTCGTCGTTGACAGAGTCCACCGAAAAGCTGATAGCCAGTAGAGTGGGACATCTGGAGCTTTTAAAGGGGACAAGGAAAGAAGTGGAGAAACAGAAGAAAAAAGACACCAAATAATGCATTTCTACTCGCCTGCCACTGTAAGGGTAGCGGCAGACGCCCTTTAGTTCCACCCCCCCTGTATACTATGTTTTTGTCATTTAAATTCCATCTATTATTTTTGATACGGCCACAGCCAGTCCAGAATTGCATTTTGCACCAGCGAAAAGAGCTGAGAACTAGTCCAGTAGGCGGACAAGAGCAATGGCGCTTGCGTTGCAACGCCCATGAAGAAAATGCAACTCAATCTTGAGATATTCAGAATACTCTGCGTGCTTTGCGAGATCATGGAGTTCGGGCTTGGTGCTACCTTGATTCCCATTGCCCCCGTAGCCGTCGTGGTCATCATGCGGCTATTGTTCTCGACATTCATCAGAGCCAGCAGCCCCAATGCCAGTGGAGCCAACATGGGAAGACTGTCCAATGGCAGACTTAAATCAATGGTGGCCATTTGACTTATCAAGTCGTCAACATGACCTCCAGAAAACGCAGAAGATGCTGGCGTCAAGTTGGTGTCTATCAGCCTGTGTTCCGTCAGCTTTCTCAGCCCCATAGACACAGATACCCATAAAGGCACTTGAATCAGCGGCAAGATAGCATTTTTCCAAAGTGGGACGTTGTTTTCAGCAAAGAGTTTCTTTTGACGGTTTCTGGTTTCCTTAAGCGCCAATAAAGTGATCTGCTCGGGTGTTAGCGCTGGTTTTTGTGCTCCCAAAGAGCTCGTTTGAAGTTTGGCTTGCTGCCGTTGCGTGGCTGCTGCCAATCGCAGTTTCACCACGGGCGGTGTTGCCTGGACCACTTTTCGCAGCTCCTGCTGCTTGATGATTCTCTTGCGCTGCCATATACTGGGAGGCAGCGTGAATATCATTCTGAGCCCGAAAGTGGTAGCAGGGACCAGGAAAAGCCAAGGAAGACTGCTCATTTCATGCAGAGAGACCAGAGAATCAGTCACGGTGCTGAAAACGGCCATCGATCGTGTCTGGCATGTGCTTGGACGAAAAGTTCTCAAGAGGCCGCCAGCACCGGCCGTCTTACGTGCAACATTGGCGAAATGCATTTAAAAGGCGACGTGATCACCAAGCGTAGAACATGCGCCTAGAATACCTGACTTTTTGGCATCTAATTCGACATCGATGTGCAATTGTAGTGCAACTAGTAGGTTCAATTTACCATGATGTTCAGATCCTGTTCGTACACAATTATTGATAATAACGAATAGGTAGTTGTATACCGCTATTTCTGACTACTTTACACATTTTTGATTCGCTCTATGATCTCTGCATTGCGTCTCGATGTTTGTTTCAGTCCACCTGAGTACCATCCCGTGGCTTGTAATGTGGCAACATGTCTGAGACCTCGATAGGCAGTCTTCCATCGACTTTGATGGCGTACATGCCCGGTATATAAGGATCTACGCTGATCCATTTGGCCACCCATGACTTAGACGGCCTGCACATTCCCACGAGACCTTCGAAAGAAGGCGAAGTGCATTCCATCGTGCTCACTCCAGCTTCGTCAAAAATACCCTGACAATTCGGACATCCATCCTTGGTAAATTCTGCAGTGGTGAGTACAACTCCACAAAGCATACACGCTCTTTCAGAAGACATTATAAAACAACACGGAAAGTAGGGCGACTAGCTCGGGTTGCGAAGAACGGAAGAACTCAACCTTCAAGCTATGGATGCCAGTGATTTACGCTGTACTTCACCATAGTCAAAATGAAAAATATTGATCACATTTACGTAAACGGTGATCACGTATCAGTTAATAAGATGTGAGTCCTTATGTACTCATGGTGTGGCTCTTGACTCACTGGGTGAACGTCTATATGAGATCGCGATAGAACAGCGTAGATACCGACAACGAAGTCGCATTTGGGAACTTTTAACAACTTGGAGTCGACAATTGCACATTTCCAGTTGGGACTCTACCAATTTTTGAAATTTGAAATCTCGAGAAACCTTATCTGTAGTTAGTTTTAGAGCCTCTGTATCAACATGTCTCAGTACGTTAACGAGGCCAAACAAGTCATTACCTCGCAAAAATTCGTGCAGCTAACTGCCGATTTCTGCCCCGACTGTGTGTATGCCAATTCGGTATGGAAAAGATTCGGTGTTTTGGATAAAGTATTGCAATTTGAAATCGGCAGTTTTGACAGGGCCACTCAGATGAAATACAGAGACGCTTTCGAACAGGTGGCAGGCGTCAGAAACTTGCCTACGATTTTTGTCGACGGCAAGGTTTGGGGTACGGAGCACGATCTGCATAAGTTTGAAAGAAAAGGTACGCTGCAAGAAGAGCTGAAGAAGATCGGACTTATTTGATTTGGCCCGGGAGAAAGAATTAGTGGCACGGTCGCCTTTGGCTTAGTTTACTCGATATTTTTATCATGATGGGTCCGGTACACCTATTCTTTTAGTTATTAATTATATCGAATATTTCGACAGTTTATCTACAAATGAATTCCATATAGTCCGTCCAAAGAGGCAACAAATCAAATGTCGCGCTTTTCGGTATCCGTTTCTCTGACGAAGTAGTACTCGCCTCTTTTCTCCATTTGCGTGTCAACGAACGTGGGCGGAGCCTCTCCGTTGTCGCTGTTGTAGAGAATTATACCGTTGCCAAGGGCGTTCTTCTTTTCGTTTCTCTTGTAAAAGTATAGCACGACAAAAGTCCACAGGCCGTAAATTGCTGAGAAAATCAAACTCACAGTGTAACCCGTCTTGAACCGGGGCTGTTCGACCGTCTTCCAAGCCAAGGTCGGAATCCATGCATACGTGGATTGCGAGAAACTGTAAATGGCGATCCACGTCACTGCCTTCAATTGAGGGTCTAGTCTCAGGAAATCATTAATGAAAGACCACAGGCATGGAGACGCGGCAACAGAAAAGTAGGTTATCAAAAAGGCAAACCATTTCGCACCGTTCGAAACATCCCATTTTATCAAAATCGCACAAGAAATACAGTTCATCATTTGAGAAAACACCATGAAGACCCACTTCGTGCGAAACACATCGGCGCCCAATGCGCAGAAAAACACGAAAATGAATCCAAGGCAGGCAGGTAGCACACTTAAATTGTTGATTTTTACCACCGAGTAGTTGTGATCGTTTTTCAGCCAAAACAAGAAACTACCACTAAAGGCTGTCATGTTGTTCCAAGAGCAGGTGTCAAACACGAGTAGCACCCAGAACACAGGGGTGAAAAAGACTTTCTTCCAGATTTTCCACGAGAACAAAGATAGCAGTTTGGTTTTGTCGACAGCGTCCTTGATCTGGAGTCTCTTGTTTCTAGCACGCGCGATTCTAATCTCTTCGTCGGACAAAAACAAAGAATAGCATTTTGATGGAACTCCAGGAATGACGAAAAAACCAATAATCGCACAGGGAATTGAGATGGCAATTCCGTCAATCAAAAACATCCACCTCCATCCGGCAATACCGTGAACTCCATTCAAATCTTTGTAAGTTCTGGCCTGTAACAGTCCTGACGTTACACCACCAAGTAGTTGACCACAGAAAAACAAGCACACCCTCGAGCTAATTTCATCGGGGGCGTACCAGGAGCCGAGAATGTATTGAGACACAGGATAATAGGCGGATCCAAAAGCGCTGACCATAAAACGGTAAGCTCTGAGTTCTGCCAATGAGTTTGCCCTGTAGCAGGCAAAAGTGAAGAAAGACCAGCCCAGATCCATGATGGGCAGGATGAGATGCGTGGGATATCTGGGCAAAAAAAACATGAATGGTAGCTGCAACACAATAGCACCCACGTTAGAGATAGCCGTAGTGTTGATGTAATCGTTCTTGGTCATGTTGAGGTCTTTTTGCATCCCTGAGAAATAAGCATTGATGTAGTTGTTGGTGTCGAGCGACTTGCACCAACACAACATCAAAAAGTAAAGACCGATCATCAGATCCAGTTTGTACAGTAAAGTACGTTCCGCTTTAGTTTGCGTGGTGTGATTTGGGTACAGAAAGCTATACCAATTCCGGGACTTTTTGTATTCTGAGTTGGCACGGTATTCGAACTCATCAAAGTATTTCCACCATTTACGGCCCTTCTCGTCGCGCAATTCATATGGGATTCCGCTCTGAAGTGTGCCAGGTTCTTGGCTTTCACTCTCCAACGCCTCGACAGTTGTACCATCAGCTTTGGGACTTGGAGAAACTTTTTCCTGGATATCCACTGAGCTTAAAGACACATCGGTCGAATCCTTATAAGCTTCTTCTGGGAGAACCCGTAGTCGTGGTAAGAGCCCCATTATCGTTCACAGATTTGATCAAAGTAAGGCGATTTTGACGCGACTTATGTGTTAGAGCTGACAGTTGCACCAGTCAGAAGTCTTCATCAAGTCTTCACCGAAAACTACGCTGCTTAAATATGTTTCTGACGCCTGGTCTTGTTGGGTTCATCGCTCTCTCTTGAACGGCCGTATTTTAATTTTTTTAGATTAGTGCTAAGAGAAGCGCCCTCGACTTTGGAGTCATGGTGCCATGACTCAAGAATTTATAGTAAATTTGAGTCACTGTCGAAGGCGACTCACGACTCAAATATCAGAACATCTAGTCAGAAAAGAGCCGGGACGCCATGAAAAGGTGCCGATTGTCGCAGATAAAAGCTGTTGGAAATAAGCTCATCGGGCTGGCAATTGCCAACGTACGTGCGGGGCCCCTTGTAACGATTAGCTCTCAAGTCACACAACAGTCAAGTGCGCGAGCGAGAGCTAGACTCACCACAGTAATGCAGATTTACGGAGAGGTATAAACTTTGACTGTTGTATCATGAAAACCCGGCAAAAGTGGTGCAGTGGGTGTCGATCTGAAGAGATCTTTGAGTAACCGTCTCTGACGAAACGGTGATTCATCGCTTGTTGGGAATGAAAAATAAATGTAAAAGACTGAAAGTTAAACGTTTATTTCTCGTGAGAACATAGACACTCCAATCGAGCATTTCACATTTGATCTCAGAGATAAGCTTGGGCCTCGTCACACTGACGGTCAACAAAGTTTGGCGACGACGAGAATCCAAATTTTTTTTTTGGGTGATTTGCAAAAACCGTTAATCGCACAATACCAGTTACGTTGGGCATTCCAAGACCGGTCGTTGATGCGATGTGCTATGGGGCTAGCTTGCCTGCACGTTTTGACGTCGTACCAGCTCACGTTACTCGAGCTGGCACGCTCTTTAGAAATTGCGATATCGTTTTCAACGGAACGTGGGTTATATAAAAAGTCGAAAATTTTCATACAGACTTTTCCCACTCTACACCACTTGTTAAAGAAGAAACATCTCTCACAAACAACACATCGTATAAGGTATGTCACAACACATTATACGTGTTTGGATTTGAAGAAGACACAATGATATCTTCTTGGCTTTTCGTTTTGTAAAAATTGCTCTTGAATTGCGAATAAGGTCCATGTCGGACTAGTTTGCGAGTCCGATTTTGGACCAGGGTGCAAGAATCGAGTGCGAGTGCCTCTTTTATGTTGAACTTGAATTGTAGTGGTTGCCGTTCTGCCGAACGCACGCTATTATGAAGTTGCATGCCTCGATACCTTTTGCATCTGCGTTTCTCTGGTCTTTCCCGTGAGAAACTGCATCGTGACTCCAATGCTTTTTGGATACTCATGGTGCTTCTTTGAACCAAAAAAAAAGTGGACTCTCAGCTTCCCGCAGCGTCTGCATGTGCATGTGCATTCTAACGGGCGGGAAAGAATTGGGGGGTTTTGGTTTATGCCGTACTAACCATCATTTCTGAAGTGATAAAATGGCCCGCGCATCAGTTCTAGCCGACGCTCTAAACTCCATCAACAACGCCGAAAAGACCGGCAAGCGCCAAGTTTTAATCAGACCTTCTTCCAAGGTCATCATCAAGTTCTTGCAAGTTATGCAAAAGCACGGTATGTCTTGCACGCTGCTCACAGAATACCCCGTTCTGTGTTATTTTCAAAATTTGCATGCCAGTCTCCTCACACTTTCGTTTTAGTCTGCAACCGGACTGATAACTGGATGGTTTGATCGGACAGCTTCATGCTGTACAATTTCAGTCCCATACTGTCTTTTAATTGTCCGGGATAATAACGATTTGAAAATGCTTCTTACACGACTGGAACTTCAAATCAATGTTCCTAGTTCGTTTACTTTTTCTCGACAAAACTAGAGACTAAGATTGAAAGTTGGTGTTGCATGGCGAAGATTGAAATAATTCACAATCATGACTTTACTAACCTTCTCTCAGGATACATCGGTGAATTCGAATACATTGACGACCACAGATCTGGTAAGATCGTTGTTCAATTGAACGGTAGATTGAACAAGTGTGGTGTCATTTCCCCAAGATTCAACATCAAGTTTAACGACATCGAGAAGTGGACCGAGAACCTGCTTCCAGCAAGACAGTTCGGTTACGTCATCTTGACCACTTCCGCTGGCATTATGGACCACGAAGAGGCCAGAAGAAAGCACGTTGCTGGTAAAATCTTGGGTTTTGTCTACTAATCGTCATGTTACATAATCTCTGTACACTAGAATCTCATTTTCATTAGAAGCTATGGAGTATATGTTGACTTGCTCACAAGCGACACCCCTCTGTTTGTTATATATTGAGTGCTATCTTTTACACCCACTATGTTCCAGTGGCATGCGACCACACGCGCCAAACAAGGCGTAGGCTACAAGGAGGATAATTTGGAAGTCGGCACAAAAGACATAGAAAGACCAAAACCTTCACAAATGCTAACATCTTAGTGAAGACGACTGCCAGAGTGCGACCTTGACCTGGTGCTGGGTGACACTATTGAATGTTCATCACGGTCTTGGTTTCGAGACCTGCTGCGCACAAAATTTGCAAGCCCGCCCTGAAATAGATGACTATGCCTGTGAGGCGTCACACTTATTGGCTCTGGCGAAGTCACTCTAGAAGGAAGAGTTTCATCTGAATTATCATATGAAGGCGTCAACTCGGACAAAGGTAAAGCCGGTTCATCTTGTGCATCTTCTCCTATCAGGTCATAGGCTGGCACCCTATTCAATTCTTCCAGAGATAAGTCCTGAACAGATTTTGAGAGATCGTCAAGTATTAGACGACTTTCAGTGGTCGCTCTCATCAAAGGACGAATCTGATCTGGAGTAGATGCTCCGCTCCGCATAGTCTCTGGCGTCTGACGGGCAGAGCTTTCGGAGCCATCGTACAACTGATCGTACATGTGGTTGGAGTAAGTCGGAGGTGCTTCTGTGTCTTCTTGAGGAAAATAGCTCACTGTGAGCGACCCATCCCTCAATCGATGTAAATTATTGAGTGATGCAGAACTTGTTGGTTGTGCGAGCGTAGTCTGTTTCTCAAACAAACACACTCCTTCTCCAGAACGAAAATGGATTTTCCCTGAGTTGTCCAGCAACACAAGGCGTCCTTCGACGGGAACATGCGGTGACACATACAAAAATATTGGAATATTGGCCTTGATTTCCGTACTTTTGTCCTCACCGTCTACTTTCCTCTTCAAATATATCTTAACACTGAGCTTATGACGAACTCTTATAGCATCGCCGCCAATGTCACAATCCTGTGTGACTTGTTTGAGATTTTGCGGAAAGCGAAGAGATGACTTCAACTCAATCTTGTCTGTGACGAGATTATCTTGCAGAGGGTCACAGCCATGTAGGTTTTCGAACTTTGTCATTCCTTGGTGCATAACAATGCTCTCGTCATCGTACAGCTGTCCGCTTTGGTCTTTGAAAGCGTAGTATTGAATCAAATCGGCGTCTATCTTGCAGAGTCTATAGCCCTTTTGAAAAGGGTACAAGTTAACTGTGACAGGCGTAACGCCTCCGACTGGAATTGCACGACTGGGAATAGATATTTCATACTGCAATCTATCTGGCCAGCTTTTGCTGACGCTCATTTCCTCCCCTAAGGCCAAATTATCCGGCGAAAGTGTGCGGAAAAGGCGCAGATACTTGTGCTTGGTGAACGAAGTTTTAAAACTGCCTCTATCCATGTGTGCCTCAAACCTGTAGAGTACAGAGCCAGCTTGAAGCCCCTCGATTGTCTCTGCTGTTTGCGGCGGGAGAGACACTTTGAAGGGCAGCTCGTAGTTTCCCTCTCTAAGAGAGAAAGATTGTCCGGGGCTGGTCGCAACACCATCATAAGGTGTGAAACTCACTCCATTCGGTGGAAGATGGAGTTGAGAAGTTGAGGATGTTTTTTTCATGGGTTTCAACAGACTATTTAGCGAGGAGCTGGACAACGCGGAGCTCGACGCTGCGTGTGAGCTCCCGTTCGACCCTGAATCTCTACTGTCGGAGGGCCCAACTGTAATGACTCCTTCTGAAGACACCAAAAGGTTATTCCACACACACTCGAAGATTGTTCGGCGCTCTTTCACTACGCTGGTAAGACTCGAATTCTTGTGCTGTCCGACCTGCAGAAACTCCAACTTGAAAGTGCCCACTAGCTTGAGCGAAATCTTCTTCACAGCGACAGCCTCCGGAATGGAGAACACAAGATGCCCTGAAATTGGGATCGGAGATGCTTCTAATGGAGTTCCATGAATCAATAATATGTTCTTGTATGGGGACTTCAATCTAATATCGAAATACACAGGTTGGACTGATGTGTTTGACAGCTTCCCGAGCGAAAACATTTCAAAAAGTTCACTTGCAATTCAACAGGACTATCACCAGCTTATGAGAGTTGGAAGTGAGAGGAGAGAAACCTCGTTCGATGACCTTTTTCAAAAAATAAAGATTCTAAAGTAATTCTAAAATCATATCATATACATCAACAGCTCATCACATTCTGTTAAGATAAGTCTTGAAGACTAAGACAGAACAGTAAGAAGCGGTGAGTTAATGGAATGCCCACCGTTTGGATTGCCCAAGGAAATATGGTTGACTATTTTTGAGTATTTAGATACCATTGACTTGCTGCGTTTTAGAGCGTGTTCGCACGAGTTCAACGAGTTGGTCAAGACACCATATATTTGGATGTCGAGATGCCGAGCAAGATGGGTGAAAATTGAAGAAGGAGACTTTTTAGCAGGACAATTGAGTTTGCCTCTTCGCGGCCCGTCAAAAGACGATTGGTTCTATTACTACAGATACAGGAACCGTATGGATGAGCACATTATGAACTCTCTTTCTGGCATCGCAGAGTGTGGAAAATTGGAACTAGAAACATATGGAGACTGTATGAATAGATGTTTGAAATATGCTGCGTTCTCGATACCATTGCTGCGAAGTTTGGAGCTGGAGGGCTACACCGAACAGCGTCCTTTTGACATCACGTTTTTGGCGCGACAACTGCTGCTGATGATGCGACACAAGTGCTTTTTCGAGTTCATAGATCGGTCGTTAGCGCCTGAGGCCAATGAGTGGGTGCATCATGCCGAAGAATCTGTTTTCTTGCCGCTAGGTACCATGGACCTCGCCTTCAACCGTCTTCTCCCGCACAGAACTAAAATATTCAACCAGGTTCATTCGCAGTTGAAAGAAAACTTTCCAGACATATCTCAATTCATGCAGCTACCAGACACATTACGAATCGATAAGATCATGAAGTATTTGTTTCTAGCCCTGAACGAAGCCAGATCAGACCGTCCTCTCCAACGACCCCGTCACTTTTTAGACGATTTCATGCTTTTAAGGGTGTATGCGGGAGAAGCTAAGGGCCATCCAATAGTACTGCTGGCCATTATACAAGAGGTCTCGTCATTTTATGATGTTGAGACAGTATTGTGCGAGGAGTTTTTGATTGTTCGCGATGCGCGCATTCGTACTGGCGAAACGTACGTCACAATTTCGCCAGCGGGAAGCCCGAGGATCTTCACGAGGAAAAATTTGGTTGATTCGCTGTGTCGTATTTTTCCGAGTAGACAAGCTGTTCTGTCCTCGGTGATACCCAAAATGCTACAGCCCGTAAGAACGCAAGATCTTCTTACCAAACTATTTGATGAGTGGTCGCCCCACTGTAAAAAATCATACTGGGATATGGTACCTGAGAAGAACATTGAATCACTACGATCTTTGATGCCATACAGCAAACATCCACCACGTTGTTCTGACTACGAATATTACCAAGCATACTGGAAGCTTAAGAGCTCTTCCATCCAAGAGCAGTTTAGAAGACTAGGGGAAAACCACTTTATCCACTTCGTCAAATCCCGCTACCCACACGATAACCTATTTATGCATGCTTCATTTGAGCAGATTGGAAATGACTCCAGCGGCCTCAGTGGTCCTCGGAGCCTAGATCCTCTATTTGAAAAATACTCAGTGAGCAAAACTTTGTCATCTCTAGTTGGCTCTGTTGTTCGCGATAAAAGGACTGATGCTCACTTCATCTTAGTTTCCACAAAATCGGCGGAAGGAGGCTCGCAGTACGTAAGTCTTCTGGACCCTTTTGGCGACATTTGCATTCTGCTCAGGGAAGATATCAAGATGGCAAAACCGCAGGAAATTGATGATGCGGTACTTGCAGAGCTGATGCACTCGCTATCGCTCACAGAACTGGGACTTTTTTTCACGAAGTTTGACAGACACAGTAATAGGTTCATTCCTAGCAGGATGTTTTCATCATATTTGGCGGATTAGATCGACACTAAGAGGTCCTATGCAGGCATTTGATATTCTGGAAGAAAGGGAGTCTATTGTTGAGTGAACGAAATGTGAAAAGGTAGGACTAAAACTTACTCAAGGGCCTCTATAGTGACCTGTTCTAAGTGGCAGATAATCATCACTTTCTTGCATACTTTGACAAAGTTATATTTTGCTATTTCGTCGAAATGTCTTTTGACTCATGTCATGGAAAGGTGCATTATTTTTGCAACTGCATTGACTTCATTTCGAACAATTGATTCGAGAAGTAGTACAAACACTCAATCGGGCGCACGGGGTATGGACGATAAGAATTCGAGAGTGCTCAAGCTCTAAACTCTTGGAATTAAATTATCTACCAACAAGTTCTAACAAACAGGGAATTATTTCCTGGCTAATTCGCGGCTGTTGTGTACTTTTGGCTTGTGATGGGACTTGCATTATTTATTTCTATTCGTGGCCTGGGCGTGCATGTTATCTATGAGAGGTAAGAAGAATTTCAGCCAGCTTGGCACTTCTGGCTGGCACATCCATCTCCATCTTGTCACGACGAGATCTAATTCAAACAGCGTTGTTTGTTGATTTGAGCTAGTGCCCTCGTATTATATGTCCAAGAAGAATCGGTTTTGATACATTAAGATCAAGCGGGTAGCATCAATAATATATGATTGTTTGATAAATAACGTATCTTCGAGACACCGTGAACCACTTTTTTGAAGGCAAATAGCGAGCCTGATGACTTGGAGCAAGCGCCAGCTTCTCGATTTCGAATTGCATTGGCCTTACGTTGTATGACACACTAGTAGAAAGTGATATCCATAAAATGAAGGCATATTATCAAGCTGTGCAAACGTAGTCATGAAAAGGGACTAGACTGAAGCTTCTTTGCGCAGCCGATCAAACATCTTCGAGTGTAATTTTCTTCGAATATTTAAACCAATATTTGGTCAACGTTGGCATAATTGGTCTGGGAAACTATCATTTTCATTACTGCAGCGCCACTATTCGGGAAAAGTATCTTTGATTTTACTAGTTTATACATACATTCATCTAATTCAAAGTCAGGCAAGGACCTTTTGAGACTACTCCTACATTTATCAATAATTCGCCAACTTGATAAATAATAAAAACATGTACTTGTGGGAGACAGGGAACGGTCACCACAGCAGACATTATGTAATTTTAACTCTTCATAAAATATTATAATCTTAAATGTGCTCAGAATTCTTAAGAGTTGCCCAATCCATACGCATTGTTGGCGTGTTGCTTATCGTCAGCCCACGTATACATCGCATACCTTAACACTAATGCGCACCAACGGTTCATGAGTCCATGTACTCATGAAAATCAAACTCACTTCAGAACTGGCTGCGTATCCAATGATATACAATAATATTAGCATTTATAGCTCTTGAACAGGTACTGATCGTAACTACACCACAACGGTTACGAAATACCCCACGACTAACAGCTTGTAGACTTCTCTATTCCGTTAAGATGCTTAGACCTTCGTCAAGACTCAAACTGTGTTCACCGCGGATGCCTTTCGCCAGGTGGGCGAGCTCCAAAGTAATAGGTATTGACTTAGGGACGACAAATAGCGCAGTTGCATACATTAGAGACCCATTGGACTTGAAGTCGGTAACAGTTATAGAGAATGATGAGGGTAAGCGAACTACCCCATCTGTTGTAGGTTTCGACGTAAAAAACGGTTCCTATACTGTAGGAGAAGCTGCCAAAAGACAAGCGCTGATCAACCCTGAAAACACCTTTTACGCTACGAAAAGACTGATCGGACGTGCCTTCCAAGACAAAGAGATTCAAAAAGACTTATTGCATGTGCCCTTTAAAGTCATCGAAAACCCCACGAATAAACATGCATACTTGTCCACGTCAACGGGCGAAGCTAAGTCGCCCAGCGAAATTGGTTCAGCAGTTTTGAGCTACCTGAAAAGAACCGCAGAGAATTATTTGAATGAAGAGATCAACAAAGCCGTTATCACTGTACCCGCCTACTTCAATGATTCACAGAGACAAGCCACGAAAGAGGCAGGGAAAATGGCAGGACTAAAAGTTTTGAGAGTTGTGAACGAACCCACAGCAGCAGCGTTGAGTTTTGGTCTTAACACTAGTGAATATTCAGGTATAATCGCCGTTTATGATCTTGGTGGCGGGACATTCGACATCTCTATCCTCGATATCGAAGGAGGAGTTTTCGAGGTGCGATCCACCAATGGTGACACACACTTGGGTGGTGAGGATTTTGATAACGTCTTAATAGGCTATGTGGTCAACAAATTTGTTGAGGCCAACACAGAAGTTAGCAAAGAGGCCCTCACCAAGAATCGGGAAGCAATGCAGAGAATAAGGGCAGCTGCAGAGCAGGCCAAGATAGATCTATCTCACGTCAAAGAAACTCGTATCAACATTCCTTTTATTGAGAATAATAAACACATCAACCTACTCATAAAGGAACATGAGCTGGATGATATGACAATGACGTTGATCGAAAAAACGATTCCCCCCGTCAAACGAGCCATGAAAGACGCCGAGATTGAGCCGGAAGAAGTTGAGGAAGTCATTTTGGTAGGCGGCATGACGAGAATGCCAAGAATAAGGTCTGTCGTTTCTGATGTTTTTGGAAGAGAGCCAAACGCTAGCGTGAATCCAGACGAAACGGTGGCTTTAGGCGCTGCCATTCAGGGTGGGGTGCTCTCTGGAGAAATAAAAAACGTTTTGTTGCTAGATGTTACGCCGTTGACTTTGGGCATTGAAACGTACGGCGGTGTGTTTTCCCCATTAATTCCGCGCAATACAACTGTACCAGTGAAAAAAACCGAAGTTTTCAGCACTGGTGTTGATGGTCAAACAGGCGTCGACATAAGAGTCTTCCAAGGTGAGAGAGGACTTGTCAAAGACAACAAATTGATTGGAGACTTCAAACTTGCTGGTATTGAACCAATGCCGAAAGGTGTGCCACAAATTGGAGTAACTTTTGACATTGACGCTGATGGCATTATAAACGTGTCTGCAGCTGAGACTGGTACTGGCAAAGAAAACTCTATCACAGTGATTGCAAATTCGGGCCTTACAGAAGAAGAAGTCAACAGGTTGGTCGAGGATGCCAACGCAAATAGGGAACTGGACAATTTGATACGGCAAAGGGTTGAACTTATCACCAAGGCCGACATCATGATTTCAGATACTGAAAACGCATTTAAAAGGTTCAAACAAACAATTATAAAGAGCCCGCTATACTCAGAAGTTCTTTCAGAGTTACGAAGTACACGTAACATGATCACAGACTTCAAAGCAAATGAATCAGACCTAAGTACTGATGTTAATGACGTTAAGAAAGCCACGGACCAGGTTCAGAAACGAGCAATGCAGCTATTTCAGGACGCAGCCAAAAAATAGAAATGTATACTTCTTTTGGAAGTGAGGTTCACTTCGTGTATATACGCAGATGCTAACTAAGGCCATCATATATGATCTGGCACTCACAAGGACTTGTTCATGAAGCGTCTTCTTGTGAAAGCAAGCCAGAACTTTGAGGGCCTGTCCTTAGAGTACACATAGAGTCTTTCAAGGAGACGCATTGCAAGTTCTTGACGGAATTGCTGGATGTAGGACTTAAGCAGGTCCATTTCAGCGTGGCTTTGCACTGGAACCGAGTACACGTTGTTCATCGGGAAGCCTGGCGTTCCTGGTACTGCAAAATCATCGAGTGCCACGTTTGTCAGCAGTTTGAGTCCTTCGTTGTATGATGTAGTGGCCCTGAGTTGCGACAGACATTCGTTGACGAAAAGAATTCCGTAAATCAAGATCCGGTCTGCGGGGGACCGTATTTCGAAGTTCTTGAAAAAAGAGTTGGCTCTAAACAGATCCAAACATTCGTCGATGATATCGTAGTCGGAGTTGGCTTGGTAGGCCGGCCCACGGAAATTCGTCTTTAGGGGCAGGAGAACCACATTTCCTACCATGCGGTCATTTTGGGCGTCTGTCGCGAATGTGGAGTGATAAGCCTGCAGGGGAAAGTGTTAGTGAGCGAAAACTGGCATTTTTAAATAGGGCCATGGGCAACATACTGGCATGGAATCGTTCTTTTAAGAATTAAGCTCTTCGATATAATAATGAATTGAAGTCCTAATTTTCCGGCAAAAAGAACCCCCAAAGTACCTCTCGAAAGCTAATTTCAACTTTAATACGTTTTTGACTATCGTAAAAGCGTTCAGCTGCTGGATTGTGTGGTCAGTACTTATTCGTGTCTAGTAGTGGGTTTTGGATAGATTAGTCGACCAACCTAGCTTAGGCTGAATTTAGTATACATTTAACGTAATACTGAAAAACAAAGTCATGTGACTCCGGAAGAATCCAATATTCTGTCACTAAAAACGTACTCTCGGAATATAAAAACAAGCCGTATCACTCTAAACTATTCTGTCATGAGAGCTAACAACAAGCATTGGAAAGGTCCTCTCACCAAGCAAAAGGTTCATGGCTCTAGACAGCGTGGAGTCAGTATCATTTGAGTCAACCTAAAGTGATAGAAGAATGAAGTTTCATGCCAAGCTCTAAGCTTTTCTTCACTTTATCTATATTTTCGCATCGGCGGCTAAAACTTTAAGGGAGTACAAAATCGGCTTCTCAGTTTTCAAACACACTCCTTTAAGAGTCTCTGTTCAAAGATATGCAATGACTAAACTCTACTTGAGGTGTTCGGAGGCCCTTTGAATGCGTTTTGCAACTAATATACTGCCATTGGTAGTCGACTAACTGGAGGTGAACGAAATGGAGGTTCGCTGAAAGTTGGTTGTGGTAAAAAAAAACCACAGGTGAGTGGCTTCCGAAGGTTCGGGATTTGGTCTCCTAAGGTACGGACGAGAACTCGAATCACGTACCTTTTTCTCTAATTACACATCACGGCAGGTCTGGACGAGCGTTGAGCTTTGATTACGCCTGTAACTCAAACGCCGGGTTTCGGTGAGTCTCCCTTCTCTGCAGCGGTGGTGAAGTACAGACGTTCAATTGTGATCTTCCCATACTATAGTATTTGAAAGACAATGGTGGAACTCAATTAACCGATCGAACTTCGGCAGAAAAACATCACGAATCACTTTCCGAACATTTTGACTCAGTTTATCCAAACCTGCATCGATTCACCCAGACTAAAACCCACACGGTACAGTCATCCTTCCATGAACAATCGCATCGAGCGACCCACTGCGATCGCCCCAAAAATAAAAAAACGAAAAGAGAGAGGAAGGAGACTTCTTTAATTCGCAAATATGTAGTCTACAAACTGCACACTGCAAACCGGAGTCGTCCTCATCTTCTCACATCCCGTCGTCCTTCAGCGAGCAGCTCTTACGCTATTATTCTACTAACTGGACGTCACATGACCTACATTAATACCTTGATCCCATGGGGCGCACAATTTTTGTATGGGAATTTGAAGGTTAAATTTCAAATAATTGAACATCCATCACTCCCATCAGACATACGAAATAGCGAGAGACTCCAGTTGCACAGATACGAGTTTCGATAAGCTTGTGTACTGTGTCAAAAGAGGCTGTCGATAGTTCAAAAACTATCAACTTGGTGCTAAGCGATCTCAGTAATTGGAAAAGGCTAACTGAGCGGGCCATAGGGGCGCACGCAAACACAGCAGACAAAACAGGAGAATTAGTGGAAAGGGTATTGTATTCCAAAGTTTGCAACACAGGCCGCATTGAAGTGGTCTCAATAACGCATGGCACAGGACTGGGAGTCTGTTACAAACGGACACCAAATCTATTGCGAAATATTCGGCGTAGAGCGGCCAACCCATGGCAGTAAAGGTGGTCAAGATGCCCACAAACAGCAGATCTCGGTTCCGGATCGGTTCGAACAGATTGATTTGCTGCAGAATGCGATTCTAGGCGATATACAAGACGATATGATTCCAACGGAGGCGCAGAATTACATTTTAGCGCAACATGCCGATCTACTGTCTGTATCGGACACGCAGAGTTTGTCCAGCAACGACGACGGTTCGATCACTGTCGAAACCGGTTCTCGCAGACCAGCGGCAGTCCCACCTCAGGAAGGCCGGCCACTAAGGCCGGATCAGCTCTCAATGCCACCATCGGCGCAAGAGTCACAACAACCTGCCCTTAAGCTGGCACAGGAACATGCGCGGCCGCTCCCACCTCCGTTGGATACCTCAGTGCTCGGTCCCAGATTGGGGCCTCACAAGTCTGTGGCAACTTCACAGCCGACTAATTATTCGCCACAGAGGTCCCACGGCGATGCTCCTAAACTCAAGTCGTCCTTCAGCCAGCTTTCGATGGGCGCTACACACGCACATCCCAAAAAACAGGTTCTCAGTCATCCTTCTAGCTCCAACTTAGCGGCAGGGGGTCCCAAAAAGTCTCCCCTACAGAGTTTCGGCTTTTTCTCAAGACCGGGCTCCAAGGACTGTCTCGCAGACAATCATCACCCAAACGCAATGAATTCAGTTCCAGCTGCCGGGTATAACAACAGCCCAACATCAAGATCCATGTCCTTCACTTCCTCATCTCTCAAGAATTTTGCAAGTTCCCTTCAGCATAAGACCTCGAGTGGTCGGACCGTTTCACAAAAACACCACGCATCATCCAATCCATTTTACGAGACTCAATATCAAAACCAAGTCTACCATCCGCATCATCCTTCTGCCACAACCCAGTCAACAATGGGCTTGGGCCTCAAAACCAGAAGCTCATCTGCATCGCTTAATAGTTCTCAAACGAACCAAAATACCAGAAAAATGAACTCTGGTTCATCCTTGCATTTTCATCGGAAAAGCAGCGCATCCTTGCATTCCAAGCCAATTTTGAGTACAACTTCCATGAAGAGGCCGCAAGTTTATCCTGCTATGCTATCTCGAGTTGCCACTAGATTCAAGAAATCCGTGCAATTAGGGGAATACAAAAAAGATGGTCTTCTATACAGAGACACATTCACGGGTCAACAAGCCGTGGATGTCATATGCTCGATCGTTAGGACATCTGATCGAAACCTGGCCCTACTTTTAGGTAGAGCTCTCGATGCCCAAAAGTTATTTCATGACGTTGTCTATGAACACAGGCTCCGAGACTCTCCTAACGAAGTTTATGAGTTTACTGGTAACTCACGCATCATTGGTGGAGGATCGACTGGTATGATTCCAGCGTCCTCCCAAGACCCACTTTTAAGGGGGTCACATCATATCCATATGTCCTCTCATGCATCGAAATCGACACTCGCAACCTCCGTCTCAACTAATTCTGTTGCCAGTGAAGCTTTCGAGAAACAAATGGACCCTGCCAAAATGCACCAAGTCAACGGTGTTTTCACTTTACTTGCGGAATGTTACGTGCCAACTTGCTCTCGCAATAAGCTTTGTTACTCCATTTCATGCCCCCGCCGTCTCGAGCAGCAAGCTCGACTCAACTTGAAACCAAACTCCGGCCTGAAACGCAACATTTCGATGGCCGTTGATGACGAAGAAGAGGAGAAACCATCATGGACAAGTTCCGTTCCTAAGGAAGTATGGTCATCACTTTCGAAGAAAGAGATCAAAAGACAAGAGGCAATATATGAGGTCTTTATCACGGAAAAGAACTTTGTTAAGTCTCTAGAAGTCATCAGAGACACATTCATGAAATCGTTAGCTGAGACAAATATCATCGCAGCAGACATTAGGAAAAACTTCCTCAAACATGTCTTTGCGCATGTGAACGATATCTATTCCGTCAATAGACGTTTCCTGGATGGTTTAAGTGATAGGCAAAAATCTTCCCCGATCGTTGAAGGCATTGGTGATCTTTTCTTAAGATTTATTCCATTTTTTGAACCATTTGTGATGTACGTTGCATCGAGACCATATGCAAAGTATCTTATAGAAACACAAAGATCGGTCAATCCTTATTTCGCTAGATTCGACGAGGATTTAATGAACTCGTCGCTAAGGCATGGGATAGACTCCTTTTTATCACAGGGTGTGTCAAGACCGGGTCGTTATATCCTATTGGTGCGGGAGATCATCAAATCGTCTGATCCTGACAAAAACAAGCGAGATTTAGAAAATCTGAACAAAGCTCTAGAGGCGCTCCGAGAGTTCATGACTAGAATTGATCGCGCGAGTGGTGCTTCTCAGGATAGACATGATATCGAGCTTTTAAAGCAAAAGATTCTATTCAAGAACGAGTACGTGAATCTGGGGCTCAACGACGGTAAACGCAAAATAAAACATGAGGGTATCCTTTCAAGAAAGGAGCTGACGAAATCGGACAGTACCCTTGGCGGCGATATCCAATTTTATTTGTTAGATAATATGCTGTTATTTCTCAAAGCCAAGGCAGTAAACAAGTGGCAACAGCATAAGGTCTTTCAGAGACCAATTCCACTCCCCCTCTTGTTTGCATGTGCTGCTGAAGACTTACCACCCATCAGGAAGTACATCAACCTTTCGCCTGAAAGTTCGGGGACAGTCATTCCAATTGAGGGACACTACAGCAACCCTAGAAATGCAATCACCTTCCTGTACTACGGCGCAAAACACAAGTACCAAGTTACACTGTACGCCGCGCAATACGCGGCGATGCAAACACTTTTGGAAAAAATCAAACAAGAGCAGGCTCTGTTGCAGGCTTCGAACGACATTTTCAACGTCACCAAGGTCAGTAGTAGGTTTTTTGACTTCAGCAATAAAATCAATAGCGTCGCTTCGTGTGATGGCGGGCGGAAGCTTTTGATCGCCACTAACCTTGGGTTGTACATCAGTGACACCAAACGGGAAGTGTCTCCTCACGGTCACGAGGCTACGACCTATTTCGCCACGCCAGTTCGGATACTTTACAAGAGCATAAGCCAGGTTGCTGTGCTGGAGGAGTTTCAATCGGTGTTGGTGTTGATGGACAAAAAACTGTACAGTTGTCCGCTGGCGTTGCTGAAGGAACAAAAAGACGGCACTCAGTATTTTAAGAAGCACGCGAAGGAACTTGTTAACCATGTTAACTTCTTTTCAGAGGGTGATTGCGACGGGAAACGCTTGGTGGTGACGGCACACAGTTCTTCTCACTCCATCAAGTACTTCGAGCACGACCATCCTATGTTGGCAGAGGGCAAGAAAAACGTGAAGCGCAAGATCAATGAGATTGTGTTTGAGTCAGAGCCCGTTTCCATATCTTTTCTCAAGACCAACTTGTGCATCGGCTGCAAAAAGGGTTTCCAGATCGTGTCGGTGTCACAGAACGTGCATGAGCCGCTTCTGGATCCTGCCGACACTTCTCTAGAGTTTGCTTTCAAAGACGTACTGAAGCCACTCTCGATATATCGTGTGGGAGCGTCCATGTTTCTGCTGTGCTATTCGGAGTTTGCATTTTTCGTGAATAGTCAAGGCTGGCGTAAAAAGGAATCCTACGTTATTCACTGGGAGGGAGAGCCTCAGAAATTTACCATATGGTACCCGTACATTTTGGCCTTTGACGCCAACTTCATTGAGATTCGCAAGATTGACACTGGTGAACTCGTGAGGTGTGTTTTGGGCGACAAAATCCGTCTGTTGCAAGCCACGTCCCAGCAAATTCTATACGCCTACGAAGACGAAAACGGCTACGACACAGTGGTGTCTCTCGATTTCTGGAGCAAGTAAAACTCGAGAATCGACGACCGTACTGTTGTTCTACCCAACTGTTCGCTACCTGTTCCAGTAAACCAAGCTGTTTTCACGTGACCTCGATCTCGAATCAAAATCTTGGCCCACCGACATTGATATTTTTTTGGCCCATGGGCTGCGTACAAAAATTTTTCAAGACACGGTTTCAAAATATCAACACCAATCTTTCCTCCACTTTGTTGACTTTCCCGGCGGTTTGTTTTAAAGGTTGATCGCGAATTGTAGTCGTTTTTCAATCTTTTGGAAAATGGAACAAATCAGGACGCAAATCCAGCCTTTGGCGCACCAACTGAAGACGCAAATCCAACCTTATGCTGAACAATTGAAGACGCAGATTCAGCCTTATGCGGAACAGTTGAAAACACAGATTCAGCCATACGCGGCGCAGTTGGTCCAGAAAACTGAAGCTTACTCGTGGATTAACTTGCATGCACCATCCGTTGCTCATCCGTTCGGCCTAGAGCTGTGGCCCATCTTCAGCAAGGTGTTCGAAAAGTATGCCGGATACCCTGCGGAAGATTTTGACTTCATTTACAACAAGACCTTCATGGCCAACGGGTACCAGGCCGTTGGTGTGATCATCGTTTACTACATTGTCATTTTCGGCGGACAGGCTCTTTTGCGTGCGGCCAACGCCTCAGCAGTGAGATTGAGCTTCTTGTTCCAACTTCACAATTTGATCTTGACTTCAGTGTCGTTAATGCTACTTTTGTTGTTGGTCGAGCAATTGGTGCCCATGGTCGTGGAACACGGTTTGTTCTGGGCGATCTGCTCCAAGCAGGCCTTCGCGCCCAAGTTGGTCACTCTGTACTACCTCAACTACTTGACCAAGTACCTGGAATTGATCGACACCGTGTTTTTGATTTTGAAGCGCAAGAAGCTGTTGTTTTTGCACACTTACCACCACGGTGCCACCGCCTTGTTGTGCTACACGCAATTGACCGGTAGAACCTCTGTGGAATGGGTTCCTATTAGTTTGAACCTGGGAGTTCACGTGGTGATGTACTGGTACTACTTTTTGAGCGCTCGCGGAATCAGAGTGTGGTGGAAGGAGTGGGTCACCAGATTCCAGATCGCCCAGTTTTTGATCGACCTGGTGTTCGTTTACTTTGCCACCTACACTTTCTACGCCCACAAGTACTTCAACGGCTTGTTGCCCAACAAGGGCACCTGTTACGGTACTCAAGACGCTGCTGCCTACGGGTACTTGATCTTGACATCCTACTTGGTGCTTTTCATCTCCTTCTACATCCAGAGCTACCGCAGTGGTAACTCTAAGAAGAAGGCCGCTGCCCAAGCTGCTGCTCAAGTGGCTGAAGAAGCCACCACTGCTGCCACCACCGGCAAAAGAGTCCACACCACCAAGGCCACCTCCAGAAAGGCTTAGGTGAGAAACCCCGAAAGAAACAAAAAACATGTCTCAGCGGTTGACAAACACGTGTTACTGAACGTTTGAGAAATCGATTCCGGTACGAATCTCAGGGTAGCCGAGCTGTTGAAAGAGACACGAAGCGCTTGCCAGTCTCGCTTTGGGCCGCTGTTTTGTAAGATATTATTTTTATTTTTTTTTTCGATTTCTCTGCTCCTGGGGCGTCTCCATGGACCAAATGTCAAGGATTGTCAGAGTGAGTGGTAGGATAAAGCATTCAACCTGCCAAAAGCGGTTGTAGCAAGCGCTGTTCGGGGAAGATTATATGTTGCAACCCTGTACTGTCTGTTTTTATAATCAAAAAGAAGTTACATGTTATAAAGCCATGTTTTCATCAATATGTTGAAGTGAAGGAAGCCAAGATTTCGCACCAAAATCTGTCTGTCTCAATGGAAATGGGGTATCAGCAGTGGAGAAGCCACGAAACCCCGAAACCATCTGTGAGGAAATGGACTGAACTCTCCGCTTCTTTAAAACTACTACATCAATTTTGGTGAAGAGATGCTTTTCAATAAAAAACGCCATCAGAGTCACTGAAAACCGAAGATTCTCTCTTTCCTGGCTAAAACACACAAAAGATCTCTGAAAGAAGTAGCAAAAGCCACGTATTAAGACAGGTGTCACTCACTAACGACAATAGGGCCGTTCCCAACATGAAAACCTGCTCACTATTTTTTAATCAATTGCACGAAAACTGACAAAATCCTTGACAGCTGTAGGAATATTGAGCTTTGTTCATGGAAAGTAAAGAGATTGGATCAATCTCGATCGCACATTTTATCATGGTAGTCTTCTGGCAGCTATTTTTCCGGCTAACCGACTAGTGTATCGTGTCACGTGACCCGACATTTTCCACCACTTTGTCAAAAAACGAACGCTAAAGAGCCTCAGGAGTCCAGTATCCCAGCCCAAAGGCCATTCCTTCATGGCCAAAGCCGTGCTTCCTGAGCTTTACGAAACCTGACTATGCTCACCCACTCACTTTTCCACTTCTCACTTTGACATTTTCTGTCACCGGAGTTTTCTCTCGAGGCTCTGTCGAGGCTCCATCTTCTTTTTCTCGTCCGTCCTTCTGCATATTGTTCTCGCTACCGTCGCTCGACCAAAAAAAAGCCTCTGAGGCTCGTTTTTCCGGTAACACCGTGGCTCTAAAGATGCTTAAACGCACTATTAATCCTGAATTCACTGCTATTTTCCCGAGTTGTGAGACGCGCACTAAAGTTGTTTTTATTTGACGGCTCTTACTTCCGCTTCATCAGTTTTTTAAAACAGAACTCTCCCAGTGGAATTCCGTGCAAAGCTTCTGTTCAGCCGTTTTCGTAGAGCCCATGATATCTTGCTTGGAAGAATAAACAAAAACAAGAACGAAAGCCGTGCGTGCAAATATCCTCGAGCCCTTCTAGTCCAGAAAACCTCTCGGTGGTAAATTCTCACATTGGCTTGAGGTTCATAGACACCTCAGTCCGGTCAACTGCACGGTGAAAGAAGGGGCCGTCAAAAAGTTGAGTGCCAAAGAGAAATACGCGATTTTTACAATATCACGATTAATAATAACTGCAGAATTCGACTCTTGCACCGAATATCGTAAGGGCTTCACTGCCTCGCGTTCCCCCCTCGTTACGGACATCTCTAATTTTTTTTTTCGCTTCTAACACACACGTATTCGTTTTTCTATGGAACGGCCTCTGCTTTCGGAACCATCCATCTGAAAAAGCAGGCAGACTCTTAGGACGCCCTATGCATGCGTTGTGAACGCTCTGGAGTAACCGGGCAGCATCGAAAAATTATGTATGCACCACACGCAGCATACATTGGCGCACGCATGCAGGCACTATTCTCCGAAAGAGCCTTCCAGCGTGAGGTCCGTTACGGTTGCGTTAATTTCGCCTGCAACGGAAGCCCCCTTCGATGTGCAGTGCGGCTGGGATTAAGAACTTCATTCGAGTTTACGAAGAATTATTGAGATATAAAGACTTTGGGAAGCGCATTTTTCAGTTCCGTTTTAGATACGCTGTGTCGACACCGATGAATTAATTATAAATGCTATGCCGTGGAAACACGAACGTGTCACCGGTCCCGGTCGAAACTCACATCCTATCAGGCTTCCTCCCATCTCATCATTTGACCACCTCTTGCGGAACGATGGCGACATCGGCGACGGAGCTCAGAACCAGCTGCTTCCGTCGTTGCTAATGACATCAACACTTTCCATGTCACGTGATTTTGGTCTTGAAATCAACAATAATAATAATAATAATAATTGCGACACAGCGACAACAGGTGTAACGCGTAATACCTACCGCGAGAATACTACTGGACCTGACCCACTCTTCAGCCCTCAAAGTTTTGCTCGGGAAACGCAAATACAGTCCAATGGCTCGGTTTGGAGTTCTGTCACTTTCCACGGTAGTGTCATGACACCTGTTCCTGAGCTCACGTCCCCGAAATCAACACTATTGTCGTCGTCAAAGCAGGGACCTGAAGACCGATCACCAAAGCTCAGGCGCAAAAAAGAGTGTTCAATCTGCCACGGATTTTTCGCAAATTTATCCACCCACAAATCTACACATCTCAACCCAGACAACAAACCGCATAAATGTCCAACCTGTGGTCGTGGATTTGCACGAAGCAACGACCTCCAAAGACACCGGGCACGCCATCTAAAGGACGAAATCGTTAGTGGCAATAATTGCCTGTCCTTAGGCTCCCATGACAGATCAATGGACACTGACACCGAGTGTATCACTTCCGACGGAGCGACGTGCTATGCGTCCGAATCGCAGATGGCCAAAGGAGCGTTTCGGTGTCCATACAACGCTGTGATCATTCAGCAAGATATGGCCAAGCATTCAGACGAGCGGCACTCTCTCAATTTTGTACCGTCGCAATGTCATTCGACTGGCGTTTTCTCGCGCTGCGACACCTACAAAAATCATTTAAAAGCTCTACATTTTGAGTACCCGCTCGGGACTCGCAAGAGAGACCGCTCTTCAAATTGCGGGAAATGCCGGCATTGCCAGCAGGAATATTCCAATGTGAACGAGTGGTTGGACGACCACGTTGGCAAAACGTGCGGTTACCAGTTCCAGTGTCAAAACCAGGCGCAACCGCGAAGTAACCGTTAGCATTTTATTTCTGGACGATGAAGACGAAACAGCTGGGTGGAAAATAATTCTCTATCGACCATCATTTTTAGTCGTTTTTTGTTGAACTAGCATCATATAAATATATTGACAAGAAAGACGAGGGCGAAAGTGTGGCAATGGAAATTTAGTTGGTACACAGGGATTGGGGATATAGAAAGGAGTCATTAGGCAGATAATTGGGTCTGTTCGGCACGCCATACTGTCGAGGCAAGGTAACGATATATAGAGTTTGGGTGTCAAGTGGACACTACTGAACAACCAGAGTGATAGCGATGAAGCATAGCCCTCTCATTACAATCAAGAGCGCTAGTGAGGGATTGATCTATTGTTAAAAGAGTATTCTACTCTTCACAATCGCTGGCTAACGCTTAAGATTACGTAAGACGGCTTTGGGCACTATTGAGCAACTATAATGGAGCGCTTGTAGTGCGATTGAGAGCGCTGGGGAAGGGGAGGGGGCGATTTTGAAAAGCATGAAGTGTCTGAAGCAATGCTGAACATTCGAGAGCGACAGCGATCAGTTTTGAATATGTAAATTGTCAAAGTTGGATGCTTCAGCGGTGGATGAGGAAAATTCGAGTACTATCATAGCTTTTGGTTAGCCCAGAGCGATAGTGATTGATTGCGAATGTGTAAAATGACTCAAGGTATAGCCTTGAAATCAAGGTCGTTAGCGATCAGTTGTGAAATATTAAAGAAGACGTAGCACTGCTAACCAACACAACCAAATGATCGACCGCTGAAGGTCCCCATTATAGTGATATTACACATACAATTGAATACCAGTGCTTCCAGCTCTTTTTTTGGAAAGCAAGCCTTTGATGAAGTTCTAGGGAATATAATGACACTGGCGATAGTGACACGAAAAACAATGACAGGGACGATCGTGACACTTCATATTAAAAGCTCAAGGCGGAAACTGCTCGGTATCTGCAACTTGAACACACCAAAACATCAATGCAAGAATTTCATAATTTCATCACCGGGAGATGCCACCAATTTCGCCATGCAAATTGCCCATGAAACCATTTACAGTCTCGCAAGAAGTACTAACAATCAATCTCACAAACACACTCTCCTGTCGGTACATCTCTGTCTGTCAACTACGCGAAGCATCGTTGCCCGATGACTAGCGGGTCTTGGTTAAATATCAATGCCTTGTACTTTCGCTCGCTGAAGCCCCCCTCAATTGGGAAATGCCAAGATAGCTACAAGCACACTTAAGAGCATAGGCGATTTATCTAAGGTATCCAAGACTGTGCTTGTATAAATAATACATATGGACATAATCGCTCTCTGGCGCTGTGGACTGTTCAATAATACATGAAGCGATTGGTCCACGTCGCAATCGCTGCTTCCAATTGTTCGGTTTTGCTTGTTAGCGAATAATGCTACTCACAATTGAAGCTATCTTACGTAATTTCCATCGCTCACTGACGCTCTTGAATGTGAATACTGGCTTTGAATACGCTTTAACGTCAACTGCTGATGTTCCCAATTGTTCAGTTGTGTGACCAAATTTCGAACTCGCACTCGTGTTCAAACCTGATTTACACTATTCACAATTGATTGCCGACGCTCTCTCGCAGAAGTTTTCAGTTGTTCAATTATGCTTGTAAACTCCCCTGCTTTCGCTCGCAATTGTCCAACTGTGCTTTTTACACATACAAATAAACTACTCTATAATGCTTGTCGTCACTCTAACTAGGCTCTCTATAAATATAAAGTGCTCAATTGTTAAATCGTGCTTGAAGCCACTATAGCTATTCCATACTGCTTTGATAACTCTATTTCTTCACAATTGACAGAGTGGGCGACATGGTGGCTCAATTGTGCTCGTAGACGTCTTGATTATCCAGTATTGATCGCAGATGCTCTTATTGTAAAACAATTGTTTTATTGTACTACGATCTCTCCATTTGTTCACAATCGCTCGCTGATGGTCTCAATTGCTCAATTAAATCTCTTCCATATATGTATAAACTATTCGATAATCCTTGTAGCCACAGTAGTTATCCACTATCGATCGCCAACACTCTCAATTGTCTAATTGTGCTTGTAGCTCTCTCTCTTCATCCTTGTAGTCTCTTATACCCTTCTTATCTCCGTCTACCTCCGCACAGACCACGTGACCCAATGCCGTACAAAACGCCACACTTCCTTCTTCTTTTCCCTCACGTCGTTTGCCTATTTGGGAAAAAGCCGAAACTCCGACTTCTCCTGAGCCATTTCATCTCGTACGTAATGCCTCAGGTCCGCAACCCACAAAAAAAAAGAAAAGAAAAAGCAGGGAATTCATAATCCACGTGCGCGTTAGCAATGACGCGTCACACACAAGCCAGCAAAACAAGCCAGCAAAACGCGCCACCTGGTAGCAAGCCTATGTCTATGCTACTTATCCGAGCCATGATGCCATACCCCCCTGTGCAGTGAACTCTTCTCATCCACTGTTTCCCTGCGCACCGAATCATTCAAGCTTCTCAGTTACTTTGCCGTTTGCGGTAATGAAATATCCCGTTACGGTAAGGACGTCATCGGCTCCTTTTCTTGATAGCAGATTACGTAAGCGATAGCTTCTTATCGGGCTATTTTGGGGTGCCGTGCGGTATTTTCTGAGCCTTGGCAAATTGAACTTTTTTTGCTGGTACGCTGTCTCGTACTTAGTGATGTTCCTCGGGGCTAGACCCATAAACGGACTAGTGGACTGCTAATGGTTTGTGCGGGCGCATCTAGGGCTTTTTTTAGCAAAAAAAAGGGGGCGCGCGCGCGAGGGGGCGTAGGGACAGGGGCCGACATTTTAAGAGTATATAAAGGGACTCCTTCTGTAATTGTGGGTATTTCTCCTATTCACCTCTTCTCTACAGCAACTAGCTTATTACCAACTTTTTAATATACTCTATCACAAATGAAGTTCTCCACTGTTATCGCCGCTGCCTCCGCCTTCGTCGCTGTCAACGCTGCCAACGAATCCAACTCGTCGTCGTCGAACGCCGCCCCAATGGCTGGCTCTAACGCTGTCGGCTACACCGCCTTCGGTGCTGCCGTCGCCGGTGCCGTTGCTCTGTTGATGTAAGTCGGGAGGGGCCTGAACCTTCCGGACCCTGTACTTCACCCTGCGTTGAATTGAGCGTGGCTTAAAACCAAGATGTTTTTGTAACCATTACGTGAACTAATAAGTAGGAAAAGCGCTAGCGCATGTATTTTTGTGTATGACAGTAATACTACAATGTAATATGAGAAGGGTGGGTTGAAACCGGTACACATACGTACAGAAGTGCAGAAGCTGTTATAGAACGATTCCTCGAACGTTTGAGCAGAGTCCTCCAAGTAACTTGCGACCAGTGAGTGCTAGATGTTGTGTTAGAACGGGCCACTGAAATCGGGGCACAAAAAAATGTCATGGCACTGGTGCTATAAATGTGTCAAAACTGGTACTTCGATTTAATTGGAAAAAAGACCATTGTTCTAATTTTCAGGTACAGCAGTACAGTTGTGTTGAAGTGAAGCTCAGATGGTGTTGAGGCGAGACGGGTAGAACAAGTGAGTCGAAAGTGGTATTAACATTGTGCAAAACGGCAACTGCAACTGTGTTGATGTGGGCAATACAAAGGTGTGAACGTACCACTGAAAGCTAGCATTTGCAAGTGGTTCGAATACTCACTGCAAACTACAGTGCAACTGTGTAAACTGGTGTTACAAATGTTTTGAAGATAGTATTGCTAGTGGTATCAAACCAGCCGTTTCGTTGTGCTGGAGCTAGCTCTACGAAACAGGTGCAGCAAATGTGTCAAGACAGGCACCGTGAAGTGTAGAAAACAAGAAGTAGTAATTTATATGTGTTAAGTTAGTACCACTGAAGCATGGAAAAACAAGCACCCTCGGTGTGTTGGAACAAGTACCCCCAAGGTGTTGTAACAATCACGTTGAAGTGTGTGAGAACCAGCACGTTGAAGTGTGTGAGAACAAGGCACTTCAATGGTGCTAAAATCAGTACACGAAATGCGTCAGAACAAACACTCTCAATATGTTTAACAAGCGCTTTAGAATGCAGAACAAGCACTCCCCATATGGTAAAACAAAACCTTCAACTTTGTAAAGACGAGCGCTCATTGTGAGGGAAAATGAACATCTCGATTATGCTAAAACAAATAGAATTAATATGTCAGAACAAGCATTCTTGGATTTGTTAAAACAAGCACTTCAAATGGGTGAAGACAAGTGCTCTGACCTGCCTTGGAACAAAAAATCCTCATGTGCTGAATTAAAAACTCGTCTGTGTCGAACAAGCACCTAAATGCATTAAACAAGCACTCAATTTACTGCAATTGTGCGGATAATAATATTGCAGCTAATGCAAGTGGAAAGGCATCACTTAATCACCACCACTTGTTCAAAATCACTGAAAGTCTTTAATTCTCGGCAATGATGTTAAGGCTTCCTGATATCCACAACCGGTTGCTGTCACTCTCAATTGTTCAATCGCGCCAGGTGTCGTTCTGCCCAAATGTACTTCAACCTGTCGGCACTTGACCACTGACGTACTCAACAGACCTGCACTATCTCGAAATCAAGTGGCAAAGGTCTCCGTTTAATAATGCTTCTCCAAATTAATTTCTTCATACTCAATCACTGACGTTCTTCATTCTCAGCGACGATATTAGAGCTTTTTAATCCCCACAGCCAGTAGTGCTCATGACCATTTTAACGAGGCAAGCCGTTTCGTTTTTCACAATAGATTGAAACGATGTCGCTCGTTCGGTGATGATTCAAAAGAATCAAAATTTGCTACTCACCTTCTCAATTGTTCGATAGTACTAATTGTCATTTAACTCCATAATACTTTTGATCATCTTGGCGAAAGTAACCTTCATTTATGTTTTTCAATATCAAGTGGCGAAGCTCGCTAGCTCCATGTTTCCTAGCAACTGATCACTGACGCACTCAACTGTTGTAACTACTATAAGACCTCCACTATTTTTGAATCAAAAGAAAAAGCTTTTGCTGACGCTATTGGCGGGTCAAAAAATACTATGAACACCACTTCCTCACAATCCATTGCTGACTCTCAGTTGTGACGAAATTTCGTACTCAAACCTGAACAACCGATATCTAACGCAAATAAAACGCTAAAGCTCTAGCTTCTCTAAATATTTTTTAAGATCTCAATTCGAAGCGTTAGCACTTTCGTTGTTATATAGTGCTGGTGGCCATCGCTGACGCTCCTACGAGTTCTCCATTCATGACCTTGAAATGTTCAATCAGTTTACGATATTAATAATTCATCACTGACGTTCGCAATTGTTCGTTAGCTTACGAGTTCTCCATTTGTTCAAACTTCATCGCTCTGAATTGTTCAGTAAAACTTTGAGTCTCTTGATTTATGGCTGACGCTCTAGAGTGCTCAGTACTAAGATTTCTGTACATAAATTGCAAAAAGTACGTCGAAGCCTCTACTTCTTCAAAATCAATCGCCAACGCTCTCAGTTGTTGTTTACTACTCCAAGAAGGCCTTTTTACAATTGATTAATGCTGCCCTCGATTGTTCAATAATATTATGACTTTCTTATTTATCATGATTTTCATACTTATTTACAGTCGGTCGAGATGCTCTCAATTGTGAATAAGTGAAGATATAGAAGCACTATCAAACAATCGAGAACCTTGACGATAAATTGTGGATAAATCAAGAATCTTGGGCTTTGACTGAACTTTTCATATGGAATGTGTATAAATAAAGGACTGGAGCTGTATCGAGCGATCTAGAGCGCAGGCAATAGATTTTGAATAGATGAAGAACCTTGTACTTCTACTGAATGAATCAAGCGACAGAATGAGAATTCGTAGTTTTATTGAACCATCGAGAGCTTTATAGCTCTTTTTTGGGATAGTGGAGGTCTAATAGTATTTTTAATCCACTGAGTTCCTCATCCACTGAGTGCCTCGTCCACTGAATGCCTCACTGATCGATTGTGAATAATTCAGTTTGTAGAAGCCTCATCGAATCACGAAAGGCTTCCCACCTGATTACAAAGAAGTAGAAATCACGTACTCGGACACGGAGTCGTACTTATCAGTCATAAATACTACACCTCACTTATTCGCAATCGATCGCTGATGCTCTTGATTGTTCAGTTGTGCTTCAAGTCCCTGTCGCTGACGCTCTCAATTGTTCAGTGATTAGTGTAGTACTCGTACTCGTACTCGTACTCGCCGTTCCCCCTTTCGGAAAGTGCCAAAACACATTTTGATCCTGAAGATCGAAAAATAGTAAACAAACGTCGCAAATTACGGTCGAAAATTTTTTCCGTCTCGAGACCAACGGGTATTTAAAGATGCGAAACTAAACCTCTTTCGATCCACAAATCAACACACTTTTTTTTGACTTAGCCCCGATAGTATAAATTCCGGGAGTTTTTACAGCGTCAGGACACACTTGTTTGGCTTCTTGCACCGCATTTGAAAACCCCAACTTTTTCCCCCTTTACACTCGCTTCATTTTATCGCTATGCAACTCAGCTCAGCTCTCGCCTCCGGTGCTCTTTTGAGCGCCACCGCTCTCGCAGCCAGTATGTTTTGGAACCCTGGAACCTTGGAATCTTGGGCAGACACACCACACACACAAGCCCTGCTTCTCTTTTTGTTTTGTGCCCTCCCCCCCGCCCTCATTTACTAACAGAATCGCGTCCCTCTCCTTGTAGACTCCACTTCTAGTGTCCCTTCCTCTTGTTCCATCAAGAGCGGTGCCTCTGTCACCGCTCAGGCCGATCTCGACAAGTACGCTGGATGTCAAACCTTGGTCGGTGATCTAACCATCAGTGGTCAGTCCCTCACCGGTTCTGCCGCCCTTGCCAACGTCCAGGAGATCGACGGGTCGCTCTCCGTGAACAACGCCACCAAGCTACAATCGTTCTCCGCTGACAAGCTCAGCAAGATCTCGGGATCGCTCGAAATGAAGTACCTCACATTGCTCGAGTCCGCTTCGTTCGGCTCGCTGCAAGAGGTGGACTCCATCGAGTTCCTCACTTTGCCAGCCATCAGCTCCATCTCCACCAACCTAAAGACCGTCAACCAACTGCTCGTCTCCGACACCAACCTGGAGTCCATCGACGGTTTCAATAACCTAGAAGAGGTCTCCGTCTTCAACGTCAACAACAACAAGGGTCTAACCCAAATCAACTCTCAGCTACAGTCCGTTTCCGACGCTTTGCAGATCGGTTACAACGGTAACGACGCCGACATCAAGTTCGACAGCTTGGTCTGGGCCAACAACATCACCGTCAGCAACGTCAGCTCTGTCTCCTTCAACAAGTTGCAATCCGTCAACGCCTCTTTGGGTTTCATCGAAAACTCCATCGAGAGCCTAAACATATCTCGTTTGGGCTCCGTCGGTGGTACTTTGAGTATCGTCGGCAACGACGACTTGACTGAGGTCCTTTTCACCAACTTGACCGAGATTGGTGGTGCTTTGCTCATTGCTAACAACACCGATCTAGTTCAAATTGAAGGTTTCAAAAACTTGAAGACCGTTGGCTCCGCTTTGAACGTTATCGGTAACTTCTCCGATTTGGACTTGAGCTCTTTGAAGTCCGTCAAAGGTGGTTGCGATGTCGAAACCAAATCCTCCAACTACACTTGTGACGGTTTGAAGAAGTTGCAAAAGAACAACGGTATTCAAGGTGACGCTTTTGTTTGCAAAAACGGTGCCACCTCCACCTCCATTAAGTTGTCTTCCACTTCCGGTGCCTCCACCGCTTCTGGCAGCAGCTCTTCTGGATCCTCTGGTAGCTCCTCCGCCACTGCCACAAGCTCTTCTTCTTCCAAATCTAAGGCTGCCGCTGCCGGTCAAGTTGTTCCTGCTTCTTCTTTCATGGGTGCTGTCGCTGCCGTTGCCGTTGCCCTATTGTAAGGATAAGGGAATGTAGAGAAATAAACAAATCAAATCAAATCAAAAGGTTATTCCAAGTAACTTTTTCACCATTTTACTAAACAATAAGTTCACCACTCATGAACGCACAACACTTCATGCTGCTATCACTTTAATTCCATGAGCTAGTGATCTTTCAACTGGTTTTGAATCGTTCTCCCCCTGTTACTTTTTTTTCCCACTTCTTTAAACACTTTGTTCAGCCGTCGTCCCAAAAAATTATAAAGTATCGACGACGCCCTTCAGTTTCTCATGACATATTGGACTCAATTGGTGCTTTATGCATCCGTCACGGATACAAATGTCACCAGCAAGCAGGACCACAACCTGGTGCATTCTTTCAATACTTGCATAGAACGTTGAACGTTTGTCCTAAATCCGTGGATCTGGATTCCCACACATTCTTTCAATAAATTGTAGTTAATTATCTTTTAAGCCATTTGTGATAAACATGCTATGATTGCCCGCCATCTTTTCTTGCGGATCGCGACTATAGACGATAGATCGCATTGAAGTGAGTCGTCTCTTACATACTTTTATTACTCGATCGAATAAACTTATGGCAGCTTTGTTAGAAAAACGAAAGAATGGCCTTTTTTTAGCCACATTTAACAACAAACTACTTTTAAATCGCGTTTTAGACTACAAATCCTTGCAAGCAACGGCCATGAAACCTAGTAGAATCTCAACGATTTTTTCCAAAGCTTCGAGCCAAACCTGCAATTGAGCATTAACTTTCTCCTGATCCGCGCCCAACTTAGCGAAAAAGTCCTTTCTGTATGGGCAAGCTTTCATGGCCAGCTTGAAAACAGGTCTTACAAGCATACCGTGGTATTTGGTCAAAGTCTTGTTGTAAGCATCGGTGAAGGTCTTGGTCAATTCCAGTTCTGGATGATCCACAGTTTCACGTAGCGCCTGCGCGGTAAACTGCAAGCCTCTGTTCAACCACAGTAGGCCTTCGGATGCGCTCTTATGGCCCGAGCCTCGCTCACTAACTACCAAATCTTGCAAAGTGGCCGATTCGGCTGGTGCCGCGTTGTATCTCTTGCGAATCTTGGTGATGTTGCCCGTCAAATCCTTTTGGACCACAGTGAACGCCGAATTGCCCAACAGATCGAATAGTTTGACCAACGATTCTGAAGCCTCCAAAAACTGCGACGTAGGAATCTTGCTGGAAGCGTCAACGGGGACTTCTTCAAAAGAAGTTTTCATTTCATCGAAGAAAGTACTCATGGCGATAATAGGTCTTGAAGCGCCTTTGAATGCCTCTTCTGGAGTGGTTTAAAGGTGTGTAAGAAGAGGTTTAGAATTTCGTGGATTCTAGGCTTGTATTTTGGCTATTGTTGTTATTGACGTGTAGGTGATATCCAACGTACATGGCGATTCTGTAGCACGTGATTTGAATTTTTGATGCAATAAATGACTATCGTCTATGGTGATGTTTGATAAATGGTGATCGCCATTTCGATTATGTAATGAAAATTTTGGTCATGTGATGTACTGTGAAGTTTAGTACGAGTACGAGTACCGTTACGATGGTCCGTGTTTAGTGACGAGTATCGCCCGCGAGTTAGCCTTCCTGAATCTGGCTGATCGCGAGCTAGCCACTGCAAATGGATATAATTCAACGCTAAGAACTGTGAACATAAGTGTAGCAGCTTACTACAAAGTCTTATGATTCACGAAGGCTGTTTCAACACCCAAATATTTTTTACCATCAATTTCAAATCATATACCTAAAAATCATATCAAAAGTATTACGAGACAGCTGAAGAGACAGTTTTTGAGAATTGGGCTTAGTCTTGGGGGTTCGTTTAATAGCACGAGAATGAGCTCTTTTCTAAATAAAAAAAAAAAAGGAAGAGGTAGATTTGGATTTTAATGCTAGGGTGATGACGTCGGCGTGGTGGGCGACAGTGACATTAATAATAGTCAAGAATGCTTGATTGATACACGTAAATATCGATCTAGTCTCGGGAAACAATGCTTGCCTTATGAGAAAGACGTCTGACGTTGTATCACTATTCAATTTACTGACGCAAATCAGTGCAGCTCTAATATCACTTCCTACGATGATCTTCTAGCACCGCTTTCCTGGCATTGACCAACTCCAGATCCACGTATGATCGATCACGGGTGTTCTCTCTAAATAACCCACTTCGCTGATCTTAGTTGGCCTTTTCATGCTTGATGTGTACATTTTCTCTATTTACATTAGTCCATGTCATAAATGTACGGCATTTCTTGACATCCCGAGCTAGAATTAAAGAGAGATTTATCTTTGAGCTCTCTTTAGTCTCATCTTCTCAGCAAAAGTTAGTTCAGCTTTTTCAGGTGCCGGGGCTGGGGCTGCTGCTGGAACTGGTGCGGGAATTGGAGCGGGTGCTGGTGCAGGAGATCTCGCAGCAGGTGCGGCACCAGAATCGGGCACACCCTGTCTTTTGAGCTTCATTCTTTCAGCAAAAGATAGTTTTTCCGTTGATACAGCCGCAGGTGGAGCTTGGGAGCTCTTGGCCGCAAGCTGTCTCTCGATAGCTTCTTCTCTTTCTCTTTGCTTCAAATACAATTCATCCTTCTCCTTGTTGATTCTGGCACGTTCTTCACGCTCCTTTTCGATGCGCTCAGCCTCTTCCTTGGCTTTGATCTCGGCCATCCGTTCTTCCACCATCTTGTTGTAACGTTGTTGACGGACTTCCTCGATGCGGGCCTTCTTAGCAGCCTCAAACTTGGCAATGCCTTCGGCACGCGCTTTCGCCAGTTCAGCACCTCTTGTAGATAGAAGGTCGGCCTTGAATTTTTGGTAGTCACCGTTGATCTTTAGAAGACGTTCATGCAGCTTGACGTTCTCCTCGTGGTCCTTCTTAGCCGCCTCCGTCAGCTTACTTCTCGTCTTTTCGTAGCTAGTCAAGTCCCGGGCCTCTTGACTCTCCGCATCCTTTTCCAAAGCCGGCAGCTCGACCTTTCTGAAAGCTCTTTCCATGTGATCGATTCTCTTGAAAGCGTTCTTCATACGATCTTCCAAGTCCTTCTTGTCCTTCGACAGTTGCTCAATGGTCATTCTTCTCACGTCCTCGGCAGTCAAAGTCTTGGCGTCCTTTAGGTCGACGTGAATAATGCCTTTAGCGTTAACCTCTTCAATCAACTTGACCATCTCGGCTTCTCTTACCAAAGCCTTTTCACGCTCAAGCTTCTCTTCAGCACGACGCTTGGCTTCACTTTCCATTCTGATGTCAGCAGCGGCCTTTTCTTCCATCATGCGTCTTAGACGTTCCTCGGCGGCCTGTTCAGCAGTCAAGTGTCTGCCGGATTCGACCTTCTTTCTTTCTTCGATCTGCTTGGCCCTCTCTTCGGCGGCCTTTCTTTCGCGAGCGATGGTCTCATTGGATTGCTGAATCAAGTTCTCGCGAGCAATCTTGACTTTGTACATGTAAGAACCATCCGCAAAACCTTCGACTTCTCTTAGAAGCTTAGATAGATCGCTCAAGTGAGCGCGGATAGCGGCATTACGCGTGACCACTGGTTCCCGCTCATTTTCGACCTCGGTTTCCTCACCTTCTGGGGTGTTGGCCGATTCGTCCAAGTCTTCGTCTGCTTCCTCGTCAGCAACAGAGGTTACTGTTGTGCTCGCAGACAAAGCCTCGAATGGATCTTTGCTGAAAGTGACAGCGCCGCTTTCGTGGTCAATGGTGAAAGTAACGTAGTCTTCCATGGCAGATTGCATCAAAAACTTCTCGATTTGCAATTTTGACAGTGCGAATGGGCCGGGCAATGTAACCAAAGACACCAATTCGTCAAATTGAATGGATTCGTATGCCTCTGAAATGCCAATGAATAGCTTTTTGATAATTACATTTCTCAAAGGCGTAACATAGGATTGGAAGTAGGCCTTGTTTTCTAGCACTGGCAACAACTTTTCCAGTTCGCCGCTCACGGTCTTGATGTCGAAGTTCTCGCCTAGGAGAGAGTACAATTGTTTGACTTCGTCGTCAATTTCTGAGAAGACGGACTCCTCAGTGGCTGAACCAACCAACTGCTGTCTTGTGGGCTTTGATTCCAGGCTTAGCAAGTTGCACAAACGAATCAATGGGTCGTAACCAACAACTGGCAAGTCATCCGCAGGAATAGACAAACTGGCAAGCATAAACGTAGAAGCGTAGAACTGGAAGTCAGCTTTTGTGGCCTTAGGGTTAGTCAAATATAGTTTGTAGAACTTCTCCCAGGCAGCAGCGTGAAGCAAGTAGTTGCCGGACACGAAGAAAATCTTGGCCAAGTTCTCGTAGTAGTTTGCAAGCACGGGAGGCTTTGGGGCGCGTTTGGAGATTGCCATCAAGTGATGGACATCCTCAATCGATCTGAACGCCTCGTGCCACAATTCCAGCTTGACAGAAACGTTGACCTGTTGGAAACGTTGGTCTAGGTATCTTTGCAAAGTGCTGGCGTCTGACAAGTCAACAGTGTAGTTGTTGTATTTCTGCTGAGCGCCGGCTGGCTTGTGTTGGTAGTTGGCAGAGTCCAAATGCTGACGTAGCATTTCGGCAAGTCTCTTGAACTCGTTTTTACGGTTGTACTTCAAACAGAAGTTCATGGTTCTGTTTACGACACCCGAATAGGTATGTTCCAATTGCGAGTTATTTCTGACCAGGTCCAAAACCGCACGGTACGACTCCCAGGTGAATCTGAGCCAAGAGGTAATGGCTTCATCGTTGAACCCAGCAACGGACTGTTCTTCTTCGGCAGCAGAAATGAGCAAGTTTTCGGGTGTGACACCACCTTCTAGATCTTCATCGGCATCATTCTGTTCCAACTCTTCCGATTTCGTCTGTTCTTCAGCCATCTTGATTTCGATCAAGTCGATAAACTTACGGGAAACAACTCCTACGGAGCTCAAGCCCTCGGGACTCACTTGCATATTTTTTTTGTACTGATGCAAACCATCCTTGATGATTTTACCCCTTTTCAAGTTGACACCAAGTTCCAAGAACTTGAATACAATTGGTTCCAACGCTTGAGGTTGAGCGAAACGGATTCTTCTCATCGACAAATACGAGTACAGCGATTGTAGCGCAGCCAAGGGCTCGCCGACCGTGATTAGCTCTTCAGCTCTCTTGAGAGCATTCTCGGGACGAAGTGCTGGAGGAGCCATGTTAAATTGGTAAAATGGGCTCGATAAGTTGACGAGAACTGATATCTTAGAGTTGTCAAAATGATGTTTGATGCTCTTGTAGAAGTCCTCATTAAAATTTTCAGTTTTAGCAGTTCTACAAATCGGTATATAGCTTCGGACGAAGATAAATATTGAGATATCATGAAATGTTGGGCAGGAGTTCGAAACCGAGAGGTGTCGGTTTTGTTTTTAACTCGGGTCTTCATTTGCTTGTACTGCAACTATAATCATAATCGTCAGAGATAGTCAGAGCTCACACGGATTGTGCCATGAGCTCGACAATCTCGCTTTCTGGATCGACATCGAAACGTGCGGTTTCGATGTTTGTGAGAGCTTTCTTTATGCCCACGTTGAACTGTAGATTCAACCTTGAAAACTCGTTGATGACTTTAACTCTGCCAGCGTCATCTAGGAACTCCGACTCTATCATGACGTTGTTGAACTCATCTAGATTAGTGATGTTAGGAACAGCAATTTCATTATCGAAACAGCTCAGTATGTCCATCTGCTGCAGGACAGAATAGGCAGAAGTGGTGGAAATGAGAAGCAGTCTGCGATCGGCAGGTGGTTTTCTCTTCAAATATACTTTCAGGGTTTGCAGAATATTGTTCGAAAACCTAGGTCCGATCGGTACCCAATCCACGAGCGTCTCGAGTGAGTCCACGACCAGAATGTTCAAAGGAGACTTGTAAGCGTCTCTGAATGTGTTGTCGATGTATGCAATCTTCGCGCTCTCGGACATGCCAGCCATTTCATCTGCGGAAATCAATCTGATGAAGGGAAACTCAGATTTAAGTGCTATGGCTGCAGAAAGAGCGGTTTTGCCCGAGCCAGCCGGACCATGAACCAAAAGCGAAACTAGTCTGGATTTGTCACTTTCCCGAACCTGACGGACATATCTTGCACCGTTCTTCAAAATTTCATCAACGCGAGGCGAATAACGGATGACGCCACCCTCGACACAGGTTTTAAGGTCCTCTTCGTTGATGCCAAATGCAGGAGTGACATCCCCCAAAGCGCTCAGAAATTCCTGCATGGTAACTTTCATTGCCGCGATTTCTTTGGGATTGAGTTTTGTGCTACCTTTGCCGATATTGACTGTTTTGTTGATGGCAAAAGAGCTCGCACTCTTCACCAAACCTTCAATCTCAGCACCGGAAAAGTTCTTGGTCAAAGCGGCGAGCTCCTTCAAGTCCACGTCTGAAGCCATCATGTTGTTTTCACGCATTTTCTTCGTCTGAATCTCCAAAATCTGCAATCTTCCCTGCTCGTCCGGCAACTGAATTTCGACCTGGACTTCAAAACGGCCGGGACGTAGCAATGCCGAATCGATCAGGTCCTTACGATTTGTCATTCCGATAACGAGGATATTGTTGAGTTGATCGACACCATCCATTTTGGCTAACAGCTGGTTGACGACGTTGTCTCCAACGCCGGTTCCGTCACCACGAGATCCTCTCTGCTTGAAGACAGAGTCTAACTCATCAAAAATAATAATGTGTAGCGATGATTCCTCACCCTTGGCTTTGTATTCGGCCTCTGCATCTTTGAACAGATTACGAATATTTTCCTCCGACGACCCAACGTATTTGCTCAAGATTTCTGGCCCGTTGACGATTTTTGGCTCTCTCGCATTCAGCATGGTACCTATTTTCCTTGCAATCAATGTTTTACCGGTACCTGGGGGACCGTGGAGCAGGAGACCCTTTACATGCGAAATACCAAGCTTTTCAATAACCGAAGGCGGGAAAATTCTACTGGCAAAGGCCCGTCTGAAAATTTTGGTGAACTCTTTGTCGAGGCCACCAACTCCCAAATCTTCAAATTTGAAATCCGGTCTGATGACAGCATCCGACCTGGGGCGTAACGAGTTGCTGGATTTTAAGTTCACAAGGCCGTCTCTTCCTTTATAGAAATTGATCTGTGTTTGCTTGATCAAGATGCCCTTGCTTTGGATATTGGTGGATACCGGTGTTACCATCTCGACGTCTCCCAAATCAATGGTTTGGACGCCCTTAGTCTTGAGGTCGAAAATGTGACCCTTGAACTCAAAGATAAGACACTGCGTTGGCGAAAATATCTGCGACTCGAAGTTTTTCAAGAATTGTTTGGCAAGGTCATCCTGGTCGAACGGGGTGTCCACAGCTTTGCCTCGAGACCTGAAGTTGATCTCCAAATCCAGAGTTCCGAGGTACGACTGCTTACCACTGTATTTGAACAAGTCAAACGCTTTGATTTGCACTGGTTGGTTTAGAGACCAACCACCCCACGTTCTTTGATTCCCATTGAATCCAATCACACCAGGTGCTATGTCGTTCGAATGTTTCGTCGTGAACACAAAAAGATTGTCCACCACCACGTAAATGTTATCTGGGAAGTCTGAAGCCGACACCGCTGCAACATTAGCAAGTGCGTAGCTGTTATTGGGACAGTTCGCAACGGTCAGTTGACGTGGGGTCATATCGACGCCAGCCATGTTAGGAGCCACATGATGAGTTGCCCTTCCAAAGGAAGGCAGTTTTCCGGAGAGACCTAGTTTCTCCATGACTGCTGGGATCAGGAAGTGTAGGTCTTGTGGGTCAGTTCAAGTGTCCTGAGAGAGCTAACTGAAAGGATGCTTTATAGGATAGTTCGTTAAACAAGTATTTAATTTCAAGTATGTCGTCAAAAATGACCTTGTCTTGAGAAATCTCAGTGTACTTGGCTCAATTGGCAAGCAAAGTCCGAGCTCAGCTCGATACGTCGATCTTTACTTCCTAACGGCTATTCCCGAGGATCTGGTTTAGCCCTGCTGGTGGCGAAAGCGGTACTTTTTTTTGGTCTCGTAAAATTAAATCCCGAATCTTCCCTTGATATGGTGGTCATACATATGGCTCATATGGCTCATTGCTGAGCACTTCCACCGGTTGAGACAGCGTAGAGCACAAGACCGATGAGCAGGTACTTCCAGTTCTTCTGCAAGAACGTACGGTCGTCGACCTCGACGTCCTCCTCGAAAGAAGCGCTAGCAGAGCCAAGCTGTGCCTTCTTTTTCTTGTCCTCGTACGTCTTGGTGACCCTGCGTAGTTTTTCCGGGGGCGCCTGTGGTCCTTCCTGGGCGCTTCGTATTGTGCCCTCGATGCCCGAAGCCTGAGGATTTGGTTTGAGAGATAGCTTGTAGAGTAGATGCGAGTCGCTTTTCGTATCCAGATACAGGTCGTAATGCAATGGGTATTTCAGCTTAGAACACGAGGTTAGTAATTTGAGGCATTGGACAAGATAAGTGTATTTTGTGTGGTAAATGTCAGTCAGAACATACCTTGATGTAGGAGAAACACGGGTAGTAATTTTCAGCCACCTGCGCGCCCACGCAGTAGGAATCTTCGGGAAGAGCTTCGTTAACATCGCTGACTTCCAAAACGCTCGACTCCCCATCGTAAACCATCGTGGCAAGTGGTGAACGCGATTCTTGGCCCGGTTTTTGTACAAATAGTGGAATTCGTACTTCTGATCCGCACACTAGTGCCAAGAACATCAAAACAACGCCAAAGCTCCTCATTTTGGTCGCTAAAAAATCACAGAATCAACAACACAAATGCGAAAACCCTTGCGTGGTCAACTTCTAGTGTAAACGCCTTTGCAATCGCTTAAATGTGAAGTCTCGTATGTTTTTGAAATATTTCAACCTACTTTACAATTAATGATTTCGAAAAGAGCTATATATAATAAAGAAGCGATGATGATGATGAGCTTTTCTAATCTCGACATTGGAGGGACAAGGAGCTTCTGAAGATGCTGAATTTCAGCATTTTGATGTTAATTGCAACTCTGATGATTCAGACGGCTTTCAGCTACGATTTCGCTGTCGAATCGTTCTTGCTTCCCAAATATTCTATAGAATATGTAGACCATAGGGTATTTGAGCAAACCGTGCTCAAGAACGAGAGCATACTGGAAAGTGGCTCTTTTGTGAGCTGTGGTAAGTATACGACGTGTTTCAAGCCTTATTTGGAGGCCGAGACGGTGTCGATAGGCTCACTAGAACTGAAAGACCAAGGTCAAAAAGAGTTTGAACAAAGTGCACTTTTAATCGAAAGGGAGCTTGCAGGTCGGTGCTTACTATTGAACAGCGGGTTTTGGAGTTTCCGCTTTTGTTATGGCCAAAATGTTACGCAATTCAGCGTAAACCAAACGTCGAAGACAGTCGACCTTCATTACTTACTGGGCACTTTTGACGCCGGTCACAATGAGAGCTTGGGATTGTCACACGACATAAGAGGCTTCTACGTAAGTCAGAAGGGTTTTAAGGGTGATTTTTGTGCCAATATAGGCACAAATCGATGGGTGGAGGTGAAATACATATGCGACCCCACGGTCCAGGAAGCGCGCGTGGTGAAGGTGAAAGAGATAAAGATGTGTCGATACATTGTCGTTGTCGCGGTTCCTGGTATATGCCAACTTGAACTTTTTTCTGCTGGTGAACGTATAAATTCGGCTCATCCCATCCTTTGTTCGAGACAAACGGAGAGCGACTCCAGCGGGAGGCTAGATCGCCCTCGAATCAGCAGCCTACAGCCTTTCTTCCTCGGTCACAATTTCTACTACTTGGAAGATCGCACACATCGTCACGACGATTCTCACATTGCTTCGAAACTACTATTCACTGGAGAGATAGCGTTCTCTGACGCAAGCTCGGATCTGCATCCAACGGAAAACGCTTTCCTGAAAAAGGCGGTATATGCTTTTCAAGAAATGACGTCCAAAGGACTGCTCACAGCACCTGATGGATCGCCTTTCATGGACGGGGACTCCATGACGTGGGTGAGTGAAGTTGTCGATCTTGAAGGACAAACACTTTGTATTCTGGAAGTTGTCGTTGATGCAAACTCAGAGGCCAATCTTTCCTTCCACGAAATCAAGTCTCAGAGCCCTCCAGTTACCAAAAACATCATCCAGTACACAAAAGGAGTGCCCGAAGATCCAGCACTAACAAGCAACACTTCCACGGCGCAAAACGGGAGCCCCAAAAGAGACATGGCATTTGACATAAGCGTCAACGGCAAATCGGACAGCGAAGGCCTTAGAAAGAAACTGGCCCAAAACATTCACGAAAATCTAGAGGCAATTCTAGATGAAAGGATTGATGTAACCGTTGCAGAAGCAAAGATGATCGTATTGGAAGACGAAGAACTCGATGATGAATTTTCCCTCGAAGTCGAAGAAGAAGCTAACTCAGACGTCACGCCAGTAGTCGAGCCACCTCTACCTGTAGATCAGGAGGGACTAGAAGAAGCACATACTGGAATCGAGCATGATGAACTTTAGCATGAATCAACTATCTACTGTTTGTATGATGCAATGTAGATACGAAAAATGTTGCGTTACTAAGTGTCAAGTCTAATACTCTATCAAAGAACTCACTTGGAGACTTTTGGTAGACTGAGAGTGAAAGAATCGTTCTTCCTACTGCTGCCATGATCGCCGTTAGAACTAGTAGGTTGCAAATCGCGGGGTTCGCCAACCTGTGAATCATTGCTACCTTGCTCGTTTCCCTGTTGGGGCAGAATTGGTTCCTGAGGCAAATCAGGAGCGAAGAAAGCGTCAGATACTGGCTTTTTTCTATAATTTGTGCTGATTTTCCCGGTAGGTGGCAATCTAGGCTTTCCTGATGACTTTGACTTGGACGGTCTTTCCTCGTCCTCGGTTAGTATCTGGTAAGAAACGTCGGGATGTTTGTCCGGGTCAAAGTCACTAACTTTTGCCTTTCCATTCTTTACCTCATATGCTCTAAAGCGAGCCAATGCCTTCTCGAGAAGCGGTTGCAGTGTACGCCAAAATTGACCTTCATGGATAGAGTTGGCTGACACCTCCGCGTATGTGACGTCGTTAAATTCTTCAGGTTGAATCTTCTTGTCCTGCACCTTATCTTCTGAGCCCTTTCCTTGAAATTGGAAAGTTAAGAGCTGCATAGGCACAGAGTTACTCAGCACCCCAAATTCACGATCGAGACCCAAGTCTCTAAACCCAAAGAAGTCCTCGCCCGTTATCTCACTTGAAAAGTCACCTGTCATGAAACTTTGACTCTCGTCTTCAAAATTCTTTTCAGACAGTTCCTGTAGTGTCGGGCGCAAAAGCTCTTTGAGAAAGTTATTCAGCTTTAGCTTGATGTCCTTCAACTTGTTGTGCTTCTTTACAAACTCGGCCTCCATGTATGAGTACAGATCATCCGGTTTTTTTATGCCGTTCTCCAGTAACGACATTTGTAAGATTTCGTAAGGCTTCTTGGGATTGAGCGAAGTACTTTCGTGATGAATCTTGATTGTCTTCACCAAATTTGAAAGATATTCCCATGCAATCTCGGTTAGCATTGATATTGCTACAGGCTGGGTACTTTCAAATCCATTTGACATTGCAATTTTCGAAACATTTCTATGCATTAGGCGGCAAATCAAATGTTTGTCTTGTTTATTGTTTCGCGTTGGGAGTCTGGAGACTGGATCCAAATCAATACTATCATCGAGAGAGGTATATTTGTACTTGTGCGTGTCCCAGATTTGGCCATTCGGGTTACTAGAATTACTTTTGATTTGTTGGGATGAGTTTTGTGGGTTTTGCAGCATTCTGATCAACGCAATTTTATGGCAAATATGTCTAATCTCCTGTATCAGCTGGATATTAGAATTTATCTTGGGATTGAGGCCCTTGCCTTTGTTCGCTAAGTAGGCTGTTTCGGCGAGATTGCCCTGGGAGAGAATTGACTCTACTAGTTTGCTCTCTTCCAGGTCTATCAAATTGTCATCCAGGCCAGTGTATCTCAATTTTGGAACGGCATTCGCCACGTTATACTCACTCAAAAAATTGACGTCGTCGAGCTCGATTTCGGCAGAGGCTTTCTCGACGTCATTTTCATTACTCATGCTAGATGATTGTTGAGCTTGAAGTAATGAGTTTTCCTCCTCCTCTTGCTTCACCACCGTTCCAAAGCCATTTTTCATTATCGATTCTTGCTCCAAATTTCTTCTTTGCAGCTCAGCGTCCTGCTGATCTTTGTACTCCTTCACTAATTGGTCAAAATCCTTCATTTTGCTGGGATTCTTGAGAATGGCAGGCGCCTTAGAATTAATGCCGTTGCCGTTAAATAAACCAGCTCTCTTAATGCAGAGCTCCGCGCGAACACTTGCTGTCGAATTTTTCCATGTGGAAAGCTCCAAGTCGTCCTTGTCATCGTCTTTCTCCACCAAATACATGTTAGATCCCAAATCACCCTCTTCATCGTCGTCTTCATCGTCTTCTTCCTCATCGGAAAACTCTCCATCACCCTGGTCTGCCTTTTGTGAATTGGACTCCTTATCAATCGAACTTTGCTCTTCCGTATGAGTAGGGCCCTCGATAGCTTTACTTGCTTTAGACTCACCATTCTCGGTAGTCTCAGTCGTCGATTCTTGAAGCCTCTGTGGTTCTTTTCCTGCAACAAACTTACTCTTGGCTGCGAATTGTGAAGAGATGTCCTTATCGTCGGTAGTATCGTTAGCGCCGGATTCAGTCTCCAGATTTTGATTTTTATCTGTAGATGCCTTTTGAAGAGAATCAGTGGCGTCAGATCCTTTTGTGGAGGAGCTGGGGCTTGCTTCTTCCTCATCCTGTTTAATTCCACGAACATTTCCCCCTTTTCTACCTGTACCGGAAGCTTCTTCCTCAGCCTCATCCTCTTTATCGTTTTCCTTGTCTATATCCTCCAATTCCTTCTCAACCTCCGACCGGTCTCTAATTGTTATGTCGGGAATAAGTGGAATGAGCGCTAGCGACTTTTTTTGCATAGCGATGGCGTGCGTTCGGAGAAAGTGCTTAGGGTCTGAATTGTACTTCAAACAGTTCTTCCATATCAGCATTACATCATCAACAAAAGCCTGCTTGGAGGTATATTGATAGGTTTTGAGCTTTTTCAGAACTGTGTTCAGATCCATGGGTTTTTTGATGATTTGGTAATAGTTGGGAGCTTCTCTTTTGCTCACTTTGTTTAGAAAAGCTGTTGAATGCTCTGTAAAATTTCGAAGCTCTAGGACTACTTTTTCGCAAGCGTCATAAAGCTCTTCCTGACCAATTTTGTCGTCTGAAGCCCATTTTGACCTGTTTTTCCGGACGTCCATGATCAAGTGTCTCAGTTCGTAATCGGAAATGTTCAATTTGGACTTGTTGTCTTGTATAGACGCCAATAGATGTTTAAGAGAAAGGTTGGCCGATCCGAGGTTCACAGCTAAAGCTGGGGTATCTGATGTCTGTAGCTTTGACTTTTTGAAATCAGAGTCTGAACTCGGTAGCTGCTCGAGTTCTTCTTCAGATGGATTATCTGCTTCACTGCGTAGTCTTTTCTTGGATGGTTCAAGCAGCTTGTCACTTTCCTCTAATTTCAGCCGCTTTAACAATGTTTCTCGATCGTTTTCGAAATTGTGGTAGATTTTGTTGAAGTTTTCAATGACCGCTTGAGTGTTTGTCAGGCCCAAGGCTGACAGCGTATCTCTGGATATTTCTAGCACAAAGACGAACCGTCCGTTCTCATCGTAAAAAGCCTGAGGCTCATTAGCATTTGAGCTTTTCTGCGTCTGATCTTTCTGATCAGATATGTTTCTTTCTTCATCGTAGTTTTCATCGTCGTAGTCGTCCTCTTCCTCTTCGTTTCTTCGTACGTCTACGGTTTGAGCTTTGCCATTTTCTGCTTTCTCAGCTCTCTCACTTTCATGAGCGGCGTCCTCCAACGGCAACCGCAGTTGCATTTCTCCCGAAGAGGTCTGGCACAATGGGTCTATCGCGCTTTCCCAGAGGACGTATCTTACTTTCAGAGAAAGATTCCCAATAAACTCGGCGCCGCTCATTTGTTGTTGTAAGTTTTCGAGGTCCACCTCCGAAAAATCAGCATCCAGTGAAAGTTCGGAGTCTTTTTTGATAGCCTCGACATCTTCCTCATTTTGCTGCACAGGATTCGAGGTTTTTAGGCTTTTCGAAATATTTCCCGACGGTGTATCTACGACTGAAGCCGAGACTTTAGTGTTGTGTTCATCATTTTCCGTCGTAAGATCCTTGGCAGTTGCGGCCTTTTCCAACAAATGGCCTGTGCTTCGTTCGATTTTTTTAACAACTTCAAGCACAACGTTACTGTTCACCAACTCTAGCCACACCCTCCTTTTGTGAGCAGGATCCTGTATCGCCAACACCTTATTAAGGACTATGAGCTGCTGAGGGGTCAAAAACTGGTTAAAAGTGCCACTTTGAGAGAGTTGCTCCGCATATTCAAGCAGTAAGCTTGGATCAGTTTTCTGATAGTATACGGTCGGTACTCTGCGATCCATTGGCGGTTCTTGTGTCCTTACCTGCTCGGCGGTGCTCGCAGCTCTTTTAAAATCATAGCTCTCATTTTTCGTGATAATTTAGCTAAATGTGGCTAATCATCTGACCGGCGACAGCGACAGCGTTAAAATCCGACTTCGTCCTGAGGGGATCGACGAGAGAAGAGAGTCAAAATGATGTGGGCGGATCGGAGATGATAACGTCTAGATGATGACTATCATTACGTCTCTAACAACGTATTTAAAAATTGTACGCTATCGTTCAGAGTTTATCTATATGAATTTAAAACCATTTATATAATAATTCCACAATTCAATGACGGAGAGAACATAGTGCTAGTTGTCTTCTAAAGAGCATAGAGACTTTTTACTGATGAAAGGAAACATGCGCTAGTCTGGATTTTATTTGTATGCCGTACACTTGCTTTGTTACAAAATACACATGACGATACGATGATTAGATTTTAAAAAACCTGATATTCACCTGAAACATTAAATATATTCTGAGAGAAGGCTTGAAACTCTTGAACTGGTCAAAAAGATCTGAATCCAAAATTTCAAGACATACCACGATAAACCGAACGTTCTTGCCCCTTTGCATTGACACATGAAGATTTCGGCGTTAAAGCATGACCCACAGAAGCACTCTTATAGGTTCTTATTCTTGTTGAAGCTCAAAAAAGCTCGCGTGGCGTAATGGCAACGCGTCTGACTTCTAATCAGAAGATTGTGGGTTCGACCCCCACCGTGAGTGCTTTTATGTTTTTGTATGATAGAGATACGACAAACTAACACTAAGATGTAAGCAAAGGCGCAAGTCGCGGGTGGTCCACCAACAAGCTTCTCCGAGTGAATCACTCTGTAGAGCGCGGACGTCACAATTGCAGAAGATAGCCATCGAGCGTTTATTCAAGAAAAAATATATGTTCATACATATATATATTTTTGTGGTTTTAAATCGACCGCTGTGGCAGAGCCTGCAACTGATGACCACCCTCTGACTGCACTCTAAATGCTATTGGTATCTTAATTAGCAAGAATGAACTCAGCGCAGACGAGCTCTCCTGCCGCGGTTCGTACTCGTGGAGTTTCTGTTTTTCTTCTCCCTCCCAAGTGGTCGCCGCAAGCAAGCCAAAAAAGACAGCTGCCGCGCTCAAGTTTCTCCATCAAACGGGGGTGTTTTTCCAGGCGTTCAAACCGCGTACTTCTTGGTCCACTCCTTGGCGGTAGCCTCGTATTTGGATCTATCGGTCTTGTAGATGTGAGCGATTTCTGGGACCAAAGGATCGTCTGGGTTGGCATCGGTCAGCAAAGAGCAGATCGACAGCAACACCTTTGAAATGGTCAAGGCAGGCGACCACTGGTCCTTTAGAATGTCCAAACAGATGTTACCGTTGGCGTTGATGTTTGGGTGGTAAATCTTTGTGGTGAAAGAGATCTTTGGAGGTTTAAATGGGTAGTCAGTTGGGAAATGTATGGACAAGAAAAAGACACCACCGGCGTAAGGAGAGTCTGGAGGGCCCATGATCGACGCTTGCCAGTGGTACAAGTCGTCGCCCACAGGGCCAGCGGAACAGGAAGTGGGGGGGTCTCTGAACGGAAAAAAAATTATAGTTAGCATTTTTATGTTTTGTCCCTTTTGGATGTCGAGCGTTGCACGTTGGGTTACGCGAGAGCAATCATCAAAGCTAAGCGAGAGCTCGAATTGATCTCAAGTTTTTACATTGGGCAACATCTGTTCACCATGGCCAAGAAACTCCAACAGATCAGACGGTTTTCTTGCGGTTTTTCTTGTCGTGCTCGAATGAAGCACTAAAAGGTGCGACAATCCGATCTCCCGCGAACAGCTCGATAGAGTACTCTCGAAATCCCAATATTATTATTAAACATACCTTCCCAAGTCGTTGAGTTCCTTTGTGATACGTTTCAAAGACATGCTTTCTTGTTGTAGCTGGAGTTGCTAGCAGGACTTGCCACCGTTATAGAAGCAAGTCAAGTGGAACTTTTCTCAAATTGTGTTAAAATCTCGGCAGAACAGGTTACGAAAGCTGAATAATAGGGCCGGGTTACCCTAAATAGGTCGCCATAGACGGACTTGAACAAGTCACGTGCGTGATTGTTTGTGAATGCAGAGAGTGAATGCAGAGAGTTATATAGTTCACTTCCATTTACAGGCCCGTCGGTGGGATTCTGGAAGTGTTACGAGGCTTCTACCATTCTGTGAAGCGTCAAGGGCTCGTTGAAGACGTCGTGTCTGAGTCAACTAAAAAAATAAAAATAAAAAATGCAAGTAGGTGTGTATGTGAGAATACCAAGAAGACACAATCTCGCAGATAGCTGTATCTAGATAGATCAGCTCACAAAATGTTTCGGAAGGTCTCCTTTCTCACTCGTTTACCCTCAACGTCGTGTCCTCGGTGGTGTGGTACCAGCACACCAACCTGTCATCTGATCACGTGACAAGCTCTTTCAATCTATAAACGTCACAATTGTGGAAGCCGATTGGACTGTCTGCCAAACGAAACGAGATACATCTTGCGAGTAGTGGTGACGGTAAACCTGATCGCGTTGCACTGTATCGTTTACTTTTTCTCCAATTGAGAATAATCGTTTCAGAACAGACACTACTTCACCAATGTCTAAAAATCATATTCTAACACCACGATGACACTGTGAAAGAGAAGCCAGTGGGTGAAGAACCCTCCAGAAAAAACGACCACCACAATTATCGACCAGAGATATAACGCCGCGAAGCATTTGGCAAACGGTCAACTACTCTCGAATTTTTTTTCTTCTTCGCTCTCACAGCAACTGCGTTTTTCCATGTGCAAAATATTCGAACAGAAGAAGCTCAGAAACGACAGGAAATTGAGTTTCAAAATGCAAGCATTGGCTCACCCACAAAGCTCAAGCCTACTGTTTTTTAAGGCCCATTACGTACATATCGCCCAGTCCTCAAAATGGCGTTGAAATCTCTTACCTCTTTACACTTGGTTTGCCCTATTTGGCAAGAAATGCTTGTTTTTCTTGTAGTTGTTTCCTATAGCTAATGCGTTGACAGATTGGGCAGAGAGTAAACAAAATAATGACATCACCTATCAATGAACAGTGGAGCACGCTGCCCGCGTTTCAGGGAAAGAAAGCATTGTTTCAGGTTTGATCGAAGGGTCATCAAACCTAGCTAGGCACCAGGCAATTGGTTTCAAGCTAAAACAACCGCAAATAACTCGCGCAGTGCGAAACCCAGAAAAGACCCGCGCTGCACAGGAGTAACGACAGGAACGGGCAAGATGAAACTACACGCTGATCTTAGTGAAACACACAGATCCACGCATTCACCGCCGTCGAATACATGTGGACATCACACGTAGACGTCGAAAGTGATATGTTTGCAACGGTCTTGAACGTTTGCAGAAGTGAGCTTCAACTTAGAGCTCTAGGTTCCAAGAGTACGATCAACAACTAAGCCATCCACCGAAGCGTTATGACACACAAATCTCAGAGACAGTTTTTTTGTTCATATTTACGCGAAATAGATCTCATCACATTTTACGAATACGTCGTCAACTTTCTACTTTCAAGACCACGTGACCCATGAAAATTTTCCAGCTTTTTCACAGGACTTAGAAATGAGCGATGAGATGAGCGATGAGATGAGCTTAGCTTTAAGAACTTCAAGGTCCACTGTTTGCAAAGAACTATAGTCCCAAAACCTTTCCCTGCTTCGAAGACGATCTACGTCGTTATACACAATGGACGGCAAGGGCTTGAGTTTATCGAGTCTGAAGGAGAAGGTGGCCTCCAAAATGAAGGAGAACCAAAAACCGTCGAAAGCGGGTAAAAAAGGCTCCGGCAAGGAAACCAAGCGTGAATCAAACAAACCTGCTTCGAAGAACGCTGCTGGCACCAACTCTGCAAAAACCGAGGTCATAAAATCAAACAAAAGTGCCGAAAAGGAGGCTATCCGTCGTGAAGCCCTAGCGTTGGGCGCCTCTGAAAAGGACTTAGATTTGATCAATGGTCTTTCCGATGACGACGACGTGAGTGAGCAAGAATTTGGCGGCTCTAAAGACGAAAATGATAAGAAGTTCGACGACGACTTCCAGAGTTTTTTGAAAAGCGCTGGGATCGACGCTGTGACCGCTCGTCAAGACGTGGTAGAGGGCCAAGAAGATCAAGACCAGGAGAGTGAAAGCAGCAGCGAAGAAGAGGAAGAAGAAGAAGAAGAAGAAGAAGAAGAAGAAGAAGAAGAAGAAGAGGAAGAAGAGGAAGACATCCCCGAGCTTGTGAAAACCAATGAAGAAGAGTTGTCCCTTGGATCCGACTCGTCCGAAGACGAAAAGTCTGAGGCCGAGGAGGGTCCTTTTCTTAATCAAGACTCAGACCCAGAGACCACCGAAGAAAAGAAGGAGGACAAAAACTTGATTTCTCAAACTCACTTGGTGACTTCGGACAGACTGCTGCTGCCAGCAGACGTAATATGGCACGAAATACCACTGGACCCCGAGGCAAACGCCCAAAACGATCCCTTGTCCGCGGATAAGATCGACGCTTTGTACCAGCGAGCCAAGGAAGCGCTCGAGGCCGACAACACACTATATTACGAGGAATTCACCAAAAACTCATCTCAAAGAAAGTTTATGTCGCAGATTTTGAGCGACGGTACACTCAATGATAAAATCTCCGCATTGACACTGTTGATTCAGGAGTCTCCACTGCACAACACCAAATCATTGGATACATTGATCTCCTTTTGTGGCAAGAAATCAAGAAACTCAGCTTTGCAAAGTTTGAATGCATTGAAGGATCTTTTACTCAACGGCTTGCTTCCTGACAGAAAACTAAAATATTTCAAGAACCAAAACCTATCGATGATGCTAAACAAGAAAACGTTGGCTATCTTCTATTTCGAGGACTACCTGAAAAATCTCTACTTCCAAGTTCTGCAAGTGGTGGAAAGGCTATCTCACGATCCAATTATCCATGTCCGCATGCAAGTGTTATCACACATTTTTGAGCTTTTGACAGCCAAGCCTGAACAGGAATTCAACCTGCTAAGACTCGGTGTTAACAAGTTGGGTGACATCGATAACAAAGTCTCTTCTAAGACGTCGTTCCAATTATTGAAACTAGAGCAAGCACACCCCAACATGAAATCGATTGTGTTGGACGCTACGGTTGACGTGGCATTGAGGCCAAGTGCGGACTACCACACCACTTACTACTCTGTGCTGACGCTAAATCAAACTATTTTGAAAAGGTCTGAGGATAAAATAGCAAACCAATTGATCAAGACCTATTTCACCTTATTCGAAAAATTCCTGCTTTCCACCGACTCATCGAATGCCGAAGGTGGGGACCATGCCCCTCAGAACAAGCAGGCTTCTTACGAGAACAAGCGGAAGAAGAACTTCAAGCGCGGTAAGAATGGTGGAAAGTCTGTGAAAAACGAGAAGACCGACAAAGAAGTGGTGGATGAGAAAAACTCCAAGCTATTTTCAGCCATTCTCACAGGGCTGAATCGTGCTTTGCCATTTTCAAACATGCCAGCCAGCGTGTACGAGACTCACTTGGACACTCTGTTCCAAATTACGCATTCCTCCAATTTCAACACCGCTGTGCAAGCGTTGATGCTGATACACCAGGTCACACTAAAGGCGGAGCTGAACGATGACAGATATTACCGAACCCTGTATGAAAGTCTTTTGGACGCACGTCTAGTGACTTCTTCCAAACAGGGTATTTACATGAACTTGCTATACAAGTCGTTGAAGCGCGACAAGCACGTTGCGCGTGTCGAGGCGTTCGTGAAAAGAATCTTGCAGGTGTGTTCAAGCTGGCTAAATGTGGGTGCTTTGGCAGGAATGCTGTTTTTGCTGCTACAACTAGGGAAGTCTGTGCCGCAGATCAAAAACCTGTTTACCAACACTCCTGCGGATGAGGAATATGCGTCAGAAGACGAGACTACTGACAAGGACTCTCAAAAGCCTGCTTACGACAGTGGTAAGAGAGATCCAAAGTTTGCTAACGCGGACAATACGTCTGTGTGGGAGATTCGTCATTTCCTAAATCATTACCATCCCACAGTGCAAACATACGCAGAGGCCTTTTTAAACAGCTCTGAGGATGTGACGAAGCCAGATCTTGGTCTATACACTTTGGCACACTTTTTGGATCGGTTTGTGTACCGTAATGCGAAGCAAAAGCCCACGACCCGTGGTAATTCTATCATGCAGCCGTTGGGCGGATCTCACACGGGGTCGCTGATTGTTAGAGCCTCGGACGCACACGCAACGGGTCTGAATGTAGTGCCAGCGAACACTCAGGACTGGTTGGCCAAGAAGGTGGATCAGGTGAACCCAGACGAGCGGTTCTTCCACCAGTACTTCAGCACAAAACAGACTGCGATCAAACGCGCTGAGAAGGACAAGAAAGGCGGCGCAAAGGGCGACAGCAACGAGTTCGAAAACGAGAGCGAACTCGACGAAGACGAGGTGTGGGATGCGCTGGTGAAATCGCGGCCGGACGTGGAAGACGACAGCGACGACGACGAGTCCATGGACGATTTGGAGGCGATGTCGATGTCGGACGAGAGCGGGGACGAAGAGGAAGACGAAGAAGTCGAAGCAGAAGCCGAAGCCGAAGCCGAAGCCGAAGCAGAAGAAGACGAGGACGACGAAGACGTGTTCTACAGTTTTGCCGACGAAAGCGCTAATACCAATTCCAAGAAACGGAAGCGTGAGGACGGGCGTGCGGACGCTGGCGACAGTGGCAGCGACGACGACGACGAAGAAGACGCGGCGCTTGCAGAGGCCTTCCAGAGCGAAAGCGAGAGCGAGAGCGAAAGCGACCGTGAGAGCGCGACTCCGGAGGTGCCGACTGCGGGCCAACGTCTGTCGCGTAAGAAACTCAAGAGTCTACCGGTGTTTGCGTCTGTGGACGATTACGCTGAGTACATGAGCGAGTGAGCGAGTGAGCGAGAGCTGCTCGTGTGTGTACATGTATGTATGTATAGTAGTGGTGGTCGTACGAGTACACGAGAGTACTCATATATAGAAAAGTACTCGCATGCTTAGTAATCATTATCACACGTACTCGAGTACACACTTTGACGCTTACTAATCATCGCCTCCACCCATCGCGATTACGTAACCGCCAAAAATTCTGTGCATCACGCCGCACACAAGAAAACCAAAAAAAAAAGCCACCTCAAACCTGAAACACGGCCTCGCTCGCTGCCTGTTTCAGATATGCACTCTGAAACATGGCGCGACACTGACGCGCTTGGTAGCCGGAACACGGCTAATCACTCGTGCCCACTACGGCACGCATTGTCGAGACCGATTAGAACACTGTAGCGTAGTGTGTAGAGTGCAGCGTGTAGTGAAGGCTATTCGTTAAATTCGGGCTTGCTGGCACACACGGCAACGGCGCATTCGAACGGACCCAATGTATTCGTTTTTCTCGAAACAGGCGTGAATTCGGGACTAGACTAAAAATCGAACCAGATCCGGCCATATTCGTGGTGATTGCCGGTGTCTCAGACAAACGGTTTGCCCATAACTTGGATGCAAGCAAATGCACATCGAGTAGCAAGCAGATCAAGGCCAGAGACAGAGAGAGAGAGAGGGAGAGAAAGGGTGAGTGAGACAGATTTACCGTCAATTGGATCAAGAGGGTGGTGCATTTGATGTATAAATATATAGGTGAATGTATTATGTATTATGTACAGCTATGTATACATTATATATATATATATATATATCTAATAATAATAATATATATTAATATGTATGTTGTGAATATATATAAAAGTAGAAACCTATTTTGGCGGTGCTGTATCGACTTGGGCGACACAGTGTCAGTGGGTGTGGATGAAAACATAACACACTAGAACGCCAGCAGCGGAGGCCAGCAAACAGTGAGCGCGACACAGTATACCAATAGAGGCGACAGCGTTGAGGGTGCGCAGCGTACAGGGAAAAGATGAACAACTTGGATAACATGGACAGCACGCACAACACGCACAATATCAATAAGATCCAGTACCCACACGGGCTAAGCAGCGCGACTCGAATCTTTGACGTTTACGCGGGCGACACGCAGATCCCGGATCACGTGGTCGACATCACCGAGTACGGAAATCATATCAATATAATGACGAGATCTCCGTACGAAGTGACAGACGGATACGTGGGAAGTGACAAGAACATACGCAAGGAAGAAGAAGACAATAATAATAATGATAATAATAGTAGTAATGACCATGATGATGACGACGACGAGAACGGCGAAGAAGAAGATGATGATGACGACGACGACGAGCATGACGAGAACACCGGAAATCATACACTGGTCAATACCGGGTTGGGCAGCGCGATGCCGATGGACCACGTGACCACCCACCAGCAGCAGCACCACCACGTGACCAGCACCCTGCGGTTCCCAGTTTCGCGACTGCAGCTCGCGCAACCACTGCTCCCGTCAGCGGCCACGACCGTGGCCGCCGCCGCCGCACTCTCCAGCACCGATATATGGTCTGTGCCCGTGGAAAACGCCTTTCTGGCCGCGCTCCGCATCATCCCCAAGAAGGGCACGGCCAAGATCAAGCTCAAGGACCGCAATTTCGGCCGCAACGAGCTCATATCGCTCTACATTCAGCACAGGCTCGGTGAGTTCCGTGCCAAGAAACAGATCTCATCGCACATCCAGGTCTGGAAGAAGTCCATTCTCAATAAAGTGCAGAATGGGTCTCAGATCACGGAGTACGAGAGCGAGCTGCTCCAGCTAATCGAGGATGGCGCTGCGCAAACCACCGACAACGAGCATACGTTTCAGGCCGTTTTCATCGATATTCTCGACGGTTCTTCAGCAGTGTTGCCTCTGCCGGCTTCGTCAGCTTCAGGGTCAACGTCGTCAGTGCCATCGGTGCCGTCGGCAACGACCACAGTGGCATCGCACGTGACCTCCGGACTACCAGTGGCTCCCGGTCACGTCGACGTTTATGCCGGCAGCACAGTGCTGCGACCAGCGATGCCCGAACCTGCTACGCCACTGGACTACGCGCGTAGAGTTTACGGGAACTCTCGCTCCTACAAATGTGTTCCTGTCAACATGCACGACTACACCTACCAGCACCTAGGATCGCAGACAGACGGCGACGCCAACCAGCAAACATTGCTGGCCGCGCAACAGGTAGCAGCACAGCAGCGTCAACTGATCGACACCATGTACACGGAACAGTTGTACGGCCCGCCAGCACCGCCAGCGGACGTTGGGCCAGATCACGTGCACTTCCCGCGCTACGATATGCATTCGTTTGTGCCGTCAACGGCAGCCAGACCACCGGATCAGTCGTATGCCGGTCTGCAATCGAGGCCAGCGCGACCATCGCATAGCGATCGTCAACCAGGAGCCCACATGAACCCGACAGCGGGCGACGGCAGTTCAGACAACGGTCCGGCTGGCGACTCGTAAATGCAGGGCGCAGAAGACGCAGGGCTCTGCTGTGGTTGACAAGACGCAAGGTTCTACTGTAATTTGACACCATAATTGGCATTGTATTTGACATTTGAGAGGGCATAGGTAATTAATAGATATACAAGCATTGTAATTGAAGTTTGTCGAGAGAGGCTGTCATTAGAAGAGAGAAGATAGAGAAAAAAGTCGCTGCGTTTGTGAGTGTGGTGTAAATTAGGGAGCAGTGAGATTCACAAAGGCTGACATAGCGAGTGTTGGTTCATACGTGAACACTGTTCAGGAATGAGATCTCATTTCCGTACCAAGTGAATTCAACGTGTGGAAGAATCCGACCACGAATCCATGAATTCACCTATGAGGTTTGAAGGAGTTAAATGAATTCCAGCTGTTTCGATAGAACGTTCTGCCCAGCGGTATTTAAACCATCTCTCGAATTTTTGAGAAACCAATTTATGGTTTTTGAGTTTTCATCAGGAGGAGAAGATGATATACAACCGAAAAAAATGACTGGTTTCTCGGCTGAGCTTGGAATTGCCACGAGCACTTCTCCTTGCTGAACTCAAATTCGCATCCTACTGTTTAAGTAACTCATTCGATTCTTGACGGCCTCGAAATTATACAATCGTACACAGTGTCCGGACTCACGGACTTTCACGAGTACATTTCGTACCAATCACTGGATTCATCAGATTCGCGTACAGAACAGATATTTAAATATATATATATATTCACAAGACAGACAACATCTCATCTCTGTTCACCACTCCTGATTGAACATCTCCTATACCTAGTGTCACATTACAGGCATCAGCGATTAAAGTGTGCTTAGTTTGTCGGTTGTGGACTCGACTTCACCCGCGACAACAGAGCTCAGCCGGCTAATGCGATCCTTTGCATCGCGCGCCACCCTTGCCAAAACACTAAGAAATGCTCGAAACTGATGGCCAAACAGCGCCAGATTGGATGCAGATGAAGGAAGAACACACAGTCCATCAGTGTCTTAGTGGTGGTTGGCTCTTTCACGCTCAAATTTCGCGTTAGCGACTTGGGAAACATTTTGAACAGAGGGTCAGATCTTTCTTGAGAGCGCATGTTTTCTCCACTGCCAGCGCCAGATGACAAAAGCTAACGAAGTTGTCAGTGTCCAGCAAGCATCTGACGGTGCTTTCGCCGGTCCTGTCGAGAAATCACATACAAACAGGATATGTTAGCCGCGGAGCGCCCTGGAAGACCCAGTCACGTGATTTCAAAAAATTGTCGAACTTTCTCAGACATCCATCAAAAACCCACGTCAGCTTTCCAGTGGACATCATGACGGTGTTTACCACATTCGAACTGGCGACAGGTTATGGCCCCGACGCAGCTCTCAGGGCTCACAACGGCACTTTTTTCTCATGATCCTGAAAACAAGCTGTCCAGGCCGATCCGGCTGTGCAAATCAACTCATCTCATCTCGAATGCAGACCAAGACACCGTTCGTTGCCTCCAATCCCGCTTATCGCGCTCCACCTCGCACCTGTCTGTCTGCTCATGCTAATATCCAGAAACCCAATTTATTCGACTTTTTGACTCTATCTTCACGTGACATTATAATGAAGGTCAAAACTTTCCCAAGTCCAGGTGTATATTAGACGCTGTATGAATCAGGCATCTTTCGGATAGATTCTCGTCTTGGTCCGTTCAGCGCTGAAGTCGCAAATCAACTTGTCATGCTGTCTCGTGCCGTGAAAAGAGGCTCTCTGAGACGCTTTTACGCTCCTCGTCTCCGGTCGGTCACTCTAATATCGCCTTCAACTGTCTCCGCTGCTGCTTCCCAGTCGCTGTATCACACCCTTTCCGGGACAAAGATTGCCAAGAGCATTAGAGATGAGGCGTTCCAGAAAATTGAGCAAATCAAGGCCAAGATCCCAGCCTTCAACCCTACTTTGAAGATTTTTCAAGTTGGCGCTAGACCTGATTCCTCGGCTTATGTTCGCATGAAACTGAAGGCTTCCAAAGAGAGCGGTGTTCACTGCGACGTAGAGAAACTACCGGAAAACATCACCGAAGCAGAGCTGCTGAACAAGATCGAGGCTGTTAACCAGAACGACGCGATCCACGGCCTTCTCATTCAATTGCCCTTGCCTAAGCATTTGGACGAAACCAGAATCACTAATTCCGCGCTTGCCACCAAAGACGTGGACGGTTTCCACCGCTACAATGCTGGAGAACTTTCCAAGAAAGGCGGAGAGCCTATGTTCATCCCCTGCACTCCTAACGGATGCATCAGGCTGCTGAAAGAGGCCGGCGTCAATATCAGAGGCAAAAACGCAGTTGTTTTGGGCCGTTCCGACATCGTCGGTACCCCCGTTTCGTCTTTGCTGAAAAACTTAGACGCTACTGTTACCGTTTGCCACAGTCACACCGCTAACCTGCCCGAAATTCTCTCGCAGGCTGACATTGTGGTTGCCGCTTGTGGCAGAGCCAACTACGTCAAAGGAGAATGGCTTAAGGAAGGCGTTGTTGTCATTGATGTCGGTATCAACTACATCCCAGACTCGTCCAAAAAATCCGGTCAGAAGCTTGTGGGTGACGTCGACTACGAATCTGCCAAGACCAAAGCGTCCTTTATCACCCCCGTGCCTGGTGGAGTAGGTCCCATGACTGTTGCCATGTTGGTCCAAAATGTACTACTTGCTGCCGAAAGACAACTCGCCGAGTCCAATAAGATGCCAGCAATTTCACCATTGTCGCTAAAACTTCAGGATCCAGTTCCTTCGGATATTGCCATCTCTAGGGCCCAAACTCCAAAACCCATAAGCACAGTGGCTTCCGAACTGGGAATCCATACAAGCGAGCTTGAGCTCTTCGGACACTACAAGGCTAAAGTCTCTCCTGCAATTTTGGATCGCTTGAAAGAGCGTGAGAATGGTAAATATGTGTTGGTTGCCGGTATTACGCCTACGCCATTGGGAGAAGGAAAATCTACTACAACCATGGGGATTGTGCAAGCCCTGACGGCCCACTTAGGCAAACCATCGGTCGCTAACGTTCGTCAACCCTCCATGGGCCCTACTTTTGGCGTTAAGGGTGGTGCCGCTGGCGGCGGTTATGCTCAGGTCATTCCTATGGATGAATTTAACATGCACCTGACTGGTGACATTCATGCCATTTCTGCGGCAAACAATCTTCTGGCTGCTGCCATCGACACTCGTATGTTCCACGAGACCACTCAAAAGAAGGATACTACCTTCTACAATAGATTAGTGCCAAAGAAGAAGGGCAAGCGCGTGTTCACTAAATCCATGCTAAAGCGCCTCGAGAAACTTGGTATCACCAAGACAAACCCAGATGACTTGACCCCCGAAGAGGTGAACAAGTTTGCTCGTCTGGACATCAACCCCGATACTATCACTATAAAGAGAGTCGTCGACGTCAATGATCGTATGTTGCGTCAAATTACGATCGGCCAGGCTACAACCGAGAAAGGTTTCTCCAGATCTACCGGATTTGATATCACAGTAGCATCAGAACTTATGGCCATCCTTGCCTTATCTAGGGATTTGAAGGACATGAGGCAAAGAGTTGGCCGCATTGTCGTCGGTGCGAACTCAGAGGGCGAACCCGTAACTGTTGAGGACGTTGGATGCGCAGGCGCAGTCACTGCGCTCTTGAAGGACGCTATCAAACCAAACTTGATGCAATCCTTGGAAGGTACTCCCGTCATGGTACATGCAGGCCCCTTTGCCAATATCTCAATTGGTGCTTCCTCCGTAATCGCCGATAGAGTTGCTTTGAAATTGATGGGCAAACCAAAGAACAGTGGCCGTGAGGTCGAAAGCGGTTATGTGGTCACAGAAGCAGGATTCGACTTCACGATGGGTGGCGAGCGGTTCTTCAACATCAAGTGCCGCTCCTCCGGACTGACTCCAAATGCCGTGGTATTGGTCGCAACAGTTAGAGCTTTGAAGCTGCATGGTGGTGCTCCTGATGTTAAACCAGGCCAATCTTTGCCTGCAGAGTACACAGAAGAGAATGTTGAACTTGTTGCCAAGGGAGTCGCAAACTTGTGCAAGCAAATTTCGAATGCTAAGCAGTTTGGCGTCCCTGTTGTTGTCGCCATCAACAAATTCGAATCCGACACAGACGCTGAGGTTGAAACGATAAAAAAAGCTGCCAAAGAAGCCGGTGCATACGATGCAGTTGCCACCAACCACTGGGCCGAAGGTGGTCAAGGTGCAATTGAGCTAGCAGAAGCTGTTGTCAAGGCCAGTGAGCAGCCTGCCGACTTCAAGTTTCTATATGACATTGATCAATCCGTGGAGGACAAGCTGACTTCGATTGTTCAAAAAATGTACGGTGGTGCCGAAGTCGAAATCTCACCTTTGGCTCAACAAAAGATTGACATGTACAAACAGCAAGGATTTGGCAATTTGCCTATTTGCATTGCGAAAACGCAGTACTCTCTCTCGCACGACGCCTCATTGAAGAACGTTCCTACGGGCTTCAAATTTCCAATCAGAGACGTGAGGGCGTCAATTGGTGCTGGCTACTTGTACGCATTGGCGGCCGAAATCCAAACCATCCCAGGACTGTCGACTTACGCAGGCTACATGAATGTGGAGGTGGACGAAGATGGGGAGATCGAGGGTCTCTTCTGATTATTTTTTAATTCGATAGATTGTATATTGTCAGGAACACTTGCCTATTAGTGGAAAAGACACTACGTCGGCCAAGTTTCCTATTGTTTCAAAGTTCACCGAGAAAAACCGTGTGGTTTATACTACATAGGGTTGGGGGTACAGAAATGATATTCTAAGGTTAAAGCGATTGGCTTCCTTTGTACAAGTGGGAACGTCCAAGTAGCTTTTTTTTGCAGAAGAGGATCAAAAGAGTCTTCGAGTGGGAGAGAGATGAATTAGAACTTTAGGGGGGGCATTTTATTGCGAGTGTTAAAAGCTATTTAAGCATCTTCCTTCAACAAAGCTTCTCTCTTCTCGTTGACTCTTTGAGCTCTTCTCTCACGAGCGGCTCTGTTTCTCAATCTTCTGGCGTCGGCCTCCTCCTTCAATGCCTTCTCACGTTGAGCATCGGCCTTGGCTTGGATGATGTGTTCAACAAGAGCTCTCTTGTGCTTGAAAGTGTTACCCTTGGCAGCCTTGTACAAAGAGTGGTATAGATGCTTGTCGATCTTACCAGCGTCACGGTACTTGCTCAAAAGTCTTCTCAAGACACGCAATCTTCTGATCCAGACGACCTGGGATGGCAAACGGGCTTCCTTGGTACCCTTTCTCTTACCGTAACCGCCGTGACGACCGTTTCTCTTGGACTCGGCCATAATTCTAGTTCTGGATCTAGAGTGCATTCTGGTTGGCTTGGTGACAATGGTACCGTTCTTGACCAACTTTCTGATGGCGTTTCTGGAGTTGGCTTGAGCGATCTCAGAGGACTCAGATGGGTCCATCCAGATCTTTCTCTTACCAACACCGGCAACAGAAGCGGCAAGTCTCTTTTGAGTACGTAGGTTAGCCCTGTGAGGTTAAAAGTTAGTAAAAACCGGCATGTAAACATAAAGTTTATGACGATGCCCACAATTTGCAGCAGAGAAACTTGACGCAGACACAGCATTGGCAGTCCCAGCGTCCCAAATAGTACGTTTTTGCCTAGCGTATCCCGTCTTCGTCATCGACCTGTTCTTATTCCAACCCACAAGTTCTAATTCAAAATGGTCCATTTGGCCTCGAATTTGAAGCATGCTGGACCTCAAACAACGTCAAATCTTCTGTGCCTAATAGCACTAGCTTCCCCTGTCAATTTGAGCACCATTAGAGTCATCTATCACATACATTTTGTCTTTGGTTTCACTGGGCAAATCAAACGAAATCCTGGAATTTCAAGATTTCCAAATATTGAACCACCTGTCCTGTTTCTTTCAACAAAGGAGCCCTCGCCTGAGTCCCTAGACTCCAGGAAAAGATCCAGCCTAGCTGGAAGGACCAGACAGAGAGCTAGGCCGTGTGGGCTAGCGCTAGACGGAGCAGTCTAGGAAGGCTAGGCAGGATCCCAGCCCAGCATCCAGACAGGATCCTGCCTAGCTCTCTGTCTGGCGACATTTTTGTGAGTCATGACTCACAAATTTCAGGTTTTTTTTCAGGGACCGACGCAAAAATTTATTCCAATAATTTTTCAATATTTCGAAAAATTGTGGAAAAGTGTGGGTGTATGGATGTTGCGTTTTAGCTGTGACTGCTAAAGTGATAATTGTACACGAACAAAATGTATCTAGAAAATTTTCCTAGTAGTGAGTAGCTGGCTCATCTCATCGCATCTCATCTCATCGCGACTGTAGAACTCTACTCTGTAAGCTTTTAGCTCTAGGATCTACACACACGCACACGCACATTCTACAAATAATGGCCAAATCTCTTCGTGCCAAGTCGCAACTAAAAGCCAAGTCGGTAAAACGTAAGAACGTTTTCCAGGTGGACGCGGACGCCCGCGCGAACCGTATCGCAGACAAAATGAAGGAAGATCTGATAAAACAGCGGTTGGAAGAGCTCAAACGCAAAAACGCGAGCTTGCAAAACGACGAGGACGCCAGAAAGGCGTTGGAGGCAGACAATCAGATGGATCAGGACCAACAGGCCAAAAATGTCAGCACCTCGGGCTGGAGAGACGCCAGACACCACACCTACAAACGCAACAAGAAATTGAGCAAGAACCGCAAGAAGGGCTCGTTCACCAAGTTTTAAGATCCGCGGGGCGGCGCAAACGGCCGCTGAAACGGCCTTGGAGAAATTTGGAATCGGGAACCGGGAACGCGGCCTCAGTGAACACGCTCATGCGTTCCACTGTATATTACATCATATCAAACTTTTCGTTCTGCCTGTAAACCGAAAAACAGACACTGATAAATTTGGGCATATATTTTCACTTTTTTACGCATGTGGAATGGATTCTGCTGCGTGTTGGATCACAAAATTGAGGTTTATACTTCAAAACTGCGTGGATTTTTTATAACCTCTGTACTTTATTCAAATCTCAATCATCTATCGATATCGAAATCCACTGACGCTCCTCAAGCCATCTTGTAAATATCCCAAAAATTAATACACATCTACGAAGTCCTAAGTAACTGTTCACAGTATTTTATTATCACATCATGAAAGCGGGCGCTGAAAAGTCGGCCTGATGTTCATTTCCTGATTCAAAACTATCGTCAAGACTTGTGTTTTTCGAATCTCGATTAGTCCTGTCCTGATCCTTTTTCTGTTTGGCCTTGGCCCTTCGTTCCCTCCTAAGCCTACTCTGCATCATATAGTAGGTTGCTCTTCTTATTATAGTTTCCAGCACAGGTTTGTCGTACTCGGGGTATGTTTGAATAACGCGCCGATGCAACTGATCCAGCAATTGCGTACGGTATTCTTTTGAAGTATCTCGAACCCATGTTTTGTAGCCCAACGGGTAGTGAAGTTCCCGCTCAAAAATGTCCAGAATAAAGCGCTCTCGACGCAGGGCTTCCTCTGCAGAATCCAGATTCAAAACCTGGGCCAACCCTTGCGCTGAGAGTCTTGAGTCCGAAACCCTTCTGTTGTTGCCCATGCCGCCGTTATTGCTACCAGCATAAAAAGCTTGTGACATCTGTGAGGCCAATCCACTATAGGAAGAATTGTGAGAAGAAAAATGGCCACTCTGGAGAGAGTTCGAATTGCGATGATCTACATCACTGTTCTCCGCTTCCTCGTCAATAAAATCCCCCTCTTGGTCATAATGCTGACCAGTTAAGTGTCCAGAAGCTTCAATATTTTCGTCAAAAATCTGGAAAGCGCTATTATCTGAAAGCGGTACGCTGTTTGCCGTTTCGCAACCGTGACTTTTATGCTGAGGGTACGCTATCGGGGTGTGTTGGTAATAATCTATGGGGTCCTCAGACCCCATGAAACCGTGCACAGCCGATACGATGCCTAACGTGCTGGACTCGGGCGAGCCCTGTTGAAACGACATAGAATTGTTCTCTGTTCCCGAAGCGTACGCTGTGTGAGGATTTGCATGTGCCGGCCACTGGGGGCCGCTATGATACGTGGGTAAGGTCGGGGCGCTTTTTCTATCGGAAACATAGTTAATGCTCCCGGACCGGCTGCCGAACCCCGAAGCGTAAAAGTCCACATCGTACAGCGAACTGGGCGATTCTGTGGTGAACGAGAATAGATGAGAGGTATACGGTCTGTCCCAAGGGTAGATATCAGAACTAGCGGTCGCCATGGGATAGTACAGATTAATTAAAGGTTCCATGTTATCCGTAGCGTCAGCTGCATGGTTCGCATGTTGCGAGAGTTCTGCTTGCATTGGCGGCTGTGCAGCACTGCTGCTTGCGTTTGTGGACGGTGGTGTCATCAGGCTCGGTCCAGATTGTCTTCGTTTTTGCAAAAAAGCCGGCCTCTGGTTGAAAGCGGTGCAGTCTTCGAGGCCAGGAAAAAGCATTCTGGCCTGCGCCAGAACCTGCGAGTCTAGAGTCGTCGTGGTGGGAGAATTGAAACGCAGATCTCACTGGAAAACGAACAAGACAAACAGGCAACTAGCACCAACCAACAGAAGGAAAAACTCAAACCGATTTTCTCAAATTGCGGGGTTCGAATCCAGAATACGCTAAAAGCACTAGCACTGGCAATTGGGGAATAAAAAATTGACGTGAATTTTCAGCGAGCACCAGATGCAGCGATCCAAGTCCCAAAATTCAGCTTCCAAACCGGCCTATTATCTCTTTATTTGTTTCGTCTTAGGTGCGCTTTGTCAAGTAAACAATGGTGCACTGACACTTCCAAAAAACCCGGGAAAAGGCCAATTTTTTTTCGCTGTTTCTACCGCTTGCGCTTTGAAATTTTGTTATAGTTGAGAGATAGTAACGATACTACCGACACTCAGTTGAGCACTGCTTTATTTGTGTAGATACTTTGTTTTATTTGGTTGGTACTAGAAACTTTAAATTCGAGATAAATAGCTTATTTATAATGCATATCTTTATAACCCGGCTATCTAATATGGACAAATACAGCTCCCCGGAGATCACGTGAGAATTAGTAAAATGGACAGACAGACAGGTTGATCAGCCCAAAGTGAAGCCGGGGGGAGTTTATTCGAGTAGAGAAGGCTAGTTTTGGTTATATGGGAGTCTTTTTGCGACATTTGTGCAACATTTGAAGTTCTAATTGTGAAGGAGAAATTATGAGGTTAAATAGTTTTTGAAAATTCCGATGAGATTTCAGCTTTTTGAGATGGTGAGGGGTCGGAAGGATCTGTCCTGGGCCATTTGGTGAAAAGAGTCAAAATTTGGCTCTGAGTTCGGTATTGAAATAAACAAAAGTGGATAAAATATGCCGAGATGAGATCTGGTCACTGTGTACGTTTATGTCGCTGCTGTATCTGAGACAGATACCGATGAGAAGGAAGCCCAGTCGAGTCGAATGGCGTATGTGTCAGGTCTTGTAATGTGTCTATTAGAGCTACAATGATCGTCATAAACTGATTCTGTGAGAAGTAAATTTGGACATCTTCGCGACATCAAAGTACAAAGTGATAAGTGAATACCGGAGTTTTTACAGTGTGTGGGGCGGCGCCCTGGCAACCAAGGATGACAGGAAATGGATGGATCATGGTTTTGTCTCGCGAGTAAACAGTTGTCAGGATGAGGGTGTTTTAACATTCACGATAGTCGACCTTTTTTAAACTTCACAGCTCAGCTTGGTCTCTGAGAGCCAAAAAAAAACCAGGTCTGGTTGGGAAGAAACGTCAGTGATTGAAATCGATGGCATCGAGCAGTTCAGGGCGTTTGTAGGAAAGTTGTCACACAAAAATCATAACCCCCCTCACACCCCACCCCTCTAGCAAAGGCGACGACTGATAGAGGCGAATGAAAATAAAAAATTGAAAAAGTATCTTTACACTTGTCTCTGAAAATCCGGTACAATCGAGAGTCTTGGCATCTATAGAAAATCAGCAATTATCAAATGAAAGCGCCTTTCGTAGTCTACTGGCTCACCAACACCATACTCCTAAGTCTCTATTCATGCCAAAAAAATCAATTCAACAATCCAAATACAGATAGATACTCAAACATTTCGAGAATTCGAAAAAATATCTTGAAAAAGGGTACATGAACATTCCATAAGCGCAATTATCCTCTCAAATATCCTCTCAAATATCCTCTCAAATCACTCTCAGATCAGGTAGTTGTAGCCATTGAATGTGTAGTTGTATTCATTGAAGATATAGTCTTCGCAGGTATTCACGGCTAAACCCAACATACTGTCGACATAAATCACGTTCAAATCCATGTAGACAAACGACAAATACCATCCAGCTGTGTACCAGGGAATCCGTCATTGTCATTTTGTGCAGAATTGACGCTGAACAGTGTTGATCTCATGGAATACGAACCTTGAAGCTCTTACGGAGCAAAAAACCCTTGATGGCCATTACGCATGGTGTAAAAAACCCGATGAATTTCTCTCTTTAAGCACACCTTTCTGACAACTTCAACAACTCTATCTGCACAAGGCAAACCAGCAATGTCGTTTGTACCCATAGTTTGTGGGAAGAAGGACTGGGACAAACAATACGATCAGTCCATTCAATACGGCTCTCTGTACTGTCCTAACTGCCACAACTTCAGCGTGCATCCTGTCAAAAGAAGAGAATTTATATCCATCTGGTTCATTCCCGTCTTTCCCCTATTCGTCGGTAAACAACTAGTGTGCCCTATCTGCAATTGGCGCCAGGACTTCAAAAACGACGAGCAATTACAAAAAGTTGTCCGGGAACAGCAAAACGTACGACAGGGGAAAGTTGGCGTTTGACATACGACGTGTAGTCATCAACGAGTATATAAGTCCTTTAAAGTTTCGAAAAATTTGTGCCCGCTGGTAAAAACTGCATGCGTGCTTCCTCAAAAATGGACAAGGGAAGACTTGTCAAGCGATGGATCGTCCAGTAGGAAAGGTTGATCGAAAAATTCAAAAATTTGTGGTTCCAGCGCTGCCTCTTCCGCATCATCACGAGGAGGCGACATGCTAAACATGTTGGCCGAAGAAGGACCGAAAGAAGGTGCCAAGTCTCCACCCGCCACAGTGTTGTCGATGTTCTTGTATTGTGGGAGCATACCTTGAGATTTTTCCGCGAGCCACTTGTCAAGTTTCCGGAAAATCGTTTAATCCTCCGTTAGCGCGAGGTTTCAAGTTATTGTGAAGCTCGTCTATGTTTCGCAGGTGCACCAATGTTTCCTTAGGCTGCACTGCCAACACAGCTTGAAGTGCTTTGAGCTCATTTCTGATAACATTGTCGTCGATGCGTGGACTTGCGTCTTTTGTCTCGGTTTCGTAGGTTGTCAAACCCAGCTGCATCAAATTCAAGGCAGTAAGAGCCATCACAGTCCATTTCAGCGAGAAACTATTTCTTTGCCGTTTCGAAAACTGGACCACTAACACAGTTGTGTCGTAAAGCAGCAACATATCTTCTTTCCCCGAGCTTGGTCCCTCAACGCATCGATAAAAAAGATTTAGGAACCCGCTGAAAAAAGCATACATCGTGTTCCCACATAAGGAATTATTAGGATCACCAGCATCAATAACGAGCGTGGAGAGCTTTACCATCATTCTAGCCGCAAACGTACATTTTTCATCAGTATCGAGACGTTAGAACCCAACCGCGGAGGACAGTCAGACTCTGTTTGCCACGGGATACGACTTAACACGCAATTTGTGTATAAAAGGTTCAAGTAGTATTCCATGTGCATGCTGGTTATTTTCAGCTTCAAAGCAGTGGGGTAAGTTTGAAGAAAAGACCATAGTGGGACCTTTATAGAACGCTCGGGCATGGCGTTAAAAATTTGCTCGAGGCTTGCCAAATTTTTCATATCGCTTGTCGGAGTCATGAAAGCAGGTAGCATTGTTTGCCAGTTATCGAGTTCCAAATTCAATTTTTTAGCGACAGCTGATCGACGTTCGTAGTCGTTTTCTGCCAGCGCTTTGCGAGTCAACAGATAACGATAGCACCTTATGGAATGCCGGGCTAGATGCAGTTCGTAATATTTTAAAGAGTAATGTAGGTTTTGCCTCGATTCGAAGCAGAACTGCGCCAAGCTGGATCGCAAATCACTTAACCATAGCTTTGGACTGTCGTTGCTCGGATTTTTTTTGAGGTCAACTGAAGAGTCCTGAAGGTATGCGTCAACGTATTGGTAAAAATCCCAATCAAGAAGAGAGTTAGTGTCTCCCTCAGGGATTGAAGACGGTTTGCCGGTACGGGTGGACAAATAAATATCGTAACGATACAGATTCATCCATAGTACATGCCTCTTTAAAGCATCCGTTGGATCAGATATAGGAAAGTAAGCCTCTCTCAGATGCAGGCTTAGTTCCTGAGCTAGTCGCACTGCGGTGGACAAGTGCAGATAAGCCAGCTGAGGAGTAGGAGAGTTTTCAATCTGCCAGCAGAAAAGAAGAACTCACTTAATATACAAAAGAGCTTCGCTGGAATATGCCAAACTAGTCTCTTGATATAGTTGCAGTGTCTTGAGCATCATTTGCGATCATTGTCCATTTGGAACTGTCAGCATAGTTGATATAGCAAATTTGACATTAAATTGTAGATCCTATGAGCACAATGGTGTCAACGAGAAAAAGCTCAGAAAAGTTGAGGGTTCGAGGAGAACACTCAAACCTCTCTTTGAGTGCCGGAATCTCGTATTCTATCTCCACAGGTGAAATTGGAGCAGCATGTTTGATGAAATTTTGAAAAAGCACTTCACACACTTCTGGCTCAGGGAAGTCATAGGTGTCTATAACTCCGATTTTGTCAAAATAGACATTGAAAATTGCAAAATTATTACTTCGTAGTACAGTCTTTGCTTGTAGTAGTGGTGCGAGAATATCTGGTCCTCCCATCAGTTTATTGTGGACCCATTGCAAACCCTTGCGGGTAAACATCGAAAACGCAGAATATGCACCGAGATATGAGTTTTTAACAGTTGAGTGGGTGTTACTTTCTTCATTATAAAGAACCCCGGCAGGTACACTATCGGCCCCTTCATTTGGGCTGTTTTCTACGACCAATTCGTTGTCAAGTTTAGAAAGAGGCAGCTCTGATTCTTGTTTTCTACCAGAATGCGGTCGAAGGCGCGTGTTGAGCTCAAGCGACTCCTCCTCAGAATTACTTGATTCTGCACCACTTTCCGGCTCGGACGTCGAAGTGTCACCGATACCCGGTTGTTGATATTGAACATCAGTTTTAAGTGACGTAAGACTTTTCTCTGGTGATAGATGAGTGCTAACATAGACACCGTGAGATTCGTCTCGAATTTGAGAAAGAATATTCTCCAATCTCGACAAACGCTCAGACAAGTCATCAAAAAGCTTTCTATTCGAAACTCTTGTTGGCGGTTTTAGCCGTTTCTTGGCCACATGCGAGTAACTGCAATTTTACGACGCTTTGACACAGTTTGAGCATGGTTCCTGGCCATCACATTTGATTTTTTTGAGCGACATGCATCGCAGGCCCTCGAAACTCTCTTGTGATTTTCGACCATCATTCATCGGTCCACCAAGTACACCAACTGGAGCGTAGGCGGTATCTTTGATTATCAAATTGATGTGCCTATCCAGTGATGAGTGAGGAAAACCGAGAATTATCCAATTTAGGGTTGTCCGCTCAATGATTGAACGCCTTGTGAAGCCAAAAATGCTGACGTCGACAGAGGCGACAGTGAATGAAACCGTCCAATTCTGGGACGCCCACGAAGGAACTTTCTTGCTGCATTAATCTCACGTATCGGTAGACTTGGTTTGATTGTCCGGGAAAATAGGTGAAAAATGCGTTACTCGCTTTTTGTCAAAGATTTCTCGAGCTTCCGGCATTCCGTTGATTCCCATCACTCACATCTGCGTATCCCATTTCCAGGCTCTGAATTTCCTCAGCCCAAGCGTGGAAGGTATTGCTCATGATCGGCAAAAGGTGCTGCACTTGTATGGGTAGCATTCTAAATTAGAAACTGCCAGATCAAATGAGGATTGGGGACTGCGTGTACGCTGAGGACCGAAGATCCACTGATAAGAAGGTGCTTGTGTCTGTTAACTTAAGCGGTATGGTAATCATCGGATTCATCACATTATAGAGTGTTGTGTTGTAATCTAAATGTGTAAGAGAGCCGTCAAATCACTAAAATTGAGCCGTCCGTCATCATCAACGAAAATACCCGCTGAGCTATGATGATGGTGAAATGTGTGCTAGTGTGTAGTTCTCTCAGCTTAGAGTTTGCTCGTCACCATTTTTCAGACCCTTTTGGGCTTCAGAAGCCTTCTCTTTGGCGAATGCAGTTATAATGCTGAGGAGAGTTGATGCCAAAGGGACCATTTTCAATTTTGACATCTACGGAGTTTTCCAGATCAGCCAAGGTGTGAGATGAGTGAGATGTTCTGTAGATGCGAGCTCCAACATCTATCAGAACTCGGCGGTAGACCTAACGAGATTTTACTAGGGGCCTTAAGTTGGAATCTGGAGTTTCTAAAGTTTCCAAAATTTCCAAGGTCGTTCATTGATATAGCTGAGGTTAATAAATGAGACTTAGAAATGATACTTTTGAAAAACAGAATAAACCCAGAGTCGTGGATTCCAAAAGAAGAGTGGTGTATGCCATGGTGTTACGTCAGTGATGGATACCGGCAAAAGCCTTGTATGATGGTAATTTCGCATGTGCTATTCAAAAGCTACAAGAAGATTAGTTCTATTTTTCTCAAAAAACAGGCTTTATAGCAAACAGACTGGAAAAAATGGCGCGAAGATGCCAAAGTCACACTGCCTAAGAGCTTTTTCACTACCTGTCTGGGCATCGTGACGTGTATTCTGGCGTTTATTACCCAGTGGGATGTCTCACAATTGAATATATCTACTTGACCCGCGTACTTTGGCTAGGCATTGGCTGTAAAAACTACTACTACGCTACCGACGACGAGCAAAAGGTCCTAATAGTCTAAATATGTCTCTGCTTTCTCCTGTTGACGTCGATCTTCATTGATTCCGACTACTCCGATATCGTTTTGTACTATTCTGTCAGTGGCACGCACTTGACACAAATCACCTACACGAAATATTTTCGGCATTCCCCGCGCGAAAACCAAGTCACCAGCCGTGCAATTCAATGCAGCTAGTATATCCCGAATCACCAACCACTACGATTTTGAATACAGATTTTCCAATGAGTGAGTTACTACCACTCTTCCTGTATCAACTCCGTCCCGCGACACACACGTACAAAGCGATCCAAGCACAAACTATTTTATTCGAATGCAATTGCGACGGCTTGAAAACATCTTGCTACCGACATAAAGCTACACACGGTATGCGACCACATCCCACGTCATTGTCCATCCCATTCACCTCCCTTTTTCGCACCTCCCTGCCTCATTTCAAACCTAATTATTTTTTGTCATTTTATCGGACAAACTTAAAAAACCAAAGTTTCACTCTCAACTACCACCGCCCCCTCGAAGCCATCGGAACTCTCTAAATTGCATTAATTTTAGCTCCCACAAAGGTTTCGCGTCTACTCGCTTCCTTGACGTCGACGCCATAAATTATGCTCTTGACCAATCACATAGCTCCATTTGCCTCCAGGGTTACCCGTCTCAATATGAAATCAAATTTTTTCGTCCTTTTCTCAGATTCCCCAGTCAAGATCAAAAAGTGTATAAAAGAAGAGCGAAATCTACATTTTGGTATGCGAACTGTTATGTTCTTCCACCCGGTATAGATCTTTTCTGTCGCCAGATATTTTACCCCAGATCTGTTCAAGTGATACCTCAAAATGGCTGAAACCAAGAAGCAATCCAACTTTGCCGTTGACTTCCTAATGGGTGGTGTTTCCGCCGCGGTCTCCAAGACCGCTGCTGCTCCTATCGAAAGAGTCAAGCTTTTGATCCAAAACCAAGACGAGATGATCAAGCAAGGCTCTTTGGACAGACGTTACACCGGTATCGGTGAGTGTTTCACCAGAACCGCTGCCAACGAAGGTATCGCCTCGTTCTGGAGAGGCAACACTGCCAACGTTATCCGTTACTTCCCAACCCAGGCTTTGAACTTTGCCTTCAAGGACAAAATCAAGGCTATGTTCGGTTTCAAGAAGGAGGAGGGCTACGCCAAGTGGTTCGCCGGTAACTTGGCCTCCGGTGGTGCCGCTGGTGGTTTGTCGCTCATGTTCGTGTACTCCTTGGACTACGCCAGAACCAGATTGGCTGCCGACTCTAAGGGTGCCAAGAAGGGCGGTGAGCGTCAATTCAACGGTCTAGTCGACGTCTACAAGAAGACTTTGGCCTCCGACGGTATCGCCGGGTTGTACAGAGGTTTCTTGCCATCCGTTGTAGGTATTGTTGTCTACAGAGGTTTGTACTTCGGTGGTTACGACTCCCTAAAGCCTTTGTTGTTGACTGGTTCTTTGGAAGGTTCTTTCTTGGCCTCTTTCCTATTGGGTTGGGCTGTCACCACTGGTGCCTCCACCGCCTCTTACCCATTGGACACCGTTAGAAGAAGAATGATGATGACTTCTGGTCAAGCCATCAAGTACAAGGGTGCTTTCGACGCTTTCAGCAAGATTGTTGTCGCTGAAGGTGTCAAGTCTTTGTTCAAGGGTTGCGGTGCCAACATTCTAAGAGGTGTTGCCGGTGCCGGTGTCATTTCCTTGTACGACCAATTGCAAATGATTATGTTTGGTAAGAAGTTCTAAGCTTGTTGATAAAATAAAAACTACTATGAGCTTTTGAACTTTTTGGACATAGCAAATCTCCATGTACAAGAGCATAAACTCACACCATAACGGAGGGAAATGAAATTTTGTAAGTAATACTATTCTTGGATATCGTAAATAGTTTTTGATTAATTCAAGACTTCTCAATGCGGATGCTTTTATTTTTTAGAGAATTTAAATTTGAGCTGCCTAATGTTACCTTGGCACATACTTATTACACAGATTTCCTTGTTCGATCATTTAGCAAGGAAAATGTTGTTGCTCCTTAAAATGTCTCTTCTGTCAGTAATTATCTCCAGACGGGTTTATCTAAATTAGTGCTAAGGCTTCTGGGGAGTTTAGTTTTATTCCCAGCGTCACCCGATATTGTATAACTCGATTTCGAGTTTGAAATCGTTACTTTCCGCGGCTCCTCCTCCTGCCGTAGATTTCTCATTGTTTGAGAGGCGCGGATAATACTAGCTTTCTTGGAGCCACCTGGTCCTTTCGTAGCAGAAGAATTGGTGTTTTTGGGTGCTATTGTCTGGCTTGAAGAAGATCTTGAAATCGTGCTTTGTTCATAAAGGCGTTGAAACACTGACGTAGGGGCAACCACCGGCGTCGGCTGCGGCAAAGAGGGCGTAGACTGGTGTTTTGTAGGACCGCGTCTGAAGGATGATAGCGTCTTGTTTGTATTATCTGGTTTTTTAAGCTTCGAGAATATAGCGCCAGGCTTTGTCTCTCGACTGATGGAAGTGAATGTAGGTTTTGCAAAGGTCGCATGCGACTCCAATTTCGTGGAAAGTTGCGACCTGTGGGTATTTAGAGGTGTGTTTCGTACATTGTTGATTTTGGATTGATTGTCCCGGTGCGTTTGGCTACCAGTGCGAACCCGAAGCCGTCGTATTCTTCGTGTAATGTCGGAAACCGGGCTTCGTATGAAAGCCTCATTGTCACGATTGTTCCCGTTTCGATCACGCATGCGTTTATTCGAACTTCGAGCCTCCTCTTCCGACTCACGCTTCGGGGTGCTCGGTACTGCCATGCTCTCATCGTTTCCAGAATCTATTTTAACGTCTGCAGGCAGCTGTGCAACGTCTACCGGAGACTTGCGGGCTGCATAATGGGCTTGGATTGACTCCATGGTCTTGAAATTGTTCTTGTGTGTGGATTGGAAGCGTTCCCATCCGCTGTTTTTATGCTCATCTCGATTGACTTGCGTTTTTGACTTCAAATTACTTGACTTGGAATTGGCTCTGTAGTCCAGCTCACTTAGCACTGAGTTACCCAAACGCTGAGAAACCCCCAGATCACTTATAACCTGGTCGTGGTAACTCATTCCTGACCCTATACCTAGGTCCCACTTGCCCACCTGCTTTGTTTACTTTGAGTTTTCTAGTTCCCGATGAGCTTGTACAGTTCAAAATTCCAGTTCTCACTATTCATCATATACGACTGATTGAAACGGTTCTGCTGTAATGTTACAATAGGTGACTAAAGCTATTGACAGAGATATAAGTGGTGCATTCGATGACAGTTGATAAGTTTCTGAGAATGGATAACACAGCTTTGTTTTAGCCATTCGCCAAAAATCGCGACAAATCCCGAGAAACTCAAACTGAAAGAAGAAAAAAAGAAGAACGCTCTTAAACCGTGCAATGGAGTTTCCATTATGGTTGTTGATGCCTGCAGCTTATTCCTTCTCCTCACGCCTCTGTTTCTCGGTCTCAAGGTTCTTGAGTAGCATAGTTTCCGCCAACTTTACGCTGTTTTGGTTGTTGCCGGTAATTGTGAAGACACGGCTATTGTCCTCGTTGGGCTCATCGCTCACTATGACCTTGGTCTTGGTGTATTTACGCAGACTGGAAACACGGTTGCCGCCGCGTCCCAGCAGCGCACCAACAAACTCGACGGGTATGGGGACTTCCTTGGTGACAGAGCCCTCCTCCTGACTCTTGGTGTGTGGGTAGTACTGTTTCTCGTTGGCGGGCTTGGTTTCACGCGCTAGAATATCGCTCACGTCCACAACACAGGAAGCAATGGACCCTGGGAACCCTTGAATCTCGACAACACGGTCTTGCGAATCAGGCAGGAAATTTTTCGACGCCACGACTTTCACGCCGTGTTTCTCGATCAAAGACTTTATGCGGGAGCCTTGAGTGCCGATGATCGACGAAACTTGCGAGTTAGACACTATAAGTCTGAGGTTTCCTATCCGTTTTATCGACTCCGGGTCCTGGATCTCAGAGGCAGCAGGAACGGGCAGGATGAAGTTCAGAGGCTTGTACGAGTGCACCTCGGGTTCAACGTCGTCTTCGTTCAAAATTTCAATCACATCTCCAATGGCGTTTGCCACAGCTTGTGCCGAACCGGTGCAGCTTAGAATTCTGTCTGAACATCCTCTTTCGTGCGGAGAAATGCCGATTTTGACGTTGTTAGACTCTCTGATTTTTTGGATGCTCACTCCCTGCGCGCCTATGATGCGCGCAGCCTCTTTGAGGGACACTAATACGCGGTGGGTGGTAAGTTCTGGGGTCTCGAATTCTGCCATTGCTTGTTGGTGAATGGAATAGGATTGACTTTAAGAAAGCGTTTTTCGTTATACATGAGCGCGTGCTGAGATTGAAAAGTGTGTCTCGTATTTTACGACGTGAGAACGACAGGGAAACGATGAAATACCGCGAAGGCTCAAGCTCATTTTAACGTTGCGAAGAGTATTTGAACTGGGTCTTTGATAGTGGGAGAGTGTTTTCAGAGTGTCAATTTTGTGCTTCCGTTAGAGAGTGCGCTTCATTTTGGGTCTTTTTGGGTTCATAAAAATGGAGCTTGGTCAGATTAAGATACAAAAAAATCGATTATTCTTGGTTGCAGCATGGCCTGAACTGAAACGAGATGCTTTCTGAATGGGAAGCTTCTTGATTAAAATGTTTCTCATTTGTTCAAGTGCTTCTGACACGATGTATGCATTTCAACAATTATAAGAAAATAATTATCCAATTTTACATTCTATTTGAATCTAGTTGTTGCGTGGTAAAATGTCAAGTTCTGACACTGTTAGAAGTGAAGAAAGTTTCATAACATTTGTAATATACCAATGGCTTTTTTCTCCCGGGGAAATGAATAAACCTATAGCGATTAGAGACCACTTCATATGATCGTCTGAAATTTCAGCCCGAACGGGGCCTCACGGAAAATACACTTTTCATGATTTCCACCGGCAAATAGACCATTTCAGCTAACGTTTCTTGCCCTGAGCCTTCCGTTGCGTGGGTAGGCCGGAGGTATAGTTTTAGTCGTTAATCACGTGACCAAACGACTGATGACAGACCAACCTTAAAAATATGGCGTTCTAACTACTGTGTCACGTCAAGCCGATCAAAAAGCCCTTGAGAATACTCAGCGACGCTGTTACAAGTTAGTGTGCGGCGAATTGTCGTGTAACAAATTGCCTCTAACGTACATCGAAATTTCTTGGCCAGCGACTCCATTGCTTTCTCATCGTTAATGAAATATGGTGTGGATACCAGTGTTTCTACGCTCCACTTACTAAATAAGTACCACCTTCGTCGCGTAGCGAGTGTTCGCGTCCCGCCCCGCCTCGCCTCTATTTCACATCACTTTGTACTTATCTGTCCCAGAACACGTGACCACAATTACAGTAATCCTTCTCCCCACAACCATTCCACTCCCAATAAGTCCCAGATTCCTTTCCATTCTCGCCGGCCCACCGCTACCGTCGGTCGTCGCAAATCTCACCTGTCACAAATCAACTTTTTAAATTTCGAAAAAAAAAAACCAAAAAAGACGTATTTCTGTTTTTTGCTTGCTACAGGACTCAACTTCTAATTTTTGCTCATCACCAACACTATCTTACAATGTAAATGGTACCAATTCCATCTTTTCAAAATCGTTTTCTCAATCGAATTTGGTCGCCTCTTAGGTTCTCAATTTGTCACCAGTTACTAATCTTAATGTCGCTAAATAATATCACTATATACGCAAGCGGTACTCATTTTAAGATTTAAAAACCAGTAGCTTAAGAGCTTGAACGAGACCTCGTCAGTAGTTGGCATTATTCTCATTGTCGACACTCACAACACATCGAAATGACCTTATCTTCAGACTCCAAAGAAAGTTTACCAGTGGTGAAGTGTGTGGCACGAGCCAGAATCCCCACAACTACCGGCCCCGACATCTTTCTACACCTATACGCAAATGACAGAGACAATAAGGAACACTTGGCCATAGTGTTTGGAGAAGACATACGTTCCAGAACACTATTCCAACGCAGGAAGGGTGAAACACAACAAGACAGAATGGTGAGGGGCGCTTATGTGGGAAAACTTTTCCCGGGTAGAACAATGGCTGACTCTGACGAGAATCTGGGATTGTCGTTGAAGTTCGACGAAACCACAGGAGCACTCCAAGTCGACCCCAAAACCACATGGCACGACCAGAAAACGCTGGTGCGTGTCCATTCGGAGTGCTATACCGGAGAAACTGCATGGAGTGCACGCTGCGACTGTGGCGAGCAGTTTGACCATGCGGGTAAACTCATGGGCGTGGAACGCGAAGGCGACATAATAGGCGGTGCTGGTCGCGGTGTGATCGTATACTTGAGGCAGGAAGGCCGTGGCATCGGCCTGGGAGAAAAACTGAAGGCATACAATCTCCAGGATCTGGGCGCCGACACGGTGCAGGCCAACCTGATCCTTAAACACCCAGCAGACGGACGTGATTTCTCGCTGGGGCGTGCTATTCTGCTGGATTTGGGCATCTCCAAGGTACGGCTGTTGACGAACAACCCAGATAAGGTTAGCCAAGCGGAATACCCTCCTCACCTACACTGTGTGGAAAGAGTACCCATGGTGCCGCTTTCTTGGACAAGCGAGAACGAAGGAATTCACTCTTCGGAAATCGAAGGCTATCTGAGAACAAAAGTGGAGAGGATGGGTCATTTGTTGCAGCGGCCACTAAAACTGCATTCACATGCTACAAAGCCTAGCAGCTCAGCAACGATGACAACACACACGCTTGTGTAGTCAAAAAATCATTTTTTGCGCATTCTGGTTGCTGGAAAATGGCAGCCTTATATGGTCAATAGGAAATAGAAATTATATGTTCTTAATGAAAACGGGGTTTTTTCTGGTAGCTCGGGCCGCTGTGTGGTAGCTCTGATTGACATTTTTAATGTTCTAAACAAATCCGAAACTGGACAAACGAATGTATAAAAGGTTTTTATCTATCGACCGCTAGAATCGAGCTCATTGGCGACTAGAGAACTTCTCTAACAGAGCAAATGACCTGGGTTTTTATCACTTCCGCCAACTTGAGGTTCGTCTCGATTAGAATAACATTTCAGTCTTACAATCTCAATTCCGACATTTTCAAGCGTTGATTTGCGATAGCAGATTCTCCAACGCTTCTTCTCCGACCGTGGCCACCACATCACTGTCTCTCATCACGTATGCACAGCTCTTATCTTCACTCACAACGGTTGTAACGTCGATGTTTAGCTTCTTTTGCTTGGCCAGGAAATCATCGTAGCCCTTAATGGTTAGTAGCTCTACGGGCGCAGAAGCCAAAAATGAGCCAGAGGACTGAGTAACATCGCCAGATTGCTGGTAGAGACCGGTCATATTTGATTTGAGATTCTAAAGTTTGGTATGCTTGAATTGCAACTTAGAGCTCTGATAATTCATGATCCAAGGTTATGCCATTGTATAGGTCTCGAATAATGTGTTGCTCTTGATTTGAAGCTAAGTGAGATCATTATGTACGCGCAAACAACTCGAGTACACGCTGTCATATGGATTTAACTAGCTCTTGTGCTAGCTGCTAGTAAGTAAAGTGTACCCAGAGGAATATCAGAAGCCCCTCTATGTGGGTGAGATCGCCGCTTCATAATATACTGGACTCCAGGTATTTAAATAATTGAATTTATTACTTTATATTTTGAAATAACACTCCAAACCGTGCTAATGAACGTGAAATTCGCTTGTAACTGACACCGATCCTTTCATCTAAATTTATAATCCATCTTTATCCCACGAGGGTCCCGGATTTGATTTACGCTACGTGCTCACGTCACAATTTCCTGTCATTGATGAATATATTGACAATGTCATCACTATTAACGCAACAGGCCGATCTCAAGCTGATCTCATGTTATGTGTTAAAGCTGGCATCTCAACACAACAAGCTTCAACTTGAAGGCCAGAACCTATCAATTCATCTTTTAGCGACTTTAACGCTAAGTGAAAATGTCCAAAGTGCGAAGGTTTGCTCTTCACGATGTGCTGACATCTGATTCGTCGTCTGAGGATCAAAAACTGCACATTTTAGCCGAGTTTAAAGGCCATGTCAAAAAAGAACTGGTGTATGAACCATCCATACCGCATTATTTCGAATGTCTATGTGCGATAATGAACAGCACCAGTGGCGTTGGCGAGTGTGAAAAAATGTTCGTTTTGTGCCATTCAACGCTGTGTTATTTAGTCAAAAGAGTCGCAATGCAATGTCCAGCGGCTTTCGACGCTGATACCATCCGGGCTTTGATGGTCCCGTTGCTTCGAACAGTTCATTTAGGCAGCAAAATTTGGCTTGGGTCGGTCAAAGCTCTGGAAGCTGTATACTTGGCACAACCTTCAAGCCTCGAGCAAACGCTCGAAAGTCTGCAGTTGCAGGAAAATGACCGGGTGGCTGCCTTGTTGTTCACAGACGAGCTCATCCAGCTTCACCAAAAAAACAATCGGAACCCATTAGAGATCCTAAACAAGTTCACAAGTCTTTTTCTAAGCATTCTTAATGAACCACACGGTTCTAGGTTCCAGGACTACGAGCTGATACGTGATATTCTCGCCAAATACTATACTGCACATTCCATGCAAGATTTCGCCCGCCGAGTTAAAAATCCAGAGATTCGACAGCTGCTTGAAGTAAGACCAGAGGTACCTTTGGACCAGATATCGGTAGATGAGGACGAGAACCAAGAACCTCATTCTTCTGACTTTGATATCCAAGGCGAGCTTCAGGCTCTGCTTAAAGATCAAATCAGAACGTCGCTGCCGACACTCCCGAGAAACTTCAGTAATATCGATGCCCTTCGAAGGGAATTGGAACATGTATTCATACCCTTCACCTCACCGAAAGAGACTGAACATAATTGGAGACAGCGACAGGAGGCCATCATTGTTTTACGAGGAATCATTGCAGGCAATGCTTCTCTGGTGTTTACAGACGAGGTTGTGACCGCTTTCAAAGACTACCAAATATCGGATTGCATTTCGAAGGCGGTTTCGTCTTTGAGAACCTCTCTTTCCATGCACGGCTGCCAACTAGTTAAAGAAATGGCCAACCGCCTGCAGGTGAAGATCAATCCTATAGCAGATGGGATTTTCCATTCCCTAAAGAATGTGCTTTCAGCGACCAAGAAAATAGCGTCTCAAAATGCGTTTCACGCTGCATGCGTTCTGTTGGCATCAATGCACTTTCACAGCAGAACTTTCCAATCCTGCTTCCTACTCTCCAAGGACAAAAATGTCTCCCCTCGATGCTATGCTGCGATCTTCTTGCGTATTTTTCTCATTAGGTTCAACTCAAAGTTGGACCACTGTGTTATATACATAGACGAGTGGATCAACAGAAGCGCCACTGATGCTCAAACCAAGGTCAGAGAGTCGATGCGAGTTACTTTTTGGTACTATTACAAAATATATCCTACGAACGCGCAGAAATTGCTGGATGGATTCCCGCCCCAAATACGACGCGCTGTCGAGTCCTCAATTCCCAAGACTATGGATATTAACTACCTGCCTAGCAGTACGAACTCCACTGAGACTTCAAGGAGATCTAGCTTGGGGCCAGCAAGGACGCCCAGTTATGCGGGACCAACACAATCGTCACATTTGCAAAGACTAAACTCCTTAAGGACGTCCAATGGCCACCAACCTGTCAATCGCAATAAAACCGACGACACAACTTCCAGAAAGGCTAGTGGCTCAAGCAAAATGGCTGCAATGGCGCCGCGAACAAACAGCGGGACTAATATCCTTGACAGAGCCACTCCGCCGGGATCAATTGACGGTCACGCTCAAATTGATCTTACCGGCGAAATAACACAGAATCATTCAAACACTTTGATCAAAAAGTACATGGAAAAATCCTCTCAAGACGTGGGTCAACGGAATCACACTCAGAACGAGTTAGATGATATCATCCATTATTTATCATCAAAAGTACAATCTGAAAAAGAGCTAGGCATTCAGCTACTTCAAAATATTTGTCTCATTGGACTTCCTGCTCAGAGCGATAAATTGAGACCGGCAGTGGCGCTCATCATAATGGAATCGCCACAATCCTTAGCGCCACTTCTGCGACTGCCAGCTTTCCATACCATGCTTAACGCCTCTCAAGCCATCGAGGCTTTTGCAGTCCATGGTCTGCCTGTGGAACTCCTAACGCGGCAGTACACGGCAGAAGATCTTCTTCTTGCCTTGAAAAATGTGTTCGATGCGTTTTATCCCGTAGATGATCAACTGCCGCTACACTATCTGAAGTACGGGCGTCAGATACTCGATTACGGATTTGATGTGCTCACATATTATCCTAAGGGCACGCTTTCCGTAACTCAGCCATTTTTCAAGCTTTTGACAGAAAGGCTACTCGAACTTTATGGCAAAGATTTTAACCTTGGCAAATATTTTGATGCCCTTTTCTGCATTTACGCCTGTGATAGTAAGGGTTTCATGAATGTATTGGAGGCGTCATCAAGTTTTCTTCAGTCGAACGTTAGGCGCGAACTCGAAAAGCGAGGCCCTGAATTTGATTGTAACGTATTAGAACAGCAACTCGATAATGTGAATTCCGGCTTCGCAGATGATGGGCTGTCCACACAGCTTACAATGATCAATCCTTCCTTTAATCAAAGATCCGCTAGCGGCAGCAGTGTCCTGATACATGATCTGAACAAAGACGAAGATGAAAACATGCCCTCAAGCAAAGATGATGTGGATGATGAGCTTCTTCAAGACGCACAAGGATTTACCAAGTTTGGAGGACTCGCCAAACTCACGGAACTGACCAGAGTAGTGAGTCTTTATGAACATTCAAACATGAACAACAACTCTTCTAATGGTGTCTCTTTGGACACGGACGGAGACTTTAAAATGCGGGGTGACTCGACTGATTCGAGAGGTAAAACTCCAGATGTTGATTTAAGCGACATTTTCAATGAAGAGCGGTCCCATCACAAGGATGTCATGGTAAAGTTCGATGACCAGCCACGCGTAATACAGCAACATCTGTCGTCATCCGAAGAAAACAATTCTTTAAGCGGTAGTGGAGAAAAGACACCTGAAGTGTTAGCTCCGGGCCCCAGCATCAATTCCAACGAGAACAGAGAGAGGACCGAAACTCAAGTAATTCCCACATCGAAGGAAGTTGGCGACAAAGTTGTTCCCGAAAATGTCATCAGAAATGTCGGGGAACGACAGACGGATGTTCTTATGAAAGCTCCCATCCTCTTGAAAACAGTCAACGAGACGGAAGAGACTTCAGATTTTTTCGATTCGCTTTCCTCAACTCTAGCACTTCAATGGGCATTATCCAACGTCGCTGCTTCTTCTACAGTGCCGTATCGCCCTGGAAATCTGCTCGCCATCATAGCCAAGATAAAGAAAAGATCATTTACAGGGCGAGATCTGAACATGCTGTTATCTTTCTTGATCATTGGTAGAAACGAGAGCACTTTTCTCGAGTGGTTTCAAGAAGATGGACTACATCAGCTATTAGAGGTACAAGATCTTCTGTTGAAGTCTATGAATGACACCGACGAGTTTCCGGAAATGTTGGCTTCAAAATGTCTCTTACTATCGTCCTGCTTGCTGATATTAGAGTCGGCTCTTTTACGCAACAGCACAAACAGTTCAAAATTTGTCTGTACCGAAAGCACCTGGGCATGTACGCGAACAATTACGAGCAAGCTTGACAGCTTTGATAGCGAGTGCTACGTGTTGTGTGAAGAACTAAGAGAATACATGATCAATCATGGACTGATAGAAGAGAGCGATTTACCGAGACTCACGGCCGAACTAGATTCAGCTAATGAAAGTACTGTCAGAACAACATTTGCATTAGCATCACTTCGACTTTTATCCGGAAACATGACACTTCCCATGGATAAAACGCTGTTGGAAGAGATAGCCACCAAAGCCGTTCAATATATCGTCAATGACGCCCCAGAATTGCGCAAAGAGTCTACTGAGCTATTGGGTAACCTCTACAGGCTCATTCAATCAAGTGGTGAATTTCACTGGCAAGTTTTGGAGCGTCTACCTCGCGGTAGAGCAGAGCTCATCTCCTCGCTTTCCACGAATGGAAACGCGTAAAGTTTTCGTGTTTAGAATCTGCTAATCTAAAGTGTTCTCGATTGAACTCATCACACCAAAGAGCACCGTTGAGCCACCATAGACCAGTTTCCTTACTCGCATTGCAGTAGGATGACTCAGTTGAATGAGCTGATAGCGAGGTTTGGGCGTTCTGCTGACGACCCAAAGATTCTAGGAGCCTTAGAAGATCTATCCAAAATATACTCGTTGGAGGCAGAGGAGCTTTACATTAAATGGGAACAATATGCTTACCAGAAGCACAAGCAGACTGTTGATTTGGACCTTGACACACTAGATGCTTTCAAGCAGAGCATTCAACAACAGATGGAGAAGAAGGCCAGTTTAATAGGTGGACAGCCTCTGTCCGCGTCTTCATCTGCGATCAAGAAACCCAAGGCTCTCAAGCCAAATGTATCCAGTCCATCGCTCTTTGGATTTGGGATGCCTAAGACGCCGACTCTCAAAAAAAGAAGGGTGGAACCCTCGCTAACACACCAAGAGGACAACAGTTCACCAGTCATGGCATCTGCAGATCGGAGTGAAACTTTCTTCACTCCTTCTCATAGACCGGAAAACCTGAAAAGTATGACGTCTGCAGCAGCGTCTCCGTTATTGAATAACCCTGATCCTGGAAAGGTCGTCGATGTTCTGAACTTGGCGAATATTGACCCAGCAAACGGCATTGATTTTGACGAAGGTAAAAGGGTCAAACTAATACCCTTTTTTGAAGCTTCGAAATTCAATTTTAGGACAATGCGACAGAACCTCTTGGATACCGCGGACGTTCTTGACGAGCAGATTGAAAACTTCACACAGGTTATCCAGCAACATTACAATATACCCGCCAACGACATCGGCGATCCATCAGTACAATCTCAATCTGAAATTACTGCCGTAGGTCGAATTGTGCCCGATTCACCAATTGCAGATGGAATTTTGAATACCGAATCGCTTGCCCTTGAAACATCAAGACTTGCTGGTATCGGTCGCCGAGTCCAGCTCAATCTTGGAAAGGTTAAGGAGCTAACACTGTTTCCTGGCCAGATTGTCGGCCTAAGAGGTAAAAATGCTAACGGGGAATGTTTTGTAGTGGAAGAGATCCTTCAGATTCCTCAATTGAACTTTCCTGTCTCTACGGGCACAGAATTACAGACATACAACGAAAGTATGGAGAATAAACCCATGAAAGTAGTGGTGGTAAAGGGTCCTTACACTCCCTCGGACTCTTTACATTTTAGCAATCTCGCAAGCTTCATTGAAAGAATAAACACGGATATCCGGCCCCACGTTCTCATAATGTTCGGCCCATTCATCGACATAACTCATCCCTTGATAGCAAGCGGTAGCATACCAGACTTCCCAGAGCTCAAGAACCAGCCCAAGACACTCGACGAAGTATTTACAAAAGTTCTCGCACCCATTTTGAAGCAAATAAATCCAGCGATACAGGTTGTCCTGATACCATCGACGTTAGACTCGGTATCTAACCACGCCGCATATCCACAGAATATGCTGGACCGGAAGCTTTTACAACTACCTAAAAACTTCAAATGCTACACCAATCCCTCAACCTTTCAGTTAAACGAGACGTTTGTGGGGTGCTCCAACGCAGATGCTTTCAAAGATACGAAAGAGATCGTCAAGGGCGGCAACACGAGTTTGAAGAACAGATTTGACAGAATCGCAGAGCACATTTTAACTCAGCGCAGGTTTTATCCTTTATTTCCAGGCGGAATAAAGAAACGCAAAAGTCACGATCAAAGTGGATCGGTACCATGGGAACATGTTACCGGTGTTGATTTAGACGTTCCTTATATGGGACTGACTGAATTTGCTGGCAACGTCAATCCAGATGTCATTATTATCCCCAGTGAACTCACGCATTTTTCCCGCGTAGTCCAGAACGTGCTGTTTGTCAACCCTGGGTCGTTTATAAGATCATCTGGTGTCAGGGGAACGTTTGCTCAAATATCTATAACTTCACCGAACTTGCTGGAAGGGACACTTACAAAAGTCGAAGGAGACGAAGATATTTACCTCCACAACGTATGGAAACGGTGCAGAGTTGATATAATTACAGCTTAAATATCCAAGCATGAAATCTTTACACATTTAGGGTACAGGTGCCCAAACAGCGGCATTGGCCTACAGTTTTGAGTGCTCTCAGGTTAATAAAATCATCAATAGATGCTCGTCAGGGAAGTTAGAAGGACTGCAGAACGGCCTTGAAATTCAATCAGCTCGCAATTCAGGGGAACTTCTTCTTTAGTTTATTCAAGGGCGATAGAACGCCTTTGATCTTTTTTTTCGAGGACGACGACTTTTCAGATGCTTTGCGTGGCGTGTGGGAGTTTTGAGATTTTATAGCCGAGATCGCGCCAGAAGAGTGATCCGAATAGCGGTCACCATTCTTTTCACCGACGATCTCATCAGAATGGCGCCAATGTCTACCGTCGCTGCCAGATTCCTGCAAAACGTCTTTCTGAGGCCCTCCATCATTCATTATTTTAGCGACATGGCTCTTAGAGGTGTCCGAAATCTGTGGAGGCACAAACTGCTGCACAACAATTGCTTCATCGGAAGGTGACGTAGTGATGAATTTGGGAACAGCATCTTCTTGGTGAAGTTCTTCCAATTTGCTTGTGTTCGAAGTCTCTGGTGACATTTTAGGCACATCGTTGGAACCTGAACTTTGCTGTTCTTCTGAGTTGGATGGGATAGAACCGTTGCCTTGATCACGCCTTAGATGATAGTTCTTTGAAGTAGGAATGGTATCAGGAACCGTAGCCCCAGCCACAGGCGAGATTGAAGAGGTAGAGGATTTGTTTGTTTTTGTAGGTTGACTGAAAGAAGGAAAAGGTTGCCCGTTGTGAGTAGACCTTTCTGATACCGAAGCTCCTTTACCAGTGTTTACGGGTTGAGAAGGCCGACTAATCTCACTTGCTTTGGAATAACCTGAAGACGTCGACGTGGTCGTGATCAAGCCAAGAGATCTTCTGGGACCACTATCTTTGGTTGCAACTTGCGCTTTTGACGCTACTGTCGAACTTCGGTTCTTTTCGGGTTTTTCCATGAAGTCAGCAGTTTCTTTGACAACTTTGTTCAGATTGACATGTGGTGGCTCTTCGAGCTTCTTGGCGCTGATAAACCTTTCATTAGCGTCAAGATCACTACGTCCAACAAACTCAGCCGCAACTAGGTAACACAAAAAGGCCAAGTGTTCGCAAGTGAATGCCCCAATAAGCACCGTCTTCCAATCGACCTGAACAACAGAGTTCAAGTGCCATGAATCACGTTTTTCTAAGATGCTTTGTATGCTTTCACCAGATGGGCTTTTATACATAGTCACCAAAGCAGAAGAGACTAGAGCCGACACAAACAGCATGATACTCAAAAGAGCACTTGACAAGGTCTCAGTGTCATTAACGCTAGCCGAGCGAGAAGAGAGGGTCTCTGATCTAATTTTGGACTGGCTTTTGGATACGCATTTGTTCAAGCACCTCCAAATCTCAAGCTTCATGCTAACAAGATTGATGGCAACACAAACCAGCGACGCAAGAGGCCAAATGCAGGAGAACATTGCGACATACCCAAATTGGACCAGTAATTTATTTGTCATGGCGTTGATGTCAAACTCTCCCCACACGCTCAAACTGGACTCACTAGCACGCTTCCAAACGACAACATCTTCAGGGTACTCTTTGGACACTTTTGTCTCCGCTTGCTTGAAAGCAGACGTAGGCTTGTCGAGTCCTTTGATTTTTGGGATAAGCTTGGTCAAAGTGAAAGGTAGGACATTTTCCACAAGCAGGGCAATAATTTGACCTGTAACCATGAAGAAGAAATATTGACTTTGATAGCGGCCTGTATTGACTTTGAATCCAGATGCGAGGACGGGAATATGGTACCGTGAGCAAAACTGCGCGATAGGCTGCAATTGAGCATTGACATGATGTCCCATGGGCAAGTAAACGAATAGTGTAATGAATAAGGGCACATAACTGGTCAGGAAAGTCAAAACAAACTTCTTTTCCAGCCTTGATTGCACTGGGTTTGCTGGATTTTCCCACACTATTAGCTTGTCCAAAACCATGTCATATACCATAGTCAAGATTGGCACATAGGCGGATATCAAAACGGTTGGAGTAAGTGCCAGAAGAGCAGAGAGTGGTCCTTGATAGATCTGGGTGATGAAAATTTCCAGCAAAAAACAGCCAAATTGGAACGCAATGAGACAGGCTGCGAATTGTAAGGCAATCGGAATAAAGCACAGTTTCTTAGCAAACACTGTCCTCGTCATGGGTTCGGTTTGTGACTTGGTTGGCACATAGTGTACTTTTGCAGCATACTGCGATCTCACCTTGTTTTTCCAGGTGCTCACAAAACCTATGGCCCAAAGCATAACAAGAATGGTGTAACTGAAGTTAAATTCCCAAGCGGAGCCTTGGCCCGCGAAAAACCGAAATGACGTCCCCACAAGTGCCAAAAGCATTAGGCAGCGCGTGTAATATTTTTCAAACGCAAAATACATCCCAACCTGTGGAGAACCAGTGACTCGGACGAGATCCTCGATATCTTTGTCTGACACCATCAATGGTCGTTTCACCAGCCGCTGCGCCAGCTTTTGCTTTTCCTCCACCGCCACCGGCGATGGCAATGCTACCACATTGTCAATGTACTTGAATTTGGACACGATCAGAGGAACTTTGTCGTTTGGATCACTCACAAACACGTACAAAAGTCCGGTGCTGTGTCCAGGTCTTGTCAATGCGTGCAAACCTTTAGCCGAAAGCTCCGTGAGTAGCTCGGATAGGTGTTCTTTGGTGTATTGAATGGTGACACACCAATTGGCACCCAAAGAAGCTACAGTAGCCATTCCAACGCTAGAAGGTCCTGTCCGTGAGTTTTGGAGGGATGTCAATAGATAGAGGGAAGAGAAAGTATCATCTACGTAGTTATATTTGCAATTTGGACGGTTAGCATTGAGAACGAAAATCACTTTTGAATAGACTGTCACTTGATCAATTTCGCTCCGAGACGAGAGAGGACGACGGCAGAGCAGTGTTGATGAATGTGGTTTGAGTGAGGGAAGAAGGAGGATGTAATCAGTTCGAGGAGTGAGCAGTTGAGCTTCTTTTTCGTAAGAAAATAATCGGTTCGAATTAGAGATGTTGTGTTGTCAGAATTGTTGATATGGGTGTTTGAGAACTGAAACAATGTCTGGCACATGTGCATTGCTAGTTGAATTATGTGCTGAAGTGCCGCTTGTGAGCGAGTCGTGGAAAACATTCGATTTTCATTTTAAGTCGTTTTTACAAATTAATTAGGTGTCACCTAGCGTTTAGTTACAAGTACGAACGAGAGCACTCACGTTAAAGCATATGATTTTTTTTCAACAATCACTCCTGAGTATTCCTTTGATGACGATAATTGCTTACAATGGTCGCGATTTTAAAGGTACTGTATTGTGAAGCCTATATAGTTGACGTTGACCGTCTGGCCAATAAAAGACTACAAGCTCTCCTTGCCTCGCAAACTCACTGAACAAGCGTGAGATCTTCCAAAAAATGGATTCGATATATATTTATATATATATATATACATAAGTGTCAAACATGTTTTTTGTCGAAACAAGATGATCATCTGCATGGAAACAACGTCTAAATTTCAGAAAGCGGGAATAACGAGAATAGAAGACTCTACTGGTTGTTTTATGTAGTAGTTCTGATTTTTGCTACACCGTAAGCGAAATGCATATGCTCGGCGTGCATCGGTCATTCCTTAATGAATAGCTAGGCTCTATTCTACATGATTGTTGTTGAGGGACCCGTGAGCGACACAGACGTGTGAAGTGACTCACTACTGAAAAGCTGCATATGAAGTTCAAATTTGCCATGTGCAAGACTTTCTTGTATCAGGAACTGCCCGCTTTGACCTACGCTGCCCAATTTTGCGGGCCCCTACATGGTGATCCCATCACCTCTCTAAAGTTTGACTAATAATGAAAACAATGAAGTTTCTCACAATGGAGTTTTTCACATTCATGATGGTCTTCACCTGGTACCAAGCTCAATATTTTTTCTCAGGTAAGGGCTATAAAATTATCACTTTCACTTTCACTTGCAATCAAACATATTGGGCATTTCGAACTCACAATTTTTACAAACAATGCCGACTCGTAAAATTCCAAAAACATAACATAATGAAACTGTGCCCTCAACCTCGCACTAGTGAAGTCTTGAACAGATCAACTCATACTCACCAAAAGGGCCGCGATCCATTCAGATTTGTTGATCAAGAAAGCTGATATCACGTCCCACGGGTGTGTCATTAGATCAATTACTTGAAATCAGTCATCTTTTTGATATAAGTGATGGTAGAATCATAAGACGAACTAAACGACTCTGTTCTGTCAAATGGACCTGAGCTCATCCAAACCACATCGCATTTATCAATCACGAACTAGCAAGGCAATTGTATGCTAGGCCACATAACGAAAGGAATAATGACGGATTTAAGACCACAACAGTTGATTGCCAGCTACGAAGCTGTAAAGACAGAAGTGATGCGCTACGCGACGGAAGTGGGCAACAACCATGTTTCTTTGCTCCCAGTCTCTAAGCTTAAACCCGCTGACGACGTTCAGATTCTTTATGACCACGGAGTGCGTAGTTTTGGCGAGAATTACGTGCAAGAACTCGTACAGAAGGCCTCGATTTTGCCTCAGGACATCCAATGGCATTTCATCGGTGGACTGCAAACTAACAAATGCAAAGACTTGGCCAAAGTTCCAAATTTGTTTGCTGTAGAAACGGTTGACTCGCTCAAAAAGGCCAAGAAGCTCAATGAGGCTCGCGCAAAATATAACCCCGACGCTGCCAAGATTAAGTGTAACATTCAGATCAATACCTCTGGTGAATCTCAAAAATCAGGACTTCTGGCAGAAGATGATATCCTGGAAACAGTAAACTTCTTTTTGTCAGCGGATGCCACACACGTGGAGCTCGCTGGTCTAATGACAATAGGTTCTTGGGAGGTCTCACACGCGGCTTCAGAAGAAAACCGTGACTTTGCAGTGCTAGCTCAACGGAAGAAGGATTTGGACGCTAAATTTGGACTGGACTTGAAACTATCAATGGGCATGAGCTCTGATTTCAAACAAGCTATCAATCAAGGAACTTCTCAAGTCAGAATCGGCACGGACATTTTCGGCGCCAGACCTACAAAAAGCGACGCCTCCGCGTGAGGTTTGCAAGTAAAGATCATTTCTCGATTGCAGCGTGAACGCATATGCTAGGGTACGATAATATAACTTTGGTTTATAGAAAAGCCACGAATTCCTTGCAACTTCGAAATTTTCTACTAAATAAGCGCCTCACAAACAGACTCTACGATTAGCCCGGAAAGTTGGCTTCCCTGGGTTGATTTACAAGTGATATCAACTTCCTTGTCCTGGCATCTTAGTTTTAATAAACAACCCGAATTACCGTCGTTTTTAGTGTGAATGATGCCTGCAGCGAAAACAGTGTCTCCCACCATTGCTTGGTCAATGACATCAAACCCCATTTTTTGAATACAACCGCTAACTTGTTCAAACGATCGCATCGAAACGGCCCTAGTCTTGATATGACATTCACCATTTTTGCCTAAAGCATCGCTGAGAGCTTTCCAGCGCTGAACAAATTGGGATAGACTTACCTGCGGTTTATTTGCAGCTTGGCTCGTGAGAATTGTATTGGAAATTCCAGCTGCGACCTTCAAAGATATCGAACTTATATGACCACCGCATTTTAAGCTCACGTTGAGGATTGGACTTTGGTCTAAAGGACTCGCACGGCGAGTCAGTATCTCCGTTCTGTGTGTGGTTCGCTCTCCTTTGGAAAGACTCGAATGGGGAACGTTGATTACTTTCGTAATGTATGGCGGATTATTTCCGGTTTTGCACGGAATGATCTCGGTCAACAAGGATGTTATAGGCTGATCCGAAACATTGATGTATGTGAGAGCCACTTCCAAAAGTTCCGGTTGCGCCGGCGCAACAGTTAGACGATAAAGAATCTTCACGAAATGTGACACATAAAACACTCCTTGTTTGTGCTTGAGCATTCTCCTAAAGCCATCTTGCCAAGACGCAGCCAACTGCTGATCGTCGTACTTCAGATTACGGGACAGGTTTTTGTTTTTGCGGGTTGGCGGAGGTGTTGGGGCAGTTGAAGTGCTGTTAGCAGCAGAAAAATCACTCGTTGACTCAGAGGTGCTCAATGCGGAGCTGCCTAAACGGTCAAGCAAAGGATTTTTGTTGCTGCTAAATGGTGGCATCGGCTCAAATAGGGATGCAGTTAATTGCAAGCCGCTGATTTTTTCCAACTGAATGATTTTCAAATATTCATATGACCTGGTCTGCAATTCGACATCTAGGGAATTGAGCTCAAGTTGATAAAACTTTATGACAGCTGATCCAATCTGCGCGTCTCTGTTGTAAAGCTTCATCATCGTCGTAAGTATCATTGCCCGGCATAAGTTCGATACTGAAAAGTACTTGTCAGTGAAAAGATTAAAGAGTTCACCGCAAGATGTTTCGGGAGCCAATAACTCTGCAAATTCGCCCAAAATAAACGCACCGGCCTTAACAATTGCGTCTGAAACATTTTTTTGTTGCAAATACTCTAGAAGGCGCTGACAAGTGAGCTTATGAAGACTTTTATTGTTGACAACGATTTGACAAATTCTTTGCCATATATTACTGCTGCCTAGTGAGAATGTCGAAATAGACAACAATTGAAGTGAGACCACCACATACCAGGTAGTGTCTGTGGCGAACTTCTCTGTTAAAATCGCTATTTTGACAGCGATGTCGGTGCGGATCACATGGTCGCTATGTCTAGAGTCTGTCATAAATCTGAGCAAAGCGTTCACGATGGGCTTGACATTAGTGCTGTCAGTGAAGGTGCAGAGCAGATTGACTAGTTTCCGTACAATGGACGTATCACGCTCCATCATTAAAAGACTAAACAATTGCTCCATGTGCTTTGCTCGCACATCGTCTCGGGCACTCTTCCCGCTGACTGAACATAATTTGATGAGACAGTCCAGAGTTAGGTAGCGAGTATTTGTTTCTGTAGATGTCAGTAGCGAGCACAAGGCAGTAACTGAACTGATTATGGCATCGGTCGAAGGATCCAGTTTGGAGGCAAAGTTTATAAGTGAAAACAAGATTGTGTTTTTAACAGTCCGTGCAACGGCGTCAACAGCTGATTGCGTTCCAATCTCAATTGCCTTGGTAACAGACGATCTGAGTTTGCCCAATGTTCCTTGGTCGATATCGCTGAAAGTGATTTCACCTTCTGCGCTAGAAGGTGAGCTAATTAGGAAATTGAGAATGGAAACGATTTTGGTTACAAGCCAAGGATTGGGAATGTTTTCATGACTCGATAACTCATGCGAAGCTTCGCCTTTGCCAGAAACGCAATTGAAGAGGATGTCGGAAAGCTGGGGTATGAGTTTGATGCATGCCTGTCCGTCCACGTCATGCGCGATATATTCTATCAGAGGAAGAACGGATACCATAAGTCTGTAATCGTTCGTGTCATCCAAAAGACTCATTATTCGTTGGATCCAAAGCTGTTTGCGCCTGGCGTCTTGGGTCAAGATACTGGAGTCGTTGCGGAGAAGAGCCAAAAATGCTAGAGCCGACTTTTTTTTGAGAATCTGCGCGGATGTGGGTGATCGCAGCACCTGGAACACTTCATGTATGAGTTCAGTGGTCAGAACACTGTTAAACTTCCCCACAACTGCTAGGAAATTTAGGGCCAAGCACACGGAATTGTCGGTACTTGACGCCAGATCAAGTTTGAGCTGCTGGATAATGCGGTCACCGGCCAGTTGGGCCACATCTGGATGATAGTATAGTAATTCCAGCGTCATGTACGCGATATATTTTTCGGAGTACACTGTGGATGCCATCAGTTCGCAGCATTCATCTAGACCAAACATCAAGTCCGCAGTTCGTGTCGTGTTCGTGGCGATGAGGATATATGCCAACTTTGCAACATATTTTTTACGCTGGTAACCACTTAAAGATGAGCTTGGGCGGGACGGAATGCCGCCTTTCGCACGCTCACTATCATTGCCTGCACCAAATTGTCTCCTAATGTTAACCAGTTCTGCCTGAACTCGTTTCTCCCGATCTTCCGTGTGAACTGACCCTCGTAGGTCCGCTATAAAGAGCTGCAAGCCCCTCATACTGTTGTGACTGCTGCTGCTACTGTTATTAGCCAGCATCTTAAAGGTCTCAGTTCACCAATTGAGCCTCCTGAGTACAGTTTCAGGTGTTGGTTTCAGCCAAGAGGATGAGTGGTAACTGATATGTGAGTTCTACTCTGTAGACTACTAAGTAATATTTGAGAATTAAATCACAAACAGACGAGTACTTGTCGTGAGTACTTACGTCGATAGTGATCCAGAATTTTCAATTTATGTAAGTCGTAGAGAGTGATAAAGCACGTGAAGCTTGGTCACTGTGAACTCTTCGCAATAGCATCTTTTGACCTGTGTACCGTAGTATGTGGTCAATTAGCACATAGTTCTGCGACCCATATCGCTAATCTCAATACGCTTACCTGTGTCCAAGTTCTCAAACTTTGCATTGAATTAATATCATCACGTGACACTTTCAAAAATGAAATATAGCGAATATGAACCTACCTAGCGTCAAACCCATAAGCTTCGCATCTCTGCTCCTCCTGATCTACTCGTCAGGGAACTTATTCTGCCTCGATTGCCACTCTAAAATGTCGCTCTGGGTCGATAAGTATCGGCCAAAATCATTGGACGCGCTTTCGCACACTTCCAGGCTAACACATCTCTTGCAATCGCTTGCGGTGGAACCAAGAGATCTTCCTCATCTTCTGTTTTATGGTCCCAACGGCGCCGGGAAGAAAACGCGATGCATGTCGCTGCTACAGTCAATTTTTGGGAACGGGGTGTACAAACTCAAAATTGATGTGCGGCAGTTTACTACGCCGTCGAATCGTAAACTGGAGCTAAACGTGGTGTCCAGTCCCTTCCATTTAGAACTGACGCCAAGCGATATGGGCAACAACGACCGTGTAGTGATTCAAGAACTACTTAAGGAAGTAGCCCAAATGGAACAGGTGGACTTTCAGTCCAGTTCCGCTTCCGAAACCGGCGGTCTGGCTCATAGATACAAGTGCGTTATCATCAATGAGGCTGACTCCCTCACACGCGACGCACAAGCAGCACTCAGAAGAACAATGGAAAAATACTCGCAAAACATACGTTTTATCATGCTGTGCGAGTCTATGTCGTCCATGATCGCCCCCATAAAATCACGTTGCCTGCTTGTGAGGACCCCAGCACCGGACTCGCAAGAAACGGTCGACATCCTGGCCAAAGTGGCCAAAGACGAGCGTGTGTCGATCGAGGACGAGGCGATCTTGAGAACAATAACCGAAAACTGCGACGGGAATCTGAGGAAAGCGCTCTTGACCCTTGAGTCCATGGCACTGAACAACGAAATGAACCTCAAGGCTACTTCACCACTCATCAGACCAGATTGGATGGTCGTCATTTTGAAAATGGCCAATCGCATAATCAAAGACAGGTCAGTGTCTCAAATCGTCGAATGCCGCTCCACTCTTTACGATCTTCTGGCACACTGCATTCCGGCCAAAGTGATTATACAGGAGCTCACATTTGCCCTCATGAAGGAGGCCCACAAAGACGAGCACAGACTAGGTGTGATATCATGGGCAAGTGTCTTCGACGAGAGGCTCTGTCTAGGAAATAAACCCATTTACCATCTCGAAGGTTTCATTGCTAGAGTGATGTGCGAACTAGACAATTAGAACTACTCTTTCGAGAATGGAGAATTTCCTCCACAAAGCGCTCACCCGACTAGTTCGCAAATCACACTCATACGGACTGGATGTCTCTCAATTTGACCCTTCAATGGGGCCAATGCAATTCGGTCAATATGTACACTATTTACATGAGCCTAAGCTTTTCAGCGTCCTCTAAACAAGCGGTATTGAGGCAACTTGGCCCTCTGCTCGTTGAGGAATGCCTTGGTAGGGTTTTTACGCAAAACCTCCATATAGTTGACAACCGGGTCATGTTTGACATCTTTGAAGCTTTTGAGCCCCACTCTCACCAGCGAGTCTTTGGAAACAAACTCGAAAACACCTGGAAGCTTTGACCCAGCTTTTCTAAAGGCCTCACGCGCTACCTTTTCGTGCAAGTCATTACCGTCCATTTCGAAAATGATTTTGCCCGTGGGCACACGGACCATCCAGTGATCAAACCCACCTTTACCTTTACCCATACGAGTCTCGTTACCTTTGATACACACTGCAATGTTTGTGCACAATCTTTTCCACAGCTGTCCGTTGCTCAATGGTCTGACATATCTCATTATCGCGTTGTCAGCTTCTTTCAGCTGTTGCGCTGAGAGTCTGACACCTTCTGACTTCAATCGAAGTCCAAATCTACCGAACTGTAGAGTTGACCCTTTCGTGGAGCCCCCCACACGTACTGGAACCCGACCTTTTTGTTTCTTGCTAACATCTTTAAATCTGGGAGCATATTCGTGGGTGAAACGCTTCAGAACCTGACTAGGACCAGAAACAAGCCTCTGAGGTTTTAAAGGGCTATTAAACATTGCTGATTGATTGGTTTTTGACGTCCAAGTTATTCATAAGACTGATGGATCTATATGTTGTAGTTTGGCTAAATTTTTGTTGTTTTGAAGATCACTTTATACGCTAACAGAGAATTACTGTTCAAGATATATCTATCGCCTTTTCAACTCTAGCGACGGTATGTTGACCGAGCTGTCAGAGTTCTTGATTCTGAGCTGGATGTTATCTAGGCATTTAAAAAAGTCTACGTTAAGTTTTCGTGAGCTTTGTGGAGTACTGAGGGTCCAACACCTCAGTGACTATACATTAAAAAAAAACAAACAACTATACGACGAGAATCAACTACTGCGACAAGCTTGCCAATAGGACTCAACGCCAACAAACTAAAGATCTAAACCCAACTCTGAACGTACTTTTTAGCTCGATAAATAATATGATTATCTCACATCACTTTATACTGTTCTGTCACAGATTTTGTAGTACGTCATACGTAGCCAAAAAGGCCTCCAGAAAGAGCTTAAACACCACTTTGAAGCTTTACAATTTATCCATAGTTCGCTTGCCGATATTGATGTCCCAAACTAATCAAATACGATCTTATTGACCCATTTTCTGTATTCTGGCGTTTAATGCCAGCTAAATTAATTTCATAGTCAGATGATGATTGTTAACACTTGGTCGAAAATGTTTGTAGACTTCAACAAATCACACGCTATTCACGCCCAATGAATTGTTCCAGAGTGCTTTCACCGCTGCGAAGATCAGTACTGAGGCGGTTTCTTCATGGGAAACCACAAATAAAGATAAATGGGAAAGTATACGATGAGCATCCTGAATACACAAATGTTTCCAGCACTGTTTTGAACTTAAGTGACCGATCACTACATCTCAAGCCTGCACATCCAGTCGGAATTTTGAGAAAGCAAATAGAAGACAAGCTTAATTCTACCTCGAACTCTTTTCAACTTTACAACAATTTTCGCCCGGTGGTGACTGTTGAAGAAAACTTCGATTCCCTTGGCTTCCCACAAGATCATCCTGGCAGGTCTAAAAGTGATACTTACTACGTCAACGACAAACACTTATTCCGGACACATACTTCTGCTCATGAAGTTGAGTGTTTTGGCAACATTCAAGAATTTTGTCCCAAGGTTACTTCTAAAACACCCACCGAGAAGCCTGGGTTTTTGATTACCGCAGATGTGTACAGAAGAGACGAAATTGATAGAACTCACTACCCTGTATTTCACCAAATGGAAGGTGCTCGTGTCTGGAGAAGGTCGGCTGAAAAATGTGCTGATGGACAGGAACCTTTGCACATTCAGAAGATGCGTCACGATCTAGCAAAATTAGAGAAGCAGCTACGCGAAGAGAGTGGCAATTTGGTGGTACAAGATGATGTCAGCTTGGAAGGCAATCCGAAACAGAGCTACATGTCAGACTTGGAAGTGGATCTGTGCTCGCAACATCTCAAGAGAAGTATAGAACTATTGGTGGCTCAAGTCTTCAACAAGAAACTGGAATCGATGGGTTGCAAAAAATCGGAAGCCGAGTTTCAGGTACGCTGGATCAAGGCCTATTTTCCTTGGACCACTCCATCGTGGGAAATTGAAGTTTTCTGGCAAGGTGAATGGCTCGAGCTTTGCGGGTGCGGTGTAGTTCGCGAGCAGTTACTGCTCAACGCCGGATACGACAAAGACAGTACCATCGGATGGGCTTTTGGGCTGGGACTTGACAGAATTGCCATGCTTCTATTCGAGATTCCAGATATTCGTCTTTTCTGGACTCAGGACGAGAGATTCCACTCACAATTCCGCGAGGGTCAAATTACCAAATTCAAGCCCTACTCTAAATATCCAGGAACTACAAGAGACGTTGCATTTTGGCTACCTCAGACTCAAGAAGCTTCTACTCTTTCTCCCATTCACGAAAACGACATCATGGAAATTGTCCGTGAGGAGGCTGGCGACATGGTTGAAAGCGTAAAGCTGATTGACCAATTCACCCACCCAAAGACAAACAAAAAATCGTTTTGTTACCGTATCAACTACCAATCTATGGACAGAAACCTTACGAACAATGAGATTAATGAGATCCAAGAAAATGTGCGTCGCGAATTGGTTCAAAAATACAATGTCTCGCTACGCTAGCCCAGCTTAAGAAATGATTCCAGCGACAGGAGCTTCATCAGGAAGTCAGCTCTCGAACTCTTAAGGAAGTCTTGTAAATACCTGCCCAAAACGCCGGTACCGGCCTTGGGCCTTTTTAGATATTAGATTCGTTCACAATGCCTGAAGATCTAGCCGTAAAGATCAAGTCTACCTACACCTTCAATGACACTGTTCTTACCATCAACTATCTCCAGAAGATTAGGTCAAACAGTCACTACATGAGTTCCAAGAGAATTGCTGTATTGTATGGTTCAGAAACTGGCAATGCTCATGAGTTTGCCAGTAGTTTTTCTTTCAAACTACACCGATTTCACTTTGCCCACACACTTGGGTCGATCGGTAACTTCCCTGCCGTAGACCTCTTGCAATGTCGATACCTGTTCTTGATATGTTCAACCACTGGCCAAGGTGATCTGCCACGGAATGTCAAAGAAAACACGGCTGGTGAGTCAAAAAACACTTTATGGACGTTTCTAAAACGTAAAAACCTTCCCAACAACTTCCTTAACCATATTAAGATTATGATGATTGGGCTTGGTGATTCTTCGTATCCACAGTTCAATTTTGCCATTAGAAAACTGCATAAACGGCTTGTTGATCAATTGGGAGCAAGCGAGATATTTCCCAGATTAGAAGCAGACGAGCTAGGAATGATGGGCAGCAATGGTGGAACAGGTACGGGGACTGAAGCTGTCTACTTTGAGTTTGAAAAAAGAGCTCTGAACTATCTCATTAAAACTTTTCCCAATCGAAAGGTGGATGGCGCTCGTGTCAAGCGGGAACCAATTCCAGACGACATTTTTTTACATCCAGAATACAAGCTGCAACTGTCTGAAGCCGAAGTAAATCACATCGAGCCACAATTTGGCGGTGATCGAGCGATCAAGACTGGAACTGTGTGCAGTAACACTAGAATTACTCACTCGAATCATTTCCAAGACGTGCGACAATTTGTCTTCCAGACCGAAGGCGAAGCCTACGAGCCAGGTGATACAGTCGCAATATACCCGCATAACAGAGATGATGATGTTGAAGCATTTTTGAAGGCTCAACCACATTGGTTGGAGATAGCAGATCAGCCTCTTCGACTAGAGGGCATTTGGGGCGATCACGATGGCGGCTTGGTAGCACCGTTGACACTTCGCAACATTCTAAAGTATCACTGTGAAATAATGAGCATACCACGTAAATCCTTCTTCATGAAAACTTGGATGTTTTCTACTGACGAAACCAGATTAGATGGTGGTGAAGAACAGCTACTCCAACAACGTGACAAACTTCGTCAATTCGCGGTTGACGAAGATATGGACGATCTATACGACTACTGCAACAGACCCCGTCGCTCTCTACTCGAAGTTCTTTGTGATTTTCCCTCCCTCAAATTACCTTGGGAGCATGTTTTGAGCTACCTACCAATTATTATGCCCAGGTTGTTTTCCATATCAAGCGCTCCTTCAGAGTCTAAAGTTGAGCTTACAGTCGCGATCGTAAAGTACAAAACAATACTGAGAAAAGTACGGCGCGGACTCTGTACTGATTTTCTACAAGCACTCGAGGAAGGTAACACAATACAATACAAACTTCAAAACAATTTTTTACTTAGACCACAGATGAAGCCCTCTCCGGCTATTTTGATAAGTCCAGGAGTTGGACTGGCACCCATGATGTGCCTAATCAAAGCCGACTTTTTCCAGGACATCCACTTGTTTTTTGGAAATCGAGTTAAGAGTCGAGATTTTCTTTACGAGCATGATCTTGAAAACTGGCATAAAGAGGGAAAGATCCAGCTACATACATGTTTCTCGCGGGATCCATCACACTCCCCAACTACGAAATATGTACAAGACGTGATGTGGCAAAAAGGAGAGATTCTCGCTGATCTCATCGTCAAGAAAAACGCTGTGATATACATCTGCGGATCTTCGGGGAAAATGCCTGTTCAAGTAAGGCTGACTATCCTAGAGATACTCAAAAAATGGAGCCATCTGACTGAGTCGGATGAAGCAGAGAAGTATCTACGGACTATGGAGAGAGAAAGTAGATATTTGCAAGAGACGTGGTAAGTCTTGGTAAAGGGTAGGTGGAAACGTGAGAAAACTTCGAAGAGGCTACTTAGACAACAATTGATGGATTTGGATTCAAATCCAAATTTGCCGGGCATGCGAAGCCTACCAGACTGCATAAAACTTGAACAAAATCAAAACAAATATAACGATACCTATCGTATTAAATAAAGCCAAACTATTAAACTCCAACCTTCAAGAATTTTTCCCTGTCACAAAGTCAGCGGTAACCTGAACCCAAGTTGTTCCTTTAGGAAGTTTAAAAGGATTTGTTGCGGGTTCGTTGGCTACCATTTCTTCGACAGACGTAATATTGCCCACAAACCAGTCTCTATCTATTGTGAACTTTTCGTTATCCTTTAAAAAGTATCGCGTTGATTCATCAAACGCTGTAAAAGCAGCCCACGGGACCGCTTTGTTTGCATTCACCCTTTCCTTTGTATTCTTCAAGTGGTGGGACTCCCCTCTTTGCGAAGATGCACCTCCGGGAGGGGGAGGAGTCGACAGATCAACTGAAGAAAATGATGAAGCAAGAGAAGACACAGAGGATGAAACAGAATCAGGAACGTCTCTTGTGGGCAAAAACAATGCAGTGTCCCCAACCTGAAAGTTCTTCACTGTAATTTTTTCTCTTTGATAAGTCTCTAGTAAACCTCTTCTGAATTTATTTTCCTTTGTGAGCTTTTTAGCGAGGGCTTCAATGTCTTTGAATCTTTTGATGACCGAAGATTCGTACAGTTTATTTTCAAAAAGCTTGTTCATCGCCAGCAAAAGTTCTCTTTGAGCTTGAACGTTATCTGGCCCATTGGACGAGTCGAACAGCTCTTTTACATCCTGGAAAACCGTACTCTTGATGGAAGTAGGACCCTTCAGTTCCAGAGCGCTTTCAAAGATGTCACTTTGAGCCAGGCCTTTTCGAAGACCTTTCACTCGAGATATCTGATAGCTTAAGTCGTCCGTCCTTGAAAGTAGTAAACCAATATTCTCTAAAATGTAAACTGCACCGGCAAATACTTCGAATACACTTTTCAACATATCGTGGTTGACCGTCGCATTTGAATCATCCTCTTCGCTCTGCTCTTTGTGTTCAGATGAGTTCAATATTATTTGATTGTTCACCAATTCCTCATTGCTGCTCTTTAGCAAATCAATCTCCTCGCGCAGTAGGTTGCGTTCCTCATCAAATGCCTTTTTGGCTTCTCCTGCGTTTGTTTCAGCAGTAGCCATGTCACTGAGAAGCTTTTCGTTCAAGCTCTTCTGTTGCTCGAAATCATTTTTCAAAGAGCTCACCTCATTCAGCAGAGAAGCGTTGTGCTTACTCAAAACAGTGACTTGATCCTTGAGTTCCGCAAGCTTTATGGATTCGAAGTGCTCGCGCTGCTCTCTTTCTGAAGTAAGTTTCGACAGTTCATTATTGAGGGCAGATAGAGTTTCGCGATAAGCACTACGCTCGTCTTCAAAATCAACTGCCAGTGTCTTCAGCTTCAAAGACTCCTTTTTCAGAGAGTCTATTTGTTCTTGATATTCCTCTGCATCTTTTCGAAGCCTTGACATATCATCAAGTGCTTTCCCTTGAGGCAAGTTCGATGTGACATCATTTGAATCCGCCAAAAGCATTGACATCTTGACATTAACGGGCGGGGTATTGTTTTCAAACGCTGTAAGCGTCGCATTGTTCAAAATACCCGAAGGCCAAGAACGTATATTTGAGTATTTCGCATCATGTAGCAATGCTTCAAGCTTTTTGATCCTTCTTTGATATCGCCTAATGACATCAGAATCATCATGAGATGACCTTCCCGGAAAGAAATAACCATTTGACGACAGAGGCTTGAGGTTTATGGAAAATGATACTGCTGACTCCAAGTTTTTCTGCAGCAACGCTAAACTCTCCACAGAAATATTATGCTGAGAAAGCTGGAGCAGATATCGCTCAATTTTTTCTGCTGTCAGTCCGTCAGTGTCAACGACGGAGAAGCTGCAAATTTGGAGGGCATATGACTTTCGGAATCCAGTAAGATCGCTACCTGAAATATCAAATAGCGATCTTAGCTGACCAAAAGTGCGATTCCATTTTTCACGATGCTTTTCCTCAATGTCTCCTATTGCTTGCAGCTCTTGCGACATTTTGCATCCCAGGGTTTTTGCCTCAGCAAGCCAGTTCTTCTTTCGTAAGTTCTCAATTAAATGCAGACCATAGAGTATCGGCAAGTCTTCGACCTGTGATAGTCGCAATTCATAGTTCTGTAGACTCTCCAGTTGTTGATTGCATTCCTTTAGCAGAACAGTCTTGACGTCTAATATTTGTACTTGAACAAAAGCGATTTGACTCAAAAGTAAAATGATCTGCTCCTGAAGTCGTTTTTTGTTAGCAAGTGACTCTTCTGCTTGCGAAAACAGCGATTGAGCGATAGTAAGAAGATTGGGTATCGTGGAATTCTTGTTATCTGAGACTTTTTGAGATACCTCGGCTAACACATCTGGAGTGAGTTCTTCGGAGGTTAATGCTAAAATTTCGCGTGTGCTTTCCTTGGTTTCTGCAATTATTTCTTCAAACTTCTTCATCATTTGGTTTTCCATTTCATAGTTTGATGGGGCTTGGTCGAACAATGGTTTCAACTGCTCAACTCTGGCAGCGATCGCTTGCCGTTTCTCTATGTTCTCATAAATTTGAGTTTTGAGCTGTCGCAGTTGCGTCAAGACTCTGCGATTGATATCGACCAGATCATTGTAATCGCGCTCGAGGCTGTCTCTCTCGAGAAAGTTACTCAGTCGTTTTTGCCTTTCATCATTTACAGTTTTGATTTCCTTGAGCAAAGAATCGTAGAATTTCTGCCACTGGTGAGCATTGCTATCTTTGCGGAGTTGATTGTGAAATTCTACGTTAGAGTCGTAGAGCTTCTCGACCTCAAAACAGTATAGTTTGAGGTATTGTGAGCAAATTGTAAAACACTGGAATATTACACGAATTTCGGACATTGTATTCTGGATAATAGAGTGGAAATAGTGTGCGTCAATTTCCAAAGCGCTGAGCCAGCCCATGTTGGATGTTAGCATTGTGGTAATTTTGCGGTAGTCTAAATCCGACGTTGCAAACGTAACCTCTTGGAGCGGAGAGGTTACAGGCTTTATCAGAGTGGCCTTGTGAAGCCGTGTTACTGCATTCAGCAACTCTTCTATCTCTGGTGTCTGCGTTAATATTGTGGAGGAAATTGGATCCTGAGCGAACGAAAAAAGCCTACGATCGAAGACGTAGAACTCCGATTTTGCTGCATCTCGCACGCAACTAGCAAATGTGTCCCTCTTCAATTTTGCTCCGTAGGGCAGAAGGATAAAAGTCTGGTCTAAGGGGATCATCAGTTGCTGGCTCACAAACCGTTTGAAGTCATCTATTGTGAGAAACAGGCGGAGATTAGTAGTGACGCTGAATCCAGTGATGGCGTTGTAGATAGTACAGCTTGTAGCACTCATATCGAAGACGGAAACACAATTATACCACAATAGCAACTCAAACGCGCTGGCAACTCAATCTTGAAATGCGACTGGAAACAAGGCTAAATCGGCTCCAGAACCCGCTGAAAAACCTCACAAGTCGCTCGCAGTAGATCTTCGAAATGTCTAGATTCAAATGCGTATGCGAGGCAGTCCACGATCCTTCTTTCCAATGGTCTTTATCACCAACTGCGTATGCTTAAGTTCAGGAATCGATGAGCTCTTAGCATTCTGTAAGGGAACATTTGAGAACCTTAAGGTTAAGTAATCATTACCCAGGCCAGAAGGACGTTGCTTATATAATCGATCAATTAACTCTAGATTGGTCATGTGATCTTAAAGTTTAGAATAATCAGATCTAATCGAGAGAGATGAACACACCTACACCAGTGTTCAAGAGTGAAATCTAGCAGCAGATATCGTGCAAGACCCATCAACTACGATTGGTTGACTGTGTCCTTGGAATTCACTATTGATACACAAATTTGCGAGGTTTTAAAGTACATTTTCAAGCTGCTTCGCGCCAGAAAAATCATGGGTATAACGTATCGACCTCTAGATATATCGAACAGGGAGGAACTGAAACATGTTCAGAGAGTCATTGATGCCGATCTAAGTGAGCCGTATTCCGTGTACGTGTATAGCTACTTTTTCAATCAATGGCCAGAGGTGTGTTTCTTGGCGTTTAGCGAAAACGAGAAGAATCCAGTGGGCTGCGTGGTTTGTAAATATGAGACCCACAGGGGCACCAGACTGCGAGGTTACATAGGAATGCTCGCCGTCGAGCACAAGTTTCGCAGACGCGGAATTGCCAAAAACCTGGTTGCGCTGGCAATCGAAAAAATGCGGAAGCTAGGGTGCGACGAGGTAATGCTCGAAACTGAGGTGGAGAACACAACAGCACTGAGCTTGTACGAAGGTTTCGGGTTTATTCGGTTGAAACGTATGTTCCGGTACTATCTGAACCAGGGTGATGCGTTCAAGCTGATACTGCCGCTCTCGGAAAAGAGCTGTACCAGAACAACCTTCCTGCTGCAACCAGAGACGACATTTGCAGAATGACGCGAACAAACGGCCGCGGCTGAATATGCGAGTTAGTCCCTTCTCTATTTAACGGACGTATGAAATTAATAATAATGTACAATTTAAAGAACCCAGACTTGGCCAGCAGAGGGAGCGGTAGCAGTTTGCTTCGCTTACTCTTCCTCGTTGAACTTTGGAGCCAAGAAAAATTGTAGGTACCCGCTTTGTAGGCCGAATTCGAATAGAGCAGGCGTCTCGGAGGAGAGTTTTATGGTGATCTGCTCTGCTAGACCGGCACCCTTGATGATGTCCAACAAGTACTTGGACCCGAAAGTCAAATCGACAGGCTTATCGAGTTCGACTTTAACACTTTCTTGGGGCTTGTCCATATCGGTGTGGGGCTTAACAATGACCGAACCAGACCCGATGTCACCCTCGGCGACAAACTTGACGGTGTCCTTGGTGACCAAGATGTTTAGCGAGTCGCTGAGCTGGTTCAGGTCGCGCACCACCTTGGCGAATTCGGCAGAAGGCATCGTGATGGTCGTGTCGTATTCCATACCGTCGATGTCGAGGAAGTCGGCATCGATATCCATGAGTTTTAGCGAGTATTCACTGATCCGGTCCTTTTTGGTGTCTTCGAACAACAGTAGCACGGAGTCTGGGGTGTCATCTGCGATCAAAGTCAAGTTGTCGTTGTTGTTGCCACAGCGCAAAATCTTCGATAGCGACGACAAATCGACACCGAGAGTGACGCTTCTGTCGCATCTGAACTCCTGAAACGACTCAGTGCCGATGGAGAGCGAAACCAACAAAACACGCGAGTCGTCCACAGCTTGTGCGGCGATGCCGTGTTCGTTACAGTTGAAGTTCACGAGCTGAACGCAGTCTTTGAAAGAGTCAATGATCTTCTTGAACAGACTGGCTTCTTCGAATTTACCTTCTAGCATGATTAAAAATTGGGTATGGTGCGACTATTGGCGGTGGGCTCCTTGACTCTCGTTGGATTAGTGGAGTGCAAGAAGGGATGTGAAGGATGTGAACTTGAAAAAAGATGCGATTATATATATTATAAAATCTGCGACACGACACGACACGCGTTAAGTATTTGAAAAAGATTGAGAGCAGGAGAAAAATGAAGCAATTTACGCGTCAGTCGCAGCCGTCACAATATGACAAAACGACACATGACAACCCACAAGCATAACCGCTGGTCAAAACGGCCTGCCAGCCGTTTGTGTGATCGAGCTTTGTACAAATTGTTGGCGTTTTTTCTTGCTTAGCTACGTCTATGGTATACATGCGAACAGAGGAGGGAATGCGCGGCCATCGACAACCCAACGTCGTAAGTCTCTGACTTCGCGATTTTGCTAATGCAATTACGCACTTTTTTTTGCCGTTTTTCTGTAATCTTACAAACTGGGGCCCGCCACGACGATGCTTATGCCTGGCAATGCACCACTGGCGGGAGATCCGAACCATAAACCAAAGACACTGTGATAAAAAAAAACATGGAAAAGGGGGGAGGAAAGAAAGCCAAGACGACAACGGGCGCACTTAGGCCTTGGTGGCGTTGTAGAGCTCCTTTTCCGACTCGTACCGTTTTTTGTCGGCCTCGGCCTTGGACTCGTAGGGCACTTTTTCGTCATCGTTGAGGGCCTTCCATTTTTCTCCCAAGATGCGGCCGACTTGGCCGAACGTCACGCCTGGGTTTTCTGCGCGCACTATATCTCTGTTTTCGTTGGCAAAGAACATGTATGCGGACAGCGCTCTCTTGGGGGCGTTTGGGTCCTTCTTTCTTCTGGTGGTTTTCTTTCTGGGTTCTCTTGGGGCTGACATCTGTGGGGAGAGAGGGAGACAGAAGTTAGTATTGTTGTTGTTGTTGCGTGCGTTGGACTTGGAAAAGCTGGGCTCTGTGTGCGTCTTTTATTCAAGAAGTCAGTCGGATTACGTGTGTGTGTGTGTGTGTGTCGCGAAATATTCCACGAGACGCGTAGTATGATAGAGAAAGAGAGAAAGTCGTGGTCTGCTGGCAAATATCCCGGACCACGTGTTGTGCGATAGAGCGCGTCTGCCGGGTAACAGAGCGTGGCTCACGTGATCCTGTAACGCGTCTGTCAATAAACAAATTTTAGTCACATGATAGTTAAAGTCACATGACTCTTAGTTCCACGTGGCTTGTATAATCATCTGACCTTGATAACGCGTCTGCCGGGTAACAGAGTATTCGCTCACGTGATTTCTTCTTCCGTCCCTTTCCCTCGTCTTTTCCACATCTCCCGCTTCCCTTTCCCTCTCCGTGTCGTCCACTCCCAGCACACACAGCCTCCTTTGTCTCTCGTTTAACACCACTCATTGTCCATACACTGTGCTATACTCAACTGTAACATACTATGAAAAAATTCCCGGCTTGTTTTGTATGTAACTTTGTACTGTGTAGGGCCTTATAATTTCCCTATAGTAGTGGTTAAGTATACAGAGAGGCCTTCTTACTATGTGTTGAGCTTTTGTATGGCAAACCCATAGTAAAGGAAAAAGTTGTTAGGTGCAAAGATTCGCGATACGGCGGACGAGGCGAAGGGCGGGTAACGAGCGGGTAAGCGGAGGGAAAGATCGTGGTGGACGAGGTGGAAGAGGAACGAAAGACGAGATATGGGAGAAATGGTGGTGAAGATGGAGAGTTTTAGATGGAGGGTTTTTGGTGACGATTTTGATGGTGGTCCCGATATTGGAAGGTGGAAACGGTGTAGGTGGGTGTGGATAGTGGGTAAGTTTTCGTATGAAGTGATTGATGGTTTTGGGTGTTTTATAGAGATAAACGGTAGTCGGGAGTCGAGAGTCGGGAGTGGTGTGAGTGACGATGAGTAGACAGTCGACGATGTGGGTGTTGTGCAGTGAGATGTGGTGTGCTGTCAAAGAAGGACGCGGGTCGCGGGTCACGTGACACTTCTTGACCACTGGGGAACTTGAGCATTTGGGAGCTTGGATACTTGGCCTGGTCATTGTCCTGAGGATTGAACGGAACGTCGGGTTCTTGCTAGATTTTCACCGCAACCCTGGCAATGTCTGCATGGTCGGTCGAAGGGTCCGTGCATAGTGATATTATTATTGAGCCTTTTTCGGCATTGAGAGATGAGATGAGATGAGATGAGATGAGATGAAACAGAGACAGAGACAAGCTCACCAAGATCCCAATTTCTCCCTCTCAAGCCTGTATTTGGTGATGTATGCCCTGCCTCCGCTTACTCCTTCTTGAACCGTTCATAATGCTTTAGATGGTCCGGTCCCACGTTCCGGGCCTGTGCCAGTCCTCCCACCAACCGATTGGCATAATGTATCTTCGCTATACAACGATCTATGCAGCACATCTCGCCCTTATTCAGGTCGGCCTCCCCGTACTCGTGTGGAATGCATTTCTCCATGCAGCTTCGCAGCATGGTGTTGAACGACGTGGACATCGCGTCGAATTGGACCTGGGCCAAATCCAGTCGTTGCTCACTGACTTCTTGAGTAGAGTAAGGGTTCATAAACAACGACATTGCAACGTGCGTTTTTGGTATAGAGTGGGAGTGCACGATTGATCCGTGCTTGGTCTGCTCTCAACGTCTGTTAGGATTCCTAGCGCGCGGGTCTTCATCACTTGGACCAAAATTTTTTACCGAAGTGCAATATCACTATGTCCTTGTCTGTCGCCAGGTCATGGATGCGACAACGTTCTGGCATAAGGCATAGAAGTAGCACCCAACTGAAGGCATAATTGGAGGTGAATCAATTGAGAACGGCCGATTAAATCTACCACGCTCCACGCCTGTTTGTCTTTTATCGTGGTAGTGGCTAGATGAACACTTTGCACGTGACGCGTATGCTCGCATACAAGCTGGCCATTGTTCCAGCATCTGTGTATACTCTCTCTTATATTTAAATTCCCCTCTAAACCATCTTTTCGTGCCCTTCAGCATGTTTCAAATCAATTTTTGCCCGCTCTCTCAGGTACCACGCTCAATACATATAATAAAACACGGGCAATTGGGATAATTCAACAACACCCCGAGTGGGGTCCAATTCTGGACGGTTCGAGCGTTCTAGCGTCCTTCCTTAGCCATCAAATAACGACATTTAACATTTACTCTCCAGAGGAAGACCTTCTCTTCATGTCCACGTGACACAATTTCTCATTCCGACGTATCCCTCATCGATTGGGTTTGCCAGATGAAAAAGCTAACTTGTTAGTTTCTACCACTACACCCGACAGGGCGGTACCAAAGGGAAGGACAAAGAGCCTCCACTCATTGTATCAGCATTACCGAATCTGCTCCAGAACCCTACCGTCTCTTTAATCCATTGCCATGCACATTTTAGTATGTACCCAGGGCCCTGCTTCGCCTGAAAGAAGTGTGCTCATCGAAGACGACAAATTTTTAAAACTCGTTTAGCCGAGTCTTTGGAGCCATACCAGCTGTTCTGCGTTCTATAATTGCGTCTTCTGCCCTCCTGTGCCCCCATTACTTGCATACTAACCGTTAATTCCAGCTCACAAACGATGATGGGCCTCCAGACGCTAGAGCTTCGCCATATCTTCGCCATTTCATTCAGCATATTCTAAAAAGCCGTCCTGACTGGCATCTTACCATCTGCGTACCGGATCAGCAGCGTTCTTGGATTGGCAAAGCTATTTTCGTGGGACGTGATGTCCATGCACGTTTTGCTTACATGAGCAGAGATGCGTCAGATGACGTAATGGTCGGCCCGTATCTGCAGCCTCAACGGTCCGTGCATGGATCGTGTCTTCCATGCATCACGAACAAAGGCATCGCTCCAGATGCAGTTGAACTCTGTCTGGTCGACGGAACACCCGCAACGGCCACGGACGTTGGACTCCACCACTTGACAACTAACAAGTTCGACCTTGTGATATCTGGCCCCAACGTGGGACGCAACTCTTCTGCAGCGTACATGACTTCCAGTGGGACTATCGGGGCTGCGATGGAAGCAGTAATCACAGCTGGCGTCCGCTCTGTGGCTTTGTCATGGGCCTATTTCGATGGAGTCAAGTACGTGGAAGACCATATCCTCAAAAGTGCCTCCGAACAGAGTTGTCGAGTGATTGAGCATTTGCGTGAAAACTGGAATAGCGACACTCAGCTCTACAACATCAACGTGCCTTTACTGGAGTCGCTTTCTGCAGACACAAAAGCCATCTACACCCACGTTTTGGAGAACCAGTGGTGCTCGGTGTACAGTCGTGGGTTCGACGCAGACGCAAGCAAAACCACCAGAGCGGAAGACCAATTTGCTGATGTGGACTCGGAAAATAAAGGCATCACTTTCACTTGGCAGCCTGATTTTATCAAGCAGCGTGAAGCCATATTCGCCAGCCCGGAGGACAGTAAGAACGACGGGAGAGCGATAGAAGCGGGCCTCATTAGTGTAACTCCTTTGCGAGCCGTGTTTCATCAGGTCCAGGGCTTATTTGGAGAACTCACTCTTAAAGAGCCAAAAAAATTGGGCAGACTCTCAGAAGCTCCGGTCGACGAAAAAATTGCCAGCCAAAACGCAGGATATCTGCTCCTAACTCTTCCCTCCAGTGAGTACATTTACCAACCTCTCACATCCGCAATTAATAACAGATTACCAAATGTTCAAATAGTGAAGTCTCATCCAAAAAACGCAAAAGGCTTGAAAGTTCTTCATTATGGTGACTATGAGCACATCGACATGGACAAACTGGTCTCAGACGGCACTTACTTCGCCAATACCTACGTTTATCGTAAGGCACTTATTCGCAAACACTTCCTTGCGCACACAATACACTCGTATATCGTTAAAAACCCGGAATCAGCTCTGTCCAAAGCATATCTCGAGACTTTCACCATCGATGTGGACTACGCTGAATTTCTAGACGATGCCTTGGACGAAAATTGGGAGTTGAGACAAGAACTTGAAGCGGAAGATAAATGGTGGATTTTGAAACCCAGTATGAGTGACAAAGCACAAGGCATCAGAGTTTTCAAGACTATTGAAGATCTTCAAGCTGTGTTCGATTCATTCGACGAGGAGCCTACGGATGATGAGGGAGAAGCAAACCCAAACAGCATTATCACTTCTCAGCTGCGCCATTTTATTGTCCAAGAGTACATGACCAACCCATTTCTAATGCCGTCTCTTCAAAACCGAAAGTTCCACATTCGCTGTTACGTAACCTGCGTGGGAGATCTTGAGGTTTACGTGTACGACAGAATGCTAGCCCTGTTTGCCCCAGAGGCCTTTAATAGTCTTACTGATGATTATAATGCTACAGATTCAAAGCACTTGGCTTGCCACCTAACCAACACATGTCTACAAGAGAATAAGGATACCAAAGAAAGTACTGTGTACGAGCTGGACGCTTTGGAGGACTTGTCCCCAAGCGATCGGTTAAAAATCAAATCTCAAATCCATGAGATATCTCGTGAGCTTTTCCTGGCCGCGGTGACAACAAATAGAATGAACTTCCAGCCTTTACCAAATGCTTTTGAGACATACGGCTTGGACTTCTTGGTCGATTCATTTTTGAACGTGAAAATCCTTGAAGTAAATGCCTACCCTGATTTCAAACAAACAGGAAACGAGTTAAAGGGTTTGATCGATGAGCTTTTCGATGAGCTCACCAAAAATTGTATTGTGCCTCTTTTCCAGGAAGAAAAAGCCGAATTTGAAGCCTCTAGCTTTGTTCGGGTGCTAGATCACCAATCCCACGAGTGGTGATGACGCCGGTAAGCGTCACTTATCAAATATGCAGATATTCAATAGGCAGGTTAGTGTCTCTTAACTCGGTCTCTCCGAATCATCCTCATTCTTTGCTTCGGCATCTATTCTCTTTTCTGTCATAGTCCTATTTGTTGTAGCGCTTATCAAGCCTCTCTTCACAACATGAAGGGCATTTGGAACTGTCAAGCCTTCCTCTGGAATCCCAGCATATTCGCGACCCCACATGGAAATCCGCTCTTTTATACGCTGCGCCTTTACGATGCAATTACGAATTTTTTGCAGGTTCCTGATAAACTCCTGGTTCCGTTGCAGAGCTATCTGGGCTAATTGTCTTGCAGCTTCCACCTCTTCCGTAGTTGAATCTTGCTTGCGCGATATGACCGTGGGAAGGACACTTAATGGGTCGAATTGGGGCAGGGCAAAGAATGGATCGCCATCAATGCTGTCGCGTTCAGACTTTAAGGGCTGCAACTGCTGTTGAGCTTTGGCATCACCCACCGTCTCATCGCCTAACGCCGCGTCATCCTGCAATTTTAAATTGTGGTCATATTCCTCCAGCTTCAATTTCGACTCCACCAATGGTCCCGGGTAGTCTCCCAAAAATGCCTCTAAAAGCTTCGAAAACGACACAACGTTGCTCTGTTCTTTCTTAATCATTAGCACCGCCTGCAGCGCAAGTTCTCCGAGCACGCTGCTTTGGAACGTTTTTGATATAGCTGGGTGTTTCGCAATGTCTTCGAGAGAAGAAATAGGAGCCAGAATCTGTCTCACGTTGACTAATTCGTGCAGGTCGGCACTGCAACTGTTGTCCTCGTCGTCGTCGTAAGCCTCGTCACCCCGACGGTTTCGAGCTAAAAGTTTGTGCACCGATCCGTTGTAAAAAACATGACTGTCTCGGCTCCCACCATGGTTTCGTAGCGAGGTTCGCTTCACCCCCTCGGAGTTTTGTAGTAGCTTATTGCCTCTATTCGTCGTGGCGCCATCAGTAGCAGGGAAGACAGAGCCGTCTCTTGACCGTTTCAACCTGGGAAAATTCCCACTTCTCTGCCGTAGAGCGGCGCTGGAAAACTGTCTGATCTGGTTTTGTACCTCCGCTTCGTCTATTTGATACGCCTCGGTCATCTTGTGTGTCGCTAGCACGATATGGATTGGTTAGCCTGTTTTGGTGATATTCTAGCTTTTAAACCTTTAAAGATTGTATAGTTTATGTAAAAGTACTCGTGTACTCGTGTACTCATGTACTCATCTACTCATGCACTGATACAGGCCAAAGCTGAGTGACAGCACCCCGCATGTTCGAGGGAAATAGATTTGATTCCTATGTGTGAATTTCGGAAAGACAGGACACTAACAATTAAGCTGTGAGTACGGATAGTGCGAGGAAAAAACTACTAATCCGACATACTGTGTCCTGTTTGAGAATCACGATGCGAAAATGCCAAAACACCGGAATGATTCAGTAAGCAATTTGCGGGGAGTCCACTCAGTGGTTCAGAAAGGAGATGGTCTTTTCACTATGATATTAAAATCACTGTAACTGTCGTCTTCCATCCACAACAACAAGAGCGGGTCATATCGCTTTCTACGATTGTGTCGTTCGACAATTTGGGCATTACTTTATCCATCACCCACTCAGCATATTTCTTACCATCCTTTGATCTGCTTTAGGCAGTAACGAGAGTCTTCAAGACATCTCACAATGCCTTCTGTTTCATCACACCTCTCTTTTCACCAGAAAATTCTTGTTTCTACTTCTTCGCCTGGTCTCGAGAATTTACCTATCTACCGTAAAAACTAATGTTGGGCTTGAAGGACAAACTCCAGCAAGAAATAGGAAGCAATCCTATCTTACCATCATCATGGGACTTCTGAGCACTGTGGCAATGTACCTGGCAATTGCTGTCTTGATTTCGACCTACAAAAGTCTTCCCGGTGCTTACTTTGTTCGTTTTTATGCTCGAGTCTTCCAAAATCTAATCAAACCCCTGATCTTGGGCAAGGATACAGACACAATTCGGAAGCTACAGAAAGACAAATATGGTTGCTTCTCCTACACGAAATTGAGCACCTTTGCATCTTTGTTCGAATGTGATTTCTACCTGCACAAGAGTAACAGCACATACTTTGAAGAGCTAGACGTTTCTAGAACGGACCTGATGACGAAAATCTTTCAAAAACTGTTTCTCACTTCTAAATACTATCCATTCGTTCCGGTGGCGAACGTATTCACCGCCTTCATCAAAGAGATCAAACCATTTCAAGCGTACCAAGTTCGCAGCAGTGTTTTCTGTTGGGACGAAAAATGGATATACGTGTTGAGTCGCTTCATGATAAAAGACGGGACTCAACTCGCGGCACTCTCAATCACAAAGTATGTTTTGAAAGATGGAAGAAAAACCATACCACCTCAAACTGCTTTGGAAATATGTGGCTTGTACAACGATGATGTTCAACATATTTCGCAACGTAACATGAAAATACTATCTCACGAGTGTGGCTTCCATGAAGTAGATCCACTCGTGAAAATAGAGCACGAATACAGCCAGATCTGATCTGATTTGATCTTATTATCTCGGACTGTGACGCTGAAAATAAAATCTCTTCGAAGCACGTACTTACACTTTTTGGAACGCAAAGCGTACCGAGATAGCGAGATCATCAATCTCTTTGAAAGATCATAAAGGAACAATTCTCTGTTGATTTAAAGCACATTAAAAATGAAATTTCCATTCATACATCTTAAAGCTCTACAAACCATTAAACAGGGGTCATTTTACAACCAAATACTTATTGAACTTTATTGAAGACCCTTAAAAAGTCTGGGAGTGATTTTTTCAGGCATCTTTCAAGGCATCTGAGTTATTCCTTCAAAATGCTTTTTTGGTTTAATAGTAAAGCAAACTAACTGGATCCTTCCTTGAAATTTCGCCAACACATCCAGGTGAATATCTGCGTTCTTCTGCGCTAGTTCCAAATAGCACTGATACCACATGTATCTAGCTTATAGACTGACCTCTGTGACGTTTCGAGCCATCTTTCATTACCATCGTCGTTTATGACCGAATCTGAAGTCCATCGGGCGTCAGCGTCAGTATATATATTCGAGATATATTTAATGGAACACAATCTCCTCTTACAGACAAAGAGCTCATCCAAATAGTTACAACCCGAACACTGGCTTTGCCTCAACTTGCTACATCGAAAATGACCTCCTCGCTTGCTCTCCAGTCAAATACAAAGATACTAAACCGCCCTAATACTAGCTCAAAGGAACAACCACAAACCAATGGAGGAGAGTTTCCAAACAAAGAATGTGCAATAAATCTACTTGCCAGACACTCTATAGCAGCTTCTGAAGTGAGAAATATTTATCAAAAGGGAAATTTCTCCACGCCTGGGAGTTTTGAAGTTCTCCAAATTTTGGGGAAAGGCTCATACGGCGTTGTGGTCTCTGCTATTGACAAAAGGGGAGTGGATAAACCATTTCGATTGGCAATCAAAAAGGTGACGAACATTTTTCAAAGAGAGATTCTGCTCAAGAGGGCGATTCGCGAGCTCAAATTTTTGAACTTTTTCCGCGGCCATAAAAATATCGTTAGTTTGCTCGACCTAGAGATCGTTTCCGAAAAGCCCTTTGACGGTTTGTACTGCTATCAAGAGCTGGTTGATTACGATTTAGCCCGTGTGATCCATTCAACAGTGCAATTTTCCGAATTTCACATCAAACATTTTCTATATCAAATTTTGTGCGGACTCAAATACATCCACAGTGCCGATGTTATTCACCGAGACTTGAAACCTGGAAACATTCTCTGCTCGATTAGTGGACACCTTAAAATATGTGATTTCGGTTTGGCGAGAGGGGTGTCGCCGTTGTTCTCCGAGAACAAATCTGGCGACATACACATAACCAATTATGTGGCAACTCGGTGGTACAGAGCTCCGGAATTAATACTCTCCCACAAACGATACACTAAGGCTATTGATGTTTGGGCTGTTGGTTGTATTTTAGTAGAGTTTTACGGGAGGAAGCCTCTGTTCATGGGCCAAGACTCTTTGCATCAAGTTTTTGAAATTCTCAAAGTTTTGGGGACTCCGCAGCCCGAGATCATTGTCAAATATGGCTCTGCGCGATCCTTTGAAGTTTTTTCTTCTAGACCAGATGTCAGCAAAACTCATTGGGAATCTTTGTATCCAGGATCTTGCGAAGAAGCGCAAAATCTCATGGACGCTTTGCTAGATTGGGACCCTGACAGGAGACTGAAAGTGGAACAAATTTTGGAGCACCCTTTTTTCGTGGATGTAAGAGATGTTGGTGATGAACCAATCTGTTCACACGGTCCATTTGATTATTCCTACGAGACTAAATTTACATCCATGCAAAAGCTGAGAGAAACAATATATGAAGAAGTTAGCCAGTTCAAGAGACTAGGGCGGTCTCATAGTGTTGACATTGTGTCACAGACATTTTAATTTAGGTTTAATGGTATTGGTAAAGACAATATATAGGTAATAAATAACAAGACTTTTCAAGAGAACAATTGCCTTGCTTTGACACTTCAAATTTTAAGTTGATAAAGACGGTCCAAACCCGAAATCCCGGCCATGCGAAGCATCAAAGTGCAGTGTCAACAACAACTTTTTTGGTGACGCCGGATTTTGACTACATGATCGAACTGTGTCTGTTTGGGTAAATGTGATATGAGATAAGAAAAAGGCATTATCACTGACCTTACAAGGTATCAATCAGTGCAGTAGACCTGAAAGTGTCATCGCAAGACCAATTGCGCGAACTAAGGTCGAGCTGTTGTTTTCACAATGGGCTCCCAGCTTTCTCTTATTGCACATACAGCGCCTTCAATAGCTATTTCGTCCTACATTGATATTTTAGACGAAGTTCATTATCTGTCGCAGCTGAACTCATCTCGATTCCTAAAGACGTGCAAAGCGTTGGATCCTAACGGAGAAGTTCTTATCAAAGTGTTCATCAAACCTTCTGATGATTATAGCCTAGTGAAATTGCAAACAAGGCTTGTTAGAGAAGCACAAATGCTGGCTCAACTGCCGAACGCCTTAAATTATAGTAAAATAGTTGAATCTGACAGGGCAGGCTACTTGATAAGACAACATCTCAAGTCTAGTGTTTATGACCGACTAAGCACTAGGCCGTTTCTTGAGATCATTGAGCTCAAATTCATTGTGTTCCAGCTTCTGCGAGCTTTAGACGATATACACTCGCGAGGCGTGTGCCACGGCGATTTAAAACTGGAAAACCTTTTGCTGACCAGCTGGAACTGGTTGGTGGTAACTGATTTCTCAGAAAATTTAAAACCAACTTATCTACCCGAAGATAATCCTGGCGATTACTCTTTTTACTTTGACACGTCTCAACGACGAACTTGCTACTTAGCGCCTGAAAGGTTTGATTCATCGAAATACCAAATGCTGGGTGATCAAAATTTCAAGCTCACTCTCGAGATGGATGTGTTCAGTGCTGGCTGCTGTATAGCAGAAATCTTCTCGGAAGGTAACTGTATCTTCAACCTGTCTCAGTTGTTCAGGTATCAAAATGGCGAATACAATCCACAAGACTTTTTGAATAGCCAAGTCGAAGATCCTGGTTTGAGAGAGATGATCCTGGGTATGATCTCTTTAGATCCACATAAAAGGAGCAGCATTAGGAATATCCTGCAAGGATACAGAGGTACTTTCTTTCCAGAGCATTTCTACCACTTTTACTACGATTATTTCACGAAATTGGCGACCATAGATGGAGGAATACCGCCACTCGGCAACACTTTTGGTACACTTCAGTTATCGAATCTCTCTTACAACATGGACAAAGTCGTGCAAAGAATTTACAAAGACCTGCCGAAGATCTGTTCCTCACTCGATTATCCGATACAAAAAGAAGCGCACACCGGTGTTAAAGGAGGACATAAGCAATTGAATCAACTCAGTTTGCCTGGTTTGGGCACTATCAGACTTCAAGGCACCGACAGGACGACTTCGAGCGTTGTGGATGAATCCTCGCTGCTTCTACTGTCGCTTTTATTGCACGCAATAAGAGCAGTCAAGTCGAGCTCTGTTAAAATAATGTGCTTAGAGCTTTTTGTTGTGCTCTCGCAATACGTATCGGATAGTAACAGGCTTGACAGAGTGATCCCGTTTGTTGTTTCGATGCTGTCTGATGAACATTCCACCGTTCAGGCGCTAGCAGTTCACGTTTTGTCCCAAATTTTGGGCATGACAAAGAAGGTGAACAGAATCAACGAGCTCTTATTTACGGATTATCTCTTGCCGCGTCTAAAAAAGCTCACTCAAGTGGCGAAACACAGCGATTACGTGAGGATGGCTTTGGCTGAAGAGTTGGGCGAGATTGCAACTACAGCTAGCCGCTTCAATGATGCGGTGTATTCGCACGAAGAGAGCTCTGGAAAGACATTAGGGGACATGGAATTCGCTAAAAAACAGAAGCGGAAACTAATACACGGATTTGAAGAAGTTACTGTCACGCTTTTGACTGACAGCCAGGCGAGCGTCAAGATTGCTTTACTCTCTAATATCCTTCCATTGTGTAGTCTCTTTGGCAGGGAGAAAGCAAACGATGTAGTGCTCAGTCATTTGATCACCTACCTGAATGACAAGAATGCGTCGCTAAGAATCCAGCTCATCAAGTCTATCACGGGCATTGCCGTTCTTTTGGGGCCGCTGACACTCGAACAATACATTCTTCCTCTACTCGTACAAACTGTTACTGACTCTGAGGAACTGGTAGTGGTAATGATTTTAAAAAGCTTGAAAACACTTTTTAATATTGGTCTAGTCCAGAAGAAGTACTCTTTTGATGTGGCCAAGATTGTCTCACCCCTCCTACTTCATCCTAATAACTGGATAAGACAGTTCACTTTGAGTCAACTAGTTGAAATATCAAGCAAACTGTCAAGAGCTGAAGTTTATTGCTTGTTGTATCCCATCATAAAACCTTACTTTGAGTTCGACGTCCAACTGACGTGGGACTCGATGTTATCGAGCTGCAAGAGACCGCTGTCAAGAACTGTTTACAACCTTCTTTGCACTTGGTCTCTGCGATCTTCTAACAGTCTATTTTGGAAGCAGGTGCCAAGCAAGCACCGTGATTTATTTGGAAACAATAGTGCTGTCTTCATCAACAAAGACTACGTGACGAAAAACTATGGATTAGCTAGCGGCTACAAGATTGCCAAGACTCCGATCAAATTAGCCGACAACAAGGAGATCTTGGTCACTAATGAAGATAAAAGCTGGCTGGAGAAAATCATGACAGTGGGTTTGAAGGACAGCGACCTGTGGAAAATTGCAGCAATGAGATCGTATACCTTCAGCGTTGCTAAGATGCTTGCAAGAAAGCCTGACGCCAATGCGCCAGATAATGCATTTGTTGGAAATGGTAGCACTTCGAAGCGGGGCCTTAGCTCATACACACCACCTAGGAACGTCATATTTGATGTGATGTTCATAAACAACGGCGCCCAGCTTAATGAAAGTCAGCACAGGATAGTGAAACATAGTGAAAGAATTGCGCAACCCTTGACAACAGCTTTTCATCGTCTCGCGTTGAACCGATCAATCGACTTGACCAAGTCAATTCAATTGACCAAGGCCGCGCCCACCCTGACCTCGAATTTAGACAACGTGTACGTTCAGTTGGAGGGCTCGAAGCTGAACTCGCAGGGTCTACAAAAGTCGTCCTCCACAGATTCGGAGGTTGCATCATCGATGTTCGCTGTGAAGAACAGCTATGAAGGCAATGACGCTAACATCAAAAGCTTCCTGAACAGCATAGATGTTGAACCCCCTTTCAAGTATTTCCCTGAGTTTGGCCACCTCTCCGGTGCAAGAAGCACTGTTGTAGCAAAGACTTCTGGTAAGGCGTTTTCTCGTCTGAAGTTTTGTTTCCAGCTAACGGAAAACAGATCGTCGATTATCACGGTGGTAGCAGCAAGCCCTCACGATCCTTACATCCTGACCGGATCTGATGACGGAACCATCAAACTCTGGAACATACCCAAGATTCTCTCTGGGGAAATTTTCGGATCTTCTTTCTGCCACGACGCAGGTTCAACAATTATGGATATAAAGGCATTTCCAGGATTTGATCTCTTTGCTGCTGCTTGTAAGGACGGCAATGTGATTATATTGAAGGTAAACGTGCATGAGACGAAGTCCGCTAGAGTTTATACTCGCCTGCAGGTCATCCGAAAGTTCAAAATGAAACGTCCTTCGGAGCACGTAACTCGATTAGCTGTGGTGGCAAGTGATGACAACCCTTTGTTGGTGGCACTTTCTAACCATTCAGACGTCATTCTGTTGGACCCACGGTTCATGTCTGAGACAAGGCGCATAAAGAACGATCCCTTACACGGTGCTGTCCTATCTTTTGCGATGGGACACGATAAGTCGTCGATCATTTTAGGCACTTCTCGAGGAGTCATTGACATCTGGGACGTACGATTTGGCACGTTGGTTTCTAGCTGGACGTTTTCCGATGGGTCGCCGATCACACACTTGTCTCTATACCCTCTGCTGGCAAGGCGTGAGGAGCATAATATTGCAATAGTTGGTGGGTCAAGCAAATGCGACTTCACCATTTGGAATTATGTGACACGGCAATGCAGGCAGATTGTGATGAACAGCGGTGTGGTGCCCCCAATAAGCGAATATTTGGCCGCTAGCGTCGATGCCGACAGATTGCGAAAGCCGATGGAACAAATTCTACCTGGTACTGTGAGTTCAATCGTGCTCGAAGGAACAAACATCTTAATATCAGAAGCTCGAACTAATTGCATCTTGTGTTTCGACCCCAGAGAAAAGACAATGATGCCTCTGACTTCTGCTACTGGCGCGGAGGACTCGATTTACAACTCGATGCAGCTGACGGCTAATACCACAGTCATGTTGAAACAAAAGCTTTCAATTGATTTGACAAATCGAAAAGAATCACTCCATTTACACAACGATACCATAAGTTTTGTCACTGTAGTCCGGAACAAGACAGAACGGTTTTTGGTCTCGAGTGATCGGTCGGGAATCATGAACATATACAACTGAATCGGTGCCGGACGCAGCAAAACAGGTGCAAATGTTTTTACGGACAATGAGCAATTTGGCAGAGGGCAACAATAGACAGCCTTACCCTTTGAACTTTGTCATTTTTTTTTCAACATCTATGATCGTACAAACCTTTTGATATCGAATCCTGTTTTCGATCTGCACACACGTCGTAGGCGTCCTTTCAAGAACACTTCCAGCTCAAAAACCTTTTTTCAAGTGTAATTCTGAGAATTGGTGCAGCAAGTTTTACCTCGCCTGCAAAAACATCTGAGATGTATAATGCAACACCCCTCTCACAAAAAATATTCAAGACAATTACCAGTACGACTCGGTTCTTTAAAAGACATTTACTGCTTCAGCTGTTCACTTCTCAACAGAGTTCTTCGATTTTTCTCAAGTTTGACGTCGACAGCATATTTCAGAGGTACACACTAAATCAGAGTCACTGTATCCAAATTCCAATGGCTTCAACATCTAACGTCGATAATCTGACCCAGTCTCTTATACAACTCAGTCGCCATATTTATGCTGTCGTCCATCACATGATATTTGATGACTGTTGAAATAACACAGGTAAGCTTTCGATATTCTATGTCAAATGTATAAAGTTTATAGGGTTGGATTCAATACTCATTCTGAGTATATAAAGGACTGGTTTTGAGCCATTCATCGATACAACATCACCGCTTCAATGAGTTCTTTGAGTGTTCCTGCTCAGCGAAGACGGGCTTTATCTGTTAACAATGCGACCCATCTGGAAAAGGAAGCCATGAACAATGCATTGGATAGTCTGCAAAATGATCTAACTCTGATATCTACACAGTGGAACAAAGTGATTACAGCGGAGGCCAACCCTCTGGAATTAGCACTCGCATTTTTAGACGACACATCGGTGGGCCTTGGACATCGTCACAAAGAATTTAAACATTTGAGCTCGAGACTTGGTAACGACCTTCAGCGTGCCGTAAACGAACACTATCAAGCATTCAACACCAACATTGCATCTTATGAACAAATAGTGGAGTTTATAAGCGAGTCCCAGGAGCTCATTGGTACTACCAAGGATAACATTGTGGGCCCCATTGCGAGTCTGGGTGACTCTCAGGCTCAACTCGAAGAACTTAATGAAAGCTCGCAGAGATTGAATCAGATGCTAGAGGTCTTAGACGCGGTGGAGCTTATTCTGGCTCTTCCGGACTCTGTTGAAGAGCTCATCAAGCAGAAATGTTACCTTCAGGCCAAGGAAGCCTTAGTTCGTGGATTTTCAGAGGCCTCCCAGCACAACATTTGGGAAATACCAGCGCTGCATACCACGAAGCAAATGCTAGAGTCTCAAAAACACACTCTATTCGAAACACTGATCGAGGACATAAATGATCTGCTGTACTCCAAGAGGCTAAACATAAGTCCACGATATGAAGTCAAACCAACCCAGCTAAAGGATGGTGTCTACAACAACATGGAGAATTTCTTGACTAGCAGTATTGACTTGGATATCGAAGAACAGGCTACAACTGTAAATGAAGAACTCGAGGCGTTTTTGGACAAGCTGAAAAACTCATTTGCTTCACCAAGCAAGTCCTTTGCCCCGCTTAACTCACAAGGAAGTGTCTACGAAAAGGTTTTCATGATACTCAGCATATTGAATGATATGGACGAGCTACATCCTGCATTAATTAGTATCGCTGGGCGGGCTAAGGAAGAAATTCACAACATTATTGCACAGGCAACGGATGCAATGAGGGTCAAACATCCCTCGTTGATCAAGTTTTCCGTGTCCCTGGAGAGTGAGAGTGTCTTTGAGCTCCCAGGACAGGAAGTGATCTCGCTTTTCCTGCAGAATGTCTTTTGGGAAATTTTTTTAAAGCTTTTGCTTACTCTTCAAGGTCACAGAGTGGTTTATGAGGTATCGAGAGCTTTGCAGCCATCTTCCGTAGTTGGCGAACGATATCGTTTGAACGACATCTGGAACAAGTTGCTCGATGAAGTCAATCAGCTTTTGCTGAGCTATACCATCGATCCCAAAATACAGGGCATGCCTAAAAACAAACTATCCAAGATGCAATCCACCCACCATCAAAATGACTTGAAGAAGCCCTTGACTTTTTCAATTCAAAATAATCTAGACGATAAATCATCCACCAGAAACCACGCGAATGATTTGAGGGATTTGCTGAAGGAAATGTTTCCTGGATTTTCGGCCACCACCAATTTAGAACTGAAGTCTATTTACCTTGAAGAAGAGGCATTTGAGCTAGATGAAACATTGGTGCCTGCCAGAGTCTTCAACATGGCATTTATTTTAGAATCCCTCTTACTTTTTGTCCAAGGCAGCTCTAGCGTCTTACCCTCTAATATTGATGGCACAGAGGCACCGATGACCTTTTTTTCCCGATTCATGGATACCAAGTATCTCCCTCAGTTGGAACTGACTCTAACTTACCTATTCAAAACGAACATCGAAACCTTGAACCCCTACGCCATCGAGTCTCAACCTGATAGTCAGCCAGTCTTCAAAGCAGCACTTGACTTCAAAGATTTGTTTCACCATGTTCTATGTCTACTCAATGTATTTCACGGATACAAAGCTAAACTTGTCAGCGTCGTGCTTAAACTGCTTGATCGCTTCTGCGCTTACTACCAACGAGTTTCAGCTAAGCTGCTAGGAGCGTCTGAAAATCCTATGCTTGACAAAAAGATAAACAGTATCTGGACCGAAAACGCCAAGCTGAGAGAGCTCACCAGCCAAGTTTTTTACGCCAACGCGACGCGTGTAAAGGAGGAGAGCTCTGAGCTTTTAAAAGCATGTCCCAAATTTTATCAAAAGGGCAAAAATCTCAAGAAACAGGACATATTCAATTCTCTTACGGTAGACACGGTAGCGTCGTTTTTAAGGACCTTGAGTGACGTTAACGAGTGGCTTCTGCAATTAAGAAAGGTATCGACTGCTGTTGGTGTTCAAGAAACTGGTGCGGAGCTGCAGGCAAATACGCTAAGAAATGAATGGTCACTATTTGGAGTTTCGAGTGGAGAGAATGCCATCAATTATAGAGGCTTGAAGCTTACTTTGGACGACTCGGCTGCCAAGAGGTATGATAATGCCCTAGATAAATTGAAGGCCGTCGAATACAAGCTATGGGCATCTCTCAGATACGATATAAGAGCACGCTGTATCTACTATGTGACCAGATTTCTACAAGATTCATCGTGGTGTCCAGAATCTGCCGGTGTGGATCTTGACGTAAACATCACAGCGTTGACTGCAGAGCTCACTACTATAGAAAGCAGACTGGAGGAACTTCTCACGCCTAGACAAAAAGAGCTGGTCTTCGAAGGTTTATCTGAGATTCTGAATAGCATTCTCATTGAAAGCGCGCACGGGATGCTGGCTCTCAACCACAACGGGGTGAAGAAAATGACTAAAAACATCAATATACTACAGCACATATGTCGAAGCGTTGTTTCGTCGCCCGAAAACGTAAACATGAAACCAGCCCTCGAGTTTTTTGCCTTGTGTGGTGCTACAGAGTCTATTGTGGTACAGCGTGCCAATGCTGGTGAGCTACAAGATTTTAGCTTCGACGACATCAAGAATATTCTAAGATTGCAACTAAGTGAGGAATTGCAGCGTCAAACTAGACGCGAATCTGGAATGGCGAGGGCACCTTCAATATCGGCCAATAAACGACTATCGGACGCTGTTGGTCGTCTGCATTTGACCAGGAGAACCGAATGAGACTAACATTTCGCTGGTAGCGCTCGTCGTCACGTTTTTCGTGATGTTCTTATTAAATGGTACTATAAATTCACACTCAAAGAACACTGTTGTTCTGAAACACCAACTTTTGAATAGAAAGCCGTGTATGCGCATTCTTCCTGATCTAGCCTAGCCTTGAAATGACCTGATCATGCTAAGCGCAGACTCCTCCCTTGAAATCATTGAAACAAGATCCCGGAAGGGCAACGAAAACAGGAAGCCTATTATCGATGTAATCGAGCTCACTTCGGGCATTGACGAGACATCTGCCGTGGAAGGACCTGCCAACACAAAAGAGTATCCTTCGTCCCCCAAAATACAGAGGTCAAGCCCTGTCAAAGTAGGCTTGAGACGCGAGAGTCTCTTAGACGATTCGGCTGAGCTGTCATACGCGTTTCTTAATGACACGATGCTTCAATCGGATTCGATTAGAGGCGACGAAAAGTCTAATGCAGAGGAGGTAGTTCCCCTTCCAAATTCTTCCGTTAATCTATCGCGAACTTCGAGCCCTATACGGCCGCAAAGACGTGGCAAGTCCAAAAACGCGCTGGAGCAAATTGTGAGTGACGATGCATTTTCATTCTCTGACATCACAGATGGCCACATCAGCTCGCCGCAGTTCAATCGGACCGGAATGACTGTCGGTGCTCTAGGCGCCAAATGGTCTCAATTGGAGCCAACCAATACCAAGCAGTACACTACCAAGGATGACACTCAACAGACTGTTACTGAGTCAAAACAGGGCGAGAAAATCACACCACAACAAAAATTGCTCTTTGTGCAGTCATCCCCGAGACCTTTTGATGACTCTTGTGGGTTAATGGCAAAGTTCGACGAGAATTTTAGCCAGATTCCAAAAACAGGTTTGGAGGACGACGAAGTCATAGAAGAATCGTCAATTGTATCAACGCAAAAAAGTCCAATAGGCTCACCAAGGAAGTCTGGGTTGTTCATCTCAAAGAAAAGACGCCCAATTTCCTCCCATGAAAAGTTGCTCGGTAAAACTGTTCTTGGAGACAAAGACGCTTTGCAAAAAAATTATGGCAATTTCATTGTTCACAGCAGACACTTCACGGATAAGGAGTCGCAGCATGAGGTTTCGAAAGCGGTGGCTACTGCTGCTGGCAAGAAGGGCTTCAACGCAGTCAACAAGCTTTTTAAAGACGCTGCTATATTGAAATCTGAGATGATTCTGGACATGGATGAGTCTCTCTGTCAAGATTTCACTGAAGAGGGTATCGATTTTAAGAAAGAGCTACAGCCGGCACAAGTTATACATTTGCATGAAACAAAACCACTCATCAAGCTGCGAAGACGATGTAAGTCAATATACGATCTGAATCGTGGATTATTTTATCCAAGCGCGGAGAAAATGGTTAAGGAAAATGTTGCGGTGCTGTTCTATGATGCGCTAGAATTTTTCCATCAGTTTGGCATTCAACAGGCCCGCCTACTGGAGTTTATCCAAGATATCAAAACGACCAATCAAGCCGTAATCATTACTCTCAGTGGTAAAGATGAGCTCATTAAGGGAATCCAGAGTTTGGAAAACAGGCGTTTTAGAAAACAGGTGGAGGAGGAACTTCATGGCCCGAAAAAAAATAGATCCCGTAGCAGATCGAAAAAGTTACAGATGTTGGAAGAGATGGAGCTATCGATAGAACAAATTGACCAGCAGATTGACGATATTGCAGTGAATTTTGGTGTTCACTTCTTCACCGTGGAATCTCAGCGGGACTTTGTCACTTGGTTGAATAGCCTTATTGTTGTTGTGGGCAAAAAGCGCTACGATCCAGCAGTAAGACACCAGGAGTGGTCACATATAACTATGAGGTCTGCTCAAGACCCACAGGATTCGCTTGGGAAAACACTGGAACAGTTGGACCAGATGACAAGTTTGAAGGTCCAGCGGGTGATATCAGTCTACAAAAACTTCCAGCACTTGTACGAAGATATCGAAAAGGGTTTTTTAACTAGTGGAGATGACGGAAACCCACTAATGGCAAGCGCAGCAGAGAAAGCTATGGTAACATTACTGACTTCCGAGAATCCTGAAGATTTACTGTATATGCCTTGAATGAAGGTTTGCGTAGAGCGCAATTTTACATAGACCTATTTGATGTCAACGGAAAAAAAAACCTAGCGGGGGGCCACCAGTTCGGCCACCTGACGTAACGTCTCATTATCTCAATACTGATCAATCGCGAGCTTAACGGTCTGATAGTCATCTTCGTTTAAACGTTCCTTAATGCTCTCTATATCTTGCAACGATGATTTCAGCTCGGTGATTTCAGACTCACTGAATTTTTCAGCTGCATTTATCAGTTGAGAGAGAAAGTTCAAGACCTTGTCGACGATATATATGTTGCTTCCACAATGCAGAAACTTCAACACCGTTTGCATTATGTTCTCTTTTCTTAAAGTCGCCATGAAAGTCTCGTTGATAGTTGTGCTAGTCATAAGGGCAGTTGTCAGAGCCAAGACTCGAAGTTTTAGTTTGTCGGTGGCTTTTGGATCACACAGCACCGGGGCAATAACATCGAGGCCATGGTGTTTGTCGAACTGTGCATAAGAGTCCGCATTGTGTTTGACAAGATTTGACAAAGCGTAAAAGGCCTTCGTTCTAACGTCTGTTTTCTCGTTTGCATCTTTGGCTATCTTTATTAACTGAGGTAGCCCATGTTCGTACTTCAAGAAATTCTCCTGAGATTTCGCATTGTTTTGCACTGCAGTGCCAATTACAGAAAGAGCAAACGCCCTGAGTTCTGGTTCAGGACTTTGCAATACCCCGATCAATGGCTCCCAAAGCTTCAAGTTTTCAATATTATTTGCATTATCCAAGTTCTCGATGAGCATTTCAAAATTGTCAAATGCAATCAATTTGGCCTCCAGCTCTGCCTCTGGATTTGTGATTACTACAATAGCCTGTTTCATCAAAGCGGGCTCGTCGGGACCCCCTCCAAACAGCTGTTGCAATAATTTAGGATCTGGTTGTCCAGCCTTCTTGGCAGCTTCCGCATCGCCTTGAGAGTTGGCAACCGACCAGTGTAATAGTTTATCCATTTTAAGTTCACTGTACGAAAAAGGGTGTGGGCAAACAGAGAATGCCTATCTTGGCTAGAAAGTTGTAACTCACTGTCGTCCAAGTAGGATATAATAACACTCATCAACTTAATCGATTCTTTCTAGAATATCTGAGCACTTTGTACGAGGTGTCTTTTCCAAAAGGTAACAATTGATTGCCCAAACGACTGACATCTTAGCTCAACGCCCTCTTGGATGTGGGATTGTACTGTGTTCCGGAGTCCTCTAGTATATTTGTTAGGATTTATTTCAAAAAGGGGCTGTTTCGAGGCTGTCTTAAATGAAAACCACAATTTGATATCAAAGTCGCCCATTGCGCCAGGAAAAACGCAGCAGTTTCGAAAATTTTCGAGTAATTCATGGAATTTTATCTCGAGTGTATATTTGGATGCGGTTGTCTCCTCTGTTGTGCCCTTTTAGGGCTTTTGGTTGTTTGGAATGCATGACATATTAGTACAAAGTGATGCGATCAACAATGGGAAAATCAGCCCAGGTTGCAATCAAGACCATATCAATCTCTGTTCTGGGGAAGGCTTCCGTGCGTTACCTGAAAGACCATCCAGCTTTTAGCTCTTGTCTTTGTAATTTTTTGAAAAACCGCCAGAAAACCTGGATATTGAATTAGCACTGCAGCCCTAATGCTCAGAGTGTTAAATTCTTATTCGGAGAGTCTCAGCTCTCGTTGTGACTGAAATAAAGGTCGCATGCCAGGCAAAATGAACTCTTAAGAAGAACGGAAAATGTCCCAATTCACTTTTGCTACCCAATTCGCTCGGCGTTTTTTCTGATGAAATCGTCTAACTTGTAAACGAAGTCTAGACCAACACTTTTTAGCTCGTCTATTTGCCTTCGCGAAGACTTGATCGAGGAAGGTGGAATCATCTCGATGCTCATTAAATGCTTATTAATCAATGAGAAGTGCTGGTCGACTTCGCTGCTACACCAACTCACCAACGTAGAGGAAAATTTAGCATCCGTGCTGTCGAAAATTTCCTTCACGCTTGCGACCACTGTTTTTAGCGTTTGGAATCTTATGACAGCAATTTGAGTGAGATAGTGTGTAGAATTTTGAAAGGATCCAACCTTTATAATCAGCTCGTGGACATATTTGGTTCTGTTCTGTAAAAACAGGTCTAGAGCCTCGTACTTGTAATTCAAAGATATTAGGTCCCGCAGGTAGTCGATTAAGTTAGAAAAGTTCGAAGTCTCAGCAGAAATAAGTTGAGTCAATTTGCCTGCTAAAAGCTCATTTCGATTGGCCACTTTTAGTCGAACAAGATTCAAAAGTATTTGGTTTTTCTGGCTCCCGTCTTTGTTTAGCGATGTAAGCGACTCTTCCAACTGATTCAAGTATTGAATAGCCGCTTTGAAGTTGTGCCGTGCAAAAACGATGTCGAAATTTTCCACCACGCCATCCAGATGACTCAATACATCGGCATTACGTCTTCCACCTACGGCCTGCGAAGGATACTTCAAAGATGAGCTCAAAACTTGAAGTGAAAACGACTCATTTGCTTCGCTGCCAGGACCGGATGCTGCATTTCCCAAGCTCGAATTTCGGGCGTGACCCTTCGTGGGACTTAACGTCAACTCTCTTCCAGGTGTGTTTTGAGTTGCCTGTAAGTAAGTAAAAGAATCTCTAATTTTACGCGTATTCTCTTCCTCAGCTTCAAAGATGACGTTTAAATCATCCTTTGCTCCACGTACCGCAGACACAAAATGCTCATATTCTTGGCTCTTGTGTGTTTGGATCAAGCATTGTCGGCGGTTGGCAAAATTTAGAGAGATCCGATTTTTCGCTTGTGGACTTATGGTGGTATCTCTCAGTGTATGGCAATAGCACACAACTAGCTCATGCTGTCTATTTTCTTGGTTTTTGGCAGCTATCATGATCATATCACTCAGTAAGAAAATGTGGACGGCTTTTAATGGTTTGAGTGTAGCAGCATTCATTTCGTACCAGTTACTATTTTCTAAAAGAATATGCCTTCCTGGTACCGGTGCAATGAATTTCTGTGCGCCCTCGACAACTCGAAAGAGCGTTGAAAGCTCGCTCTTCCACATTTTTTCCAGCATGAAAACGCTGGTGCGGTCCCTTTTTTTCGAGGCCTTTGCTGGTGGGAGGAGAGAGTGTTGTTGTTGTTGTTGTTGTTGTTGCTGTTCGGTGCGCGAATTCTGCGTGGGGCCCCGTTCCAGCTGCAACCGTTTTTCTGCCATGGTGGATAAATCACCCATTACTTCTTGAAGTTCTCCAACGCTAGATCGTAGCTGTTTGAGCTCCGTAGAAGCACTTTTCAGATCCTTATTTACTTGTAAGACCTGGGTATACGACCTGGATACGTTTTCTTTGACCTCGTCGGTGACTTCTAGCGCAAGATCATTCAACTCTGATGTGAATTGGTCGATTTCCAAAGCGCTGGCGTTTCCCAGCGTACTGGAAACGTACTCCTTAGCATCGAAGTCGGGATTGCTCAAAACTTGACGTAACGGGACGCTGTGTGCTTGTTTGTGGCCCAATCTCTGCATGCCCACGCTCGAAGTGGATCTGTTCTGTCTAGAAATAGGTTGGAAGTCGTTTTTGCCAGCGTACGATTGTTCTCCATCTAAACCATATGGCAAAGGCACTGCCGCATAGTCTGTGGCAGGACCGCCGTATTTTGGAGCGTGGAAAGAGAGCCGTCTTTGCATCAGCGTACCCACTTTGTCACGCTCTTTGGAGTCAATTGTAGGTAGCTGAGCATAGTCTGTCGGAACTTTCAAGTTTTGATACGGATTAGTTTTCAACTGTTCACCGCTAGCAGTTGAACCTCCAGCGTTCGTTCTGGTGGGCGACGAAAGCTGCTTCCAATTGGTCCTGGCTTTCCTCAGAGACAATTCCACCATTATGCGTCGATCAAAATCGTGAGACGTTTCGGTGGACTCGATTGCTTGGTATATTTCTTGAACTTCGTAAGGTAACTTGATGAATGTTTAATAAATTTCGGTCTCATCAGCTACGCATCGATATATAAAATCAACAACTACAAGTTCGCTGCTGAAGCAATCCTAGAGGACCTTCTCATCTAAATCTTGAGAACTGTATAAGGAGGGAAAGTTTTGGTTTTACTTTACAAAGTTTGAGCTCATATCCGCAGGTTTTGACGAATTACGCTTAACAACAACAAGATGAGTATAACTAGTGAAGAAGTGAACTACTTGATATGGAGATATCTCCAGGAATGTGGGAAAGAAGTTTCCGCTCTGGCTCTTCAAGAAGAGACACGAGTATTGGATTTTGACAAACAGTTCGGCAGTCACATACCCATTGGGGCATTGGTAGACTTTCTTCAAAAGGGCATTCTATATACAGAATCCGAGCTTCTAGTGCGTCACGATCGAGCAAAATCGTCCGTCGATGCCGAGCATGTTTCAACGCGAGATTTTAATCTTCTACAAGCTTTGGAAATCAGCAAAGACCGTGTTCCTCCAATTCGTGGGGAACATAGGTTTGAGCTAGCCGGTGACGATCATGCATCGAGTACACGGACAGAAATTGTTGGTAAATTAGAGGGGACCGAGTCTCTGGCTTCAGAGTCATCAAATTTCATCAAAACTTTACGCGAAAGCTCGAAAATATCTAAGAGTGCCGTCAGCCGATGGAATCCTTCAAATAGCCTTGTGTTGGCGCATGGGGGCCCTAGTTTGGTTGCCACCATTGTCACATTCGAGATGCCCGAGCCGGGAACTCTATCAAAAGTCCACGAGATCAAATGTGAGAACGTGCTTGTTTCTCAAAGGGAAGGTGCAAACAGCGTGACGTGTCTTGAATGGTCTCCCGCTGGTCATAGCTTAGCAGTGGGTACTGAGAGCGGGAAAGTACGATTGTGGACGGTGGACGGGAAGCTGCAAAACGTTTTTGAGTTTCACAATTCCTGTATAACAACCATCAAATGGAATCAAGACTCTCTGCATTTTCTCACCTGTGATGTCGATAATGTAGCCATCATTTGGAACTCTCTAACAGGTACAGCGCTGCAACAATTTTCTCCCAGGGAGGCTGGCTCCGCTGATACGCTTGGAATTGATGCTTCATGGGTCGGAGTGGACAAATTTGTGATTCCCGGTGGGCAGGGGAATATCTTGCTGTGTGAGATGGGCGAAAGCCGGCCTCTTGGGAAACTCAGTGGGCACACCAAAGCGCTTACTGCCTTTGATTACAACCCGGAGACCAAACTGCTAGTGTCTGCTTCAGACGACAAGACATTGCGAGTATGGCGCGGTGGTAATTTGAATTCTTCCAATTGTTTTATGGGCAACTCACAAAGCGTAACGAGCGCCGCATGGCTTGACAACGATAAGGTCATATCAACTTCAATGGATGGCTCTGTCCAAATTTGGTCTCAAGCATCCAGCTCTTTATTGGCCCTTTCAATGGTCGATGGTGTACCCATATTCTGTGGCGCGCTGTCACCAGACAAGCAAAAATTCGCTGTGGGCAAGATGGATGGTGAGATCAATTTGTATGATGTCTCAAAACTACATGCTGTGGTGAAGGAGGCTGTGAACCCTGTCAATGTACACCCCATTCCACTCTATGGTGATTATCAGTCCAATTCCGAGGGAAACTGCATCACGGATTTGGCATGGGATCCTACGAGCACTTATTTGGCGATATGTTATTCTGAAAGTGACGCTACTGTGATCTACGTTGGCTAAATGCGGACCAGCGCTACAATTGTAAAACATCACCAGCATGACTTTGGAGCTCAGACAAATTCCTCTTCTAGAACACGCTACAGACAGGGTTGGTATAAAAGCTCAGCTTTCAAGCTAGAAGGAAAAGTTCAAAATTTTGATAAAACCAGCAACAAGTTCAGCTTGACCATCACCACAACTGAAGCCTCTTGACAGGCAGAAGAGCTTAGAAAAGGTTCCCGTCGTCTATTCACCAGACGCTACTCAGAGCCCTTTGGTCTACGTGTGAAATGATCTTAATCGAATATCAAGAAACCAGCTAGTACAGCTATTCTAGCATCAACTCAACGAGACCCTGTTCAACGGCCAGTGTTCAGTTGCTGATGGACGATATATCAGATTCAGCGTTTCAAAATACTAAGACTTTGAAAACTGCGGTCGAAGAACTCCCGTCTCTTTTAACTGTGATCGTAGATACAACACCGAAACTATGGGCCGAACTAGACAAAGAAAGCGGACAGGATAGAAACCTTATACATGCACTGCAGTCGCTGATTGTATTTCTGAATGCACATCTGACATTTAACAGTGCTAATCAAGTGTGTGTTATCGCTGCACATTCCAATGGCATCAAATACCTCTATCCAACCACGACCGTCTCGGCAGATGGAGACGCATCGCTGAAGCAAGCCGGTGATTTGAAAATTATCAACAGTGGTATGTATCGTCAGTTCCGTAACGTGGACGAAACCGTTCTGGAGGAGCTGTATAAACTAATGCTGGAAGAGAAGGATCGTCAAAATTCCTCCAGACCGCAGAAGAGCACTCTTTCTGGAGCCATGTCCGCTGGATTTACGTATATCAACCGCACAATCAAGGAACAGGAAAACACTTCTCTAAAAGCGAGGCTTGTTGTTCTGACCTGCGGCTCCAGCGGTGGTAAGGACGAGGTCTTTCAATACATACCAATCATGAATTGCATTTTCACCGCCACGAAGATCAAATGTCCGATCGATGTGGTCAAAATTGGGGGCTCTCAGGAGTCCACATTTCTGCAACAGGCTACCGATGCCACAAACGGTGTATATTTGCATGTGCCGTCTACAGAAGGTCTGATACAATACCTTTCTACTGCGATGTTCATCGATCCTTCCTTAAGGCCTATCATTGTGAAACCCAACCAGGGCTCTGTCGATTTCAGAACTTCGTGCTATTTAACGGGTAAGGTGGTTGCTGTTGGGTTTGTTTGTAGTGTGTGCTTGTGCGTGCTGTCCATTATTCCTCCAGGCAACAAGTGTCCTGCATGCGACTCGGAATTTGACGAATATGTCACCGCCAGGCTCAAACGCAAGCCGGTTGTACCTGGTACGGTAGCGAAGAAGAAAAAGTAAACGAAGGAATGCAGTGAGACTTTGACTATATGAATGATGTCGTTGACTTGTACATTAAAACCCAGCTCTCTGCTGTAAAAAGAGCCATAGGACTCGACAAACATTTCCGCCTTTTGAATCTGAGGTGTGGTATAGATTTCGACCGTGGAGAATGTGCTTGATGCTTTTCTCACGCTTTCCCTCTCAGAGCATGATACACTTTATTGTGAGTTCGGTAAAGAAGCGTTGAAAGATGTTCCAATTTTACGTACTCATTTAAATACCACAAGAATACGTAATCTTTTCGGATTGCGTCACCATCTTCAGCTCGATTGGCATTTCTTCTCCTGCCGTTCCAAGAGTTTTAAAAGCAGTGACATCTCTTCTCATCTCATCTCATCTCATTGATCTTATAAAACTGTAGTAACATGAAAACGACCAGTATCTGATTGAATAGAGGCTGAAAGATGGCCAAGAAAAAGGCTTCGAAGAGCTTTCGAAATGTCAAACAGAATTCAAACGAATTTCAGTCCATGGATCCGCTTTTTGGTCAAAATAGAGCGTTTGCCCTGGAGGGAAACCTTGTAAACCCAGAAGTCAAGAAATACTTGCAAGCAGTGAGGATCCAAGCTTTGAGCACTCTGGGAGCTAATCCAAGTGAAAGAGTATCTGTAATATCCACACGCAATGGTAACAAGAGCTTGTATGATGAAGAACCCTTGATAAATCAAAGTCTGGCACGTTTTGACAAAAGCTGCAGTGCCTGGCTAGGTTGGTTCAGAGAAATGAAAAGAGAGATAGATGGTTTCGAGTCCTTTCCCAGCCAAGAAATCACCCCGCAAACCCTAGATCTACTGCTGTTTTATTTCAAGAGTTTTCTGCAGGAAGCAGTCAGTAAAGATGGCATAAGTGCCGATGAGAACGTTACCAGAGTGCTAGAATTATTGCAGACGCACAACGTGGACGTCGGTTCCGAGGACCAGGTTCTCGAAATCGATGAAGAATGGGCTTGCAACTTGATGTCCCAGCTCAAAACTAAACGATCTAACAAAATCCAAAACCTGAACGACCTAAGGCATCTGATAAAAACTCCTGCTCCGCTGCCGCAGAATTTCAATTCCTGGCACAACTTTATCACGAAGACCCAGCCCACGTCAGTTCTGCTGCAGAGAATGAAAGGTGAAGGCGAAGTTCTTCGACTGGCCAGCTACTTGATACAATGGCTGGGAGATATTTCCAAGAACAAAAACGTCGAAAAGGTCTCTCAATGGACACTGTTTGTGCTTCTATACCTAGAAAAACATGTTCCGGCCCAAGACGTTAGTATTTTGCGAGATTTGGGCAAAAAGGCACGACAATGCAAACTCAAGGGTCTAACTTCTCCTTCCAATAGTTCCAATTATTATCTGCAGGTTCCTCGGGGTCTTTTGGAACCCCACATCAAGATTGAACCGCTAACAGCGATCGATTTGGTATTAACGGTCGTGGCGTTCGAGTATGGGCAGAGGGATCTAGTGGATTGGACTGGTATTTGAAAAAAGTATTCGATGACTTCAAAACTCTCGCAAGGAACTGTCTTGGCACCTGACAACTGACACTTCCTAAGTTATATTAAACGTCAGCGACGTCAATCCTTCAAGAACCCAGTATGTATATAGCTAAATCTTGAATTTATACCACTAGGTTAACGACTATCAAGTTGCAAAGATCCATCAATGTGAATTGATCCATTTATCTAGCTAAACAATGATCAATTCTGAACCTTTTCCACTTTTTTTCATAAGGCTTCTTCTGTATTGAAGGTTGATCTAAGAAGTGTGGTGAACACTTGTATCTACTCAATTCACAAACTTCGTGGAAAACAACAGTTCTTCACGATAAATACTACTGGAAGCTGAAATTGAAATGGTGAACCATATCTTAAACCCTCAAAGACTGGTACAACTGGCTGGGTTTCATCCTAAGCTGAAGAAATTCTGGTATTTAATCGCAGCTACCACGCTAAGTGCATGCAATGAGCCACAGGAACTTCAAAGACTGTACCATTTCGCCATGCTCAATGAGACACAGCCGGAAGAAGCCTTTAAAAATGCTATAAGAACTACGGAGCTCTTGCAAAACAGTCCGACGAAACTGGAATCGGAGCTCGACAACATGTACGGTGAACCTGGGAACATGCAAAAGCTCATGAGCCAGAAGCTACGTGAAGCTCTGCTAAAGAGCAGTGCTTTAACAGGAATTCCTAAATCAATCAACGGGCTCCAGGCCTTGAAACTAGTTACGCCTCGAAAGCTCAAGCCCATCACTGAGGATATCGATGCGCACAGTGGCAGACTGTTTGAAGGTACAATGAGGCCCACTGATGCAGCACCGGATCATACCGTGGAATGTGGTATTCATCATTGGAACCAGATTTACAGCAAAGTCTCAAACAAGGTGGTTAATAATCTGAACTCATCATATCCAGATCTTTGGCAGTTTGTGCTCTGTAATGTTTACGGGCCGCTTCTGTCATTTGACGAGATCCTAGACGCACAAGAAACCAGCTTGGTCATAATTGCAGCTCTGGTTCCTCAAGACTTGAACGCACAACTGTGGGGGCATTTGAAGGGCGCTCTGAATGTCGGATGCGATCAAGAGACGGTAGGTGCAGCAAGAAACCTCAGTATTACTGTTTCTAAATGGTGCGGGATACGATGGAAATCGGACATTGTGAAGTTATGAGTGAACTACAAGGGTTTGAGACTCTTTTTTATGCGGAATGGCGACGATAATCTATCGAGAAGATATGCTTCTTAAGTGCCATAGCACTCTGTTGACTGTTTATAATGATGCATATATCTTTGATCTAGTCGTAATGATTGTTTGGAAACATGGCAGTTTAAATTCAGCCACATTTCCAAATTCAGGCTGAAGACTGTAATGAATCTCGAACGATATGCCGCATCCTGGCCCGTCAGAACCTATAACGACTGGTAATAGGAGACGCACGACCTTTAGCTGACGGTTATAAGCTCAGCAATCATCTCCTGCCAAAAATGTCCAGATTTAAAGAGGGAAATTTCAGTCCGGCTCTTTTGTTCTCCTCCGCTGAGCAGGGTCTTTCGGCTGAAGAAGTTGTAGCCACATTCATCTCTTCGTTCCTCTTACCAAAAAGCTGCCACCACCATGCAATGTTCTTCAAGTCAGGCAGGATCCAGTCGTCATCATCGATGTCCGTAGTTTTGTAATCGGCGTTGGTAAATTCGGCTTTTCTCGACCTAAAATAATCCCAAACACTCCTTGTTTTATGCTGAGCGTCTTGACTGGCTCTTTCCTGTTCTGAATCGAACAAAAAGGTTCCGTACTGGCAGGAATAGAGATGATAAACCAAACGTCTCAAAAATCGTTCGTTAAATTCAAACTTTGATGGATTTTGTCTGTGCAATTGATATACGCAATCCAAGAATTGCTGGAACACGGGCGAGGTGAATTTTGATGATTTCTTGGTGGTTAATTTTTTTGAGACCTTGCTGACAATATCTGTCGAGTGCAATTGAGAAGCGAAATTTAGATCGGCTAGTTCTCCATTTGCTATCTCTGTCCTATCGTAAATGCTGTTGTTGTTGTTGTTCTTGTTATTATTATTATTGCTTGCGCTATTCGAAAAGCCGAATAAGGAAGCATTCAGATCGATTCCTTGTGTCATATTCGTAGCAGCTCCAGATATGCTCATTCTTGCAGAATTATCATGGAAAGAACTCTCTGAACTCAAATGACCAGTTCGTTCAGCAAAGCGGTGACCAAATGACAGCCAATCCTTTTCGATTAGTATCATGAACCCCTCAAAGGTTCGAAAATGTGGGTCGAGACAAATTTGAACAAGTGAGCAAACCTGAGTTGTTCGGTCCCACCCATCTGAGCAGTGAACTAGTATGTTCGACTCATTGAAAAGCATGGACTTTGCTAGCGTATCTGTAGAAGATAGTAGCATCCTGACATATTTTAGCCAGTGCGCGGATTTGCCCTCGTTGAGTGCATGAACATCGATAGGTAAATTCAAGTCGCTGTCCACCAAAAAATTGTCGACAACGTTGTTGAGCATGTCTCTCATGATGTGAATATTGTCTATGCCGAGAAACATACGACTTACCGTCCCGCCAAAATTATAATTATCCATATTTTCTGTGCCGCCTCCCAAAGCGGTTTGAGCCATGGCATTCTTAGTCGGCCTGGCGTCCACGATGATGTTTTTGACTGCCCTCGAGTGTGAACGGTCGGCCATCAAAGAACAGTTGAAGATTTCAGATACCAGCTTTTCATCTTGGACAGATCTTTGCTGAATTAGACCTGGCAAGGGTTGCGCACACCTTGTGATGGAAGCTCGCGTCCTCCGATGATAATATGTGAGAGCCGGGATACGACTTTGCGACCTATATTTCATGGAATGGGTAAGTAGAGTATCTGAAATTGTGCTCGGTATCACCAAGACTTTTGGATAAGTTTTGCAGAACGTATAGTCCTGGTTTATGCTTGAAAGCCTCCAGGGGCAGTTTTTGCCAAAACTTATGCCCTGCCTCTGAAACTCCTTGACGGGATCGTAGATCTCCCAGCTGTTAAACCGCTGTTCGGCCCTATTCGAAGGGTAGATGAAAGCGTAGAGTTGTGTAGCTTCGTGTAGCACCGTAAGTTTGAGCATCGAGTCGTAGACGTCCTGCGCCAACCGCTCGTCCTCAAAGTCCAGGGAAAAGACGGTGTAGTCCTTACCAATGATCTTGATATTCCAAAACTGCCACATGTCTTTGTCCTCATATAGAGGATCTTCACAGTCGGAATGGTTTTTGTATTTAGAGATTAAAGTGCTTCCTCTATTCTTAAATACAGAACCAATTGTTGGGTAAGCAAACCAAAATTCCCGGGCAAAAAGTGCCGATGCAAATATTAAATGATGTGTAGTCAAATGCAAAGTTCCGTTGGCGGAAACGCCTTTTTTGTGCATCACAACATCGTCAACCTGCGACAAAACATGCTTTCACTTAGTATTCGGACCGAGGTTGCGTCTTGAAACCCGGAAAAGGGGACATACCTTGGCAATCTTGATATACTCCATCGAAAAGCGCCCACCAACACCCTCCAGAAGTGGGCTAGAGACGTCTCTGGCTTGTCTATAAGGCCTTGTTCTTAGGATAAAAGAATCTACCTTTAAAATCTCAATCAGATCTTAAGCCTTCATATAATTATCACTGTGGACGATTATGTATATTATTGGTGTCAACGTCAGTATAACATTTTACTGACACCGCGACTACATCGATGTCTGCATTTGTTGTTGTCGCTTAACTTGTTAGGATTGTATGTATCTATATATGAAGTTTCACAGAATTGAACATCTTCTCGCCAGTGCTCACTGTAAAATCTGGAAATTGGATTTAAAAGTGAACCAGAGAAAGAAAATGTTGTGCTTTGTGCTTCCTGAGATCGAAATTGTTGAAATAGTAACGCCTTTAAAGAGCACTGGTTACAGTAGCTCTGTGGTGGGTATTTGAGAACTGAATGAACACCGAAAAAAAACCGAATAATGTTGGACTGAGTCGACAAAGTTCTGAAGAGGACACCAAATTCCGCGCACGCTGTGCACGCCTCTCATTTTTCACCTAATGCTCAGTACTTGGTCGTGGTTGAAATTTTGTATCGAAAGACTTGCGAGTCTCCAGAACAGCAGAGTCCGCTAATGAACCTTGCATATGGTCTGCAGCTCCAGTATGAATTTGCCCTCCTTGTATCGCTGATCTTTCCTTTCGCTCTCCACGTATTTCCAGCCCACCAGATTCTTGCACATATGACACTTTATGTCGCACACAACGTAGCACCCTGTGAGCATACATCTTGTTTCACGACTGCCCTCTACAACATTCACAACCCGGTTCATTAGGTACGCATCGCCTGTGGTTCCACGATAGTCTTTCGACATGACCTGTGCCGACGAGCTCAGATGCGTCCTGCAATTACAACACCCGTACGTTACAAATTTCGTGTGCTTATTCTTAGGATGGTCGATGTAGGATGTGTACCTTAAACCCATGACTTCGCCTCACAGTTTTGTTGAGCTCAGCTTCTGAAACCTGTCGATCGGTCTTGCGAGCCGAAAGAGGTACGATATGTACTAGTTATAAACCTTTTGGAGCCTGAGCTTATTGTAAAGACGAGCTGTGTCACCACGGGAAAAGCTCGCAACTCCCCCGCAAGCCTGTTAACCTATAATTCTGATTAGCCTAATCTTAAAAAGAGTCGCTGTTGACCAAAACTTAGCGGTTTGGACGACAGCTTCCTGATAAACTTGTATGATGAATAGATCTGAAGGGATAGTTATGTTGGAAACCCTTAGAGTCAGGGCTATATATAATATATTTAGAGCACTATTATAATATACTGTCGTTGATGTGCCGCGATACGAGTTCAAGTAACAAGTTCAGTGTGATCGATTGAACACCACTGTTAGAGACACTAGTCTATATATTTGAAGCTGTGATTTTGACTTGATGCTTGACTAGCGAGTCTAGGGAGACTTGGAGAGGCTTGTGCATCTTCTATTTTATCTTTGGATTTATTACTCTAAGAACGACGGTTCGGTGCCAAAGTAATTTGAAATATCGAATACAACAACGTCAGAGCGAAGCCCTCCATTCAAGGCATTTTTGTATCACCCCAACGGGCAACTTTGGTTGTTCATGTAGTTTGGAAACTGTCTTGCAAATCTGCAGTGTTCTATAGTTACTATAAATTAGTTATATCTATATGCTAATGTACAGTGATATTATGACGGTTGTTTGAAGCATGCACTTACCATGTCTGCAATTCCTCAAAGAAATCAATTCTGCTTGTCTTGTGGGTGCCGACTTTGTCGGCAACTATATGACGAATTTGATCGCACATGTTGCCGTGACCACAGGTGATAACCGCGACGTTGCGATTTCCACACTCATCGATGTCTTGGCTCACGATCTCTTCCATGCTTGGTCTGCCCTCTCTGAACTCGATATGAGGCAGCATCTTGTGGACAGTCTCCAAGTAGTCGTTGCTCACAACCACCTCGTTTTCTTCAGAGCCCTTTTCAGAAGAAGATGAAGGCACACCGACGGTGTCAAAGTGGGCCACCAACTTCTCGCCCAGCTTTCCTTCATGTGCCTTGGTCACGTAGATTATAGTTTGAACGTTAGAGTACTTCTGCAGTAATTGAAGCTCCTCAAGGAACCAGTCCATAGAGTGCCAGTGTCTAATCACCCAGTACAATTTCACAAACTTAATATTTCCCTCCTTGGTAGTTGAGCCGAGTTCTTTAGCATAAGCAAATGGACCGGGAATACCGTTACCACCGCTGTACAACAACACTTGGTCGTAAGCATCCGCAGGTTTGTTGTCACCGTATGGTCCTTCCACGGCGACTTTCACCTCGCCAGTGTAATTGGGCTTGCTCAACAGTTCCTCGTACAGAGTTTCAGTGACACCTTTCTTGATCTTGATGTAAAAACGCAACTCGTTGTTGTCAGTCTTGACAACAGTGAAGGGATGCGATTGCCAAAACACAGTAGTTTTCAAAATATGCAAGTAGCCAAAGGCACCAGGGAAAAATGGCCACCAGGAACCTTTGTCGACAGTGATTTGCAGCGTTTCGTTAGAAACAATGCAAACTTTGGCTGTCTTAATACCGAAACAGCAGAGACGAACCAGTCTAATAAAGCGGTCAAAGCACCAGAATGCGGCAGTAGCGTAAGCCCATTCACCGTAGTAGAATTCGTCGATGTGCCTCCATGCACCGATCAAGAACGCAAGAGCCATAGCAATGTGGACGTATAGGAAAAGTTCGTAGTTTTTAACACGCAACCAACTGAACGCTTGCACAAAGATAATACCACCGGCTACAACTGCAACGGAACCGTATCTCCAGTAGTTTTCGAGGACTCTGTGCTCGTAAACGCCTTCTCTCATTAGAGTGTTGATCAACATGGCAATGGTGTGCGCCAAGACACTGAGAAAACACATACGGCCGATCCACTTGTGATAGGCGATGAACGTCGATTGTTTCCACCCGGTCATCCACATAAATATTTGGTTTCTGCCAGCGAATAAATAGGTTAGGATCATCAAAAAGTTAGCAACCACACCGGTTCTATCGCCGATAAGACGACTCATTTCAATGGTCTTGGTGGCGAACAACGTATTTCCCTTAACGCTATCGTAGCCGACAGCTTGGAAAATGATACACAAGAAGCAGAAGCCGAAAATGAGGAAGGATTCGAGACGTGTTGGTAGAAGTCCTCCCAGAATCACTCTATCCGTGTGGTGGTTTCCAAATAGAGCTGGAATGGAAAAATACTTCCTATACCACCGGACCAGGGCCAATTGAGACATCTTCTTGTTTGCCGCGATTGCCAGAGTTGGGGCAAACTTATGCACCAGAGAAGAAAACATACCACAGACAACAATGATCCCCCAGTAACCGACCAGAACAGCACCCCAGTGGTACCCTTTTTTGAAATTAGAGTATCTGGAGTTGTATGACCGGTAAGCTATGTCGTAAAGGGTAGAGTTCACATAGACGTAGAAGTCAACAGGCGCGGAAGCATTAAAGTTCTTGATTTCAGACGTGTTCACCATGTGTTGCGTAGCATTTTCGTACACAGTTTGCATGTGCTCGAAAGTCGTGTTGGGACAGCGAAATTGAAAGAACTCTTGCATGTTTTGGCGATCCTTTTTGGACTTCAAATTATCGTAGGCACAGTAAAAGAAAGACCCCAAAGCGCTGTCGCTGGTGCAGTAACAGGAGTAATCTTTTGCAGAATCCTTCTTGCAGAACTTGGCGGTGGACGCCAGGGCATTTTTACAAGAAAATCCCACATAGTCTACATTGGTGTACTCAAAGCCACGAGTTACAGCGGCACAAAGACACCAAAACTGTGACAAACCCAACACAAACAGTATCTTCATTTGTAATTAGATTGTCTTTCAGACAAAAAGAGTATTGTTGACAGTGTTAATAAAATCCCATCACAAGCGTTTAACCAAGGCCATTGAGTCCATTTGCCGTGTTTTTATATGTCTCCACCTCCTAGCAAAATAGGTGAGCGTCAAAGATTTCGGGGTGTCTTTGTCTTCGTCGCATCCCAGAAACCAGCTTTTTTTTTTTTGGGAATTCTACGAGACGCTGAAGTCCTCCAACGGCTCGACCACTCACTTCCCTGCGGTAGCGAAATCGTTGCACAGCCGCTGCGGTACCCAAGGGCCAAACTTCTATCCGATATTTTTCCCGCAAGTGGTTTACAAGAATTGATATGTCAAATTGCACCTTTTTTGATTTTACAGCTGTGGATACCATCGCTCTAATCGTTAGAATTTAACGCGAATATCAGCACCCGCCGAGTAAAGGTGAGCATCGCTCGTTACCGCTGTCAGCGAGTCAGTTTCCCACATTTTCCAGGGTTTCGATCTAGGGTGCAGTTTACTTCAGTAGTATTTTTTCCTTTCTGACGTCTTAGAAAAAAATGTGAGAAAATGAATGAAATGCACCACTGCCAAAAACGAGCTTCCCAGCATCATACAGCGATGAGCGAAACGCTCGAGTAGGTTTAATTCGCACCCAGAATGAAGATCACTCAGCGGTAAGAGGCCTATTTTTCAAGCTGAACTGCACCCCGTTGCTGAAAACGCACGCTCGAAAACCACGCTTGAAAATCCACCGTCAGTGTAGTCTGGGCTGCGTTTTTGACGAACAAGAGCTTCTTCCATTCTCAAGAACTAGCATAAGATCAAGGCCTCATTCTGCCTTCCAAGCAGCCGAAGTTTGAAAAATGGTTCTTATCGTCTGCCACCTGCAAACCTAGAAAAGTAGCTGTGCACCATCGAAGGTGTACAAGAATTTCTTGCAGTAGGAGAAACAAGTGTGTGTACTTCACCAATCATGGCATTGTTAATCCCTTGAGCTAAGATGTACTTTCGACCTTTTTCGATGAACATTGTCTTTCCATAGATCGTAAATCGTAGTGGGTTTCTTGGCCGTACTTTGCAGGTTAATAATCTTCAAAGGCACGAAGTATCTGTGCGATTTTTAGCCAAGATCCACGAATGATTTTCCCACCCCTAGTAAGTGCATTGGTCTAGCTATCTTAAATTACCAAAGTAGTTGTAACCGATACGTTTCCAGATGGCGTATCGGTTCATAATCTATCGAACGGAATGTTCACTCAACCACTCGCAACAGCGTATGATGGAACTGAGTTTTGGCGAAGCACTAGGCGTGAGTTATGTGGAGTGTTTCGAGGCTCCTTTTTTGAAAGCTATCTGGAGTTCTGTTCTGTTTTTTTCGCCTGAGTTTCATGTTTTTGGATCTTGTGGACGATTTCAGGGAAATTAGTCTCTGGCCTTAGGAAATTCAACCAACAGGATATGTTGTAGAAATACATCCAATAGTATGTTTACAGAGCGCTTTCTCCGTCACGACCCTGGGATCATCAATTCATGGCGACAATCGCTTTCACGATATTTCTGCTGTGTGGAAACTCTAGATATGCTACATATTTTTACCCTATTTATGAAACTCCTCTGTGACGGCCTTCACAACAGATCATCGTCTGCAGACGCGATGGAGTCTTTAATCTTCAATAGGATAGTGGTTTTCCACTTATCCAGTTTGGCAAAACGGTCGAACTCGTAGACTTTGGCACTCAGCTTTTCGGAATCGCCCTCGGCACAGGCTTCGAGCAACGCACTGATGAGCTCGTGCTCGCGCGACCCCGAAAAGTTCGAGTCTTGTTCTTGAGCCTCCAATAGCGTTCTCTGAGCGGCGACCTGGTCATCTGCCGCCAAGTAGCACAGAGCGGTCTTCAAAAAGTATTCCTTTAGCGACCACTGGCTCAGTCTGTTCCCCACAGAATTCGCGATAACTTTGCGGTACACGTCGCAGGCCTCGATGTAACGGCCCTCGAGAGCTTGTATGTCCGCACACTTTAAGTACGCTTTGTTGGCGAGCGCAAGAGCTTGGTCCTGGGAGTACCAGTCGGCAGCTGCTTCGTAAGCAGCCACGGCACCCGAATAGTCCTGAAGATCGGACTCCAAGAGCTCTGCGAGCTCAAACTTGAAGTTGGCACCTCTTCTGAACTGTCCCCTGCGCGTGAAAATGTCAATGGCCTTGTTGAGTGCTTCACAGGCCTTGACTGGCGAAGAACCAGCTTTGAATGCCTTGAACGCTTCAACGAACGTGTTTCCCGCCTCATCCTCACTCTGAGCCTTGATTTGGCACGCTGCTGCTTCCAGAAACAAATCACCTGCGGCGTCCAGCTCTTTGCGCAGTCTGTAAAGGTTTGCAGCTTCAACATACAAGTCTGCAGCTTCTTCGTATTTATAAGTATCAGAGGCTCCAAAAAGCTTCATGAACCCGGAAGAAGGCTGGGCCTTCTTTTGAGCCTGCATTACATTTTAGTGTTAGAATCGGCCAAAGCGGGTCTTTATAACAATCTGCTGGCATACCTTTTGTACTAATAGTTGAGGATCCGACATGATCGGTGGAGTGCAGTGACTTGTGCAATGAGAATCTGACGGTTTGAGAGGGAGCTGGTCTTCTCTTCTCCCTTGAAGTTCAGATGGGTAGTTTTATCAATTATGAATATGATATCTTTGGCCTAAGGACGAGTACAAGTACTCACGGAGAAGCAGGTGACACGGCAATCTCATAAGATACGCAAATGAAAGCGTTTGGGAGTAGTGGTTGATGAACGTGCACTTTGATCAATTATGTGATGAAAAATTGAGATAAGTGTCCTTGGCAGAGGAATCTTTATTTAGCGTCAATACTGATGAGATGAGTTGTTAGGAGTTATCACGTGACTTTACATGTTTCCCACGACACGATAACAGTCAGTGATAAAAGAGAAGCACACTTGGGCCTGTAAGTGGCGGGCGGAACCGGAGGGCTGAGATCTCGATCTAAAGAGCCCAACCATTGGCTACTGTTATATGTGGTTAGAGCCGAGTTTCAATTTTGCTAGGAGATGAGACTATTTTTCTGGTGAGCATTGGGACCATAAGTGGTCCCAACATAGCGCAAATGTCTGGCTGAATAGTTTTGATGAGATACCCACAAGTCGGAGTACGAGACTCTGTCAGGTTTCAAGACTGTCATGGACGTATACTGGTGAGCAGATCTACTGGAATGTTTGTCATTTTTTTTTTGCTTGGGCGTGAGGATAAATAATAGTTCCTGGCATTTTGCCAACGGTTTCCAAATTGTGTAGTAGTACCCTTTTCATCCATTGGCGAGGGTCCGCGCTAAACTCCCAAATGAGTACATCAATCCGAGTCACAGTCGCCTCCCAAATATGGCATCCCGAGCTGTGACACTTGGATGCGATCAACATAAAGAAAGAGGCAATTTTACAAGAAAAAAACCTCGCATCTAGTCCCGAAAAAAGTTTGATGACAACACCATCTGTGGGAGTTGAAATAATAGAATCTCATAAACCTGATTCTCATTTTCAAATTTTTTTGGATACATAGCTTTCCGTGGCAAACACAACAGGGCTAGTATCACACTTGAAACCAGACTAATGGAGCTCACGCTTCATCTGACATCTTCCAGAACCACTTCTTTGTCGTCGTCTGTCTCGTTTTACTTATCATTTGAGCATCCCAACGTCATCTGTCATCTGTCATCTGTCATCTGTCATCTGTCATCCAGTCACGTGGCAACAGTTATTCATAAGCATGTACAATCTTGGCGCCACCCAGGATGAGAAATAATAACATCGCTGCAACGACACAGTTCAGAGGATGTATTCCCTGGACTAGATTCTCTTGATTGGCCTCCAATGCTTTAAAACGAGTTTCCAAGACATTTGACCACAAGCTTCTTTTTGGTGTCAGATATTACTAAATCACGGAATTAATGGGTCACCGGGTGAAAAAGTTGTGATGATTTCAGTCAAAACGGCGCGAACGACTGTGCTGGAGGGTCAGTTCTGCTAGTTTAACAGTCGGGACGTGATTATACTCGATGTTTGCGTTACCGTACCTTGAGTGCGACAGAAAACTATTGTTTGTTTGAAGCTGACAGTACATGCCACTGCAAATGGTCAAGGCATTTTCCTGGAGCACATTGGCTTCAATGCATATCACTGCATATACTCAGTGATTAACACCAAAAAAACCCTCCACGAACAAGTTTGGGTCTCTATTCGTCTTCGTTTCAGTTTCGCGAAGTCACACGGAGTTTCTACGTCGCAAGAGAACTATAAAGGTACTATTACGAGCAAGATCGAGCTACCAAATCGCAAGGTGCGACACGGCTTCCAATAGTCCAATGAATCCCATCTTCAGGAAACTTTTATTGCAAGATGCGACCTCCAAGACTACCAATGAGCTCAACTTCTCAAGAAACTTTCATCACAAGATGCGGCTTCTAAAACTGCTAATGAAACCCACTTCTCAAAAAAACCCCATTGCAAGCTGACTTTGAATAAAACCCACACTCCAACATGTCACTATGTTTTTGGTGCCATCATCTCAGAATCCCTGGCATCGTCGTTCGCTGTCCTCCCTGACCCTCTCGCTCTTTCATTGTCTGGTGATTCAAAGCCTTACAACTGCTACGATGAAAAAACTCACATTTGTTCACAAAGGGTTCTCTCGCGTTCCCGTGTCTTGGCCTTGAATGAGGAAGAGCTGCGGCGTCTTAGCCAGGATTTGATCGTGCTGTCCGCTTTGTTCTCTCTCATTTTACCGTTGCAAAATTCTCAACGATCATCACCACCATTACCACACTCGCTTTCAAAGACCCTGCAAGATCGCTTCACCACGACCCAACCTCACCCGACAAGATCTCGAAACCCTGAGATTCGCCAACCCAGGCATATGTAATGCCACTGCTCGTGCAGCTTATCTTCGGTAAGACTTCTGGGTAACTCACTCGGTGATAAGAGTCAATCACATCTTCACACGGCTCGTCTGGTATCATCATCAGTAAGAAAACTGGGAGGCAGTGGGGTCCGGAGACGTCGACTCATCCAAGGATTTGCCGCACTCGAGGACGGACTCGGATCCAAAGAAAGCTTCGGAGTGGTAAGGGACCATTGATCAAAAGGTAATGCTGTACTTATCACTTCGTCGGTGGACGAATATCAACCGTTTCTTCAAGAGTAACTATCAAAGCGTGTGCCCTGCAAATGCCATCCACACGCATGGCGCTCGTCACCGGCAGTAGGGCACAGACATGCCAATGCGGGTTCCTGCGATTTTGTTATGGCTTGCTGAGCGACACTCAAGCTTATCTGAAAAGTCCGCACCAGTGAACAGCGAACATCTCACTGAGGATTCCGATGTATCGCTTGCTTGCATTATCGTACGGCTCGAACAACGACAATGGACGTCCAGTTTGCATTAATGCGAAAACCTATTTAAACATACGTTCAGCAGATCGCCGAAGCCTAAAAATGGGTCACAGTCCTCCTACTCTTTGTTCACACCAACAGCTCTGTTCCCCAGACTCGCTATTGTTCTTGCGCCATGAAGAACTATATCAAAAGCGTTCTGTCTGCAGACGCTCCTGTTACGGACAAAGATCTTCTCTACACATCTACATCGCAAGAAGGAGTCGCAGGCGATGTCGAGCTTCGCCATCTTTCTCACCGCGGTGGGACCGACAAAGCCAAGGGCCTTGACACCATCGTGATAACCGAAGACAACTCCTCGGACAACGCCGATTACGAAACCGGGAAGGGCGGACTAGGCGCCGTTCGCAGCGAAAACCTGGACCCGCTTGCTGATCAGCTTTCGCAGGTGGCTTTGGACGACGAATACGCCGGTATCACAGTCGAGGACGACTCGCCCTACCCTGAAGTGCGTGCAGCCGTGCCATCCAGTGATGACACCTCCCTGTGTCAAAACACCCTGCGTATGTGGACTCTGGGAATGATTATGACCACCATTGGGTGTGGTTTGAACATGTTGTTTTCCATGCACTCGCCTTCTATTGTCTTGAGTAGTTACGTCACTGCCATTCTCGCTTGGCCCTTGGGTCGCGCGTGGGACAAGGTAATGCCCAACAAACGGCTCTTCGGTAAATGGGGTCCTCAGCTCAATCCTGGTCCTTTCAACGTCAAAGAGCACGCTTTGATCACCGCCATGGGTAACGTGGCTTTCGGAGGTGGTAGTGCCTATGCTACCGATATTCTTCTATCTATGAACAATTTCTACGGGAGAAACTTCGGGTGGGGTTTCAATCTGCTCGCTACCTGGTCGACCCAATGTATCGGGTTTGCGCTTGCAGGTTTATCGAGAAAAGTCTTGGTGGATCCAGCATCCATGATATGGCCAGGTAACTTGGTGTCCTGTACTTTCCTCACCAACATGCACGTAAACGAGAATCACGTTGCAAACGGTTGGACAATCTCTAGACTAAAATTCTTTTTGATCGTGTTCATCTGTGGTTTCGTCTACTACTGGTTTCCTGGATTTATCTTCCAAGCGCTGTCCTACTTTGCCTGGATTACTTGGATTAAGCCCAATAATGTTGTTCTCAACCAGGTCTTTGGTGCTAGCACCGGGCTCGGATTATTCCCGCTCACCTTCGATTGGAATCAAATCGCAGGTTACATTGGATCTCCTCTGATCCCACCTGTTGGTGCCATCTTTTCGATCCTGCTGTCTATGATTGCCATTTTTTGGATTGTTGTGCCCGCAGTGCACTATTCAAACGTGTGGTACGGTAAGTACCTGCCAATCTCCGATTCGGCGTCATACGACAGATTTCAAAATGTATACCAGGTCAAAAAGATTATCACGGAAAACTTGTCCTTTGACAAAGCAGCCTATGAGCAGTACTCTCCTCTGTACCTGTCTGCAGCCTTTGCCATCTCGTACGGTTTGTCGTTTGCCTCGATGACTGCTACTATAATGCACGCTGCCATGTTCCATGGTAGGGATATCTGGGCAGCTCTAAGACGGAAAGACGTCGAAAAAGAAGACGTTCATAATAGGTTGATGAAGCAATACAAAGACGTCCCCCATTGGTGGTATGGCATTGTATTTTTGGTATTCTTCGCTTTGGCGGTCGCTACCATTAGAGCTTGGCCAACAGAAATGCCTGTTTTCACCTTAATCATTGCTTTGATGATCGCCGCCTTCTTTTTGCTGCCTGTTGGTATTATCTTTGCTGTGACCAACATTTCCGTTGGTTTGAATGTCATTACCGAGTTTATCATTGGTTACATGACTCCGGGCAAACCGATAGCGATGATGTTCTTCAAGACATTCGGTTACATCACCAATTCGCAAGCTATTTATTTCGCGCAAGACATGAAACTGGGACATTACATGAAAGTAGCGCCCAGGACTCTATTCTGGGCACAAATGATCGCCACCGTGTGGGGAGCTTTGGTCCAAGTTTGTGTTATGACGTGGGCCCAAGGAAACATCAAGGATATCTGCACTTCACAGCAGGCTTCACATTTCACTTGCCCCGGTGCCAAGGTCTTCTTCAACGCCTCTATCATCTGGGGTGTTATTGGTCCTCAAAGAATATTTTCTGCTGGTCAGATCTACAATAAGTTGATGTATTTCTTCATCTTGGGGGCTGGGCTGCCTGTAATGAACTGGGCTATTTTGAAAAAGTGGCCCAACTCCTTGATCAAGTATGTCAATTGGCCAGTGTTTTTCTCCGGTACCGGATTGATCCCTCCGGCAACACCCTACAACTACGGTGCATACTGCATGGTCGGCATTGGTTTCGGATACTTTGTCAAGAAGCGGTTTTTCCACTGGTGGACTAAATACAATTACTCGCTGTCAGCTGGGCTGGACATTTCTCTGGCCTGGTCCTCGCTGATCGTTTTCGTGACGCTGGGCTTGACGAACACCGATGCTCCTAGCTGGTGGGGCAACAATGTCATCAATACGTTGGACTACAATGACGAGGCCATTCAAAGACCGCTAGCCTCGGGGGAATCTTTTGGTTTGACAACATGGTAAATTACGAACGGATGCGTGGTAAGAGCTCTTGCACTACTGAAAGATGTCAAAACCGAAAATGCCCAAACTAATCTGATCTTTTACACTTGAACTCACGGGTTACTCATTTCGCTTAGTCTTTGTATAAAATTTGATCTCAGTTTTTATTTCAGGAGAAATTGCAGACTAACTACAAGTCCGACGAGGCTCATGTGTGGAGAGTTATACGTCTTACGCGTAGCGTGCCTCTGGCAGATCTGTTGTGGTGGTCCATTTTACTGTAGTGTCATTTTGGTATATTATAGTAGTGTACAGAAATCTTAATCGTGACACGCAGGGACAAAGTGATAAGAGCGGAGCGTTAAATATTAATGTTGTGAAAGTGAACGCTCTCATCGTTCCAGGATATGACTAGTTGTTATTTTTGTAGTGACAATCTCTTACTTGCCAACGCACAATCTTCCGTTCACTCCATCTCTCTCCGTCTCCACGCTCTTCCTTCCTCTCTGCCAAATCCTGCGTCACATTAGTACAAAGTGACAAAAATAGAATCAGCTCCCCATCGAGCCACCGCCTTCACCGATTACGTCTCTACATCCGTTTCAACCCTCGATGCAGTTCTAAACCCTTGCGGGCATCCCATTATCGTTTGAAATCGTCACAGCTCACGAAATAAAACTTCGCTTTTAGACATCCGTGTGCTGAAGTCCCAATGCACTGACCATCTACACTGTCTCACTAGTGCCTGCACACTCTCACTGCCGCTCTCGAGTCGCTCATTTCTTGGTGCCGAGCATTCTTCCACTAGTGAAGTCATCTTCACTAACGCCAAAAGAAAAAAAAACGCCGTGAGCTGGGTTTTCGGGGCTCTCACGCTCCTTCTGCTATTTCTCTGTTTTATCAACAGTGACATCATCATCTACTCATCGTTGCCTCATCGCTATGATGTTTCCCTCGCGATTAAAAGAGCCTTTTTACTATGTTGATAAAATCCTGGGTAATGCCTGGCTCTAGTTCTTCTACTGGATGATCTAAGTGAAAAAAAAGTATTAGGTCACCTGGAACGAAAACAAATATTCTCATGAACAATAAAATTCATGTTCAGCAAGTCATCACCAGAACCGAGTTCTGAAGTGAGTCAACTCATCTCATTTTGGAGGTATATATCTTTGTAAAAGAGCAGAGTACGCGACTTTCCACTTCTGAATCACTTGTCGTTTTCCAAGCGGCGAAAAAAGTGGCGAAACGGTGCACTAACAAGCAGAAAACAGGAGGAAAAATGTCGATCTACGAATCTACTGTTCCTACGACCTCTGCGTTCAATACCGCAGACTACAAGCCGCAGCTCGTCAAGGGCGTGGAGTCGGTGCTGGTGATCGGGTCCGGAGGGCTTTCGATCGGCCAGGCCGGTGAGTTCGACTACTCGGGATCCCAGGCCATCAAGGCTCTCAAGGAGGCCAACAAACGCACGATCCTCATCAACCCCAACATCGCAACCAACCAGACGTCGCACGCGCTGGCAGACGAGATCTACTACCTGCCGGTCACCCCAGAGTACATCACGTACATCATCGAGCGTGAAAGACCAGATGCCATTCTGCTGACCTTCGGTGGCCAGACCGGTCTCAACTGCGGTGTGGCGCTAGACAAGATGGGCGTCCTCGAAAAGTACAACGTCAAGGTGCTAGGAACGCCTATCAAGACCCTGGAAACCTCCGAGGACAGAGACCTATTTGCCCAGGCTTTGAAGGAAATCAACATCCCTACCGCGGAATCGTTCGCCTGTGAAACCATCGACGACGCCCTTATCGCTGCCGAAAGAGTTGGGTACCCTGTCATCGTCAGATCTGCGTACGCCCTTGGTGGTCTGGGCTCCGGTTTTGCCAACAACGAGTTGGAAATGAAGCAATTGGCCGCACAAGCCCTATCGCTATCCCCTCAGATTTTGGTCGAGAAGTCCCTAAAGGGCTGGAAAGAAGTCGAATACGAAGTTGTACGCGACAGAGTCGGCAACTGTATCACCGTCTGCAATATGGAAAACTTTGACCCCTTGGGTGTCCACACCGGTGACTCTATCGTCTTCGCACCCTCTCAAACTTTGTCGGATGAAGAGTTCCACATGTTGAGAACTGCTGCTATCAAGATTATCAGACATTTGGGTGTAGTCGGTGAGTGTAACGTCCAATACGCTTTGCAACCAGATGGTCTAGACTACAGAGTCATCGAAGTCAATGCTCGTTTGTCGCGTTCCTCTGCTCTGGCTTCTAAAGCTACCGGTTACCCATTGGCTTACACTGCTGCCAAGATCGCTCTAGGTTACACGTTACCAGAATTGCCAAACCCAGTTACCAAAACCACAGTAGCAAACTTCGAGCCTTCCTTGGATTACATCGTGGCCAAAATTCCTCGTTGGGATTTGGCCAAGTTTCAGCATGTTAACAGAAACGTGGGTTCCGCCATGAAGTCCGTCGGTGAGGTGATGGCCATTGGTAGAAACTTTGAAGAGGCCTTCCAGAAAGCCATCAGACAAATCGACCCCTCTTTCTTGGGTTTCCAAGGTTCCGACGAGTTCGGCGACGACCTAGACGAAGTTCTCGCCAACCCAACTGACCGCAGATGGTTGGCCTTAGGACAAGCCTTGATTTACGAAGGTTACTCTGTCGAAAAGGTTCACGAACTGTCCAAAGTTGATGCCTGGTTCTTGCACAAGTGCATGAACATGGTGGAGATGTACAAAGAACTTGACGCTGTGAACTCCTTGGAAGCATTGGACAAAGAACTTTTGATGAGAGCCAAGAAAATGGGTTTCTCCGATAAGCAGATTGCTATTTCCATCAACAAGAACACTGAAGGCAAGGTCCAAGAGCTTGACGTCAGAAAATACAGAAAGTCCTTTGGCATCACCCCATTTGTTAAAAAAATTGATACCCTAGCAGCAGAGTTCCCCGCCAACACCAACTATCTATACACCACTTACAACGCGACCAAGAACGACGTTGAATTCGACGACAAGGGAATGTTGGTCCTAGGATCCGGTGTCTACCGTATTGGATCTTCCGTGGAGTTCGATTGGTGTGCGGTCAACACTGCCAGAGCCTTGAGGGAGTCTGGAAAGAAGACTGTGATGATCAACTACAACCCAGAGACTGTTTCTACCGATTTCGATGAAGTTGACAGACTATATTTCGAAGAGCTTTCTTTCGAAAGAGTCATGGATATCTATGAACTAGAAAACTCCGAAGGTTGTATCATCTCTGTCGGTGGCCAGCTTCCTCAGAACATCGCTTTGAAGCTTCAAGACGATGGTGCCAAAATTTTGGGTACAAACCCCATCGACATTGACAGAGCTGAAAACAGACACAAGTTCTCGTCCATTCTTGACAGCATTGGCGTTGACCAACCTGAGTGGAGCGAATTGTCGTCCGTTGTCGAAGCTGAAGAGTTTTCGAATCGTGTTGGCTACCCAGTGTTGATTCGTCCATCTTACGTTTTGTCTGGTGCGGCTATGAGCGTTGTTAACTCCGAGGATGAGCTACTAACCAAATTGACAAACGCTTCAGACGTGTCTCCCGACCACCCAGTGGTCATTTCCAAGTTCATTGAAGGAGCTCAAGAAATCGATGTCGACGCTGTCGCTTACAATGGTGAGGTGTTGGTGCACGCTATTTCTGAGCACGTTGAAAACGCCGGTGTCCACTCTGGTGACGCTACGTTGATTCTACCTCCACAATCTCTAAGCCAGGAAATCAAGGATAGACTATATGATATTGCGAAAAAGGTTGCGAAGGCCTGGAAAATCACCGGTCCTTACAACATGCAAATTATCAAGGATGACAGAAACGAGGGCACCACTTTGAAGGTTATTGAATGTAATATCAGAGCCTCCAGATCGTTCCCATTCGTATCCAAGGTCTTGGGTTGCAACTTCATTGACGCCGCAGTCAAGGCGTTTATCGGCGAAGACGTTCCTAAGCCTGTGAACCTGATGGACCAGAAGTACCCATACGTTGCCACCAAGGTGCCTCAATTCTCTTTCACACGTTTGGCTGGTGCAGACCCCTTCTTGGGCGTTGAGATGGCCTCCACCGGTGAGGTCGCTTCCTTCGGTAAAGATGCCTTAGAGAGTTACTGGACCGCTATGCAAAGTACCATGAACTTCAACGTTCCTCTGCCACCCAGTGGTATCTTGTTCGGCGGTGATCTGAGCAAGGACTATTTGGGCCAAGTGTCTGGCTTGGTAGCGGGACTTGGATTCAAGGTCTACGTCACCAGCGAAGCTACCAAGGCGTACCTGGAGAAGTTCGTTCCTAGCGACTGTGCTGTTGTTATCATCGAGTTCCCAAAGAACGACAAGCGTAAGTTGCGTGAGCTGTTCCAGCACTACGACATCAAGGCTGTCTTCAACTTGGCCGCCAAAAGAGCCGAGTCTCTTGAGGACGTGGACTACGTGATGAGAAGAAATGCCATCGATTTTGCCCTACCTCTTTTCAACGAGCCTCTAACAGCATTGCTGTTTGCCAAGGCTCTAACACAAAAGGTTGGCGAGAAGTTGAAGATACTCGAATCCACCGATGTTATTGTGCCTCCTGAGGTGCTAACATGGCACGAGTGGATTGGTCAGAGACCAATGTAGGTTTGCACGATTCCTACAGAGTTGTTGATACGCAATTACAGAAAAGGATATATATTCGAGCTTATTTAAGGTCCAGGACTTTGCGTTGAGGACCAATTCGAAACAGTAATGAAAAGGCCGAGGATGGCCATCGATTTAATGACGTTTATGTTCTCTTTGTGTGTATCTGTGTGTTTGGTAGAGTTACCGATGAGTAGAATGCTAGGGCAGGAAGTACTCGCACAGTACTCGAACGTTACCCACCAAGTATTCGTAATTCACCCACAAAGTACTCGCAGACCACCCACCAAGTACTCGTCTCTTATCTCAAATACACCTAACGTCTTCGTCTTTGGAAGCACATCTACTGTCCGTCGTGCTAGCTTCTACACTCAAGAGATTGATTCTCAACTAACCGAATGACTCGACATGACGAATGATCAAATAATTCACTCCGGTTGTCCTTATGGTTAAAACTAATTTTCCAGAGATCTTACAAAGACCGGCCACTGGCTGAAGTTTTGGCCTTTCCAGTTTTTTGATCACAGCTAGCTCATAAGCGGTTCCAATTTGGCGCTAATCACAGATCTGAGGTGAGCCAGCCGGTCATCCCGGAATATTCACAGTTGCCCGCCTCCAGTTTTCGGATTTTTTGACCAAAAATTTTTCCGGACCGTCGATCACTGACAAGAAAAAAGCCAGTTGTTACCAGCGACCCAGAATGGTGGCTAGAGTAACAGGCTTTTGGTTGTTGCAAGCTCGAACACAAAGAGCCGGTTGCCACAAGCCTGATTGAAAATATGTGGGGTGCTTGCTGAAGTGCTTGGAAATACCCAGTTTTGTGGGGTAGAACGAGAAAAATGCAAGTTTATGCGGGGATTGCGCAAGATGGACGCTTGGCGAACAAATCCTGTTTGAAAGTGCTCTTCAAATGTATAAAAGCGGTTGAATAGAGAGAACACAGATTTCTTCTGTTGATTGTTCTTCATTTTGGGTTATCTCAACATCAATCAATTAATCCAGTAATTTATCCGGGCTCGAAATATATTTTTCCGGCTCACGCATAGAAGTCCTTATAAGTTTATCCGAACGCTTCTATACATATCATCCAGCGTTACCAAAAATTCAAGACAATGGGTATTCTGCAAACGGTTTTCAAGGCCGATGAGCAGATCCAAGGCTCGAAGTTTCGGGCTATTTTCGTCGGGCTATTCGTAGCATTCGGCGGTATTCTTTTCGGCTACGACACAGGAACCATCTCCGGTGTGCTCGCGATGAGCTACGTGAAAGAGCATTTCACTTCAAAGGGCCACTTCACTGCCAACGAAACTTCGTTGATTACTGCCATTCTTTCTGCCGGTACCTTTTGCGGTGCCATGCTTGCTCCATTGGCATCTGACAATCTGGGTCGTAGACTGGGTCTCATGACATCGTGCATTATCTTTACCGTGGGCGTCGTGTTGCAGGTGGCAGCAACAGAACAAAACCTGTTGATCGTGGGTAGAGTCATTGCCGGCCTCGGCGTTGGTGTTTTGTCTGCAATTGTACCGCTATACCAGGCTGAAGCGTCTCCCAAGTGGATCAGAGGTGCCGTTACTTCGTGCTACCAGTGGGCCATCACCATCGGCCTTTTGCTCGCCGCATGTGTCAACCAGGGAACGCACGCCAGAAACGACAGTGGCTCTTACAGAATTCCTATCGCCATTCAACTTTTGTGGGCGGTGATCCTTTTTGGCGGTATGTGCGTTTTGCCCGAATCTCCCAGATTTTACATCATGAAGAACAAAGTGCCCGAGGCTAGAGAAGCATTGGCCAAACTCCGGGGTTTGTCACAGGAAGACGAAATCATCGAAGCTGAACTCGAGGAAATTGTCGCCAATTATAACTTCGAAAGATCGCTCGGTTCCACCTCACTCTTCGACTGTTTCAAGCCCGCGAACCACCAATTGAAGCGTATTTTCATCGGTATTGCCATTCAAGCACTCCAACAGCTCACTGGTATCAACTTCATTTTCTACTACGGAACTCAATTTTTCCAAAACTCTGGTATCAACAACCCCTTCATCATCCAATTGATCATGAACGTTGTGAACGTTGTCATGACCATCCCAGGTATCGCTTTGGTGGAAATTGCTGGAAGAAGAAACCTGTTGCTGTACGGTGCCGTGGGTATGTGTGTGAGTGAATTCATTGTTGCTGCGGTCGGCACTGCTCTTCCTGACAGCTTCTCTGCCAACAAGACTTTGATTGCCTTTTCTTGCACGTTCATTGCGTCTTTTGCAGCTACTTGGGGTCCACTTGCCTGGGTCGTCGTTGGTGAAATCTATCCATTGAGAGTCAGAGCCAAGTCTGTTGCCGTGTGTGCCGCTTCCAACTGGCTCTTCAACTTTGCCATTGCATACGCTACTCCATACTTGGTCGACAGTGACCATGCCAATCTACAATCCAAGGTGTTCTTTATCTGGGGAGGATGCACATTCTTGTGCTTCCTATTCGTCTACTTTTTCGTCTACGAGACCAAGGGCCTAACGCTCGAGCAAATCGACGAGTTGTTTGAGACTTGCCCAAGCGCACGTCATTCCAAGAATTTCGTACCATCGGAAGGCTTTGCTGCTCACAACACTTCCATGACACCCGATGTCGACAAGGCCATGGTTGTGACTTTTGAAAAGGTTTGAATTTGAAAGGCGAGCTGGTTCGCCTTTCTAGAGTATTCGCATACATATGATGTTTAAAAAGAATGATAATGATATATTAGAATGACTTGAACAAGAATGACTGTGTCAGCGCTGACTGGGACGATCAATTTTTCTGCATATTTGAGTGATGGGCAGTGAGCTGTTCACTGATGTTTGAAGGAAAAATGTTTGAGAACATGCAATTGTAGAGTGCTTAAAGCTTGAAACAAATAGCACGAGAGTTTGTGAACGTTTGACGATTATGAGTCGTTTATTTCTGATGTCCTTCTTTCATTGCAATAATGCGAAAGCCGAACCTATGGTGTTCAAGTCTGCCAATAAACAGATTCAAAATACGGAAGTGCCCTTGTCGATGCCAGAGGTAAGATCGAGCGATCTTGGAAGGTCGCTACGTTATTTGCACATGGATTTAAACTTGTATACATCACTTTGACTTATTCAGTCAAAATAGTGTACGATGTGATGGAAAGCACAGAAAGATCTAGTTTTAACAAAAACGGTTTTAAAACCTTCCTCCAAGCTCTCATAATTGCTTATAAATGATACTTAGAGGGCTGGTGAGTTTTGTCAAAGCTACAGCAACACATTGAAGATATATGGCACTTCAATCTCGCTCAACAATGCTTCTTGCATGAATCAAATGACCATGTAACAAGATTGAAGCCGAAACCAATGTCGGAAAAACACAAGCCAGACTAAGGGCGTTCAAATGGAATCGAAATCTTATGACATCGCCAAGTGTCAGGTAGCTGGATTATTGTAATATTCCTGTCACATTGATGTAATACGACGACGGAATAGTCCAAAGTGATAAAGTTGAACCCAGGTTGTGCCAAATCGCTTTGGCTCACGCGGATAAACAAAAGGCTCGCTGTTGTTCTTGGCGCGCTGCTTAAAGCGTGCTATGGCTGAATTTTTATACTTGCTCGCCTGAATTGGTTATATTTGGCTAAATGTGTGCACTCTCTGTTAGGTTTGGGATTTCCGGCCTCCAGCGGCCTCCAGCCTGCCACCCTCCACAGAATTACGGAAATCGATTGATGCTCAAAAGCATACTCGTAGTAATACAGAGAGTAGCTTGGATAAGATGACTCCCAGAACTCGCAGATATTTGAATCTCCCTCAAGGCTTTCAATCCCAGCACCATGGTGATTATTGACCTCGAGATGTATAGTAATTTTGAGAGACGACACACAACAAATGTTACGTTTGTAAGCTCCAGCAGAATTTAAGATGCATGGTGCACGTCGGAATATGAACTCGATGCTCCTATGGCTCAGTGATTTCGTATGTGATGGTCAGGAATTACATAAAGTGATGCTGCTCAAATGTTCAGCAAGAGGTTCACGAAGAAGAAATGTGATTTCCTAACTCCACACAATAACAGCCTCACAGCTTTCTCATGGCTGTTTCTCGAATTGTATGGCTCATTGGTGTGTCATAGAGCCTCAGAAAGGTAGATGTCACATTAGTACAAAGTGATATCAACACCATTCTTTACCTGATCCTTGTCAAGCATCAAACGTCGCTAGCCAGTCAGTTCACAAACTAGCTGAAACTCGGTGTCCTACACCGCGACTTTTTCCGAGGCATTTACAGCCAGAGAGAAATACGAGAAAACATCGGCTTTCTTCATCCATTGAAATCGACTCATGAGTAAAAGACAGAACCACCAAAACAGAAGAGAACAACTCCCCAAAAACAAAAGCTCACATGCTAACAAACGCATAAGCTTACAAACTTGAGCAAACTCATTACAATTCTCATCATTCTCGGTTTTCCATCACACGATTTAGCTATCACTTCTCACGGAATAGTCTCACCCACCCAGTCATAAGAAAATATCAGGTTCAAGTACCACAACTCTTCCTACCCGCCACCACATTCATCAAGAGCCAGACACAGCGTGGCCATCATAGCTACTAGCAGGAGACCAAAAAATGGACGATAATGATCCGTACGAATGGCAATTGAACCACGCTGCGGCGGGTGATGGCTCGTCGAAGCAGTGGAACGAGGCGATTTACGAACGCAGCACAAGCGCCGAAGTTCTTCCAAAACTCGGGCCTTTAAATGGCCAACACGGTCCTGAAAAGCGGGACAGATGTGTGTCTGAGCCCAGAGCAGCTGGAACGGGCAAAGAGCAGCTTTCCAAGAGACCCCGGTCAGAGTGAGCGGTCCAAGCGAAGGCGGCTACCGGACTAAACACCAGGAAAAGACAGTTACCATACAAGCCTGAAGCCTCAAGCCTCAAGCCTCAAGACTGAAGACTCAAGACTCAAGATCAAGACTCAAGATCAAGACCCCAATTACGACTACAATGACTACTAACATCCCCCACTTTTATCGAGAGCGCTCCTCACGCCAACTTAGCCGCCGACATGGAGTCACGTGCTCTTTTAAAAATCACATGTTTCTTAACTTCCCGTTACCCGGCCCGACATTTTACAAAGGGTAAAAATTTTGGCTTCCCAGAAGTCAGTTTTTTATTAAAAAAATGGCCTGGCAAACTCCCTGAGTACCCGAAAAATAGGTAGACTGAGTCCTGAAAGTTGAAGTTTTACCCATCCATATCCCTCAATTCCACAATCCCATATTTGCAGGCCAAACCAAACCACGTCTGCTGACACTAGTGACGTCAAGAACCACAATAGAGCCATTTATACTTGAAAGGGTGTGTGCAATTGACGTGGAACGAGCGTTCAGGAAAAACAAGCAGCTCGTTACGACAGGTTTTCGTTCGTTTCCTATTATCAGGCAAGAGAGGGCTGATTAATAAGTAAGTCCAAAAGACTAGGCACTCGCTCAGAAAAGGCTCGTTAGGTTCTCTCAAGGTACACGTCATTGATCTGAAGGATTGACACTTACTGGCGTATTTTTCATTAAATCGGTTTCTGGGCTTCAAAGTTAAAAAAAGACACTTATCCCATCATTTCCTAGCGTTAAGGGCAAGCAAGACCAAGGTTTTTGCTAATTTCTTGGCAGGTGTGAGAGTGAGAGAGGCTGTTGTTTTTTGCAACTGGAAATTCCGTCACATACGTGTATTTTGCGTGTCTGTGTGTGTGAAAGCGATTGAGGCTGGAGTTGAGGTATTGGTTGAACTTGAGTGTAAGGGCAAACTTGCGTTGTATATTCATTCCAATTCATTCCTCAATTTCTGATTACTAGCACACTCCACACCACTTTATTCCATCCTTCTATTGATCATGGGTAGTTGTATTTCAAAATCGGACGTGGACGGCCCCCAGGCCGCCACTGGAAGCCCAGCAACAAGAAGATCTGCTAGAGAAAGTCGAGGATCCCAGAAAACCGGCGAAAAAGAGCAAAATGAGCCCAGCAAGGCCTCTGCGGCCCCGAAAACTGACTCTTCTGCTCTTGAAGGCCGCAAACAAAACAGTAACTTGACCAAACCGCCTGCTGCAGGTGCCGCCACTGGCAAGCGGCAGCAGTCGGTGGTGTCTACCAACAGTGCACAGTCCACAGGTCCCTCGCTCGGCTCTTTGTCAAAGTCCGGCGGTGGATCCACGGACTCCAGCAAAGCGCTCAAGGTGCTGCTTCTGGGTTCCGGTGAGTCCGGCAAATCTACGGTGCTTCAGCAGCTCAAAATCATACATCAAAACGGGTTCTCTCCTGAAGAGCTGGCCGAGTACCGTCCTTTCATCTACGACAACATTGTAGAGACCGGGAAAGACCTGGTCAACGCGCGCATACGCTTTGAGGTACCTCTAGAAGCCGACTCGGGCCTGCAGGAAGACGATCTTCAGGTCATTCTCAACTACAATACCCCGGGGTCCCAGCTGGCTGAGTTCCCAACCTCGTTGATCGATATTTTGGCAAAGATTTGGTCGTTACGTTCCACGCAGGACTTGCTTACGGGTAAACACAGGTCCTCCTTCTATCTTATGGACTCGGCTCGCTACTTCATGGACGACTTGCAAAGAATTGCCAACGTTGGCTATACACCTACTGTCAGGGACGTGTTGCTGTCCAGAAAGAAGACTTCAGGAATCTTCGATACCGTCGTTGAAATGGACACCAATCTCAAACTACACATTTACGACGTTGGTGGCCAAAGAAGTGAGCGCAAAAAGTGGATTCACTGCTTTGATAATGTCACTCTGATTATATTCTGTGTGTCTTTGTCGGAGTATGATCAAACTTTACTGGAAGACAAGTCTCAAAATAGGCTTGAAGAGTCTCTGATACTATTCGACTCTGTTGTCAATAGCAGATGGTTTGCAAGGGCATCTGTGGTTCTCTTCTTGAACAAGATTGATGTATTTGCCGAAAAAGTTCAACATGTGCCTTTGGAGAATTACTTTGCCGACTATGCTGGTGGCAAAGATATTAATAAGGCTGCCAAATATATCTTGTGGAGATTTGTGCAGCTGAATAGAGCGCACTTGAACATTTATCCGCATGTCACACAGGCTACTGATACTTCCAACATTAAGCTTGTATTTGCCGCCATCAAAGAAACCATTTTGGAAAACAGTTTGAAAGACTCTGGTGTCTTATGAGAAACAACTATTGTCTCCAACGAACACCAAAAGAACATAAGAGAATCTAAAAATGACTGGGAAATGCTACAACTGACCTAATACAAAAAGAACAATCTTCACCTATACTGTTAAATGTAAATTCAGATTCATGGACTGGTTCCATCGCGGTTTTCTTGATCAATAGCGGTCAAGACTCAATCAATTTACGCTGATAGTTCTCCATTGAGTGGGAAATCAATACATTCGAACCACTACTGCTTAATCTTACGAACGAGAGCAATTATCTCTTTACAATCGCGTGTGAATGTAATGTTATATTTCATAATTTGCAAATGCATACATTCCAATGCCTTTAAAACCCGTCGCAGGTGTTTATCAATAAGAAGTAAGCACGATGCTCGTACATATGGATCCACCTTTCTAAAGGTCCCAAGAACCTGTGGCCTTGTCCGCTGCCTGCCAGGCTGACATTCCCGTTCTCCAGTGACACAATGTTTGTAGACGAACCGCGGTACTGTAGATCCTCTAGTCTCTGAGGAAGTTCTCTGTGAGTGATGAATAATTCCAGTCCTGCCGGCTCGTAGAAGGGTGGGACCATGGTAATGTAGTCACCATCATGGACCACTCTAAAATAGCCCTTACGAAACATAACCTCACCTTCATCCAGCGACAGCTGATGGATACGCTCAGTCTCAAAGAGTTCGTCAACCCAGGCCCTCAATTTCCCGCTAAATATGTTTGGCGAGGCATATGTCAGTACCAGTGGATCATGACCTCTTAAACGTAGCTCAATGCCAGCCAAACTTGCAACAGCAGCACCCAGGGAATGACCTGTAACAACTAGATTATAATCGGGAAAAGTGTCAAAAATGGCCTCGATTCTTTCAAAGAACTGAGAGCTTAATGTTTTTAGAAAGACGTTGAAGCCTCTGTGGACAAGACAGTCCTCGCACTCCGAGATTCTGCCTGCGTCGACCCATTGTCTATAATGTTCTTTAGAAACAGGCTCATAAGGCGTAGGGTATATTGCGAAATCGCTGAGCCAGTCTTGATTGGTGGATGAGCCTCTGAATGATAAAACCACCACTTCTTTTTCGTGATCCACAGCCAAAAAGCCAGTTCCGAGCTCGTTACTCTCAGCCAACAGCACCAACTCTACCACTGTTCGCCCTGCAGTAGGGTTGATGGTTTCATCGGAACAGAAATCCAATTTAGCAGGGCACCCGCCTTCGGCAAACGTCGAGCCAACGACCAGCTCCTCTCCAGTAATGCAATAAGTCAATGCGCATATTTTACTGAAATAGACGAGCCGCTCGTAAAGTTCCTGCGAGATTTGGACGTCATCGTACGGTTTTGATTTGGCCGGCCAAACCGTGATTGCATCAATGCCTGTCTCTGTCTGGGATGTGGCGAGAGTGTCGTTAAGAATTTCAATATCCCGGAAACTTGTGATTCTTGAAGAGCTTGTGGAACCGTTGCGTTCAAGCTGCGCACAAAGTCCCGTATATGCCAAAAGCACGCTTGAAATGACGCCTGGTACCACTCTCATTAACAAAAAAAGGACGCAACCACAAAGCTTATGAACCTGTGACAATCACCACTTTGGCAAAGACCCCAAGGCAACTTCCCGCACCAGCACCGGGTGCCATTTTTCCTGTCTTTTATAATCATCCATAAAGTTTCTCTCTGACGCGAAACACGCTGACGCCTCGACGACAGCGTCAAAAATAAAACGAAATTCCGAGCCAACAAAAACTGGCCAACGACCCGAGCCGCCATTGCAAGGGCCCAAAATTCATGCTGCCGTTTCAATAATCACATTGGTTAGCGTGGCAAGACCCCACCAAAAGCATAAAAATATTCCAACGTATTTCGAATACTGCGTCACAAAATCCGTCACCACCGGGATACCCGAGAAGACAACCAGCAGTAGGACGTCTTGTACTAGAATAAATACCGCCGAGATGACGAACTTGTAATCAATCGAAGTGGTTTTCAGAGACACGGACCGGAAGAGCCAAAATTTATTAGAATTGACACCATTTGCATTTATCAGCATGGAAGTGAACCCACTGAGGCCCACCCCGATGAGTATATTCAGCAGAATGCCTCCTAAACATGCACTGAGGGCGATGAAAAAGTACCGGGATGCCAGTTGAGCTCGCTCGTCCTGGTTAGGCGGAGAATCAATTTTGAGATGCAATTTGCACATTGCGACGTTTGACACTAGGTCGCTGACGCTATTGCCCCATGAGAATATTGTAAGACCCAGTACAGCTTCTGAGATATTGGTGAGTCGCTGGTAGATTATCATCACCTCAATCAGCGCGTTTGCGAAAACTGCTATCCACAGCACGCAATTGATGATTCCCACTGCGTTGAACAACGTCATCACATACCGTTCCAGAACGTCGAGTCGCATTGCAGCTCTGTCATCGTGAATTTCAGTGTCGTTGAGTGAGAACCGGTTCACTTGTAGAATTTGCCAACGGAATGCAATTGTAGATGTCAGCAAGCTCGTAGCTGCGACGACAGACACCAGTATGTATGGCCAAGCGATGTGGGAATTGAGCAAAATTGCCAGAAGCATCAGAGCGCATCCCGGAGCGCACACAGAGTGGGTCAACATCAGTATGAGATTTTTGGGCTCCAGCACGGCCTTGTCACCGGGATCCTCGCTGCGTTGTAGCAGGTCTTGGAACTGGGGACAAGTCAGTCGCAGAATTATTGTAGAGGGCACCATTGTAATAGCCAAGAGCCTGGCAGGAACAGATTTGGTCGTGAAGTTGAGAAGTTGCGGGGCCAGTACGAACAGTGCACCATTTTTTAATCGTAGCAGTCTTGAGTGTAAGGTATGTTCGTAAGCGATTGGAAGCTCAACGTCGTTGATGGCATCTGGCAAGTCCTCGTTGTCGTCATGGTACGGTGCAAATGCTGATGGTGACGAATGAACGACAGGACGATCATTGTTGAGGGAATTGTTAAAGTTTTGGGTTGTGGGCACGGTCAAGGGCCTGGGAGCCACGAATTGAGCGTCCAACCCGCGCGAGTCAAGCGTTTGCATTGTAATGGCGTCGTCGCCCAGAGGTGACGACTGTTGCATCACAGCGTACAGCGCGGTGTAGTCCAAAGCGCTAAGAACGCTGAATTTCGGTGCAGGGTCGTAGTCGTTGGTTTCGCTCAGCTCGAGCGAGGGTTCCTCACCGGGCGATTCCGTTGTGGCACTCGTTTTGGAAGCGATGTAGCCCGCATACAATGCCAGCATCAGTGCACAGTTCAGTAGAGTAATTTCGTTGCGCAGACTCACATAAAGCATTGTGAGCACGGCGACCAGTACGAAGCTTAGGTCTTGGAATATGTGTCGGGCGTGGTTGGCATCCAATCGGGGCCGCACTGGGCCCATTACCACGAATAAAGCACCTTGCACAACGCATAGGATAAACCCACTAGAGCCAAGAACCTCTCCCACCGACAACGCTGGGGTGTGCGATGAGGTCCAGCTCATGAAGTTGGTAACGAGGTCTGGTGAAGAATTGCACCAGGCCAGCAGCACAGCAGCCAGGATACCTCGCGAGCGGGCAGACGAGCGGGCTCGAGTTAATGTCGCAACTGTGGGACACAGGTAGTCGGACGCACATAAACCCAGATGGATAAAGCAAGTTGCGACGTAGGCCAGGCTCAGCACCACAAAGGGGACGTCCAGGTGCGAGCCTGAGAACAGAGCAGATGGGTGGGGGAGTTCCATTCACAACTCGAAGCACTATTGAACAATCGAGAGCGCTAGCGATCGAACACGAAGCACAATTGAACAATCGAGCGTTGACGATGGACGGTGAACCAGTAGAGAACTCGGAATACGAACACCAGGATGGGAAACCAGAACACAACTTGTAGAATTTCGACTCTAGCACTGAACACAGACCTCACAGTAACAAGAGACCTTGTAGTTTCAAAAGTACATAGAGGTCTAGAAAGCGTCAACAACCAGCCCAAAAGCGTCGTTCGTGTCGCTATAAAGATACATAAGGACAGTGAATAGTGTATAGAGAGTAGAGAACCGAATGTCTCGCATCTACGCATAGGCTAGCTTCTCGCTAGGGTACGACGCACCGACCTGCTGGATCGACAACGCGGCCAACCACTGGCCCATGTCGACAGCACGGTCTAGTTTCTCGCCCTGGGCAAGACCTGCGACGAACCCGGCCGCGAACGCATCGCCTGCACCGTTGGTGTCGACGATTTTGTCGCTGGCTAGAGGCTTGACGGCGTACGTTTGCGAGCCCTGTGGAGTCACCACCACGGTGGGTTCCAAGCCATGGGTGAAGATCACGGTGCGGGTCTTGGAGTCGCCCACAATGTGCTGGGCCACAGCAGCTAGGTCGTCGGCCTGGCAAGTCAAGCCAAAGGCCTCTGCGAACGCCGCAGCCTCGGACTCGTTGGCGATCACATACGTGGTGTAAGGCAGCACTTGCTCGAGCGCAGCCTTGAAGAACTGAGGAATGAATGGGGCGCTCAAATTCAGCACGAAGGGCTTGCCGGTCTTTTGAGCGTGCTGGCCCAACTTGACGATGGCCTCGGGAGACACGGTGAGATGGAACCCTCCGACGTAGAAAAGCTCAGCTTTCTCGACCACGTCCCAGTGGCGGTCTAAATGGTCTGGAGTGAAGTGGTTGGCAGCGCCTAAATCGGTCACTAGCGAACGGTTGTGGCCGGTGATCAGAGCAGCACATTTGCCAGTTCCGACCTGGGGCTGCTGCTGGTAGTACGAAACCACGCCAGCGGCGTCGTTCTCGGCCTGCAATTGTGCAGAGAACTTGTCCTGGCCCACGCTGCCGAAGTAGGCGACTTGGCCCGCTCCCAAGACGTATGCAGCACCACGAGCAGTGTTCTGCGCAGCACCGCCTGCGATGAACTTGACGTCTGGGAATTGCAAGAGCTCGTCGAAGATGGTCATGCGAGGCTCCTCGGTAGTGGCGTCTAGCAAGACGGCGTCGTTGGCCTTGAGCTGGTAGCGAGCTAGGTACTCGTCCGAGACCGTAGCTTGGATGTCCAGCAATGGGTTTCCGAGACAAACGAGGCGGGCAGAGACAGAGGAAGAGGCAGTAGAGGACATTTTACAAGCGTGTAGAGCGTAGTTCGTCTTGGTCTTGACGTCGTGTCACCGTGTGTGCGACGGTGATCATCGTCGTGTCAAATTTTACATCTACGTCGACGACGGGAGCGGGCCACCCATGTGAAGGAATGGGAGCACCCGACTTCACGTGGCGGGACGACGACGACGACTCGTTTAGACAAGTTTTGACGGTTCGAAAGACGCCTTGAAGAGCCCCGGGTTCGCATTTGTTGGGTTCACGTCGCAGGCTTTTGGGAAAGCTGGTGATGGCTTTTATAGGTCTGCGGTGAACGCTTGCGGCACCGTAAAACGTCGCGAAAAGTCGCTATATACAGATTATACAAGTCTACGCACACGGCTGGGAGGCCGGAGCGGCGGGGGAGCGCCGCTCGCGGGGTGTTTGCGGCTGGTTTTCAGGTTTTGTTGAAACATCAATGGTTTTTCAGTATATATATTATATTGTAGATATGGATATTGAATATCAATATATTTTAAAGGTTATATAGGAAATGCGAACTTGAAGATTTGGAAAAACATAACCAAAAAAGTGAGTTTATAGCCCAAAGAGTCGCAATTGAAACTTGAAACCGGTATAATTTTGCAGAGCTGTATTTGGGCTTTAATTTGGTAGAAAAATTAGCGAAAACGGTGCGTTTTTGGTCGAGATACCTTTGATTTTTGTTGAACAACATGCAAGACCCGTTTCTGGCACTGTCGCCGTTCAAGAACAGCGAAAACCTGCTTGTAAGACACTCGCTCGAAATCGCGGTGTCGTTTTTTCTGTATCTCTTCGTCGTGGAGCGTCGGCTGGCGCCCGCGATCAACCGTCGCGTCTTTGGAACGCACTACACCAAGTGCACAGACCGCAGCACGCGAATCAACTTCGATATCCACACGGTGTCGATGGTGCAGTGCGTGGTGAGTCTGTCGCTGACGGCACCCATTTTGCGTCAGCCGCTGGCCGCCAGCGTGTCGACATTCCAGGACCCCTTCAACTCCATGGTCGCGGCCCTCACGTGCGGGTACTTCCTCTGGGACGTGTGCGTGTGCGTGAAACACTTTTCGCAGTTCGGCGTTGGGTTCTTGGGCCACGCTCTCGCGTCGCTGTACGTGTTTGTGATCGCTTTGCGCCCGTTTTGCCAATCGTGGGTTGGCAAGTTTTTGATCTTTGAGGCGTCCACGCCGTTTGTCAACGTCAACTGGTACTTCAGCCAGCTGGCCGCGGGCGGGAAGGTCCCGCTGTGGCTCAACGCGCTGAACGGCGTAATGCTGATCCTCACGTTTTTCTGCGTGCGCATTGTTTGGGGGTTTTCCGCCATTGCGATCCTGATTCGCCAGCTATGGCTCGAACGCGAGCTGCTGCCCGTCTGGCTACCTCTCACAGTGCTGCTCTTGAACACTGCCCTCAATTGTTTGAACTTGGTATGGCTAAACAAGATGATTCGCATTGCCAAGAAAATGGCGAAACGCAACCGCAAACAGGGCTAGATGTGCGAGACTCAGTGCACATAAAAACAAAGAACACACACGGCGCTGGCGTCGGGGCCATCTCGGGCGTCAATGTGTCGCTCTCAGCGCTGGCCTGGGCCAAATTTGGCCAAATTTTCGAAACACCCATAATTGTGGGAAAAACTGGGCCAAAATGGTCGTTAAAATGCCAAAAGAATCTCAAAACGTTGGCCCATCACTCCTGGTGAATCTACCATGCCACAGGCCATACCATTTCGCGCGTTTGGCTCGCCGTTACGTCTTTTTACCAGTCTTCGTAACTTTCTCCGTACACAATGACTCAAATTAACCATTTATCAACCCATATATATATATACATCAACAATTATCCCAACCTTTACCAACAACTCTTCCAACCACAATTCACTTGTTTAAGCGTCCTAAAACCATGTCGTTCGTGGATCTTCTTCAGCGGATGCTTGATAATCCCAATATTCCTTGGAAAACGGTGATCACCGCGTTCACTTTGGGCCAATTTGGGTTCGAAACGTACTTAAACTATCGTCAATATCGCACACTCGGTAACGCGACACTTCCCAAGCAACTAGAGAATGAGATCGACGCGGAAACTTTGCGCAAGTCCGACGAGTATTCGCGCTCCAAAATGAAGTTTAGCATGTTTTCCAGCGCGTTCAGTTTATTGGAAAATTTGGCAGTGATCAAGTACAACTTGTTCCCGCGTGTGTGGCACCTGGGTGTCGCGCTGGCTCGCAGATTGCCCATCAAGTTTCTGGCAACGTCGACCATCGGCCAAAGTCTGTTGTTTTTCACGGTGCTGTCGAACTTGTCGGCCATTTTACAACTGCCGTCTTCCTACTACCAGCATTTCGTGCTGGAGGAGAAGTACGGCTTTAACAAGCTGACCGTGGGTCTGTGGATCTCCGACAAGATCAAGGGCTCTCTGCTGAGCGTGGCATTAGGGATGCCATTGATGTACGCGTTTTTGAAAATCTTCGACGCCTTCCAGGGCAACTTTTTGGCCTATATTTGCGGATTTGTGCTAGTGGTGCAGATCTTGGCCATGACCTTGATACCCGTGTTCATCATGCCGCTATTCAACAAGTTCACGCCCTTGGAGGACGGTGATTTGAAAGAGTCGATCGAAGCCCTCGCACGCCGCGTCCAGTTCCCTCTTGACAAGATCTTTGTTGTGGACGGGTCTAAACGCTCGTCTCACTCCAACGCCTACTTCACGGGACTGCCCTTCACCAGCAAGCGTATTGTGCTGTACGACACGCTTGTGAGGGACTCGTCTGTGGACGAAATCACCGCCGTTTTGGCTCACGAAATTGGTCACTGGCAGAAAAACCACATTTTGCGGATGCTGGCCTTCAGCGAGGTCCACATCGCATTCATGTTTTCGCTATTCTCCGCCGCATACCAGAACAGGTCTCTGTACGCGGCGTTTGGCTTCTTTTTGGGCCCCGGTGCCTCTCCCAGCTCCAGCATTGTTATTACTCCTCAATTGCCCGTGTTGATCGGGTTCATGCTGTTTAACGACCTACTGCAACCGCTCGATTGCGTTATGAACTTTGGAATCAATTTGCTCTCCAGACTGCACGAATACCAGGCTGACGCCTACGCCAAGAATTTGGGCTACCAGAAGGATCTCTGTCGCGCTCTGATCAACCTGCAAGTCAAGAATCTGTCGACCATGAACGTGGACTCGATGTATTCGAGCTACCATTACTCACATCCTACTCTACCTGAGAGATTGGAGGCTTTGGACCACGTCAGCGAACGCAAATCCGAGTAAACCGTTGAGCCACGCCATATTTTTACAGACTAGAGCGTCCCGTTGGTTCAATTAAAGTCTAGGTGCAGTGGTATGACTCTTGCACAGCAACAAAGGCCCTGATCTTTTCAAAATCTATCGAAGTGCTCTCCAATTGTTACATGACCTCAAATCCACTCGTTTTGGCCGCTACGAGGCTCTTAAGAAGCCCAAATTTTGACAGCAGTTGCTGTCAGTTTGTATATATATAAATATAAACTGCCAGTTTAACAAAAATTCTCACTACAAAAACGTCTACAACTTTGAGTTTCTCGTTGTTATGGCTTTTACGTGTATGTTCGCGTCGCGTTTTAATAAACTCTTTAAATTTGTATATACTGACTGATGAACAGTTCAAAAGTTGATCTCGAGGAAAAACCGATAAAATCAGGCTTTACAGCGCTTCACAAACAACTGAAACTAGTCCTTTGGATTGAGTCCACGTACTGAAATGCAAGGCTCGATTTATAGCTCACCATTCCCAGCGCTAAACCCACGGGTTAGGTATAAAACTGCGCTGGAAAGAGCAGGCTTTGACACTATTCATAACCGTCCTCAACGCGCTCCAGAGCGCGAGAAACCCTACCTCGCGGGTAGACATGTTAGTGAAGGCGGTAGTGCATTATTTGGAATGCGTTCAGAGCCGCGGTTGACCCGTACCGAGCCAAATAGTAAAACTAGAGCAGTGAGTGCTAAGGAGCCTCATCCGCGCCATGATGGTTTTAAAATGACAGAGTTGCAACAAGAGCTTCCCACAGCTCGACAGCTAAACCAATTTGGCGAAACTGGACTGTCACAGCGTCCTCCAGTACCGCAATCGCAATTTGTGGAACACAACAATGGTTCTCTTGTGGATGAACAAGTGTACCGAAACGTTGGTGTCGGATCTTCAATCGCGGCCGAGAATTCCAGCACGCGTAACAAGCGTGAATCGTCAGTCTTTGATTTCGAAAAAAAGAGAACTTCGATCGACCCTGTGGAGAAAAGCTTTTTGCAATTGACTCAAACCTCGAATTATAGCAACGCTTCCTCTCAGGAGCGTGTTTTCACGCCGTACGAGACAGAATCGACCACTTCCGTCAACGTAAGCGACGAGGATGATTTTGAAGATGCACACAGCCAGCGAGATCCAACGGAAGAAACTCCAAGTATGGATAAATGGCGCTCCATAATGCGTTACAGCGGAGCAACCCAGGATAACTCGCAATATGAGGAACCAGCTCAACTGGAAGGTCCAGAAGGCTATGATCTCAATGCGACGCCCCATTCCAAAAGACAATCCGAGTCCAGCATTAGTTTCACTCCCGTTGCAGAACTGCACGTAAATTTATCGCCTCAAAAGACCTCTGAACCTGCGCTCATGTCACTCCCTGTGATTAGTGTATCAGCCGATGAACAAGAGGAAACTTTGCCGCCTTTACCCGCGGTCGTATTCAAACCTGACTCCCGCACTACAACAAAAGAGGTCGATACTGCTGTATCGGATCATGAGGAAACAATTGAACCTTTGAAACCTTTGAATATCAAATCCAAATCTGTTCAACATCAACCTTCGCAGTCCCATGAGCAAGAGGTATCGCAGCATGCTTTGAACTATAGTGGATACAAACTTCAGGACAATATACAGATAGACGAGAACGAAATTGAACCAGAAGAAGCGGAAGAAACCTTGGATGACTTCGATCCTTCTTCCACTCTGAAATCGTCACTACAAGTGGAAAAGCTGCTTGCCCAGCTAGATGACATCTCTACCAATCGAAACCTCGCAGTGGGGAGTCCGCGCCCGAATTTGACCAGTCGCTTCAAAAAATCAAGCGCATATCTCTCTGGCTTCATTCCAGCTGCAACAGAGGTAGACACCGCAGTTGAAGACTCATTGCAGCCCAACGCCATTTTGCAAAACGATACACAAAGTTTTGATGTGACGGACTACAAACCGCAAAGCATACGCCTAGCAAATGACGCTGTTGAAGCTCTGAAGGATGAATTATCCACGGACTCTGATGGCTCACCTAAGTTTTTCAAGTTCCGACAGGACCTTGGAGCTCTTCAGAAACATTCGAGCGACACCGGGGCCACAGGAAGTTACTCCGGAATAGACAATTCGGATAGTTTAATGCCTTCCGAAAGACTAAAGCACTCTTCGAACAATACCATTTCACTCCGGGAGCGTACCGCGATTCCAACATCGGTATTGCGCCAGGTGGACGAAAACAAAAACGACCACCCCTCAGATACTGGCATGGCAGATGGTACAGACCACACCGAGTCTAGCATACCGCACAAATATCCACCTGGTCAGGGCCCATGTCGCGCGTGTGGCCTAGAAGTGACTTCCAAAAGCATTTACTCGAAAAAAGAAGACGAGCTGTCCGGTCAGTGGCATCGTGGGTGCTTCAGCTGCATCAAGTGCGATGTCAAGTTTTCCAAACGCGTTCCGTGTTTCATTTTAGACGATCAGCCCTACTGCCAAATGCATTTCCACATCGCGAACAATAGTATCTGTCAGATCTGTCACCAGTTCATTGAAGGCGAGTGTCTTGAAAACGACAGAGACGAACGGTTTCATGCCGAATGTTTAAGATGTTTCCGGTGTCAGAACCCAATTCGCGAGGATTACTATTTGTTCAATTACGAGCTGCCTCTATGCCACAATCACGACATTGAAGCTCTCAAACTTGAAGCCTTGAGCGAGTTTGGAGACACCACCACTATTTCTAAGAGAAGGACTAGGATTGTCAATTTCACTTAAGTGTGGTGTTGATATTCTCCAGCACTTTCAAATTTCTACAATAAAGGCCGCTTCTTCGCCGAATTCTCAACTCGATCGATATTCTAAGCTCTCCAATCTCTCCACATGAGCCTCGTCAATTACACGCCAGGCATTGACCCTCCACTCATCCAATTGTTCCTACCAAGAGCCACGTTCACTTCCAACACTCAATTTTCACTGTAAAAAGTCAAAAAATAATCTGAATTTCAAGCTGAAAATTTCCACTTGGACCTCGGATTTTCCTCTACGCTCCCAACATCCTCATGCTAGTCCATGCTCTCCCATCCTTTCCCTATGAACAATATCTTTTCTTCCGGCTTGGCGATGTCTATTATTTTGTTGATAATCGCGAAAGGCCCCAGTTGCGAAATTTTCAAAACCTTCAAAATGAAAACAGGGAGCCATTACAACATTCAGAACAAAACTAACCATAAACAACCAAATCAAACGCATAAAGTCCGGCTGAAAGGTCTGCTATAAGCTGGATACTCGAATTTTCACTCGAGCTCTTGTTTGCCAAAAAAAAACTGAGTCTTTAGACCCATTTTTGACCATTATTTTACAAGATAGAGAACATTTTACTCATCAGCTTTGAAACCTCGAATAGCTGGTAGTGGTAGTTCAAAGCGCGCGAGAATCAAGGACAAACGACGTACAAACAAGGAAACAATAATGAAGGACACACTGGAGCTGGAAAGGACCCCGAAACATGAAAATGCTAAAAGATTGTCGTTTAGCAGGGAAACTGAAGAAAGTCCGAAGTCGCCGCAGACTCCATCGCCTCCAAACAATCGTGGCAGTCGGTCAAACCGGAGGACGTCCGTGTCGCACGGGTTTCTGGCGTCGCCACTGCCGGGCAGCTCGGCCAAGAGGTCGAGTGGGTCGGATTTTATCGTCCCGGAGTCTCCAGGCGTGAAAACGCGGCTTCTGCCACCAACCACGCCCAAGTCGCGAAACGCAGAAGTCTTTCTGTCGCCGTCCCCCAAGCTTAAGTCCTCGGGCATCCAGAAGGACACCGAAAGACCTATCCGTGAACTTTCCAACAACCTGAAAACTAGACTCAACTATGCTTTTGTCAAGCTTCAGAATGGCTGGACCGATAAGACACTGCCGCAACTGGAATCTGGGACAGACGACTCGCCCGAAAAGCCACTGGAAGTACCCAAACTGCGCAACACGGCCTACAGCAACCGGTTTTTGGAGGAAGAAGACTCGGGCAACAATTCTGCACACGCTGCGTTGATGAACGCGCTGGGCAGCCCGAGAAAAAAACAGCAACAACAACCCGGTTCCTCGTTTTCCTCTGGAGGCTTGCTTGCAAGTCCCCAAAAGCCCGCACCTCCTCCAATTATCACCAAGCCTGTCAGCGTCGCTGTCAGCCCGGCTGACAAGCCAAAGACACGGTCAGAAGACCAGCCTTCGGAGGTTGAAGCCATAGAAACGCTCATGTCGTTATCGTCCCCGAAAAAAGCATCGCATAACGCCAGTCAGGAGTTCACACTTCCGCCTCTGCCGCACCCGGCGTCGTCGCAAGGTCAACCAGGCGTGCACTCGGACCCCACGATCGTGGGGATGTCATCGCGATCTTCCTCGTCCAGCTCCTCTGTCCCAAATACATTGGCTAAACCCTTTCTGCTGAAGGGCAACACTGGCACCAGCGCACAGGTCTTACTAGACGTGGAAACGGACGTTGAGGATGTCAACGGAGACTAACCGGAATGAAGTCTAGGGAAAAACAGGGAACTTAAATCTAACATATATGGGTTTTATATATGATTTGTTGTAATATTATATTCCACACAGTATAGAAGTGCTAAATTGTCGAGTACAGCAGTAGAAATACGTCACAGCTGAAGTAGTGGTTGAGTTGTTGACGGACAGCTGACAGAAAAAGGTTTCAAGGGTTCAAAATAGAGATCAACACTTTGGAAAAAGACTGCTCGACTAGGCTCTAGTAGGTGAATATTGTATTGTTTTTTCTACTAGTTCGAGATTTTACCTAGATGCCTGACACTAGTGAGTTTAGAAAGACAACTCGCACTGTAGATGCTGTTTCGCCAAGAAGCTCCAAACTCTCGACGTTAGACTCAACTAAAGATGTCTTAAAGGTAGTTTACGATGTTTATGAGTCGCAATGGACTGCAACTGATAGCTCGTTGGTGAACTTCGTTTTTCTACATGGCAGTGGCATGAATCGTAAAGTTTGGGACGACTACGTTGATAAACTGAACTTACCAGCAAACAAGAGGGGGTGGAGAATTGGAAAGGTCGTGCTTATCGACCAAGTAAATCATGGCGACTCGGCTGTTTTGAATGAACCATTGTTGGGTACCATCTACGACTGGAGCGACGGTGCAAGAGACGTGTGTAAGATTTGCGCGGACGAGTTTTACAATGGAAGCCGCAAAAACGGGACCTTTAATGTGGTTGTGGGACACTCAATGGGGGGATTCCAAGCTCTCTGCTGCTCAGTTTTGTTCCCTGGCATCTTTGATACCGTGTTATGCATTGAGCCTGTAGTATGGATGAAGCGAGTTCGTAATGCCGGCAACGATGATATCACCATTATGTCCCCTACCTTCTACAAAGCTCTAGCTGCCACCATGCAAGACGAATTCTCAAGTCAGCAGCATTTTGACAGGTATTTCGACAAGTCAAGCCTGTATGCTGCTAGTGATCCTGTCATCAAGAAGCGCGAGCGACAATTCGAGCTACAAAAGCTAACAGAGAATGTTTTTAGGACCAAGACCAACGCGCGACAACATATGCTAACGTACCTTACGTTAAACCCCACTGCCACATGGCTGATGAAATCGCTTCCTTTCATAAACTGTCCTGTCGCCTGCATTTATGGGAGTAAGTCGAAATGGTGTCCTCCAGAAAATCGACACTACTTGCGAAACCACATTAAGGGCTACCAGGAAGTTGAAGTGGACGGTGGGCATCTCATAAATATCGAGAGTCCTGCCAGTGTGATTGGCAATATCAACACATCTTTAAGCAAGCTCTTACCAAAGGAAACAGAGAAATCTGGACTCGACGCTGACGCCCGGCAATCGAAGTTCGACAGCGACTACAAGACTCTGCTGAAAGAGAGGGTTATGAAAGGTACCCCCAAGCTTTAAAAGCTCAAAAAACCTTTAACCTATTGTTTGCTGGGCTTAATGCCATTACTTATTATACAAAACTGTAAACCTCGAGAGAGAATCTATAGCTTGGATTATGCATGTGTAGAAAGTGAGGAGGAGGGAGCGGGCTTTCTAATCCGTGAACTTGTAGGAACCGGAGCTCAAAGTGATGCTTCCACCCCTGTAGGAGCCTCTTTTCATTTTGTTCTTGTTTTTGGTAAAGTCCTTACCGCGTACTTTGCCCAATTTGTCGTTGGCCATTTCACCCCAGGTACCCGCTGCACCTTTGTAAGTGTTATCGGTAAGAGCGTTGTGCTCGAAGCTGACCTTGGATCTATCAATTCTGGAAAAATGGTTGCGTTGGCCGGGTCTCAACTCGTCAGTACCAGCTGAGATATGTGTGGGTTTGGAGATTGGGGTGTCAGGGGAGGCAGTTTTTGAAGACGAGGTTGATTGCGAGGGATTGGCTGGGGAGGACTTGGAGGAGGCTGACGAGGAGGGGGGAGAGTCGGAGCTGTCTTCAAAGTCGCTAGAGGAAGAGCTATCGTCAGAATTATTGGAGGAGGAGCTGGAGGAAGAGCTGCCGTCAGAGTCGCTGGAGGAAGAGCTATCGTCGGAATTGTTAGAAGAAGAGGACGATGAGCTGTCGCTGGATGACTCACTGGACGACTTTGTCTCTTTTTTAGAATCTTCCTCATCTGAGGAGCTGGAGGCATCACTGTCCCAAGAGCTGGAAGAGGAGCTGGAAGAGGAGCTAGAAGAGGAGCTGGAAGAGGAGCTGGAAGAGGAGCTGGAGGAAGAGCCGTCGTCAGAGTCGCTGGAGGAAGAGCTATCGTCGGAATCGCTAGAAGACGATGAGCTGTCGCCCGAAGACTCACCGGACGACTTGGTCTCCTTTTTGGAATGCTCATCATCAGAGGAGCTGGAAGAATCACTGTCCGAAGAACTGGAAGAGCTGGAGGAGCTAGAAGAATCACTTTCCGAAGAGCTAGAGGAGCTTGACGAGCTTGAGGAGCTAGAGGAGCTAGAGGAGCTAGAGGAGCTAGATGACCCACTGTCCGAAGAGCTCGACGACGACTCTTTAGTGTTCTCAACTTTCTGCTTTTTAGCGTTTTTCTTGGTCTTGACAGCTCTCTTACGCTTTAGAGACGAGTTCTTTTCGTCTTCTGAAGAGCTAGAGCTGGAACTAGAACTGGAGCTAGAACTGGAGCTAGAACTGGAGCTAGAGCTGGAACTAGAACTGGAGCTAGAACTGGAGCTAGAACTGGAGCTAGAACTGGAGCTAGAACTGGAGCTAGAACTGGAGCTAGAACTGGAGCTAGAGCTGGAACTAGAGCTCGAGCTTCCGCTCTCACTCGTACTCAATTCGGCCTTTTTGACCTTTTCGGAAAGCTTTGGAGGCTCGCTGTTCGCACTTTCCCGTTCAAATTTCTTGCTGATTTTCTTGGACCCCATCACAACTGTTTATAAACTCTCTAACACGCTGATTAACCGTGTTTTATATTGTTTGTAGATACAGATTGATGCGATGAGTTGAGTTCATTGTTGGAAAACTTTTTTGGATTGGATATTTTCGTTATTGGTGATCTGAAATTTAACGAAATTTGGAATTATTAGCATATATTCAATAAGGCAGATCAAGTTACAATTTCAAAGGTCAAGAAAGTCTCAATTTGACCCAAAAAGCTCACATTTTCGAGTATTTAAGGTAGCCCAGTGTTTTTATCAAGTTTTACTTTCCGGAAATCCCTTTTTTTGAGCGAAAAGCGAGCTTTTGGAGGATTTTTAGGGCGATGAGCGAGCATCAATACCAGACCAGAAGCAAAGGAACTACGTTTGGGAATCAAGATTTGGACTTCTCGGACGATTCCGTGGCTACAAACAACTCAGACTACGACATTGAGGGTTTTGATGAAGAGGATGATGGCGACTACGGTGTCAGCCAGGGTACGAAGTCGAAGAATGGGGCAGGAACACGCAAAAATGGTAATAATGGTGGCAGAAAAACGGGTAAGAACGCACGAGTATCGAAAGTTTCTAGCACAAACGAGACGCTGAACAAACTGGCAGCCAAGGACCAGAATTTCCTGCACGGTTTGCAGCGCGATGCGCCTGCAGACTTCGTGCCCGATGTCGTTTCTGGGCTGTTCAGAGCGTCGGATTTCAGCTATTTGAAACTTAAACCGGACCACGCATCACGCCCGCTGTGGATCTCACCGGGCGACGCCCGTGTCATTTTAGAAAGTTTCTCGCCGCTGGCAGAACAGGCCCAAGACTTTCTTGTCACTATTGCTGAACCCATCAGCAGACCCTCCCACATTCACGAGTACAAAATCACAGCGTACTCGCTGTACGCAGCGGTGTCCGTGGGGCTGGAGACTGACGACATTATCGCAGTCTTGGATCGGCTTTCCAAAGTGCCCGTGGCGGATTCGATCACTAACTTCATCAAGAGCGCCACCGTGTCGTACGGTAAAGTCAAGCTCGTTATCAAGCACAATCGTTATTTCGTGGAAACTTCACAGGCCGAGATCTTGCAAATGTTACTCAAGGACCCCGTGATTGGTGCGCTCAGAATAGACTCCGAGACCTCGGCAGCCTCTGCAGCTGCTGTGAATCAGTCCTCCAAAGTCGACGGGACAGACGCAAACGGCAAAGACGCGAAGGTCGATCCTCACGACGTAGAGGCCGTTTTCTCGTCTGTCGTGGGGGAACTGCAACTGGACGATGACAACGAAGACATTGATGCTGTTCACGCATTCGAAATTGCGAATGAGTCCGTCGAAATCGTGAAAAAAAGGTGTCAGGAGATAGATTATCCAGTTTTGGAAGAATACGACTTTAGAAACGATCACAGAAATCCTAATTTGGATATTGACCTCAAGCCCTCAACTCAAATCAGACCGTATCAAGAAAAATCTCTGAGCAAAATGTTCGGTAACGGACGTGCTAGAAGTGGGATTATCGTTTTACCCTGTGGTGCGGGGAAAACGCTGGTTGGTATCACGGCCGCATGCACCATTAAAAAATCCGTCATTGTTCTCTGCACCTCGTCGGTGTCAGTAATGCAATGGAGGCAGCAGTTTTTGCAATGGTGCACCTTACAACCTGAAAATGTAGCAGTTTTCACTTCCGATAACAAAGAGATGTTTCAAACAGAATCGGGTTTGGTGGTATCTACATATTCCATGGTGGCCAACACAAGAAACAGATCTCACGATTCCCAGAAAGTAATGGATTTCCTCACAGGTAGAGAATGGGGATTCATCATTTTAGATGAGGTGCACGTTGTTCCAGCTGCCATGTTCAGAAGAGTTGTGACTACTATTGCTGCGCACGCAAAGCTGGGGCTGACTGCGACTTTGGTTCGTGAAGATGATAAAATTAGCGATTTGAATTTTTTGATTGGTCCCAAGTTGTACGAAGCAAACTGGATGGAGCTTTCTCAGAAGGGCCACATTGCCAACGTGCAGTGTGCTGAGGTCTGGTGTCCCATGACAGCTGAGTTTTACCAAGAGTACCTACGAGAAAACGCAAGAAAGAGAATGTTACTGTACATCATGAACCCCACAAAGTTTCAGGCATGTCAATTCCTCATACAATATCATGAAAAAAGAGGAGATAAAATCATTGTGTTCTCAGACAATGTTTACGCCCTGCAAGAGTATGCTCTGAAATTGGGCAAGCCGTTCATTTATGGTTCAACACCTCAGCAGGAACGTATGAACATTTTGCAGAACTTTCAATTCAACGATCAAATCAACACCATATTTCTGTCGAAAGTCGGTGACACTTCTATCGATTTACCAGAAGCCACCTGTTTGATTCAAATATCCTCTCATTACGGTTCTCGTCGTCAAGAGGCCCAAAGGCTAGGAAGAATTCTCAGGGCCAAGAGACGTAATGACGAAGGTTTCAATGCATTTTTCTATTCTTTGGTATCGAAGGACACTCAAGAGATGTACTACTCTACTAAAAGACAGGCGTTTTTGGTTGACCAAGGTTACGCCTTCAAAGTTATAACACATTTGCATGGTATGGAAACGCTTCCGAACTTGGCTTATTCAACGGCTCGTGAACGTAGGGAATTGCTGCAAGAAGTCTTATTGAAAAATGAGGAAGCCGCAGGTATCGAAACTGGTGATGATGCCGACAACAGCGTTGGCCGTGGAGGTCCAGGGAACAAAAAGGCGAAATCGAAAGCTGTTAGAGGTGAGGGCTCCTTGTCTGGCCTTGCTGGTGGTGAAGATATGGCGTACTTAGAGTACTCTTCGAATAAGAATAAAGATTTGAGAGACCACCATCCGCTAATAAGGAAAATGTATTATAGAAATATGAAGAAATAGGGTTTTTAAGGTGTCATTCGGAAGGTAAAATAGTATAATTCTAACACTCGCTATATTGTTCCATCGTTCAGAGAATTATGATCATTATTAGTATTATTACAATATGTACCCTGCTCTTATCCTGACTTCACTTTCCGAAGCTCCTCCGCTGTGAGAAACTCCAAATCTTCAACCGATGATTGAACGTTTATTTTGAACGTGCTAACAAACTCAATGACATTAATGACCTTGGCATATAAGTTGTTCTTTTCCCGATTTACTGCCAGCTTTAGTTCTTCATACTGAAGTTTCGTGTTTTGAACGTCTTGCTCTGCTTGAACAATTTTCTGGTGGGATGAATGCTTTGTGTTCTGAAGTTTTCTTTCCATTTTTTCAATCTCTATGCGCTGAGACAAAAGCCGACTATGACTCTCTTGCTTATAACCATCGTACTGAGATTTTGCCGAAGAAAGTTCATGTTCTAATGACTCAAGAGCTTTAGTCTTTTCGTTAATTTCCAATCTGATGCGCTCCAAATGAGCATCATAAGATGAGTTTTCCAGCTGCAGATCCTGTATTTGGTTCTGTATTGAGGTGTTGAGTTCTAAAAGTACGGGCATAACCGTCTCTCGGAGACGTGGGCTCTCTGGAACATCGAATTGCAACTCGTGGTGTCCAACTTCGTAATCTTGAATAAATTTTGGTGGCAGGGAAAGCTTCTGGAGAATGTCACCTATATCGTGGCCCACATTCGAACGTGCTGTTGTAAGGCTCTCGGTTGCTGTCTGATACTGATTACTCGCATCTACCAAGGTTCTGTATGCCCCCTCTGTCTCTAGCCTCTGTGTTTTCACAGAGCTAACTGCCTGGTCCAGTTGGCTTGATATTGTATCCAAGGCTCTTGTTAGTCTTTCGCGCTCTGCGTTGTGCTTGTCGATCTCAGCGATCTCCATGCTCTTGCCCTTTATCAGGTCGCGCAACCCTGAAATATCATTTTCGGTCTGTTTGAGCTGTTCAGCTTTCAGTTGTTTCTCCATTTCCATTTTCTCCAACTTTCTCGGCCATTCCTGGCTCTTGTGTTGCATTGCACTTACATAGTTCTGAAACTTTGTCAAATCGCTTTGCAAAGCATCGAACTTGTCCTTGGCCGATTTAACCTCTTTACCTTTCTCTATCAGGTCGTGGTACCTGACTGATAAATCACTGTTGGTCATAGCTATGTTGTTGATGTCAGTTCTAATAACCTGAGCAAATTTCTCAAAGCCCAAGACTAGCTCCTTCATGTAAGCCTCGTAATCGTCGTCTAGCTTCAAGAAGCTTTTGTATGACTGCACTATGTAGTCGATGAACAGACGTTCTACTATGAGCTCGTATTTTTCTTGCTTGTCCTCTTGCTCATCAACTGTACCGATAGGCTGTCGCAGCACTGTCAGGTCCTGAGTATTTTGGCTAATTAGAGACAGATCCACCTTTTGTAGATACGCGTCGAGTCTCTTGTTGGTATTAACGAGCCAGTGTAACATACCGAGGAATTTGGGCCAACTGGAACCCCCCACCGCTGAGATCTGCGACTTGTTTATGGTTTCCAAGTAAGGGTATTGGATAGTTCTCAGAATTGCGTAGACTTCGTGCTCTATGGATCTACTAAATTTGTAACCTGGATCCATTCTCTGGTAGAGCCACCTAAAAATGAAAACGAAGTCTTTTTGAGTAGGCTGTCGCAGGGCCTTGAGCGATATGGGATGGTTTGCTTGGACATCGAATTTCTGCGCCTGCAAATAGTCAAAGATTTCCTGCTGGATGATAGTCTGAAAATTTCTGTCTCGCAGAGGTCTGGGATCCTTGTTGTTGGTGTTTGTGGTAGTATTGTTGATGTTGATGCCGTTGCTGTGCAGTAGAGACGTTCTTTGAGAAGACCGTAGACTTTTTCTAGATTCTGACAGCAGGCTTTTTCGGGAGTCTGTGTAGGGTCTTCGTGTGTTTTCCGGCTTTGTTTTGGCCAAGCTACGGTTGATTAGATCTGTTAGACCTGGTCCACCAATGGCTGAAGCAGTGCTATTTCGTCTTCGACCAGAAAATGGCGCTGGAATTTGGGACGAAAACCTCTGTGGGTCTAAGTTGTTGAGTACACCATGTGAATCGCCTGGAAGCCGCTTGTGCAGCTCCTCCATCTCTGGTTTTAGGCGGTTTTTTGACGTGTTTGTTTTGGTTACGAAATTGTGTAAACAGCATTTAGATCATGTAACATTATATTTGTAGATATGGGCATCTCATCCATAGATATAAAAATATAGCTAAATTGTAGAAAAGAGCCTGAATTTCGAGCTAAAAGTCATTTCACGGTATTCTTCGCACTTTAAGTGACCGTTACCTTGTAGTAGCGACTTCTGGTGATGTCTTTGATGCCCCTGTTGCTTATAAAAGGTTGATGAGCTAGGTCTCAGGAAACCGCCGGAAATACATCTATTTGGGCCTGCAAGCAATTCAATGAGTCGTCTGCAATTGTTTGAGGACTTTGGTGGTTTAAAAGGGAGATTCACACGGCGCTACGCTCCGAGTGGCAAGGTATAGTGTATCCTGGCCTAAGGATTCTAGAAATTAAGTGAAATGCTAATACCGCTTTCTTCTCAAAGTGGCAACAAGCAGTCTAGACGGGCCATACTTTGACAGAGTGTGGAATAAAAAGGACAAACTGTGCTGTGCTGACCAAGGACCTAGGAAACCCGATCCCATCGTGGACCCTGCTGTGCGTATGAAATAAAGAGCTGAAATCAAATTGGTCAAAAGTATTTGAGGCTGGTAACAAACCAGTGCTTTTTGAGAAAGCCTAACTCTCCGTAACCCCGGTCTACTTTCACTCATTCCACGTTTGCCGATCATTAAACCTGAATGTCAGTACTGCCTGCTATAATATAAAAAGTCCAATATTCACATAAAGAAATGTCACAAGGCTCCCATGTTCGGTACCAAAATGCTCGCAATGATACGCTGTGCTCGAATCTGTTACTCTACCACCGAACTCTTCAAAGCTGCTTCAGATATGGGCATAAGCCCGTTTTCCTTCTATGGAAATCAAAGTCACGCGACCCTCCAGATCTGGTTTTATTACCAACATTAAGACGTTATATGAACGTAAAGATCAACAATCCATGTCGAACTCTTGATTGAATATACACCAACAATGAGGGTTCTCAAGACCGTGAAGCAAGTGGTGGAATGGAGAATCTCTAATATCAACACGAGAACTCAATCGAGTGGGTTTGTGCCCACCATGGGATGTTTGCACGAAGGCCATGTATCGCTAATACGAGCTTCCAAGAATGAAAATGAGTTTACCATTGTGAGCATATTTGTAAACCCATCTCAGTTTGCACCCAGCGAAGATCTCGACAAATACCCAAGAACGCTGCAAAATGACCTAGAATTGCTGGAAGCCGAGGGGGTCGATGTGTGCTTCCTTCCCAGCGCTCAAGAGATTTACCCGCAAGGAATTCCATTGGATGTGAAGGAACAGAGAGGGCCATTTGTGAGCGTATTGGGAGTCAGCGAGCAGCTGGAAGGTCGCACCAGACCGAACTTTTTTCGTGGGGTTGCCACAGTCGTCACCAAATTGCTGAATGTGGTGTTGCCCACGCACGCGTATTTTGGACAAAAAGATTTCCAGCAGTTCACAGTACTTAAAGTCATGACTGAAGAGCTGTTTATGAATACCAAAATCAAGATGATGCCTATCGTGCGTGGCTCTAAGGGGCTGGCCCTGAGCAGTAGAAATCGCTACCTGTGTGCGGAATCGCGCGACATTTCCAAAGCAATCTACCAGGGTTTGACTGCGGCCGCGTCCGTAATACAGACGCTGGAACCTGGCGCGCAGACCTCGCGATCCGAGCTCTTGGGCAAGATACATGCAGTGTGGGCACCGCACGTGACCGCAGGCGATTTCACCGTGGACTACGTTTCCGTGGCGCATTTCAGGTCTTTGGAAGAGCTCGAGTATGTGTCAAGAACTAACGACGTTGTGATAAGCTGTGCGGTGTACGTGCAAGACCGAGAGGACAAGACGACAAAAGTGCGGTTGATAGACAACGTGGTGTTGACCGATGAGAGGGGTGCATAGGAGACATGAGGGGGTGGTGATAGAAGACGGAGAAGGTGAGAGACCTGGGGCTGGTATATTTGACGCGACCAGGTCGTAGCATAATCGTCAATGGCCGGCGAAGCACGTAACTCCAGAAGTAAGTGACAGTATAGTACAAAGTGATATAATCTTAGAAACGAGCAGCGCCAGACCAAACTCGTCGCAGCTCCCGTCATAGCAGCTGCACTCGAGCAAAAACGAATAATTCGCGACCAGTGATTAGAAGTAGTTCGAACTTCCCTAACTCTCGTAATGCTTTGATCTTTAAAAATATTTATTTTAGCAATATCCTTTCAAGACGCCCTAACGATCAATTGTGCCAGTTGTGAGAACGTTAAAGTGAATTGTCAAGGCGATCGATTGAGAAATTGAGAGCGCCAGCGATCAATTGTGAATAAGAAGACAACTCAGAGTGTCAGCGATCGATTGTAAATCCGTATAATGACAAAAGCACTACTGAATAATCGAGAGCGTCTGCGGTAGATTGTTAATAAATACAGACATTAAAGCACTATTGAGCAATCGAGAGCGTAAGCGATCAATATGAAAAAGTGGAGGTCTCGTAGTAATTTATAACAATTCAGGGTGAAGAAATATTAGTGCTGAAGAATCGGGAGCGTCAGCGATAAATCAAGAGTATCGTAGTTTTACTGAACAATTGAGAGCGATGAATGGAGAACTCGTGCGTTTAGTTAACGATCGAGAGCCTATGCGATAGATCAAGAGTCTCGTAATTTTACTGAACAATTGAGAGCGACAGCACTTGAAGAAACGGTGTACTCGTAAGTTTATTGAGTTTTGAGAGCACACAACTCTGAGTACTCTCACTATCCTCGAAACTCGCTACCCTAGCCATAAGCTTCTCGCACTGCGGATCGAGAAACGAGAAAGTACGAGTGCTTGTAGCCACTGCAGTTCTTCATTATTGAGAGCGTCAGAAACGAAGTTACCAAAATAATTCACAATTGAATGCTCACGCCCTCATTATGCGGTTGTGCTTGTGATGTTCATAGTTATTCACATTTGAAAGCGTTAGCGTTAGTTTGTTCAATTGTGCTTGTAGTTACCAAATTTATTCACAATTGATCGCTAGCGCTCTTAATTGTTCACTTGCTCTTGTAATCATACCAATTATTCACCATTGTGAATGGGACAAACTTGTAGCCAACGTAGCACTCGGAGCTCGACAAACGGAGATAGTCCCATCTTGAGAATAAACAGGTCATCAAAGCGGATGCCTGAGTTGTTAACAGCCTTTGATACAGGTTGCCGGGATCAACGCTGGAGGTTGCATCGAGAACTTCATCGCTTATGCTATCGATTGATCATTTATGTGACAGGGTTCCGTACTCGTAGTCGTGTCCAAAGAAGTATTTACCTCAAATAAAACGCTGGCGCTCCACCGCGTCTCTGATGCTATCTCCCAATAAAGTCCTTGTAGCAATTCGTTAAGAGATTGGAAGCTTTTCATGATTGAGAGCGTCAAGGATGTAGTTACCAAAGACATTCACGATTAATTTCGCTCACAATTGATCAATTGTGCCAGCAATTCAGAAAACTACTTCACAATTGAGAGCGTCAGCGATGTATTCAACGTAGCTTGCTCAGTTGTAATTGTGATTACCAAAGCCACTCACTATTGAGAGCGTCAGCGATGTAGTCACCAAATTTATTCACAATAAATCCCTGACACTCTCATTGTTCAATTGTGCCGGTAGTTGTCACACGTTTTGACAGTTGAACGCCGAAGCTCTTAGTTGTTCAGTTGTGCTTTTGAGTGTTTACTATCCCCGATTAATCCCTGACTCTCAATTGTTCATAGTAACAAGAGTTCAGAATAATACGAGTCATTCTTTTATTCGCAATTGATCGGTGACGCTCTCGATTGTTTAATAACACTGTCATATTTACTCATTCACAACTGAGCTTTGAAGCTCTTGCTCAAAAATACTACGACCCCTCTCTTTATTCACAATTATTTACTGACGCCTGCCGTAGTCCCTTAAGTTTGAACAATCGATCTCTGATGCCCTCAGTCATTCAGTAGTAGTGTGAGTTCTCTGCTTATTCGCTACTAATCGCTGACCCTTCCAATACTTCTCAACAGTTTCACAATTAACCAGTGAAGCTCAATTGTTCAGTAGGACTACGCCTTCTTTGCTTGTAGCGCCCTCTCTTATTCACCAATAGTTGCTGACGCTCTCAATTGTCCAATAGTGCTTGTAGCACCTTTTCTTATTCACAATTGATTGCTGTCGCTCTCAATTATTCAACTAAACCTCTTCCATATATGTATAAACTATTCTATTATACTTCTAAGCACAACAAGTATTCACAATTGCACATACTACCAGCACTCCACCGTGTCAATTGAGAGCGGAAGCCTCAATAGTATTCACAGTTGTGCTTGTAGTACCAGGTTTGTTCACAATTGGGCTTGTAGCCCTCTCTCTTGTGCTTATAGCCACAATACGTTCACGATTGATCGCCAACGCTCTCGGTTGTTCAACTGTACTTCGAGTTCTCTAGTTTATTCACAATTGATCGCTGAAGCTCTCAATTGTTCAATCATGCTTCTGGTACTCGTACTCGTACTCGTACTCATGATCGCTCAGGCTCTCAATTGTTCAATTGTACTTGTAGCACCAAATCATTCATAATTGCTCGCTGACGCTCTCAATTGTTCAATAGAGCTTGTAACCATTCTACGTGTTAGTAACGCCAGGAGAAATCAATCTGTGGCCGTCCAGACTATTCACAATCGATCGCAGACGCTCCCAATTGTTCAACTGTACTACGAGTTTTCTTGCTTATTCACAACTGATTGCTGAAGCTCTCGCTAACGCTCTCGATTGTTCAACCCTGCTTCGATTCCAGTTGTGCCGCATTCTAGGCTCCAAAAACACATTCACACCCACAGAGAAAGAGAGAGAGGTAACGTTTCGTTTCGAGTACTCGAGTATTCAAATGCCCGTACTCGTCCTTCCCTCAATGACGTTTGCCAAGACCCAGGAAAACCAATACCCACTTACTCACTCATCCACCACCAACAACCAACCACCAACTAAACTGACAACTATATATCCACCACCCATCTATCACTGCTATCTCCGACCCTCATTCTTGCCTGGCGGGATTCTAATCCAGACATAATCCAGAAACTCACATTATCTCTCTCTCATCCATCACATGCCGATCTTTTCAAGCGCCATTTCGTTCCATCGATAAGAAGATCAAGCCAGATCCACGTACTACAATGCTAGCCCTAGCTCTCGAAACTCTGCAAATTCACAATTTACAATGGAAAGTACCGTCGCAAGGCGATAACAACTGTAAACTTTCGGGATCAGCAACTTTAAAGCTTGTCATTTCCAGCTTAAAGTTTAGATTGATACGGGCTCGGGCTGATAACACGAAGGGTCGCCAGTCGCAAGGATGAACTCTGTATACGTCTCCTAAGCGCTCGAAGCGCCTAGGAAACTTGGTGTGGTATGTAGATAAGTGTTGGTAGCGATGTGCGCGAGTGTGAGTGTGCGTAGACGGATATAGTTGTGTAAGAATATCAGTATCAGTATCAGTAGCAGTAGCAGAAGCACGGTAGAGTAGTATATATATGTACAAGTACCACTGTATATGGACATCGTCGCGTTGAAGACAATACTCCCACCCAGCACACTCTCCTCCTCCCCCACCCATGTCCACCAGCAGCAGCACCAAAAACACCATCACCGTGCGACACTCCCGCGTCACAGAGGTGCAAGAGGGCCACATACAAGAACTACGAGCCGTCGTATCGTCCCACGGCGTCCCCATCCGGTACGTGGACGCCAAGAGCGCCACCTCGGACCAGCAGGTGCTGGCCGAGCTGGGCTACAAAGAAGAACTGCAACGTGAGTTCTCGCCGCTCCAGATCTTCGGTGTCGCGTTCTCCATCATGGGCCTGCTGCCGTCGATCGCGTCGACCCTCGACGGAGGGCTCTCTGCAGGCCCCGTCGGCCTCAACTGGGGGTGGTTCGTCGCAGGCATCCTGATCCTCTCCATCGGCGTCGCCCTCGCAGAACTCTCGTCGTCCATCCCCACCGCCGGCGCCGTCTACGTCTCCTGCTACCAGTGGGCCCCAGCCCGCGTACGCAAATGCATCTCCTACTCCGTCGGGTTCCTCGACACACTGGCGCTGAGCGCCAGTGTGTGCTCCATCGTGTACGGGCTCGCCCAGCAGATCCTGTCTGCCGTGGTGGTGTCGAACCCGGACTTCGAGGTCACCAACCCGATCAGCTACGGCGTGTTCGCCGCGTGCATCGTCGTGATGACCATGCTGACGTCCATGACCTCCAAGTTCACGTCCAGGCTGCAGACCGTGTCGATCGTGGCCAACTGCTTCGTGATCGCCCTGCTCTTCATCGTTTTGCCCATCGGCGTCAAGCGTTCTGCCAAGCTCAACTACAGCTTCAACGACGCCAAATTCATCTTTGGCAAAGTCGACAACCTCAGCTCCTGGAACACCGGCTGGAACTGGTGCATCGCAGGCATGATGCCTGCCATCTGGACCATTGGAGCTTACGACTCGTGTCTGCACATGGCGGAAGAGGCCCGCGACGCGCCCAAAGCCGTTCCTATCGGTATCGTGGGCTCCATTTCCGTGTGTTGGATCCTGGGCTGGCTCGTGTGTATCGTGTTGCTCGCCTGCATGGACCCAGACGTCGACAACATCGTCAACTCCGCGTACGGCCAAGGTATCACCCAGATCTTCTACGACGCTTTGGGCAAAAGATGGACCCTTGGCTTTCTGTCGCTCTTGATCATCTGTCAGTTCTTGATGGGTGCTTCCACCGTGGTGGCCAACTCCAGACAGTTTTGGGCCTTTGCCAGAGACGACGCCATCCCACTAAGCACATTTTTCAAAAAAGTTGACAAAAGAACCGCAGTTCCTATTCGCGCCGTTTGGGGGTCTAGTGGTCTGGCTTTGGCTCTAGGATGCTTGTGTTTTGCTGGCGATACCGCTTCTGGAGCTCTGTTCAGTTTGTCGGTTGCTGGTATGTACATGGCGCTGATCTTCCCCATCACTTTGCGACTCACATACGGCAGAAAAGATTTCAGACCGGGTCCATTTTACCTGGGAGATTTCTGGTCCCCCATCGTGAACTGGTTCGCCGTTCTCTCCCAAGCGTTCATCATCATTATGATGATGTTCCCCTACGACAAAGGTGTCGCTCCGGACTCCATGAACTATACCGTGGTAATTGGTCCCGGCTTCTGGGCCATCAGTTTAATATACTACTTCCTGCATCAACGCAAATATTACGAAGGTCCAAAGTCGAACTTGACCGACGAAGAGTTCCGCGAGTGCGTTGGTGAGGACGTTATTGATGCAATTATGTCCCAAAACGCGGAAACCATCAAAAACCGAATGGTTTAACCGCGTCAGAGAGGTAAAATAAACTTCCAAGCCGCGGTGAAAAGAGGGTTTTGTCCCATTCAAATGACACATACGTTCATACTTTTAATCATAGATTTGCGCTTTACACATGATATAAAGAGGTATTTGACGCTTCGAATTAGCAAAGCGGAACACAAGGCACGATGCAGCGGCCGCATCGAATATCCAGGGCTAGTTCGGCGCCAGCTCCAGGCCCCAACGACAGTTTTTCAAGCCATTGGTGCCAATATCTATGTGCATATATATTGTCGCGGTCAACATGGAAATGCACTGTGAAGACCATATTGGTCTGGGATACCTCAAACTTCCCCAGCCATGAAGGATGTGATGAACATGGTCCAGGACAAGCTCAGGACCCATTGCGACGTCCGATATACCATCGCAGCGGCGATTTATGTCCAATGACAGCGTATATCGTATCTTTTAGTGACAGAGATGTACAAAATGACGACACATTGGTACATAGTGATAACTTGTGGTGAGCATCTGACACTGTCTCATTGCCATATCCAAGGCATAAGAGGGTGTCTGTGAGGAGCGTTCTCATTAACAGGGCCGTCTTCAGTGTTGCTTATCCTGTAATATAGTGCTTAGAGCTCTAATATAGCGAAAACTGTAGTTTAAAATTGGTATAATTACAAAAGTGAATAGTTTTCAAAAGTCGTAGAGCAGTGCATTTGAATCAACATCAAGCGGTAAATACAGCCACCGCCAGCTTTATTATTCTGCTGCCCACGCGTAGTACATATAGCTATTCGCTTTCAAAAGAGCTTCAATAATGACACACCTGTCACGTGAACCCTAGCTGGCTCCCCCCGATGCCCTAAGGGATGAAATCGGGCATCTTATTCTATATAACACAACTTTGGGAAGATCGGTTCAGCAGAGGTCTAATCCACACAAGTTGGCTCAAACAACATTTGTTTAACGGATTGAACAGCGTATTTCAAGTTTTACCTGTCTGAAAGCCCGAAAAGCGCTGATTTTTTGGGTATTTTTGAGTTAAACGAGACACCATCATCACTGTCGCTATCAAGCTGCGTTACAGGTTTACACGGAGCCTTGGAACTGATTATCAGACTTGTAGACACTGGAAAGCGAATATTGGAATTTTTCTCTTAGCGCGTAGACACTTTTGATTGTGCTCAAAACGAGCACTTGTTTTAAATCCGTGCTTCAAAATTACACCCCCCCCCCCCCCCCCACTATTTTACGTCGTTTCGGTTCAAATAAAATAGTTTGCGGTACACTGGACACATCGGGCGCACGTATCATTAGTATCAAGCACTATTGTCACTAACTGATCGATTTAGATTGCACGATATGAGTCAGTACGCGCCAAATTCGTCGCAGCGCTCTAAGGAGCAGCAGGATTACTTATCGTGTCAACCGGCTGCAGCAACCGATACCATGTCTTTGAACCAGCGAAATAGCATTTTGGACCCACATCTGTCAGTTTTGCATCTCTTGGAACGCGCTGAACAGCATGCACCAACCAGTCAGTCCGAAATAGCTCCGTTCAAAAGACCCGAATTTATACGATCTCCATCGCCGCCCAAGACATGTGCCTCAGAAGTCATGAACCGCAGCATCTCCGATTCTTGGCAGTCCATCAAACGAACGGATTATTCAATTCTCAATGTGTTGAACGATCCTGCCACTCACCACCACCACCACCAGCAGCAGCAACAAAACCAACATCAACACCAACAACAGCCTGTTGGCATTCTTTCGTCGTCTGACACTTCAGAGGACGAGCCTGATCATTTTCTGTCACCATCTCCGAACCATTACAGCTTTAGCGGTAATGTGAACACGATTTTTTCAGAGCCACCGCATGCCTTGGAGACCCCGGCGTTGGGTGCGTATCGTGATCCCAGCTTTCAGATAGCCAGAACAGGCAATCAAAGTTTTAGTGCCGATGGCGCCGTCAACGACAACGACAACGATAATGAGACGGTGACATTGAGTTTGATGAATTCGTCGCACTCTTTTGTCATGCCAAAACTGTCTGTGGTAAAACCATCTCAAAAGTTCTGCATTTTGATTGTAGGGAAGCCGGCCCAAAGATTCTACCGCGATATTCCAAAGTCTTACCGCAAGCTGTTTGATGTCTGTGACGCGGAAAGTCTCGATTCCCGCCGAATTAATCAATACAGTGCCGTTATGATAATATTCACTGAACCTAAACATGAACCGCCGCTTTTAGAAAAAGTGGCATCACAAAACAACAACATCATAGCCGTTTGTCAACGAGGTCAGCAACAGCAAATATCTGGACTTTTAGGACGCTTTTCGAGTTCACACGAGTTGCGCTTAATTTACCATTTAACGGTGATTTCAGACCATCAAGATGTCCATCGCCTGCTCCGGTATTTGCACAGTTTGAGTTCGGAGGTGGATTCGGGCTATGAAACTGAGGCTGGCTCTCGCAAAATTCGCAAGCGTCGCAAATCCCAGAAAAAGAGACCTAACAATGGCAGTCTCAATCGGTGGGTGATGTGGAGCATATCGCTGACTGTTGGTGTGGGAATTGGTTACTGCCTTTCTTGTGTCTTGTCCTCCGCAGTATCAATTCGGAGCGGCGCTTTGGCCATAGCGTCTGCCAATGATGGGACCGGGTTGGACGAGGTGCCTGTGTCGTCCCAAGAACATACTCTTGACAACTACATTCGTCAGCTGGTTCTGGCGTTCAAAAAGGCCGTGAAGCAGGTCAACTTGTCCTGCAAGCAGTACTTGAATGGTCAATCGCTGCTCGTCCTTTGGATGCAACGGATGGGCAAAGAGTGGATGTCTGAAGACTCTGATTCCACTTTGCCTGGTGTGGCAGCGTTGGACCTAGTACTAGTGTAGTCCATCAGCAATAATAAAGAACTCCTCTCCCCTGCGAGAGGTTTAGGCCTGATTAAAAAAGCTACTGGTGTGAACTGCGCGTGGAAGCGGTGGCCTTTTTGTTCAAACTGTCCGACCAAATTTCATATATTCCGTTTACTCGAAAAACTGTGAGTTAGCTCGGACTTTTATTCGAGTTCGAGCAAGGTTGAAGAGCTCCGTAAGGAGTTGTCGTGCGATTCAAGATATCAATCGAAATACTAACGATCAACTTAATTAAACTCCTCTCCCATGATATAAAATCTACCGTTAGCTGAATTTTTGATATTAGCTCAGATGGTGAGTTTCTATGTAGTTTAAAAATCTAAGTACTTGAAATCATCTCACTGACACAGAACAAGGAAAGAGGACTTAAACATTGCATATACTGTCATATCGCGAGGTCGAACGCACACTCAGTGATGCTCGCAACACAGAGGGCCGCTCTGGTGGAGTTTCTGCGAAGAAAAACGAAACCACCATTCACAGTAAGCATTCGAGCGCAGTTAACAGCACTGGTTTGCTTAGTGGCCATATTCTCCCTGATAATTTTGGCGGTGATCACCGGGGTCTATTTCACGTCTACTTATAAATCTTTGAGAGCTGATCGGCTTCAGGTGGCATCTCAGCTGAAAGCGTCGCAGATAGACCAGAATATCAACTTTCTCTACTACCAATGCTATTGGATGGCGTCTAGGGACATTTTACAGAACGCCTTAACTGAATACTTAGCTGGAAATACCAGCAAAGAAAACTGGTATGATGCAGCAACCTCTCTCGACAAGTTTCTGAGCTCGTCGAACCTTTTTAGCGCCGCCAGAGTTTACGATTCAAGTTTCAAGGACGTCTTAAATGCTACCAATAACGGGACAGGGAACCTTATACCGGAAGATGTGCTCACAAGACTTTTCCCTCTATCCACAAATGATGCACTGCCGTCGTCTCTTCGGGAAAGTGGTTACCTTAGCGATCCGGTTCTGAATGGCACTGACACTTACCTGATGTCAATGTCATTGCCAATCTTGGCCAATCCTTCCATCATATTATCTGACGATTTGGTATATGGCTATCTGACCGTGGTGATGTCTGCTGATAACCTTAAGTCTGTATACAACAGTACTGCCGCATTGGACAATTCCGCCGTGGTAATCGTGTCTACTGTTTATGAAAACAGTACTTTGATGGGATTTCATTTGGTGTTTCCCCCCTACAGTTTGGACCCAGACGTTATCAACTATTTGTTCGATTTTGAATTAGCACCTTTCTTGAAAGATGCTCTCCTGGAGAACAAAAATGGTTCCATCAAAAGTTGTGAGTTCCTTGGCAGCAAAAATGTTGCCATTGGGTACTCCTCTTGTAGTTTCGAAATTGGATCATGGGCAGCTCTCATTGTTCAACCCGAGAGTGTGTTCCTCTCTCCATCCTTCAAGCTCACCAAGATCATCATTGGTACTGTGATCGGAATAGCCGTTGTAATGTGCCTCATAACCTTTCCCCTTTCTCATTGGGCCGTTCAACCTATTGTGCGCCTACAAAAAGCTACAGAAGTCATCACTGCAGGTAGAGGCTTGAAGTCGGATGGCAGCACCTTGTACAGTCATAAACGTACTAGTACTGCGGAGTCTCTTCACTCTCTCTATCAAGCTGGCTCAATACGGCGTTCGGGTTCATTGACACGCACTAACGGGTCTAGGCACGATTATGACGGTGGAATAAAAGGAGCGCTGTCCGGCGAAGGTCTTCGGGAAGGAATGGAAAAAATATCAGAAGGCCCAAATGAGCTGCGAAACTTTCGATCAGCGACAAGTGGATCTATTCTCAGTGATTCAAGATTCACTGGGACAGATCACTTTAATACATCTCATCTGGTAGAAGTTCGAGTACCAGTTTACAAACGATATTTCACTGATGAGCTTTCAGAATTAACCGAGACATTCAACGCAATGACCGATGAACTCGATCGTCATTATGCACTTCTGGAAGATAGAGTGAGAGCACGTACGAGGCAATTGGAGGCTGCCAAAATAGAGGCAGAAAAAGCGAATGAGGCAAAGACGGTATTCATCGCTAACATTTCTCACGAGTTAAGAACCCCATTGAACGGTATTCTAGGTATGACTGCTATTGCTATGGCAGAAGAAGAAATGTCAAAGGTAAAGAGTAGCTTGAAACTCATTTTCCGGTCAGGAGAATTACTGCTCCATATCATGACTGAGCTGTTGACCTTTTCCAAAAATGTATTGAAACGAACCAAGCTAGAGGAAAGAGATTTCACGGTGCACGATCTTGCCCTGCAGGTCGACTCCATTTTTGGCAAGTTGGCGAAAGATCAACATGTCAGACTGAACATTTCGATCGTTCCTAATGTATTGAGAACCATGATGCTGTGGGGAGATTCTAACCGTATCGTACAGATCATCATGAATTTAGTCTCGAATGCGCTGAAGTTCACACCTGTCGATGGCAAGGTTGACGTCAAAATCAGCTTAGTAGGTGAATATGATGAGGAGAGGAGCAAGCTTGACAACTTCAAAGCGGTTTATACTTTGCCACATGAAAGCTCGTCTGTTGTGAAATCCAAGCAGGATGGAATAGACGCTAAAAAAGCCATGCCCATGTCTGCGTCCAGCGGTAGCTTGTCCTCGTCACCATTTGTCCAAGATAATCTAAACGATGATAGCGAGAAACTAAAGGCCACAGATCTGCATGTAAATGAGAGATCGAGCAGCTCCCATGATGATAGTTCATACTCCAAGGAAATGGAGCCTGCAGATGCAGAGAATTTAGACGACGACATAAAATCAACTGAAAGTGAAAGCAGCTGCAACTCTTATGATGGTACTCGGTTCCAGTCGCAGTTCCTCAAGGACAATAATTTGGGCTGTAATGATGACTTTAAAAACGTTAGAGAACTGAAAGAACCCAAGAAATGGATCATATCAATGGAGGTTAAAGACACTGGCCCAGGAATTGAGCCAACTTTACAAGAGAGTGTTTTTGAGCCATTTGTTCAAGGTGACCAGACTCTATCCAGGCAGTATGGAGGTACTGGTTTGGGTCTGTCGATCTGTAGACAGCTGGCGACCATGATGCACGGTACCATGAAGCTCGAATCAAAAGTGGGGATTGGAAGTAAATTTATCTTCACAGTGCCGTTGATGCAAACCAAGGAAATATCTTTTGAAGGTGTCGAGAATCCATTTGAGGACGAATTTAATCCTAAGAGTAAGAAAAACCGTAAGGTCAAATTCAAAGTGAACAAGCCTGGTGAAGAACATTCGCCTGGAACTTCTTCATCGACCAACGACAGTTCGTTGAAGGCTTCGAACGTATCTGAGAGTGAGGTCAGCGTCGGAAGCGTTCGTGTCGATAGACCCTTTCTTCAAAGTACAGGCACAGCGCTTTCATCATCACACGCTGTTCCACTAGCCACCAAGTCCAATGAATGCAAGGTTTTGGTTGCAGAGGACAACAACGTCAACCAAGAGGTGATAAAGCGCATGTTGAACTTGGAAGGGCTGTATAATGTTGATCTAGCGTGTGATGGGCAAGATGCAATCGAAAAAGTTCGAGCTGAGAATGAAGCGGGGAAACATTACGATTTAATATTCATGGATGTACAGATGCCTCGCGTTGACGGCCTCTCGGCAACAAAAAAGATACGTGGAGACCTGAATTACAAACACCCTATAGTGGCATTAACGGCGTATGCAGACGATAAGAACATCAAGGAATGCTTGGACGCGGGTATGAATGGGTTTTTGTCAAAGCCCATTAGAAGACCAAAGATCAAGTCGATTTTGGATGATTACTGCCCGCAACATCGTCCAGAAAGTGAGGGAGATTGATTACCGGGATTCAAAGGTTTCTAGATATAGGTTAATTGATAGTACAAATGGGAATTCAGCCAACGACGCTCAGCGGGTACCGAGTGAAGCTACACAGAGCAACCAGGCTTAATTGACTAAAACCGAAGAGTTTAAAATTACGTACTTAGGTGAGATACAAGGCGTAAAAATGTTGCAAAGAGGTATGCGGTCGACAAAACAACACACGTATGTAAGAAAGTATGATAGTAGGGGGCGAAACCGACTATTTCAACTTCTTCTTTGGACGCAACTGGTTGGTGTGGCCACACTTTCTCTTTCTGCAGTTGGTAGCTCTTGGAGGCAATCTAGCGTAACACTTACGGCAGACGGACTTCTCACAGTTGAACTTGGAGGCCAAGGCTTTCAAAGATGGCTCGATGATACCACCTCTCAATCTCAACACCAAGTGCAAGGTGGATTCCTTTTGAATGTTGTAGTCGGACAAGGTTCTGCCATCTTCAAGTTGCTTACCGGCAAAGATCAATCTTTGCTGGTCAGGAGGAATACCTTCCTTGTCTTGGATCTTGGACTTGACATTGTCAATGGTGTCCGAAGATTCGACTTCCAAAGTGATGGTCTTACCAGTCAAGGTCTTGACAAAACTGAAAGCTGAGTTAGTAACGAGAAAGAGGGGAGGACAGGCCGTTTCGAAACGCGTGAGAGGTTAATCGTGGAGACAGGAGATCGGTAGTGAGACGAATATTCGATATTCCAGAGTGACGTGCTTTTTTCGTTTGCAGGGATCCCAACCCAACAACTGGCGTATTCCAATGACTAAACCAAGGAAAATTTGCTTTGCGCCGGCGAGCACATTCCTTGTCGATACAGGATATCTGCGGTTCTGGACCCGTACACGAGATTCAGGCAGTTGTTTTATTCGCTCCGTTGGGTCAAAAATAATCCATCATTGAAACTTCCACCGATGGTCAGACACTCTATCGCTTTCCCAATGTGTCTCCTAGTCTCCCGCATATATCACACGCGCTTTCTCAAACGGCTTCTAGAGGTTATTAGCCATACATTTGCATCTTTGAGTCTTGAGCTGTTTCTGGTGTTAATGATGTGAAATGTACTAGGTCTAACCTGCCTTGATTAACATTTGATAATATTGACAAAATTCAGAGCGTTACGGGAGTCGTGGGTAGAAGCTAGGCGGACGAAGCTACCACGGCTTGAGGGATCGTAGGCGGACGCTAGGCAGACGCTAGGCAGATGCTAGACAGATGCTAGGCAGAGCTGGAACCAGGGCGAGTCCAGGCTAACCTGAGATTGGGCAATTGCCAGGAGGGAGCTAGGCGGGGCCCGGTAGTAGAGCGTACAGTTTAGCTGGAGGCAAGAACGAAGCAGGCTTGGCGACTGCTTCCAGGCAGAGAGTGAGCCTAGTGTGCTCATACTCCTAGGCAGACGCCCGGTGTTTGCTAGGCTGAGGCCACTGGGGGCTAGGCTGAGCATCCCAGTGACTCTCTCTGCCTAGCATCCACGCAACTATTTTGTATGAGGGGCACGCAAATGGTGGCTGCGTCATTTTTTTCAAAGGTTGAATTATCGATGGTCGTGTTCATATGGTGTACGGGTGTAGTATGAAAAACAGTCGCATGTTGAAAAGTTACCCGTTTTTTCAAAAAGCCAAGAGCATTCCCGACGGTTCACGTGATGGGTACTCGGGCTTTCAAGTAAAGTACTCGCGAGTACTCAAGGGCCACCAAGAAGTCTTTAAATGATAATAATAATAATATCAAAACCCATCTGGGAAATGCATTGCAAGTCGAACCACCAAAACACATTCAAACACCCAAAACGACCAAGCACTGGCGTTGTGATAAGTCTGCGCGGCTCACTACGTACCACAGGGTGTAATTCATCGATATCGTATCGAAATCGGCGAGTTTTTAGCTTCTTAGGTGCCCTTTTCTCCGTCTCTGTCAACAACGGATCTGCGAGCTAGTTGCCGCGAATTACAATGAGTTCTACGTTCGACAAGGCTCAAGTGGGCCTGGACGACGCAGCGGGGTTTCTGGGTGTAGAGCCGGGGTTTTTGGAAGGCATTGACCAAGCCGTGGCCGCCGCCATTGGCGCCAAAGCCCACGAATTTCGTCAACTTCAAGCACAGAACTTGGAGTCCAGCGTTGTTGTCGATGAGATCAAGTCTGCATCAGGCCAGAAACTAAACGCGTGTCACATGCAGGTCCAGGAGCTGCAGCAAGAGCTACAGCAGCTGCGAGCCGAATCGCGTGTTCTCGAGGACGCCCGGAGCAAGCTCGAGTCGCAATTCCAGATCACCCAGACAAGTCTCGAAACATCACAGCTACAAGCGCAAGCGCTTCTGGGGCAGAAAGAGATGCTCGAGAGCAGCAAGAATGATCTCGCAAAACTACTAAACGAAAAGATACAAGACAATTCTACACACCAGCAGGGAACCGAAAAACTGCTGGCGGAGGCCCGTCAGCTACGGGACAAAAACCTGGAGCTTGAGAAGCTTCTGCGTGACTCAAAGTCGCGGGAATTGAATGACAAGGCCGAGCTGCATCAACTTTCGCAAGAGTTGCAGCTTTCTAAGTCCAATAACTCATGGCTAGAGAACCAGCTCTCAGAAGTCAATTCCAAGTTCAACAAACATAGAGAAAAGTCGCATCATCAAGTATCACAACTGCTTCAAAAATCAGAGGCCAGTATGGCCGAACTGCAGAACTCGCACGAGCTCATCAGCACGTTGCGAGAGCAAAATGCCAATCTCACTCAATCAATAGAGGTTAAGCTTGCTGAGCTCAAAAAAGTGACAGACGACTCCAATACCGACAAAGCCGAGTTTTCTCGCGAGATGGCTTTAAAACAACACCTCATTGATCTCCTTGAGAGACAAGTAAGTTCTTTTGAAAACGACCTAGAGCTCAAAGACTCGGCAGGAATCACACAGTCAGACACTTCGACTTTGATAGAGGAGTTGTGTCAATCTAAGACCCAGTTGGCAGCAAGTGAATTGGAAGTTGAAAAGCTTCAACATACTGTTCAAGAACTTCTTCAGACAGCAGGAACTGAAGAAAAGCTCAACAGCGACAACAGCGATGCGAATCCTGTAACTAACAGCTTCTCAATTCCCAAATTGTATGCTGACCTTTCTATGTTGAAGAAACAGCTCATACACGAAAAGCGCCAAAAAGAGCATTTACAAAACCAAGTGGAATCTTTCGTGCTCGAACTTGAGAGTAAGGTTCCTATGCTAACTTCCTTCAAAGATCGCAACGAAATGCTTGAAAGGGAACTATGCGAAACGGCTTACATGCTGGAGTCAATTTCACGGGATAAAGAGGATTTGCGAAGTGATCTACAAAGATCGCAATCACAGCTAAGAGATTACGAAGGTCAAATCTATAAACTGACAAAACAGCGTACAGATTTGGCGCATCAAATTCAGTTCTTGCTGATTCAAACATCGGTCAAGAATGACTCTAATGGCCCTCTGACAGCCGAAGAAACCGCGTTCGTGCGGAAAATTGTGGACTCGGGAAATTCATCTTCAGACCAGGACACGCAGAAAATCATTACACAGCGGTTAGTGGTATTCCAGGACATTGTGGAACTGCAATCCAAAAACTCCGAGCTTGTGGCCACTGTTCGAGCACTGGCCGATAAACTTGAAACTGAGGAGCGTGAAGCTAAAGCTAAAACAGAGTGCATTGAAAACGACGTGATCAACGAGGCTAAAGAAGCAATCACCACCCTACAAGAACACGTACAAGAGCTAGAATCCAAAATCAAGATAATATCCAAGGAGCGCGATGCTTTGAAGGCAGTTAGGCCCGTTTCATCGCCTGGTCGAGGAAGTACTTCGCATGTTGTACCGACTGATACTGGTGATATCAAGAGGCTAGCGCAACTCGAGGATCAGTTGCGGATAGCCAGGCGAGAAGCCGAGACCAATGTGAAGATGTTGAACGCCGAGTTGCAAGAATTGCTGAGATCTCGGGCAGATTCACTGGTAGATGTGGAAAAAGAAAGGTCGTCGAGAACATTGGCGGAAGAAAGGCTGAAGATGGCGAACGAGTCGCTGACCCTTATAAAGCAAGAAAATAAGCAAATGACTTCAAAGTTACAGAAGCTTCAGGACACTGTTGTTAGACAAGATGCTAAAACACAGGAAACGATAAGTGATATTATCGATTGCAAGTCGCAGATCGCCAGCTTGAGTTCAGAGTTAAAAAACTCGGTGGCCACCACCGAGCTGCTACGCTCTTCGCATGAGAAAGAAAAAAGGATCAATGATCAATTAATCGCTGAAAAGAACGAACTCTCAATTCTTGTCGCTCAATTGCAAAGTTTACAGAAGGAAAGAGAAAAATTGATGGAAGTTGCCGAAACGGGTTTTCAATCAACACTGGATAATTTGAATCGGGAAATCAGCCAGCTTCGTGCCCAGTTGGCTTCAAAAACGCAAGACTTCGAGACTTATGTCACTGCTGCAGAAACCAAGACCAAGTGGCATCAAGAAAGGATTGAATCTCTAAATGCATCCTTGAACGAGACAACCACTAAACTCAACCTGCAAATTCAAACTGTGCAGGAATTTAAAACTCAGAAAACTTTACTCGAACAAAAGCTCACCGCACCTCGGGAGAAGTTGCCGTCATATGAAACTTTCAGCGACTCAAAGATTGATTCTGGGCAGGCCGAGGGCTTGAGGAACGAAATCGAGAAAATGAAAATCAACCTCAAAGACGCTTACTCGCAGGTCGATGAGTACAAGAATATTAACATTTCTACAGAAGAGTGTCTGTCAAACGTCACTAATGCATTCGAGCAACTGAAAAGTACTCATTCTACCGAGATTGCCCAAATGAAAGCTCAAGAAGACAGTCTTAGAGACGAAGTTTCGACTTTGAAAACGACACTTTCGAAACTTGCTACGGAGCTCGAGCACGATAGGGCGCAGTTAAGCGCCAGAAAAGATGACTTTGACACAAAGCTGACTGCTTTTAAGTCCAGTCAACAATCGGTAGATGCCTTGAAGGAGCATTATCAAAGTCAAGTAGACAAACTCGCGAACGATGTGAAGGAACAAACCCTGTTTGCCAATGAGGCCCATCAAAAGTATGAAGAGGAGCTTCAGCGGCATGCAGATGTTTCGAGAAACCTCAGCCGTGTGAGAGAAGAGTCTGCGTCATGCAAAAATCAACTGCAAGACATGATTGCAACGAACAAAGAGCTTCAAAAAGCTCTGGATGGAAGAGAAGAGGCTTGGACATCTAGGAAACAGGATTACGAGTCACAATTGGATGCTGTCAATCGTCGTGTCGAGGATCTTCTCACTCAAAACCGACTACTATTCGATCAAATTGAGGTCAAATTTTCTGGTGAGAATACCAAAAATGATACCGAGAATATACACAGCGACAGCCGTGAGCTCATTCTGAGCTTGAGGAGAGAGTGTGACATCTGTAAGGCAAAATTAGAGGTTGCAAATGGGGATAAAAGCATGCTACAGCGCAAGCTGCAATTTGCTGAAGATGAGCTTCTCGCACTTAAAGAAGAGGTGAATAACCATGAAGCTCATGCAAGCAAGCTCTCAATGATGGCCGAAGAGCACGACAAGATTTTGGAGCAATTGAATCAACTCAATCTTTTGCGGGAAAGCAACATCACGCTGAGAAACGACCTAAAATCGAAGTCTGATCGCAACGAAGAGCTGGAAAACAAGGTAGAAGTTTTACAAAATGCTTCGGAGCCGCTTGAAAATGAGCTCTCAATCTTGCGCCACTCGATAGCCGCAAAAGATAAGCAAATCACTTTAATGACTGAGGAAATCAATCGTTGGAGGCAGAGATCACAAGATATCTTACACACTTACGAACGAGTAGATCCCGAAGAGCACAAAAAGATGATGGACGAACTGTCGCAAATCAAAAAGGAACTTGCTTTGAAGACTGACCAAAATGTGGAACTGGAAGACAGATTCCAAAGGCTGAAGAAGCAGGCTCGCGAACGTTTGGATGTCGCGCGATCTTCGCAAGCAGCTTTGACCGGGGACGTGAACGCTCTGCGAGAGGAAAAGCAGGAACTCGAGGCTGCTCTCGAAAGGGAAAAAGAGGCTATAAAAGCACTCAAGGAGACCATTAATTCACATGAAGAAGAGGAGTCCATTCAACAAGCCGCAGAAGGTGAATTGCAAAGCCTGCGCAATAAGCTGGCAGAGTCAGACTCCAGGATCGAAGAATTGCTGAAGCAGCCTGCTGAAAACGCTGATGATGATGCGTTGCGCTCGGAGTTGGCACAGTTAAAAGAGCGTATTTCTGAACTAGAATTGCTTCTCGAAAATACTCAAAACGAAGCCAAAGAGCTGGAGAATCTGAAAGTTTCTTCAAGTCTAGAACAGTCGATTGAGATTGAAAGGATCAAAAAAGAGCTTGTAAGTGATAGTGAAAGGCTTATTTCTGAAAAGGAAGCTGAAATCAAACACAGTTTTGAAGAAATGCATGCGGAGCAACAAAGGCTTTTCGAGGAGAGAGTCAAAGAAGCTTCAAAGCAAGGAGCATCTCCGGACATTGATGCTTTAAAGAAAGAATGGGAGGCAGAGTACGAACAAAAAACTTTGAAAAGAATTGAGGAGGCCAATGAATTGTTGAGAAAGCGCATTCGTTTGCCAACCGAAGAGAAAATTAACAAAATTATAGAGAGCAGAAAGCTAGAGCTTGACCGCGAGTTTGACGCAAGAGTTCAGCAACAAGCGGCTGAGCTTTCAAGTCAGAACGGGAAACCTGCAGACTCTGATGCTGCTGAGATTTCCGAAAGACACCAACAAGAGCTGGAAGATATGAAAGCGATGATTAAAAAGCAGATGGAGGAAGAAATGGCGGTGCTCAAACAGAAAGCGTTCAATGAGGGCCAGCAGAAGGCTAGTATGAAGTCTACTCTTTTGGAGAGAAAAATTGCGAAACTGGAGGCCCAAGTGAAATTGAACAGCGCCGGAACAGAGCTTAGTACCCCTAACACTGTAGCGGACCCAATTCAGTCCGGAAGGCCATCGTTAATCACCGAAAAACCGCCTTTAGAAGTGAGTTCTGAAGAGGATCAAAAACCGAGTGAGCAAAGCGAGCGAGCCCTCGTGCCGATTGTAACTGCACCTTTAGTGGAACCGTCTGTGCATAACAGTGAGATAAGTGAAGCACAAGAGGCGCCATTGCTACCTGCGGAGGGATCATCAAAAAGGCCCAGTGAGGAAGCTCAGACGGAGGAAAATGTGAGCTCGAAGAAAAATAAAACGGACCCTAAATCTCAATCTGAGATGTCCTAACGACTATCGCACGACTGTAAATAAAATCTAATCTGTGATATATTGTGATATTATGAATTTACAACTAGGAAGGGATCTTTTCACATTGTTGCCCTTCCAGAAACGAAGATCGAAGGAGCGCGTGCTCGTCGGCTTACGAGCAGGCCTAACTTAATTAGTATCAAAAACAAAACTTAAGGCTAAACTTGAAGAATGTGAAAGATTTGTATGTTTTATGCTTTACTTATAAGCCATGGAGATTAAGGACAACTCACTTTCATGGCAATCTGACGGAGGAAAGGAGTGAAGGACACTTTCTACTACGGGATAACATATGAAAAAGCGAACTTTTGACTTTTTGGTGTGGAGAGATTTAGAGAGCTGTTCTCGATTCCGTGATATTAAGTCGCGGCGTTTTATTTAAAGACAAGCAACATCTTATCCTTGAGGCAGATTTCGAATCCTATTCAAACCTGTCGCACTTACACTTTCTAAGGGTCTTGAGAACTATTTGAGAGCTTCGGGCGTCACTAGAACTCCACAAATGTGTCCTAGTAAGACCTTTTTGACAAAATCGGTGCCCTGTATTCGGTGTTTTATGAAAATAACAAACCGAACGCACGAAGGCTATTTTCTGGCAGGCATGTCGTTCTTTAGGGGTTCGAATTGAAACCATTGCGAATCCATCCACGAAAGCTACCCGATTTTGGATTTCGTCACAACAATTCTCGGTTTCGGCATAAAATTGGCTAAATAAGACGGGTTTCAAGAGCTTTACTTTAACGAAGACCACAATTCAACACATTTCGAATAAAACACTCATTTTAAAGCGTTTAAACGAACTGACAAAATGCCCATGTCAACGACAGACGCTGTTTTAGCTTCCGATGGGAATCTGACACTTGGTTATGTAATAATCTTTAATATGCAATTTAAAAAGTACGCGCTTTAATAAATGACAAGTGCTCGAGAACGCGAGCTCATCGCCAATAAGCTAATCTAAGATGGGTCGAGACTATGAAGATCCCAGAGATGTCAAAGGCTTGGACTTTTACGAGGTAGTAACTTCAGATGAAGAAGAGGATACCAAAAGTATGTTATAAATTTCAAGGCTGTTCGTGTTGATGATCACCCATTTAGATGCCTTTTTACTGACAATTGCCTAAAGTCCAAGACCAATTGAAAGAGCTGGAAAGGCAGAGTAAAGATCTGCAAGAACGTTTACGGTTGAAGGAAGAGCGGAGGAAGAATCTGAGTCAGCTTGTCAGAACGAAAGTGGAAATTCCAGCTTCTCCGCGAAAAAAGAGCACTGAGCCAGTGTTGAGTACTATAAAGCCAAGAGAATCGACGATTATTCGCCATCCACGAGAAAGCGATCATAACGTCGCACAAAAGGCTCCTCAGTCTTCCAATCCCGCGAACACAACCTCTTACTTTCTCGAAAACTTCGCCAATGTCCGCAAAACGGAAGAGCAGAGGGTTCAGCATAGGGACGATCTAATGAATTGTCGCGTGCACACGTTTAAGGGTCTGAAAGACTCCAAACCGCGTGAGCCGCTTTTGGTGGACGAAAAAGAACAATATACCGGTTGTTGGATAACGCGTCGGTATGTTGCGACCGCCGAGCTGGACGAGCTTTTCAAAGACATCAAAATTCTCAGGCTGCCGAAGCTATTCGGCAAGGTGCGGCCTCCTAAATTTAGTGAGCCAGACTATGCCAATTGGGTTGCAACAGGGATCATCAGTTTCAAATCAGCGGTGAAATTGACGTCAGCATCGAAGCCTGCAAAATACTTCAAATTCACTATGACAGATTTCCAACACAACTTGGACGTTTACGTCTTTGGAAATAAAAACGTCGAGAAATACTATAATCTCAGAAGTGGGGATGTCATTGCTATATTGAATCCTGACATTTTACCTTGGAGACCTTCAACGGTTTCGAACGACGAATTCTCAGGACAAGTGGTCAAATCTTTCAATCTATCCATAAGGCACAACTACGACTGTATACTAGAGATTGGGACCAGCAAGCATCTCGCCTTTTGTCAAATCTACAACAAAAGTACGGGCAAAGTGTGCGGAAGTCCAATTAATAAATCTTCTACGGACAGATGTGAATATCATCAAGAGGTCAGGTTTCGACAGATTAACGCACAGAGAATTGAATTGAACGGTAGTACTCCTTTAAGATCACCGACAAAGAACGGAAAAAAGCAAGCCCTCTACGGGAATTCGACATCGAAGAAAAAGTATGCGCTTCTGCCTGATAAGTATGCTGCACAGCCACAAGATCGAGAGAGTCAAAACACTCTTTACTTCAGCAATCCCAACTATGCACGCGCATTTTTTGACGATTCGTATCAAAATCCTGACCTATTGAACAACCTGGAAAACAAGCGCCGCAAGTTGCGCGATACCGCTAAGGACAAGCTTCTTCAAACTCAAATTGACAAAGCGGTAGGCCAAAAAAATGCTGAAGCTTTCAAAAACAAAACGCATCATGAACAAAGGAGCATGCAGCAAGCCACTGAACAGGCACTGGCGAGTGGATTGGTGAAGGGTATTGGCTTTGATCCTACTAAGGGACGAATGAAAGATGTTTTAGTCCACCACCGCGGTGGTAGGGCTAGTACGGACCCCAAGTCTTCGCAAGTCAAAGAAATTATGGGATTTAAAAAGTCGAACGTCGATCTGGCTCCATCACGACAAGAGCAAAAGAAAAGAATGCTTAGAAGAGAACAGGTATGGAGGGAGCACTTCCAACAGCCAAAGGAGGGACGAAGTACAGCTCTGCCGTATCAAGACGTCAGTGACAGTGACAGCGAAATAGAAATTATCTGATGCTATATCTTGGGGACCAACACTTTTAAATCGAAGGCAGAGTATTGTTTGAGGAACTTAATATTGACTTTCCCATCAAATTCTTTGCCTTCTGGTTGTAAGTCGGGCATATTAAGCAGGTGTCCATCACAGCATATTTCAAAGCCGGTACTGGGAGCTGTGTCCGGTGTTTGACCGAAAAAGATGTCAAAGTCATCTTCAAGAGGTCTATAAATGACTCCGTCTCTACTGATATCGTCTTGAGCTTTATTTCGATAGCCCCTCATAATCTTTTCTACCAGATCGGTCTTGTCGAAAGATGTGAGATAGCCCAAAAGATGGAGCTGAGACTTCAACGGATCAGAACTAGGTGAGGGCATATACGTCTTCTCTAGAAAAGGCGTGTTGATCAGGGTGAAGTATGCAAAATGTAAAGGAGATGACTCCGATGGTATATGGAGAGGATAGTCCAGTTGGTACGTTTGAAGTATTTCCTGTGCTGCGATCCTAAACTTTTCCACGCCTATATTGTGGAAACGTTCTTCTTTGCAAAGATGAAGCAAATTGGCGTGAAACCCTATGGAAAAAATGATAAAGAATACCACTTCATTGGCGTTAGGAAATGAGGCCTTATAAAGTGGAAAACTCTGGGGACTCAACTCATTTTGCAATAATTGTCCGAAAGCAGCAACAGGGCTTTTGATCCCAAGCGAGGTAGCCCAGGCATTTGCTGTACCAAAAGGCAACGGTAGAAACCAAAGAGCGGGGCTCTTTTGGCTGTTGTTTGCTGTGGTAGGGGTTTGGTCAAGACAATTCAAAAACTCAGAAATAGTTGTATCGCCAGAAAGGAATATGAAAATTGCAGTAGAAGCTGTAGTTTTGAAAGTGCTTGCGAATTGACCCACCGAATCGGAACTTTTCGTGCGGTAAATGCGCGTTGGCACCTGAAGCTCTTTAAAAATGGGTTCTATGATGTTGGCACAAAAGTCGCTTTGCAGAGTGCGACCGATGCCAGATTTTATCGAATCCAGCACGATAATTTCTGTATCTGAGCACAACAAGTCTTTGCAAAAGGTGGGAGGCCCGCTGTCTTGAGCTCTCTCAATATCAAGGCTAAAAGATAGATAATGGTCATCTTCTGCTTCCACTTGAACGCTATATTGTTTGTCGTTCAACGTAACAAGCGGGATTGAGCTACGTTGTGTCATTGGAGTGATTGTTCGAAAACACGGAAATCTCAACGGTTCTTGTCGATAAAGGGAGATGGATATGCATTGACAACTGATAAATGCTTGATGTATTTATTCATTATTTGAAGCAGATCGATCTACCGATACAGGTCACGTGTGAGGAAAGAGTGACAGGGAATACTGGGTTTAATGAGGCAGATTGATCTCATGAGCAGCGTGAATACGTGTTCTCTGTCGCTCAAATTTTGGTGAGAGTGTGACTGAATCAGAAGAGAATGAGAAGGGCCAGAAGAAGCTGAAGGTCCACCTTCATGATAAATTGATATATCGACATGTGATAAGACGACAAAGGACAGGCTAGTACAACGTGATAGATGTATCGTGTTGGGACTCGGATGAAGACATGTTTGCTCATCTTAGCAATTGGTATTTGTTTCAATCGAGTGCTCTTCAGACAATGTAAACTTAGGTCTGTTTCTTCCCGAAACCAACGGCTCCTTTGAAGCTCAGCTTCGAATTACATGATGACGTGATCGAATGTCATGTGACACAATGACACATGACATTATCTTCAAGAACCCTAGCTTACCGAGCTATATTCCTCTGAATGATGAGCTACAAGTCATTATGGCTATCACGATCAAAACATAAGTATCTAAGATTCAATGCTTCACAAGGTTATCGATATTTTGGGTCATTTTTTCCTACCATTATCGTCTTTGAGAAGGACCACAAAACAAACGGCATTTTGCCCCGAAACGCTGGGTAACTTTTGAGCAGGCTTTGAAAATGCCAGCCTTGGATATAGGTAGCTCGGAGTTGTTGAATACAATAGCTGCCTTTCATTGATAGTAGAGTTTGATGTCATTGTATACGTATACTCGTAATTGATCAAAATGCATCTATACATAATGAACTAGACTTGTCAACGTTAGAAATCCAGTTCACCACCACCGTAGGCCTCGTCATACGCTTCAATGAAAAGCGTTCGCGATACTCAGCTACCTCATATTTTGTAAGTGCAATTATTTTGGCGCTACCCAACGTATTTCTTTGAAAACTAACAATGGTGAAAATAGACATCTCGAAGTACCGTTTGAGACGGCTTCGCAAGCTCAAACTGCGGTAAAAGTCCTAAATCCAGATCCCATTTTGAAACCACAGGATTTCCATGTTCGGTACTCGGCCAATGGTCCCAAATTGTGCCTCGATTTTGAAAGCGTGGATGACCGTGTACTAAGGGTTGGAGTTAGCAGCGTCATCGAGAGCGTTAAGACCATCTTGGAAACGATCGACGAGTTTACTTAATATATAAGAAAGTGGGAGAGATGTCGAGGCTGTGTCGAGGTCTTTAGGAAAAAGAAACCTGTCTCAAAAAGTCCGCGTTACGGTTACGATTGATTGCCTTGGGAGGTTTGCGATTAAAGCACAAATTAGTTCGCACGAGTACTGCTTTACTTGCTGTCAATGTGTTTCTACCGAAGGAATTGAAAAATGCAGTTTTTAAGAGTTCAAAGTGGCAACCAGCTGTCGGTGCCATTTTTTCTGTACTAATCATTCCAGGAACGACCTTAGTATTACCATGCTCACGGAACTGGTGCCCGATACATATATGTGAAACGATCCAATTTTTTTTTTTTTGTTTTTTCAAGCTTACTTTAGCTTGATGGAGCGTGAAACGGTCAGATTTCCAATGCAGCGTATCATGTAAATTGCCAATCCGTTACTGTTCCATCAAAAACTTCCGACCTTACATAAACCACTATTTTAAAAATTTGGCTCGCCTCTACGTCCATCAAAGCCAATGAATAAACGCTCGTAATCAGTTTGACAATCGTAGTCAACCTTCACAACTTGAACTACCCTTACCACTCCATCATCACTTCCGCAATGTCTGCTTTTTCTTCTCATAATTAAAAATAAGTAGTGTCCGTAAAACAAAAAAAATCTAATTTCTCTACTAGTAAGGGCCCAAAACAGCCCTTTCACACCACAATCATCAATCCTACACGACCTTGACGAAGATCTACACCGCCGTATTGACACTGCACCTCATCAAATGACTCCCTTGATATCACTTTGTACTAATGTGACATCTCACAATTAAATACTGACCAAAATAAAATGCTAGCACACAAATTCACCGCTATTTCACGAAACAATGCCTAAAATCTAGAATGGGAATCAGGCGGGGTTTAAACACTTCTCAAGATACCGCTTTCAACGGCATTCATCGTCGAGTAAAAACATTTATGTACGTATACAGTGATCTTCAATTAAGCGTGGCAAATTTTATAGTGAAGTGAAAGGGGGATATGTTCCAACAACCTGATTCAATTCAAATACATACAAAGGCCAAAGCCCTCCCTTGCTGAGTACTACTTTTCGAGTGTGCTTACAGCCCACACGCACTGTACCAAATTTGTGGGAACTAGTTTGTGGGAGTTTTTCCCTTCCTGAAGGCCTTTTGGATAATAAACCAGTACCAATGGACATCGTACGAGATATCAATATCGAGCATTCTGGCCTCTCCTATAAGCATGTCAAGGTACAAGGACCCTCTAATGCACAGCAGAAACGACATTTTTCTTATACGTGCGATTTGGATGGATCCGGGGTAACCAAACGGCGACTGGGGTGGGGCGAGACAGTAGGCAGCACATCACCACGTTTGGCTGCAGAAACCGTTAAAGTAGCACAGATTAACCCAACAGTTGTCAGATCCACAGTGGGGAGTCGCGTGCAGGAAGCAACGCCTCAGCTTTCAGGAACTACGTCCGACCGAGACCGGTCTCCACAATATCTCCCCACAACGTCGTGTGCAAATCTGGAACAAGCCGTGGCAGTAGACGACGATGGCAGTGTAGCGTTACCGGAAATTTGCACAAATCTTAGCAGCACCGGCAGCACGCGGTATCTGCGTGCATTGAAAATTCAGCGGCAGCATTCAAAGTCCGATTGCATACAAGACGGTGCAGACACCGCATTTGGCCAAACACCTGGTTCGTTTGCCCACGACACTAATAGCTACCGCAAACAACAGCATTCAGACAACACTGATAATACTAATAATCACAACAGCGGCAGTGGCAGTGGGAACGGCAATAACGATAAGAATTATACCAATGGCAGCAATGAAAACAGCAACAATGACAGCAATAATAACAAAAACAGTAACAACAATAACAACTCCAACCCCAACGACAACTCGCAATCCGTCACACAGACTTCCAGTCAGACGAGTCAGGCACTCGTGCAGAAATTACAAGACATTTACCGCAGCATCGTAAAGCAAGAAGTTGAACTTCAAGAACGATGCTCGCAACTGACATTTTCTCAAACTACTGATCTAAAAAATTTGTGGGTCATTTACAAAGTCAATGCGGAGCTCATCAACAACTACGTCGCTTTCATAACAACCGCCTTGCTTCCAAGCCAGCCGGAACGAGATTCCATGATAGGTCAAGAGATTGTGAACATCTACCGCATCGAACGCAGATTATGGGTCCATGGAACCATCACTTTTCTTGATGTGCTCAAAAACTTCTCCAATTTTATGGACCCCGAGGTATGCTGCCAGTTCATCACACATGTATTCAACTCGATCTCCAACATGCTTTGTGACATGCCCCCTAAGCATGCAACGCCCTGGCTGGAAAGACTGGGAGACCTCTCTCGAATGGCAATCGCGCTATATCCGTCAGGCTTCATTGACTGGAAAATTAGCGCGGAACATTGGTATACCCAAGCACTCGCGTGCATTTATGGGCATGGTAAACTGTATTATCATATGTCCACCGTTCAACAAAATACCTTGGAGGCATTCGTCAACTTAGGGAAAAGCGTTTTTTGTCGGGACACCTTTATTCCTTCTCAACAGTATATGCAGCTCGTCATTGATAACATTTATCAAAGGGCTTTTGCCGAGAGAAATGTGGGTAATCAAAGGAACTCGCTCATGGTTGACTATCTCAAACACAGCGAAGTGATGCTGCTCTCGAGCTTTCTCGAGAGCCCGGAGTTGCAAAAAGTTGTATTGACATTTTTTCAACATAAATTCGGCCTTACCTCAGGCTCCAAGGACTTTTTCTGTCACCAAGAGATGTTTTTACAAGAAGGAGAAAGCATAAAATACTTTTTCAGACATGCTCCACTCTTCGCAGAGTCGCATATATTACAACTGGTCGGCTTTGGGGATCCCAGAAATCCTTTTGCACTTCTATTTGAGCTGCCTAAATTTTTGAAAGAAAGAAAAGAGCGCAAAGAGAGGAGAAAGTCCAAAACTTCTGGCGTAATAGAGGCTCCGCTGACGGCCAGTCCTCACGACTTTTTGGAGAGCGTGGACTCTCCTAGATACGCCTATGAATTTCCAAATGACATTGCTATTTGGAAACAATCCCTAAATCATATCAACATCACGTCCATGAAATGTAGCGCCATTTTGCTAAGAAATTTTTTGCATGGTCCCCTGGTTGTAGGTGCTCCCCACCTTCTACCATGGGCATATTTTCTCCTTTCTTTGGCTGTAAAAATCGAGTCGTCGGCTAATGACAGCCTGGAGAGTTTTTGGGTCATCTTAATCAGACGAACATTCCCATGGGATAGTATCGTCAATTTTTTGAACATGCTCATTGCATTTGCCCTCGACAATGTTTCGAAGACATCACCAATAGATACTTTGTGCGAGCAATTTGACAGCGTGGACGTTATGGCACTCGTGGAGCATTTCAGTAGGAATGAAGACCTGCCAGAGGTATGGAAATGTTGGGGAACATTATGGTTCGATGTCTTATCGAACAAATCTGAAGCTAGCAGTGACAGCGTTCAAAATACTGGCATAAAGGACTTCTCTCTCTTGGATGCCCCAAGTGATGGGATCGGCTTTGATCAAGAGGACGAAACTGGTGAAAAATTTTGGAAGCGTACCTGCCGCTTAATTTTCATTTTTAAGGGCATTGCTCAAAAGTTCAATTTTGGTTTGGCTCTATCACCTGTTCCGGTTCAGTCTAGGCGCCCCCTGGTCGCGGGCCATCCGCTCCAAAACTTTTCTTTCAAGTTTAGGGAATTCTCTTCTTATTCTGAAGACCAGCTCTTCGTGGCAGATATTGTGCCAAATTTCGAAGAGATCAGTGAGAAAAATCTAGATTTTGAAGCTCCTCCAAACCTGAGTATGTTGGAAGGCGAGAGCATTTTCGATTTTCCCGGCTACAGACAACTTCACGCCGACTTCACATGCATCAATAAATCGGGCGGTCTCATCACTTGCTCTCTATACACGTCAGGCAACTTGGAAAAAGGACCGATTCAAGGAGGAGACGATTTCAATACCGAGCGGTACAGTAAACAAGACGATCGGACCAACGCTAATGAAACACAGACAAGCGAGCTCGATAGATTGGAAAGAGAGTGGCTTGATGCGTGCATGGATCCGGATTATTTCGAACAAACCTTCAACAACAAGTACCCGTATGGAGATCTGTCTTGCTTTTGCGATAGTGGGGTGTCTTACTTCGTGCTCGATGCAACTTCGTGGTTGCGTCATTTCGCTCATGTCCACAAGCTAGCAATAAACGGTCTTCTTCGATTTGCAATATGCCTCACTACGTTTCAAGAGCTTCGTTTCCTGAGGAAGTCGAAGGACGAAAGCGTCGTAGAGGCCGCCACTCGTGCAGTCATCACGGTTAGACAACTTTACAATGAAAAGCGATTACTGCCTTTGCGTTTTACTGGCAACGTCGCAACGCATTTGGAAGAGCATTTGGAGTTTGAAGAACAGATTACCTGGCGCTCTCACGTTGATGAGTTTGTTATTGAAGCAGTTTACAAAGCTCAGAAAAAGTTTGAAAGTCTCAACAGCCAGGCTAGAGAGGCCGGTCACAATTTCATCGTTACTACTGAAGAGGAGCCGTTTCATTTCGTTGCACTGGTAAGTGACGACACCAATATGCGTCTCAAAGCGCACTCGCAAAAGATAAGAACTTTTAGCAGCAGATTTATGTTCGCGGTTTCTAACCAGATCGGATTTGCACAACATGCATGTACAAATTGAACACCACAGCATATACTGAGCATTGACAGAGCATCTGTACTCAGAAACAAAGAAAACTACAATTCGGTCAGCAGCTCCATAGCTTGTTTTCCGTCATTATCATAATTGCATTTTTAGAAACCACATATATTTACCATTGAAATCATCACTCATTTCCCTGTAGCGTTGTTGAACCCTCTTTTGGGTTACTATCATAAGACTTGCCATTCAAAATACCATTTGAGACCCGGATATAGAGTTAAACTCGATTGAGAGCTCAGCAGAAGCTTTAACGGTCCTCGTCGCTTGGAAATATCAGAAGATATATGACTATGCAGTATAAGCACATTTTGATTGTTCGAATCTTCAGTGACTACCATGATTTCCGTGGGTGACAGAGGCTTTGTTGATCTCGCGTAAAGGAATATGTCAAATTGAACTGGTGTTGATCTATGTCGCTGAAGTCTCAGCTTGGTCTCGAATGCATTTACACTTTTTGAAACACGGTGAGCCAATCCACGGCTGTCAGAAGCCGATTGCTGAATCTTTTTTCGAGGTCGACTGCGACTCCTAGATTTCGCAAACTGCAAAGTACGATCCTCACTTAAAAGACCGGCAACAGATCTTAAACAGTGCTCCTGACGTGAAATTGGAATTTGCGACTTGACTATAAGATCTGAGAGAGAACTTTGGTTAATTGTTGTGGAAATCTCGCAGCTGTCATGCTGATGCGATTTTTGGGCTTCGACCAAGTTGGATAAATTGACAGACCTTGGAGCCAAGGGCTGCCGCTGCGAACAGTTTATAGTTTTGAAAGTGGTGAAGACACTAGAAACATGATCTCTGAGACGGCGATCGGTGCTCATGAGACCCTGGAAAGCTAGTTGTTGGTACTTTGTCAATTGTTAGATCATAACAGGTAAGAAGTGTCATTTCAAGACTTGATGATTATCATTATATACGTAACGAGATGCTTGTAAATGTGAAGCTTGCCAGAACTAGATGGCTTGAACAAGCTCTGAGTATGATTTAACTCTCGTTAGCTATTTCAAGATTAGTTATGGGTGTAGACATCGAAATTTCAGTCAAACTCGATTATGAAATGTTCTCGTAATTGAGAGATGAAAAATAGTACTCAAAGTCGAAGTTTGGATATATTGAGCCAATTGCTGATGGGACGGACATCAAGGTTGGGTGCCGACATATGTTAGTATATTCTGCTTTATTCCAAGAACGCTTGAAATTTCGTTTTTTCAAAGTCTTGAAAAGACTCCATTTTTTAATGTTTTGATGAGGGTTTTAGCATTAACGTTGTAAAATCAATACACTCGACCTCGACCACTGTATTCAGAATATACTCTTATCACATTGCGTTGTTGTTTGAGGGTGAAACTAGTCCACATCTATTCATGTCTCAACAACGCTTCGAAGTCCATCAGTGCTCATGTGCAGCGATTTCAATCAAAGTACCATTACTTCAATTCAGGATATGCAAATCATGATTTTTGGCGCTCCCAGGCCTAGAGTCTCTGCTATGTGAATTCTCAGCCGTGATATCTGGTTCGACCATGAAATTTTATCACGATAGCTGATGTTTCGCGATCGTAGATTACTGTGGAGATATTTGTCAAGAAAATATCAAGCGATGTTGGATGGCTCAAAAGATTTCATTTTAAATTCGCACGTCGCTTTTTGAGTCCCTAGAAACGTCTCAATTATGGCCAAGTTGGGAAAAATTATTGTTTTCTCGTTTGAATATAAGACATTATTGAATATTCCAATAAACAATTACTGACACCGCTAACTGTAACAAACAGACAGACCTCAGATTTGTATAAGCAATATATTCCAGACTTAAAGACGTCCCGAAATCATATCTCCCGGAGGCACTGCATCGAAGTTCGGGTTTTTTTACCTTTGACAATTGTGTGACGTTCAAAACTTTACATGACTGACGTTCTCTTCATAGCGACAGAAATAGGAAAAAGTGATGAACAGAGGGCAATCTCGGCCGAACATATAAGACATAGCCTAGAGTAAGCTAAGAAGAGCTCATAATACCCACGTCAACTTCTCGTCCATTGTCGGTCTGCCCTCTATCGCATGATGTATATAATGCCATGAGAAATGATTAATCAACAATGTATAGAATTTGTCGACATAATCCCGATTTAATAATTTCTGAGAGCAGGAATTCGCTAGCAATGGATGGACTGATATTCGTCGCCATATTTGTACCGCTGGACATCTCAACGATTGTTGTGATGATTGCTTTCTTGGTAAGATCCAGTTTTGGGCTTTACGACAATTTCTCTCTTGAAGCTATACTCTCATATAATATCAACGACACGATAGACATGGCCGAACACGAGAAGTGTGTTTCGCTCCTGCACTTGGAGCATTGCTATTCCCAAGAAAGTTTGGGCTAAAGCAGATAAAGTATTCCAGTTTCTCATGTTCTGCCACTCAACGAATTGCAGAGGATATTTCCGACAAAGCAGTACGGAAGTGTATATGACATTTCATCCACAAAAGAGCTGGGTTCTTGCGCAGTGTGTCAAGAATTGTTTAATAAATGGTATAACGTCCGGGTCTTGGGATGTGGTCATAGCTTCCACACGCGTTGCATTGATCATTGGTTTTGTGAAACTCAGCACGCTGCCCTCTATGCCGAAGGGCATGCCACATGCCAAAAATCAAAAGCCTAAATCATGTAGAGCGTGTACGTGACGCTTTGGGTTCTTCTTACTCACAGCTTTCTAATTATGCCAAAGCTCAAATTTGGATAAAGTTGTATCCTGATTTGGAGTTCGAAGCCCAATCTGGCCTAGAACATTTCAACAGTAAGACTTGCAAAATAGTACGAAGACTGCTTTTCGTTTCCGACACCAATTTAATTTCAATTATGGTCATCAAATCTGGCCACAAGCGTTATAATCATCTGGATAGAGTAGCAAATCAACAGCTTGAAATGTATCGAGAAAAATGACGCCAAGCAAGTCAACACGGACAGGCGCCGATGAAAGACTGATTATATTACAACAAAATGACATTCGAGGCTTTTAAATAAAAAAATCTACAACATGGAATGGTGGGTTGTCACTAATTATGCGTGTAATCTTATCCGATGTTTGTTAGTCTCGTTGCTTATTATTTAATTCACAGTTTATTTCTTGCCCACAGTTTCCCATTCTTGATCTTCCTTACCGGCAACAGATAGTTTAGCGGTCGATTCTTCCAGTTCGGCCACAATCGTGTCCTTGTCAGAAGCCTTGGTAGTAGATGGATCTTCAGAGGTTTCGTCATCATCATCGTCCTCAGTTGCGAGGACATCGTACGCAGACTTTTGGATTTTTGGGGTCTCTTGAGCGTTGTTCGCAGGAGTGCTCTTAGCATTAGTTTTCGAGTGAGAACCTCTCGCGCTAGAACGCGACTGGTTGAAGTTAGAACCTCTGGCTCCGTCCCAGTTCAATTCTGGTTCAGGTTTTGCTCTTCTTTCCGTCCTGGCGGGCCTCTCGTGGAAGTTGGTTCCTCTTGCGGAACCCCAATCTAGTTCTGGCTCTTCTCTTCTTGGTCTTCTTTCACTGGAAGCCTGGAATCCGGAGCCTCTTGCGGAATTCCAGTCCAAGTTTGGCTCTTGTGCTCTTGGCTTTCTTTCGCTGGAAGGTTCGAAGCCAGAACCTCTGGCGGAACTCCAGTCGATGTTTGGTTCTTCCGCTCTTGGTCTTCTTTCACTAGAGGCTTGGAAACCAGAACCTCTGGCAACGCCCCAGTCCAAATTCGGTTCTTCTCTTGGTCTTCTGTCACTAGAAGCTTGGAAACCAGATCCTCTGGCCACACCCCAGTCCAAATCAGGCTCTTCTCTTCTGGCAGAGCCTTGGAACGCAGAGCCTCTAGCGGCACCCCAGTCCATGTCGTCGAAACCGCCGCCCATTCTGTCACTGCCTCTGAAGCCTCCCTTATTAGGAGCAGCAACCGAGACGTACACTGTACGCTCATTGAGCTTCGTGGCGTTGAACTTTAGGGCAGCCTCCAACGCTTCACGGTCGCATAGGGTCACGAATGCGAACCCCTTCAGTCTGGAAGGCTCGTTGTAGTCTTTAGGAGCAGCCAAGTCTTCCACGGCACCTGGTCTGTTCAATCCGTCCTCGACCCAGGCCTTGATTCCCTCCTCGGAAACGTCCCAGGGCAAATTGTTGATCACAGCTCTGTATGGGGGATAGTTGGGAATATCGTACTGCATTCTTTCAGAGCGTTCTGGGCCCAATGCTGGGTCCAAACGCGACCCTTTGCCGCCACCGAGACCACCACTGAATGGGTCCATACCGGGCTGACCTCCCAGTCTTGTAGACTGAGTTGGGATGTTGATTTTCTCCAAATCAACTTCCTCTTCGGCCCACGATTCACCGAACGACTCGTCGTTCAGGAACGAGTTAAGGTCCATCTTAACGCTCTTCTTTGGAGGTGCCATTTTCGTTACTATTTGTACAGATACTAAGGCTTCTTGAATATTGTATAACCCCCTTAAAGGTTTGTTTCTATGCTCTAAAGACAGAACTAAAATGAATACATCGAGCTAGCTCATCTCGATCTCATTTCTTCTAATTGAAAATTTTTTATCAATTGATGAGCTTTAGTATTTCATATAAAAAGACTCGATATTTGGAAAAATAACAGCGACTGACGTGTGACGTCGAGGATCAGTTAAGATAGATGGACTGTAGAGCGTCTAAGATGTTTTTGATAGATTAACGAGAGAATGGGGAAGATATTGTGGAAAATTCGCGGCTTCAAAAAACCATTGGTAGGGTCAAAAAATTGATTTTGTAAATGATATCATTTTTAAACATTTTGAATTTGGGAGGGCTATAGATGTAAATTCCAGTGAGTTTGACGCTATTATGAGAATTTGGAGGCTTTATTGTGAATTGAAGACCTATTTATTTGTAATTGGGTTGCAAAAAACTCTAGTTTTGGTGAACGCATGAGGAGCTACAATGAGAAAATGATGTGCCTGGCTTTGAATATTACTCCAGGTATCTTAGGGGAGTCAGAACTTAAAAAGTAAGAATGGGCATATGGCTATCTTGGTTTTAAAAAATACACCAGGTGTATGTCATGACCTGGGCTTTTGGAAGGAGTTTAAGTTGGGAAAACAAGATTGAGAAAATGGCTGTTTTGGCTTTAGAAACTACCACGAGTGTATCTGTCATGACGTAATGTCTTACCAGGATCTTAATCAAGGAATATACTCAGTCTCTTTTTTTTCATATTCAAAACTGCGCGGAAACTGCAAAGCGGAATAGGAAAAACCCGATCCTCAAATACAAATATTGTGTCCTACTTCTACGGTTAGCCTTCCATGTTGGTAGAGGCCCAGAATGTGGCATCATCATACTTCGCATCGAAATAGGACTGCATGTTCGTCTTATTTTTATTCGGGGTTTTCAGGATGTTGAAACGCTTCCTTGATGTCTACCTTATGCCTAGTACAGTGATCGCGACGAATTTATCCGTCTCTCTCTATTTTATGCATGAGACCAGGATTTTCTTGCCCTATTTATCTAGTCAAGGGTATACCGGGGCTCTTCCCATGTGAATAATTCTAACAAGGCACGTTCTACTTGTGCAACTACTCACCTCTTTAACTCTCCCATAATTTGACGGTGATGCTGATCGATTTTTTTTTCGGCAGTCCACGAACCGGCTGCTTAAATATAGCTTCCGCTTCCCGCAAATCTCCCATTAGACTACGAATAAATTTTGAGTGAATTAAGCGGGGACTGCAACTTATAATGAATACTTCACACCTCGTCGTGAACTTAACGCTATGACGAGGTCCCCGAACATTATCACTTTTCACCATATCGTCATTTGTCGTCTAGTCACATGACCACATTTATTCCTGATTTACTGTTCAATGTCTATTCTGACAGTTAGCTCGCATAGGGCATGTTTCTTCAGTTATAAAACTCACCTCTAATAAGCCGAACGCCAGCCCCCCACACACACTCCCCACCGAAATCGAGCTCCTCTTAATTTTTTTTCAAAAGACCTATTTATCCCGTTTGGCTCTGGCCTGATCAACATGAATTTAAGGTCTTAGTCCCTCCTTGACCCTTACTTGTAGACATCTGCGTCGTTCTTTTGACGCTGTCAATCTTTCATATTTCATTTTCACAGCGGCCTTGCCTCTGCGCGCCTTTGGGCAAAATATCGGATCACTTTATCATATTTTGTCACATTAATTTAAATCTCTTCGCGCTATTCTTTCAAATAAAAGGGCTGTTACGAAGTGAAGTCAGTGTCGACTCTAGAGACTGATCTGCAGCCACATCTATCGTAGAGCCATCTCTCCTCAAACTAAATCTGCTCAAGGGTCAGTAAAGGCCTGTGAAGTGCACTTATTAATTATTCTCATACAATTGAAGGAAAGCAACAACCAGCTTTCCATTGCACACCGTAATGGACTTGAGCTATTGTAGCCGACTCGAAAATCAAGCCACCGAATTATTGCCAGTGCGAACCGGGCACTGTAAAATCGATCTCTCAATCACCAATCGCATACATCGGCATTTTCGTTTTTGACGATCTCTTATAAATTGACATCGCCAAGCAAACATCTCATTCAGCGAAAGCAAGCAGTGGCTACAATCGTGTGCTTCGATCACCAGACTCTCGGGAATGAGCCAAGTTTGAGTAGTTTACATCACTAGAGAAAAATCTTACATTGGATCAATTCTCTGGTTTCACAACTCTCAATCTGCGAAGGTGGCTAATGGTTTTTCGGATGTTCTGGATGGACAGGATGGTCTGGATGGACAGGATGGTCTGGGCTAGCGAGTCGCTGAGGCCAATTTGGCTTCTAAGTGCACTACTTTTAGCATGGGCTCTGTTTCAATGGATAATGTTCAAACTTCTGGGGATATCAGTGGGCATAGTAGATCCTTTCAGACTAAGGCTGCGGTCTCTAAGAATACGGAACCTACTAACCATCAGATTTGTTTACTACTCCATTTGGAATCATGGCGTTGTCGTCCATGGGCTGAAGCTAGACCTTCCTTACCAAGAATCAGCGACAAGTGCCACTAAAAGTACTCAGAAAAGTGCAAAAAACTACTTCAGTATTCCACGGTGGGGCCAGTGGCTCTTAATTCGCATCCTAAATCTGTTTCGGCAATACAGCTTTGTGCTGGAAAAGACGGAACTTAATGGTGTAAAAATCGATTGCATAACTGTGCGTCTCGAAGGCAAAGGCCACCGCTTTAGTGTTTCAATGCTCATAAAAGACGTCTCTTTCGGCGAGATCGCGTCCTGCTCTGGGTCAGTGCTGGAGTTTTCCGGCATACTTGATTTCAAGAGACCTGCAATCCCACTGGAGGATATAACTGTCGATTTCAAGGTTAGAGGGGTATCCGTTTCTTATGACAGCTTACTGACCTATTTGGCAGAGGCTCAGTCTGGAAATCAAACTGCAAGTGACTCTGATGGTCAGTCCACTAGCGACCACGACAGCAAATCATTTTCCACCGGTTTCGAAGAGTTGAACCCTAACGACGCCACCGCTTGCATCCAATACATTAAATCCAATCTTCTCAAGGCCAGCGACTTTGTTACAATGCTTAATAAGTTTTACATCGCTGCAGACAATGTCGATATTAGAGACATTCCTTTTTCGCGACACCCTGAGCTCATCGACACAGCTCGCTTGCTAAAATTCGAGATATCAGCGTCTAATATGACTTTTGCTTTGAACAGGCTTAATGAGCAATCGCCGGGATTTAAGTTAACATTCGCACCTAATGAAATACCTTTAAACATGAAATGTACCATGTCGTCAATCGCGTTTAAGATGAATCAAAATCTTGGGCCGGACAATGCAGTCGTCGAGGCGTACAACTTCTGCGAGATTCCTAGCGTAGCCCTCTATGGAGATACTAATTTATTTTCCTTGAGGTCCCACGAAGAAAACTATGATGTGGCAGTCGAAACGATTCTCAAGTTGGTGGGCCACATTTCTTCTCCAGTGCTCGATTTTGAGATTGGGCAATTCTCCTTTTTAAAGTCTTTCAAAGACAACATGAAAGTTTTCCAGTCTCTCCTGAGTGAGACCGGTACAGTTAGACCAACCTGTATGAAGACACTCGAGAGAAAACAAGCGGTTTTCACGTACTTTCAGCATATACTGCCGCAAGTGGAATCGAAAATTACAGTCGAGGATCCATTGATTCTTGTTAGTGATGGAAGCGAGCTGCTAGTTCAGAAATGTTCCATTCTATCCATTCAAACTAAGTCAGATAAGTTCAGGCTATGTGGTGAAGATGAAAAGAAAGAGGTGTTCTACAAATTGAGAAACACAATTGAACTGATGGACTACAGCTTTACTTACCACAACAGATTGAAGACCTTTGAACATAGGATTCTTACGATCAGCAACGTGTCGATTGCAAGCTTGGCAGAGTTGGTACCCAGTATACGAGCAAACTTTAACGCCGGCGTTAACGTTTGTGAGCTAGATTTATCAGAGATCTCTACTCTGACGGCTCTCAATAAAATTTACAGAAAAGCAAACTGTAAGATGCTATTCGTTGAGGAAAATCATTTCGATGAGCTTTACGCAAGGTTTGGGGAGTACCTGGAGACAAGGAAACAGGAGAGTGTAACTCATAACACGTACATGATGGATAGTGAGTCATGTCCTAAATCTAAGCTCTTTCAAAACCTCCCACCCTTTTTTGATGGTGCTCGTGCCAATATACGCGGGCTGAAAGTCACAGTCGGCGCTAGATCGGTATTCATGCCAAATGACATTTTAACTAATTTACAATCGCAGAGTCCCGAGGATCTTGTTGACGGGGAGCTCAGAAAAATGTCGCATAGTATTGAAAGAATACAATTGTCTCTGAGAGGGTCGAATGATCAAGCTCGCGTCAACGATGATGGAAGCTCATCTGATGGTTCCACTTTAGTCGATTCTGTCAAAACGTTTTCGTATGACGAGTTCGGTCTAGATGATAGCTCTTCAGAACTCTCAACGGGGAAAGAGTATGCTTGGCAAGTACGTTGCTCGGTACATGATATGGTGACCTCTTTGTTCTCTGAGAAAAGGACGAAACGACAAACTCTTAGTCCTAAAATTGTATTCAAGATGCCCTCACTTGAGGTGATGATGTATCCAGACGCACCTTTTTCTGAGCAAGGGGAATCAGACGACAAAAAGATTGTTTTATCAGTCAGTTCAGGTACTTGCGAAACGATGGTCTCGTTAATGACCGTCTTCCTAGTGTTTTCTGCCGTTCACACTTTCAAGCAAACATTCACTAAAGACGTCAATAAGCATAAACGAGATTCGAAGGCCAGACGACACCTTTCGACGCACTTTATGAAAAAGGGAGAGAGATCAATCTTCAAGCGTCTAATGAAAAAAGAAGCCTTAGAGCTTTTCCGCGTTGAGTTCAATACCAAATACTCGTGTATGGTCTTAATTTTACCCAATGGGGTCAAGACTAAGTTCGAAACCTTCAGAAGTGGTTTTACATGCACCGATATCAGCAGTCTTAGAATTTACGGGCACTTCTTTCGATTCTGTGTTGAATCGCCTCAGAAAACAAATTTTTGGGTTAGAATGGCCACCGTCGTCAACTTCAGGATTGAAGGTGTTCTCGAAGATATTGTACGACAGATAAATGATCCATCCAACAATTCACAGGAGCCCGCTATCATGCTTACAAACGAGATGTGGAACTTCAATATTCCTCATGGTTTCGAAATGTACAAGATATTTGATAATATTTCCACGACAGTGAAAACCATCAAGCAGATGGCGCATTCGTTAAAAACTTCAAAAAATGACTGTGTCATATCTCCCCATGTCTCTGAACCCGCTCGGCTGCCAGGAATAAATCTCAGATCCAGAAGGTGGGTTTTCAGTGTTGAGGATGATATTTTCGAGTCCCAGCTGTCTGTAATTTTCCAGGTGGGACTCAAGGAACAACGTTCCCGACTCGAGAAATATGCGCTTTTCGAAAAAGCCGCTGCAAAGGATCTGAAGACAGAACAGAAGGAGATGAAGACACCCGAGACCGCTGACTTTAGTTCTGAAAAGAGACATTTTCATCTGGATCATTTCAGCAAACATCATAAACTGAAGCGAAAAAGCATGCCTGATTTGAATCAGCCGGGAAATCAGAAAACTTCGGACGATTATGCTCATCCTAAGCTCTCTCAATATGTGAGAAATGCTGATTCTTGGGCGCGTAAGTACCATAAGCTTCAAGAACAAATCTCGTTATCGTGGATCCGAAGAATTAAAGCTTTCAAAATCAAGGAGCAAGTGAACTTTCAAAAAAATTTCGAATATCTCTGGGGTTCAATCGACCCTGATATCTTTCCTCCAGGTGCCAACAAACGAATGATGGCCTTCGTTGCATCGCCTCCATTGATGAATGTCATTGTAGAGGATGCAAATGTCACGATTTCTCAACCGTCTTTTGGTATCGAAATGCTTTCGGATTTCATTCATGAGGTGGGAAAGGGTGTTCCCAAAAAAACTGCATACTCCATACTATTCCCGATGCATCTAAATGCAAAATTTCGGGAAATGAGGTGTCATCTTCGAGATTATCCTTTGCCTTTTGTTTACCTTCCGGATTTGACCGCCGAGCAACGCGAAAATGGTGACGACGTAGCTATAAGGCTACATGGAGATGTGGTTGTTTCAGAGGATATTATACGATCCGACAAAGAGCTGAGAACTTTGTTTGTTCCTTTGGTACCATCTGCTACATTGGAGAACGATGACAAATTCTATTCGTTGCTTGTTCCAAGAACTTTGACGGCTATCAAAACATATGCCAAATTAGAACTGGAGCTCAATTCGGACGAGACGACTCTTGTTGCATGGAACGGCTCTTACTCCCCTGCTATTCAGCAAGCGATGCAATGTTTTGATAACTTTTCGAAACCACCTATCGATCCCTCTCCAAAGCTTGGTTTTTGGGACAAAATTCGTGAGACATTTCACGCGAGAATCTCTGTAAGGTGGAATAACGACGGGCAACTTAATGTTGCCCTGAAAGGCGGTAAGAGCCCTTATACGATGGGCGGAGAAGCTGCCGGATTTGTGGTGGGCTTGAAAGGAGGAATTAAAGTGGGTTGTAACGTAACTGACGATGCTCTGAAATTTCTCACCCTTGCCTCAGAAGAAGTCTTCTTTTCAATCCCCAACTTCTTTGCAAAGCCGCTTTTGGTCTGGTCCAGAAGCAGTAAGGATGGTTTGTTTTTCCCGAGCCATGAAAACACCAATCTTCAACACCATGCGTTTTTTTACAACCTCGTCGAGCTGCCGAGTGTCGAACACCTTGACGGTGATATGCGAGCGATGAAGGACGCGTACTTCGAAAAAACGGCAATTAGACTGACTGGCGGGATAACACTCAACGTTGGTATGGTGTTTGAAAGGCTGAAGGTTGACTCGAGGAAAAGAACTCTCGATTCCGAGTCGCACTGGAATGCACGTTTGTGTAATCCGGTGTTTATAGACAACCTCGATGAGCACGATTCATTCAAGGGCTTCCGGAGTGACTTTATTCATTTGTCGTTCACTCTGTTGTCTAGCAACCCAAAAGCTTACAACGTCTTACAACTTACTCCAGGCGCTTTCAAAACATTCTTTGGTTGGTGGCATAGCTTCTCTGGAAACTTACCAGTTCGACGTGGGCCGCTGTTTGGTATGAATAATATGAGTCCAAAATTTGGCATTCACCTTTACACCATATCTTATCATGCTGACGTTGCTCCGCTCTTCATCAGCCATATCCATGAACTTTCCGATCCTAACGATAAGTTGATGGCAGACAACACTAAAGTCGCAAAATTTGTAGGCTTGAAGGCAAAAACAGAGCATTTTGTTATGGATCTCCATCAAAGAAAAGAAGTACTTCATGAATACAAACAGGAATTGAACATCACGAAACGAGTTTCGAAACTCATGTTCAATGAAGGCAATGTCTCTAACTATGGTATCGACGTAAGGACAGTTCAAGCCGAGTTCAGAGAACCTGGTTTTGCCGGGCGGGAGGCTGAATCCGAATACGAAATTTTCGACGATGACATGACATGGTTTGATATATCCGATTATGATGAAGTGTTCATGGACAAAATGGCCGAACGAATAGCTGCCGTATACATGCACTCTCTGGTGTATTCACCAAAGTTTGTTTACAGAAAGCATGCGACTTATGGGGACAAATATCAGGTCGACCCTGAAACATGTGAGAAGATTGAACCATTTGATAACGCAAACTATCACAATTGTACGCTCAAAAACATGGTCAAATCCCCTTCAGAATTCATCAAGAAGCGTCTCAAAGCTCTTCTGACAAAGAGAGAGCAAACTCTCGAAAAAATTGAACGCATATCTCATCCGAAACAAGATCAAGGTACGTCTGTCCTACAGCGGAGGATAGAAAAGATCGAGGGGGCCATCAAACAAGTTGAGCAGCTGCTTCACGATTTTCAGGATTTCGATCGCGAAAGGCAAGATTCATCTACAAGATCAGATAATTCAGCTGCAAAATTGTCACCGCAATTTGGTTGGCTCACGAAATCTTCTTTCGCTGATTCCTTCGAGCATCGGTTCTTCATTTTTTCCATGTTTTTGAAATGGAATGACACAGTAAGAGGTGCAGTCTACAGCTACATTCACTTCCTGGACTTCAACCGGGAGCTGTCTTATATTGCAAATCATAAGGCAGTTCGAAAGATAAATGAGGTCATTGAAGAGTCTACAGGATCTGGGAGTGAGAAGCTCGATTCAATCGCTGAAAGTGCGCGATCGGAGTCTGTTAAAAAGATGCAAAATGAGGCTGTCGAAAGCATAGATGCCGAAGAAGATATTCTTTCAGTTTTCGAAGAAGGGCTGAGAAAGCTGGATGCCGATTTTGATTTCATTACCCATGATAATCATGTTGTGCAGTTCGTAGCTCCGCAGATCCAACTTACGACCTCGCAAAAGCCTGAGGTTTGTACGATGATTACAGCTCCAAGTATAAAACTCAAGTCCATAGGCTTTGATACAAATGTCACCGAAAATGAGTACAACACTGACGTGTTCATGAATCGATACAGCATCGCTTTGCTCAAGGCAAACGTTTTTGTTTTTCACAAGGACAGCTTTGATAACACTCATGACGTCTTTTTCCGTGAGGATGGGTATGACCAGGCCGGTGAGAAGAACTGGCAGCCCTGGCTAGGTATAGAGCTATGCTTTGATTCTGCGTCCTTGGGAAACGATACAATAATCAGAGATCTGTCTGCAATTTTCAGGTTTGACCGAGTTTTTTCATTCGCAAACGTTGCGGGTACTAAAGACCCCAACATCAAAAACAAAATCATTTCACAGTTGCCTCGAACCGTCATAAGTTCGAACTCTAGACAGTATTTGGCGCTCTATGATGTGATTGCGCATCTATTGGTTTACGTGGAACCAAAGACTGCCCATCTTCGCAAGGAAGTTGAAAAGTTAATGTTGAGTTATGACACTACCGACCTTGTCCAATTGAGGGGCGTAATAATTGACTTACAACAAAAAGTAGTAGCTCTGAACCGTCTCGAGAAAGAACTAGCATTCAGAAGACGAATTCTGGATGCAGATGGCATCGACGACCTCAAAATTATTCGTAAAAACAAATACGAATCTTTGATAAGCCTTTACATTTTGATGGAAGTTCTTAACATGGGAAGTCAGGAAAATGCTGCCGAAGATCAGAAGATTGTTTGGGATTTGGAAGCCAAAGAGATCATTGTGCACATGCTGCATGACAACGGAACTCCGTTCTTAGATCTGGCACTGGCCGGTTCATACTTCCGGCGTGTACAGTCTTCTTACGGTTACAACAGCAACAGGATAGTCATTGGTATGGCTCAAATATTCAATTTGGACCGCGATGTCTTGTTCCATAATTTGTTAGGTCCATCAAATGCACAAGAAGCAAAAAGTGGGCCGAATGGCGATAAAGAACCGCTGATGACAATGGAATGGGAGATTGAGAAGCCTGTTGGAGGCATGAAAGTAATAAAGTCTGCTCTTGCGACGTTTAAGAGCTTAGAAGTTAACATTGAACAGGCGACATTGACGAAAATACTGCAATGGGCATTCCCCGCTGAAATCGAGGAGTATATTAAGGAAAGTGATCAATCTAGTACGCTGGACAGTGGATCTACTGACGAAAGCGCGAGCAAGAGCTCAGATCAAAACAGTATCACCATTGGTAACATTAGTAAGGACGCTAATAATGACCCACAGGACGTGGATGAGATGTTCAAGAGATCTTCAGACTACATGGTTATCAATAATTTGGTTGTCAGGTCGTTCAAGCTCATAATCAGCTACAGAGGAATCGGTGCCAAGCGACTTATCAATGTTACGAATTTCGGGTTTCTGTTTCCGCGTTTAACGCTGCATAATCAAACCCTCACGACAGTTGATCTAGCAATGATGATTAAACAAGTGCTCCTTAAGGCGCTTTTGAGGCATGCAGGGAAATTTTTGGGAAATAAATTGAAAAGGCATACCCTTCATATTGAGCCAACCAAGTCACCTTTGCGGCAGCTTTCGAGTTACCATTCTTATACGGAAGTTGAAGACTTAAAATGCGAAGGCGGCAATGAAGCTGACGCACACGAAGGAAATGCGAGGAAGATAGTCGGAAAAGAGGACAGCGGAACTCTAGCAAAGGATACAGCGCACGCACCCGGCTACACATTGAATAAAGACACAGAACGAGTGACAGGTCGAAGCAATATTCTCAAATTTGACCAGAAATCTGGCCTGGACACAGAGAGGGATATGCGTCAAGAGACAACTCAAGGCACCAGCCAAGAGACGATTAGAGACACTTCGCAAGACACAATTCGAGGAATTAGCCAAGATGCCGATAAAAAGACCAACCAAGAGCTCGGTCAACAAACGAGCCTAGAGGCAAATCGAAAAATGAGTCAAAAGCCAAGTCAAGAGACGAATCAAGCGACAAGTCAAGAGACAAAGCAAGAGACGAAGCAAGAGACGAAGCAAGAGACGAAGCAAGAGACGAAGCAAGAGACAAATCAAGAGACAGGTCAAAACTTAAGACAACAATAAGATGTCAAAGAATGAGTGAAGAAGAAGACGGTGATAATTAAATTCTACCGTTTCGAACTGTTAGCTGGGACACCCAAATGTTCGAGGGCAATCATAACAAATTGTAGCAATTTATACGATGGAACTCAGAATTTCCCTAATACGCCTCAAACAAGGATAGCCATGAGAAATTGGTCGGAACACGGAGATCAGAAATGACCTCAGTTCCGGAACTTCTGCGCAGAATAATAATAATACTAATAGGTCCTTCCACAGCCTGTCATAGGGTCAATGTTGGTCCGCGTAAAGTAACCATTAACAGTTGTTACTCCAAAGCGTAGCAAGAAATATCAAGCTATTTCGATCCAGATGGAAAATCGATTGAACAGAGTATCTCACCATTTGAGAGCATGAGTTGTTCATCCGATTCTCTATTAAATGACATTTACAGTCACGTGAATGGTTCTTTTTACTACAAAGTTCCCGTTTCTAGGTCTAATGACATTAAAAGTACACAGTTCGAAGATGTAAATCTGCCTTTCTTAGTTCGTGGCCGAGCGCTCACCAAATGCCTGATGGTATTTGATGGATCTTCTAGCGTTGTTGACCTATCATTAGAGGTAATAGACAACGAATGGTGGTTTGACCTCTCTGATCGACGGAGACTGCAATTGCACGATCGCGAACGTCGATGGTTTAAAGAGAAAACAACAATACCGTCTCAGATTCCAATATGTTATGGGGAAATAAGAACCGTTGGTAATTCAAACACGTTTTCAGGACTCTTGAAAATACAAGATGTGAAATTGAAGAGTTTCGCACCTTTTGAGACTCTTCAAAACGAGTTTGAAAGCGCGTTAGTAGCTGATACTGAGACGCAGGAGAAAAATGATCCAGAAACCCTGGATGATTCGGATCTGGAGCTCTTAGCGGGTGACGAGCAATTTCCCGAGGAAGAGTTTACGACACTGGGTGGCAGTCCACCTGCAATAATTTGCACAACTTTTGTCGCGAGCCGAAATATGCTGAAAACTACTTTCAGAAATAAAGTAATCCAATGCCCCTTTGAGATCATAGACTGTAAGATCAAACGCAGTGTACTTGAAAGTCCAGAAGATGTTGCCATTATACTGTCTACCGAAGGCATAATATATTCCGCAGCTTTCGATGCCGAGTTTCAACCCTTTGTAATGCAGTGGTGGAAATTGCAGAAAATTGATGGCGTTCCTCGTGGTATAAGCGTGCTTTCTTCCTCAAGTCAATTCGTCGTCACGACTGACACAACTCTCAAATTTTACAGATTCACCGACGCGTATCATTTCGAGCTCGTAAGCAATCTGAACTTTGCTGACAGGTCTATTTCACAGACCTCTTTTCTCAACAATGGCGACCGAGGTAATCATTTTATGATATTTTCAGCGCTCCGGCGTCGCAATGAGATCACTTTGTGTTTAACTCAATGGGGAGCAGCGGACGAAGAGCGCAAAGAAGTTCACACTTTGACGCTGCTCGAAAGCGAGCCTATCTTGAGTATTATCGCTCTAGATGATTCTCGATGCTTAACTGTCACCGATACGGAAATCAAGCTCGTAACAGCCAATCAAGTGCTGTCCGGCGAGCTGATTTTTAATTCTTTTAAACGATCTATGTTCGGCTCTAACTTAGTGAAATGTTTTGACGATTTGATGTTACTTTCCAAACTAAAGAGTATAAAAGAGGACTTTCAAGACTCAGTCCATTGCACCGTATTCTCTACATCTAATGGCGCACTTTGCTGCTGCCTAAGTGACGAAGACGGAAGCCTCAAATTTTTAGCTCTGACCAGGATCAAAGGTCTTGATTCCGCCTTTTTGATCGATAATTCTTACACATCCTCTGATACTTACGTTGTGGTGATCTCCAGTTTTGGGCAGTTAATTCGAATATGTTTGGACTTGAATGATGTACAAGAATTGGAAAAAGACTACAAAATCAATTCCTTCCAAAATGTTCGCAATAAGCAGAATGTCAGCGCTGGTCATGGAATGGCAGAGTCTATAGCGTACATTCCTGGACCTCAAAGACATGCAGATAAAGAAGATCGCTTGTGTTTACTGTCGCAGGCAGCTATCTCTGTGCTTTCTCCTAATAGGCTGGTTCAGGATTGTTCGGTACTACTTTCGCTCAAGTCCTTTAGGGCCACTTCGACTCTGAAAGTCTTGGACTGTAGAAATCTGTCTGATAAATGGAAGAACCAACTCATGGGGAGCGCTGCTGTCGACACCCCGAAATTCCTAGTCTTGGACGAGACTCCCAACGGCGATTCGAGCCTATTACTGGTTGAATGGACCATGGACTATAGCGCTTACACTCTAACAGAGCTCGATGATGTTTTAAGAGTGGAACTGAGCAGTACGGTGATGATTTACTTCACGGAGCACAATTTTGTCCAGGTAACTTCTCGGGTTTTAAGCATAGATAGTTTCGAGGACAACAACTACCGTAGTCACCAAGTCAGCTTCATTGTCACAGGAGCGATGTGCGAGGGTAAAAAACTTCTACTTTGGAATGCAGAGAGTGGACACATGCTTTTCATTGATGATATCGATGATAGAGGAATGGACACTCATCATGAATTTAAAGTTCCCATGGAATGCAAACATTCACAAATAACAGCAATGATGTTTATGAAAGACAAAAATGGTTTGGAACACATAATTGCTATCAGCGACGAGTCTCTCCATCAGATTAGCTGCGACGACTTAATTTCTTCCCGAAATGGGTTTTGTCAAATAGGTAAGGTTCGCGCACACTACGGAGACTCACTACTGGCTAATTCTTATTTGAGCGATCTTGAAGGCTGTCTTTACCGAATTTCCATGAAAGAGACAACGCAAGATAACATTACAATTGAAAAACTAGATGTGGGTTTAGAGTTCGGATTTCCGTGGCGTATTCGGCTCGTGAATGTAGACGAATGCATTCTCTTCTCCCCTCGAGCAATGTATCTACTGAATCTTGCAGATATGACTGTTGTTGAGGTTCCAGTGGGCGTCAACAAGAAGCATGCCACTATTATAGACGTAAGAGCCAGTGAGAAAGTCTTTTTCGTCCTTTTCTCAGATGGCTTGGAGGTACTATCTCGCAGTTGCCTGACCCACACTCGCTCCCATCTAACTGTGAGAAACGCTAGGACGAAGCATAAGCAATACCTGTCTTTAGACCGGATAAATCGAATGCTTATAGTAAATTGGTACAAGAAAACCCTTGAGTCCGCGAAGCTGGAGAATGGTAGACTGATGACTCTAGATTCTCGATGCCTTGAGGAGTTCGAGACCATCACCGAAGCGATCGAGCTGAAGAGAGAAGCGGGTCCTATCAATTTAATTATCGCTGGGACCATTGACTCAAGTAAATGGATCATCAAATTTGTTCAGGTGGTGCCATGTCCAGGAAAGTTGATCACTCGCGAGGTGAGCACGTACAACTTTGAGGGACCCGCCCCAGATAACCTTCACATTGTTCCCGTTAGTGAAAATGCATTTTGGCTTTCGTATGGCACGAAGTTGCAATTGTTTCTTCTGGAGTCCAATGTTCTCAACCCCGTGGGCTCAGAGGAGACCACACAAGAAGAGCTAACGTCTTTGGATGCAAACTCTGACATTGTGGTTTCATTGAGGTGTAATGGAGATATAAAATTCAAAACTAGAGAAAAGGACGGCTCATGGAGCTCAGCAGAGATCGTGAAAAAATCCCCCGACATAAAATATCGCAAACCGCTCGTGATAAATCGCGATTGCATAGCTATTGTCGGGGATTGCAACAGCGAATCAAGCCATTGCGCCGTTATAACCTTTTTCACACCATTTGATGGAGACATCATCTATTTCAATGAAATATGGTTTGCTGAACCCATACGAGACGTGAAATACTCTAACAAAAACGACGAGTTATGTGTTCTCCACACGAATGGAAGTGTCGTTTTATTCAGCGGCCAGCAAGAGTGCCATCGAATTTGTCACGTTGTTGGACACAAAGTAAGTATCGACTACTATCAAGATGCAACGAGCCAGACGGGGTGCTGGGATTTCACGCCCCACCGTCTGCTTCCTTCACAACAACCATGGTAAAGTATTTTTCGAAAATTCCTGTTCCTGTCACACTTACTCGCTAATACCGCATCTCATTGAATGGAAGCTGGTCTGCCATACGGGTCGTGCCCTCTGCACGCATTGAAGATGAGCATTGACAGGATCGAAGATCACATCAGTTTGTACTATTCTGTCAGCAAAAAGTGTAATGGAGGCGAACATAATCACATCAATGCACTAATGACTACGTTACGATTCTAATCTTTCTTCAGCCGCTACAGTTGCTTTGAGGAACGAAAACAGCTTTGTACAGTCGCTCTTCTTCGTCTCATCAACTATTACTTCCCCATCTGAAACGTCGAAAGAAAGCCACTAAATCCCAAGTTTGTGATTTGAGTCAAGTTAACCAATGTAATCAATTCCACAGGACCACTTCGTCCCAATATTCGGAGGCTTCTGACCTCTAACTTGGCCCATATAACTCATCTTTTCTACTGTCATCAATCACATGATTTAGGTCGTCTATTAATTAACAGCTAGAAAGCCATAATTATTTAAACAGGGTTCAAAATCAAGTGAAGTTTGATAAACACCACCGACCAGAGATGAAGAGACTGGTAACATTTCCAGGCCAAGGAAGGCCAGTTTTAGGCCATGTTTTTAATTCTTATTTAGCACAGCGTAGTCGATTATCGAGTCTGAAATTGTCTGAACGAGCAAGAGAAACAGCGGCTGTGGGCGCTCAAATCGAGCAGAAACCTACAGATCCAGCGTCGATCGCAGCATGCTCATATCTGCTTTACGAGACGTTTTTAGAGCATGCAAAGAGTGAAAAATCAGAATCGTCTGACTTGGTTTTCTTGGGCCACTCTCTGGGCGAGTTGTCGTGTCTGGCCGCTGGAAATGGGCTTTTCACATTGCACCAAACCATGGAGATCGCCACATATCGTAACGAACTTATGATGAAAGCCGCAGGAAATTTGAACTACGGCATGTGGGCGATTTCGGTGCCCAAAGCTCGGGATTTGGCTCGAGAAGTGCGATCTTGCGTCTTCGCAATGGGAAACACTATGGCGCTCGCCAACGTCAACACTGGCCAGCAGTGCGTCATAACAGGGACAGATACCGATTTCCAACGATTGGAACCGCGGCTGCGCGAAACAATCGATGGTCGTTACAGAATAACCCAGCTGGAGAATCCCTATCATATCCCGTTCCACAACCAACAGGTGCTGGCTCCCGTAGCTGAACCGCTTTTAGATTTTATGTGGAAAATACTGAAAAAACAAGGTCTAGCCAGCCAATGGGAGCTTAGCCACGAGGTGGTTTCGAACCTTACCGGAACTTGCGTCCGTACCGTGTCGCAGGCGCTGGAAAATTTCGCCCACAGCAGCTGTAACGTCGTCGAATTCGTGAAGTGTTGCGAAACTGTGAGTAAGCTCAATGTCACAGAAATCGTTAGCATCGGGCCTGGAACTCATATAGGCAAGCTTGTGGCCACGAACTGTCATATTCCAAATGCTCGGTACTGGGATGAGCATATGGGAAACAATTCGACCGCCGATTTGAAAGCACTTTAGCTTCACAGTGGTATAAAATTGCCGATAATACACACAGGTATGTTGTAGCGATCTCTTCGGATCGTGAAACTAAAACAGCACGGCGTAAGATCAGATTTGCCGGGATTGCATAGCTTGCAATGCGTCAAGACAGCCTTTTGATTTTTATCGAAAGCTATGGATCCGTACTTCTCCCAAAAGCTAACAGTGCTGTCTTCTGTCATCACTTCGTAGATTGCCAGCTTTCCATCACGCAAGTCGTCTACTTTGCAGCCAACCAGTGACGCAAACTCCTTGTTACCACGATATATCTCGCCAGTTCTCCTCCACAAGCACGCAGGCATGCTCATCGAAGTGAAAACGCGATCGTACGAAAGCAACATTCGCTCGAAGCTTTCCTCGACCAAAATGAGGTCTACGTCTTTTAAAGACCGTGCAATGGCCCTGAACTCAGGCCTGATGATGGACAGGGGCTTTAAAATACGTTGTTTGCAATCGGGGTTCATATGCTCGTCCATATACGTTTGCAAACGAGCATAACCTCGGGCATAATTATATGGTTTAAGGAGTCCAGCTTCTAATTTGGCATTGATCACCGATTTGAGTCTATCCTCCGGTGTCATTTCCTGAGAGGGATCTGCTGCAGTGAACAGAAAGTTCTCTTTTAAGGTGGGTTGGTATGGTGACTGCTCTTGCACAGGCTCCCTTGACGGTTGTTGTACCTGCAATACCACGCTTGACGGATCCGTTTCAAGAAACAACGGATTTTCAAGCATGTGAAGAAATTCACTGAGCGATGAGAACTCGGATCCTACATGTTCGGACGCAAACATGGGCTGTCTAGCCAAGATCCCACCAACGGTGCCCACGGGATTGTTGGCACTCATATTCGGCTCTCGAGTGCTCATTTTTTCGAGATCCGGGTCTTCCTCAGCTACTCCCCGGGGCAGTTCATCGCAGCACAGATGTGCGATGTTTCTCCGTATGCATCGTGTACACGGTCGGTGCTCATCGCAGATCATATGGGATCGCCGGCAGTAAACGCAGGCCCGCGCGACCTTTTTTCGTTTTGACTGAACACAATCACTCATGTTGAATTAAGACACCTACACTAGCTAGCGATGGGGTTTAATACGCTGCATTAGATGCTTATTGAAGGATCTATCGTTCCATCGATAACTTTCCATGCGATGAGCTTACACTAGCTCTAATTGCGCTGACGAGTACATTGGCGAGCACAGTGATGAGTACAGTGATGAGTACAGTGATGAGTACATCGATGAGTACACTGACGAGCACTCTTTCTTTGACGTGTAACTTTAGCATGGCATAAAGCTTCGCGACCTAACAATAAAAGTCTGCTCGCTCTTCTAGATTGGTTCGTTTTTTTATTAGTCAGAGAGCCGTCCATATGAGGAACCTCAATATGTCCTGGCAAATCTTAGATCACCATCATGAAAGATGGCAAATCGAATCTGAATAAAAGCCCGAAAGTGCAACTGTTTTAAGACTTCAAAATTCAATCTCCGGTGTATGGTAGCAAGCGCTCATAAACTGTTTCGTGGCAGTGATTGATGCTTCTCGATCATGATCTCTAATTCGATATCATATCTTCACGTGACAAGTTTTTCTTAGAAGATACACTATTTCAGCACCGGAAGATATCATCATATGGTAGCGACGCACGCATCACTAGCTCGCCTGGTGTTCGCCGACAAACCATTTTACACTTCGCTACTAGACATGCTTCACAAGGTACTATTTCGGGCCGCTACCAGGAGCCTGAAAAACTCTAGGCGTCATGTCTCTAATAATCAATTAGACCTGTCCAAGCTCACGCAACGGGAGATCCAACAGCTCCGGACCATGAAATTTCAGCAGGATAGAAAATTCAGGGATCGTACCGCTGCGTATTATTTCACCAGCATAGCAGTGGTGTTTCTGGGACTGGCGTATGCTGCTGTCCCGCTTTACAGAGCGATCTGCGCAAGGACCGGTTGGGGAGGCATACCGATTACAGACAAACGTAAATTCACGGACGACAAGTTGATCCCGGTTGAGAGTGATAAGAGAATCAGAGTCTCGTTTACAAGTGAGGTTTCTCAAATTCTACCCTGGAAGTTCACGCCCGAGCAGCGCGAAGTTCGAGTTTTGCCCGGAGAAACAGCTCTTGCCTTCTACAAAGCCAAGAACACTAGCGACAAAGACATTATTGGTATGGCTACTTACAGTATTACACCTGGCGATTCTTCGCCCTATTTCAATAAAATTCAGTGTTTCTGCTTCGAAGAGCAGAGACTAGCAGCAGGCGAAGAGATAGATATGCCAGTGTTCTTTTTCATCGATCCTGACTTCGCCAGTGACCCCAAGATGCGCAACATCGATGATATTGTGCTACATTATACTTTTTTCAGAGCCCATTACGCCAACGGCGGTGCCGTTAGTGAAAGTGCAAGCCCCGAGGTTATGGATGCTACCAAACAGCCTCAATAAACAGCGGCGATGAAGGCGAACCTTACCAGATACTTGTAAATAATAAAAAAAACGTGTAGAATCTCTGATAAAAGATGAATGAAACGATGCATATGCTATTTTTTTTGGAAGGAACAATGAAGACCAGTCCTTATGTGGTGAACTCGTTGAGTGTTATTGAAGGACTGACAGGCGCTGACATAAAGCTGTCGGAGCTTCTACCCGTGTTGGTGGTATTGAGAGAGAGACGGGGCTGGTATAGTAGCTTGGTGCCCTCCTGACTGGTATTGTCTCTCTCTGGGGATTCTGATTTTGGCAGGGGTTCTTGGTAGTAGTGAATTTTACCATCGTCCGGGAATTTCATTGCTGTTGGCGACCGTGGATCCGCTCTGTCGGGTGAGAGCGAGGGCGATCCGTTGGGAGAGCCTTGGGTGTCCAGAGACAACTGAGGTTTTTTGAACGTGTGGAATTCCACATTGTCGATAGGGGATGAATCGTGCGATTTTGAACGAGGCTTCGCCAGCAGCGATTCTGTTAGAAACACTTTGATGGGTTTTTGAGAGGCAAGATGTTCGAGCAGAAATTCGTGCACCGTAAGCGTAGCCTCTTCCTGATCAAAAATCAGCACCACCCGATTTAGGAAAGCTAGAGGAGTATAGTATTGACAGTGCGATTTCAGTGAAGGAAACTGCTCTTCAAAGAGCAGTTTTTGCAGCTTTTGAGGCAGCCCATTAGCGAAGTCTTGATGTGGAATATCAGTAATGAGTATTTGGGTTTTTGATGCCAAGGGTTCAGTCATTTTTGGCCAATAAAGATGGTAAGTAAACGAGTAGTAACAAGTCGCACCTAATTTCAGATCTGAACCGAAATAAGACGCTATAGTGTGCTTATAAAGAGAAAGGTCTTTAGCTATTGCAATGGAAAGCCTTAGGTTTATCAGAAGAACAAGAAAGGCTTAGTTTATGTAGTTATCGAAATCTGATGTAATTTATTCAAGATTACCTTTTTTATACAAGACTTAATATTTATTTACACATGCTTTAAAGAGCTTTGTAAGACATGATATGGGTATCTACACGGCCTCTTAAGCATATGGAACCCGAAAAATACACCTAAATGCTAGTTAAACTGACTTCAAGTACCTCAAAATTTCCGGTTGTCAGGTAGCATCGTTATTGACTAAATGAGGCTGAAGTGAGATAAAATGCTGAGTTCAGCCTAGGAATTAGCGTCAAAATTTGCCTTTCAACAAGTGTAGATGAGCTACGGTAAGTTTGTAAACACGTAGGGAGTATTATGCAAATTAGGATGTGCCTTCAAAGGCGGTGCTACCTTCACCACTAAGCCGTCAAAATTGAATTTAATCAAATCAGAGAGATTCATTTCATTATTTTTTTCCCGTGCAGGAGACGGGCTCTCTCACCAGGACCCTAGATATCGCGAAGTATCAGCTTTGAGATAAGGAAGCTAGGCTTAGGCCAGTCGGAATAGATGTAGGCGGCTTTCAAAATATCCCGAGAGTTCCGCTACTGTAAGGAGGCTGAGTTTTGGATACTAAGAGCCATTCTGAGAGGAAACCTGGGGGTTTTGATTTGGTGATTTTATTCACTGGCAATTGCAAAGCGTTCATGGTGTTGGATATTATGTTCATTTTAATATGCTGGGGCCTTCCTGGCATGGCTGAGGGCTAGTTTCTGAGAAAACTGTTATCCGCGTCACTATAGTACAAAGTGATATGAGAGTGGTGTCAGATAAGTAGATAGTGACAAACCATGGCGAAAGTCGGGAGTGGCGTGCGTGTGAATGGAGACTGGGTGGTTAAGAGGTATTGCTGCTTCTCAGTCGAGATTGACCGGTGCATAGACGGCTTTGAAACACATTGCGATCCGTATGGTGTTCTCATCACGTGACTAAAAGACACGGTGCGACAAAGTGACAACCCGACGAAGCCGATGACGACACCAAAAACCTGCGGTCGCAACCCTCCAATTATTGCTGCTTAACCGTTTCGTTTTCGCCTTGCTTTTCAACGACAGTGCTGGAGTTAGTATCGGTCTTCTCTTGTATTGTATTATAATTCCCTTGAGGGCATTCATCTAGGTGTGCTTCCTAGCCCCCAATATCACGTGATTTCCTTTACCCAAAACATGAGACTGCTTGGGAGTCTACACCCAGACATTTCTTGAGCTCCATTTTTATTACATAATTCTAAAAATCTTGAGATTTCAAAAATGTCGTCCACAGCGATACATAGGTCACATGGGAACGCAAAAGATCGGACGCAATTTGTTTTTTTTTTGAAAAATGTTGAAAAAAGTTCCAAATCGTGATACACGAAAATTGTGTAGAATTCCATCCCATCGGTAGCAGGAGCACTCATTCAAAATTTCTTCTCCTCCATCGAGCTCATCTCCAGTTCAGTCTAGTTCTTGATATCCCACTTCATAAACCCATCGATCTAGCACCATGGCTTTCCTAAAGGACGTTAAGAGCTCTGCTTACCACTCTCGTTTCCAAACTCCCTTCAGAAGAAGAAGAGAAGGTAAGACCGACTACTACCAACGTAAGCGTTTGGTCGCCCAGCACAAGGCCAAGTACAGCTCTCCTAAGTACAGACTTGTGGTGCGTTTCACCAACAAGGACATTGTGTGCCAGATCGTGTCTTCCACCATCACCGGTGACATCGTTTTGGCTGCTGCCTACTCGCATGAACTACCACGTTACGGTATCACCCACGGTCTAACCAACTGGTCTGCTGCCTATGCCACCGGTTTGTTGATCGCCAGAAGAGCTCTACAGAAGCTTGGCCTAGACGAGACCTACCCAGGTGTCGAGGAGGTCGAGGGTGAGTACCAGCTGACTGAGGCTGTCGAAGACGGTCCTCGTCCATTCAAGGTCTTCCTAGACATTGGTTTGCAAAGAACCACCACCGGTGCCCGTGTTTTCGGTGCCCTAAAGGGTGCTTCCGACGGTGGCTTGTACGTTCCTCACTCCGAGAGCAGATTCCCAGGCTGGGACTTCGAGGCCGAGGAGGTTGACGCTGACATGCTGAGAACCTACATCTTCGGTGGTCACGTTTCCCAGTACATGGAGGAATTGGCCGACGACGATGAAGAGCGTTTCAGAGAGTTGTTCAAGGGCTACTTGGCCGACGACATCGACGCCGACAGTGTCGAGGACATCTACATGGAGGCTCACGAGAAAATCCGTGCCGACCCAGCTTTCAAGCCAACCGAGAAGAAGTTCACCAAGGAACAGTACGCTGCTGAGTCCAAGAAGTACAGACAAGTCAAGTTGACCAAAGAGCAAAGAAAGGAGCGTGTTGCTGCCAAGATTGCCGCTTTGGCCCAGTAAATGCAGTAGCGACTCGTCTTGCACGTCTGTCCGGGATGCTTTTTTTGTGTGTGTAACTAGCAAATCGCCAGTAAATATTGAAAAAGAGCACTTGTTTTCAAACGCGAGGGTGTCAATTGGACACCAATACCACTCAAATTCGAAGGTGTCGGACCCGATGGGGCCGCGCAGTTGTCGTTAACACGACGAGAGTGTTATTGCCAAGACATTCGATCATGTTGAACGGGTGTGTCGCTCTCTTGTCGACACTGTTCCATGATAACTTTCGCGCAGTACATCAGCTATAGTATGTTCCCCTGGAGAAGGAAGACCTATGAGGGCTCACATGCCTCTGTATATACGCCCAGCCATCAACTCAAATCGTGGTTCTAATTAATAATATCACTTCATACTATTCTGTCGTCGTCACTTCGAATTAATCTGTCATCAAAGCCTAATATCTCTATTTTATTGGAAACCTAGCAGACGAACTTCTCATTGTTATGTCTCTCTAAGAGCCTCTTTCTCGAGAGATCTACTGGTTACTATCTTAAGATTTGACCAAGAGCTCGAATTTACCTGTTATTCTAATTTATCTTTGTCTTCAGCAAATCCATCAAAAGTTGAACTATCATCCGTCCACTACAATTACACCGTCAAACCAGCAAAAAAAACTCAATGAAACCGCACATTCAGCTCCGATCGCGTACCATTAAAGCATCAAACTTTGACCCGACCACGCTGCGCCTCAAGCCGTGAATTGAATCTGTATCGGCCCATAACGAAATTCACGTGCTCAGTTTAATGCCATATTTCCTTATTTAAACCTCTATCAACCCACCTCTCCAGCTGGTGTCGATGGCCACCTACAAGAAGCGACGCCCTTCGCTTTACCTCCTCAAGTCCAATTCTAGCGCTCACTTCATGATGGCCCAAGGTTTCGAACTCCAGGCTCAAAGCGAAGGGTCCCGCTCTTTCGAAGATCTGAACCGAGATGAGGAAAACCAGCCAACCTCGAAGCTTCCGAGCTTCAAATACATTCACAGAAGGCTGTTACTATTTTCTGTGGCTATCTTTATGTCCTGGATACTGGTGGGACTCTCGGTGTGGCGATTTCAAAACTCACAGTTTCTTCTTGCGAACCAGGACCGAAATACGCAATACCAGAAACCTAGGGACAGATCCTTCAACATGGCCACCATCCTGAATGGCGAATTTTCATACCACGATGCTCCCTTTGCGTTTATAAAATCGGGTGCTCTATTCCAGGCTCCTGAGAACGACGCTGGGCTTTACTTAAGCATAGACGATAGCAATGGGATTCCCAAGTACGTGGCTAAGAAGCTCGCCGATAGAAGATTTTACCAAGATTTGAGTGGCAAAAGTTTTGAATACCGCAAGCAAACTTATGAAATCGCGAGGTTCACGGTATCCCACCGTTTGGACTATGCAGTAATGGCATCAAACCTGGAAAAACAATATCGTCATTCATCACAAGCTCAATACTGGCTGAAAGACATTGCAAAAAATATAATTACACCAATCACACCATTTCCTGATGATCCAGAGCATCCAAAGCTTTCATACGCAAGGCTGTCTCCTTCTGGAAATTTTGTCTATTTTGTCTACAACAGTGACCTGTACATTCAAAATGTTGTCAACAAAGCAGTGAGGCAGCTCAGTTTTGACGGATCAGAGCAAGTGCTGAACGGTAAGCCAGACTGGGTCTACGAAGAAGAAGTGCTCGCTACGGACTGTGCTGTTTGGTGGGCTCATGACGATTCGAAGTTGGTGTGGGCTCGCTTTGACGACTCCAAGGTTTTCAAAGAGCCAGTGCCAACTTACACCAACGACAATCCTTATGATGACGTTCAATACGTTGACTATCCTAAACCGGGAACACCTAATCCGGAAGTGTCGCTTTTCACCTACGATGTGAACACAGGAGCTTTGCATGCGATTACGCAGCCTGACGAAGAAACCAGAATTCTATATCATGCCCAATGGTTAGATGCTAGTAAATTCATGTTCAAGAATTCGGACCGCGCTTCTAAATCGCTGTCCGTAAAAATACACGACCTAGACTCCAACATGGTTACCACAGTGAGGGAGATCGACGCCTCGAGCTTTTCAGGATGGATTGAAAAAGTTCAAAACGTCCAAGTTATTCCCAGTAAGCCCTCTGCAGACAGGCCTGAAATAGGTTACGTTGACGTCGGGGTCGATGAAAAGGGATTTCCCCATCTTTTCTACTTCTCAAGTGTCTTTTCTGACGCGGGTCGTCAGCTTACATCAGGAGACTGGGAAGTGACTGGTGCTGGAATTGTTGGTTATGATTACGACACCGACGCAGTGTATTTTCAGGCCAACTTACAGAATAGATTCTCTCAACACCTCTACTCTGTCCACATTAGCGAGAGCTCCGACAAGGAAATCCAAACCCTCCAGGATCCTAATGAAAAAAACGCCATCTATGAATTTGACCTAAGCTTGAGCTGCAGATTTGGCGTCAAGCGTTACCGTGGGCCGGATTTGCCCATGTCCGATGCTGGAGATCTAGGATCTCTTTTGCAAAATGACGAGTCAAGAGCAGTGACTCAATTGACCAGCAATTCTGGTTTAATTGCAGCCGTGGACAAATTTGACATGCCTCTCAAGAATCAAAAAGCTTTGACATTGGACGACGGCGTCGAGATCGATTACATGGAAGTGCTGCCAATAGATGTGAAGTCCACAAAAAAACACCCTCTATTAGTTCACGTTTATGGCGGTCCCGGCTCGCATACAGCCGACTCCTCTTTTGCAGTTTCTCTGGGGGAAAGTCTAGCTTCGAGTGAAGGGGCTGTTGTATTGAAAATTGAACCCAGAGGCACCGGCGGTCGTGGTTGGAGCTACAGAAGCTGGTCAAAGGGCAAACTAGGTTTTTGGGAACCAAGAGATGTCCTCAACACAGTGAAAAAATACATGGCTATGAACGCCGACTTAATAGACCCAGAGCGCGTCGCAATCTGGGGATGGTCGTATGGTGGCTATGTGACTTTGAAGACCTTGGAATTGGACGGTGGACAGACTTTCAAGTACGGTGTCGCAGTGGCACCAGTCACGAACTGGAAGTATTACAATTCGATATACACGGAACGATACATGGGGGATTATGAGGAGAACAAAGAGAATTACGATCAATATGCACTAATAAAAGACGTCAAGAGCATTTCCAAAGTTCAACGACTCCTTCTAATGCACGGAAGCGCGGACGATAACGTGCACCTAAAAAACACTATGAACTTGTTGGATCAAATGAATCTCAATAATGTCCAAAACTACGATGTGACCGTATTCCCAGACTCTGAACACTCAATAATGTATCACAATGCTGGAAATGTGATCTACGAGAAGATGTTTCTATGGTTGAAAAATGCATTTGAGGGAAAACTAGATACTCTCGATGGATCATCAAAGTAATCGCGCGCTAACAAGGCCTTGATCGAAGTTCTTGTTTCTCAGGTTTAATAAACATTATTACTTGTGTCACTCGTATCTAAGTTTTGCGTTTTTTTGCGGGCGCTTTCTTTGCGCCAGGTGCCGCTCTCTTCTTCGAAGCTTTGGGCTTGCCCTGTTTGATGAGTTTGTCCTTTTTGAAATCGGTATCGTCCTTGGTTTCATCTCCCTCTTCTACGGGAGGAACGTCATCATCTGCATCCACAACATCCTCAAAATCAGGTGTTTGTTTTTGTCCGCCCCCAACAGCAGTAGTCGAGCCTGTTTTGTAAATAGCGACAGGATGAATCATTGCGTTATACTTTCGCGTGAAACCACTCTTAACTGCAGTGGGAATCTTTTTAATCTGAGCCTCAGTTTTATCATTTCCAATCATAAACTCCATAATAGAATCCCAATCTTCTTTCGATAAATAGTAGTCATCCATAAGTTGGATTACATCGCCAATTGCCTCGCTACCGTCTGTTGATAGCGGATCCAATAGTCTTCGCTTCAAAGTTGGCATGTAATCCATTCTCAGGCCTAGTTTGTTAGTCGACGTGCTCAACCGCGTATGATACTGTAACTCTTGCAGCAAACGTTGGTACTTGCCAGCCTTCGAATTTTGGCCTAGCCAAGAGGTGAAATTGATTCTGCCAGCCATCTGACCGGCAACTTTTGAAGCAGGGCGGACTGCAGACATAATTGCATGCAACGGTAACAGACTCCAGAGTTGTTCACTGCTTCGTATCTTTCTTTCGACAAGATCGCCTTGAGAAATACTCTCAGCTGCGTCCGCAACCGCCTCAAGATGACTTTGTCCGGATTTCAGCACATATGGTTTGGTGTGCAGGTAGTTTTCCTGTATCATCAATGGTGCGAAGTCAAAATCATCAAAGTACAGTTCCATTTTTTTGTAGAGAGGAAAAGACCTTGAGCCAACGTCCGAAAATATACGACCATCAAACAACTTATGCGTGATGTCAAATGGCTTCAAAGCGATGTTCTTTTCCCATGCTTGAGCAATTGCCTGAACGTTATCGTGTCCAATTTTTTTAGTGGTAGTTGATATTGTGGAAAGAAGATTTATAACTTGCCTGATATCGCCCCTCGTAGCTTCGACGAGCTTTTCAATGATGTTAGGGTCAAGCTGGAACTTTTCTCTAACAGCAATAGTCATGAGTCTGGCCTTGATGCTATTCACATCGGGTCTTCTAAATTGTATGTCAAGGCAGACTCTATCGAATGGTCTCATTTTGGGCGAGTTTCTTTCATTGCAGATCAGAATCATGGGCATAGAAGTTTTGCGGCAAAACAAAGCCATTTGACCCACGCCTCCTCGATCACCTCCACTCATACCATCAACTTCATCCATAATGATGACAAAGTTTTTCTGATTAGCATCCCCACCGTGCCGAGATTTCAGAGTGCCAACAATCGATGTGTTATCCAAAGCGTTTTTTACGCCGGCGTTCAGTAGCGACTTTGACCGCACGTCCGATGCATTTCTCTCTAGGACATCATAGCCTAATTCCTTAGCAACCAAATGTGCAGCGGTAGTTTTTCCAATGCCAGGCGGTCCATACAGCATTGCAGCTCTGAAAACACCCAGACCGTCTCTTCCGGGCTGTTTGAAGTCATTTTTTTTGTATTCAGACCAGTTGCTAAGCCAGGTTTTCAGCTTGTTTACACTTGTCTTATTACCACAGATGTGATTCAGCGATGTAGGCGCGTACTTGACTGTCCATAGCTTGTCTTCTTCTCTTTTCACTGGCTTTGAATCTTGAGGAGCAACTCCACTCTGCTGCAATTTCCTCAGCTTTTCTCTTTGTTCCTGTTCGCGCCTTTCCATATCACGAGCTTCTTTCTGAGCTGCTTCTTCCTGTTGCTTCAGCTTTTGACGAGCCTTTTCGGCACCGGCATTGTCACCACCTTCTTCTGGCATTCCCGAAACAAGCTGTTTAAACCCATCCTCATCAATGGCTTTAATATGCAAATCTTTTATCTTCTCAAGCTTTTTGGGCCCAGCTTCTTCTCCGAGCACTACCAATGACGTTTTGCTGGAAATAGACTTGGTGACACGAGCACCATAACGTTTCGCAATGGCTTCAGCGGTTCCTCTCTCCAAAGTGGGCAATTGACCAGTGAAAACGATAGTTAGTCCCAAGAGACAGTTTGGAGCGCCTTCTGGGAAATCTGCATCGTCTGGTGACGCTTGAGAGCCTTCAGTCTGCCCACCACCGCGAAAATCGAATTTTACGTTTTCCTTGACGTGCACGGCGTCCAGGTCCACAGAAGGTATCTTGCTCAAAAGAACTTGCAACGACATGGCCCCACTACTCTCAGTTTTGAGTTTTGCCGCTGCTTTCTGAGGCGATGAGGAGGCAAGGTGCTCGCCCTTTCTCGAAGATTTTGCACTTTTGACAGGCGTAGCTCTTTTCTTCGCCGGAGGCTTCTCATCTAAAATCTCCAATGACTCGCCCTGTTTAATAGCACTAATTTGCTGCGGTTCAAAGTCGTCGAAGTCGTCATCGGAGTCCACTAGATCGATTGGATTCGATGCGTCGTTTTGTGAAGGTTGTGACCTTATCTGGGCCGTATTTGCACTCCTTTTACGCCCAGAAACTCCTCCAGAAGAGCTTTTTTTGAAGAAAGTCTCAATATTGACCATCAGAGGCTTCAATATTTCAGATTCTCCTGTCTCGCTTCAACTATTCAACTTTTGATTCCCTGCTTGCTTGTTGAGATGCTCTGCTTGATTAATTTGACTTCATTTGTTCACCTTTTGAGCACGTGATGAGCTGTAGTTAAAGGTTGAAGGCGTTGGCTGGTGGTGTTTCTAGCCCTCAAGATCGCTTCAAATGAGTGCAAATGTGAGTTAGAGAGGCTCAGGTTTATTAGGGCCGTTCAGCGGAAAATTTGGCGCAAATTTCGGGCGAATACATGAAAAATCGGTAGAGAAAACGGAGAAAACGCGAATGATGGTTAGCTTAGAGATGAAAGTAACGACACGAGTTCTTCCCGCCCTTTGAGACATGGGCATGTAGCTTTTCATCTTTTAAATTTTCGTTCTCGGTTCTCAGCAGAAATTTGGCGACTCAAAACTTCGACATCTTTGAGTGACGGCAACAATAAAGTGATATCAATTAGCCACCACTTGGGACCACTTTCGCCACAACAATTGATCATATCGAATGCCTTTTTTGTCGCCCCTCTGTACGCTTTAGAACAGAAGTCGATTTCATCGTAGCAGATCAACTTTAATGCCGTCAGTGACGCTCGTAGCTAGATTTAATGATTTCCACTCAAGGCATTGAGAGTTCTTTCTGGAAACGTACCAAATGGAGTCAACTTTTCATGGCATACGTGGACGTACGATAAGCACAGAATATCTCTTTTTTGATATCTTGAGTTCGTTCATTCATTAATTCATTTATTCGCAAGCTATGTTTGTCGAGCACGAAAGACTCAGTTCGAGTAGGCTTCAACGGGTAGATGAAATGAAACACCACCAATCATTATATCTAAATTGTTCTCATCATGCTATCCATACGATTCCTAGCTCGCGCTCTTCCAGTTTCAAAGTAAATCTTGTGAAATACAGATGTTCTCTTAAGATTAACCTTCATTAAAAATAATAATGGGCTTAACAGCTATCACAACTTATTAAAAGACAAGAAAGGCAGGTCTTCGAGCCAACCAGTACTGCATTTACCACCTTAGACAATGGCCAAAGGTAAGAAGAAAGCAGGAAAGGCGAGTGGCACGCCAAAAAAGCCTGCAGAGCCAGAGCTTGTCGACAGCGAAACTAAAACGACATCTGACTCGATACTTGAAGACCAGGCTTCAAACATGGAAGAAGTCCTCGACGATGAACCTGGGGCCTCAATTGAGGATGACAATAAACAATTGAACGGTGAAATATTGCGGTTGCAGAAAGAGATCGCAGAATTAAGAGTGCAAGTTCAGTCTCAGCCAGAGACCAACGGTGCAGACGAAAACCTGAGTGCTAAACTCGCACAGGTTCAAGAGGAACGAGATCACTTTGAGCACCAGTACGACTCGCTTTTGGATCGACTGTCGTCCATGAAGTCTGTGTTCAGCAAAATGCGAGAGTCGCAGGAGGAGCTAGACTCGTGCCAAGAACAATTACGAGAATATGAGTCTCAAAACTTGAGCTTGAGAAACAAAGTCGATTCAACGAAACGCGAAAATGAGGAGCTTCGTACTTTGACTGGAACGCTTAATCAAGAGCTTTCCGGACTTGACGCCGAAAATGAGAAATTGTCCCACAAGTGCTCTGAAGCTGAGGACCAAAATACGATCTTTGCAGAAGACATTGATCGGCTAAAAAGAGATCATCAGAGGGAAAAAGAGCAATTAGTAGCTGAAAATGAGGAACTGGAGCTTGTGCTTAACAACCTAAAACACGATTCCACCGTCACAAAAGAAGAACTCGAGGATACCACTCAACGTTTACAGAAGATCGAGCTTGCAAAGACGAAGATAGAGAAGGAGCTCGCGGACCTGAAAACCCAATTCGAGCAGGAACAACTGGAAAACGTCAGAAATGGCACTGAAAAAGACAATTTGATCCAAGAACTCACAACCAAACTGGAGGAGGCCCAACAATCTAACGAAAAAACCCAGCAGGAATTAGCAACATCACAGTCGCAGGCCGCTGCCATGAAAAACGACGTCTCGCAGAAGGAAGCATTGCAGCAAGAATGCAAGGAAAAGGTCCTGCAGATCGGGAAACTGCGTCACGAAGCCATCATACTGAACGAGCATTTAACTAAGGCCTTGGCCATGCTCAAGAAAAGCAGCGACTCTGAAAACGTCGACAAAGAGCTCATCTCAAACCTGTTAATCTCCTTTGTGTCGATTCCGCGCGCAGATCCCAAAAAATTCGAGGTCTTGGAGCTCATTTCCAGTTTTTTGAACTGGGACGATGACAAAAAACAACAGGCAGGTCTCATCCATTCTGCAAATGGCACAAAGCCTGCAAGCGGAGGCTCAAGAACCCAGAATTTCGTCTCACTGTGGACAGAATTCCTCGAAAAAGAGAGCGAAAAATGATAGAGAGCTGGTGATGAAATAACCCCAATACCAAAAAACTCGAGACACCGCTGGCATGGCATTGCACCACTGCAATAGTCTCAGGTAAAAACGTTGCTTGAAAGCTGAAATCGTCAAATCGACGCGATTTTAGCTGGGAAGCTATGAACTTCATCTGCCTCACGTGCCCGTGAGCTGTAGTTTTATCATAAAGTTGGTCAAATTAACCATACTGTGAACAATTCAAAGCTTGTGCAGACACACACGAAAGGGGTTCAAGATGCTGAGAAGCGTATTTCTCAGGAGGACTGCGAATGCTTTGTGTCATCCAACTACGGTTTCCATAAGAGGTGTGAATTCCAGGGCCTATGTGGAATCGGTAGGGACTTTGAAAGCCGATCTTAAGAAAGCTATGTTGGCGAAGGATGATTTCAAAAAAACGACTATTCGCGGGCTTCTTTCTGGCATCAAAAACAAGGAGATAGATAGTCAAGGGAAATCGCTCGACGAGTTTGCGCTTCACGATCTGTATTCGAAGCTAATTGCGCAGAGAACCGAGTCTATAAAACAGTTCGAGCAGAACAACAGACCCGAATTGATTGACCGCGAGAGAAAAGAGGCCGAACTTATCCAGAGATATTTGAGCCAGCTACCAGTGGCGTCAAAGGACGAAGTCGATGGTCAGATCTTGACGCTGCTGCAGGAATTGCAGAAAACCGAGCCCTCACTACAATTGAAAGAAGTTTTTGGCAAGGTGGACTGGAAATCTGCGCCAATGGAATGGAAGGCCTCGGCTGCGATGATTAGGGCCAGTATAGCCTCGCAATACAAGAAAGTGTTTTGACCAAGTGAAGAAATTTCGAATTTTGACCACACGTTTCACCTTCACCTTCACCGACACATGCTGATCCTCCTTTAAATATACGTATGGGATCAACAGTGGCTCGACATGGACTGATTGCCATCAAGTGTGCAACGGGACAAAGAATCGTCGTTAGTTTCTTGGATTTTCAGAAGATGAGCCCAGAAATTTCAGTCCAGTTTTAAACCAAACTGAACGGGCTCAATTGAACACCGTAGAAACAGGGACGCAAAATAAATCATTTACTGATCATAACCCAACCTATGATCAAGATCAAGCCTGTAGATATATCGGTCCTGACCCAGTCTTATTGAATATATAATCACTGTACACGAAAGGCCTAATTTTCCTGATCATAATACTCACATAATAATATGATACTTCGACCAGCACAAGTAAAAGTCGCGATTTCTGTCGTTGAAGCATTCACACAACTGTCTTTCCAATGGTGGCCGTATGTTGATCAAATACTGGGAAATTAAGCTTTCTGTAGTACTAATTTGAGTAACAAATACTAACCTAGAACCTGCAATTTTAGTCAGTAAAACGTACTGTAAGAATCAAGACACAACAGGCGATTTTGCCAGATGTTCCGCCACCAGTGGAGAACTTTCCTATGCGCAAATGGAGCATTGAAATATTCCTACTAGATGAACAAGGAAACGAGATTCCAGCGACGATTTTCGACAAAGTTGTGTATCATTTACACCCTACATTTCCCAACCCAACCAGGACGTTCACGAAGCCTCCGTTCAAGATTGAAGAACAAGGATGGGGAGGTTTCGAGCTTCTTATAAGTGGCCATCTGCTCGAAAAAGGCGGAGAAAGAAAGCTCACGCACGATCTGCATTTCATGAAAGAGGTTTACGAGGCCGACCACGTTATTCAAATTCCCATCAACAAACCGCTGCTCAAAACAGAATTGATGAAGAGTGGGCCTGTAGACGAAGCTGCCGTATCCGCAGCTGGAACCCCGGTGTCGAGCACGGTCGGTGGAGGCGAAAAACGAAAAGCAGCATCGGCTGCAGAGTCAAAGAGCAAGAAAGCCAAAACCGGAACAGGCAGTGCGGTCAAGGGTAGCGTAGATCTGGAGAAACTCGCTTTTGGCCTCACCAAACTCAATGAGGACGACCTGGTGGGCGTCGTCCAGATGGTCACAGACAACAGAACCTCAGATATGAACATCACCAACAACATAGAAGAGGGAGAGTTTATCATTGACCTCTACAGCTTGCCCGAGGGCCTGTTGAAGAGTTTGTGGGAATACGTCAAGAAAAACACCGAATGAGGGGTTCAACCTACAAAATTCTCACTTTGCCCTGCATTTGGTGAAGAGCATAACGTATATATATCCAACCATTTTTCAAAAGGGCCATTGTGCTTGCGTCCAATGGTGGAACTGATCAAATTCAGCGTTGGAAAACACTAAGCAACAGTTGATAAGGTGACAGCTAGTGTTTTGACAAGCACTTCGCTCAGCTCAATGCTGATCTACTATGTAATTTAGAAATATAGAGAAGGACGAACAAAGTATGCACAGTATACGAATTCTTGATTTCGATTCTCTCAAATGATCACCATTCAAAGCTCTCGTCGACAGGAAGCTGGGTGTTCTTTGGGTTGTCCGATATGATGGGCATTGTATGTTTTTCTATTTGGTACTACATCTCGCCATAAAGTTTCTAAATCGTCCAGTGCTAACTTATTTTTAAGCCTTATGTTGAGCGCACGATACGCATCAAGACGAGACAATTCATAGTGGGCAAGCAGAGACCTGCGGATGGATTGCCACTACGAGAATGGCAAGTAGATCTATGGATCCTGACCCTGGATGGATTAGAATTACCGGCTAATGTATTCGAGAAATGTACATACCGACTGCATCCTACATTTCCACAGCCAATTCAAATCAAGACCGAACCACCATTTACCGTGAAGGAGCGTGGATGGGGGGAGTTCTCATATCCGATTCAGTGTTCATTTTTGCAGGGTGGTGGCGAGGTCGAATTCTTACACGATTTGTCATTTCAAGAAAGCACTTATCACAGCGATGTCCCTATCAAGGTGCCCATTCATATTCCGGATCTTCGCAAAGCGCTCGAAATCAGCGGGGCAGTACTGTCGACGACAGATGCTTTGATGACAGAATCAACTTGCTTGCCCAAGATTGACAGAAGCATAAAAAAACTGGTCGCAGGCGATGAGGATTTAGCTACGGACGTGATGAACAAAATTCTTCATCACCCGGCAATTTCTAGAGAAATTGAGAAGCTTCCACTCGAGGAACAATTTGTTTTTGATTTGCGGCAGCTCCCGTCTTGTCTATTGGAAGAGGTGATACATTTTATTGATCAAAGTGAGCAGTGAACCTCTTGACCCTCCTTGTGTGGCACCGCAAATCATAAAATGCCATGCTTCGCCAACCTACATAAACGTAGGTGACCAAAGTTTCAAAGTTGCATCCCAAGACCCGGTGCATACGGCTAATCCATCAGGACTGGTTTTGACCCCAGAGATCCTGCTCGAGTGGCCTTCCAGCTTTCCTACTATTTCTGCTTTGAGAGTATCCCATACAACACATCCATAATCCGTATAGCAAGCGTGCATGAGGCGACCAGATCCACTGAAATCTAAAGAGACAAGCCCTTGATTGTTAAGATATGTCGAATTTGCGCTCTGGGCGGCCCGAGATACGGACGCATTGGTCGCAGGAGACATGGCGTATTCCATCGAGGCGGCTCCGTAATGCTGTGTAGGGGAGTTTGCTTGTTGATGTAGGCCCTGACTCAGAGAATATTTCGCAATTGCGCAATCGCTTCGCAAGTCAAACATGCGAGCAACGCCATCGTCAGTGCCAGTGACAATAGCATCTCCGTTATTAAAGAATTTAATGGTGCTGACATCACTTTCACTTACAAAAAAGCTTTGAACTGAACTTCGTAATCTGGTGTCCCAAATATAGGCGTATCCGTCCGAACCACCACTGGCAAATATGTTGCTCTCGCGATTTGGTCTTCCGGGCGGGAGGGCTAATGCCAAAACATCACCAAGATGGTCTGAGAACTCAGTGACTCTTTTGGCTTTGGGAATGTCCCACAGTGCACAAGTCATATCACCACTGGCTGTTATTATACTGTTGTTGTCAAAAAATTCCACTTGAGAGACGTAACAGGTGTGTCCCTTGAATATTGATACAATTTGTTGCTGAACGCGATTTTCCTGTGACACCCGGTACACTGTGCAATTATTGGTTAACCCAGCGCTCGCAACTAGATTCCCTGTTGGACTAATGGCGCATGTAAGAACCCATTGCGAGTCCAATGGTATTGCGTTTTTTTTGAATCCAGAACAAGCATCCCATATGATCATAAAGCCATCTTGACTTGCACTGAGGATGCTTCGCGAGTCCAACGACCATGAAAAGTCAGATATTTTATTGTTATGTCCATTGAGCGTAAGATGAGTTGCTAGGTTTACGCCTCCGTTCTGCAAGGATGGTATTCCTTTGGACATCTGGGCCAAATCGGCGTCTCGAACTTTAAGCTTGACACGGTCAATAAGCATATGTAGCTGCCTTGTATCACTTCTAGCCAGTGCTATTTGTTCCTGAATCATCGTTTCGACATCTGTAGCCTGCGGAGAAGACTGCTTGCCGTAAGGCGACATTTCGTATCCATGCCAGTCCTCGACTACCATACTTTTCTGGGCTCTGGTAAGCTTTGTAAGTATTGAGAGAAGATAGAGTCTTAAATCTTCAATCTTTGAGGGGAAGTTGTCAGACCTTTCGCTGTAACTTAAACTTTTCAGGCGTGTAATCACGCCAAAAGGTTCCAGCTAGAAACCATCGACAGCAGTAGACTCAAGTCGCAGAAGTAACACCCCTTCTTCCTTAGCGGTCCGTTAGCTGTGACGCAACCTCAAAATGTGGAATTTTTGAGAAGTCCTTACGGCTGCAACGACGATGGTCTTCTAGATGGGCGTCAGTTTACCTTTATAGTGACCAGGACGGGTCTTCTGGCAAGGTATCTCGCCAAACCTCCAAATCCATCAATATTCGAACGGAAAGACGACTGTTTTGAAAAGTTAGCCTCCCAAGTCTTCTAAACATCTTTCGTGAATTAGACTCCTGGGCTCATATCAATTAAATGTGTTGATACCGGGCTTACTTCCTGTAGTTCTTGCAACAATTATGATGATTTCAATTGATTAACGCTGTCTTTCGACTCAGTTAAAGAATTATTATTCATTTCATGGGCTGTATGAGCTGTCTTTTTTGGGAGACGCTGAAGGCATTCTCCCAACTCGGCTTCTGAATCTTAGTCGTGATCTTTCATCTCTCTCTAAATCGCCTGTCACCTTCATCAAATAATCTGGCACTGAGAGGCCGCCTTTCAGAAAATACATTTTCCAGTTTCGCGCCTTGTCTTTCAACTGCACTTGTGTTCGCCTCTTCAAAGCTTCAGAACGACTCCCACCAGCTCCGTGTAGTTCAAGAATTTTTGACCAGGCCGGGCCGTTGGCCTTAAGAGCTTCAATGAGCGCAGCCTCTTCTTCCTTCGTCCACAATCTTTTTTGTTTGGGTCTTTTGTCGGTTTTAGGTTCTCGTGTCGAGACAGGTGGTTTGTCACTTTTGGAGGAGGGGTAAACCGAGCAGTCCAAGGATTCGGCCACCAGTTCGGAAGAAAGGTCTTGTTCCGCTGTAAGTCTGGCATCTGATGTTTTTGATACCGTAAGTATATCGTTGCGCATAGCTGATTCTGAGTCGCCATGATGGTCGTAACGATCGATGCCTCTTCTTCCCCACACCAGTAGACTGAGGTTTCGTTGGACATAGAAGAAAATTTCTTTGAAGAAGTCCAACCAGTCGTACTCCCGAGCCAGCTCGTCAAGAGATAGATGAGCCGCCAACTTTTCCCTTCTGTGCCAGCACCTTTTCATGAAATCTTCCTCTGAGGGACTCAGTCTGTTAGTGCGCAAACGCTTCTTGGCCAGCAAAAAGGCTTTCATATTTACGGGGAAGACTTGATCCAGTGTCTCTTGCTTTATGCGCGCCAATTCTTCCAGGCTGCATTCTTTCCAAGGCTCCATGGCAGAGATATACGCTTGAGTCTTGAGATTGAGATACAGAACGGCTTGAGGCTTCAAAAGCCTACCCAGAGACGTTGTCAATACTCGATCAGCCTCTGAAGGCAGCTCTCTTCCCTCGGGACAGAAAATGTCGATAAAATTCTCGTCCAAAAATGAGAATCCATATTGAAACCGGCCCATAAGTGACAGCAAGTATGTCACAATGTTGGCCTTTCGGATTGCAGCCAGAATCAAACTTTCTTTTGGTTTCAAGACGTAAGGACATTGTTCATCTGCAAGCCACAGACCCGGCGCGATGTCTCCAACACGCAGCAGCGGCAGGTCTGTGTAAACCTTCTTGACTTGAATGAACAAGGCAAGTAGTGTATCGAACACTCCTACCTCATGACTACCTCCCCTGTGAGGAACTGTTAATTGAATTAAGCTCTCCACACTACTCGTTTTTAGCAATTTTAAAAGCTGAGTGGAAACATTTTCCAGTAAATCGATGGAATCAATGTTCAGCTGGGTTTTAGGTGGTAAATCATTAAGAGACAGGTTAACTTTTATTTCATCAACAGTGTCAGTTTCCTGTTCCTCCGTTGATGACAATCCTGACATGTCTTCACCTTAAACGGAGTTGTTTTCGAATTATAAGCTGCCGATCTTCACAATTAAAGGTTTTAGCCCTAGGTTAGGGCAAGAACGATTGATTTTAGACCCATTTAAATTCTTCATTTCGAGAATATACGCACTTTTGCCCAGTGAGAGGAGAACGCTCATGGATGGATGAGACTGTTGATATTGGTCACGTGATAAAACTGGCACGCCAAAACTGTGAGATAGCTCCAGCGACTCAGTATTCGATATCTTGTGCCATCAGGTCAATTCTCTGACTGGGAGCTTTGCCAATACTTTTCAGTTCTTCGTTTTGTGCGGTACAACGGATTCAGCAACACAAATTATTACCGAGCAGTAGCGAGCGGTTGACAAAATGACGTTTGTTCGAAATATTAGTGCTCTGCAGCAGCTGTTATTCAGTGAGTTTTTGTTTCAGTATTTTGTTTTCTGCTAGTGAATTATTATTCTTTAGCGTATGGAAACGGTTTGGCAATTTTTCTCTAAGATGTCAGTTCTGAATACACTCCTGTCTTGATAGCTTCGTTAGAACCACAACCCGAATCTTGATGCTACAGCTTAGTACAGCTGCGATCTAGGTGGCATAAATCTTATAATCATCGAAATGATGTTTAGGATATCAATAGTATAATTCTAGCTTGGCTTTAATCTTGATAAATCGCACATCGTCAGCAAAGTTTCTAGAAACGTGAAATGAGCTTCCAAGTGGAGATTTCGAGTAGTCGTCTCGACACCAAATCAAGCTCCCAACCCAACTGGCGTAAACATGTTTATAAAGATACTGATCGTCCCTCAATTAAAACATCCTTCGAATTTCAGCCGCCCATGTTACGTTCAAGCACATGGTTGGAAACAGAGAAGAATCTTCTCTCTCTTTCAACAATCTGCCGTATCCGCAATCTGTCCAGGAATCACTCAGTGCTCTGCTCTCCCCTCACAGGTTTGCTACATTTGAGATTCCGGTCAATGGCATGTAACCCATATTATGTAGAATAACCGGTGCGTTGCAAAACCTCTTCTGATAAAAGCCATTTACATGTTGTGAAAGTTGCTGCTCTTTTCATAGTCTTTCAAATGGCAACAGGTAGCTACTGGTGTGCCAATATGATCGTGGGAAAGTTGTAGAGAATTTAAGATTTTGGTGTAATTTGACGCTTAATATATAATATTTTAGGTAATTTGTTGAAACATGTTGGACGCCGACAGACCACCAACATTGCCTTGTGCGATGTTCAATCAATTATCAGTTGGCCATACCTATCGTCATCAGTAGAGATGAATGCAAAACAAAACTCTCTTTCGTCGTTTAATTTCTAGCTACCATTCATTTCTTGATTCTCTGTCATTAGACCTCAGAAACGGCACCGATTTGGAACTGGAGAACAACAAGATTCCACAACATAGTCGTGGTTTTAAGGAAAGGTGTGAAAGCTATCCAAACAGGAAATGGGCATTTCCAATGAAGTTAAATCGAGTTGTTTGCAAATGTCGAGACAAATCGTCAATTAATTGATAACCAAATAACCGAAAAACTTGAGGTTTTAGTTGATTTCAGAAAGGTTCACATCTGCAGTTTGCACACCTTCTGTGATGCAAGCAGCAGTTCAATTCTCTACTCATCGTGCCGCTAACGAAACGCAACTGACAAGAATGAATGAACAAAGACGAGTAATAAGCCGATACTTTCTAAATTCAACTCAAATCAATGACCGTAAGCCGGTGATTATAAGAACGACAACTTAGCACAACTTATATCGACACACTGGAACCTCCTGCGCAAACTCTCTTGACGGTATGGTCAGAAAAGCATGAAGTGACAGAATCAATAAAAGCGACGTCATTACAATGTCATATAAACCGCCTAGTATCTGTATAACATAACTGTTTACAGGTGAAGGCCCTTCGTGGCAGCTGTGTTGAACATCGCCTCTCGCTGGATATCCTTCTGGAGCATATTTATATATTTTTGCATTTGAACAAAGAATGCTGACATCTTATTTCGTGACACTCAACAGTGGCAGGAAGAAACCAAAACGAGGCGACGACCGGTAAGATTTTTAGAATACCGCTTCAAAAGCACTGTCTATGTTTGATCTTGAAATAGCTCTCAAGAGAAAATTGCTTGTACATGATTGTCAAAGGTTTGTTAAAAAACACTCAAACCATCCTGTGGCTCTGAATTATAATCCTACATAAAAATACATCATTTTGGACCTGGTGAAGGTCCCCAGTCTCAAAAAAGGTAGCACCTCTGAAACACAAGATGCAATCCGCCAGCATGAACTAAACACGGTCCAAGCTAGAGAGTACAGAGCAAGCAAGACTTCTTGCGAAAGTTAATTTCTCTGGAAAACCTGACATATCAGGCGGCCGCTATTCTCCGGGCAGTGGACCTCACGGGCTTTGTAACTGGCTTTGCCATGAACCTCGTAGCGGCTTTTTTAGACTGGACTGCTGGTTTTTTGGTGACTTTATTGGCGGAAGACGACTTTGAGGAAGCGGAGCTTCTTCTTCTTTCCCTCACTTTGGGCGTTTCTTCCTCCTTGGACTTTTTGTTGACTGATTCTCTTCTGCGTTTAGTGGGCTCGCCCTCTTTCTCCTTAACAGCGGTACGGGCTTTGGATTCTGGGTGCTCAGATTTGGGGTTCGTGGGTTTCTTCACTACCTTTAGAGGACCAGAGGGTCCTTTTGGTTGCGAGAAGTCACCAGACTCGATCCCGCGCCTTACTGCGAGATTGAAATGGTTTTCAAATCCTTCACCCACCGCATATTTGCCTGCGATGTGTTTCTTCAGAGCCTGGCGACTCGATCCGTTACGTTCACTTAGGGACGCAATACCCTCCATAATCATTTCTGTGCGGGTACAAACAGGTTAGTATGCGTTCAAGTAATTTTTGAAAGCCGCGATGCACTGCACTTAAAACGTACCTTTATAGGTGGGTAGTGGACTCTTGGCCTTGGCCGTAGGTTTCGTGACCTTTTTATTTGTAGTCTTCACTGCGGCCTTTTTGGTGTCTTTGGAATTCATCTTTTCAGCCGAGGATTTTGTGTTGGGCTTTGTGCTGGATTTTGGCGATTTGCTGGTTACTCTAGAGGGCATTTTTGAGTTACGATGTCTAGGTTTGTGATGTGTTGTGTGATGTTGAGATAGCGATGTCAGAATATTTGTTTTTTGGGAACACCTCCCCCTTGAATACTTTCCTGATCACCAAATTTGGCGTCTGGTAAACATATAAAAATCAAAGGATAGACCGTGAACGGCCATAAACGATCGAGCATTTTGTGTGAATTTTGTTAATATTATCTTGGAATGCACACATTTTCGGGGTAGAATTTTGAGTGTAAAAGGCTGTGTTTCCACCCGTATCGTTCTTCTTTGAATTTTAATTTTAAAAATGCATTCTCAAGCTCCGAATCTCTTGTACGTCCAGCAAAAAGACCTTACAACGCAGGTTGAATTTTGGCATTAAAAAAAATACTTACAACACCATAGACTGCTTAAAAGCGATTTCTCCTTACCGTTGTTGTTCAAATTAATATATAAACACGCGTGTGAAGTAGGCTATCTTAGTAAATTTCAGTCCGTTCAATTATTCGGCCTAGAGCTGATTCAAAGTTTGGCTAAAATACAAGAGTTTTCTATCAACAATTGCTGGAAGCCCCGCCATCGACCGACTCGGTAGCATCGGTCTTCAGATTGTTCTGATTTTGGTGACACAACCGTGCAAAAGTACCCTAATAATCTACACGAATTAGCTATATGATGGAAGGATGAGCTTGATCTCGTCTTTGTTAAGACATTCTCTAAGATACGAGCCTCTCCACTAGCTTATTCCCAACTTAGCACGATGTTGAGATCTTCTAGAGGAGTTGCACCAACACCGCGTGTCGTTATGAAAGTATTCCTGCTTCGAAGCTTTCATAATGGACCCCTCAGGAGGGTTCATCCCACATCGTACTACCATTCATTTGTGCGACCTTCCCGGTCCATGTATTTGTCCCAAGAACTTATTCACCAGCTTGCACACCGCAGATTTGCGTCTTTTTTCCCAAAAGTGCTTGCTCGAGCTGTGAAAGTACCTGCATACATCGGTGGTGGAGCAGCAGCTGTGAGCTCCTACGTTGCATACAAAGTCGAGGAAGCGACCAACTTTTCACACGAGAAGCTCGCACAGCTCAAAGACTTTGCTCACAATATCAAAAGCAAGCTAAGCGACGCTTTTGGAAGGCATGACGACTCAAATAACGACGGTGGTGGTGGCAAAGAAGAAAACGCCGCTACAGCAGCGCTGCTGGCGTCCATGAGTGGTGGTGACTCTGGAAGTCCAGGCGCAGGTGGAAAAGACGAAGATGAAGATGGTGAAGAAGACGAAGGAGAGGACAACACCGAATATGAGATCTTAAATTTGACCAAACAGATGATCGAAATACGAGCAATACTTAACAAGGTGGACTCATCTTCAGCTAATCTAACGCTACCATCAATTGTAGTGATAGGCTCACAATCGTCGGGTAAATCCTCTGTCCTTGAGTCTATTGTCGGTAAGGAGTTTCTGCCCAAAGGATCTAACATGGTTACAAGAAGGCCAATTGAGCTGACACTGGTCAATACCGCTGGCGCGACCGAAACCACCGCAGATTTCCCCTCACTACGTGCTTATAACATCAAGGACTTCAACGAAGTCAAAAGAATTTTAATGGAATTAAACATGGCAGTACCGTCGAGCGAAGCAGTCTCTGCAGACCCCATTCAGCTCACAATCAAATCGTCGCGTGTTCCGGATTTGTCTTTGGTTGACTTGCCGGGCTACATACAAGTGGAAGCGGCAGACCAACCGTTGGAGCTGAAGTCCAAAATTCGTCAACTGTGTGAGACTTACTTGGCTGAACCAAACATCATATTAGCAATTTCTGCAGCAGACGTCGATTTGGCGAACAGTAGTGCTTTGCGTGCTAGTAAAGTTGCTGACCCTAAGGGCACAAGAACAATCGGTGTTATTACCAAGTTGGACTTGGTAGACGCGGCACGAGCTCGGGAAATCTTGAATAGTAAAAAGTATCCTCTAAAAATGGGATACGTTGGTGTCATTACAAGAGCACCCACAGCAACTTCCAAGTTTTTCGAGGCCAGTTCCAAGCAGGGGCTTTTCGCTCGCAAAGATCCAAAAGAGACCGAGGTTGAGCACACCCGCTCGTTCGAACGGAACTATTTCAGAGAAAACAAAGCTGCTTTTGCCAATTGCCAGGTTTCCACCAAAAAGTTGAGGGAAAAGCTTATAAGCATTCTAGAATTTTCTATGTCTGAGGCCCTAGAGCCTACGTCGCGGCTGATTCACCAGGAGCTCGATGACACGTCTTATTTGTTCAAGGTGGAATTCAACGACCGTCAACTTACTCCTAAGTCGTACCTGCTGAATAATGTGGACGTTTTGAAGCTTGCTATCAAAGAGTTGCAAGAGAAATTCAATAGATATGAGCTGAAATCCATCTTGAAGGCAGATTTGGATCAACGTGTGTTAGACCTGCTCGCGACAAGGTACTGGAAAGATGACAACCTGCAAGACTTGACGGCAAAGAAAACAGATAAAGATGAATCCTCAGCTTTGTACTGGCACAAAAAGTTGGAGCTATCTTCAGGCAGCCTAACTAAAATTGGAGTAGGTAGGGTCTCGACATCTTTAGTGACCAGTGCGATTTTGAAGGAACTGGAAAACGTCTTGGATCTGACGCAATTGAAGAACCACGATTTGATCAAGGAATTAGTGAATAATACTGCGGTGAATGTGCTGAACGCAAAGTACTACTCGACAGCAGACCAAGTTGAAAACTGTATTAAACCTTTCAAGTATGAAATCGACCTTGAGGAGCGCGATTGGTCCCTGGCACACGAACACACTACAAAGCTGATCAGAGAGGAAATTCGACAGTGCAGTGAAAGGCTGCAGGCTATCAAAAACATGATCGGAGGCCGGAAACTATCGCAGGTAATGACGTATTTAAAACAAGATGTGGGACACCAGGAAACATTAGGGTTTTCTGCATTGTTGCTAGAACGGGGGAAAGAAGCTGCGTTTCTGGAGAAGCGATCGCATTTGCTAAATTTTAGGCTGAAGATGCTAAAGAACAAGTGCCACTCGACTGCAGACAAAGATCTGTGTCCAGAGGTTTTCTTGAACGCTGTGAGCGACAAACTGACTTCGACCGCGGTTCTGTTTTTGAACGTCGAGCTTCTCAGCGACTTTTTCTACAATTTCCCGATCGAGTTGGACCGGAAACTGACAGGACTGTCGGACGAGCAGGTGGAGCTGTTTGCGAAGGAGGATCCTCGCATTGCACGCCATATCGACCTGCAGAAGCGTAAGGATCTTTTGGAGCTAGCCCTTGAGCGTATCGATTCGATCTTGATGTACAAAAGGAGCTACAAAAACGCCAAAGGCTGAGCCAGGGTGCTTGTACGATGACGTTTTTCGAAACACAGTCCTGTATATACAAACAACGTATACTAATGATGAAGACGACCTGTCTCGCGAAGTCGGTGTGCTTTGCTCTGTGTGTGTGTGTGTGTGTGTGTGTGTATGTTTCATTTACATTTCTGTTCCTCTTATATCCTACTATACAGGTGACGTCTGCTTTCTCGCGACCGCTTCTCAATTGATCAAGCAATAGCTACAGAGAAAACTCAATTTGTTCACTTCTTGCTCACTTCTTCGATTCCACCATCTAATCGCGCTTCTCGAGCGGATTGTATCTCAAGAACTTCTCGATCAAATCCACATGCGTCAAGATCATACGTCTGCAACAGTATCTCTTGAGTCCTAATCTAGAAAGTGCTGTTCCCTCGTCTAGCTCTTCTTCTTGTAGCATGTTCAAATACGCTTCCCATTTGTCGCCCACGACTTTTCCGCACGAAAAACATCTCACTGGGACAATCATCGTCTCGAATATCTACAGACTTCCAACAACTAAGTCCTAGAAACACCCTTTGGAGTCCACCTTCTATAACCAAGCTTAAGTATAGAATAGGTGCTCTTTCTCATCTCTGCTCATCGTGAACTTGAAAGTTTTTCGATATATTGACGATTTAGTACAAAGTGACATCACCAACTTGAAATCTGAAAAATTTTTGGATTTCAATAGGCGATGAGCTACAAATCGAGACTTTCAAGTAGAGTAAACAGTGTGGAAACGCGACCTTGGACCAGTTGAATTCGGTCGTTATAGTTGGTGTTAATATGGTACAGAGTGTGCTTCACCAGAAATACAAAGTTGGCGTTGTTTCGGGCGGAAAAGTGGTGTTTCCACGGTCCAGCAACAGGTCGTGCAGCGCGAAGACGGTGACGCTTCTAACGCACGACCAGAGCGGGGTGATCGTGCCGTTCAATAACCAGCTGAAGATCTACTCCCTCGAGACACGTCAGTGTGTCAAGACACTGAAATATGCCAACAACAAGCAGCTCACGGAACAGTTTTTGGGTCCCACAGCAGGTCAGGTGTGCGACCTAGCACTCGGGGACGTGACCCAAGAGCAGCAAAAGCAGCAGGAAGGTTTGGAATCGATTGACGATCGAGAAAAACACATCAGTGTGTTTTCCAGCTCTGGCAGCGTGACAGTGGTCAACTGCAAAGGTCGTCTCGTCGAGGAGGCCAAAGTCGTGGAGCTGGGTGGCAGCTTCGCACACAACGAAAGTCTCGTGAAGGTGTTCCAAAACGATGCCAAGACCGTGCTGAGAGCGCTAACATCGGCCCAGGAATCGTCCACTGCCTACACGTACAGAATGTACGATTACAACAGAACTGAACAAAAGCTCGTTGAGTGTCGAAAAATCGAACACGTCTTGCTCACAGCGTGGTCCGCAAACGGCCAGCATTTGTGTGCACTCACAAAAGACCAGAGCAGCAAAAAGGTCCTGACTCTGTGGTCTGTCTTCTCCTCAGACAGCAGCAGCAGCAGCTACGATGAAAACGAGTTGCAACTGCCGCTCCCCATAACATCCAGCTCTGCGAATGCGTCTCCAAATTCGCAGTTTGTAACCGTGATGGCGCTCGACAACAACTGCACCCAGCTGGCAATTGGGTTTGCCTCCGGTGTTATCAACGTCTTGAATCTACAAGACCATTCCAGTCGACTCCTCAAATGGCACATCGACTCGGTTCTTTCGCTATGTTTCACCCCGGACGGCTCGTATCTTCTGTCCGGTGGATGGGAGAAAGTATTGAGTCTCTGGCAATTGTCCACAAATTTGCAGCAGTTTCTACCCCGCTTGAACGGTGTTGTGGTCGACTGCGACATCGTCAACGACAAATTCTACAGTTTGGGCCTACAGCTGACAGAAAATCAAACGAGTTCGGACTATCAGCTGCTGATACTAAATTCGACAGATCTGAACTCAAGAGTCTCTGTTAGTGGTCCTCTCTGCGTATATCAAACAGCCATAAAAGACGTGGTTCTCCCCATGTCCGCTGTTTCTTCTAAAGCGTCTGCCCTGCCATCGGATGTGGGCAAGTCTTCCAAAAAGCAGCAAAGAAAACTCAAGCGCAAGAGACAAGACTATAGCTCTATATTCGAGGTGCAGCCCAAAACTAAGCATCTGTACTTCCCGCACATCTCAGCCGTGCAGGCCTACGATTTCTACAAAAACGAGCAAGTGTCATACCAATATCTAGCATCTGGCGTTAACAATTCGATGGGTAAAGTAAGGTCTGAATTGAACCTAAAGGAGCCTACTATAGCGGATGTCAAGTTCACCAAGGATGGGAAATGGATGATTTCCCACGAGATTGAGTTCTCTCCCGACAACTTGCTATCATCAAACGACCTGCAGCATGTCTTAAAGTTTTGGCGCGGGTCTGAAACCGGGGACTGGGTTTTGGAAACCAAAGTCATCAGTCCTCACGGGGTAAAGGCACCTGTGACAAGCATTTTGGTCGCACCCAGATCTGTGAACAACTCCTACGGGTGTCTGACCGCTGACAACAACGGTGGCCTCAAATACTGGTTCTACAACGAGAAGGTCTCTAACTGGCAACTTTCCAAAGTAAGCTCCCCCAACAACAATCATTTCAGTAATTCTGTTGAACTGGCTTGGTCTATTGACGGAAGCCTGATATTTCATGCATTCGACGACAAAGTCACCGTCCTAGATTTCAACACTTTTGGGAAGTTCAAGAAGGACTCCGAGGGCGCATTTAACGAATTCACAATGGATTCTTCGGTTCAATCCCTAATGCTGGTCAACGATTCAAACCTGATAGTTGCGACTCAGACGACCCTGAACGCGGTAAACTTGCTGCTGGGCGAAGTTGAAGGAGCATTTGATTTATTTCCGTACGTCAACGGCGTTTACAGAAACGGTCATTTAGCAAGGTTGATGAGTTGTGACGAGAAAAACGGTCGCATAGGTTTTGTCGTAAATCAGCAGAACCCGGACGACAGCAAACAACTCCCTGCAAAGCATACATCTCGCGTTCTTGTCTTTAACGCAGATTTGACTCAGAGACTCGGCTCATTTGTACACGATGAGTACATTTCCTGCATTAGATGGAATCACGATACGGATTTCATATTTTTGGATGTCAAGAATAGACTGGGCGTCGTTAGCACTACTACTAGCTCTGAAATGTTCGAGGAGGTCGACAAGGATGCAGTTCTGGACCAATTGGGCACCAGTCGTTTTGAATCGGAATTAAACAAATTGGCAAGCTCCAAAAGGAATGCTGCTGACGGTATCGAGGAGCACGAGGCAACGGAACAGGAGGAGGCAACGCTCGGTTTCATCAACGGAGAAAAATCTCAAAAGCTACTAAACATGAACAGCTTTACCAGCATGTTCGAGAATCTGGAAAATGTTCAAATGGACACATTTTTTGATAGAATATTAAAAGTAATTTCATAGACTTAAATCCAAGCAATCCATCACCACCATTGTCTTCGAATCTAGCGTTAACAACATATCCTGGCCCGTCTATGTGAGTCAGAACCCTGTTCTTATATTCGGTGACACCTTTATCACCGAGATGACTACAAAGTACGAAATGATCAATAATGATAACTGTAGCTAAAAAAGTGAATAACATAAGTTAACCAAATATCAAGAGATATTCGAACCAAATAGCCAGCTTGGTGGTCCCCTCGCACCTCATCGACATGTCTAAACCAATTATCGAGTCCTTGTTGGACACGGACATGTATAAACTGACTATGCATGCTGCTGTAGTTCAGAACTTTCCCGAGATCGAGACAGTGTATAAGTACACCAATAGATCTCCGCAGATGACATTTAATCAGGAAGCTGTGGCCTGGCTGAGACAGCAGATCTCATTGCTTGGCGAATTGCAGTTTAAAATGGAGGAAATTAGCTATTTGAAGCAGGCAATTCCCTATTTACCCGAGGCGTATTTGAAATATCTGTCTAGAGGACAAGTGTCTCTCCGCCCTGATGAGCAAATCAATTTGTCCACAGAGCCAGCTGGTGAAGGAGATGCGGTTCATTTGGATTTGCAAGTGCGTGGTTTGTGGAAGGACACAATTCTTTACGAAATCCCACTTTTATCGTTGATCTCGGAGGCCTATTTCAAGTTCGTCGACACGGATTGGAACTACGACAATCAGGCCAAAATCGCTCGTGAGAAAGCTCACAAGCTTATTGAAAATGACATCAATTTCAGCGAATTCGGAACCAGAAGAAGAAGGTCTAGGAAAACCCACGACTTGGTGATGACAGGTATAATGCAGGCCGTGAGGGAAAGCGGCGAAAAGGGGCAGAAATGCTTTGCTGGGACGTCCAATGTCCTCCTGGCCCAGAAATATGGCGTGAGACCCATTGGCACTGTTGCCCATGAATGGATGATGGGCATAGCCTCCATCACAATGGACTTCGTGAATGCCAACAAAGACGCCATGGATTGCTGGATAAAGACCTTTGGCGGCGCAAATGCCGGACTCGCGTTGACTGATACGTTCGGCACTGACAATTTTCTGAGATCGCTCAAACCACCATACTCCGAATTCTACATTGGCGTGAGACAGGACTCGGGAGACCCCGAGGAGTACACCAAGAAAATTGCACACCATTACACGAAAGTATTGAAATACCCACCTTTCTCAAAAGTGATTTGCTACTCGGACTCCTTGGACCCTCAGAGGGCCATTGAATACGCGCAAATTGCCCACAAATACGGTCTCAAAGCGACTTTTGGCATTGGCACCAATTTCACAAACGATTTCCGCAGCGTTGGGAACCCAGCTCGCAAAAGCGAGCCTCTCAACATTGTCATCAAGCTACTAGAAGTAAACGGGAACCCTGCGATCAAAATCTCGGACAATATGGGCAAGAACATGGGCGATCCCGAAACTGTTCGTAAAGTGAAAGAACAGCTGGGTTATACAGAGCGTGCGTGGGCAGGCGACAATGAGGCTCATAGATGGGCCTCCTAGCCAAATATGAAGCTCCTAAATCGATAAACAGCCTCAACTACGCTCAAACTAGCCAACTCTGACGTTGGCAGCTCCACCGTCTACTGTGATACTCAAATTTTATGGCAGGGGACCTAGTTTAGCGATGCCCAACTTGCTAGATCGAACTTCACCATATGTAACATACGCAATTGAGCTTAACTTTGATCTCATAGGAGCCTTTTGACGGCACTACGGCACGCTACCATGTCGGATGGAACTCGCAACTTAAATGAGCTAGATTTGGTGCAGGTCTTGGAGCAGGCTAGTAATGCAAGAAACGCGGGTTCACAAGTTCAAAAAGCTGCAGAGTTGCAGTTGAAGTCGTGGGAGAGCCAGAAAGGCTTCCATTTCTTGCTGCAATCAATTTATTTGGACCTATCTTGTCCTCTCAACATCAGATGGCTGGCCATTATCCAGTTCAAAAACGGTGTAGAGAAGTATTGGCGTTCTACGAGAGTGAATGCGATAGCTAAGGATGAAAAGGCGTCGATCAGAGCTCATTTGTTCGATTTAATCAACGAGAAGAATAACCAACTATGCATACAAAATGCGCAAGCGACAGCCCGCATTGCTCGCCTGGATTTCCCCGGTGACTGGCCCCATCTTTTCGAGCAACTAGAACAGCTTTTGGGAAACGAATCGATCTGGCAAGACGCTGTCAAAGTGTATAATCTTCTGCTGATAGCCAACCAAGTGGTCAAAATCATGGCCACTGCTCGAATCGGCAGATGTCGTCCAGCAATGCAAAGTAAAACGCCTCTGATCTTCCCTTTGATAGTGCGGACGTATTTGAAGGCTTTCAACGACTGGACAACGTCAACCAATGTTGACGAAGACAGCTTGACCCAGATTCAGGTGTCGTATCTGGCACTAAAGGTCTTGAGACGGTTGGTTGCAGAAGGATATGAATCACCTCATAGAAATGAGCCGGTTCGTGAATTTCTTCAGATATCCGTCAACCATTTTGAGCTATTACTATCGCATTACAACAATTACAGGAAGTTTGATTCTTACGAGAAATTTGTGCGCTGCTACGGCAAGCTTTACTACAACATTATGTGTGCTTCTCCATCAAACTTCATTCTACTGCCATGTTCTTTGCAAGTTTTGGTTACGTTCACCAAATTGTTGATGGACCGAGCACCAGATGTCTATAACGAGAATGCAGACCTGAATGGCGATTTTTGGGAACAAATAGCCATTCGTGGATTTCTGCTTTTGAAGAGGCTCATCAATTTCATTCACAAGAAAGGCGCTGTAACGATCAGGGCAAAGAATGACAAAGCAGAAGTCGATGCAGCCATCAGACGCATTTCGACGGACTTTTTGAATGAACACTTGATCCAAAGATGGGTTGATATGCTTATGGAGTGGTATATTAAATTGAGACTTCCGGAGCTCGAGAACTGGGCTCTTGATCCAGAAGAATGGATGAATGAACAACTTGTAACAAGCTATGAACATCAAATAAGGCCGTGTGCCGAGAACTTTTTCCAAGATCTAATAGCCACTTTCCCACAACTTCTCGTCCCTTATCTGCTCAATAAAATTCAAACTGATGTTGGCACCTTGGGATACGGCATGGAAGACCTGTTGAACAAAGATTCCATTTTTGCAAGTTTCCAACTAAGCGCAAGCTCCATTAGTGAGTCTGTTGATTTTGATCGTCTTTTTGTCGACGTCTTTATACCAGAGGCAACAAGCTCCCAAGTTTCGCAAGATCACTCAAAAATACTGAAAAGAAGAGTTGCCCTTGTCATCAACGAATGGTGTTCTGTGAAGTGCTCGGAAGAAAGTAAACAATTATGCTACAAACTGCTGCTGAAGCTTATTACAGAAGAAAATGACAAAGTCATCCAGCTGACTTCCGTTCAAACTCTGAGGACGATGGTTGATGACTGGAATTTCGACAAGAATTCCTTTCAGCCTTATCTTGAAGATACTGTTTTTGTCTTGCTCAAGCGATTACTTCCATCTGTCTCTCTGACTGAAACGCGTCTCTACGTTTTGAATACATTGAGTGATGTCATCATTCAAACGAAACCTCTGATCAGTAAAACTCAGTTGGTGGAAATTCTGCAGATTGTTCCGGATTTGTGGGAGATATCTATAAAGGATCCCAGTGAAGCTATTCTGACAAACGCTCTGCTGAGACTTTTGCGTCACTGCGTCGATTCCTTGGGCAAAAACTCCCCAGCCACTTGGCAAATCGCTTTACCTATTACGCAGGCTGCCTGTAATCCAAGCTCTCCTCAGTACTCTCTCCTGTATGAGGATGGGTTTGAGCTCTGGCAAAGCCTGCTACAAAATTGTCCTTCAGAAAAACAAGTTGACAATGCCTTTTTGGAATTGATACCACTTTTGCACAATGCCATTCAAAATCAAACTGAAATACTTCCTACGCTTTTGGAGATTGTAAGGAGTTATGCCTTATTATTGAACGCGGAGCAATTTCGGCAATTTGAGTCGCTATCTTTTGTCGTTTCCTACTTGTCGAAATATCTCCTCAAGCTTCGGGACGATTCCTTCGACCTGTTATTGTCGATTCTCGATATTTTGGTTTTAATTACAAATCAAGAGAATCTCAACTCCCTGCTGGACTTTTTCCTAGACTCAAAGGTTTTCGATGCAATCTTCGATGTCTTATTTAGAGAAGAACAAGTCTCCAGTTTCCAGGCGGGTCAATTGCTTCAAGTAGTTGCGAGAGTCGCTTTTGTCAATCCACAATCGATCCTGCAGATTTTGGAGGCGTTTTACTACCAGCTTCCAAGCTCTACAGAAAACTCCTATCTTCCATTGGAGCAAAGAAAATCTGTGAACAGAGACTTACCCTTTGAGGATGTTGTCAACAAGTTTATCACCATATGGATCCTTTGCTTTAAAGACTTTTACGATCCCAAGATTAAAAAAATTCATACCCTTGGAGTTTCATCGATGTTGCGAACATTAGCTCTACCTGTTCTTGCGGAATTTCCCAGTTTGGCTTCGCTCTGGGTGGAGTTCTTGGAGGAAACTAACGAAACAGCTGGCGGAGACTGCGAGAAGTTTCATTTGAAAGAGAGTACTTACACTGGAGATGCCAACGAAAATGAAGAAGAGTACCCGCCTACGTGCGAACAATTCCGTTTGATTGAACTCTCGAGGACACGGGATCCCGCTCACAACGTAAGTTTGAAGGCTAGTATAACACAGATCATGCGCTTCCTGGAAAGCGAACTGGGACCTCAACTTCAAAATCTTGTCGCATCGGTTGACGCCGCCTCATTAGAAAACTTGAATTTATTCTTGTCGATGCCATCTCAGAAATAAGTGATCATGGTCCAATTTATTACGTATGAATTGAAGATAAGAACTATCAACGCCACTATATTCGCTACGAAAAACACCGCAATGAGCAGGTAGCACTCCTAATTTGCATACTCAATGGACACGCGCCTCTTTTCCTTTAATTTTGCGTAACTCAAAGTACTTCAATATCGCCTCGTAACACGTAATGTATTGTGTCAAATTTTGAACCATAGAAATTCTGTGCTTTCTCAACTCATTGACAATTATGAACACGAGATCCTGGGAGGTGTTCCAGACATCTATTCTATTCGAACTATCAGTTGGGTGTTCCAGAATATTGAACAGGTAGTCCAAGGTAATGAAGACGCCAGTGCGTCCGCATCCAGCGGAACAATGAACTAACAGTGGTGAACTTACCTCGGCCATTGTTTCTAGCGTGTTTGTTGTCTCAACCGGCAACTCTTTTGTTCTCATGATACTGTCATACATTTGGCCCTTTCTAATATTTTCGATGAAGGCCATAGGACTATTGAGAAGAAGATTCTTTATTCTATGCAACTTAAGAACATCTTCCAAGACAATACCACAGGAGTCGAGCCACTTTGTGTACTGAAGCTGACACACTGTATGGACCGATTTCTCGAAATCGGAATCACCTTTCGATTCTGGGACGTTCTCTTTGTCACATTTGAAATTTCGAATATTGGTTCCCTTTCCATTGACGTGACTTTTCTGCGTGCTTTTGCGATTAGAGTCTAGCCGCCTCACGTCGAATACCCTCAATATGCAGCCCTTTACCCCACATACGTTTTCATACGTATCTTTAACGCGAACGTCATATTTTTCCAATGCACTGGAATTCCAATAGATGTCCCACTTCCGCATGTTCAATTCATCATCTGAATTCAATGACAAGATGACCTTGACATCGTTAGTGAGAACGACTTTCCAGAAATCATCCAAAGTAGATGGTAAGGGGGCTTGAGTGGCAATATAATTGAAATCAGGGTTTATTTGAGGAATCTTGAGGTAGTTGGCATTGAAATAATCATTGAATTGGTCATTTTCTGGTCCACATGTAGCCTTACTTGTAATTCGCTTGGAGTCGAATGATGCAGAGGCACGAAGGGGAGGTCTTGCATTGTCCAAAGTTTGGTCACTTGATTGATCTAAAGCCTTTTCTGGTTTGGAACGTTCCTGAGAAAAATATGAGTTGCGTCTTTTACGCATTGCCTTGTTTGACAGCGGCGGACTTGAAAGGGTGGACGGAAATGGCATGGGTGAGCTGCATTTGTTATCAGGCCATATTGGCGACGGTTCCAGTTTAACTCGTGAATGCTCATAGGGCAGAATGTTGGAATACCTGTTTTTGCTGTAAGCTTGTATGCCGCGGGTAAGTAAATAGTTATCCATTGGTGTTTCGGCCACGTCGTCCTCGTCTTCATCTTGTCCAGCAATCGATTTGGGCTTCGGACAGGTGGCAGAACCGTTAGAATCTGATTCTTGAGCCTTGATCTTTTCTCTGCCTCTGATTCTCATCAATTTTGAGAGTATTTCTTGATTCTCCCCGTCATGCAGTTCTTCGTGGATGTCCATTTTCAGCTTCATTTCTTCCGCTTGGTGGTATCCATCATTGTCTGAATCGTAATCATGCCTATTGGGTTTGTATTCCTTTTGCATTTCACGGAATGAATAGAGTTTATGGGGTTTTGGTCGCCTAGTAGGATCTATTGTGCTGGAGTTGGCGCCATGCGATTCGAATGTCTGGCCAGAATCGTGCATATTTGGATCTTGCTTCGATGACTGCAAGCATCTTTCCAATCTTTTAACTTCAAGCTTTTCAAGGCATTCAAAGGACTTCAAAATCATCAACAGATTTTTTTCGGAGTCTTCTGAGTACTTTTTCAGCCATGTTGGTAAAACATCATCGTCGCGCTCTATTAGATCAGGCATGTGGAAGTCAAAGTACTTTTTGAGACTGTCTGGGGAATAATGGATGGAATCTTTTTTGAAAGATTGTATGAACATGTAGTCGGAATTATCGTTGCGTGCATCCCGGCTGGGAATTGCAATTTTCAGATTGATGTTATGCTTGTTGAGACCTTTTTTAGAGGCGCTCTTATGGATGTGTGGGGATCTGGCGTTTGTCAGATGAGTAGGCCGTACGAATGGTAATTGTTGATGGCTGAGTGATTTCTCCTGTAAGCTGGTTTTGTCTCCTTGCAGAAAAAGCAGTTTGATGCCGCAATTTTGCCCTTTTAACTGTATCAAGTAGGGGATGATTTTGCTTAGGATATTTGATGTGTTAAGCGAGCAGTTTTGAAGAGTGCTCCCTTCATCGTAAAACACAAAAATTGAGTGTTTTTCGACCTCTGATGCTAGCTTTTCCTGGGTATTGTGGTCTAGCGTCTGTGCTAGCTGTGAGAATTGGAATTTGGGCCGTCGCACGAGGGTCGAGGGGAATTTAAGATGAAATCGCGTATAGTTCGGGAGCGGAAGCTGGATGCCACATTGCGAAAGATCGAAATAAAGTGCAAATTCGAGACTTCGAGTTTCTGCTATTGTGGTGCACGCTTCGAGTTGTGGTAGACGATGAAGCTCTGTTGTGAGGTCGACCACTCCTGCAGCGGTCACAGTGGAAGGTTGAGGAGGAGGAGGTCCAGCCGGTGAGGATCCCACATGAGTGGTTGACGCAGTACTATTCATTTCCTGGCTATGCAATGTGTCGTTGAAATGCAAAATAGAAGAAGAACAAAAATCAAATGGAAAAAGACGCGGTTTGGTTTGATCCCCTCAGCTTTTGTGTGAATGTTGTGACACAGTTCAGTAAGCCGCGTTGTTCAACGACAGGGATACTTTTTTGTGTATAATCCGGAAATCGGAATGAGCTTTCTACAACAAAATGTGAGCGGCAAACAGAATCAAAGATTCGTCCTGATCAACAGTTCCTTTGATCAAAAATTCCCTTTACCAATGGTATAAATGCTTGCTAGTGTGAATTTGGCCTAACGAACCCAAAAAAAACGAAAAATGCCGCTTTGAACTCCTGTAACCACTAAAACGTACCTTTAGAATTCGCTTCCGGCACTTATTCCGCTGATTTAAGCCCGTTTCCTGGCGTTTTACGGGTTTGTAGCGATTGCCACGTATGTGGTCTTAAAAACGCGTAATCTAATGCAAATTGAGCCCCGTCTTCGGGCTAAAATCGACGACTTTAATACGCAAATGAGATCAACTGCGAATCACCGTCCATAAATGGTTTTAATCGTTTACAGGACTGGTTTTTGGCCTGAAAGATGGTAAGTTTGGTGAACTTTGTGGGAATTTAAAGGAAGCGATTTCTTGGGAGTTATAGATGAGATCTATTTTAGATGTTCTGGGCCCTTAAAAGAAAGAGGCAGTGTAGAGCGTTTTGTACGTGTGTGTCGCTGTCGTTTTTGAACGTCACGAAAATAGCGACACAGCAGTGGGAGAGTTGAGAGAGTTGAGAGCGTTTGTGGTGGTTGGAGGCGCTAGGTGTGATACGTGAGTGGAAGTCATTTTGTTTGAAGATCTTGCAGGAATTCTACAGTATGCTGTGGGGCACGTTTAGTGGGTATGAAATATGGATTTTGACCACTCTTTAGTATGCTATAAGGTGTGACGAAAATTGTTAAGTAAGAGAAACGAATTTTGGATGAGGTGTAAGCAGTTTGTAAATTTTTGCGGAATCGTTAAATTGGGCTATTTATGATGTATTCTTAGGCATGATGAATTAAATCAAATAAAAGGATCTTGAGCATTATTGAGTATGGTATGAGGTATGTGGCGCTCAGCCCAGTAGAAAGACTTTAAGAATTTCAAAGCATGCAACAAAATACGATCAGCCTAGCTTAAATATTGGGCATTCTAAATGTTGCAAACGGGCTCACGATCAGTTGGAGACGTTATGTATTCTAAAATGTAACTATCATAGCAAAAATAGCTATTTAGCACTCATGAGCATGCTTTGAGATTCCTTCAGTATCACCAGTCAACTTGAATAACTATAGCTTGAGAATTCTTTAGTGTGCTCAAAGGCCTGCTAAGTAATAGTAAGTGGTTTACTTCAGCATTCTGAAGGAGTTCATAACGCAAATTCAGGTGGTGAGACACAGAAACATGTTTTCACCTAGGGAAAGAGAATTTGGGCACTCTGAAGCATGCTAAGAGATATGACGAGTTTGGTTTAGAAAATGGATTTTGGGCTTTTTGGAATATACTTCAAGGTATAGTCAGTTAGTGAAATTTAGGGAGACTATTGGCCTAAGAGAAAAGATCCCGAGCTCTCTTGAGCATGCAGTAAGGTAAAATAATATTACTTAAAACTAAAATATGTTGAGCCTTCCAACTTATGCTATTAGTTTGGTTCAGAGGAAAACTTTTTGACATAGGGCATGACAAACTCAGTCCAGAGAACGTATCTTGGGCAGTATAAATCACTCTACATGGTTTGGCTACTGAGTAAAACTTCTCTAGCTCAGAACACTAATCTCACCCCTAAGTGACACACGTTAAAGTGTTGGGCTTGCTCTACGAAATCAATGACGAGTGGAGTATGCATCAAAACTCAAAAAAATTTTTGAAAGCGTTTTGGGCAACATCAATGATCAATACGACACCGCTGTTTTGTCATTGTCTTCTAATTTCTCAAATCCGGCGCCAACTACAAATATCCGAAATCCCCACAATGCCGTAGACGATCGAATTTCCCGAATGACACACTGGAATAAAGAAATCTCAAAGTAAATGGACCTCCGCAGTACTTAAATAACCATTGACATAACCCTAGCAGCCACTTCTTTCACACACAGCTGCGCTACAAGCGGATGGTGCGAATTCCTCGCGCTCATGACAGAACGGTACAAAGTGATACAGCTCATAAATCGTCAATCCGGACCCACATACAATTCAACCTGACCACCAACACACAGCTGCCTCCCGTTCCTTTGATCTGTAGCTATTAGTTCCAAGACGACACCACAATAGATGTGACAAAACCCCTTGTACAATTTATAAACTCGTATTTCACATTTGCGCAACAAATCAGCAATCTCGCTTCTGACACATTAAATCAGAAATCACCACACTTATGGGCTCCCAAAATAAGCTATACATAGACTTCACAAGATTTTGGGATTTAAACTCTTTAACGTGATTGACATTCAAAGGTTTTTATTTTTACCTCACCACCCGACTTCTAACAACGACACTAAAAAAACTGAATCTCCATAAAAAGGTCAAAATTCAAAAACAAACCTACTGGACACGCTCATTAAAAAATACTATCACACCGCCATTTCATCATCATCTCTCAAAAATCTTAGCTCCCCACAAGTACTCACTTTCTTCTTATTGAAATCCAAAAACTCTAAATATAATATATATTCCCCGAATTTTCGTACATCCACAAGACCAAATACGACTCCAAAATTCTTACCGAGTAAACAAGCAATTTCTGAACCACACTTAAAATTGCTAGATCTCAAATAAACGTCATTCTTATACCTTTTCCTCTTAAAAACAGTCGTATTATTTTAGAGTTCTCACAATTTTACAGTAAATTAAAGTCTTAATAAACGCGAAAATGGCCTAAATTATCATATTTACACAAAACAATCTCTAGCAGAAACGTCAAACTTCAACACCTCATCCATTGGATCAACTGTTTGTTCTTGAACCGTAACGCCAAATTTTACACATTTCACCGGCTTTATGAATCGAGCGGGAGGGAACGGATTCTTCAGCGACCCAGAAACGGACGACACGCTTCGAAATATTAGACGAGAGTATCTGGCATCCAAGAAAAACCTACAAGAACTGCTCATTACCAGCCCTACCGGTGTCAGAACTAGACCAGTGCAAGTGCCAACACCACCAACGGATGGATCTCGAAAAATGACCAAATTGAACGACGATCATCTGCGGTTGCAATTGCGAGAAGGCTTGAAATCGGACCTTGGTGCACCTCGTCCGGCATCAGCGTCTTACAGACCACTCAAAGACACGGTTCCAGCACAATACACAGAAATAGAGAGTCTGCGAACGCTGTTCTACGACCAACAGCGTCGCATTGACCACTTACAGCGGGGCTTCGAGTCACAGGGAGCGCGAAACGCAGCGTTGCACGATCGTATCTACTTTTTAGAAAGAACTGTGGCAAAGCTAGAAGCAGAACTAGACAGCAGATCGCACGCTACCGATTTGTATGAGGCTCCACCGGGCTCTTATTCAACAAGAAATGCTCCAGCGTTCGATTTTCAAGATCGCGACAACACGAGAGCGTTGCTGGATCCTCAGACCACCGATAGGCCCACCAAAAGACAAATTTCAAACTACGAAGACAGTACTACGAGGCTGATTCAGCTGGCTCAGGGCTCAAACCGATGGTAGCGGTAACGAAATTAACAAAATGACGCTTTACAATAGAAGTCAGTTTTTCAATGTGAAATGTACGATAGATGATGCCTCTGCAGGTGGAGAAGAAACAGTGACCGCGGCGGGAGCTTTTTTAGTGAAGTTTAACAAATTTTAGTTTCATTGGATATTTTGAATCTTCGGAACGACCAGCGTAGACCAGTGATTGTTGACGTCCTCGTGGATATTCGTCTGCGTGCCAGTCGAAACTGCCAGAAAACCCGAGGTATCCCTTCTGACTGTCGTATTCGAACTGGGCCGCGTTCGACTCACTCTTGTTGCAAATCAATGCGCCATCGTGGCGATCGTCTGGACCGCAGTAGCCAGTTCTGGATTTGAGATAGTAGTTTCCAAAGGGCGCCTCGATGAGATCGAAGTTGGCTGGCGTCCCAGACGACATCCAATGGCCGTTTCTGATTATAATGCCTGTGAAGCCACTCACTCTAATGACACCTCTAGTACCACGTTTGCCGTTGCCAGGCTTTCCTGGTTGTCCCCCGTGCCCGGGTCTGTATCCTTTGGGATAAAACATGATGCCGTCCTGCGGACAGTTCGAATAGGCTCCCAAGGCGTCCACGGCTCTGAAATCTTCACCTAACAGACTTCCTTTCAACAAGTGATAGTACCAGATTTCGTTTAAACCTCTTCTGCGGTCGCATTTGAAGAACACCTTTTTGTCCTGGAATGCAGAGCTCAGGGCTTGGCTGATTTCGTCACGGCTGTAACTTTTGATTGCCGAGGGCACAATGCCGTGTTCTTCCAGAGCTTTGAAAGTATCTAGACTTTGGTAGAGCTTCATGGCGATTCTGTAGTAGTCATAAACCGCTTTTTTGTTGTAGTCCTCTGCGCTTTCAGCACCATTTGTGCCGCTCCACCGCGCGTAGCATTGGGGCCTCAACGTCTTAATGCAAGTGGCGTGTTTGTTGAACTCATGGATCCACAAAGACTCGTCGTCGCCAGTATTACTTTTCCACAGCTTGCTCATCTCGTCTAGCAGGTCCTTCCCCTGTATCTCCAGACCATCTTGATTAAACTGCTTCGACCTCAAAAGATTGTAAACGTCGTCTATTTGACGTGAATTGTCGCAAAACTGCTGATATCCTCCATCACAGTTGTCTGGCCAAAGCCCATGGTTGGTGAAAGACGTGTTAGGTCCCAGATGCTTTTCTAGTTCGTCATTCCAAGGACCAGATTCCATGCCTCGAGGCGGGCTATAATCCCAAAACTGAGTCTGGAGCATTATCCCACCAGGAAATTCAAAACAGCATGTATCGTCAATGACAGTGTGGTTGGAACATGTTAATGGCAAGTTCGAAGGGCATGAAGCTAAGCTATGTCCGTCTTTTACAGACCCAAACAGGTCAAAAGACGAGAGGCTGCCGAGTGGCAGTAATTCTAGAGGAATTCTCATGGATATCGAGACAAGGAAGCTTGCCACGGGTCCCGAAAGATGGTTAGAAAGGGAGTTGTATCTGACTGGATAACGATGTGCTTATCTTCGCCCTTTTTATACAGGGCTCGTTACCCTGTGGATTTAATGACAGCGACAGCGTTCGAGTCAAAGAGAGAAATAACAATAGTGCTGTTGTAGGGCTCGCTGTCAACCTCAACACAATTATTGGATAGCGTTGACGATGGGTTTGAATTCATTTCCAGGTTGTTTCGAATTTTAGGCATTTGCCAGCCTCGAAATATTGCAAAGTGTTGCTGACTGACGGATTATTGAATACTGAATTAATTTGAGAGGTCTTGAAGTGTTGATAGGATCACAAGCAGTTGATTATGGTCTGGAGAGCTGTAGATATGAATAGAAAACAGTAAAGTTTGAATTATAGGTCTTTTTCTGTGCCTCTACGCAAGTTTTCGTAAGCGTTTTGTGCGTTCTTGGCAAAACTAAGTTTACGGATAATGTTCAAGTTTTGAACAGTTTTGGTTTTAGCATTTTAAAGAGTCTCCAGTGTTGCCAAGGATTTTGAATTAGTACTCTGTCTCTGTAACAATGCTATGTGTCAATTCTTATTTCCCTGCACTTTACTTTTTGTATTCTTGGCATTACCACTGCCCTCATGAAATCCTTCAGCGCTCACAAGGAAGATGTTCGTATTTACAAAATGAAAACATTATTTACAGGAATTTGTCTTGTGCAGTTCCCACGCATTCACCCAGAACAACTCTCACAATTGTCAGCTGGCTTACCAATGGAACAGGTGATGGGTGTGGAGTCATGAATTCCAAACTTGTCGCTTCGACCCGTAAAGCTCTCTCTGCTGTCCTTCGAGTCCTTCATTCCGTCCAAAAGCTCGGGATCCGGGCTTCTAAACTCGATCCTGGGATCACAAACTTCTGAGTAATGACCTTTGATAGTCACCTCTTGAATTTTTCTATCCTCGGGGATCTCAACGGCCCCTTTCAGAGTGTTTTCGTCATTAATGGAGAATTTGATAGCACTGGACGCAGCTTGCGTTCGGAGGTAATACATGCCGGTTTTGAGACCCTTTTTCCACGCGTAAAAATGCATGCTTGTGAGTTTGCCCATCGTGGGTTCCTTCAAGTACAGATTCAAACTCTGTGACTGATCTACGAACGGACCGCGGTCTGCTGCCAAATCTATCAGCGCGCGCTGTGGCAGCTCCCAAACGGTCCTATAGAGATCTTTCATTTCCTGTGGAACACCCTCTATGTTTTGAATGGAGCCCTCATTCGCAATGATGCGGTTCTTCAGCTTCTCATCCCAAACACCCAGACGACAGAAATCTTCAATCATATATTTGTTGACAACAGTGAACTCGCCGCTCAGAACCCTTCTATTGTATATGTTGGACGTTAAGGGCTCAAAGCACTCCACAAACCCCAAAATTTGAGATGTGGACGCAGTAGGCATTGGCCCTACCAACAAAGAGTTTCTTACACCAAGCGTCTGAACTTGTTCCCTTAATCGATCCCAATCAGTATACAAGAAGTCGTAGCTTTTGTCATCCAAACCCCACAAATCGAACTGGAATCGGCCCTGCGATATGGGTGAATTCTCAAAGCTCTGATATTTACCATGCTTTTTGGAGAGCTCAATGGACATTTCAATAGCCGCATGATACATTGTCTCAAAAATTTGGCGATTCAAGAGACGAGCATTTTGAGAATGGTACGGCACGCGCATAATGAAAAAGACATCCGCGAGTCCTTGTACACCTATAGCGAGTGGTCGATTTTTCTTGTTGCTATATTCTGCGTCTTGCACTGGATAATCACAAACGTCAATGACTGCATCGAGATTTTTGGTGATCACCTTAACCACCTCATGCAACTTTTCGAAATCAAAGGTCACAGCCGAGCCTCTTCGTTTCACGAAAGAAGGGAGTGCGACAGAAGCCAAATTGCACACAGCCGTCTCTTTGGGCGAGCTAAACTGGACAATTTCACAGCACAAATTCGATGACTTGATGGTGCCGAGATTTTTTTGGTTAGATTTCTCATTACAAGAGTCCTTGTACAGCATGAAGGGCCCACCCGTCTCAACCTGACTTTGTAGGATTTCGCTCCATAGTTTTTGCGCCTGCACAACTCTTGTGGGGATCCGTGTGGCTTCATAACTTTCATACAGCTTTTTGAATTCTACACCATAACAGTCTTGTAAACCAGGAGCTTCGTCGGGCGAAAATAAAGACCAGCTTCCATTCTTTTGAACACGTTCCATGAAAAGATCAGGGATCCATAGCGCGATGAAGAGATCGCGAGCCCTCAGCTCTTCCTTTCCCTGATTTTTGCGGAGTTGCAAAAACTCAAAAACATCAGAGTGCCAGGGCTCTAGATAGACACAAAAAGCACCCGGTCGTTTGTTGCCACCTTGATCTACGTATCTCGCAGTATTATTGAATACTCGCAACATTGGAACAAGTCCGTTGGACGTCCCATTGGAGCCAGAAATGTAAGCACCTGTGCCTCTAATGTTAGAGACATGGATACCTACCCCACCCGCGGCTTTCGAGATCATTGCAGTCTTGTGAAGCGTGCGGTAGATTCCATCAATGGAATCTTCTATCATGCCAACGAGAAAACAGGAAGACAGGTACTGATTAATTGTTCCAGCATTGAAAAGGGTCGGCGACGCATGGATGAAGTACTTGCGTGACATCAAATCGTATGTTTCCAGAACCCCCTTGAGGTCTCCCTGAGGACCACATACGGCCAGGGCCACTCTCATAAACAGGAACTGCGGCGTCTCATGGATTTCCTCGCTGTTAAGCTTGATCAAATACGACTTGGACAACGTTTTCCAGCCAAAATATGAGAAATCAAAATCCCTCTCGGGCACAATAGCGTCGTCTAACACATCTTGGTACTTCAACGCCATGTTGTAAAAGTCATCAGGTATCATTTTCTTCACAACAGGGGATTTACTGCTCTTATGCCTCTTGGCAGCTGGTGGGCCAATCTTTACCGCCCTGAATTCCTTGATAGTCCTCAAATTCTCCGTAAAAGTGACATTTCCCATTCGTTTGTGCAAATTGAACACCTCCCACCGTGCAGCGAGGTTTGCAAAATCGGGATGAGTAGTGGTCATGGCCACCAAAACCTCCCCTGTGAACTGAACAAGTTCTGAACGTCGCACGCTAGGCGGGAGACTCGCTAATATTTTATGCGTTATAGCATCAAGATCACTCGATTGCAGCGAAAGGTCGTGAGCGAGCTCTTTGAGGGTTGAATTCAATTTGTCACCATCAAGGGCTTCTGAGCTTCCCAACTCCTCGTTTAACAGCGTTTTTTCGGTCATCAGATAAACTAGAGGGTGGCTCTTTTTATAAGTTCTCAATAGTTGAAGTGAAGACGAAGCCAGTTGATGTATTCAGTGTCGATGCGATGGAAGATGCCCAACTTTAAAGCTTGAGAGTTGTTGTAACTCGTTTTCAATGATGATTTTGACAGTATATTGGACTACTCTTCAACTTCACCGCATGTGATGAGAGCTCGACTGCCTTGGTTGACTGCCTTGGTCAATTTAAATCCTGGAATCTTGTGTGTTGATCAAGTTCACTTTGGTTGGTGGAACTCGTCGGAGCATACTGATGAAAACGCTAGTAGCCACTTCGCATTCGTAAGTAGAAACTTGCAAGCCGTTGTCCATTCTGGACCTGGCTTGTTACCGCATAATCTAATAGCCATCCCGTTAATCTTGTCGCCATGCATAGTGTAGGGCAGTTCTATCTCTTCTGAGTCGGCAGGTCGTTCAAGAGATAGATGGGACGTAATTTGTCCAATTACGTCCAGGATGGAAACCATGGCACGATCAAAACTAGTTTCCTTGTGGAAAAACTTGCCCAGCTTAAACCCACCGTTGCTGAAAGCTTCGCAACTATGCCACTCTTGAGTCGTAGGATCGAATTGCTCGATTCTGGAATATGATCCCATAGGACGCAAGATATACCCGGCGGGCTTGAAATGTACACGAGAGCACATGGTGGCCAGCAGCAAGATCAGTTGTCCCAAAGCTGCATTTGTTTCTTGCCATGGCACGGGCACTTCGTCCAGACCGCCCAGTCGCAGGCCGTTGATAGTTCCAAACGGCCCGTCGTGTGATATTCGGAAAGTCTCGTTGAAGATGTTTGTCTTGCGCAGTCTGTCTATACTGTTCATTGTGAACTCGTACTGGTTTCTTAAAGACTGCAATTCTTTGGAGAATTCCAGTTTCTCCAATTCCTGACTATTCCTGCGCGCCAGGTTTTCAGCTTCTTGCTCCTTTTTAAGCTTCAGTTCCTGTTCTAGTTTCTCAATCTGAGCATCAAGCTCGGCCTCTGTATCTTCCAGTTTTCTCAGATTTTGTAGCAACTCCTCGTCTTCCCTTTCAGCAGCTTTCCGCTCATCCTCGAAGGCCTCGTTCTTGTGAGCGTTTTCGTTCTGCTCAAGCTCTCGCTGCTTGTTGAGCCTTTTCAAAAACTCGAAGTATGTGTCTCGCTCTTTTAGGGCGTCCTCGTAGTCACTTTTGAGCTTGTGGATGAGCAGATCACAACAGTCTTGACACACAGGATATTCAATGTTGCTCTTGGACGACAGAATGTTGAAAATATTCGTCAAAGTGTTAATTCTCGAGCTCAAAGTCTTCGAAGTGAGGTCGTCTTCGTCTTCGTCCCCCGAATCACCGTCGAGACGACTAGTGTGCAGTGTGCTAGACTCACCGTTCAGAAACACGTAAGACTCCAAATTATTCAGAACTGAGGGCTGAAATTTCAAATCACTGGCCTTTTTGACGCTATTGAGCCTCTTAAGCCGAGCCTGTGGTATTTCTATACTTGGTGCGAGAGGTTGGGTGGCCGAGCTCACTAGAAGATTCCGCTGAGCGAGGCTCAAATCCATTAGCGAGCTATCCAATTCCAATGGCATTTGGCAGTTCTGGCATTTCAACACTTCTGGGTTACCCATGGCCACTTTGACTGTCCCTTATGGACTTTCAGGTTTTATCTCAGATCAGTTTTTGTAAGAGGATCGGATCCAACTTATAATACCATTATACATATAAATACGTTATAAAAGAGGTGGAAGGCCTGTGAACACAACTTGACCGGAACTCAACATCTAACATCGTAATTTATATATGCCTTTTATACCTAGTATACCTGATATACTCTTTTCAACTTTATCTACCCTTTTAGACCGGATTTCTGATAAGTTCTTATTCGTATGGACCCATTTATCTAACAGAGACTAAGACTTTGATGAGAGTTGCCCAATAAAACTCATGTTCTCGTTATTATTCGAACATCTTGAAAATGTCCCTTTAAGTCATGGATCAATGAGCAAGGTCACTCTTTTTCGAACTTCAAAATAACAGTTGAACTGTGATCAACCACAATTTCATAATCACCAAATTGTGTCCATTGTCGGAGTTGCTCGTACCGCATCAACTGAGCTGGATTCCATTCGTGTTTTGAAATCAGTTGGTCAGCATAAATTTTCATGATATCTCTCAGCAACGGAAAGTCGTTAGTTCACCATTCGTAATACCAATATAGATTAGGTGGTTCCACCTGGACCTGGCCAATAGTTTGCATTGGATCAGTGTCAAGAAGCCTTCTGCTCATGAGGTTATTTTTGGTTCGTTCTAAGTACATTTCTTGCACTTGACTTAGCGTGGCATTTTCTTCGAACTCCATTGGATATGTAGAGCTGAACACAGGACGTTTCCCCGGGAATGAACTCTTCTTGCCACGAGACTCAAGGTGCGTTTCGTAACCCTTCTCTATCAAGCGCACCATAGGTTCACGAATGCAGACGTCTATGCCCTTGGGCACCCAGATTTCGTACAGGCCCAAAAATTCATATTTTCCTGTAGCCTTCAGCTGGAAATGGCCAATGTCTTTTAAGACCACCTCCACGGTGCCCTGGAATGGCGGCAGTATATGGCGAACAAAATTGTTTTTGGAAGCCAAAGGTTGTGCAACACCAACAAACTGCTTTGAAGCCCCACTTTCAGAGTTGAGCTCCCGTTCGACTACCGACAATGCTTTTTCGAGGCTATGATACTGCTTCTCATTACCTGGGATGAAGTTGATCACTTGATTTATGGTGCCAGCAGGTGGAATGAGGTAAAATAACCCGCTAACGGTGTAGCAGCGTCCGTGGCTGCTGCCTTTAAGCGAATCATAGGTCTGCTTGACCAATTTCGACTTGGAAAACAGATGCGTTTTTCGTACCCTTTCTAAAAACTTGGGCTCAACGAGAGCATCCAAGGACACGTTCTGTGTCTCTTTGCTATACCCTGGTAGATCGTTCACGGTTTTTTCCCCGACCAAAAACGATTGTTGGTTGCGAGTCATGTTTGGGAGATGCGAGACGCCTGCACCAATTTCGTGGGTGACATTGGCACTCAAACGGTCGTTTCCACTCTCTGTGTCGCCTTTACGTCCTCCGTACCGTGCTAGGAGAGTATTGATAAGTGTCGATTTGCCGGAATTCGGGCTTCCCAGCAGGTACGAATTGCCACGAAGCACCGAATATACGCTCTGAACGTTCCATTTCTGCGTAGCAGAGAAGGCCACGGCCTTGCCAGACGAAATTTTTAGTTTTGAACGCAGAAAGTCGCCAAAAAAGACTGGCGCTTTTCGCTGCAAAAGTCCTTTGTCTGGTGTGATGAGATCGCCCTTGGAGAGCAATAAAGCCGTGCTGAGGTCTGGATCTGCGAACAGTTGTCGATCAAAATGAAACGGGAACTGCGCGAGGGAAACGACGTGGAACACATTTGAACCTTTTGGCACAAAACGGTGGACTTCCTGTGCCGAAAAACGACGGAACCCCTCTGCGTCGTAGTTATTATGATAGAGGGCATCACTGCACCGTTTACACACAAGTTTGGTGTTTTCGGGCCCTTCTTCGTCTGCATCATGTTCACCAAACTCTTCTTTCTTCTTCTGTTCCTCCTCTTGCAAGCCCTTGACGCCCTGGCTAAACAGCATGTATTTCAGTTCCTTCAAGTCTCGTAGATGAGCTGTTTCTATAGGTCGCAGGGAAGCCTTTGGCGGCTTATAAAACCCAATTTTCGCCGGGTTTTGGCTCTGGAGCTTAACCCCACATGCGTTACACGATTTAAACCGTTTTACGCACCAGAAACCCTTTCGAACTGCTTGTTTCCCCCACCGCCAGTACATCTCAACTCTAGATCTAATTAACGAGAACTATCAAACAAATCTCGACAAACCAAGCCTGCTAGCCCGTCCAATTGCTCGATAATTCACGCTAGATGATGTGCTACGTTGAAACTTAGAAAGTTTCGATTATATACCGTCCTTTTATACCCTTTATATACCTTATTCCATGATCTTTGGTTGATATATATGTCAATGTCAAGATATTTGGTGAAGCGCTCAGCTTAAAAATTTTTCAGGATGAAAAATGGAAAAGTTCGATGAGATGAGATGAGATGAGCTTCAAGACAACTTAACAGGCAAGAGATTCTTAACTCAAAGGTCCATTTGAAAGGGTGCTCAAGTATTCAAAGCATCGGTTCAACTAACAGGAAAAAAGATATAAGAGATGGGGAAAGTTTCGAAGGCCACGAAGAAGTTTCAAACCAAACACTTGAAGCATACCTTGGATCACAGGAAGAAGCTAAAGGACCATGCCCAGAAGACCAAAGGCCGTAGAGGCAACAAATCACAGCAGGAGAAGCAGGAGGCAGCGCTAACAAAGCAGGACCAGCAACTTAGAAACTCGTCCAAGGAAGAGGTGTTCAAAGATATGAGTGTGGAAGACTTTTTTGCAGGTGGATTCGAAGTGCTTAAGGCCAGTAAAGCCAACAAACATGCAGCCAAAAAGCAGCAGAAGCAGGATGGGAAGAAAGACGAAGATGAAGATGAGGATGATGAGTCTTCTAGTGAGGACGAGGCTGGCATGGCTCAAAATATGGCCACTTTGGCAGAAAAGGACCCAGAATTCCACAAATACTTGCAGGAAAACGACAAAGCGCTGTTGGATTTCCAGGGCACGAACCCGCTGGACGGTATAAGCGGTGACGAGGACGAGGAAGAGCAGGAAGAAAAAGCTCAGGAAGACGACGTCAAGGTCTCAGCACGCCAATCCGAAAATGGTGTCGCCAAGGAAACGGTCGAGGTCGACCTCAAGCTTGTCAAAAAGTGGAAGAAAGAGCTGGCAGCATCGTCCGTTAACGTCAAGCTGATCAGAAACATCGTTTCGGCCTTCAAGGCCGCAGTCAACGCCAACAAAGAAGACTTGGTAGACACCTACAAGTTTGCCGTCATCGACGGCAAAGCGTTCCAAGAGCTCATGTTCGTTGCGCTCCAGGACATGCCCACAGCCATTATGAAAACGCATCCTTACCAGATCAGCAAAGGCTCCAGAACTCTACCGAACAACAGCAACGTGACAAAAATTGCCGCTGTGCTGAAATCGCACGCGGGATCCATGATCACCATGCTCCAGGATATTACAAACACCGAGTCTGCTGCCCTTGTGCTGCACTCTTTGGATCAGATTTTGCCCTACTTTTTGTCCCATAGGAGAATCATCAAGGAAATCATCAGAGTAATCGTCGAGCTAGGCGCCACCACGCGAGACTTGGAGACGCAAATCGCGGCTTTCGCATTTTTGAATAACTCCTCGAGAGAATTCAAGAAATCGTTGTTGGACACCGTTCTCAAGACCACGTATTCCTCGTTCATCAAAAGCTGTCGTAAAACCAACATTCGTACCATGCCTTTGATCAACTTCCAGAAAAACTCATCTGCGGAGCTGTTTGGCATTGACGAGGTTCTTGGCTACCAAATTGGATTCGAATACGTGAGACAGTTGGCTGTGCACTTGAGAAACAGCATTAACGCCACCACTAAAAAATCTGCCAAGACCAACCCTGTCGATGCTTACAAGATTGTATACAACTGGCAGTTTTGCCACTCGCTCGACTTCTGGTCCCGAGTTTTGTGCGCTCAGTGCAACCCAGAAAAGGAAAACGGCAAGGAGTCGCACTTGAGGCAACTGATCTACCCCTTGGTGCAAGTCACCATTGGTGTGATCAGACTAATTCCAACTGCTCAGTTTTTCCCGTTGAGATTCTACCTGATCAAATCGCTCATCAGACTTTCCCAAAACACCGGCGTGTTCATCCCAATCTACCCACTCCTTGCAGAGATTCTGTCGTCCACTGCTTTCTCCAAGGTTCCCAAGAAGAGGTCCACCCTGCCTGCTTTTGATTTCGAGCATAACATCAAGTGTAACCAAGGTTATTTGGGCACCAAAGTGTACCAGGATGGCCTCGGAGAGCAGTTTGTCGAGCTGACGTGCGAGTACTTCGTCCTGTACTGCAAGAGCGTCTCATTCCCCGAATTGACCACTCCTGCTTATATAGGTCTGCGTCGCTACGTCAAAGCCTCCAAAAACAGCAAGTTCAACAAGCAGATCAGCAACGTGCTTGAGAAAGTGAAGCAGAACTCTGACTTTATTCTCAACAAAAGATCCGAAATCGACTTTAGCCCAACCAACAGAGGCGAGGTAGAACGCTTCTTGAACGACTTGTCTTGGGACAAGACTCCTCTAGGTTCTTATGTCCAAGTTCAACGTGAAGTCAAGGAGGAGAAGGCCAAAATCATCAGAGAAAGTTTGGAGGAAGACGACGAACAACAAGCCAAACGTCAATCCTACTCTGCGGACGATGCCGAAGACGTCGAGATGTCTGATGCTTAAAGCATTTCCAAAAACCTCTTAGTTCATTCTTCCTCTCCATTATTCCCTTCGAATGTACGTAAAACATATCTATATGAAAGGGAACCATCAAATGTATACTATTCCACATTGCAACAAAATCGCAGGCATTAATCAATTGTATAGCTGTTTATATCAGTACATCTTTGTTGTTTGTTTTATCAAGATGTTGTGTGGCAATTGCATGGGTTTCATCTGTTCTTGTTTATTTAATATCTTGAAGTGGGCGGCTAAATCTTGACAAACTATTAAATACACTGAAAACACCAAAGAAGACCCAATGCCAAGCTCTATCAATTTAACAGAGCTTCAAACTAAGAAGTTTAGAAGTCCATCAACTTTTTTCAAAAGTTACATAAATATAAGTAGCGCCACAGGGCATTTACGTAGCAAACTTGGCGTCGAAGAGCGGCAGAGACTCGAAAAGATACGTTTGCTCAAAAAGGAGAACTGTGCTCTGGAAAGTGCTATCAAGATTCTTGGCAGTTACGAAAAGGAGCGGGAGGTTTTTAGCCTCATCGATAAGTGGAGGTCGATATGCCAGGCAGGAATGGCCTACCTGTTGAACTCGACGATGCTCAAGATAAGCAGGATGGGTGGCTATGAAGAACTCGTTAAGAAAGAAATCGAGGCCGAAAAACGCAAACTTGAGTATCAGTTTTCAGATCAAATAGAAAGTGGAATAGACGACATTTTGGAGTCCGACGAGTTCAAAATGATGTCTGATTTGGATCAAGCAGAGTTAAAGCATCAACTTTACCAGAAGAAAGAAGAAGCCGACAAAGCCCAACAAGTGGAGATTGAAAAGCTCGACGCCAAAGTGAAAGAAAGCTCCGGTGCCGAATTCACGATGCAAAACCTTGCCCGACGTCTCAAAGTCGACTATGATATGATCTTCCAGTCCTGAGCACCGTTTAATCCTTAAAATGCAGTATGACTTCCTGTGGCTATTTACATATGGCTTATAATATATATAATCCAAGAAACTAGATGTGATTCTTATGCAGAGTGCTCTCACTGTTCGAAAACATCGTCGAGCTTCAACCTTGGTGCGATGTTCATCGACAACAGTTCTTGGAACAACAACTTGGCAGCATAGGGAATAGTCATTTTTATGATGTGTTCTGCACTCTTGCATGTCGTACACCATCCACTGTAGCCCATGAGTCCACAGTGGTTGCATACATCGACCTCGAAAGCATCAGAACTTATCATTAGTCTTTCTAGAAGTAATTGGGACGCACCATATGCAATAACACAATCTCTTTCCATTTCACCCAATCTCAAACCACCATCACGCGATCTACCTTCTGTTGGCTGACGAGTCAGAACAGCCCTTGGGCCTCGAGCTCTGGCATGCATTTTGTCTAGAACCATATGCTTCAACTTTTGATAATAGATAGGACCGAAGAAAATGTACGCCTGTAAACATTCACCGGTGATACCAGAGTAGAGCATATCTTTTCCTGAGTAATTGAAACCGTTTTGAATCAGAATACTTGTCATGTCTTCGAGCTTCGAACCGCCGAAACACGTACCGTATTCCAAACTACCGTTTAATACACCAGCCTTACCTGAAACCAGTTCTTTCATTTTGCCGACTGTCATACGAGATGGGAAACCGTGGGGGTTCATGATAATGTCCGGCACCACACCCTGGTCGTTGAATGGCAAATCCTCATGGTTAACAATGATACCACAGACACCTTTTTGACCATGCCTCGAGGAGAATTTGTCACCCAGTTCTGGTCTTCTGTTCTGTCGTAGCAGAACTTTAATGAGAGCTTGATCGTTTTCAGATACTGACATCATGACTTGGTCGATATGAGAGGGCTCGGGAGCCCTGTACACCACAGGGGTTTCTCTATATTGGGCTTGTGTTTGCGTTAGGACACTATCAGAAGCGTTCGCGGGGACAGATTTGTTGACATAGATTTGTCCACTCTCCACTTTCATACCGACTTCTCCCAGCCCATCAGGACCCAGTGGCCTGTGCTGCCAAATTGGCTCGCCATTTTCGTCAACCCTCATACCGCCAACCATATCTTGAGTATGGTTGGGGTATCTTTTCAACACTGTTGTGAGTTTCCGCCTTGTTTCGCAACGACCAAAGCCTCTATCAATCGATGCCTTGTTGAGAACCAGAGCATCTTCAATATCGTAACCGGAGTACGACATGACTGCTACTGTGGCATTTTGGCCAGCTGGTATTTTGTCATAGTTTATGAGTTCGATTGTTTTTGTCTTCACCATTGGCTGTTGTGGATAGATCATGAGATACAGCAGAGTATCAATTCTTTTGAACTGATTGTAGGCAATTGCCCCAATGGCTTGCTTACCCATAGCACATTGGTATGTGTTACGGGGCGATTGATTATGGTGTGGGTATGGAATCAAACCAGCCACGGCACCCAAGACGGTGAAGGGCTCGATTTCCAAGTGCGTTATTTTGGGCTCGAGATCTTTCTCATACAACGCAATGAACGAATCATTCTCCTCGTTGACATCGAGATACTCGACTACACCCAGTCTTAGAAAATCATCGAACTGAAGCTTGCCATCAAGTAGCTGTTTTAAATGTTGTGCTTCTACACGCGACTTTCCATCAGAAACAATGATCAATGGACGACAAACTCTACCACCATCAGTCGCTATGTGAACTGCCTTTTGGTGCGAGTTGGTGTAGATAGAGATAAAATCGGAGACTTTTCCGGCTCTTCTCAAGTTCCTAAAATGAGTGACGAACTTCGTCGGGAACCTCACAATACCCACGATGGTACCATTCAGATAAACACAATAGTTGAGGTGTAAGGTATCGCTATCCACCACGGTAATGTCCTCTACACCAAGTAAGTAACACAGTTTTCTGATAGGCTCTTCTTCGTCATCAGTTGTAATGTGCGTCATGAGGGCAAGATTTTTAACAAGACCACACGCCTCACCTTCCGGTGTGTCAGAGGTGCACAGCATACCAAATTGTGACGGTTGCAGTGCTCTTGGTCCCGAGACTTTACGAGATTTTTCGAATTGTGAAGAGATTCTTGTCATCATACCCAGAGCTGAGATGTACGACAGTCTGCTAAGTACGTGAGTAACACCTGCCCTTTCCATTTTAAATCTCTTCAAGGACCAATTACCAGTGGAAATTGCTCTGTTTAAACCGGTTGTAATGTTGTTAGAATGGACATTGATAGACAGTAAAGCATCGTACTCCATAGCTCTGTTGGGCTTTTTGAGAACTTTGTCGATGTTCGCTTTAAAATCGTTGTTGAATTTCTTGAACAAGTCCTCGAAAAGAAGAGACATCAGTTGTCCAGCCAGTTCCAATCTTTTGTTACCAACGTAATCTCTATCATCAATCATCTTGGGGTTATGCATAGCCATTACTACTCTTCTTGTCATGACGGCAACATACAAAGCCTTTTCCCTGAAGTCCAGAGCCTCTACTGTTAAATGGGCAATTACGGTGGTAGCGATGGCCTCGATACCTTCTTGCAAGGTGGTGAGCTTTTGACGTCTAACCGTTTTGACCTTAGCGCCAATGTATTCCAATGCTTGCTGCTGTGTATAGATTTTCATTTTGGCAACCTCTTCGAAATTGATGGCAAAGATATCTTGATAGCTGCTGTCGTTACCACAGACAAGTTGCATAATCTCTAGGTCGGAGACAATACCACAGGCCTTGAGCACAAGCACGATGGGCACTTCTTCGGCAATGGAGTTGTGCTTCAAGTAGATCTTGTCATTTTTCGTGATCACATAGGTCTTAGATTTTCTCTCGTGTGTAGAAGATGTCACAGAAGCCTGAACGATGGCCTTTTTCTCGTCAGCTTCCACGATGATACGATTCTTGGACAGTTGTTCCTGGACCAGAATCACTTTTTCAGTACCGTTCACGATGAAATAGCCACCGGGATCAAGCGGACACTCATTGATCTTGGCCATTTGACTTTCTGAGGCGCCATTCAGAATACATTTGTTGGAACGCAGCATGATAGGCATTCTACCAATTTCCACGTCTCTATGCATGATGATGTTTCTACCTCTGGTGTATTCGATATCGACATACACGGGTGCTGAGTATGTCATGTCTCTCAACCGGCACTCGTGAGGAGGAACAATGTAGTCTTTGGAGGATGAGCTCGACTTGTAGCCCACTCGAATGTCCACATACTTAAGATAGAATTCTGGGTCGACGTCACTGAGGACCAGTTCATTCGCTTTGATGATCTTTTTGAGGTCTACATCCACAAAGTAGTTGAACGAGTCCAAATGCTGTTTGACCAAACCCTTCACCTTCAAAAAAGCCGGCAGAAGGTTCCACTTGTCCTCTGCCGTGTTGATCTCATCGGTCAATTTCTTGCCCTTGTAAATAGGCTTTAAGAGAGGTTCAAAGGCGGAATCTTTTTCCAACGCAGCATGTGGCATTGCCGTTCTCGCTGTCATACCCAATGAGCGATTCGAAGCTACGAAAGCGCCTGTAAAGTTCCGTTTTTTGACGTTTTGAGATGAGCTGAAATCTATGTCATCATCTCATCTCGAAAATTTTTTATATAGGGCGCTCACAGCTACAAAGCTGAGAAGGGCTGGGAAGGAAACACCAACAACAATGCCCGCAATGAGGCGATCGAGAGAGTGTGTATGATGAACACCGAGATATTAATCGTCTACGTTCAGCAAAACTCACTTGTAGATATTTAGGAGCTTTCCACAATTTTTGAGAAATTTTGACTTTATCGTAGCCATCAGGAAACTCGCAGAATTGTGTATGTGACGTGTGCAGTACTGTAAACATCTTTCAGACCCAGTTCTCAAGAGCTTGTAAAAGCGTTTTTGGTCTGGTCAGGCCTTTTGACAGTGCGATTTTGCGAGTCCATTTTTATCAAAGGTGTCACTGTGCATGAAAGAACAGTTTTAGGTGAAAAAAGCACTTTTCGTCCTTTAAGGTTGGAAGACTCTCCGCTGCCTTTCTCACGTAGCACTCACTAGTCAAGTGGATCACAAAAGGCGAATCTAGATGGATTTTGTTAGCAATCTCTGGAGGCTTTAAAGAGCTTGTCGGGACATCTCTATCCACTATACAGGGTGTATACCACCATCAATTGCCATTGTAAACCCTTGCAAATGCCTTACAACACGTATGTTGATGAGCTTAGGCTTGCTATTTGGTTCTCTTTTTGTTTTTGGTGTTCAATCTGCATGGTAATATAGCTTTCGGAGTTTTTTTATCGTAAACATCAAGAGATCTATCTAACCATACTTGTGAAGCTAGAAATCAATTGTCTAGAAAGGAATCCTTTCAAGCACGATTTGGTGCTTCAGAAGAGCAATTCGCGCTATTGTGAAATACTACGTGCCGTTGAATGTCCTCTCAGCCGTCGCTTTACGAATTTACGAGTAGTAAGTGGTTTGACTGATTCGAAATTTAAATGTGCTTTATGTTTTAGACGTTTTGAAGTAGACTAGCACGGCCTAAATCGAGCTTCTGTGAGCTTCTGTGAGCTTCTGGGCTTTCATGTTCATCATAAGATGTCCCGTTACGACGCTGCGGGCATCTTCTCGCGATCGTGAATGACCGATGCCGAATTAGCACGGCGTGGGGATACCTTGCCTCTCACCGCCAAGGCGTCAATCTCGCGTCATGTCATACAAACTGCTCGAGTTTGCACAATTCCAGATGTTAGATGCGATGAAGTCAAGGAGGAGATTACACATCTCATTTCTTGCGCGTCGCTGCTCTGAATTGTTGCTCGCAAATTAATGGTGTCTGGCATGTGGAATTTTTTAAACTATAAGAGAAAAGTTCGCCCGATGTGCACGGTGCACACTTCTAGTAGCTCTACGAACTCACAAAGCGGGCTTTGACACCCCCTACGACCCTATGAGATTTTAGCATGTCGATCAAGAAGCGATTCAATATTTTCGAAATTTCGCCATGAACTCATAGACTTCTTTCCCCAGATTAAGTGACCAAGCTTATTTAAGCTTTTTCGCATCCACCACAGACATCAACAGTCCTAAAAGAAGCTCACTCGGACCCACACTTCGACCATGGTTGACCGATTACTCGCCATGTCTGTCACGTGTGGAGCGTTTTTATAGCTACTCTTAAAAATGCACTCACATACGATTTAACTGATCCATCAAAGGTTCAAGCGAGACTGAGAACTTTCAGGCCAGAAAGATCTCCCACGTTCATTCGACACAATGTCTGGTGCTCCTTTCAAAGCAACAGTTAATGAATATTTGGAGGACCTACCGCCCCAAGTTCAATCTCGACTGTACACATCTCCTGCAACATGTCTGGCCATCTACAGACTGCTGCCAAAATTGGCCAAATTCTTTATAATGTCGATGGTCTTCAACGAAAGTGACGTGTCGCTGCGCGATTTGGATCGATGGGTGCAAAGCACTGCTAAGTTTCAGTTCAACGAAGCTATCAAGTCCATGAAGTCTCTTCATTTGTTGATCGAAGGACATTCTGGACAACCATTCATGATCAACCTTAATTCCATATTCAGATCTAGTTTCCGCAATGCACTGACGGGTGGAGAAGTCAACAATTCCTTTGGGAATGTGGTGGATGACGAACACGAGGTGGTGCTGCCAGAAATGCTCGATCAGTACGCTGCTAACAAGTGGGAATCGATTTTGCATTACATGGTGGGAACACCGCTTACTCAAACGCCATCTAGAAATGTGCTTTCTCTTCTCCAGCACAGCAAGCTTATGGAGGAGAACGGCACAGGAGAATTGCAAATCACAAATGAAGGCTTCCAGTTTCTGCTTCAAGACGCCAATGCTCAGATCTGGACTTTACTCCTGCAATACCTTCGGCTGGCAGAAACCTTGCAAATGGATCCCGTGGATGTTTTGAATTTCATTTTCATGCTGGGAGCACTCGAACTCGGAAAGGCCTACAATGATTCTCACCTGAGTGACACTCAGAAGGTCATGTTGCAGGACATGCGAGACTACGGGCTGGTTTTCCAAAAGGCCTCTAATAGTACTAAATTTTATCCAACAAGACTGGCGGCAATGCTCACATCAGACAGCATGAGCATACGGTCCGCATCCAGTGCCATGAATAGCGTCTTAACTCAAGGTACAGCGAGCAACACAAAGACAGATGAACCGCCGGCTGCAAAAGATGATGCAGATCAAGATCCGGGCCAGGTTGGAACGACGGCCCAAATCATACCCGATGGGGCTGTCATTCTGGAGACAAATTTCAAAATATACTCATACTCGAACTCGCCTTTACAAATCGCTATTTTGAGTTTATTTGTCCACCTCAAGGCAAGATTTACGAACATGGTGACCGGGCAGATTACCAGAGATTCGGTCAGAAGAGCGCTGCTCAACGGTATTACGGCAGATCAGATTATAGCGTACATGGAAACACATGCGCACCCCCAAATGAGAAGACTTGCGGAACAGACCCTCGACAAGAAGATAGAGCTAGATCCCAATTGCAAGGAAGGTCTGCAAATACTCCCGCCAACTGTGGTCGACCAAATCAAGTTGTGGCAACTTGAGCTCGACCGCATTCTCAGTTACGATGGTTACCTTTTCACAGATTTTGACAATAGTCAGGAGTACAGCATGCTGAGCAACTACGCCAGCGATATCGGAGTTCTGCTGTGGAAAGACGATAAGAAAAGGAGATTTTTTGTGTCTCAAGAAGGTAATGCTCAAGTGATAGATTACGCCAAGAGAAAGCTCAAGAAGAAATAGCCGATTTGCCCTATCAGTCAAGAGATGATGACCGGGAGGGGGCTAGAGAGGGCGTCAAACGAATTTCCCAACTGATCACATGACATATGTGTCAGCGTCAGCGTGGTACGAAGTGGTTCTATTTTCGTGACAAGAATTTAAAGAAATCGAAAGAGGAGACACCACGCCGCTCCCCGAGATTCCGATGCAGCTATGTGAAATTTGCGTGTCACCGGTATTATATGCAGTGCAATATCGCATGAAAACGGCGTTTTCCGCGTCCATTTCCCAGAAAAAGCTGGCACTGCCTTGCAAAAGGCAAAGTCAATACCGATTTTTTGGCTGAGTTCAATCCCGGCTAGTTCAATTTTGAGATCCTTGATTGAAGCAGCTCTCGATTCTACGCTCAATGTGGTCGTCCAGGCTTTCAATCGCTTGGATTCACGACTGTCACGTGCCTATATCTATTCTCGCTTCTTTACATTTCAATATATAAATAATGTGACTATAGTGCCCCTTTGCATATTAAGAAAAGATAGTTGTGATCATTCAACATCATCAACGCAAAAGGCAAACCACAACCTTAGGAAACGGATACTGGTTCTTCAAGCTCCTAAGCGTCTCGAAAGCAGTTGGAAAGCGTTTCAGGACAGAAAAAACGACGAAGTTACAAGATTTCTAGCTGTTTTAGTTGCTAAAAGCAGGTCAAATTTGAGAGCTGGGTTGTGCAGTAGAGAAAGACCAAACCACAGCTGAAACAACCAGACTTGACACCGATGTCAAACGATCTGGTGGGGCATTTTGGTGGTGGAAGGGCTGGTTCGAGTAAGGCGGACGGTGCGAGGCGCGCGGTAGCCGAGGACGACGACATGGGCCCGTCCGTGTCGATGGCGGTGGAAGCCGAAGATGACGAGCATTTTCGGCAGTCTACGTTCAATCTCAAGCGTACTCGGTCCATGGGACTGCTGGACGGCCACTCAGAGAGCCCTTCGGCAGGGCCAGCAAGTCCGGAGGTCGACTCATACTCATCGCCCGTGGGGCCGTCGGAATCCACGTCTCCACCTGCCCCTGAAGCCGACAGTTTCATGGTTCCACACGACGACAACGACATCATGCACGAGCCCAAGCGCCATGTAGACTACCTCTCGCACGAGTGGAAGGAGTCTGAGATATCCCAGTCGTGGAAATACATCATCCTCAAGAAGAAAAAGAAAAATGAAGACCTGGTCAACGCAGCAAGACTAGAAAATGCATCTTGGCGTACTTGGGCTAAAGCTCGCAATCACCTGCGTACGGTAAGCCCTGAAACTGTGAACTGGTCCAAGGACTCCGACGTTACCTGGTTGTATGGCCCTGTAGTGCGACAGAAGTCTAGCGAACAGGACGCAAGTTCTGACGTTGAGTACGGCTATGGGTCCGATGACGAAACTTCAAAGAGGCTCACCACTTTGAAACCCAAGAAACGGGCGCTGAAGGGCCCCAAACCTATTTTGAAAAAGAGAACGGTATCGGAGATTATTGAAGAGAACTCGCGTTGGAAGCTCAACGTGGCGAGACAGCACAAAAAGAATCTATCCAGCACGCAGGCCTTGATGGACGGATACGGTAACAATTTAGATGCGGCAGACGACTACGACGCGTTGGCGGCCAGGGTCAACGCTCAGTACTACTCCTCTAACGAGGTGCCCTCATCGGCATCTTCTACACATGATGATAGAATAGATTATCAAGAGCTCCAGTTGCAAGAACACGCGAACGAGGGGCAATCGCCATATTCTGGCGAAGCCGAAGATAGTGTTTCTACATCGCGTCCGGTATCATCGTCAAATCGATCTCCAGCACCCGCCTTGGAGTCTATTCTAACGTCTCCTAGCAAGCGTACTCCCAAAAACGCTAACGAACAAAGAGACCGACACATTCATTTTAACGACCGAGTAGAACAGTGCATGGCGTTGGCCATCACATCTAATAACGACGATGATGACTTTGATGACGATGACGACAATTACAGTTTTGACGATGACGCTGTGGAAGGTTCAGCACATCACGAATTCACGAATACAAAAGGAAGTCGCTCGCGTCGTGATGACAAAAGTCAACATTTAGGGGCTGAATCAGATCAAGATCTCGATAGCTCATCTTCTGACGAAGAAGAGGCAGGACTTTTTATAAATGCAAGACTTTCGAAAAAGTCAGAAGGGTCTCATGCTTCAGCAGACGCCTCATCCACAAGCGCTGAAAGCTCCAGCATTAAAAGTCTAACGACTCCAATTATAAAGCCGCTGCCGGCAACAACGTTGAATTATGGATCAGACGAAGAAGACTTTGACGACGACGACGAGTATTATGGCAGCAACGCGGTTTCTCACAACGTCAACACTTTCAGAGGGTATGACTACATGTACGACTACAACTCGGTGTACACTGGAGACACGTCAAGTTTTATGGCAGCAAATGACTACGACATGGTCGATGTTCCGGAAGGGCTCAGAACCCCTATAGAAGAGCATGACGCTCATTCAAGCTTGATTGACCAGGGTTCTGATGAAGACAAACTGCCGAGCGAGCCTATACCAAAAAAAAGATTTTCTTTAGACAGTGATACAGATTCTTATGGGTCCAATGGCGAGTCTCAATTCATTGAAGACTCACGTAATAGGAGTAGCGATGAGGATGATGACACCGCAGATCTGGAGAGCCTTCCTCCCTTGAAAAGAACACCATCTCTTGGTGTTTCCACCCCCACTTCCTTGCAAGATCTACAGTTACAGAGCCCTTCCATACCTCAGACGCACAGTTTTATTACAGGGAAGCCATTGCGACAGATAAATCAACCTTGGGACGCTGCACCCAAGGAATCGTCGAGTTTCAAGACTGCTGCATCGAAGCCAGCAAAAAAGTTTTCCTTCGATTCAGATTCGGGTTCAGATTCCTGTAGCGACAGCAAAGAAGAGGACGCTGATAGCACAATTCAAGAACTATTCACGAGAAACCATTACCACGAAAACGAAAACGAAGATGTAATAAGACGCAACCAGCCTTTGAGCCTCGCTGACACTTCGTCGAAGGGTGTTCAATCCTCTTACAACGACCCTACACATGGCACTGCTGTTTCTCCCATCTCTAGACCTCAAGGGCAGAGGGTGCCCAGTGAGTCTCTCATGAGCATGGTCAGCACCACTGGTGATTCCCGAACTTCTCTGTCAGATGTGGCCATCTCTGGTTATATCTCACCGCGCAACGAATCCATGCACTCTGTCGTTGCCAAGGAGAAAATGACGGCAAACAACAAGTCTACTTCCGCAGATGTTGAACACATAAACAAGAATTTAGAAAAGTGGCATCTGAATCCCCACGATCATGATGAAGACGATCCTAATTCCGAGAATGTACAGAAAATGATGAGCTCAGCGCGGGAAATCGCAAGCAAGTATCTACATTCATGGAAAAAGTAGGCAACCCAAGAATTTTTGAAAAAAGACCAAAACTTAGAGGAAAGACATACCAAACCCACTGGGTTTTTCCGAAACAAAAACGGCTGGCATTGACAACATTGATGGGCCTCGGCTCATAGCGAAACTGTCTTCAAGAGCTCACGAACATATGTTAGCTCAGCGTATACAATGATATTAAATAAGGTCAAGTTCTGCCCACCTACCTTTAACTTGGTAGATGGATGTTTGATGACATGACCAAAACCACCTGAAAGTTTACCGCTTGAGTTTATATTCCAAACAACGTTACCAACATCTTCTATCTATGCTTAAGGGCTCGACGCCTTTGAAGGACAACCCAACTTCGTCCGTGGATCGCACACTACCGTCATTGAAGGTTCTAAAAGCTTCACAGCCAGATTTGGAATCGAGTCCGAGTGCAATGCTTGAGGACTCTACTTCTCTGAATGATGATCTGATGAGTGTCCATAGCAGTGCCAATAAAACTGACCGGCTGAGGTTCCTTTCTGGCAGAATGAGTCCGGAAAGCACGTCTATAAGGCAAAGTTTCGATTCATCTTCAGTGTGGGGAAGACAGGGCAGGTTTAACGCCGCGGGGAACGTAATGCGTAGCGGAAGTATGGAATTTTCTCCACTTGGTAACAACTCGGTTTACGAATTGGTCATGAATACGCGGCGCAAAAATTGGTTAAAGAGACCAACAACTGATGATATACCACCAGTAATTTTAAGCAAGAACAAAGTTTTCGATACTTGGCGCGAGAACACTAGCAAGTACGTTGAGGAAGTTGAATCCGACTATGCTGTTTTCGAGCATCACAACAGTTTAGAAACCGCCAAGGGCTTGGGAAGGCTACCGCTGGACGAGACCAGTGATGTAAAAACCGATGCTTCGGAAGACGAAACTGGGCATGACCGTGACGAAATCATTGGCAGCCAGGGGTATGGCAATATTAAAAGGCTGCCGAGCTTCTATTTCGATGAGAAGTTCAGGTTAGACGACACACGAACGTTTAGGAAGATCGTTGATGATTCAGATCTGCACGTTGATAGCTTACGCTCCGAATCACTTCAAAACAGAAGCGAAGCATATCAAAGCATAAAACAAAGACTTTCAGAGCATCTCGATAGCATTGAAAACTTACTGTTGGCAGAAATATCAAAGTCATCAAATAGCTTCTTTTTCGCGCTAGAAGATGTTGACAAGATAAAATCCAAAGCAGCCGATACAATCGAAAAGCTCAATGTAATTTCTAGCGGCTTAGCCGCAGTTGATAGACAGCATTTTCAATCCCTTATAATGGTTTTGAAGAAAAAGGTGAAGAGGAAAAACATTGAAAAGCTTGAGCAAGGCTTACTACAGGCCAAACTCGTTACCGAGCTTGTTTCTCAATGCCACAGTCTTTTCAAGGAGAATAAATACGAGGAATGCTGGAAGCTGATAGGGCATGTTGAGAATTTACTAAAGGGGGACGACGATAATGACAAGCGTATTCAACAGATGACGAAAAAGTGGCCCTACAAACTTTCAGATTTGACCTCTGTGCCCGCTTTTGCACAAACGCGAGAGGAACTGCAAGGAATGACAACTGAAATTGGGGCAGCGTTCTCAAACGACTTTTGCGATACCTTATTGGAGGAAATTAGGACAAGCTATACGCCGGAGGTTGAGCTTGGGAAAGGTGTCATTGATTCCAGCTTCTTAAGAAGCTCAAAAAAGGATGCAGAATTGGCCGATAGAATTAAGAACTCCGCGGAAAAGCTGGTCCAATGCCACGAATTGGCGAACGCCTTTCAGCTTTACAACGATAGATTCATCGCGGAGCTGAAAAACATCATCAAAGATTTTCTACCAAGAGAGCAAGAGAACAACCAGGACGCTTACGAGAGCTCTGCGGAGTCTAGAAGTTCGGGCAGCGGGTCAAAACTGTCACGACTAATCAGAAGTTTAACACCTGCTGAGTTTCAAGAAATGTTGATCAAGATTTTTGTTCGCGAAAACCAGGCGCTCTGGAGGCTTTCAAGGCATCAAAAAGTTCTACTTGACGTAGCACTTGCAGCTATCACTGACGATTCACGCCAAAACGTGTCCAGTCCCGAAACAATAATGCAATTAGATATCAATCCAGCTATTCATGAGGGCACACGGATCGTTCAGCTACGAATGGGCAAAATCATAGCTGTCAGACGGGATATCAATGCCAAACTGAGATACGACCACTTCCTACGACTTTGCAGCGTATGTTTTTGGTTTGATCGTGAGTGTGAAAACATCACCGGGGTATTTCTCACGCAGTACCTGAAGGACGTGCTAGCAGCGCAAATAAAGGCGTACGCTAGCACGTTGAACTCTCAAAACGCTCAGTCGGTACGTAATGCGATAGACCAAGAAGCCTGGACTCCTCGGGTCGTCGAGCCTGAAGTGCAGCAAAACGTCAACGAGATCGTCTCTTGCGTCCACATGACTCCATCCAGCTGGACTAAACTGATGGACCTGGTCGACAAAAATGAGCAAGATACGGTGGTACCACAATCAGAGGCGCAGGACACCGAAAAAGCCGTATCAAAAGGTCACAAGAAGTCTGTTGTCGTGAACGACAAGACATTCGTGGCGAGCAATGCTCTACTAGAAATGATCGGGATGGTCAGGGCTGTTCTGGTGCTGTCCGCGAATCTGCCCAGCTCTTTCCTAGTCACTTTCGAAAAGATGTGCTACGATATGGTGATGTACTTCAACTCAAGGGCTATGGCCTCCGTGTCTGTGGGACCTGACAACATGCCGTCCACGAAAAGCGGGAAAAACCTCAGCATCTTGGGCGAGTCTTTGGACTGTCTAGCTGAGCTAACGGCGATGGTTCAAATGTTTTACCAACGTATGAGCAGTAACTTCCGAGACTACGAAGCTATGGCGCCTGAAACGTACATGCAGCTATTTAAGACATTCCAAGCGTCGTCGGAAAAGCTGTATCAAGCGCATGCTCCCCCTCCACCTATTTGAGAGTCAACAGGTTGTTATTCGGTAGCTTGGGAGGAGCATTAAGGTTACACAGTTTACAATTCAACGGTGTGCTTGGGACCTGGGCGGCTAATACGACACCATCTCGAATCCTTATCACTGTATACGTAGATAAGTATTACTATAAAAGCCTCCGTTACACGTTCAAACCTTGTACTTTCTCCACCACTTGTTGAAGCAGGATAAGTGTCAAATAAGTAAGAAACAATGCGTTGTCGGCTGTTCCAAGACGGCGGGATGTGGCCTATTAGGAAACTGGCTTCCTCAACGCGTTTCCGGCATTTGTTTTTGTACAATTTAGCCTCGGCGGCTAATTTACGCGGAGATATTGACACTTAAAGGGAAACATTCCAGCTGTTCTTGTGAGATTTGTTGCTGAGCCTTTTCATGAAGTGTGTGATTGAGTGTCAGGCTGAACAATGGATCGTTTGGAGCTAAACCCCTGTGTTTTGCACTTGTGGAGCACGTCTTAAATATTTCATGAGCCAATAAAATCTAAGCAAATAGCACTACTGTGGGACCTGTCATCGGTGAGCTTTCGCCATGAAAAGTGTCTCGTGCTGGTCTTGAACTACCTTTCATGAGCCCTTTAAAGAGCACATCGCTTCTTTCCACAAATCTTGGCTCACTTTCCCGGGGACAAGAGCCGGTAGGTACCAGTCCCAGATGGACAATAAAACACAAGCTTGAACGTCCCGCACTCCGAATTGACTACAAGTGCTTTTGAACAAATCGCGAAACAAGCTGCCAAACACGGCGTGTGTCAGCCAAAGACCCAGACGTTTTTCGAAAAGGGAAAATAAAGACAGGCGACTGACGAAAGAAGAAGACCTACCAATTCCATACTCAAGATATCGTCATTATTACTCGGCTAGTTGCGTCGTGGTCTTGACTTCGTCTCGCTTATGATATTAATCACGTGATACCTTCTAAAACAAATCATGCCACGTGTGTTTGTGTTACCCTGATTCTGATAAACTCTGGTCACTCTATACGGCATAAATATGCCCTCACCAGCTATTATGTCGTTCAGCTTGTCAGAGGTGAAGATGAAGAACAAGACAATAGACAACGTTAAAAACACTCCCAGGCAGACCCAAATCTTCTGCGTAAACACGGCTTGGCGTACACACCCTTACGTCTCAAATTTTGTTCCCTTCTTTTGTGGTATACCAAGAGCTACAACGAGTTTTCGTTTTTGTCCGTTTTCTATCCGTTACAAGTTAAGCTCAAGCAGACTAAGTGCGTTTTCCGGAGTGCTAAGTTGACAAAAACGCTTTCTACACTTACCCTGTTCGTTTTCGATCGAAAAACGTTACCAGCACGCTACTGAGCCGTGCATAGAACATTACAGTGACAGGCTCTGGGCAGAGACAGGGTTATCCTTCGAAAACAGACCGCGCTAACTTACCCTGAAAAACATCGAGCCCAAAGGCGCAGGGAAGTTAAGTCTGTGTGGGCGTATAGAACCTTGGAATAGCGGCTAACCGATGTCGTCAGGACGATCTCATCAGGAGTCTGTTGAAGAAGCCGTCTTCAAATACGTCGGCGTGGACCTGCAGGGCGGGAAACACAACGATGAAGGCGACACTGCGAACGAAAATCTTCATAGAAACCTCACGTCGGCTACGCACCAAGCAGACCATCGTTCAGACCAACACCACAAGCCTAGCCGTCCTCATATTACCGAGCAAGCTATGATTAACACGTCTCCTGGCACTATGAAGAAATATCACCATCAACGGCTGGACCAAATGTTAGTCCGCGACGCTCAAAATGCCAAGACCGCCGCAGCCGCTGTCAGTGCAATGCTGGCGACAAACGGGTCTCATAACGAAAGCAGTGGGTCCACGGGCTCTGGTGGGTCTCCTGGCGTGATGCCAGCTGGATCATCCACGGCTGCAGACGTCGAATGGTTTCTGCGACATGAATTGGACCCTGAATCGTCCGCGGCAAATGAACTAGACGTGCGCGGGGCACGTGAGCCGCAATCCGTGGCAGCAGCAGCTGTAGCAGCTGCCTTCGGCTCGTCTCAGGGCAGCAGCAGCAACAGCAACGTCAATATGCTTGACCGCAAGAGATCTCGTGTGTCAGAGTCCAACAGAGTAAATTCGGTAAATCCGCTCACGGGACGTCCGTCAAACAGCAAGAGACTCAAAAGCTCTTTAGAGTCGCGCAACTCCGCTCGCGGCAGCCACGGTCAGGCTTCTAAAATTCCTCATCTTGGTGCGGTAGATCCAGAACTAGCGTCTCTTGACGACCCGGAAGATGTCACAGAGCATGAACAATTGGTTCGGAAAGCTATTCTAGACGCTGACTCCATTGCCCACCACCCAGACTTCCAGCACTATCTGAACACGGAAGATGAGCCTGAAGAGAAAACACGCCTATCGGGTGACTTGCACCAAGGAGACTCGCACAATTTCGGCAGGAAAGTGGAGGTGCTACCGAAGGTTTCTGGAGGCGATATTGGAATAGGGTCTCACACGGGCTCTCACAATGGATCGGATTCCATTTCGGGATCTAGGTCTGAATCTGGTGCGAATGCTGTCCATGGAGGCATTTTAGGTGCCAGTGGACACTCGATGTCAAGAACTTCTTCTGGTGCCGGTGTTGCGAACGATCACGACATATCACATTTGATTCAAGACGCTGCCACGAAGGCCTCGAATTTTATAAGCCCTCAAAGCCAGTCTACTGGAAAATCTTTTGACGCTGCAGAGGAGCAGGCACTGGAACATTTCATCGGAGAATACCAAGCAATCAAGAGTTTATCGCGTCGCCAGATTTGCGAGCGTATCTGGTCCAATGAACGGCGGAAGGACGATTTCTGGACAAATATCTGCAAAGTGCTTCCTTACAGGACCAGATCTTCCATCTACAAGCACGTCCGTCGTAAATATCATATTTTCGAGCAACGTGGTAAATGGACACCGGAAGAGGAGCAAGAATTGGCCACCTTGTGTCTTGAAAAGGAGGGGCAGTGGTCTGAAATCGGTAAATTATTGGGCAGAATGCCTGAGGATTGCCGAGATCGCTGGAGAAACTATGTGAAATGTGGTAACAACAGAGCCTCTAACAAATGGTCCCCACAGGAGGAGGAACAACTAAAGGAGGTTATTGCGGAGCTTCTTGACTCCGCCGGATCGCCAGAGGATCACCTGTACGATCCCATGGACGAGTCGCAGATGGAGGGTAAAGAAAAGAGACCTGCCAAGAAGAAGAAGGATTCAAACGCTCGAGACGCCATTAATTGGACTGTAGTGAGTGAGCGTATGGGAGGAGCTCGGTCGCGCATTCAGTGTCGGTACAAGTGGAACAAGCTACTGAAAAAGCAAGCTATGAACAAGATCAAAAATATCAGTGAGGAAGACAAGATGTGGATTCTCGAAAAGCTTAGAGACATGGGATTTACCGAAGACCTTCAGGTAGACTGGGACGAGCTTGCTACTTTGATGCCCGGAAGGCTCTGGTCCGGTACCGAGTTGAAACTTTGCTATGAAAAGTTAAGAACAGGTGTGAGGTATCATAAAGATCGTACCATCAACCAGATTTGTAAAGAATTGATCGGAATTCGCGATGAAGGTCTGCCACTGGAAACTGGCAATCTTCTAGGGTCAAAGCGTTAGCACTTTGTGTAACATGTAACAGAAAAACATTAGCAGATTGAGCTCTCTCGACGTGATGAGATTGACGCTTTCAACTGGTATGATCAAGCACTTGACAAGAAAGTTTCTTTCCTATATTTAAAACATTATACAAATATTCTAAGAAAGAGAATAGGTGCGTTTGATAGCGGTTATTGTTCTGGTTTTGATACGATGAAATTCAGCAATTAGAAAGTTCTTAGAACTTGCTGAATTGTTTGTTAGCCTTACCAGCTGGGGTGGTGACCTTCAAGACGTTGAATCTAACGGTCTTGGAGATAGGTCTGCACTGACCAACGGTGACAATGTCGCCAACCTCGACACGGAAAGCTGGAGAAACGTGGACTGGGACGTTCTTGTGTCTCTTCTCGTATCTGTTGTACTTTGGAACGTAGTGCAAGTAGTCTCTTCTGATGACGATGGTACGGTGCATCTTGGCGGAGACCACGACACCGGACAAGATCTTACCACGGATGGAGACCAAGCCAGTGAATGGGCACTTCTTGTCGATGTAAGAACCCTCGATGGCGGTCTTTGGGGTCTTGAAACCCAAACCAACGTTCTTATACCATCTCTTGGTACGTCTGTTAGCCTTGGCCTTTGGGTTGGTGAAGATGTGTGGTTGCTAGAGAGAGTAGAGAGTTAGTAAGAGTCACAGGTCGGGAAGGGAGGAGTGAGGAGTGCAACTGGGGACGACTGAGGAAAGTCGGTCGACTGGTTTTAGATGGTGCTGGGACCGTTGAGCACTGCTCATTTGGCGAGTGTTTTTGAACCCACTAAAGGAACCTGGAATTCGCGAGTTTTAGTTCCAATAACAAAACTAAGGCACAAAACGCATCTCAGCTTCTACCAACGCCGTGGATGGACTTATTTCGTTACATCTGGATACTGTTCACAGTTTTTCACTTCATGTCGTTCCTCCAATTTCTCATCGATCCCGCGCGAACTAGTGCGCCTATAGGGCCTTATTCCATACCTTTTGGAAAGCTCTTTCAGCTTGCACAGTCAATTCAGTAGACATCTTGTTGATCCGGTTTCTGAAGGCTTACAATAGAATGATATCAAACATCAACAGATTAGCAGCGTTTACTACTTCATTATTTTTGTCAAAGTTCGTAGACCAATGGGTCCTACAGGGACGGTAAGGGCTGGCTGCGTTGCCAGCGAGGCGAGGCTAGGCTGGGAGGCTAGGCTGGCGCTAGGTTGGCGCTAGGTTGGCGCTAGGCAGGAAAGGGGCTCGGAGCTAGGCGGAGCCTAGGAGGAGCCTAGGCAGAGGCCAGGCAGAGGCCAGGCAGGAATCCAAGCAAAGGCTAGGCGGGAGCTACACTAGGCTGGGATATTGTCCGCGTAGGACGACGTGCTAGTCTGGAGTCGAGCCTAGCGCTAGGCTCGCGACTGCCCTGGGGCTGGTGGGAGGCTCCCTGCCTAGCGTTGAGCCCACCCCACGCAAATCATGATATTCTGGCAATACGACGCAAACCGAGTTTTTCAACATTTTTTACATAAAATTTAAAAACGTGATGATAAATAATATCACATGGTCCTTTAGGGATCTGGGTGTATGTGGTGGATGGGTGTCGACAGTCATTTGGTAATTTGGTCGCTCTGTACGCGTTGTGCTAGGATCATATAGGCATATCTGTAGTAAGGTCTCGAGGAACTAACTCGGGCATCGATCTCAATTTAGTAGTAGTATATGCTTCAATGGTTCGGCAAATTGCGCAATTCTGTTTCGTTTCATTTTCAGCGGCACTTAGTGTCACTAAGTTTCACTTCTTTTCTGAACGAGTTCGAAGCCCAGTCCCACGAAATTATACAATTAACGCATACCACAGGGCAGTAGCTTACAGAAATCAACGAATCCATGAAAATGTCGCACCCAGGTGAGATTCTGGTTTTTTTCAATCATCTATAATGAGTCCAGTGCTAGCTCCCAAAATGCAGCGTCAGGACCGCATCGGAAGATTATTGTTTTCTGGTCGAGAATTTCAATGGGAGAATACCAGGAATTGACAGACCTAGCTCGAACGTGGGATCTCACTGGGTTTTTTGATCCCGCCAGGTTTTTCGTTCCGGGGCCGAATTCACTCGAGCCCAAAGTTTCCCCATACTATTGAGTTGCGGAGTCTTCTGAGACGCCAGCGTCACAAAAAAAACTCCGGACTGGACCTGCACAATCCATTTTCGAAGTATAAAAGACGAAAAGATCATTCGACTTCGCTTTGTGCTGGCCCATCACCCTATCCCGGACCATTTTATTGTTTAAAACTGCACTCCAACTCCAAACCTCTTGAAATGATCCACAGACAATCTCATCTTGACTTCACGCAGCTTGCTGACTCGCCAGTGTTGTTTGAGGAGTTTCAAGACGACACAAACCAGATCTATTCAAAAAGAAAGCAATTTAGAGCCTGGCTTCACAATCTGAAGGAACACTCTCCCTCTCTAGACGTCAACGACGACGAGACCGTTTTCATCGATGCCAAAGACGCCTTTTTGAGTTCGGCCAATCCACTGTCGTACGTCCCGGTACTCAGTGCCACAGAAGCACAGGAACTTCTGGCCAGACCAATGAACGAGCCTAAGGAATATCCTCACGGGCGCCGCTTGAAAGCTTTCTTAAGAGACCATCTAAGAAGGCCTTCTAAGCGTCGGGTTCTGACTGCAAAGCCAAGACGTCCCATAAAATGCTGCAAAGCCAGCCCAGTGGTTTTCACAATGAAGTACGAGGACCCTGAATTTTTTGGAAGCGACCGTGAGGATCTGCAACAATTGGAATTTGCCAAAAACCACGGTAGCTTTGTGGGTGACTTCTCTTCCGAAAAGGACTCTTACCACAAAAATGACACTGAAGTTAGTCTTGCCACGCAAAAGGGATCTGCGGATGCGCCATCTGCGTTCATTGCGCGCCAGAGGCCCAAAATTGAGGGCTCGAACTATTCTGCTCTACCGCCACAAAATGGCCATTTTTTAGAGCAGGCCGCTAGATCTGAACACGAAGTTGTCAATGCAAAGGATTCTATCGCCAAACCTGAAAGACTCGCTGATGAAATCGCTCAAGCAAACAGAAATTTCGACGTTACTGGCCACAACAGCGCGAATTTTTTAAGCAGAAAGCTTTCCGTCATGGAGTCTCGCAGAGCCGGAGATTGCAATCTCCCAGTGATGGATACGGAGGGTAGCGGTGACTCAAACTGTTTAGAGCGTGAAAACGCGGAAGCGTTTGACACTACACCAATTGAACCAAATTATGTCATGGATCCTGGATCACCATCTTGTCCAAATACAGACTCTGAAGCCAATTCCAAACACGACAGCCTGAAAAGAATCTTCGACAATCCAGTCGAGCTTCTTACGGAACTTAAGCGTCCATGCATCGACAAGGAAGGTAAGCATTCCGATTATGATGGTGACTATGATGAGCGTCAGGCAAATGAATCTTTCCGGGAGTCCTCTTCCATTTACTCGGATACGCCTTCATTCAACGAGCCAGTATGTGATACGCCTCTTTCAATGTCGGAGAATAATCCACATATGCTTGAGAATCCTTACATCGAACATCAACAATCTCCAGAGCTATCGAAGAAGTGCTTACCAAACAGAGAGTCACCCAAAGCGGTGACCACCCAAGATGCACGAGAACCTGCAAGTTACAAAAACCCGCCTCCGATCAGAACTCCTACCTTCACACCCATTTCTAAACTTAACCGCGGCGCTTCTGACAATGGCAATGGTTCGCCACTTGAAGAGAAGTTCCATGGAATGGTTGAAATATTGAAATATGTTGTCCATCACCAGCCATTGGCAAAAAGCGAGACAGGGAATGATAGCACTGTTGATAATGGTGGAAATGGTGTAATCGATGACAATAATGCCAAGAAAGATTCCAAGGCGTGTAACGAGGGTAGCGAACGTCGCAGCAGCAGTGGTAGGAGCAGCAGTCGCGGTGGCAATCGCTCCAGCTCAATAAAAAAACCCCAAACATTCAAGCCTTCCAAATGCGAAGAATTCGAAACTCAACAATTGTGTGTTCCGACATTTCGGCAAAGTTTGCGTAAAATAGACGCTTTGGGGCTCTTTGAAGATGTGAGAAAAGGCACTTTGACCGAGAGAGATTTGTTCAATTTGTCAAAAGTAAAACCCGATGACACATACGATTTTCGTGACAGTAGGTTTTATGATAACCAATCTTCAAAGTCAAGTTCATCGGAGTCTTTCAAGGCACACGATGAAGAGAGCTTAGTTTCCAGTGTCAAGTTTGATAAATTCTCGCATTTGCTAATGTACGATGTTCGCAAAACCAGCAAGTTCGAGCGACCTGAGACTTCCCAATCTTCCAGAAGTGCCAAAGCATGCACTAGAGAGACTAAATTGCCTCGATCTCTCTCTGACAGCACGACCAGCGAAGCCAGGAAAAAGCGAATGGGCAACTGCAAGCCCATTCTCAAGCGTAAAATAAACGAGCGTGCAGAAGTAGAGTTTTTGAGAGCGGAAGACTGCGATACGGTGGACGTCACAGATTTCTTGACTTTCTTCAAGGGCCACGAAGCGCGCCGTCGCACTGAGGAAAACCGTCTTAGCAAGATTCGCGAGCAGCAATTGACAAACTACTACGCTAACGACCACATGTACAACTCAGTTCAGAACGGAGACGTTAAATCTGCCATGATTGACTTTAGAAGAAGTAAAAGGGCCACAGAGCACAACATCGGAAGAGAATTGCGCGATCCTGCCACCATAATAATGAGCTGTCCACGAGAAGCCGAATGGCAACGTCTACACAAACAAAGTAAGGTCTCCCAGAGGTGTTTTTAAAGACATTTTACTAGTAAACATTATTGAAAGACATTAATATTGATGTGAATTTAACACTTTATCTTATTGAATATCTCATTTTACGGGCTTTCATCTGTCAGCCTGTTAAACCAGTGGAATGGAGCTTTAACAGGTGCTCTAATCCAGGACATTTAGCTATTGGCATGACAGGCTATCAGTTCTTTCATCTTTGTCTGTAAGGTTGGGACGACACGAAATAAAAAATTACGAAATCGACGACGATCTTGTCGTTTGTAGATTTATATGACTATAATAGACGTATACAATTAGTTAGCGTTAGCATTCTTCTTCTTGTTAGAAGTGGAGTTCTTTGGAAGCTCCTTTGTGAATGGGAGGAACTCTGGTTCGCCTGGAATATATTTTCTCAAGACTTCTGGAACAACGAGACCATCTTCGGTTTGGTAGTTTTCCAACACACAGCATAGGGCTCTTTGGGTAGCGCACAATGTGGAGTTCAAACAGTGGACGTACTTCTTCTCTCTGTCTCCCATCTTCTTGATACCACATCTGATTTCCAGGTTTCTGGACTGGTAGTCGGTACAGTTTGAGCACGACACAAGCTCTTTGTACTCCTGCTGGTAAGGGAACCAGGCTTCCAAATCGTACTTCTTAGCGGCAGCATTGTTCAATTCGCCTGACACGATGCCCACCACGCGGTAAGGCAAGTCCAAGGACTGGTAGAACTCTTCAGACATGGCAATCATTCTGTCAAACTCTTCCCACGACTTTTCAGGCTCGGTCAAAACAAACTGCTCGATTTTCTCGAAGGCGTGGACTCTGAACACACCCCATGCGTCCTTACCATGAGCACCGGCTTCTCTTCTGAAACATGACGAGTAGCCTGCGTAGCGAACAGGCAATTGTTCCTGAGGCTTCTCAAACCATTCGTTCGAGTGGTATGCGGAGATAGGCTGCTCAGAGGTGGCAATCAAGTATTTTTCGTCTTCACCATCCAAAACTTTGTAAAGCTCTTCGTCAAACTGCGACAATTGAGCAGTTCTCTTCATGACCTCTTTGTCCATCATAACTGGAGCTTGTAGAGGAGTGTAGCCCTTGGAGGCCAGAAACGACAAACCGTAGTTGATCATGGCCTGGTTCAAAAACACACCGTAGTTTCTGAAAAAGTAGCCTCTGTGGCCCGAGATCTTCACACCACGCTCAGGGTCGTATCCGTCCAATCTTAGAAGCACTTCGTGGTGAGACAAACTGGCAGGCTTACCTGAGCAAGAAGCAGTGGTGCCGACTTCTGCGACGTCCTTGGGCTTCCAGCTACGCACCAATTCGTTATTTTCCTCGTCATTCGAGACAACCACGGAAGGATGCACGATGTTACCCACTTGGAACACCTTTTCTTTCAAAGCAGAGTCCTGTTGCTGTTCGAGCTCGCTCAATTTCTTTTTCTCGGCAGCGATCTCATCTTTCTTGGCCAAAAGTTCCTTTGGATCTTCCTTGTTCTTGAACTTAAGACCAATTTCCTTCTGCACTTTGTTTTGTTCCTTGTTAAGCTCGTCCAACTGGAAACGAGTCTTAACCCATTCTTTATAGTCCGCGATGATCACATCTACGATTTCCACATTGGCGTGTCTGGCTTTTTGAGACTGTCTAATTAGCTCAGGGTTGCCACCCTTTTCTTCGATAAATTGAGTGATATCCAGCATGCTGAACAGGAACGGATAAAAGACCTTATATGGGGGTTAGAACTGGAGTGTTTGACGTGGTGATGATTCATAGAAGATGTGTTAGATTTTACACTTTATCGAAAATTTGATATATTGTCATTGTTTACGTAGTGGTGATGATGATGATGGCGACGACGGTGATGATGATGATACTCTCACAGAAGTTCATCACTCTTGATGGTGAGAAGACTCGTTAATTGGCTTGGTCTTGAATCGTGCGTAGTTTGTTTTGGACATCCGAGCTTCATTTACGAAGCTTACTGCCAACAGGTAGACATAGTACAATTTCAATTTATTTCTAAAAGATGATGCGTTGGTCAGTAAATCGAGCGAATAGCATATCCAGTTATTGACGTACTTTCAGCTCAATAGGGTCTTTCATATGACCTTTTTACTCGAGAGCTCTGTGATAATTGATTACTGCGCCAGATCACTTTGCACCTTCCTGTCACAGTTAACATGACTCAAAAAGTGACAAGTTCAAATGACTTAGGCTCTTCAAAAGGGATTTAACTGTTAAAGATGGGGGCTTTTGCCTCCAAGGTCCCTCAGTCTTGACAAATTGTAATAATATGGTGCTGCCATTGATGTACAATGGTAGTCTGTGAGGATAAGGTATTCGTATGTGTTTTGATCAGAGCCAGTGTATTTCAATCGAATATGAACATTTGAAGAGGTCGGTGCGTAATGAGTCTTGGGGAACGTGTCAGGTCATAAGTCGAGGTGTGTCCAACTTGAAATACAATTATTGTTTTTGTCACTTTTTACACAATTGTCATTTGTCGTCGAATTATGTAAGAAAAGACTAAACTGAAGAACATATTGCAGAGTTATTAGAGTGAACGGCAGGCAATGGCAGTTCGAGGCATTAGGCAAATGAATGCCAACGCTTCCCATTGTGAATAGAATGGCTCAACAACGACAGTCATACTTGGGGTAGTTGTTTCATATATTATATAAAATTATGGTAGTGTCCCGATCCACAACCTTTGCAACGGTCAGTCTTTCGACAACAGAAAGTTGAAATTGCAGCCGAGCACTGACTTTTGTTAACAGCTCTTTATTCAGGTAGATTTCTTATCAAAAGTGCTAATATCGGAAGTCAGCATCCCAAAGACTGCTGCTTTCATACTTGTATCGTCAATTCATTATTTGTACGAGTGTTTTGTAAATTTGGCGAAATGGATCTAAAGTCCTCTAAAAACGAAGTCAACGGCTCGTATTATAATCACGACCACCAAGTTATTGACTTATCCTACCGCATGCGTCAAATTTGCCATAATAAAGCAGATCTGTCAAGATCGTCAGTGAATCAATTTGTTTTTCGATGCAGCTGGAATTCTATCATAATTGACCACTAGAACCAACAAAGACAACTAATATAGACCACTCATGATTTTGAATTTCAACTTTCGGCACTTGAAATTTTCTAGGTCTTTTTTCAACCTCATCCGGCTCAAACTTCTATCTTGAATCAAAGTTCCTGGCCCAGTAAAAGACTGTATTCTCTCTGTGACTGCTTGTAGTGACTCGATTGTAGCTGCCCAACCTCTTTGGCCATCTAAAGCTCTGTACTCAACGTCATATAGCTTAGTCGTAGCAATTTATCAACACGTGACGAGGTGACAGGTGACTGTTCCGGACAAGATATAGCATTCTGAAAGGTGTAAACAGATATTGTGTTGAACTGCTCCGCCGAGACTATTGTGGTGTCATGATGCGACTTGTATCAATCCCTGAAATTGGCCATTTCATACCACGACTGGCTTTCTCATGACCACTTCATTACTCGAAGTCAGATTATTCGGCTCTACTTTGGCAAAATTAGGTAAGGTCTTCTAGCCTTCTCGCAGAACACAGAGCACCGAAAAGCACTTCATACATTTTACTGAAATTCCAGTTGTTTGAGAAATTGAAATATTACAGTTACCTGTTTTTCATTATAATGGGAATTAAAATCTAGTACAAGTTGAGCCAATACCAAGCGCAAATTGCTCTGCAAGTTGTGCAGCAGTGCTATGGTGACTAAAAGTGGAAGCACTCTGGCGTGCCGGACACTTCTATGATCCGTGACAAAATTGACCGATTAGTGAGGAATGATTTCATGGAACAAAGAGCAAGGTGCGGAGCGAGTACCAGTTGATTTTGAATGACCACATTTGGTCGAACTCTGAACATCTCAACAAAATACGTTCTGCCTTTGAATACGCAGAAATGCAGGGTTCACCAAAGAATTCCTTTGTTTTGAGTTGTAAAGCCCAGGCGACCCAAGACGCTTAAAAAAAGCTTTTAGTCAAGAAATCCGTGGAATCAAAGCCGCCATCCTTATCTCCTTTGAGCTCATGGTGCTCTGTTTCTAAAGACACCGAAAATAACAATCGTGTTTTCAAAAATCGGTATTTGAGGAACCATGAAGCGGAAGAGTTGAGATGCCTAGATATATTTGGCAATGAGAATCTCCGATGTTGAAATCAGAAATTCGAAGATCCAAAATCGTGAAAAGCGCCACAAGCACTCAAAATGTAGTCTGGATATACCAACTGGGTCCTAAAAAACCAAAATGCTTGGTGGTGTGTGTCCGGCATTGCAATTTTGTAAAGCTGCGCCTGCTTAACTCAAGTTTTCTGGATAATTTGCATAATTCTAAATCCTATTCTTGCTGCTTCACAACCTGTACACACATCTTTCGACTAAACTCCGTTGAAGCGCTTTTCCTCTTTCACAATGGATCGCTGTCACTCTCCGCTTTTCAGCATATTCTCTAAACTATATGCCACTCATTAACAAAATATGCCGTCACGCTGATTTATTCAGCAGAATGTGAGGAAACCATCCTAGATATGACATATAGCCAGCAAATAAGATTGAGATGCCAACACTTTACAAAGGTTGTTCCGAATATTATGTTATTTAATTCTCCATCGATGTGGTGGTAGAACAACAAGGAATGAATTAAAAACAGATGTCAAATGCAAACACATACTCGGCTGCAAGGACCCAATTTCGCACGCATCAATACGGCCTAGAGCTACAGAAACGCTCTAAGTAGCATCGAGAATGCCAGATGGGCCTCTAGATTCAACGCGTTCGCCTGACTACCATCTGTATCTATAGTACAATTATTTTTCCAATTCTTCAACAACCAACGAGCCTTCATGGCTTGGCGGTTCTAGAGTGCACATCTGTTAAGTATGTGTCACGTGATTCCCATGGTCCAGTGGTTAGGACGTCTCCTTTACACGGAGAAGGTCCCGGGTTCAAACCCCGGTGGGAATACATTTTTTGGTATTTTTTAAATGGTCCTAACAGGTCAGATACGGTAAATTGTCGAAAGTTGATGGCTTGGTGGCTCTTTTTACTTGATTGTAGTTCGGACTGGGTTGTATCGTCGTTGTGCCGCCTGTGGTCGTACCCATTTGATAGAGTCGTAATGTACTCGTATTGTGCTCGTAGTGTACTCGTAGTGTACTGGCTGTCTATATTGAACAATTAACATAGACAATTGACACCTTCACACCTTCACACCTTCACACCTTCACACACAACTCCCACTTACACTCCCCCCATGGACCCATTTATCATTACTGCGGTGGATTGTAATGTGAAACATGAAGTAATGGCCATGAACGGGGATGGTGGGCGACACCCGGATCACGAAACCACAGCGATGACTTTCCCGACCAATGTCAAATACGTGTTCGAAGACGATGAGGACTTGAGTGTGGACCACGAAGACGAAGAGATCGGAAACGTAGTGGTGGTGGAAACGAATGCAAACCTGGAAGTGACACACGTAGAGCTTATCAGCGACCGATTCAAACAGCTGAGCTGGGAGACCGCACAAGACGACAATCAGGAATTGCACATGCGTGTGATCTCCAGGTTTGAGCCCCTGCTAGAAGCAGATGATTTGCCCTTGGAAAAATTGATGGAAATTTACCAAAAGCGCAATGAGCAACTAAATAATCTCTTTAATACCCTGTCGACTACGTAAGTTCGCGCAAGTTGGCCGGCATGGCACGGATCTTGATGCTATAATGGGCCTCAATCTCTCGCAACCGTTTGGTGTCGTTACGGGTTATGAAGTTTATGGCCACACCTTTGCGTCCAAAACGGCCACTACGCCCAATGCGATGTATGTAATTCTCCAAAAGCTCTGGCAAGTCGTAGTTGATCACCAAAGAAACCTGTTGGACGTCGATCCCGCGGGCCCACACGTCGGTGGAGATCAAGACGCGCGAGTTGCCTGACCGGAAATCGTTCATGACCCGATCGCGGTCTTCTTGCTTCATATCGCCGTGCATGGCGGCCACTGCGAAATTAGCCTGTGCCAGTTTGGACGACAGCCAGTCCACGACCTTTTTGGTATTACAAAAAATCACACACTGGGTGATCGTGAGTGAGTCGTATAGGTCGCATAAAGTGTCGAATTTCCACTCTTCGCGATCCACATTGACGTGAAATTGCTGGATTCCCTCCAGTGAGATTTCATTTTGCTTTACAAGGATTTTCACCGGTTCGCTCATGAATTTTTTGGTAATCTCCAAGATATCCCGACTCATTGTGGCACTGACTACCACTACTTGCACGGATGTCGGTAGTTTTGCGAAAATCTCGTAAATCTGATGTTTGAACCCCAAAGTCTCACTGAGCAACTCGTCTGCCTCATCCAGTACCAGCATTTTCAGATTACGCGTGTTTAAGATGCGACGTTTGATCATGTCTAGAACACGTCCAGGAGTTCCGCTTACCACATGGCAGCCTTGGCCGAGCTTTTTATTGTCGCCTTGTATGGTTTTGTTGCCTCCAGTGACCGCGTGCGCGGAGATATTCATGTAATCGCCCAAATTCCCCACCACTTGCGAGATTTGCTTGGCAAGCTCTCGTGTGGGTGATAATACCATACTTTGCAGATCTTTGGACTTCAAATCAATCACTTGTAGCATTCCAATGGTGAAAGTGGCAGTTTTGCCGGTACCGGACTGTGCCTGTGCGATAACGTCTCGACCGGAAATGATCTGTGTGATAGCTCGCGACTGGATTGCAGAAGGTGCTTCGAATCCATACGAGTATATACCCCGAAGCAAATCGTCTTTTAAGTTCATGCCTTCGAACGTTGCACATACTTTTAGTTTCCCTGAGGTCTTAAACTTGAGTTTAGCATCTGATTCCCTGCTAAACGACATGATCAAGCTCTTCTGTGGGTGTCTCTGTCCTGAAATTCAACAGTTCTTGAACTATGATCAACTCTTGAACTAACATCTATCTATCTCATCGCCAATAAAAAATTCGTCAAACTCACCGAAAACTACAAAGACAGAAGCTCTGCACTGCCTATGCCTCGAGTTATCGTATCAGTTGGTGGTGGCCACATTACAGAGATTCACAGGACGGTTTTGCAAATCCAAAAAGCGCTTCTGGAGGCCTTTGTCGATACAGCAGTGGTCATCGCAGATTTGGATGACACGGTGACAAGTAAGGAGCGCAACTATTCTGATAGCGACTACAATTTCGAACAGATCTTGGCGCGGGTGAAAAACGCTGAAGCTTTGGAGCAGTGGGAAGTGGTGTTAGTTTGCGGCCGGTACGCTTTGTTTGACTCACGAATCAATGAGTTAGCACAACTCAAGGTTTTCCTGGATAGTGACGGTGATCGCAGGTTGATTGACCTGATCCAGCGATTCCAAGTTCAAAGCTCAGAACAGCTTGCAGATCTTATTCAAGAGTATTTGAGTGGACTGAGGCCTGAAATGCAGAAGTACATCGAGCCCACACGCGCGCATGCAGACCTCATCATTCCCAGCAACGGCGACAGTGTGGGGGCAGCAATCGTGGTCGATAGCATTGTGAAGATCGTAGAGGACAGCAAGGGCGGTGCGCAGTCAGGGGCCACACGACTGTACCCTCAACTGGACTTCCAGGCTGAATCACTGGACATTGAGAAGGAACAATACCAAGATTTGAGCTAGAAGACACCCGGGAAAGACAAATAAGAGATCAGTACATACAGCGGTCGTTATAACCGTTTTCAACGTTTTACAAAATGTGTGCAAGGGCTACTACCCCGTAGAGCCGCAGATTCTTTCTAAACAGGCTCGGGGCCCTTCCCCGGCGTGCGGGAAGCCTTGCAACGTTTGCCTCCAAAAGACAGGCAAACTTAGTGTTTTAGCACTCGTCAGTATTTTCGAGAGCTACAATGAACATCCCAGTAAATTAATTGTCATTGAGAGATCAGTGTCTACTGAGTGCTCGATTTGTATTTGTATTTGTATGTAGTTTTTGAATTTTAAACTCTACAATTACAAGTTTTAAACTCATTGTTCAACTTTAAGCTCATCAAAGAAACAACAACACAATGCGGCTCGTCCTGAGGAGCGTTAGAGGTGTCAAAACGCTACACACGCCTATTTATAATGGATTAGAATTGAAGAACCGACAAGACCTGCTTTCCCAGCTCAGAGTGCTCGAGAAAATTATTATATCGTCGTCCTACGACAAATCGCTCTTGTATAGTGGGAAATACAAGAAGCTGCCGCAGCTGATATCTGGTGGGGACTCAGTCAAGCTTGACTACGTTTTGAAAGAGTTCCTAACGTCTATGCAATTGATGGAGGCCGAAAACCCAGCAATTCAAAAAAATCCAACTGCAAAACTGGGCAAGATTGGCCTTCAATTGTTTACAGATTGTCACCAAGAAAACGTCACTGCGTTGGGAACAACTTTATCGCGCGCTCTAGCAGAACGGTACAACCAACTTCCGCAACCAAGCACGCTCAATGGGTTGGAAGTCGCTTTGGCAAAAGTACGAGCTTTTTTGAAAGAAAGCCGGATTCTGGTCAAAAATCGTGACGAAATTGACGTGCTTGTGCAGAAACTGTGCTCGCACGAGCAGAACGCGATTTCGATCAAAAAAGTGCTGGAAAAACTTGACTATAAACTGGTGTCCAACGACGTGGTGCGAATTACCCGCGGACGAAGAACTGAGGACGAGTTGGAAGTGTCCAATGGGTGGAAATTTCCCGGAGGAGTTATCGATTCCAGTGAACCGTACCTCAGATCTTTGCAAATCCCAAAAAACAAACTAGTTTCTGTGAATAGCCCCATGTTGGTACTGGTGCATGACGGAGACCTGCGTGATGCGAACAATGTACTTCCGGCTTTGCATTTTGCTGCAAAACAGGGCAAATCGATGGTGGTGATTGTAAATGGCGAGTACAAGGGCGATGCACTCGCTGCTATCACAATTCACAACAATAAAAATGCAAGACAGAACGTGAACTCGAAGGCCATTGTGTTCAAATACTCTTCCCGCGGCCATGACGGTATAAGTCTACAAGAAAATGTCGACTTTCTCAACTTTCTACAATTGCCTCATGGAGTGGCCAGTATTTACTCACCCAAGTTCAGCGAGTTTGTGCCAAGTTCAGCGTCTGCAACGCAATTCTTCGGCTCTTTAGAATCGCTCAAGGCCACCACGGGCGAAGCGTTCTTCTACAATCCCGGAACAGAGATGGAAAACCGTGCATTACGAACTACAGTCACTCTGCATATTGGTGGGGAAAGCGAGCTTGAAATTGATCACAGAAGGGCCGAGCTGGACCATGTTATCAACAATGTGTTGTGCCATGGCCTATCGCAGGGCTGGCTCCCATCACAGGGAATCTCTTTGGTGAAAGCCATCAAAGAGTTGGAAGGTGTTTCCAAAGAGAACCCGCTATACGTGGGACATCAGGCGGTCATTGAGACCTTGACGGCGCCGCTCGAGAACGCCCTGCGCAATAAATATAGTGTTCACAGGTTCCAGGCCGCCGCGGCGACGTCCAAGACTATTGAGGAATCAGATTTCAAGACCGCGTTTTTGCCCGACAAGTGTTCCGCTATGGAAAAAGGCCTTTTGGAGCCTTGGAGCTCGGTAGACCAGGCATTACGTGGGGTATCGGGGTTCCTGAAGTTACTGTCGAGTTGTGACGTGCTAGTGACACGGTATTTCGACAAACCTCGCAAGGATTAGAGGGAGCAGAGAGAGCAGAGGGAGCAGAGGGAGCAGAGAGAGCAGAGGGAGCAGAGAGAGCAGAGGGAGCAGAGGGAGCAGAGGGAGCAGAGAGAGCAGAGGGAGCAGAGAGAGCAGAGGGAGCAGAGGGAGCAGAGGGACGACTTAGAGCCTCGATGAAAGAATTAGCCGCCGAGCTTTCCCAAACACCACATCACGTGACAAAGGAATATATTTTATACACGTGATCACTCACGCCTCCTCTCTCCGAGTCACATCTCTGTCAGCTGACCCGGCGCCAGCCAAGCGTTTCCCCCTACCCGAGTCACTCCGGGCTCTCGGTCCCCGGGTCAGGATTTGGATCAGCCAAAAAACCCAGATTGATCTGCCAAGTACTTAAAGGATCCATCTCGAACGAGTGAAGCCATCATCCGTCGAGCCCACCAGCTCTCTCTTTCCCTACTCTCGAAATCAATTGAAAATACACAGTTTGATTTTTACCCATCACCAGCACTTTTGTTCTCTCTATCTCTCAAAATGATCTTTAAGAGATTCAATTCCGCTGCGGCTGCGGGCACACTCAAGAAAACCGCATTGTACGATCTACATGTTAAGCTTGGTGGAACTATGGTCCCTTACGCTGGGTATGCAATGCCCGTGAAGTACCCTCAACAGACACACATAGAGTCCCACAATTGGACGCGGTCTCACGCGGGTCTTTTCGACGTTTCTCACATGCTTCAAAGTAAGTTAAAGGGCGCAGAAGCGACTAAATTCCTGCACAAAATTACGCCCACAGACTTTCAGAATTTGCCTGCTGGCCAGGGTACACTTTCGGTTTTGTTGAACGAAAAGGGCGGCGTCGTGGACGACACTTTGATCACCAAGATCAACGAAAACGAGTTTGCCATTGTTACCAACGCAGGGTGTATCGATCAGGATGTGGCATTTCTAAAGTCTCAAATTCAAGGTTTCGACTGTCAGTGGGAGCCGGTCCAAGAAAGGGCACTTCTGGCGCTACAGGGCCCAGAGGCCAAAAACGTGCTGGGTGCCCTTGTTAGTAGCGGACCAGGGGGTCTCAAAGACCTGTACTTTGGCCAGCGTAGGTCCTACAAGGTTCTTGGCGGTTTCGACGTCGACGTGGCCCGTTCCGGATACACTGGTGAAGATGGATTTGAGATTTCGGTTGCCAACAAAAACGCGATGGAACTGGCCACTCAGTTTTTGGAAAACCCAGTGGTGCGCTCCATTGGGCTCGCCGCTAGAGACAGCTTACGTCTAGAGGCCGGGATGTGTCTGTATGGCCACGAACTGAACGAAACCATCACGCCTGTGGAAGCGTCGCTCACGTGGCTGGTCTCGAAGAGTCGCAGAGACGGGTCTTTGGGTCCCAAATTCAACGGTTTTGACCGCATCGTGGACCAAATCAACAACAAGTCTGCCACAAAGGCCCGCGTGGGTTTCAAATACCTGGGACGCGGGCCTGCTGCTCGCCAGGACGCCCAGATTTTCACCGCTGACGGCGAAAAATTGGTCGGAGCTGTTTCCTCGGGGAGTGCATCTCCCTCGCTAGGCGGCATCAACATCGGCCAGGCCTACGTGGAGAAGCTATACCGAAAGGCCGGCACCCAGCTCATTGTGAGCGTGCGTGGCAAGAAGTTGCCCATCGAGATTGCACGTATGCCGTTGACAACGAGCCATTTCTACAAGCCCGAGTAAACCAGGAATTCATCTGTGGGTCTCGATGCTTTGCTGCGTCACACAAGCGAGTCTTCTACGTAAATACGTAACCACAGAGGGAGGGAGTTGGCCGACAGCCCAGTGTGAGCCCAGCATATTGAAATCCATTCCGCAGGGTACGGCAACGTACGCTACAAGCGTCGCACGAAACGACAAATATCATACTAATTAATTTTACGCCACTGTCCCAATCGTTACTCGCGCATCTGGGTCATTTCCAAGGGTCTCAGGGTCTTGGAAGAGCTCAGGGTCCTACAAAAAGAAAACTCGGTCTTCCTGCATCGAATCTTCCATCGCAGGAAGCGAATCTCCTCGAGCTTCAAAATTATCCCGTCACGAAGATCAATACAGACATTTTTCCCGCTGGTCTGACGGCTCACAATCAGACTGCCGATGAGTCTTTATCGAAGTCATCCCATTGTCATTAGAAGACTCTCTTTTTCGCTGTGGCTGTGGTTATGCACTGTTAATGTGGAAGAATATTATTGCATACTGAAAAAAAATTGACCAAGATTTCAAGTGGTAATAAGAGGTTCACAACTTGGGATATAAGAACAGAGTTTGAAGCTCCTATTTCAGCAGTTTAAAGGTCGTTGGATTACTGAACATTAGCCTGTTCAGTGTCACTCGAAAAAAGGGCAGATTTAGTGGTTTTTGAGCATTTTGAGAGTGATATCTTAAAAGACATCTCAAATATAACAAGATATTGTTGGGATCACTGAACTGAACCGTTGACTTTTTCCAAGGACTGATATAGAGATGGAGAAAGACGCCAAGCTCAGCTCCAGTGTGGAGTCTGCACAGGTGTCGGTGGACAGAACAGAAGGGAAACAAAGCACTTTGGTTAACAGATGGGCCAAGTCGTTCCAGCGTCTTGAGCCAATAGCCTCTGAAGGAGATGTGAACCTCGAGCTCATGGACGCAGAAAGACGCCGTAACTACGAGCTCTCGAACCAACCATACCGCAAAACGCTGGACCAACGACACCTGATGATGATCTCGATCGGAGGCACACTCGGAACCGGGCTTTTTATCGGGCTGGGTTTTTCGCTGGCGTCGGGACCGGCCTCGTTGCTAATCGGGTTCTTGATCGTCGGGCTGATGATGTTCTGCGTGGTGCAGAGCGCTGCAGAGTTGGCTTGCCAATACCCAGTTTCCGGGTCGTTTGCGGCACACGTGACCCGGTTCATGGAGCCATCGCTGGGATTCACGGTGTCCACCAACTACGCGCTAGCGTGGCTCATCTCATTCCCCTCAGAGCTGATCGGTTGTGCCATGACTCTGCAGTACTGGAACACGAGCGTGAACCCAGCAGTGTGGGTGGCCATCTTCTACTGTTTTATCATGGGGCTTAACCTGTTCGGTGTTCGTGGGTACGGCGAAGCAGAGTTCTGGATGTCTCTTTTCAAAGTCATTGCAATCTTCGTCTTCATCATCATCGGTATCGTGCTCATCTGCGGTGGAGGACCACAATCCGACGGTTACATTGGAACCAAATACTGGCACAATCCAGGCTCTTTTGCCGAACCGGTTTTCAAAGGTCTGTGTAACACTTTTGTCTCTGCAGCCTTCTCATTCGGAGGTGCCGAATTGGTGGTCTTGACCGCTTCTGAATCCCGTAAAGTCGAGTCTGTGTCTCGTGCGGCAAAGGGAACTTTCTGGAGAATCGCTATTTTCTACATCACTACTGTCGTTGTGATCGGATGTCTGGTACCTTACACCGACGAACGTTTGTTGGGTGGTAACAGCAGTGAAGACGTGAGTGCCTCTCCATTTGTGATTGCCCTAAGTGGACAAGGCTCTATGGGTGTCAAAGCTTCGCACTTCATGAACACTGTTGTTTTGATCGCCGTTTTATCCGTATGCAACTCGTGCGTGTATGCATCTTCGAGAGTGATTCAAGCGCTGGGCGCCAGCGGACAGCTCCCCAGAGTCTGCGGTTACATCGATCAGAAGGGCAGACCACTAGTTGGTATCATCATTTGCGGTGTTTTCGGTTTGCTTGGTTTCCTAGTCGCTTGTGACAAACAGGGCGATGTTTTCACATGGTTGTTTGCATTGTGTTCTATCTCATCCTTCTTTACTTGGTTCTGCATATGTGTTTCTCAGGTACGCTACAGACTAGCGTTGAGAGCACAGGGCAGATCCTCAGACGAAATCGCCCACAAGTCGATGCTTGGTGTTTACGGTGGTATTCTGGGTGCAGTTCTCAACGCCCTATTAATTGCTGGTGAGATTTATGTGTCAGCATTCCCTCTAGGTTCAAAGTCAAGCGCTGAGCAATTTTTCCAATACTGTTTGAGTATTCCAATCATGATTGTCGTCTACATATTGCACCGCCTGTATTTCAACAGAAACAGACGTGTGCTAACGCCTTTGAAAGAAATTGATCTCGACACCGGCACTAGAGTTCGCGATCTAGACCTTTTGAAAAGCGATGTACTGGAAGAAAAGGCCAGACTTGCTGCCAAACCATTGTACTACAGAATCTACCGTTTCTGGTGCTAATTTTTACCGACAAACAAACAACTTCAACCTCCTGTTGTGATGCATGGCGTTGCTAATTCTATATACCACTCTTCTTAGACCTTTTGTTTTGACACACGCAGCTGTGTATAATCTAACATCACTCTATATTATTTTATGACGGGGGGATGGCAATTTTTGCAAGATTATGGCCGTCTAAATGTAATTAGCGTATATTTTGGACTTACGACATGGTTTATCGAGTCGTTGTATGCATTGATTGGTATAGCATTCATATCACTGGATGGAAGCATATAAGACCTCCAGTTCAACACAGAGAATGAAATTTATTGAAAGATGACTGTCCAGAAAGTATGTAACATTCCTCTTTACCTGAATCGTCGTTTTTTTACAGTGATGACAGCTTATTGACGTTGACGCAGTTTGATAATCAGATGCGAGGAATGAGTGTGCAGATACTTATTTTGAAGCCCGAAATTGTGAAAGGTAGATATCAACACATTCAAACTCACCTAAACGTCTTCCAAAGCTTCACGGACGGTCGTTTCATGGCCGTTTGACGTCCAGTTCCGGACACCACCAAAATTGTCACTTTGTACTATTACGTCATTAAAGAGGATCGCCCTAGACTTTGACGCTGTCAAATGCAAAAAACGAGACATCGACCACTACTCTGAGTGCAAAAGAGGCAAATAATGCTTTCAAAATGTCTGTCCAGCCATCGAATCGACTACCGAGCCCACAAACAGCTTCCAATCCGCTTAAAAAATTCAAATCAATTTATTCTCATCACGAAATTGAGTCACCTCCATCTTTTCCCCCACAATGCTCGAGCCGCACTCCAGCTATAGTTCTAAAACAAAGCTTCATTGCCACGCCCTCATTCACCTGAAATGCCCTCCCCTTCGTCCCGGTGTCGTATTGGGAAAAAGTGATCCACTCAACAGCCCAACGTCAGTGGCCCAAAACCAGTCATTAGACCTTTGTCACAGTCCTTGTTTTCAACAATACGTTTAACACACAGCAGAGCGCCTATGACTAAAACCCTGCCAAGCTTTTCGGGCCATCAAAGACGATCCTCTAGATTCCAAATTCCCCCGGAATTTTTCTTCATTTAACAGAGATAACTAGATACGCCAATCGGCGAGAGGGCAGTAACCTCCCAAAAAAGCTAGAGTAGTGGAGTATCCCAAACGGCTTAGTTATGTTACTCATAGGTTTCTGATAGTATTTATATAGACCACTTTTTCTGATCCAGTATGTCTTTTGAATTTACTATGTTATTTTAGTGTCGTTGTTATATTATTAAATTCAGAAATTAATTAATATTTAAAGACGTCATCGGACTCACAACTTCTTGAAGTTGACAAAACAGTCCATTACACAAGTTCTACAATTATTCGTACGCCTGTAACGGAGTTTTGAAACACTGTATTACGAGCGATGGACGATGAGTGGTGCTCCACAAGTTGAGCTGGGAGCAGACGACCAGTCGTCGCTGCAAACCAGTCACTCAATTGAATCTTTAGGAATACCGGGAAACTGTGGTGAAAAAGCGTATGATTTGCATCCAGATGGGGCCAGCAACGAAGATGCAGGCCTGTCGAAACGTACAACGCTGCGTGACAAAACTTTGATGGTTCCTCGTAGCGAAAGACGTGGAATTTTGGCAAATCTGACGTTGGTGCCAGAGTACAGAGACGCACGCGATTATCCGCCCAAAATGAAGGGTTTTATCGTGCTGATGATCGCGTTTGCAGCAATGATGGGCCCCATGGGAACGTCCATTATTTTTCCCTCGATCAATCCTATCACTCGGGACTTCAAAACGTCCACAATCATGGTCAACGTTTCTGTGGGCATCTATCTACTGGGTCTGGGCATTCTGCCGATCTGGTGGTCGTCGTTGTCGGAACTCCGGGGTCGCAGAACCGTGTACGTCTTGAGTTTCACGCTGCTATTTGGATTTTGCATCGGGTGCGCGCTGTCACCCAATATCAGCGCATTTATTGTTTTCCGCATGCTTTGTGGTGCATCCTCTGCCAGCGTCCAAAGTGTTGGCGCCGGCACCGTGGCAGATCTGTTCAAACCCGAAGAAAGAGGTAAATTTCTCGGTTACTACTATCTGGGGGCGCTGACGGCGCCCTTGACCGCTCCCATTATTGGGTCCTTGTTGGTGAGTCGTTGGAGCTGGAGGTCCACGCAGTGGTTCCTTGTGATCTTAGCTGGTGTCACAGTTATGCTTCTGACGCTGTTGCTTCCCGAGACGTTGAGGTTGCAAGAGAGCAAGAGCGCAATAGCGCTCATATTAGCACAGAGACGCGCTGGGGCCAAACCCGAGCGCGATGCTACTTCTAGTGACGCTGCAGAAAAAGATCACGCAGAGTCAAGTAATGATGGTTGCGCGGGTGAGGTGGAATCAGCGAATGCAAACTCCGATGTAGCTCAGGATGACATTGAAATCAACCGCATTTTTACCAGAACGAGCGAACTAGCACAGTATCCGCCGGATGAAGAAGGCATACATGGAGACGTTATGGCACCTCAGATAACCAAATTACAAACGCGGGACCGCAAATTGGAACAGCGGTTGCGCGAGGGAGAGCTCAAGAAATGGAAAACCAATGTTGAAAACGAATTGGAAAGGATGGAGACTGAACGCAACAATAAGGCAACTAAAACGGGTGCGAGCAAAACGATACAGCCCCAAAAGCGCGCATGGAAAACGTCACTCTATTTGTATCTGGTAAAACCTCTAAAATCGTTGCATTTCCTCAGGTTTCCCCCCGTGGTGCTGACCATCACTTTTTCGGCCATCTCGTTTTGCACTCTCTATTTTGTTAACATGACCATCGAGTACAGCTACTCTAGACCGCCATACAATTTCAAACCCTTGTATGTGGGTCTTTTGTACATTCCAAACTCCGTGACCTACATTATTGCGTCTGTGTACGGTGGCCGGTGGGTCGACAACTTGCTGAAGCGCTACAAACAGCATCATGGGATCTTGGCCCCTGAAGCACGCATTTCATGGAACGTAGTGACTGCAGTCGTGTGCTTCCCAATCTCGTTGCTCATTATCGGGTGGTGTCTCGACAAGAAGCAGCACTGGGTCACTCCATTGGTGGGAACAGCACTCTTTGGATTTGCGTCCATGATGACCATTGGGGCCACGGTATCGTACCTGGTGGACTCTCTGCCCGGAAAGGGTGCCACTGGTGTTGCCTTGAACAATCTAATCCGTCAAGTTTTAGCAGCCGTTGCCGTTTTTGTCACTGAACCGATGTTAAAGGGCATGGGAACAGGCTGGGCTTTCACGATGTTAGCAATAATAGTAGTTGCTGCGAGCTCAGTGTTGCTTATCCTTAAAATGAAGGGCGATTACTGGAGGGAGAATTTTGACCTACAAGAGCTCTACGACAAACTGGAATAAACTACTGAAAGCGACTTTTACTCGAGATTCCGAAATCGTTTCAGTACAGAAGAAAATACTACCACATTTACCATGGCTAGGACTCCAATTCAAAACCAATTCAGGCTCACGATTACTTCGTTAATTTAACAATTTCGACCCAGTTTAAATGTTCAAAAAGCCTGTATAAAAGAGCTCTGAACCACTGGAGTTAGAAGTTATTAAAGATCCTCGAAAAATAGTAGGAAAATTCTCTAAAAACACCAAAATGGCAAGGATTAACGTCAGGAGATCTCGGCTACTTCGAACGCTTTCATATCTTAGTTTTCGAATACCAAGATTTCAAGCCATGTATGAATATATTCATTATACATAAATTACATTTCGACACGACAAACTTGTTAAGAACTCCTCTTCAACAAGCAAACTTAACGATTAATCTTGACAAGAGCTCTTAACGCTTGAGTAGCGACTCCTAGCACTATGATGGCAGTTACAGCTGCTCAAAGAGTGGTTAAACTGGCTTTAACAGTTGCATCAATCATAATATTCATCCAGGGGTCATTTACAATTGTAATGCACCAACTCATCACGAACTTGGTTTTCTCCAGCGACCCGATTCGCAGGCAGAAACATCTGGATTATAGCAAGAAACAGTTTATCTTGTTGTTGGTGACTATTCTGACCATTGTGGCCCCTTCAAAAGTTAGGATTTCCACTGATAATCGCACGATTCCAAGAAACCTGGTGGCTACCGATCTTCAAACAGGAGGGCTCCTTACCAGCTTAAAACGCAAATCTGTTCTGATCTCAAATCATCAGATCTATACAGATTGGGTTTTTCTATGGTGGCTGGCGTACACGGGTGGACTAGCAGGAAATGTGTTCATCATGCTCAAGCAATCGCTTGCAAACATTCCAATTATGGGCTACGGAATGAGGAACTACAAGTTCATCTTTATGAACCGCAAGTGGAGCAAAGACAAGATCAATCTGGCAAATAGATTGAGCGATATGGATCACAATGCCAGGGGAATGGGCGAATTGGCTGGCAAACATTATGCCACCAAAACCGAGGACGGCCTGGAAATATGGAAGGATAAAGGTTCTAGTGACGTCGACATGAGGCAGATCAGCTGGCCTTACTCATTGATTATTTTTCCTGAGGGTACAAATTTGAGTGAGAACACACGCAACAAGAGTGCGGTCTTCGCTTCGAAGTCAAACCTTCCAAATTTCCGAAATTTGGTGCTTCCTCGAATGACAGGACTGAGGTTTGCGCTGCAGGAACTGAGAAACAGCTGCGAAGTGGTATACGATGCCACAATTGGCTATTCGGGCGTCAAGCAACACGAGTACGGACAGGACATCTATAGACTGGACGAAATTTTCCTAAAAGGCCAATCTCCCGAGCTTGTAGATATTCATCTCAGAGCCTTCGATGTCCATGAAATTCCGATCGATGACGAGAACGAGTTTTCAGAATGGCTGTTGAAAGTCTGGAAGGAAAAAGACGAGCTGCTGGACTTTTACTACAAGACAGGCTCCTTTGACTGTGGTGAGGGAGTTACAAACCAAGTTGTCACCGGTGTATGCAAGATCAAACGCTCCGAGATGGCACAAATACTCGCACTTCCGTGCTTGACTGCATTAACGCTAGGGCTAGTATTGTGGAAGAAATATGCTTAAAAAAAGATGCTGATTTTATGACTTGATATATGTGTGTGTGTGTTGGCATCGCTAGCAGACTATAGCGATTAAAAACATGCGGCATGTAACTACGAGCAGGCGAGCCACTGATGCACTTTATAGCTTGACGACGCCAGAGTTGATGTCGATCCAATCGGTATTTGTGAGAGGTTTGTACTCATTGAGATTTTTGAGCCAGTACAATATCTCGTCACCACCAGCACCATGAGGAAGAACTTGGTTTTTGTAACTTTTCTTCTTGATCTTATGATTATCAGTATGCTCAATTTCATCAACAAACTTGATAAACGTGGGGAGGGCATACTTTGGAAGGCATTTCTTCAATGCAGACAGCATGTCGTTCAAGAATTTCACGTCACCACGTAAGTTTCGCGCCTGTGGTGCCAATTGCAAGACCGCAAAACCAGCCCTTCCCTCATGATCGGGTACTTTTATTCCAACAACAACCACTGCAGCAACTGTCAAGTTTGCAAAAGCCATGATCTGATCTTCAACTTCAGCTGCCGAAACATTTTCCGATTTCCATCTAAAGGTGTCTCCCATCCTATCTACGAAATACCACAACCCATGTTCATCAGACCTGACAAGATCCCCTGACCGGTACCATGCGTCACCTTTTCTGAAGACGTCACGTAGAACCTTGGATTTTGTAGCCTTTTCGTTACCGAGGTAGCCTTGAAACGTCGCTTCTGGTTTCTTGGGCATGAAGATCTTCATGAGCATTTCACCGGGCTCGCGAGGCGGGGCCACCTCACACATACCTTTTTTGTTTCTGTACACTGTACTTTCATCCTCAGGATCCACGCGGACTATGGTCTGCTGAATTGAAAGAATCTTACTGATCACAGTTCCGTAGCTTCTACATGCTCCAATGCCAAAGTTTCCTCTTTGAAATGTTGTGGTGGCAAACGGGGCTTCTGTGGAAGCGTAAAACTCACCAATGATCTCGATCCCAAACCTGTTTCTAAACTCTTGCCAGATATCGGCTCTGAGGCCGTTACCGTAAGCCACCTTGACGCAGTGCTTAGTCTCAAATTCCGAGACAGGCGTATGCAGTAAGTAACGACAGATTTCACCGACATACTGAATATGCGTGGACTTGGTCAAGTAGGCCTGCTTCCAAAACGAGCTCGCGGAAAACTTGTTGGATATAGCCACACATCCACCTTGCGAGAATACAGCACAGACACCTAGTAGAGCAGCGGTAGAGTGATACAATGGCATGGCAGTGAAAACCGTCGAATCTCTCTTGATTCTCATGATGTAGCCAAACAAGGAACACCCAATGACTGCTTTTCTCCACGACATAATGGCAGACTTGGGTAGCCCCGTGGTTCCAGATGTGTAAATCAAACACGCCGGTTGGAAGTCGGTGCCAAAGGGCGGCGACCGTTTTTCGACTGCTTGCAAAAACTGGGGAGAGTTCACATCCAAAATCGTTGTGTAAATCTGTTCATCAGAGAGGTAGTGCAATTTGACTTGCGGTAGTTCGCTCCGTATGGCGCCCTCCGTTTCCTTCAAGGCTCCCGAGACTTGCATGTCCACGAAAACCGCCCTTACGTTCGCAATCTTGATGGAGTGCACTAGTGGAGCTCCCATGGAGTTGTAGTTCAAAAACGAGGGCACTGCTCCTATGTTCCACAGAGCAAACCACATGAAGATGAACATAGGCTTATTGGCGTAGTCCATGGCCACTGTGTGGTTTTCTCTGACGCCATATTCGTGGTACAAAAGGTGCGAGAGTCGAAGGACGATTTCGTAGGTTTCACGGTACGTATAGGACTCTAGCTCAAACTCACCCTTCTGGCTAAGCGGTTTGGGGTACGTTATGCACGGCACATCGCCACTGTGCTCGACTTGGTGAACGAAAGTGTACCAAAGCTGGAATCTACCACGATAAACGCTCCACACGTACCGGGGAACAGCTGTCAGAAAATACGTTGCAATATACCAGTCGTCGGCGATCCTATGACGCTTGTCTAGCTTCTGGAGCCAGCCACTGATTGGAATTGCCAGAATTCGAATCAACCATGCAATTGGAACAACAATTGTTCGGACGACTAGCTTCAGTGTCCGGAGTAACACAAAACCTACCTGGGATGTCATTGATGGCCGTGAAACTCGCACTATGCTTCCTACTGGCACTACAAGAGTTTGCTCGCTGACCAATTGCCTGAAATGACTATTTTCGAACGATCTTGAAGTTGTTGGAAAGGTAGAGGTTCAAGAAGTTTCCCATTAACATGAATTTTGTATATAACAGGACGCCTTGTACGGTATTCTTGACTATAGACACATAAAAGCCTCGCATAAGACCCAAATCTCGGGACTATAAAGGTCTCAGTGTTTGCTAGCTAGTGTAGAACCGTCACTGTGATATCTGGAGTCAAAAGGATCATTTCTAGCTCGTATTTTGTCGATTTCCTTGCCAAGAGCTCTTCGATCTCTGAAATACAGTCCCCATAGAATGAGACAATTGACAATGAAGAACGCAAATGCGAACCAGGCCATTGTGCTGGCCTTTGTACCCGTCTTGACCTTCAAAATTCCCATCGATGCGTGAGGAATGTAGTTTTTGCCCGCCCGAATTGCAACATCGGTCCACATCGCTCCCAGTCCCCAGAGTAATGTCAGAACAGGACTCAGGACCAGCAGAAAGGTGTTGACATAGGTTTTGCCCGGAAGTTTGGGCACCGTGGCACATAGTGTAGCGCAAAACATCAGCAATGCCAGGACTATAACTGCCATCAAAACGTAGGGATGAATGACTTTGACGGAATTGTCCTGGGCAAGTTGCAGAAGATTGAGTTCCGTGGATTTTATTGAGTTGGCAAAACTCTCGCTGCCCGAAGTGCGAATATTGAACACTTTGACGCTAAGATCTTGGTACAGGGCGACGTTCGAGACGTTTTTCCTATCGTAACAAAGCGTCGAAGTACCGGCGTAGGAACTGGGGAGATTGGTAACGCAAATGCCCATGTAGCCAGCGCAAACTTGGACTTTTTGGAGACCCACTGTCGAGTTTCCGGCGTTGAAACTCGTTTCAATGATGCTGTACATGGGCGATTTTGGTGAGAACTCAAACTTCGTCAGGTAAGTTGACGCCTGGGAAGCGTTGTTGTTTCCTACCAGGAGGAAGATGAGCAGGAGAATCGCAACGAGGTCGCAGATCAGTGCGAAGAAACGGGGCATCTTTTTGGCGATGAACCAGAGCATAGTTAATGGAATCATTGCAGATGAAAGATGGTAATGTTCTGAGGAGCGGGTAGGGTCTGTAGCATTGGATGAGGACAGAGAATAACAGCTGTGCTGCTTATATACGTTTAGTGGGACGGGTGGCTTGCGGTATTGAGGGCTTGGCTCAGACTCAGGATCTTGCAGCGCAGGTTTCAGCTCTGAGACAGGCTTGAAACATGCGATGTAGCCACGACCTGGTTTTGGATTGGTTTCAAGTCAAGACAACGGGTATAAAGCTTGGCACCAGATACCGGGACTTCTCAAGACAGCTACGGGTGATCTATATGCTAAAACGTTATGCCACATCTGTTTCAACTACAGATAAACCAGGACCATTCGGGAAACTCAAGACGGCACGAAACGCTCTGGGTGCCAACGGGCAGAGTGTCAACGAGTCGTTCGTGCAACGATCACTTTAGTTTTGAGCTGGAAAGCTTACTTAGCTACGTAAACTTTACGTCTTGGTACCTTCAATTGTAGATTGCGTAGAAATTAGCCGCCGAGCTCTCTAGCATGAGATGTAGACAACTCGCAGCTTCTCAACTGGTCCACTAGGGTTTGATTGATCCAGAAGATGAATGTAAGAATGCCTTGTATTCATCATCTTTTATATATATCAGCTCTACCAACCATGAATTGAATAACTAGCCACTTGGAAAACCAAATTTCGCCTAAATCCTGAAATTCAGCATTATCGTCGAGTCCTCTCAGTGGTCGATGAACTAGTCTTTTATAATGTGTACTTCTCATCACTGGGCCTTTCGTCTACTTTATGGGACGCACAGGCGAGTGAAATTGACGTAACTTCGTCTTGACACCAAGCTAGTCAAAGCCTCCTGTTTCTGGGTTCGAAATATCTCCATATGTCGAGTCCGGAACAGATGGCTCACCAAATCTGTAGCGAAAGGATCCCCGTCGAACCCAAGTTCAAGCACAGTGCCGAAAAATAAGACACACGTCATGTCGCCATTGCTGGCCCGATTCTAACTTGCTCTGGAATATATTTGAGTCTCGTATGTAAAATGTTTAAAGTGTCATTCGTTAAAGAGCGCCCCGTTTGTAACTAGCTTAGCCCAAGGAAGAGGCACCAGTGATGATATCGACCAATTCGTTGGTAATAACGGCTTGTCTGGTTCTGTTGTACAAAATGGAGTACTTGTTGATCATGTCACCGGCGTTCTTGGAAGCGTTGTCCATAGCGTTTCTTCTGGCGGAAATCTCAGCAGCGTAACCATCGGCCATGGCAGCAAGAATCTGGTTGGCAAGCGTAAACTCGTATAGGTCCTGGGAAACTTTGCTGTCGGCGTCGATTTCGAATTTGGCGAACGAGGGCGACTGTTCAATGGCCTCAGCGTTGTACACAGGCTTGACAGAAGGCTCGAACGATATGGACGACACAGGGTTGTTGTAGATGACCTGAATCTTGGAGTACTGCTTTCCTAACTGCAAGATCTGGTTGGCGATAAGAGCCGATTCCTCGAAAGTGGGAGCTTCTTTGCCCACACCGCTGAAGGCCAGTCTTAAACGGTCGCCATGGGTTCTGAGCAGCTGGGCCTTGACTTTGTCACCGATACACACGATGTCCGCCTGCGGGGTCTTGGTCACTTCCCTACGCACGGCCTTGGCCAATTGCGAGTGGATCGATCCGCACAAACCTTTGTCGGACGTGACAGCCACGATAAGTTCGCTTGGCTCTTCTGTTTGCAACTCTTTGGTTTCCGCACTTTGGTAAAATCCACGTTCCGCGGCCGAATACTCTCTGGCAGAAGTCTTGGCTCTCTCGGCCTTGGACAGACGTGTGGAAGCAACAATCTTCATGGTCTTGGTGATCTTTTCGATGTTTTTGATCGACTTCAAACGCATTTCAATCTCACGCAAAGTGGCATAGTTTCTGGCGGCTTGGACGCCGGCCATACGGGCTCCAAATGCACTGGTTCTTGACAACATCACGCGATCAAAACTAGCGGCTGAACAGCGGGCGTTTATCAATAGCTGTTGGCGCGGGAATCAACTGGAGTGTTGAGTAAGGTTCTAAGTTGAAGATTGTAGGATATTTTTCAGTTCTGTAGTATTGTGAGATTCGCGACAGGGTAACGGAGAGAATGGCGCGATATGATTGGTCGGATGGCAGGGGACAGCGAGAAACGCGAAGTTTAAGCGGTGTTAGAGCTGGCTGAATAGTGAGGATTGTTGAGAAAGAATTGCGGAAACGGTAGCGTGTGATGGAAGGGGATGAACCTGAGTATTTGCTGTGTGGTGGGCAAATTTGGATTAAATTGGATAGATATCATTGTGGACGGGTGTGTCGTCAGGTCCTAGAATTAAGAGACAGAGAGAGGGAGCTAGAAAGAAGGTCAGTCCGATAGTTTAAGCACACAGTGTTAAAGGTCTAGAAATTGGAATTTTAGTATGGGAAGCTAGATACCTGGAAGGTCAAGCACATCTTATATCGGAGAAAGTATGTAGGCATATCACGTGCAAGGAGTGACGTATTAGTACAAAATGATATGGCGAGGCTCCTAGTTGTCGCTGCTCTCCATCACGGTTGGGTTGAGGGTTGTTCTTTGCGCGTGTTTGTCGATATTGGAGCCTCCGAAATCGAGCCTCTTTTCCATCGCGTCTTGAAATACGTCTGTCTCTGCTTGGCTATGATCAAAAATAATTACTCGTGTCGAGCCTATTCTAGAGCGTGGTGAGCAAACACTGGATGATGATCACGGTCAAGTTTTGGTTGAGAATCTTTGCTAAACCAGTTCGATTATTCACAACTGGCTATGCTCACGGTAGCGAACTTGGGCTATGTTTGTGGTCATTGTGACGATTTGCGATTGACATATGATACTCTTTTTCTTATTGTCATGGCCATTCTGATTATGCTGACGCTCCAATGTGCTCACAGCCATCAAAATCATTAAAAATCGATTGCTGACTCTCAAAATTGATAGCTGATGCTCGTAGTTGCTCAATAGTGCTTGCGTAATTCTGAATACTCAACATTGATCGCTAGCATGCTCGACTTTTCATCATGCCTAAAGCCATCAATACCATTTACAGTTGATCGACAGTGCCCATGGCCATCAAAATTATTCACCGTTGATTGCTGACGTTCTCACTTGCGATGTGCTCAGAGCCATCAAATGTATTCCTAATCGATTGATGACTTCTCTTGGTCGTTCAAAAGTGGTCACAGCCATTAATAAGGTCCACAATTGATCACCGATGCTCTAAATTCTTTAATAGTGGTAACAGTCATCAACATTATTCACAATTGTTAGTTGACGCTCTCAATATTTCAGTAGTACGTATAGCCATTCTGCGTAATTTACAATTGATCGCTGACGCTCTCAATTGCCCAAAAAGCCTTCGAGTCCTCCAATTGATAGCTGAAGCTCTCAACTGTTTAATAGTGCTCCTAGTAAAACAGTCAAAAAAGGCCCGTTTTCAAACCTGAAAAAAGCTCTGCATAGCCAAAACCTCAATCTACTTCATCACCACAATCTCCCACCATCAATTCACCCATAGCCCGCCTGTTTTTCCATTTTCCTAACTCTTCTCAAAACTCAAGATCATCATATATATATATAAGATAGAATAATTTCATTAACACACATGGGAATTATCGTAACCTTTTGAATAAACAAACTCTCAAGAAGAGCCTCCTTTAGTCGCTACAAGGGTCCCAGCATTGTTTAAAGACGTTCACAAGAGTAGTCCAGGTACGATTTGGGTGGATAAGCTATGGACCCGCCAAACTGCGACCAAAAACACGATGAAATAAGCTCCCTTACCAAACATCTCAAAGACGTCAACGTCTTCGAAAAGCAGAAACTACCGTCCATGATCCATGGCAGAAAGGCCAGCACGTACCTTCGTGTATTTCAAGACGACGAAAACGGATGCAAGAAGAGTGAAACGGAGGGCCAGGGCTCGGGGGATGGTGAGTTTCGAGATGATCAGGACCATGAACTGCATCATTCATCAAAACATAACCACGGCCACCATCATTTGGGCTGGAGAATGCATATCTTCGATAGAAGAGCAGACAGAGCACGCCCGATTTTGCCCCGCAGAAGGCATTCATCGTCAGCTTACGACGTTCTGCCACGCTTCAGACACACTGCGTTGCGAGACAAGTTTTCCATGCCAATACACGGGCGAAAATCAAACCGTTCGTCGCCCAAAGATCCCGTTAAGAGCTCCTATCGCAGAATGGCCAGCAATGTACCCACAGAGGAGACAACACAGTGGCATCAGCAGCAGCAGCCGATCACTATTCATGAATCGGTGCCGCTGGAGTCGGTACCGCTGTCGCTGCCAACGAAGGCTGTGGAAGCATGCTTAGAACCAGAGATACGCGACGGGCTTCTACCTATCAAGCCCATTTCATCGGCCACGTACTACCCCCATCAGTCCAAGTCTGACGCTGCAGTCGATGGGCCCAACGTGGAACCTTTGGCAAATTCAGCACCCTCGGTCCCGCAGACGACAACAGCAGAAATCAGCATATCCCCAAAGAAGGCGTCAAACACAGATGCCGATCTGCAGACGGAGCTTGAAAACACTACCGTGGTCGTTTCACAACAAGAGAAGCGAGACGAGGACGAAGATGTCGACGATGAAGTGTATCCTTTAGCAGTCGAATTGCAGCCGTTCACAAACAAAGTCGGAGGACACACAGCAATATTCAGATTCTCTGAAAGAGCGGTGTGTAAAGTTCTTGTAAGTAGGGAAAACATGTGGTACGAAAACATCGAACAGCAACACCAAGAGCTTTTGAGCTTCATACCTCGCTACATTGGCGTCCTGAACGTGAGACAGCACTTCAACTCTAAAGAAGAATTTCAAAGCGAAATCGAACGAGAAAAACGGGCCAAGTTGGCCAAGAAACAGCAGAAAATGGATATGATAGCAGGTAAAATTCCTAAACTCCAGAATCCTACTCATAACAGCCCTCCCATGGAGTTGAAAAATCCAGAGGTTCTACTAGATGACAATAAACACATCATTCCAGACTCATTGTGGTACAAATATTCACATTCACCAGAATCAGCACCGAGTGATTCGTATATCTCATCGCACAGTTATGAACATGGCGGCTCGAAGCACATCGACTCTGGATCGACTGTAGTCAACACCAAGCTACAAGAACTTGTTTTAAAAGAGGTCTTTGCTCCTGCAAAGCGGAAATTACACACTCGGAACTCTTCACTAGAAAAGATGAGCAGTAAACACAGCCCCTCGACAACCGATCTACTTGAATTGAGCAAAAACATCAGACGGAACTCACATGAAGGGAAAGGCATTGGTATTGGAAGTTCTTCTGCTTTATTCCCGCGCTCCACAAAGACCAATTTGGCAAAGGGTATTGACTCGCATAGCTCTGTTCTAGACCTCAAACAGTTTCATCTACGTAATATGGCGCAGATCGATGCTGACAATCACGAATCTACCGAGGGCGTCATGTCGCATGACGAGGAACTTCAAGCATCAGGCTCTTTGCGCGGCGAACTCGAAGGCATCACGGAGGGGGATGATGGAATCTTTACGATGGAAGAGGATATGCCGCGCTCAAAGGATGCTGCTAATCATGAATCAGTTTCGTTCGAAGAGAATTCTCATACAATCGTGTCAAAGTTCATTCTGTTGGAAGATCTGACTAGAAAATTGGATAAACCCTGTGTCTTGGATCTTAAAATGGGCACACGGCAGTACGGAGTTGATGCCGATAAGTTCAAGCACTTATCGCAGAGTAAGAAGTGTCGCCGAACTACGTCACGGAAACTTGGCGTGAGAATATGTGGCTTGAAAATATGGAACCAGGACTACTACATTAAGCGAGACAAGTATTTTGGACGGCGCGTTCATATTGGCTGGCAGTTTGCTCGTGTTTTCGCCAGATTTCTGTACAACGGGAAAGACGTTTCCAGCATCATAAGACAAATACCACAGCTAATGACACAGCTGGATAGGCTTCATGCCGAGATAATGAAATTGAAAGGGTATCGCCTCTATGGCTCATCCCTACTGTTCATTTACGATGGGAACAATCCTGACGCCAAAAAATGTGACGCCAAGGTCAATCTCATCGACTTCGCTCAGTGTGTGACTCGCGACGACATAATCAGGAGTTACGACACCTTTCGCATACCACCCAAGTCACCAGAGGCAGAAGACCGCGGTTTTTTACGAGGAGTGCGCAGCTTAAAGTTTTACCTACAATGCATATGGAATCATTTGACCAATGACAGCCCTTTGCTCTTCGGCGACAAGTTAGATTCATACATGAGTGAGAACGGAGAGACTCTCAGCAAACCTTGGGACTGGTTAGATAGTTTTGACCAGGAGCCAGAGCAGGAATTCGATGATCCCGAAAGCGATCTTCGCAAAAAATGGCGTAAGTACGAGTTGATATTCGACGTTGAGCCTCGTCACACCGAGGACTCTGATATAAGTGAATAGGTTAAGGAAAGAAAGAACTATTTAAATGATCATGGACCAGCGCAGAGACCTGCCCAATAGGCTACATTTGCGCATATGTTTGAACGACAATAGTGTCCTGGAACTTGGAAAAATAGCTACCACGACAGAACTTAAGTTGTTCTAAAGATGAGAATGTCAATCTACCAGCTTAGAGAGACCGTCCACATGTTGGAGAGATGTCGACAGCCAATGATACTGGCCAATGATTGTATTAATCAAATTCAAAATGTACTCGAAAGAAGAATAGAGTTCGTGAGCAGATGCCGTTTTTATAGTTTTTTTTCCATTGTTATTCTTTCTTCTTCAGCTGGGTAACACGTCAACCGAGATGGAATACAAACTTTACCATTCACCATAAAACTCGGACGCTGTCACCATCAGGGAACTGATTCAGAGCCCAACCACACACCTCAATGTCTGAGATCATTAGAGAGGAGGACAATCCTTCAGGCGAGATCTCAAAGGGAGACAGGTACTTCATGGAACAGCGGGATTTAATACTGCAGGACATTGGCCAAACGATGGACTCGATATTGAACAACCTGAATGGTTTGAACATCTCGCTGGAAAACTTCATTGCTGTTGGTAAAGAATTTGAAAGTGTGTCTGACCTTTGGAGCAAGTTTTATGCAGGTGTCTCCGGAGCAGAGGAAGTCCAAACAGGAGACGAAAACGAAACCGAGCCCAAAGACGACTCGTAACTTTCGAGTGGCATCATCATAAATGGCCAATCGTCCTGTCGTCCAAGTTGCTCTGGGAGCTTGTAAGGTCTTTCTTAACAAAGGAGCACGAAGTCCTTCGATCAAAGCACTCGCGAAACGAAAAAAATCGTATCTCCGTTCGATTTTGATTGAATGCCACGAAAGAAAGGATGGAAAAGTCACTTTTTTGGTAAGCAGTTGAAGCTCATCCCACAAAATCTTGAAAAGCCTTCACTGAGAAAGAAAATCCAGTGCACCGCAAGAAGATCGAAGCACAGTCCTCTGACCTCAGTTTCTCGTGGCTAGAACTCCAACCCAAGCATAAACACCAGACTTAAAAAATCATTTCTCCTGCCTGACACACAAGAGTTACCCCAGCTTTAATTAGCCCCATAAATAGCTAACTGTCAAAGCGAATCACTTCCTTCAACAGCAGGGAATACCTGACCTAAAGGTGTAGCTCGAATTGCCAGTACCAAAGTCATAACCAGCTGTTTATTGCCATACACCCAACAAATTGGTCTCTTGGCCCAGTTGGTTAAGGCACCGTGCTAATAACGCGGGGATCAGCGGTTCGATCCCGCTAGAGACCATATTTTTAATTTTAACGCCTATCGCTGGTCCCGATTGAAGCGTTCATGCAGATGCGGTAGCCCAGTATTTATCTTGGACAACCCTGCACGGTAACGCACCTTATTTGAATCCAGTTGAAAGTATTCATGGTTTGCTTTGTTGATGAGACGTCTCAAAGATTTGTGCACTGATCTTGAATGCAAGTTGCTTTCGGTCGATTCTCGTGAGCCACAACCTTTCAAGAGCTGTGCCGACCGTGAACGAGGCAAAGCGTCTAACAAGAGCTTGTCTCGACTGAAAAGCATCTGTTTGTCATAAAGCCGGTGATTTTGTTCGCTATCAGAAGGCTCGACGTCGTCAACTGCTGTGGGAGGGTCGTTATCAATCTGTTCAGTATTGTTTCGAGTATTGCTCGTTCTTGGATTGCCCGAAATTGGTGATGCAGCAATTTCCTCGGTTTGCTGACGAGACACTGACGTTGATCGTGGGAACTCGAGATTGAACCCCGGAGAGTCCATTTCGACCTGGATGTGACCAGGGCTGGCACGACCATGGTTTTGGATTGAGCGCTCAACTCCGGGCCGCGGTATGGTTTCATCCTCGTCATTTGAAGCTGCAAAACTGGATGTTTCGTCAGGAGGAGTTTTGGAGGTATTTTCCCCGGCATGAGCCAGAGTTTGTTCGCAGTCCGGTTGATTTTTACTGGATTCCTCTACAGGCAAATCCCGGTCTGGTTTGTACGTATGATCTGCGAAAAACGACTTGGAGTGGTCACTTATGTTCCCAACGGATTCAGGATTGCTGTTAGAGCGCGAAGGGCCCTGGCTTCTTTTCCAAATCTCGCTTACTTCTGGCTCGAAAACGCTGCCGGTAGGGCACGCCTCCTCAAGTTCGTGAGATGAATTGATGACGATAAAAGATTGTCCAAACTGTTCAGAGGCTGCAGAGCCTACGGTGTCACTCGAGAGGCTGCAACGGAAAGATTCGCTTGGCTCGTCAATATCCATATCTTTGACGCCCACCAAGCTCTCTGAAACCGTCTCAGCTTGATAAACGGGGAATGAGACGGTACTGCTGCGTTTATAGCCCAAGTGGCACTGTTGTTCATGGTAAATTTCAGTTTTACACCGTAAAAAGGATCTTACAGGCTGATCGACACTCTCTAAGCTTACTGGAACATCCTTAGCGCTACTAACCATATTCTTCTCTGACTCACACTCCATTGGGGCTCCCAGGAATGCCAATTCCTCGAAATGAACGGTCTGAGACCGCTCTGGTAGGTGAACAGGTCTTCTGGACGCCATTCCAAGCGTGCGGGACCTTTCCAGTGCCATACTATACTTACGCAACTAGTTAACTACACTAACTAAATTCTTATACCTATCAGAATACAAAACTGTCAATATTCTCTGTTCTGGATACTTAAAAAGTGGTTAGCTCAAGGTCAAGATTGAACTGAGCGGCTAATTTCTATATTAACCGGGGCCTCTTTTGATCATCATATACGAATCAAAATAGTGGATATTTGTCTATATAAATACGAACTGCTTTGAATGAACATTTCAACCCTCTACCAATCACCTCATAAACCGGCAAGAACAGGCTCGTTTTTATAAGCCATTATGACGTTTGATATGTCATGATGGATTACGGCTGAAGCGTCCATTTTTCTGGCTTTTCCCAGCTTAGTTTGATGGAAAGCTGGCCAGGTTATGGAAGGAAAGTTTGACCGGTGTCACCACACTCTAGAAGTTCTTCAAAGACAGAAATTCCACCGCTTGGATCTGGCTCGATTGGACTTCTGGCCGTCCACCTTGCACCTGTTGGCCGCCACGATGAAGATCTATAGGCAAGGCTATTACACTCCTGGATTTTTCTTTCGTGCTCCAATAAGCATGTTTGGGGACTGTTTTTGGTCATACCTGAAAACTCCTGGACGCCAGAATGGAATTGAGCCCGGTCCTGCCCGTCCAGCCACCCAGCACCTTTGCGCAGCGCTTCTTGAAAGCGCGTTGGGGGTCAAAAACCGGGAATTATTGGTTTTGCATGTGTCGGTGAAAGTTAAGTCTTGTTTCATTCCCGAAAGACGTGTAAACTTCGCGACGTCCACATCGCCTTGGGTTCCAAATCGTGTTTTGTGGCTCGACTTTCTCATCTGAGAAGCGCGTCGGGTTGCGTTGGACTTGAATTGGGCTGGCACAAGCGACTTCGCATCTTTCACGTCTTTTTCATCGTTAGTCCCAGATCGATTCGGTTATCGTGTGAGGTCGACACGGGCGATGTGTTAACTGTCCGGCGGCGTCCCTTTCGCTAGGAAACGAATTTAAAGGAACCTGGAAAAACCGTTCCCAACGAGCACGCTTGACCATTCCCGTGTTTTCGACCCTCTCGACCAAAACCTCCACTTTCCCTTCCTGGGGTTTTATTGACTTTTCCCCTGTTCCCATTCAAAGTCATTTAGCGGCACGATTTTCTGTTCTTTGCGGAATCTTCATTCGTGGGAGCACCATTATAGAACCGAAGGATCTGAGAAACTCCAGAGTGGGCCTCAGGTTGGCGTCGCTAAGCTGAGATTGCGCTTCACTAGGCGGCGCGCCACTTCGAAATTTTTGGAATCATACTCTTTTTCTTGGTCTTCCTATAGGTTGATCGAGATAGATATTGTTATGGCAGAAGTGCTTTCATGATCAGTTCTCCATTAGGAATCACCGTTCCAGGAAAAGTTAACCGACCAAGATTGTATTCAACTCCGAGACAAAAGTTACTTGTCTGTTTTGATCTCAATGAACTTTTGACCGTACCAATTTTGTTTGAGGACAATTGGGGACGACTGAACCCGCTCCTCTTGCGTTGACACTATATTGACGAGGGCAGATTATCGTAGACGAAATGTCACTTTTCGAAGCACTCAATTTTTTTCGTAGCGTGCCCCGAAAACAGCTTCTTGAAGTAACGAATACACATCGTACAACTACGGAATTTTCATCAAATTCTATTCATACTTGATTTATACTCAAAATTCTTATCGATAGAGTTCATGTCTATCTATCGTCCTCAGGGATTCAAGTTCTGTTTTGTAGTTTATATGTTCATTTTTTAAAAATTATGCCAAGAATTTAATTTCTCATCATGGCATCGACTTCTTGACATACTTAAGAACCGAAAACTACATGATATAATCATTGTAGCCTAAAGGTAAAGCTGTTAGTGCAATTTGCAGCATCTGATTTAGATTACAAGAGTTTCAAGCGTTTCGCGTTGCCCATTTTCATAGCATTTTCCAATGGAAGTGACATCGCCATCTAACGAAACCTCGTCGAGCTCGCCTCCGCCGATAAAAAGAGTCTTGTTGATGACCAAAGTCAAGGCGGAGTGCGAACTTATGATAGCGTTTATATTCTTTTCCATTCTGGGTAACTACTCGAGACTGGGGCTTATTAAACTAACCAATTACGAGGGCTCCTACGTCAGAGGCCCCACGGTACTGTGGGCCAACTTGGCAGCTTGCTTTTTGATGGGATTGATGCAGACGATGAAAAGCTACAAAGTGTTCTCGCCGCTGCTGTTCACAGCGATTACTACGGGCTACTGTGGGTGTGTTTCGTCGTTTTCGAGTCTGATGGTCGAAATGTTTACGAACGCAGCGAACCAGCCAAGCACACGCGTGGCCTCAGGGTTTCCCAACCGTGCATACGGGATCATGCAATTTCTGGCTGTGCTACTAACACAGCTACTGGCGTCTATGTGCAGTCATATCTTCGGACTTTATGTGGCCAAGGAATTTGCGCTGTACTTCAAGAATTTCGAAAACCGAGAGACCTCTCTGGCCGCTCGTCGCACTCATCGTGTGGTAAGCTTCATTCAAAAGGCTACCCTTGTACTCTCTGTGCCCGTGCTGGCCGTCCAAATTGTTTTGGCCGCGGTCTACGACAACCGTTCTCGCTATTGGACGCTGTCTGCAATTTTTGCATTCCCCGGAGCCGCGCTGCGCTACGCGCTTTCAAAGCAACTCAACCACAGGTTGAAACACTTCCCCATGGGTACTTTCACGGCTAATTTTGCGGGTACATTGCTGCTGGCCGTGTTCACACTCGTCACGAAGGGCAAACGTTCCGATAATTCGCCAATAATAAAATCAGCAACGGCCAAAACTGTGGTAATAGCCCTAGGAAATGGCTTCTGCGGCAGTCTGACCACGGTGAGCACTTTCATCAACGAATGCCACCTTTTGCCGTTGCGCAAGACCCTCTTTTACTATTTTGTCTCGATATTCCTGTCGTTCGGAATAGTAGTGGTGATTGTGGGGTCCTGTGCGTGGACCAGAGGCTTGAATGCTTAGGATGTGAAGTTGGCCTATATTAAAAGATCATAGGCACTCGGGTCTAACCACACACGCACGCTCGCGGCCAAGTCCTGTCTGTACCTCTTGGATCGAGATACAGGTACTCACCAAAGTACTCACTTAGAGTACTCGTCAAAGTACTCGTGCCAGATATTAATCTCGGGCTTTCGTACAAGTATGAAAACGAGAACCTAAATCAATCTCCTATCATAACCCATCGCTTCCAAGACTCCGAAACCAAAGAACTCCACTCTAATTCTACCATAATGTCTGAACAAACGAGCAGCACTAAGAACCCCATCATTTGTATGATATTTGCGAGCTGGTTCCTCTTTTTTTGAAGACAATTTCGTACTAACCACCGATTTTAGTCGCACCGGAAACTTACCAGTACGACAAGGATGCCCTAGACGAGACGGAAATCAGCAATGATCCAATCATGCAATTCACCAGATGGTTCGCAGATGCGCAGCAGGATCCTTCTGAAAGCATTCCAGAGGCCGTCAACTTTGCATCCGCAGAATTGCCAAGCGGTAAGATCTCAGCCCGTGTGCTACTGTTCAAAGAACTCGACGACCGTGGATTTACAATTTACTCGAACTGGGAGACGTCCAAAAAGGCACAGGACATCAAAAGCAACCCACAGGCTGCATTGACGTTTTTCTGGAAAAACTTGCAGAGACAGGTCAGAGTGGAGGGAATCGTCGAGAAAGTGAGTCGTGAGACGTCAGAAAGATACTTCAGGACCAGACCTCGTGGTTCCAAAGTTGGCGCGTGGTCGTCGCCACAATCGGCGCCTCTCAAGGACCGTGCTGAACTCAAGAGCCTGGTCGAAAAAAACGAGGCCCGTTTCGACGGGGTCGAGGACGTGCCTTGCCCTGAATTCTGGGGTGGTGTTCGCGTGGTTCCTCTTTACATCGAGTTTTGGCAAGGTAGACCAAGCCGTTTACACGACAGAGTGGTTTACACGCGGAAGTCAGAAAGTGAGCCATGGGAAGTGACAAGAATTGCACCTTGAGTAAGACTGACACATCAGAGCTTTGCAGATACCCAATACCAACTTCGTACAGTCGAAAGAGTCTAAGGAAAAAAGTAATAATGTTAAGAATACAATGCAAATAGACTATACAGAAATGGCATCTAGCATTTGCAACACGTTTCCGTGAATGCTTTTGTTGAAAGGTTCGATCTCTTTGGCAAAAGCGTTAAGCCGATGTCTGACAATCTTGGTTTCAGCCGGCTGAAACGTCAAAACACCTGAACACGCAAAATAGCAGCATATCAGGACATACATGTTCTGATTGAAGTCGCGAAGGAGAGTTTTGTCTGAAGATCGAAGTAGTTGTTGTAATACCTCGTGCGTCTTTTGAACTTCGTCCTCAGACACTTGGTGCATGAGACTCTGAATTCGCACCAAGTTCAAGCACAGGCCGAGATGCAATACAAATACGTCTATGAGATCCTCTCGCGTATTTTGAAACAAGAGGGCAGAGTTTACAAGTATGAAGGTGAGCGAGCACCTAAACACATCTGACATGCCATCATAAACCTCGATTTCATCATTTGTTATTTTCACGAGCGCCTTGATTAGACTGTGGTTAGTCGCCTGAGAGCTGCAATACTGTGATAATGCTTTAAACCACCTAGATTGAGACACATCGTTGTCAGTGCCTTTTTTGGAAAGTACTTTTTCGGCAATAGCCAAGGCGTCAGGAGTGTGACAACAATCTTTCTCCAGGACTTCCAAAATGGCATCGATCGCACCTTCATCTAAGCTTTCCTCTCGATCCAAACAATGATTCCACAGCTTTAGGCCGTAAAACAAACCTGGCTTTCTATTGGTGAGTAGCAAAAACTCGTCGTAGCTTCCTTTGACATGCTCAGTACAGTCGTCCGTCGTAGCGACTTGCGTTTGTTGGATTAGTGGGAAAATCACTGTAGGAAAATCCATCTCGCCCCAGAGTGAGTGGTCGGGCTTCAGGGCCAGCTTATAAAGAACAAACGCGCCCGCATGCAACAACAGAACATTGGAGTCTAAAAGAAGCCTCAGACACCATTCCCACACTTCCTTTTGACAATGTTTCACGGCATAATCAAGAAATCCAGCGTCGTTTAATAAATTCAACGCCAAACCCAAGACACTCGATATTCTGGTGTCCAGATTTGAACGGAGACTTACCTGGAGTGTGAATTCCAAGTCGTCCTGATATTTCAAGGTTTCTCCCATAGCTCGCAAATGGTTGAAGTGCTGCGTGGACTGAGAGCATTCTACCGTGTCCGAGGACCCGTCCTCAGCGTCTGGTAGCACGTCGTCATCATCATCTGCATGTTGCACAATTGTCCTTGTCTTCCCATATAGCTTTTTAGAGGCCAGATCTGCACCAGGCCAGTTCTGGGACCCTGAAACAACGGGGTCAGTGTCAAGCGCTGCAAGTTCAGTTTTGGGCCCCTGTAGCGGTCCTCCCAGCTGCAACAGCACCGAATTGGCATCATCGATGGTGCTCTGGAAACTCTTTTCGGCCTGACTCGAGAAAAATGTCTCCTGTGAATCGCAGTCGATGTCGTCGCCAGTCGCGTCTGGTCTTGCTTGGCGCGTTCTTCTGCGTTTTTTGCAGGGCGGCTGGTCCAGAAAATCGAGCAGTTCAAATTGCACTGGGGCTTTTGGATATTCTGGCACGCAAGTGTCCTGCGAGGGCTTCAGATCGTCGCTTTCTACCCTGACATCGATGCTTGTTTTAGGTGTGATAGTTTCGTAACGTTCATCGCTGGATAACGACTCAGATACGGCTTCTTCGTCGCTGAAATTCGCTACGCACGCTTTCCGGAGAAACACTGACCTTTCAGCTCTTCCTAGTCGGCCATAGGTCCTCATTTGATGCGTATTTTAGCTTGAATTGGAATTTTGGAATAGGAAGACATCGAGATGTTAATTTACATCATTTAACATATATCTTTTCACTGCTACATCTAGAATATAAAACCACGACAGAAGGCGTCAGAATCCTACCGTTAAGCCATGTATTGCGACCTTAGCAGCAAGCTAGTGCTAGAGGCGAAAAGAGCGCAGCAATTGAGCCGAAGTTCCGGGCCAGAACAGCTTCCTATATACCAGGATGAGCTGGTGAGAAATGTTGTGCGAGAAGTGGGTCAACTTCGCAAGAACGCCGAGTTTTTGAGGGCTCAGCAGGAGCAGAGCGAAGGTGGGGATAAAGTAGCGCGCTGTCAGTATTTCGTGACGCTGCTGTGCATGGAACGCAACAAAAGATGTCTTTTGGCGTACCAAAAACTGCGAAGTGACGCGCTCGACAGCATCGCATGGAACCGAAACGCGTCGTCTTCGGCGCCCGGTGCAATGCAGCAAGCGGGTGCAAACTTGTCGCACTACGAACAGGAGTATTTGAAGGACTACACCCAGCTCATCGCCGATATGAAAAGCGGCGACTACACGGATATCGATCTCTCCGGCTCGCTGACGCCGCCCAGCGACGTGTTCATTGACGTGCGGGTTCTCAAAGATGCAGGGGAGATCCAAACCGAGTACGGTGTCTTCAACCTGATCAAAGACTCGCAGTTTTTCGTCCGGCAGGCCGACGTGGAGCGACTCATTCAACAGGGGTACTTGCAGAAGCTGTAGACGAGAGCTTAGACTGTGAAAGAGAGAATAAAACTACGAGGAGAATAGTATAGAGGGCTTCACAGGGCTAGTAGAGCTGGTCAAACGCTGTTGTAACCATCGTGTCGCTTTGTACGGAGACATTTACCCAGACTCACACATTTTGAGCCCAAAAGCACACCGGAAGAGATGAATACGAGGTGCACTCAATGCCAACAGATAATGCCATCAACAACAGCCTCTACACACCACTTGTCCCCAGAACTGATTTGTTAGGACAACTTTTTAGCCATCATCGTCCACGTGACCACTGCCGTACAAAACAACATCGATTCCACATAGATTTTTCAGATATTGATTGATTGACCCACATCAATGAGCTCATCAGTACCATCAAATCGGTCAAGAACTGACGTCTTCAGTCCTCTCAAACGCTCCCACACACCATGATGTCTGCGTCCAAAAGACAGTACTTCCAATTGCTACCGGACAGGCTGAAAACCTTCTTCAAAAAGTACCCTCCTAGCGTGAAATACAGTGAAAAACCTACAACAATCAGTGCCGTCGATGCGAACCCGTTTCTGGCAAACAAAAACCCGGCAACGGGCAGATACCACAACCCCAAGTACTCCCTGAGACGCATGAGCGAGCTGTACAAGTTGGCACACCATTACGGGCTCCAAGAACTGCTCCCACCCAGAAACAAGCTGTTTTTCCAAGAAAAATACGACCAGAAGAAGTTCATGAAAGGTGTGTTGCTGCCCAAGGGTCACAAACACGAGCTCGCACACTCTGAGAAAATGCAGAAGATGAAGGCGGCTATTCGCAACGCAGATGAGGTGATTCTGGAGGCCAAGGGTCGCAAATATGCGAGAAAATTGGAGAAACGGAAACAGGGAAAGACCCCCAGTTGGTTCTGATAAAGCCGGTGGAAACCGATGTTTATAATGCCTTGTACATACACATAGGAAGCTCGGGAAGTGATGAGACGCGAGTTTGGGCGAGACCCGGACAAAGCGTCGCGAGCGACCTCGAGTTTTTAATAAAGCGATAAGATGAGCTCTAGCTGCCTGCTACTTGAAGAATCGAGTTCCTGACAATAACCGCGACAGTAGTGCACCAGCGAGGATACGCAGCGTTTCAAGATGTCTCGCGAATTCCACTTTGATGAGAATATCTCGGAGAAGCAGCTCAATCATCAGTCTACGTCGCTCATCATGCCCAGTATCACCAGGGCGAGAATCCACAACTCAATGTACTATAAGACCAATCTGGAGGCACCTTCTCTGAGAGGAAACAGCATGCTTCAACTAAGCAAAGTTATAATGATGGAGCTAGGGACGTGTCGAGGGAGCCCGCGTCCAATGTCTGTCGTATGCGGAGGTGTCGAGTTTAAGTGTCTTCTGATGAAGTTAATACACATTCGGCCCACCTGGAACCAACTGCTGGCCATTTTGCAGAAGGGGCACGCATTGCAGTCTAAATTCGACAACAAGTACCTAGTAGTGCTGATTCTGGTGTATCTGCGCATGCAGTACTATTTCCTGCCGAAGCCCACGTCTGAGGCGGATGTGAAAAGCGTACGAGACTTCGAAAAGCTACCACAGGTCACTGCAGAAAACCTGAGAAGCTTGCTGCGTATCCACATCAGTGACTACCGTAAAGTTAAATGCATGGCGCTCGATGCTGATTGCTGGGCCCAGGGCGGGTCTCAGAAGGTCGAGATCAGACATATCGATGAGATTGTGGACTGGCTGTGCACGGAGAGCCAGATTTGGGCCCTTCCCTTGGGCCAATGTCAGTGGTGCGACGTATACGCAGAAAGTGACAGCAGTGACAGCAGTGACAGCAGTGACAGCAGTGACGATGAGCCGTGAGGAAAAATAGTTTACAAGCAACTCACCAAGAAACACTACGTTTGGGTATTGTGCGTTTTCTCGTACCGGTGTCTCTGGCCACTTATCTCAAAAAAGTCTAAGTCTATGCGTTTGTTATACACGTTCCATCGTGAATCTATGCGTTTCTTATACAGGGATATACGAGCGCAACTCTGCGCCAGCCACTGTTCCAGGGCTTAGGAGTCCCATTTTCCTCTCTCTCTATCTCTCTCTCTCTCTCTCTCTCACAGCGCTCGTTTGGCGCGTTTGACTGGCCCCCATTCGACTCCATTCGTCTTTTACGGCCCGAATCCTCTGCTAGCTTGCCCGTGTGTCGCATCCTCTGTAGATGTCTCTCGTCTACCAGCAGTGAGTCCACATTTAGCGAGTCGGGTAGAATTATTTGTCGAATCGTATTGCCTCGGATGTTGATATATTGCAGTGCTGTGGTCTTCTGCTCTGAATTATGTTGTCCGCCGGTCAAAAACACACCTGCCATGGCGCCGTTGCCGCTTTTACTGGGAAGTGACAGTTTCACATCTGTCAATGTCGCGTTCATCTGCGGAGAAACGGTCTGCAAAGTTCCCCAAACAGTCGTCCCATTCTTGAGTTCCACGGTGACTTGTTCGTTGCGCAGTTTCATCAGAAAGTGTACTAGCTTCATTTTAAACGGGACAGGCTCTATCGCTGGACGCTATCGCTGTGTTCAACGCATCATCGGATGTGAAGTTGAAGAGATGGTGTTATATGGTATAAATTCCAGTTTCTTGAAAGTTTTGGGAGCATTGTGTACGAGAATTGTGAACTATCAACAAACACGTGACCATAAAAACAAGACACCGGCTCGAGACGCTGCAAAAGACAATGACGACAATGTCGTTGCCATCGTCGAATAACGCTACATGTGGCCAGTGTGGTCTTGTGCTATGCTATTGCCTCCATGAATCGGTATTTATTCAAATGCAATTCTTTTCAAATAAATTGGTGTCACAGACGTACATGATGATCTGACCAAAAATGGAAACGATAAACCATTAAAACTTGTCTGGAAGGCAGGTTGATGGGTCCTTCAGTGTTTTAAGTACTCCAATATCCAGCTATATCTCTCTAATTTCACGATTAGACTTCTTTTCGCTTCGAAATTCTCGAAATATCGGGAAATAATATACCATACCTCGAATTTTAATTGTCTGAGCTCGTCAGTTTAACCCAGATCCCGGCCAAGCCGCGACTGCCTACTGGATGTACATTCTCCGAATCTAAAAACGCGTGAAACGAAGTCGAATGGCCCTGTTTTGAGCTTATCGGCACATCTACTGGGTTTTCTTCCGTTATCGGGTATATGCGAGACTAAATTGAAATAGATAAGCTCATCTCACTATATAAACTTCAAGCTATCCAGCAGACGTTGGTCCTCCATCAAAAAGACGAGACAGCAGAATAACCAGGCATCAAGCCCACTTTTCGACAATCACAGATCATCACAATGAGTATTCAGCAATCGAACACTAATCCTGTTTTGGCTTACAATTCGCTGCTGGCACGTCGCCCTCTCTTGACCAAAATGGTGACCGGGGCAGTTCTCAGTGCTCTGAGCGAGCTGATAAGCCAATGCACCACTTTGAACACCCAGACCACGAGTGAAAAGCCCAAATCAGGGTTGTACAGGCTCAAACAGCTCTTGCTCATGCCCAAATACCGTAAAATGGTGTTCATGTTGCTGTACGGTGGGCTGGTGAACGCTCCAATCAATCATTACTTTTATCGCTGGCTCACGCTCCTCACCAGCCAGAAAGTGGGCCCAAAGTGGAGACGTCTCGCACAGCTATGTGGTTCCTGGTTTGTGATCAGCCCCATCCAGGTTTTCGGGCTCATTACAGCGCTCACGTTGGTGAATCTAGATACCAGCAAAGAACACATTTCTCAAAAAATCAAGGCCGTTTGGGCCAGTCTGAAGAGCCGTTACGGCCCTATGCTCACCAGTAGCATTGTGAGTTCTACGGTGTTCGTTTCCGTGGCCCAGCAGTACATCTCGACCGAAAAATGGTCCGTATTCTTCAGCTTTGCCTACGCAATGCTCAACACGGGCCAAAACATATATATGAAGCTGTCACCGGGCCAAACGACAGCTTCAAAAACATCAGAAAACTTGGAAAGCGATGAACCGAGGTAAGCCTGTACGTAATTACCATCACAAAACAAAACAAAACCAAACCAAACCAAACCAAATTAGCCCAGCACATTAACGCATTTTGTCAAAACCGAAAAACTCACTTTCCTCATCCGGCCACGGGTTCGGGAGGGGCCTTGTGACTAACGCCTTCATTTGCAGCAGACGACGCCGACGATCCTGGCCTGGCTGCGCTGTCTTTCTTTTTGCCTTTCGAGTTGGGCTTCTTCTTGGATTTCGGCTTTTTGGCCGCTTTCTTCTTGGGCTTGACCTTGGGATCAACAACACTCTCGGTGCTGCCCATTCCCAATTTAGATTCCTTTTCAATCATTTTTTTGATTCTTTCTCTTCTCTGCAATTCACGCCGTCCGGCTTCCTCGATAATGACTACATTCTGCTTGTCCTGGGCGCCACGCTGCGTGCTTTTTTTAGATTTTTTCTTTGGCTCTGCTACTTCACCAGTCTGGTTGCTCTTTGCCTTGGTTTTGCCCTTATTCTTATTGTTCTTCTTAGTCTTTTCTTTGGCCACTTCGCCCGTCAATGCAACAATAGCGCTCTCTCCTTGACTTTTGATTCTGGCCTCTTCTTCCCGCTTGCGATCCAGCGCCTTCTGCAGAGGGTGGATGACGCTGAGCTCAGCGTACCCAAACTCTTCCTTGTGTTCGTTCATTAGTGCTGTAGACTTCAAAAACATCTGGAACGTTTTGTCCTTCTCGATCGTGCCTTCTAAAACTGCCTTGCTATTTTTTACACCCTTACTGTCGTCAACTCTTAGCCGTTTCACGTACGGACTCATAGTGGTAGAGGGTATCATCGAAGTGTTAGTGTCATCTGTGAACTTCAAATTCTTGATTTTCCCCACAAACTCTTTCAGCTTGGCCACTTCATAGAACGTCAAATACGCTCGAGAAAACGTTGGCAACTTGAATGGTTTCTTAGAGAAGTGACCCGGGACATAATACCGAGAATCCACGTTCTGCGCCAAAAATTGCACGCCTGCTTCGTGTCCGGCGTCTGCGCCCAATTCACCGTGCAAAGTCTCGAAAAAAAGCCTTTCTGTCAGATTGGGCGGTAGCATACGGACCACAAGCTTGTGCTGAGCAGACGGCCTGGTTGTCTGCTCTTTGTTGCGTTTAAACCTTTTTTTGGATTTTGAACTTCCACCGGCAGGCACCGGGCCCTTCCCTTCATTCTTGAGCATTTTTGCCCGGGGTTTCTCTTTCTCAGTACCTTTACGGTCAGGATCGCGCTTTACCTCATGTTCAGCTCTATCATGGGACCTTTCATCCATGTTCTTTCATAGTTTTAAGTGTTGTTCAAGTGTAACTCTACAATATCGAAAATTTTCCATAATAATATTATTAAGTTTACTAGCGATGAGTGCCGTCTTCATTGTATAAATCAAGAGACAAATCGTAAATGAAGCCCGTTGTGGGCTCTCAATTGAGTCAATTGTTTGATAGTCTCATGACCGGAAATTTTGCTTGTCTCAGTGTAAATTTGAATCAGAATGGACGCTTCGTCGCGGAGTTACAAGCAGAACTGCAAAATATCCGAACTGACAAGGAATTAGAAGCTATGGTTGAGAACCAGAAGTTTGAGAAAGGTAAGTGGACTAGATTTAATATCCTGGTGGTAAGTTATTTGAAATTCTGCCAGAATGTTAACCCTTGGTCGGTCTGGGAAAGCTCAGATCTCATTTTCAATTACTACCAGGACTTGACAAATTGTCTGCTCAATGACAGCTTTCCAGTGGATCCGCTAGTGACGCTTTTCCAGGACACCACAGAGTATGTGATACCGCTGGCACGGGAACTGGACTCCAACTATCGCGAGCTGGGCACGCGACAACATCAATTTCTGGCTCACGTCTCGTCTGTCATCACCAAATTGTTCAACAGTATCAAGCCTCGATACGAGGAGCCTGCACTCCGATTCGATGAACTTCCAAGAAAACAACAGATCTTACTGTATACTGCAAACAGACTGAACAGCATATACATGCAGATCGACTCCCCGGCCTCATGTGCGAACATTTTTAAAAACGTCAAGCCGAAATCCGCAATACAAAACTTCTCTCAATACCCGGGCCGCGAGCGGATAGAGTATCGGTATCTGCTTGGCCGTTATTATATGCTTAACCATCGTGTTTCAAATGCATTTCATCAGCTTAATAGCGCCTTTGCACTGCTTATCAAGTGTTCCGCACAGACAGCCGGAAATGCAGCCGTGCAGAGAAACAAGCAGCGAATCTTGAGATACCTTCTGCCTGCTGGAATTTTATTTGGCAAGATGCCAACCCCGGAGATATGCCAGCTGCACGGCCGCGAGATGGCACAGAAGTACCTAGCACTGTCGCATATTGTAAAAAGTGGCTCTCTCCACCGTTTTCACGTCTGGCTGGCTCAGAATGAACACGAGCTGCGCAGAAAAGGACTTCTTTTGGTGCTGCTGGAAAAATGCCCGCTTTTGATATATCGCAGCCTCATACGCCGCGTTATCATAGATTTCTGTTTTCCATCTGACACTAACAAGATCTCTTACTCGTTTCTGGCGAACGGTGTCCAATTTTCATTGGGGTCCCTGCAGGGATTGAAGCCAATCTATTCTGCGATCCATGCTCCCGAAAATGTCGCCAACGTGCTTGAATCACTGGTGAACCTGGGACTGTTCAAGGCCAATTGTTTTCCCCTCAGCGAACAATGTGTGTTTCCCAAGACCGACAAAATAGACTATATTTTTCCTTCTGTGAACGAAAGGCTTGTGGCATTTTTTCCGCTTAACAGCGACGACTTTTGGCTGGATAACTGAGTTGCACGGCAAACGTTAAGCCGGAGTGGCTCTTCATGCTCATGAGATCGCTTGGCCAGGGCCACGACTGGAATAAAAATAAAAATAATAAAATACCGAACTAAACTCGGGATTTCCCAATTTTCAACTAGGCCACTGGAGACCTCGGTACAGGCTACATAGACTACAACAGCTCGCCTCGTCCGATCCGTTCAATCGTGTGTCGTTCGAGTAGAGTGTGACATTTTGACCAGTCGTTTCATCACACGAGATTCACGTGAAATTCAGACAATATCACCTCACACGTGAAGGTAAAAATTTGTTGAATCGTAAATTGATAGTATTTCGAAGCATAACATCCCAAGTGTTCAGCGAGCTCATAAGCATTGCAAAGGGAGCTTGGTGAACGCCGGAGCCATATCTTCAACGTACGAATATCGTGTCCTTCATTTTGAAATTTGAAAGAGAAAAAAATCGAGAGTTTTAGCGTCGATTTTGGACTGAAACATTTGATAGAAAAGGGTTCACGTCTTGCGACAACGACCTGACCTTACACCAGGAATTTGGTGTTATTTGACTTGATACACGTCAGTCTTAGCGACTGAGGTCTACTTCATCCGAAATTGGAGCTCAGAAGATACTATAATGGTGGAAAGAGGGCCCGATCAGTGGCTGGAGAAAATCAAAAAATGCCAATCACTCACAGAAAGCGAAATGAAACAGCTGTGCGAGATGGTCAAGGAATTGCTGATGGAAGAATCGAACATCCAGCCGGTCCAGACGCCGGTGACGGTATGTGGTGACATCCACGGCCAGTTCCACGATTTGCTGGAGCTGTTTAGAACCGCAGGCGGATTTCCAGATGAGGTCAACTACATTTTCCTCGGAGACTACGTGGACCGTGGGTATTACAGTTTAGAGACGTTCACGCTGCTGATGTGTCTGAAAGTGAGGTATCCTGCTCGGCTGACGCTGGTACGCGGAAACCACGAGTCTCGTCAGATCACACAGGTGTACGGTTTCTACGAGGAGTGTCTGAACAAATACGGGTCGACAACGGTGTGGAAGTACTGCTGTCAGGTGTTCGATTTCCTGACCCTCGCAGCGATTATCGACGGCAAAATCCTGTGCGTTCACGGGGGGCTATCTCCGGAGATTCGCATGCTAGACCAGATCCGAGTTCTGTCCAGGGCGCAGGAAGTTCCTCACGAGGGTGGGTTTTCAGATCTATTGTGGAGCGATCCTGATAATGTAGAGGCATGGCAGGTATCGCCGCGTGGTGCTGGATGGCTGTTTGGGAGCAAAGTCGCCCGCGAGTTTAATCACGTGAACGGCCTGAACCTAATAGCTCGGGCACACCAGCTGGTTATGGAGGGGTTCAAGTACCACTTTCCGGAGAAGGACGTGGTCACAGTGTGGTCAGCGCCCAACTACTGCTACCGGTGTGGCAATGTGGCGAGTGTGATGAAGGTGGACGAGGATCTCGAGCCCACTTTCAAAATCTTTTCTGCGGTGCCTGACGACTACATCCAAGAAACTAACCACAACAATCAACGCGGTGGCTACTTTTTGTAGACAGGCCCGCGATGAAGCATTATCAAATCCAACTTCTTCCCTCTCATCTGTACACTAAGCGAACCCCGTCACTTCACTTCATATGACGAACTCTCGACCCAAAATATGCAGATTGCTGCTTATGGTGGCTTTATACTGCCAATCTTCATACGCACTGGACTGCTTGTTCGCTCATTTTTTAATTCTTAACGACGATTACGAACCACCGTCGACGGCCCGAATTTTCAACATATCCCAGTTGAGAGACTCGATTACGATTCAGAGAGGCTCTTAATTATCATCACCACCACCACCATCACTGCCAAACCCGAGTTGTGTGTCATTTCCAGACCTTCAAGATCCGTCTCGCAGAAAAACGGTACCTGTGAACAATACTTTGGTTCCTCCAGTCACATCAATTCTGACAGGTGCCAAATGTTGAAAAAAAAAACCCGGAAAAGATACCGATTTTCACACTCATCCATAAACGAAAAAAGTGGTGGATCTAACGACGCAAGGGAATCCGTCACTTAAACATTCCTCGAGCCCGTCAGTCTAGTTTTCTTATTCTGACGTGCCCTATCTAGTCATATTATCACTCTGTACGACTACAATATAACAAATTAATATAAAAAGCCAAAAGGGGTCCTCATCTTCTTCCCATCCATCGACCAGTTCAAGCAGGAAACTTAAAGCTAGAATCGGTGCTTGAAGTCTTTGAACTCTGCTCAAACATCTCAACTTGAAGCCAGAACTACCTTTGACGTTTTAACCCGAATCGTCTCAAAACCCAGTATGACTCGTTACACAGCACTGTTGTTGACATTTTTGTGCGCTTTCGCTGCTGCGTCGCCTTTACTACCAGCTTTTTTCAAGTTTCCAGGTACTAGGTCTCAAAACAAGCCTATCTCTGGAGATTCGCCTCTGCAGCAGTGCGATGCCGACGAAAAGCAGCTTTTGGACATCAAATTGGTCAACCTACTTCCCAACCCGCCTGTGCGGGGCGAAAATGTCACCATTTCGGCTGCAGGCTACGTGAAGGACACCATTGTGGAGGGTGCATACGTGGACGTTGAGGTGCGTTTGGGCTACATCAAGCTGCTGTCGCAAACCTACGATTTGTGCGAGGAGCTTGAAAAAAACGACGTGGATGGGCTTAAATGCCCCATTGAGGTTGGTGATTACATGATCGAAAAGACTGTGGAAATCCCCCAAGAGGTTCCTCCTGGAAAGTACTCTGTCGTGGCCAGAGCGTACACGGAGGACGACGACGAGATCACGTGCCTCAGCGGTGACGTTTATTTCCCAGCGTACTAAGCCAAAGTGTCTCTGTGCCTTTGGGTCTTCATACTGGAATCGCGGAAAGGAATCCAAGATGATCAAGTTGTAGCCGAGGTACGCTCAGGATACTGAGATCAAGACAAAACAAGGCAGAAAAGACAAGAAACCACTAACTCGCCAAAACTCGCCAAAACAAAGCAGGATACAAGCCGCTTAATGAACTAATAAGTACGACCCGTGTTCCATCCCTAACAGCTGGGCTGGGAGGGTGGACGTCCACATAAAATTCATCGTCTTTTTGTGTGTTTTATCGTAAACTCATCTCACACACGTGATCATATCAATCGCCGCTCTCTATTACGTAACACAGATCTTATGTAAGCATTTTTGATATGTATTAAAATATTAGCACACGTGATGTTTAGATGCCATCCTGGATTCAAAATCGGCAATTGAATTCATAGAGTACTTTCTCTGCTCCATTTCTACACTGGCTACTATCAAGCGTAGCACCACTCTCCTGTATTATACTCAGACGCTCTCCAAATGCTAGCCAAACTGATTTCCCCCCGCACTTCTAGCGCTCAGCTTGTGAACCCGCTTTCCCGGGCTGTTTTTGGCTCATTTCAAAGCAAAGCTACCGGCAACCTTGTCAACCAGTACTCGACCAGTGTTCAGCTTAAAATACCACCTATCAAGCGAGTAGGCGAAACAGAGGAGCGCAAGAGAGCTCGTCTGGTTTATCAGTCTCGTAAAAGAGGCATCCTCGAAACCGATCTGCTGCTGTCTCGTTTCGCGGCCAAACACTTAAACTCGATGACCCCTGAGGAACTTGACGAGTACGACTCCCTTCTCGATGAATTGGATTGGGATATTTATTACTGGGCGACCAAGAACTACGAAATCACTCCGCTGCCGGAAAAGTTCAAAAATTCTAAGCTGCTCAAGAAGCTTCAGGACTTCAGCGAGAATAGGGAAAAGGAAATTCTGCGGATGCCAGACTTGCAGAACAAGTGAGACGACAAGTTAATAGTATGAAATCGAGGCTTTTTGGGAATCTTGTATAGCGGCTAAACATTCTTTTATTAATTTCGAGACGTGGCGTTGCCAGATCGTGGAGGAACCCGGTCTGAACATGGAGATGACTGTGGAACTGTCAGTATAAAGACAAGTGGCATTGTTTCAAGCAGATACAAGGTCAGTTTCCCTGTGCTACGTAGTCCCACGGGCCGTTTCGTCGGACATGCGAGATTATCGCAAAATGACATAACGAGACGAAACGAAGGCGGTTCTTCAAATCTGAGAAAGGTGAGTGTACCGCGCATTTAATGTGAGCCATTGAGCTGTTCTTAAAACGGTCTGCAACGTTCAAATTCTCTTAAACCGGCTTGTCAAGGTCGATGTACTCGCGAGTACTCGAGCCTTTAATTAAAGTGAAAAAATCGTTACCAATGAAAACTCATATTCAATTTCGTCAACCCAACAGCATCGCACACTCACTTGCTCACTGGAATCGCTGTAGCGCACTCATTGGCGAACCCGAAATGTCTAGTAAAGTCCCAGTGCATAGGCTTCCTCCGTTGCCCAGGTTGAAGGTAAAAAAACCCATTATTCAACAGGAAACTAACAAATGCTTGGTGCTGATGTCAAATCTATTGCAGTGCTGGTCTTCCAACGGCCACATGAGTCCCGTATGTGAAAACTTGGTGAAAGATTTGAAAGTTTGCTCTGCTGAAAGTGCCATGGGCAAAAAAGCAGGTGTTCAGAAGAGTAACATCAATTATCATGCGGCCAGACTTTATGACCGGGTTTCTGGTAAACCTCACGACTGAAGGCGCCAAACTTTGGCCACTAACAATCCACTGTATATAGACAAATATTTGCATTCACAATGAAACGTTTTTTCTTCTAAAATCCCAAGACCGCTTGCTGGCGACGATCTTTATTTCCGCGTTCTGCCGGCTCTCTCCTGAGAGTCGTCAGTTAAAAACCACCCCGGGTGATAGCCCGATTGTCCCGTGCTTTGCAGCAATGCTTCGTCAGCGTCTGACAGTTGTGATACGTTGACATTCTCGGATGATGTCTGCTTGTCGTAAGCGTTGAAAATCTCCCACTTGAAACGGTTTTCAAGCGTGAGGCTGCCAGATAAAGTGTCAATCTTTAAGGCTGGATTTGGGAGCGTGGAGTTTATTCCACCAATCGACGTGAACCCTTTTCCATAAAGACCACAGATCTCCTCATTCGAGTACAACAGTAAGCTCCACACGTTGGCCAGATTCCAATGCAAGAGAGGTTGAATACGCATGAAGTGAGGCCAACCACTATCTGTCGACTGGATACACTGTAGATTTTCTCCAAATGGGTCTGTGTGTCGTATTCCTATTACGATGGCCTCTGTATTGGAATGTAGCTCCAGGTAGTTTTCGAATGCCTCTGGCATGCTGGTTTGATTTCGCGGTGATTCGTAGATTGATAGAAAGTATCGCTCTCGGGCTGACTCAATGGATTTCTCCAGCGTGCTGAACGTTTCGGCCTGATTGATGTACACTGTAGGCAGAGAGCGAAGAGGGAAACGGTGATACTGTGAACCGTATTGTGAGAATCCGGTATTTCTGACAAAAAACTCCCATAAACAGGATAAGTACAAGATCAGAAGCACCTGGCAATCTTTCCCACCATTGTATGAGAACGACAACTGGTTCCCGAACGGATCCCAACGACGGAACACTTCTTCGAGTAAATGATGGCGGGTTAGTCGTATAGCCTGTTTGGTAGAATTCACAATATCTGAGCCGCCTGAAGAGGCTAAATAGCTAGTTGTAATGTTGTGACAATGCCTCGAGATGTCAGCTAGCGTCATTGGAGCCCAAAACAGCTTCTCTACTGAAAATGATCGACTTTTTACTTGTTGTTCGAGCTTCACAAGATGCTCATGAATTAATAGCTACTGCTTTGTATAGTACATAATGATGCAAAGAATAATGCTAGTTGATATATACAGTTTTGAATGGTCTCTGTGAAGACCTACGGGTGCAGCGCATCCTCAGACGCTTGAACTTTGGCTTTCCTTGAGTTTTCTCAGGTAGTCTTCAATATAGTTCAAATCGTGAGCGTTTTCCCTGCACCAAACAACCCCCACGGTCAAAGCAGTGTCTGAACAGGTCGAGTCGTCAGCTATACCGTCATTCATGTATCTCATAGTTTTGGCGATATTTGTGAGCAGCTCAACCGTATGCAAGTCGCCTATAATACCATTTGCCGTCATTTCAGCGACCAGCTGTTTTACTTGATGTATTTCTTGGTAGTTTTCCCACGATAGTTCGATGAGCAGGTTGTAAAAATCAATGTTGCACACGTTGAGGTACAGCGAGACATCTGTGGCGGTTTTGCACGAATTGTAGATGAGCGATATCAAAGTGTATCTGCGTTCAGGTGGAAAACGGTAATCGGCGCTCGTCAAAAGATGCCTAATAATGAAAGGCATTGTAACATGGAATGGTTGCGGCAGAAAAGTTGGGTTCTCTACACCATTTTGTTCCAAATGTTCCAGACTGTCAGTCTCGAGCTCAGGATTCCTTTTCAAGTACTGCGAAAGAAGTTCCTGAATAACCAAGATGCAATCTCCATCGGTTTGTACGCGATTTTGCAAGTGGAGCAGGTATGGTCCTAGAAGCTTTTCGAGCTTGGCAGTCAGACGGTTTTTGACTTCAATCTGTTTGAGAAGATTTGGGTTTATACCGCTTTCTGCTGTCTCGACCTGGGAACTGAGCTTCATCTCGGACGTCAATACATTTTTGATATAGGCACCTGCCGATACCGGAGTGCTCTGTTCCACGTCTTTTCCGTCTACAGCATTGCCAGAGGTCTTTTCACTGGAGAAGTATGTTGGCGTCAGCGAAACTGGATATTTGCGAATATCCTCCGTTGTCATTCTTGCCAGGTTACCCGAGTCGCTCATGTCACCCACAGCATCACGGAAAAACTTGGAGAGCGTGGCGTCTACTGGTTTCGATTTTTTCTTCTCGAAGACGACCTGAACATTGTCTCGCTGTTTCGATAAACTATCGCCAGATTTGGGATCCGTCTGGCCTATAAGCAATTTTAAAACGTCCTTCGACCGCTTTTTCTCCTCGTCTTTTTTCATGATTTGTGTGAAGATCTGCTCAAACAGGGTCTTCTCTTGAATCGACGATACCTGCTCGTCTTTGAATCCATCTGCCTCTTGAGAGCCTATTTGTTTAGCTTGTTTCTCGCACAGGGCTGCAAAATGACTGAAATTTCGCGTACGAGACGTACCAACTCCTACCAGTCGTTTAAGCATCGATTAATAGCTCTGAGTGCTTCCAAATAAAAGTGTTCATCGACTCTCTTGTCTGTCTTGAGCGTTACATCATTGTAGATCAAATATATGGCATTTTCCAGTTCCAATATCACTGTACACGAAATATTTGTAGTTTTGATTCTGGGGAATCCAAATGTGTGCCATTGGTACTCTGACGGCACTAGGATGGCCATAGAGCCCTGTAGTTATTTATCATAATCGTTTTCATATTTTTTGGATGCTATAAAACGTAAGTTTTCCGCGATTTCGAGCTTTTTTGAATAATTTCAAGATTATAAAATTCCCAGGACAAATATTTGATGCGAAGAAGCTTGCACTTCGTGGATAGAGTACTAACAGTATTTAGAGCATTATTTAATTACTCCCTCTTATTGTCCTTTTCTTATAATACGCCTTTCATTTCATGTTAGTAAATGATAGATAATTACTTGTCCAAAAAGCTCTTCCCGAGTTTTTCTGGGGCGACAGTATTTGAATAATGGTATTAAGTATAATTCTACTACAGATACTCATGCCCATGACTGATCCGAAACGTCAGAACCCAAATTTCATCAACATTGATGCTGCTTGGTCAATTAAATGCATTCGAATATTCGGGCGTGCGCTTTAAAATCCCTCCAGCGCTCTAGTTGCTTTATCAAGCCTTTTCATTCCCTCCTGGAAGCGCCTGGGGTCAACAACCATGTCAGCTGTAAGTCTCGACAAAGAATCAACAAGTCTTTCCAATGCCCTCTTTTCTTCTGTCTGCATGCCAAGATTGGCAAATTCGGAGCCTATCAGCGTTCCCTTGGTGACGTCGAGCATTTGTGCAATCGTATCGATGTCAAACGAACGCATTTCGCGCTTGCCACCCCGACTCTTGCGTTTTCCGCGTCGACTCTCATGCGCGTTCGCTTTCTGATCATTCATGGCGTCATTCCGTTTTTTCTTGGGCTTTGCGCCTGTGGAAGCGCTAGGTGTGTCAGATTTAACAAAGCTGTCATCTAAAATATCCTCGAAGTCATCATCGTTTTCGTCTTCTATCTGATTGTTCTTGGGACATTTGAAAGAGTTCGATTTTTGATCGACGTCACCAGAGATTCCAGTTTCTCGTGCCCTCGAGAGAGATGTGGGGAAACTGGGCATGCGCGGTGGCTGTGATTCTTCTTGTTGCCGTGCAGGAGACAGCAGAATTGTTTGATCCCGGTCTATGGAGCCATTGGGGAGGCCTGAGTTTTTATTCGCCGGCACGATTGGTAGAGGTCTGCGAAGGTAGCTGTCGTCATCTACTTTGCCAAGATTTTCTTCCTCGTCTTCTTCGTCGTGATCCATATTGAATTCATTAGCTGGGTCCACAGCAGAGAAGTAGCTGCTGGACTTATTGGTACTTGCCTGAGAGGTGCTTCGAGACTTGTCGAGCACCATCTGCTCTTGTAACTGGTTCTGGATGTCTTCTAGTCCGTTTTTGATTGATTGGTAAGATATGGGCCGGTTACGGCTTCTAGGAGGTATTGACGGATTGTAGTCGGAGTTCAGAGAACGGTCTGGAAGTATAACTTGTGCACGGTCCGCCGGGAGGTTGGTTCGTAGAGAGGGTACTATACTAGATGCCAGAGACTGAGTATCACTGCCGTCTTGGAGTGTGCTGCGAACCGAATTTGTGGTCCACGAGCGATCGAGTGATCTCTCTTGAGGCTCATTGGAGTTGCTATTCTCCGAGAAAAGATGGTCGGTCTTGAGTGATTCCTGCTCGATGACTCTAGGTTCTTCATAGTCGTGGTTGTAGCTTGCTGAGTATTGGTCATGCCTGCTGAACTTCGGAGAGCTACCACTTTCAGAGATATTATGGGAGTGTCCGCTTTCGCTGGCTAGATTTCCGGATCCAACGGTTGAGCTCTTCTTGTGATGAAATTGTTGCGGAGCCGAGAGTTTCAAAAACCCCGCTGGTTTGGCAGTGGTATTGTTCATAATGTTGAGATTAGCAGCCGACTCTTGAGCTCTTGGTATACCACTGCTTGTCTTGGTGGGTTCACTAGCTTGCGTTTCCTGACCCTGGTTCACAGTCTCTTCTGAGAGTGGGAAGTTGACGGCAGAGTAGATGACAGGTCGTTCGTCTGCTGGGCTACTGGGCTTCGAGTTCAAATACACAGGAACCCCTTCGTGGATGCTAGCAGAGTAGTCTGAGATAAGGCTTTCCCGGTTCCCAGGACTGCCAAACTTGAAATTTGGGCTTCCAAAAGCTCTTTCAGAGATGCCATTTTGGTTGGCAGTACGGGGCCGTGACATGCTATGCATAGATGATTGATCATCATGCGCTAGGTCCTTTATCGTGTTCTGCACTACAGGTGTGGATCTCTGGACATAAAGCAGATCGTCATCCTTCGGATCGTGAAGAGAGTCGATCATGGCAGAGAGCCTTTTGGTATTGGTATTCATTGGCATTTTCACGGGCAGTGAGAGTTAAACTCAACGACAAGCTTTAGCCTTTGTTGATGTTTTGAAGATTGGTTTAAGTTGATAAAGTTGAACATCGTTTGGTTCTACTCGATGCTTCTTTAAGGCCTCCAAAAACAGTAATACATAAACATCAGCACTTTGGATAGAATGAATCAACTTGATGTCTACCTCCAGTCACATGGCATTGGATTTGAAGCCAGCGTCAGTTTAATCGGTTAGCGATGACAGTTTTAAGATATTCTGTTTTCTGGCAAGCCGATCTTGGTTTAGTTTTGGCCTCTCGAGCACAACTCTTCCGGATCGACCGTCTTGAAAAACAGGTCCTCGAGCCTTTCGAGTCCACGTTGGGCTTTTTCAGCAGAATCGTGTGGGAACAATTGATGTTGACGAGCCTCGTCCGAAAAAAGTGGCTCACAAAGCTGTAGCCATTGCTGTTTGAGTAGAACCACTGGATAGTAAAAATGATACGCACCATTATTCCCGGTTCGAAGTAGACGCTCTCGAGCCCACTGTAATTGTTCTTGAATAGATGGGAGGACTTGTGACCATATAGAGTCGTAGATGGGACCATCCTTTGGATTTTGCGAGTCGTAGAGCGTATTGAGCTTGGCCCATGTACCTGAAAGTGCCAAAGCAGAAATGTGGAAGGATTGGAAGTTTGCATTGCTTGAAATCCCAACAAAACCCATCGTGGGATCAGCAATCGAGAACGTGTGTAGATACAACCCTGTGACCCGGGACACATTCGAGGGCGTGCCATTTGTATTGCGAGGATCTGGTGTCACTAAAATCCGGTAGCTTTCCAGCAGCTTGTTGGACACGAACGGAAAGGTGTAAACATATCCAGTTGCGAACACAACGGCAGAAAGGTCTTGGATTACGGTGCCGTCTTCAAGTTGTAACGCTGGCGTGCCTTGGTGCTCGAAAAATCGGGAAATTGCACACACTGTCGTCACTTTTGCAGTTTGCGTGAGCCATCTGTCAAACCAACGGAACGGATTAGCCTGGTTGTCGGGCATGGGGGGTGTTCTCACCGACACGATGATTTCCAAATCATGATTGGCATCCTGGAGAGGTATTAAACGCTTTAGAATATCCATGGCGCTGAAACTCTTACCCACAATAACGACCTTCTGCTTGCTAGTGGCAGAATCCTTCTGTACCACAGGCAATCGTTCCCGAAACCAAACATCAAGGTCTCTGACGTGAGTGAGAGTTTTTGGGAACCGCTTGTTGAATTCGTGAATGTTGTTGCCATCGTCCGAATTAGAAGTCATGTAAAAGGGAAGGTACGGGCACAAAAAATGTCCGTTAGCTATTATCACTGCATCAAAGGTATCGGAGTACCAGTAATCATTTTCGCTATCCGGCTCAGATCTCTTGGCCACTAGAATCCATTTTTCGGGTGACAGTTTGTCAAGATACTCGACGTATGTGTGACGTCGAAAGACCTTGGAACTGGGATTTTTTTCCACAAACCCGCGAATATCTTCTTGCACTTGTTGAAGGTCCTCTAAAGGTGCGATGTCGTCTCTTTTGGAACTATGGGACAGGTCTGTCAAGTCCATATTCATAAGTTCACCTGGGGTATTGGTCATGAGATTTTCGTAAACGCCCGTTTTTGCAGAGAAGATAAATCCATCACGTAGCTGTGGAATGCGTTTTACTCGCATGGGCTTGTCAACACTTGTTGCCAGCAAAGGACGCAAATCGGATATTCTACCATTCTTGACCAGAGCCGAACCTTCTTGGAATATACGCGATGGATCGAGAGGCTCATCAAACCTTTCTAATGTTCTCAATTGCTCGAAGACCTCGCGAGAACCGGTATTTGAGCCCGGAGAATCGCCCCAAACGCCGCCCAGCTGTCCTCGAGCCTCGAAGCCCACAATTTCCCAGTTTTGGCCCTTTTGCCGAGCCAAACTCTCAGCAGCTATCAAGCCTGCTGGTCCACCACCAATAATCGCTATTTTCTGGATCAAACCCATTACTTAAAATTCGCAAATCACTACAGAGTTATATACCTCGAACTAACGCAAAAATGTCGTAGAAACGTCAATGAAAAGCTGACAGCAAGTCCTTGAGGTCTTGAATAATGGCGAGCTGTTTAAAGGGACCCAAGGAAGTGTCTCTGATGTCTAAAGTGGCCTAAACTGCGAATTTTGAATTAAAGTATTGTAAATATGAATTCGACGAACAGTTCATGAAAGTTCCACAGATCATCGTCAAAACAAAAACAAAGAGAAAATTGGTTAAAATACCTCCTATTAAGCTCATGAAGACATGAACAAAGACGTCTTTCCACTTCTGGATCTTCAGGAACTTGTGGTATGTCTTCAAAGCTGCGATTTTGCACTAGCCAATGAGGAAAACATCTCTAGACCGTCATCGAAATATGTCGTTACTCTGTATAAGCAAATCATAGATAGCTTCTCCGGAATCTCACCAGATGTGCTGATTGACACTGGGGAATCGCTTTTAGAGTCAAGTGATGACCGTCTTGATGTTGATCCGGTGTATAGGGATACGTTGCAGATGCTGACGCTGAACAAGATTTGCTTCAAGTTTTTCCAGGACATTGGCGTTCCTGACTTCAATATGATGGATCTTTACAAACCTGACTCGCAGCGAACGCAGCGATTTTTGAGTGCAGTGGTCAACTACGCCCGTTTTCGGGAGGAACGCATGCTGGACTGCGATCAGTTCATGTCACAAACAGAAACTTTGTTAGGACAGCTGCGACAAAAACTAGACGACCACAATTATTTGCAGCAGCAGGTTCAAAAATATCGAGAAATCTCTGATCTCGCAGATGGTGAAACCGTCTCCTCTCTCGAAAACAATAATCGCAACCTGGAAAATCAACTGAAAAAGCTTACACATGTCCAGGAAACGTTCTCTATCGATTACAATAACTACAAGAGCAACAAGCGCAAGCTGCTGACGGAACTAGAAAGTCTGGGGTTTGAACTCATCGAGCTCGAACTTCAACGGGATAAATTGCAACGATACTCCGAGACAGATGTTGGTACCTTGCAGGCAAGTATCAAGGAGCTCTCGAAGGCCTTAGATGAGCAAAGTGAAAGGCTAGCAGAACTTCAAAATAAACATCACAACCTTTCAAAAGCCATGACGATTTTCCAAGGAGTCACCTCGGAACTTTACGAACTGCTAAGGATAATATCGACAGATTTACAGAAATCTCACATCCAACAGGTGGGGATTCTGGACTTAAAGAAGCAACTGCTCAATAGCAGGACAAAGCTAGAACATTTGCTTACGTCGGGGATCACAGTAAAGCTAACTAACTTGCAAGCGCAGTTGGAAAATCGCAAGAGAAGCATTCGAGAATTGGAAAATTCCACGCGAGTCGAACAACAGGAAAATTCAGCTGAGCTACAGAAGCTTCAGACACAATTCTCGCAAGAAATTTTGCCGGAGATCCAAAAGATCGATGAACATGTTGAAAAGGAGCTCTATGGCAATGTAATAAAGACGCTCGAGAGGGACATGCAACATTTAAAGGACGATTTCAAGAAAGAATCGGATGCCATAGAGCTGGAGTATTCACTTTTGGCGACTCACATAAACAATTACATGAATAGCATGCTGCAGAGGATAGAATGAGTCCACTAGGGATCTGATCGAAGGCAGACACCTTCGTCGCCTGTGTAATAACTGGAATAATGTACTGTTCAATCATTGAAGAAAATCTGGACATATAAAGTCAACTCGTCGCAGTCCCAGTAGGTAAACTTCCCGTTAAAGTCGTCCACAAACGGCTCTTTGGATGTGTTAAAGTCTATCATCTGCAAGTCTCGGTTCGGTATCTCAATAGCCACTGTTTTAAAAGGCTCGAAAGCCACTATAACGTATTTTTTGTCTTCATTATCGTCGCTGGACAGCTCTAAACTGGACATGATTCTCACAAACGGGCGATCTTCCTTGTCTAGAGTGGACTTTTCCTTTGGGTATTGAAATTTCATGGCTATTCCTCGCGAGCCCGATGTGGGATCTTGAATTTTGGCTACTTGATAGTCAGGAAGCACATCATTGTCTTTAATTTGAGAGCGAAGTTGTTCCACTTGTTGCTTGAACTCCGTTTCCTCCTGTGACAGTCCCTCCTGTTGGTTGATACTAGAACCTCCGCCCCTTCGCAGTAGGTTCAGCCCGTGTTTCTTACCCTCTAGATGTCTTCCCACACTAGACCACGACATATGTATGGTATTGCAAAGCTTGCAGACCAAACGGCCCGCATGATTCTTGTATATGTAGGGATTCTTCTTGCTGAGCTCTTCATCCTCTTTACTGACGCCTTGAAAGGAATACGGTACCTCTTCGCCATCTCTTAACAGCTCTTCAACTTGTTTTCTTCTGTGCAGATTCTCCTGTGAAGCAGAGGCAATGCCACCAGAGCCCTTTTTGGACCCGGCCCGATTCTGATAATCCATTGTTGAACGTCCACACTAGATTTCAACGTCCAGAAGATACTTGGTCCTCGATCGACTATTTTACTTGTCGTTAGGTTAACTTCAAGAAGTTGTTGAAAAAGCTCAAATTACGTTTTGTCACTTTATACTCTACACAGTATTTTAGACAGTGCGGACACTGGATTCAAATACTCTCTCTACCCATTTTCCTGACACTCGTGTTGAGAGGATTGCTGATATTATTCGTCCGCAAACTCTTGTTCTGGCTCATCGCTGACTTTTTTATGAATTTCGTAAGTGCCTCTATCGTGCAACTCACAAGTATACTCGGTGTCTTTGAGAGAGGGCCACTTGTTGTGAGGCATGGACCAGCCACATTTCTGGGTCACAAAAGCCGCGACGTCGTCACAGAACCCAAGCAAGGATAGGTCGAACTCGGCGTGCCTTACTGGGTCTTTGTTGATCAGTACCTGGGGCACATATGCGGGAATCATGTTTACAATTTCGGACACGGGTGCCACTTTCAGACTGGTACCTATGCAGATTAGAAGATCACATTTCATAACGTCGTCGCGAATAAAACGATGAAATTTTGAAGGCAGTGCCTCGCCAAAGAACGTGATGTCAGGTTTTAACACACCATAGGACTTGAGAACGTGGCTGAACATACTGTTGAAGTTCTCGGGCTCGCTTTCCTTAGTGCCAGGGACAACAGTTGGAAAAAATTCCTTGCGTTTTTTGTAGCAATAGGGACACAACGGCAGCTCGAGATTTCTTATGTTGCTGAAAATTCTCTCTCCCGGAAGCTTCCAGTGGCAAGTGACACACGAGGCTGTTGCAAAGGAGCCGTGGCATTGCACCATTTTTTCAGACTGTATACCGGCATAGGATTCCAAATTATCAATATTTTGAGTATAGTTCCGTAAAAGCTTGCCCTTGTCCTGGATCATGCGAATGAAGCTGTGCAATGGGGAATATATGTTTTCCGGCGGTAGCACCATGTGGGCGATGTTGTAGAAGACCGAAGGGTCCTGCATGAAGATTTCGTAGTTGAACACGTCTTGTGGGTCTTCGAGGCCCAAATGTCTGATCTTGGAGTAGAAACCTTCGGAAGATCTAAAATCGGGGATACCCAGCGAGGTGGAAATACCAGCCCCGGTTAAAACCAGGACTTTCTTGGCAGTTTTTAATTTTTCGACGAAGTGATCCAGGGAGTGGAAATTGGCCAGACGCATTCTTGTGCTCAACACTTTGTTCATGGCTTTTTGTAGATCTTTAATTAAACGCACAGCGTGTTTTTTCTCCAGAGGGTCGTCAAAGGAGTCGCTCTCGTCCGACTCGGGACTCCTGTCTTTGTTTTGGTTCCTGGTTTCACCAAGATCGCTGGTGCCGTTGGTTTCACCGCTGAGTCCACTGATCCCACTGGCTCCACTGGCTCCGCTAGCTCCACTGCCGCTGCTCCCGTTGGTGCTAACTGCAGGAACTACGCCCTGTGTGAAGATCTCGTTCTCGGCCACCGCTTGGACCGCCTCCAGGAGCTGTTTATCCTTAATTTGGAACCCCAGAAGCTTGATTAGATGGTAAATGTACAGGGAGTTCAAATTTTCGGGCAGATGCGCGTCCAGGAACCGACTCGAACCGTGGTATTTCAGAAAAGAACGCGCTGCCAGCGAGTGCTCCTTGCTGATAAAGGGAAACCGGTACTTGCCCGTGGCCGGGTCGCGCGGGATCTCCACAGGAGGCATGGGTTCCGAAGGCATATACTCGTTGAAAGCGTCCAGAATGTTCCCACCAGTGTCGCCTGTGTCTGCTTCCACGTCGCGTTCCGGCTCTCCGGGCCTGGCACCTTCGCTTTGCGTGGGGACATAGTCGTCGACGACGTCTTCCAACTCGTCAGCGGGCGGTTCCTGGTCAAACACCTCCTTTTCCTCGTCCTGGACCCGTGGTTTCTTAGCTCCCTCGTCCTGTGGGCTAGAAACCTCGTTGGAATTCGCACTAACTTCCGACAGCGGCCGTTTTCCAACGTCTCCTTTCGCGGGGCTGTCAAGACTCATGCTGAAGACCGCAAATCCCAATAAGAAATGGTCAGTGTGGTGAGCCTAAAACCAGCTTGGCCTGTTCTTGTTTTCGATGGTTTAGTTGACACTTGGGCAATGGGGGTATTAAATCTTGAATTTTGAAAAATTCTCGTGTTAGCATGTTCGTGTGTGGTGACATCACCGCTTATGTCAGCGACTGAGATATGGTCATGTGAAAGTAGCGTGATCTTCGCGGATGGTGATGGGTCAAGACAGTGAGTGACGATAGCACAGATGGACGACGTTATGATGATGTCCAAGAGCTGTGTTGCTGGCTCACTAGTCTCCCAACGAGCAGCATTGAGGATGTTCTTTCAAAACTTTCACTTTTTGTTTTTCGCCAACTGTGTCCCCAACGCCAAAGACCCACAGGCCTCAACAGCCGTCTTTAGCATTCTCCGCATTGTCCAGCATTTCTTCGCCCATACCCGCTAGCGGTCCAACGCCGATTCTGGCCAAGGCGATCTCAGCACTCGTATTCTCCAAATTAATATCGTTGACGGCAACGCCCGTTTTCTTACTGAGCTCTTTGACCCGCAAAATCAGCTCTACTTCTTCTCGGTTGCGTGCATCCACCTGTGCTTGTAGTTTTGTCATATACTCCACGGCCTGGGTCAGAATCTGGCCCTTATTCGGCTTCCCATCCTTTGTACCAGTTCCTTTGAGTTTACTACCGCTTGCTGAGCCTCCAGCGGGCACACCGGCACTGCCCGGGGTGCTATGGCCGTTTTCCAAGTCGACCACTTCCTTTCGACGATAGTATTCTTGGAAAAGCTCCTCTGGAATCAACTTCAGCAGAGTCTGCATCTTATCATTCAAATTGTCCCTTCTTCGACGGTCAATTTCTGTGGTGACGCCGCTGTTTGACGGCAAAGAAGACGCTACAGATTCTTGACGTGGTAAGGAAGTCATGATCACCCAGAGACCTAGCCAGTTGGCTCTTTCGTCTTGACTTTCTGTTCAACTTAAGGTTTAATGAGTTTAGATAATGTAGAATTAAGAACAATGATTTCAATATTCGAGCGATGCCATAATGATAAAAAGTGATAATTGGGAAAAGTATGAACTCCATAGATGTGACTAGGCGAATAAGAGGCTAATGCTCTGGCAATAGCTTTTTAGTAGCTTAAATAATGGTCTTCTTTTAGTTTACACGAGTTTTACACGTCCGTTCCACGATTTCACAATTGATGTGTGGATAATCGTATTCTAATGCTACTCCAAGACCACAGAAGTTCCAAAATAGAACTCAGATGAGTAGTACCTGGACATTGATGCTTGTCTAAGAGAAACTTGTATTAGCAAGGCAACATTCTACTTAATAAAAAAAAACGTTTTAATCTCTCTCATTGTACATGGCAGTTATCATCAGTCTTCGTTCAGTTCATGTAGAAAGAGATGCGACATTTGTTCGCACTTTAATTTGAAATTGACTTATGTCAATTCGTTTTAGTTGAGTTCGTATTTGAGCACAGAGTCCTGGACGATAGGCTCTTGAGAACCCAAGTTTTCCAAAATCAATTGTTTGATAGCATCAATACCGACTATCTGGGACACAGAATGCCGAAGCAGCAGAAGAGCGTCGAGTTTAGGAGTCTCAAATGTCTCCTGGAAATATGCCAGCCATTCAAAAGCTTCCACGTTTAGTTGATCTAAAGGTAGCGAGGGAAATTGGCGCTCCAAACCCTTCAATGCAAGCTTTTTCGTCATTTCGTCAATTTCAGAATCATATTTCACTTTTTCCAACACGCTCAGAACCATGGCTCCGACTGTGCTGTTTTTCTCGCCGTAAATGTCCGCGAATTTCGATAGCGCTCCAACACAAAGCGGTAGTTTCCCGCACCTCAATTGATACTCGAATTCAAGAACGTAGTCCTTAGTGACATCGGTCGCTTCCTTGGCGTAATTCGCGTAAAACTTGTCGAAAAAGTCTTGCAAAGGCTTTGTTGTTGAGATAAGTTTCTCGCCCAGAATGTCTTCATCCTTTTCGTAGGCCAAACTACTTTTCTTGTCCTCGTCAACACGCTTCTTGAGAGCAGCAGCATCCTTCTTGGCCTTTTTTCCACCTTTTTTGGCTGCAGATGATGATTCTTCTTCGTTTTCAATCTCATTGGACAATTTCATAGCGTCATGAAGGCCAAAATAAAGCTTGGCAGCACCTTTAGTGGCTCTCACATACATTGGCAATGTAAAGACAGATTTACCCCATTGATACATTTCCAAATAAGCTCTTGGGACCCCCTTGCGCATGCAATACGAGTGGAAGTCCAACTGGTCATCTTTGAACTGTTTGAAAAATTTGGCAATTGCGGTCCATCTCTTCAGAGCCAGACCACCAAACTTCGATGTCTCGTACGTGAGAAGTCTTATTTGATTCGAGCGTTCGATCTGCGCTTCTTCTTCTGTTAGCACCTCGGTCTTCTTCAAATCATTCAATTTTTGTTTATTGCTCAAATACAACCGGTAGTAAGACTCTGCCAACTCTCCGACAAACCACGATGCTTCCATCAGATGCAAGTCCATGACTCCGTTAACGGAGCCATCGTTTTTTGTAAAAATAGAAACAACTTCGACCGCTTTTTCGATCATGTCGGCTCTCAAGTAATACTTTACTGTTTTGGTGTTAATGAACCTGTCCTGAAGGTCCAGTTCTCTACCTTCATTGACGGTTTCGGCGGCGTCAACTAAAAGACCAGCATGCTTCAAGACCCTACCCTTCAAAATGTAAAGCTCAACCATGGTAGGAGTGTGAGCCAAGGCTGCATCAATGTAGTCTCTAGCCTTGGTATAGTCCTTCAAAAACATGAAATGCTGGCACAGGTAGTAGTTTGCCCACACATATGTAAGGGGTGACTTGGTTTGATCAAGATCGGCTAGGAAGTCGAGTATAATCTTCTCTGCCAGCCTAGAAGTGCGATCAGTGTCTTTCTTGTACAATGGCTTCACGTTGTTGAAAGTGGCAGGAACACCACGCTCGATTTGGGGCAGAAGGTAAGCGCTCAATTTTTGAGCATACTCTGCCTCATTCTTTAGGTAAGTCAACGGAATGAATTTAGGAGGCTCGGCGCGCGGGTAGAAGCGCTCCAAATTACTGTACAGTATGGATCTGCGCTTTTCGTCGCCTTGAACTTCCAACGCAATCTCCAAGAGCCTGTAGTAGCGGAAATTGTCGGGGTTCCGTTTGATCAAAGTCCGGTAAACCTTTGAAGCGTTTTGCTTGTCGTTCATCTTCATGTACAGAGCAGCCCGTCTCTCAAGCCAGGCGTATTTGTCAAAGACATCTTGCTCGATTTCGTCTAGGTGTTTGAAAACGCGTTGTAGTTTGTCATGGTCATCGCCAGCTGCCCGGAACAAAAGGTCGTTCTTGTACATGAGACACTCGTTATGCTCGTACAACTCGGCTTCCCCCAATTTTCCCTTCGCGAGTTCTTCAAACTTGGTGAGCACGTTTGCCGACTCTTGAGGCTGGCCATTTAGGTCGTGTGCAATGGCCAGGGACGTCCAATTGGCGCGGTAGCCCATGAAGTCTTCCCAGTAGGCCTGACGAGCTTTTAACAAGTTTTTGTAGTCGTGCTCCTGAGCGTAGAGTGTGGCCAGATCCCTGTAAATCTGCTTATTGTTCGACCCGTTGTCCAGCGACGTCTGGAAGAACTTTGCAGCTTCGGAGTACCGTTTCTCGTTTCTCATGTAGATGCCCAGAATGTGAAGTCCGATGGGGGAAGGACCTCCGGCACTGCCTTTCGCGAGCACTCTTTGCACATACGTTTCCGCCTCCGTCTTCTGATCCGTACAGTACAGATTCAAGGCCTTCAGCGCCAGCGAGTCCGTGTGTTGCGAGTTTTTCTTCAAACTCGCCTCGACCAACTTCAGCGATTTCTTGTAGTTTTTGCTCTCGTAAAGCTTCAAAGCTTCCAAAAGATTCGTGTCTTCCTTCGACCGACCAATGCTCAACCCATTGGCCTTAGTAGTGCCACCAACTCGCCGTTTAGACATGGTTTTGATGCTGATTCTTACCGATTTCAAGATGGTTAAACCGTTGACGTTCGAGAGTTCTTAGAATTTGGAAAACTTGTAGCGATTTTGACGAAAAAAACGCACGTGACCTGGAATCAATGAAAATTGGGTCGAAGTGGACGGTGAACTCGTCAGTATTTAGACCTGTGAGGCTCGTAGAAGACTTGGAATCGGTTCCAAAAGTAGTCTGTACTGTAGCGTGAGTTCGCTTTATTCTACTGTTTGATTTTGGCGTCGTGGCCCTTGATAGCAGCGGCAGTACAAGCACTTTCGTATCCGGGAATTAGCACGTAATCGATTTCATGCTGGGAAAGCTTCGCCCGACTATTATTGTTCTGTACAAAGGTGTCAGGCTCCATAACACCAACGAACACGGTCCGAATGTGTTTATTTTGAGCAAGGATGCGGTCCACACATGGCAATTGTCCACTTAAACGCAGTGAACACGGTTCCATGGTCGTGTAGAGTGCACTGCCCACAGGAACCCGAGCAAGGCCCGTCGCGCTAGAGTACTTGTCTAATGCGCACTGTTCCGCGTGTGTGTTGCCTGGCAGTTCCCTGGAATGTCCCGAGGCTAAAACGCGGTCGCCACATACCAAGACGGCGCCAACGCTAAAAGCGGTGGTCGTGGGCCCACATTTCTGGGCTTCCTGTAGTGCCTGTTCCATGTACCTGCGGTGTGGTTGTAAGGCCCAGTCCGGAAACTCAGTCTTGTAGCTCCACAAACGCAATCCCGCGTCGTCAAATTCGGTGGACTCGTAACAGTAGGCATGCAGCCAAAGATCCAGATCGTTGGGACCCGGATCTGTGTACAGCTCTGTCTCGCACTCAGGACACCTGTTACCGGTCAAGAGCTCGCCAGCCGAGTCTGGGTGGAACCAACTTTCGGCACACACATCCTTGCCAACTTGCGATAACGCCTGGATGACGTCGGTGTGGTCTTGCGACTGGCCTCTGCCCAGAGACGGTCCCCAAACCTGTGGGTTCGAGTATAACGGATCGTTTGCAATGGGGTGGCCCAAATACTGCAAATGGACCCGAATCTGGTGCGTTCTCCCCGTGTGTGGCTGGCACTTGACCAAACTGGTCTGTCCGTCATAGCTGACCCGCGTGAACACGGTTTCTGCCTCTTTGGCACCGTCGTTGTCAATGTCACAGACCGCATTTAGCGCCAGTCGTGGCTCGACACACCGCAGCGGTTTCGAGACCTTGATAGTTTCGACCGGAAATTCGCCTACCACACGCGCAATGTACTCTTTCTTGACTTCTCGTGCTTTCAACTGGTTTGCCATGCGGTCTGCGCCCGCTGGCGTTTTGGCCAAAAACATGAGTCCACTTGTGAGTCGATCGAGCCTGTTGCAAGGGTGAACCGCGATGCCCATCTGCTTCTGCAAAATCTTCGTAACTGTGTTAAAACGGTACCGTCCCGTAGGGTGCACAGGAATGCCGCTTGGCTTGTCGATGACGAGGATGTCGCTGTCCTCGAAAACAATCTTCACGGGTCTGGATGTAACGGGCGGCTCGTGACGGTGGATACGATGCATGATAAGGTCACCGTTACGCACGATCGACTGTAGATCTGCAGGACTGTCGTTTAGCATAACAGAGCCGTTGGCAATGGTCTTGCGGTAGTATGCTTCCTCCCGGTCGCGAAACTCACTGACGAAAATGTCGATCAGTGGCCGGTCGCGCCACCGCAGTTTGCAAAACGTTTTATAGGTGAAATGGTATGGCACGATCTTTCGCAATGGACCTTCCACTTTTACTTCATAATCTGGATCCACTTGCTTGTTGCGCAGATGCGTTGATTCCTGGACCTTGATCTTGAAGCCCGCGCTGTCTCGCAGTTCTCCCATGGGCAATTTTTTCTTCTTTTTAACTTCTATGGCCTCAGAGGGCTCGCTCGACTCGCCCTGGTCCGCTGCAGCTGATAAACTGCTCGTCGATAGTCTCTTTCTGGAGTCAACAGGCCGCTCGTTACCGCTGGGGCCGCCTAAATCGCTCATGATGGTAGCGTATAGCTTCTTCAAATTATGTGTCAGTCGAGAACTCTTTTGGAGCATACACACTCGAGTTGTATCGAGTTTTCCGAGGATTTGGTTTTCGAGATGAGCTGGCTCTCTACTAACAGAACTCACCGAGAACTGAAAATTGGCATAGAGAACAGTAATTTTCAGTGATTTTGATGGTCATGTGAAACTCATGTGAGGATCATGTGGTGTGAGTGTGGAAAGCCAGGTGAAAGTTGGTCATGTGTATATCGTGTGATTATCACGTGAAAAGCTGGTACAGGACCCAGAGTACCATCATCAACGCTGCAAAGGTGAGTTGGCGCCCGTACCGGTCACTAGCGAGCCCTGAGTAGCCAATTAGCGTATCTGTAGCTGATCCAATAAGCTCAGCGCTCCATTGCGGGCTTTCTGACCAATTTTGGGCGGAAACGGCTTGTTCAAACTCGAGGTGAGGTACAATAACTTCCAGTGACACAGGAAGATGGTCTGTGAACTGCAAGGCTGCACATCTCTTGCGAGATTTGTAGGACAAGATGTGGGGCGTGCTGTGGTAGCGCCGGAACAAGACCCGGTCGCACCACGAGGGAATGCGGATTGTGTTATACTGCTCGTCCGGAGACGTGAGCATAAACTTGTAAGTCGGGGCGAACTCGACAGGTGGCTCCTCGAAGTTATGGAAGATTCGACCGGCTGCCCGGCTGAGGTTCAATTCGTCGTGTTCGATCGCAGCGCGACGCACCAGAAGTGGATTACGGAAGTCGTCTGCATTCAAGGCCCATTTTTGCGCCCGGAAGTTGAAGTCGCCGCAAATAAAGACGTGGTGGTTCACGAAGGAGCCAAAATCACGCTGCAATGCTGCTACCACCGTATGGTAGTCTTCCTCGCGTTTAAGCCGTTGCTCTTCGCCCTCGTTTGCTGTCAGATGCGCTGTTACGAAGACAAATGAATCGCTCAATGCGGACCCAGCGCGTTGTAGCGTCAGCTGCAGTGCTGCAGCACCTTTGAGGCTTGAGTACAGCATTCCACACTTAGCGTTTGTCTTGAATATACTCAAAACAGACAATTCTGTCGCTACCAGTGCCAATATTCCGATGGCCCCGCTGCTGTTCAGGGCCGCTATTTCATATCTGCGACCAATATTCTGCGCATTTAAGTGCTCCAAGACATAACGTGCTACCTTCTGCAGTGTTTGCTGCACAATATCCGCAAAGGACCCTTGCCATATAACCGTGAGCTCCTGGAACCCTAGAACGTAAACATCATGCGGTTTCCCGACCGGGAGCAACGCTGAGATCACAGCCTGTATAGCTGCTGGATCATCTGCCGGCAGTAGTTTGCCACAGTTGAAAGTTGATACAAATAGAGAGTACGGGTCTGCCATTGTTGATGTTTTTGATATTTACAACATATAGGCCTTTAATTTTATAAGAGCGTCCTAAACTTTGTATCTAATAAAGCCTAATAAAGCCTGTACTTGAGTTCGAAAAACAGTAAAACTCAAAGATATATTATTTTATTAAGTATTGTCCGCCAGCATAAATAGTGCCTGCTTGTTTTTCTGGTTTTACAATGCTTCAATCTGAATATCCAGAGCGTACTCCATCAACATAAACGGCACAATGGTCTGTGACTGGTGCCTTGATGAGGATAAACAATTTGGGCAATCTCCATCAGCACCGCCTGATCTCGAATATATGCAAAGCTTTCTTTTCGACATCGAAACACCTGAGGAAATTTCCAATGTCTACTGGTGTCCAAATGCACCGTTCATTACATTATTGTCACTTCCTCCTCTCACCTCATCCGTTTAAAAAGTCCATGAGATCCATTCTCTTCTCCATTCGCTTCTCTTCATCATACTCTTGACTACTGCTGGCGCTGCCAGATGCGTTCTTAATCATGCGGGAGGCGCGATCGCTTGTGGCGGACGACTCTCGTCTATTGCTGCTGGACAGTTCCGATAAAAAGCTGTGTAAGGGCGAATGAGTGTGTTGTGAGTTCTGCGACAGATCAGACACGCTGTGCCGAGGCCTACCCAAGTGTACCCGAGATGGAGGCATAACCCCCGACGGTTCTTCTGCAGGACCGCTCGGTTTGGCCATATTGTAGTCCGGTTTGAAAAAGGACTCGCCGCTGGATAGGGCCTTTGGTTGCGACATCTTTTGTAGTGCCAAACTTAAGCCGGGAATGTCACAGATTCCATCACGCTGACTCGTGCGTAGTTCATAATCCAGTTGATCTAAGTCTACCCCGTGGAGCATTGGTAAAAAATGTACAAACCTCCACTTGAAGGGTACGCGCACATATCCTTGGTTCTCAAACAAAATGTCGCGGGTAGAGCCGGAAACATACGAGTCCTTTCTTGTATTTGATACATCAAGTACATCCTTGAAGGCCTCCGAAAAGCTCAATTTTGGGTGTTGAACAAGCTCAACATTCTGTTTCTTACCCATATAATAATCGTCCCAGTAGGCGGCGTCATTGCACCTGTCTTTAAAATCATAGTCATTACGCACAAATCCCTTTACAAAACGGTAACAGAACCACAAAATCCTCTTCCATCTCTGAGGCTGATGCCGCCAACACTCAAGTTTGGACCATCTTCCCCGGTAATACCAGCCTTTTTTTCCCAGTTCACTATTGCACAATTGTCGGATTGTATGCTCGCCTATCGCTCCTTTGTAGGCATAAGTGTTAGAGAGCTCTTTTTTGGTAATCGAAGCCCAAGAGTGTCTCCAAGGCCGCTCTCTATAAATAAACACCAAAACATCAACAAAACAACTTAGTGGCTGCATGAAGGTTGCGATGTACTCAAGCCATATCACCGGCCCGTGTAATATCTCGTACCTATATTGGATTACATCCACCGCCAGGGGGAAACTCCAAATCACAACGTAGGAGAAGGGATAAATGAATATTGATCTAAGTTGTTTCTGAATTTGTGCTCTTCGTTTCTTGAACTCCTGATAAGTCTCTGATTGAAAGTTGTGCTGAAGCCCTAAGATGTGGTCCGACCCTGTCGGAACAAACCCGGCTCCCTCTTGATCTTTTTGGGATTGTGAATCATCTTTTAGGCGGTTTAGACCTTCAGGAAACGTCTGCAAGGATTGACTACGAGAACCTGCCGATCTGACTGGCGAAAGTGCAGTTGGATCATGCCTTTGGAAATTTTCTCGGGAGGTTTTTCCGCGGGCCAATGAAGATGACCTACGCTTTATGGGATTGAATGAGCCTCCTGAATTCTTTTTTTGAACGCGGTTGGCGTTTTTGGCATTAGAATGTATTTTGCTCTTCGAGAAGTGGTTAAAATAGTCTTCTTCTTTTGCGTTATCAACATTTGATTCACCCGCAGTATCCTGATATAACGCCGTGCGCGGACTTGTGTTTGAAAAGCTCATGCATCTTTTCTTAAAGTGGTAGGGAATGCTATTAGATCGATGACCTTTCAATTTCGGCCTCTCTAATTTACTAGGAGTTGTTAACGCCTCAGGAATATGCGTTCCAAAGGTACCGTCCACGTCATCGTTGGAAAGGGTTTCTGCAAAGGAATCCAAACGCTGTGCCTTAGTGTGCTTTTCGATATCTTCATCGTGGTAATCTTCGAACGAAAAGAAAAAGAAGTTCCCAACACTTTTCCCAAGCTTTGAGAGACCCGACTTCTTGAAAACATACTTGCAGTAAACTCTTGATCTTTGTCCTAAAGTCAAAAGCCGACCTTTGCTATCCCGCTCCCGACGAATGTCTACACTACTGTTGTGCCTGAAGGAACCTATTTGATTTTTGATTTTTCGGTTTTCCTTCGAGACAAATATGTAGATACTGATGTAGACTGTGAAGATCAACACGATAATGAAATATCTTGGAGCCCAACTCAGTACGATACGGTACCATAACGGGAACGGGGGCAGGTAGCACCACGCACTCATCGCTTTGTACCCGCCTTGTCGAGCCTGGAACGGGAAGTCGTAGCTATTGTTGTCTAGAATGACACGATCATTAAGATTCACAGGAATGAATTTGTTAAAGTCCACGAATGCAAGACTTGCCAGTACCATCGGGAGCAGAAATGTGGCCGGGTACAGGAAGTGTCGCAGGCGATACAACCCGCCCTCCATGTTCCCACTGGAGTTATTTTGCCATTTCCAGGACGGCACGAAAATGAGCAGCGCAAAGTGCACGGCAAAAATGGCGATGGCAAAATCTGCTCCCTCGATGCCAAACGCTGTAATCCACCCGAGAGTGTTGTAAAATGCGGGGTACCCATACACGCGATTTTCAATCAAAATGGCTACCGGGTATATCAGAAGAACGAGGGCCTTGAGAAAATCACAAGAAATGAGGAACAGGATGAGTTGGTGTCGGAAAACCTTGCGTCGACGGTCGATGCACAGGATGCAGTAGAGACCCACCATCGCGGCCAAAATTGACAGCGACGACGACGTAATTGCTATTCCTCGCAGCCGCAGCAGTTGCCCCCGGTTATAGGTCGAGAACATGCCTGGAAGCCCCAGCAGCTGGTTGACAGTGGTGGTGTTCCATGTGCGATTGAGACGCACTGGCTCTATGACCCTGCCGCCTGCGAAAAAGGTCGTGTTCGGAAGCGACATTTTGTTTGTATGCATTTAACACAGTGGCTTTATGGCTCGCAAATCCCACTCGGCTCTTAGCCACTGCTTCCTATCGCTTTAAATGTATATCCTTTTAATGTTGGGAACTTTCTATTCGTAAGTACTCTTCAGGTACAGTAAATGAGGAGAAATTTAGCCGAATTTTCGCCAAAAGATAAGTATTTTCTCCCAAAATCCATAAATTATAACAGATGTGTGCCAAAGCCTTGTCAAAGATCTTCTTCTGGCCTATTTGGAATGCTTTTGATGGTATGGGGAGCTCAAATTGATAAAGTAAGTTCATTATGATTACCCTTGAGTGCTATGAAAAATTGACTGGTCATTATGTACGATGTGTAAAACAAACGTGGAGAAATGGTTCAACGACAGAGGAAAGCACCAAAAGGCAGTGCAATCAAGCTGGACAATTTAGCGATTGGGCAATTCAGCAGTTTTTTCGAGAGGCCTAAAAGATAGTTATGGAGTCCTTTGAAAATCTTTGGATAGAACAAAAAACCACAAACAAGAAACAAAAAGCAAAAAAAATTCAAATTGGTCAAGGCCGAGCTTTGCTCGATGGTGTTGGAGGAGATTTAGTGATCAACCTATCAGTGTAAAATACCAGTCTTTTTTTAGCGTCCTTTGTGACCTTCTTTCGCGGAGGAAGCCCTTGGGAAATGTTCTGGCGTTTGGTCAATTATGGAAGCGAACGACAAAATAGTACAAAGTGACAGAAACCTTGTCCTCCTCTCACGGTGGCATCAAGTTCACCTGGCACTGCTTCTTGACCAACATGTCAAAGCTCTTCAGAATGGCCTTTTTCGGTTTTGGTGAAAAGTCTCACGGTTTCTGTGTTTTCCTACCTTTTAATGCGGACTCGTCTGCAGATCGTGTAGCGCGTTTTGCAAAACATGCAGCAAGGTGTCCTTGATGCGCAGACGCTCGTTGTCGAGATCGTGCGCGTAGCCCAAAATTCCCAAAATAGACGTTACTCGCTTCACGTTGGAATCTGTAGCCTCACGCGCCTCTTTTTGCCTTGAGAGCGCCAGACGTTCGTGCTCAACTGCAAGCTGTTCCTGCTGCAGAGCCAGCTGTTTGTCTCGAAAGTCTTCGTTTGCTAGTCTTGCAGCTGCGGCTATGTCGACTCTCCGTTTGAGAGGGTTGATTGCGTCTGCTCCTATGCGGCTGAGGTCCGCAAGCTCTGGTTCCACGCTTGCGAGTCCAGAATCGATCGTGTCGCCAATCATGTCGCTAACGCTGCGTTTTGCACGCTGGCCCTCGAATTTCTGAAGCACCGTCTTGCGTTCCTCGGCCTCGTACTTGAGTTTGGTGACCTTCTCGAGTATCGCGTCCACTCTGGGCACACCGGTGAGAATAAATTGTTTTTTGATGTCACCAATAAAGAGTCGCGAGTGAGCCTGTTCAAGCAAATATTTAAATCGAGTTTTGCACTGCAACTCGGTAGGCACGATTTGTGAAGAATAGTCTGCAGATCTCAGCACATCGTACCATACACAGCCCCATTTCAACGAAATAAAACTGCTTTGTTCCAGCTTGCGCAACGAGGGATCTTTGCCGTTTTCAAACCCGTAAAAGGGCCCAATATCATAGCAGTACTTGAGCAAATTGTATGTGGACACCGTACTCCACTTAAACTTGTATTTTTTGTCGTCGTCCGCAGACTTGTAATCCATTTCCCGCATCAATTCGTTGATTGCTCCCGTAATTTGCAACTGAGCAGTCTTCAGGTCTCTAATCAAACTGAGTTCTTGTGCCAAAACCTCTTGGTGGTAGAATCGAAGGCCCGGCTCCAGTTCTTCCCCACTCACATCTGGGTCTATTTTCGCTATTTGTCCAACATTCGTAACCTCCGAGATACCGACTACCGCCGGGTCTGTTGTGCTGTCCTCATCACTGTCTTTACGTAGTTGATTCATCTCCATTAAGTCTGGAGTCAAGCTGCCCTTGCCGACGCTTGAAGCCTTTGTTATTGACGACTATAGGATTTGAGTCGAGAACCAAGTGGACGTCTTGAGTTGTAGTCCTTTATATAATTTCGAGATTCGAAAATCGATTAGATTATCAGTCAGAGAAGCAACTACGGGAACGATGAGATAAACGACTAGATAATTTTTGTAGACGACAGTATGGGCTTTAAACCACGCACCAGCGACACATACGAATTGGAGCCACAGGATAACTGAGTCTGGGATTATGTCGGAGTACTTTTTGAGTTGTTGGCGTTTTTATTTGTGAGGTTGATTGTTCTATGAGAGAGAATAATGGTCTACATTCGTGATAGTGAGAAATCTAGTTTCGGCCACACTTTAGCTATTTCGGGCACGACTGAAGACAAAGTTACAAGATCTTGTGCTTCTTCCATATGTGACGCCGTTGGTTGATTTCCAAATCGCTCTCGTGGCGTTTTCACGCTCTACTGGCTCCCCATCACGTCGGATGCAGCTTTGACTATCTTTTCGTGAAGTTCTGCAGGACCACTGGACGCAATCACACCCTTGGACAGTAAAGTTCTGCCTTTTGAGAAGTCCAGTGGCTCATTTTTAAAGCTGTCGGTGTGGATTCCACCCGCTTCATGCACCAGCACGTTTCCAGCAGCGTGGTCCCAGATCTTCTCTTGATATGACATTTTAAGAGGCAGTCTGAGATAAACGTCACCCAGACCCAGGGCCAGCAGACAGTATTTGACCTGAGAGTCCAAATGCAATGAACGGCTGATTCCAAGCCTCTCTTTGACTTGTGACTGCTCGGAATGCGCCGAATGGCCCTTCTCGACACCCTCGAGAGACACCATGGGATCAGTGGAGCTCAATGTGCGACTGTGGACGGGAGCCCATTCGAAATCAGCCAATGTAGGCGCAAAGTAGGCACCCTGGCCTCTGACAGCACGGAAAATGTAACCCAGTTCCTGAGCCTGGCCAGGATTCGAGTCCTGACCGCCGTACTGAGAAAGCTGCAAGTTCGGACAACCGACGCATCCAAGCTGCACAGTGCCGTCCACGATCAAGGCCAGACACACTGCGTACTGTTCACCACGCAAAAACCCCTTCGTGCCGTCAATGGGGTCCAAACACCAGAATCTGGAGCCTAATCCTCCTTCGTAATCGCCCAAATCTATAACTTTGCGGACGTCATCGAGCGTGTTCAATGGATATTGCGAGTTGGTGAACTCCATTTGCGCAAAGTGTGAGCCGGTGACTCCGACTTTATCCGTAAATTGTACATTGGTGGCATTGATCTCGTCCAAAATCTTGGTGACAAACGAATCATTCAACCCTTTAGACTCCTCTTCACCTACGATCCTGTCATCTGGGAAATTGGCCTTAATTGCGTTGATTATAATGGCTTGTGCCGAATAGTCACCTATTGTTGCAGGCGAAGTGTCCTCTTTGGTGATTGTGCTATCTTTACTTGCGACTACCTGCGACTGAATGCGTTTAGTCAAAAGGGATGCCTTTCTCAGCGCTTGAGTGGCTACGAAAAGCTCTTTTTCGAAGGGCATGGATTATAAAGAATTCTGGTATCAGCTAACGTGTTATAGCCCTCTAAAATGTGACGATATAGGAGCAGACGTTGCTAACTTTTGGTTCGGGACGTCAAGTCTTGTTAAATTGCCCATTTTATATGGTGGCACTTATTTCATATACGCATAAAAGTGATATCACGTGATAAAATGCCAGAGGGCAGCTGGATATTTGAGGGACGAGAGTTGATAGAGTAAACTGTGCAAGGTAACTTTGAGTCATTATTCATCTTGTGTAATGGCAAGTACGGCGTGGACGTACCGTGCCTTGTTTTTGGTAGCGAATTGTAATTTTGAAATTGACAAATCTAGATTTTGGAGAGACGAGTCTCTTCATATTGTAAGGCAGACACATATACCGTGGTATATAGTGTATAAATCTTGGTGCGTCTAATCCTATTTGAGCAGCTCTGGTCGCGAGATTCCATTCAAGCCACAGCACACGATCTGAGCGTATTTGAAGCTATAATTTTATTTTCAAAGATCACTCTATATTAATGTGTCGTCGAGTCGACCAATTTCCAGGTCTGTCTCTAACTACAAAGCCAGATATGAGATCACAAGTAAGCTGTGGGCTCGGGCTTCAATTCTACATTTCTTATAAGATCTTAATTGGTGTTTCCTCACTTGTCGGACCAGGCCCAAGCACTTGGTGCTACATGTATTTGTAATTATTAACATCAGAACGGTAAATTATCCATTCAAAAAGCTCTCACTTGACTCTCGTACTCCTTTCATTAATTAAATACGTAGCGCCGTCCACGGCGTCCGCTCAATTATGTCTTGTAGCCCAGTTATATTCACTGAGCTTCCTACCCCTCTGAGTCCACTTTTTATCCTTCATAGCCTAACAATGTTCACTGAACTTGCTCCCCATCTTGTGCAGTACTTTTGATTATTCCGCTTCCCAATATTCTTTCCTTATGATAAATGGTGCAATATTGGCCTGGAGCCATTGCCCTTTGTGCCTCGCTCAGAGTCAGGCATAAACTTCCACTTATCTGCATCGATACATCTGACACCACAATCGGCTCCTGAAGCGATCGATATTGAATGAATATTTCTCGGCGACTCACGTTGTCCTCTAGAATATTCCCCATCTCGACACTGTCTCCAAGAGGCTCAAACCCAGAAACTACCAATCGGTTGGCAAAAAGCTTTGGATTATCACGTCCACGACAAATGACGATCTCATTGAAGCTCTGCAACTTCTGCGCTACAAACCAAGCGCCGGAGTAGCGTGGGTCGCCTTGTGGCATGGAAATACCAATTTTCTGACCAATCGTGTAATTCCAGAGTCCTGTATGTTGTCCCCACACGGTTGTAGAGCCATCCTCTTCGCCCACTGTGACGATATTCCCAGGCTGCTTCGGCAAGTACTGTTGTAGAAACTTTTTAAACTTGTTGTGCTGCGAGTTTGCTACAAAACAGATCCCCTGAGAGTCCCGTTTGGTCGCAGTTGGGAGCTCAATCTCGCTGGCCATTTTCCGTACCTCTGGCTTGGTCAGTGCTCCCATGGGTAAACAGAGCTGTGGCAGCACAGATCGTGGGATCTGCGATAGGTAGTAGCTCTGATCTTTCGGCTTGTAGAAAGCTCGCAGCAGGTGCGATTCTCCTGTTGAAATATGAGGCAGAACTTGAGCGTAGTGACCGGTGACAAGCCAGTAATTGTCGTTGCCCAGTTTGGAGTCAAGATATGTTCTAAGCCGGCCAAATTTGATAAATTTGTTGCACCCGATGTCAGGATTTGGAGTGATTCCAAGCTGGTAGCCTTGCAACATGGGTTCAAAAACATCCTGCCAATAATCCTGCTCGAAATTGACACGATCCACGGGCAAACCTAAATGACTTGCTACCTTTTCAACGTCCTTCCAATCTCGTTCGTGACAGCGCTCTTTACCCAAGCCCACATTGGCCTCACTTGCGGACCAGTTTTGCATATAAACTCCCTGCGCTTTCGGAAATCCAGCAAACATTGCAGCTGCCACTGACGAGTCCACCCCGGACGACATGGCTATTACAATGTTGTCAAACTTGCCAGGAAGTTTCATAGAGCCATAGCCCGGTAACTGACGGGATTTAAGCGCTGAAAATTTCAGCAATTGTGTAAGACATCTCGTACTATCCATTAAATTTGTAATCGTAGCTAAATTGGGCTTCTATCCTTGTTAACTACGTCTTGCAAATGTGATATTCCGCTAGTGTCTTCCTGTCATTACTGTCAAATCTCAGTATTTTCCATACTGAAAAATTTCAAAGCGATGAGATGAGATGAGCTACGCGATGAGCTGCGGAGAACTAAGCAAAAACAAGATAAACTACACTATTTGAAGCTTCTTCTAGTGCCGACTAAGTGCTTCAACTGTCTGTATATCTTCATTTGAACTATGGTCAAACTTAGCGCGAAAAGACCGCATAAAGAGGTAGAGTTTTCCGATGATGAAGACGCCGTGGACATCGCAGGCAACATCGCACTAAATGGAGACGAAAGCTCCTCTAGCGAGGATGAAAGCGATGGCGAAAGACATTATAGCGTTCAGGATATCGTTGAATTCAGCGACGATGAGGAAAAGCCAGCTGTGAAAGCTCCACAGCAGAAGAACAAGAAGGTTAAACAGACTCCACAAGCTCTGGCTTTCCCAGCATTGGAATTGTCGGACGATGAAGACGGCACCAAAACTGAGGGCGCCCAGGACGCTGCTGATGACGTGACAGAGTACTTTTCGACCACTAGCAACGCCAATATCAAACACAAAAAAGGTTCGTTCGCAAGTTTTGGACTCTCCAAGCTTGTGCTGTCCAACATCGGGAAGAAAGGTTTCCGTCAACCGACCCCTATCCAGAGGAAAACAATCCCACTGATTTTGCAGAAGCGTGATATCGTGGGTATGGCCAGAACTGGGTCAGGTAAGACGGCTGCTTTCGTGCTCCCCATGATCGAAAGGCTCAAATGTCACTCTGCGAAAATCGGTGCGAGAGCTGTGATTCTTTCGCCCTCCAGAGAACTAGCAATGCAGACCCATAAGGTGTTCCGCGAGTTTTCCAGAGGCTCTGATATTCGCAGCGTTTTGCTAACCGGTGGTGAATCTCTCGAAGAACAATTCGGCGCCATGATGTCGAATCCAGATGTGGTGATAGCCACCCCTGGTCGTTTCCTGCATTTAAAGGTGGAAATGAACCTTGATCTAAAGTCTATGGAGTACGTGGTGTTCGATGAAGCGGATAGACTGTTCGAGATGGGTTTCGAAGAGCAGCTTAACGAGCTTTTGGCGGCTTTCCCATCTAACAGGCAAACTCTTTTGTTCTCGGCTACTTTGCCTGCGTCTCTGGTTAGTTTTGCTAAAGCCGGACTCACGAACCCTGTCTTGGTGAGACTGGACGCTGAAACTAAGGTTTCGGAGAATTTAGAGATGCTTTACCTATCATCTAAGAACGAGGAAAGAGAAGCCAATCTATTATACCTTCTGCAAGAAGTTATGGAGATCCCGGTTGCTACTGAAGAGCAGTTGCAGGAGTACCGAAACAGTATAAAACACGACGATGACAGCGAGGATAGTGACGCGGAGAACACTAAGACGAAGCGCGATAAAATGAAGCACAAATCTGGGCCACGCAAAAGACTTCCTGCTGCAAATGAGCTACCATCTGAAAAAGCCACTATTGTATTCGCTCCTACAAGGCATCATGTCGAGTACCTCTCACAATTGTTGAAGGATTGCGGCTACCTGGTCTCATATCTATACGGTACCCTGGATCAACATGCTCGTCGGCAACAATTATTCAATTTCAGGGCCGGTCTGACCACGATATTGGTGGTAACAGATGTGGCAGCCAGAGGTGTCGATATTCCTATGTTGGCTAATGTGGTCAACTATTCTTTGCCCGCGTCTTCCAAAATTTTCGTTCATCGTGTTGGTAGAACCGCAAGAGCTGGTAACAGAGGTTCTGCATACTCTATTGTTTCCGACAATGAGCTACCATATCTTTTGGATCTAGAATTATTCCTGGGCAAAAAAATCCTGCTCACACCAATGTTTGAAGCGACGACAGAGATGCTGAAGGCTAAGTGGATAAGTGACGGCAATTCTGAGTTGACTTTCAAGCCTCCAAAACCGTCTTATGTCAACAGAATGGTGCTGGGTAGTTGTCCAAGACTTGAATTGGAGACGTGCGGCGATCTTTTCAAAAGCTTGCTCCAGTCAAGCTTCGATTTACAGCAACTCAAGGCAGTGGCTGCCAAAGCAGAGAAGCTGTATTTTAGAACACGGCCACCTGCCTCCCAGGAGTCGATGAAGAGATCTAAGGAAGTTGCTTCGTTTGGATGGGACGCACAGAACCTGAGGTTTGGTAAGAACATTGAAAAGGAAAAGCTGGATTTCCTGGCAAAGCTCCAAAACAGAAATCACAAGGAGACGGTCTTTGAGTTTGCTCGTAATCACGACGATGAAATGGCACTGCTGATGCAGAAGAGACGGAGGCAGATTGCTCCTATCCAGCGCAGGGCCCGCGAAAGAAAAGAGCTTCTTAAGAAGGAGAGAATGGCAGGCTTGAGACACACAGTGGAAGATGAGATTTTGAAGGGTGACGATAACGAAGTGGGCTACTCTGTACCCGATGAAGTCCTCAGCCGCGAATTTGAAGACGGAGATGACGTTTTGGAGAGCCAGATGCCTGAAAAGAAGAGGAAATCTTACAAGGACCCGGCTTTCTTTTTATCCCACTACGCGCCAGCAAATGAAATTCAGGACAAGCAGCTCGAAGTGACCACTGGATTCACTAATGAAGCTGCGAATGCCACTTTTGATTTGCAGAACGACGACAAAGTGCAAAATCACAAACAAGTGGCCACTGTCAAATGGGACAAAAAGCGCAAGAAGTACGTCAACTCACAAGGTGTGGACAACAAGAGGTACATCATGGGCGAAAGTGGTCACAAAATTCCCGCTTCTTTCAGGTCCGGGAAGTTCGACGAGTGGTCCAAAGCTCGCAAACTGGGGCCCATCAAGGTGGGAGCCCGAGAGGCAACCTCTACTTCGAAGCTTCTCAGCGATCCAACTGGCTCTGGCTCTCAGCGAACCATTGGTGGTAGATTCAAGCACAACAAAGTCAAGGCTCCCAAACTTCCTGACAAGCACAGAGACGATTACCAGTCCCAGAAAAAGAAGGTCGAAAAAGCCATTGGCAGCGGAATTCCCGTCAAGGGCTTCAACAAGCCTGGCTCTACTAGTGAGTTGAAGACACCTCAGCAAATCTACAAGGAAAGAGTCGCGAAGGAGAATCGCAAGGCCAAAAATGCTCGTCCTTCGAAAAAGAGAAAACACTAAGAACCCAAACCGAGCCCAAAGTTTATATAAACATGTACAGTATAATAAACACTGGAGCCTTCAAATGCAGGATATTCATCATTCAGACGTCGGGCTAGCTATTCAATCGGTGTGAACCGACGACATTGTCACTTTCTTCTTTTATGTCGTTGTATACACATATATTTTATGAGCTTATAGCCTTGGTAAAAGTGGGAACTTCAACTAAAATTCACCAGCTGACAAAACCTGGCCAGGATAAACACGTATGGTGACTTATGAAAGTACTAGACATATCTTGGAAGAGCTAGAGTTGATTGAAGATGCCATCAGCTCTCGTTTCAAGCGAAACCCTGAACTTTTGTATAGAAATGTCGAAAAATGGAAATCGATGAGCATGGACTGGGAATTCCCAGAAGAATCACAAATTCATAGAGAGGGGAATAAGCTGTATGCTATTAAGAAGCCTCGACGGAATCGGAAACAATTGGCAGCACAGGAACACGAAATTGCACTATTTTTGGACACATATCGCAAGAATTGTGAACTGCTGAGTAGCGTGAACTTCGAGGATGAACGCAAATACGAGGTCTCAGATGGCTCTCTCGATAAGCTGCTGTCTGAAATCGAAACAATAGAAAAAGAGAGCGTTGAGAGTGGATCAGAAGATGTGGGTAACGAGTACAGCATGTTTTCGAACTCGACTGCGTCGCGGAAAGAAATCCTTTCGAAGAAAGCGCAAGATCTTGATGTCAATGCCATATTTGCAAGAGACGAGCAATACGGCAAAATACTGGATCTGGGAACATTTCACCAGCAGTGGCTAGGTGTGGTGAAGAGCGGAGATGTGACATTTCTGCAGTTTTTCGCACAGGTGGAAAAGTTCAAGGATCATAGTTTTTTGGTTCACCCTGCTGCAAATCGTAACAGTACCGCATACCGCGGGTTTGTCACTCATTTATACCGTTATATGAACGGATTTGCCCGGCGTGCATATCCCATGCTGGACTGGGAAGCTGTGGATTCGAATTTGAAAACAGAGTTCGAGAAGTTTTTGGCAGAGCCAGTAATAGACAACCAAAGGGGGTCACTGTACTGCATCTCTTGTGATAAAAACTTTAAAGCAGACACCGTTTATCGCGCACACCTTTCGGGGAAGAAGCATTCCGGGAATCGACGCAAAAACGAATCGTTTTTGGCCGAAGAGCACAGATTGCACAAGCTGTGTGGGTTCTTGGCCGAGGAACTTTCTCGCACTCGAGAGTTTGTGGAACGTAAGCTGGGTTTCACTTCTGAAGAGCGCGAACAGGAGCTAGAGAGACTCACTGCCGACTACGAGGCTCCCATTTACCGCTTGTCAGAGCCCGAGGACGACATTGAAGAATCTGCGCCCGCAGAAAAACCAATTGTCGATAGCACTTCAAATCTTCCACTTGGGCCAGACGGCTTCCCGATCCCGTACTGGCTCTACAAGCTGCAGGGACTCGACATCGAGTATCGATGCGAAGTGTGTGGAAACTACGTCTACAAAGGACGCAGACAGTTCGACAAGCATTTTTCGGAGCAGAGACACAGCTTGGGGCTGCGGAAGCTCGGGGTCGAGCCCTCTGCGACGTTCCAGGGCGTCACAAGTATTGCCGATGTGCAAAGACTGGCCTCTCACCTAAGATCGCGAGGCTCTGCCGGCGTAGGAAGACCAAAAGCTACGGAATTGAACGTGGAAATGGAGGACAACGATGGGAACGTCATGACGAAGCAAGTTTACGATGAGCTAGCAAAACAAGGTCTGTTATGAGACATACAAACGTGGAAGCCGAATAATGGAGGATGCTAAGACTGGAGTAGCGACGACGGCCACGATGACGACGACATCTGGTCAGCTGATGATCACGCGACTCTGTATTGGTCACATGATTCATCTTTTGGTTTCTTGTCTTGGATCACGTGCTATCTTGCCATGTGAATATCACACTTTCTGAAAAATTTCCAAACACAGCGATATCTACAAACCTAAGCATCAAATTCAACACTCTCGCCTCTGAACACCTAAAAACCAACGAACTTTCGAGCTGCAACCAACCCAATGGTATCCAAGAAGACCAAGAAAAATAGCGGGAGCTCTAAGAGGAGCGACGCGGAAGTCGGTGGTAGTTCCAACCGTCAAGATGCGGTCAAAACTGATCAAAAAACGGGCCAAAAAGCAGGTCAGGACGATGCAAAATTGCAGAAAGACACTAAAAGATACAACTTCGTGGTGCGTACGGTGTGGACTTTCATCATGATCAGTGGGTTTTTCATCACGCTGGCGTCAGGTCATTTCTGGTGTGTGCTGCTGATCCTGGCATGCCAAATTGCAGCGTTCAAAGAGTGTATTCGAGTGACGTCGATTTCGAGTCGCGAGAAAAACCTGCCGTTGACGCGAACACTGAACTGGTACCTGCTGTTCACGACCATTTACTATCTGGACGGACGGTCGATCTTCAAGTTTTTCCAGTACTACTTTATTCATTACCGGGTGCTGAACCTGGTGTCGACCAACCATTTGTTCATCTGCTATTGTCTGTACGTGCTTGGATTTGTGTTCTTCGTGTGCAGTCTCCGTAAGGGTCATCTGAAGTTCCAGTTCGGCTCGCTGTGTGTGACACACATGGTTCTGCTGTTGGTGGTGTTCCAGGCGCATCTCGTGATTAACAACGTCTTGAATGGATTGATTTGGTTCCTGCTGCCCTGTGGGCTTGTGATCGTCAACGACATTTTTGCATACCTGTGCGGAATCACATTCGGCCGCACCAAGCTGATCGAGATCTCGCCCAAGAAAACGCTGGAAGGGTTCTTGGGTGCTTGGATTTTCACCGGAATCGCCAGTGTGCTGCTCACGCGGCTGCTAACTCCCTTCACTTACATGACTTGCCCTGTAAAAGACATCAACACCAACTTTTTCACGCCGCTAACCTGCGACTTGAACCCAGTCTTTCTGCCGCAGGACTATAGATTGCCTCCCATTGTGTTTGAGAAATTTGGGGTCAGCACTATCACCATGAAGCCTATTTATTTGCACGCGCTAAACCTAGCGACCTTTGCATCGTTGTTTGCACCCTTTGGAGGATTTTTTGCTTCGGGTCTAAAAAGAACTTTCAAAGTCAAAGACTTTGGTCAATCGATTCCCGGCCACGGCGGTATCACCGACAGGGTCGATTGTCAATTTCTCATGGGGTCCTTCATGAACCTGTACTACGAAACTTTCATCAGCGAAAAGAGAATCACGGTTGAAACTGTGATCTCAACCATCTTACTAAACTTCAATGAAAGACAGATCTTGGAACTCATCAAAATTCTGAACGAGGTCCTGTACAGTAATGGATTCATTAGTGATAAAGTTTATGGTAAGCTTTTGGACCTGTATAATATTTAACTGCCCTTGCGGCATTGGTAAGTGGATCGAATACTCTAAATTAGTGACAACTTTTACAACGGAGAGCAGGAGTACTTCTCGCATAATTAGATTTCCTCCCTTTTGAAGGATTCGGCGTCTGTTAAACGGTCGTGTTGCCATTCTCTAGTGATTAATAAATGGAGCCCAACGCTGTAAATCAACTCGACCATAAATTCCATGACCACAAACATGCTGAGCGAGGCTCTCCAGTCGCCATTGAAGAAACTAAACTTGTGGTAAGCAGTCATATCGGAGTCCAGAGCGAAGGATGAAATAATGATGAAGACGAACCGAACGATCAAAAATGGCATTGCCAGCAACACAGTGCAGGTTCCTGTTGTCAAGACTCGTGTCGCACGCCCATGCAATTGGGAGTACCTATAAAGGCCAAAGATCACGAACAGCAAGTACACGGCCAGATACAAAATGGACGAAGCCTTGGCCATGGCAATCCCTGTGTCAGTGCTGGGATCCTGGTTAGCCCACAAATTATAGCCAACAATAGAGAGAATTGCAGGTAACAGCATTATGGTTCTCGCGCCTCTCTGGAGCTGATCGGGCAGGTCGTCTGGCGGGCAAAAAGCCCTCGTTAGCATTATTAAAGGTGCCGACGCCAGCGAAACCAAAATAGCGCCTGCCGTGACAATACCCGTGGATGGCAATTTAGAGGCGTCTTGGCTATTTACGGCATCAACAGTCTGGGTAGCTGCGTGCACGCTTATGCCCACGCCGGAGATTTTCAGAACTGCAATCGCACCTAGCGTTAAACTTTTACCCATGTGGCGCCTTCTGGACAGCGCTGCTACGGCTGTTAACAGAAGGCCGCTATAAAATATTAGCTCTAGCACGAACACAATGTGACGTTTGTCGTCCCAGAAAGTAATTTCGGAGGTCATTTTGGTGCTAGCGGCAGGAGTACAACGGTGAGGTCGAGCTTGATGAGTTGGATTTACCTGGTGAAGGCTATGTTACAATTATAGGTCAACTACTTATATGCCGTTAGACTTGTCGGATAATTGAAAGACTTGGCGCCTGACACTCTGCAGGTTTCTCGTTAACTTTGCATTCGGTACTCGCAACACCCAGTGACTATTTGATCGTGTTGGCAGTGCCTCAGCCGCACAAAATTACGGCTGCAGCTAAGCAACTGCGCCATCGAAAGAACAGGTATTCTTCGTCATCGCTAGCTCGAAATTCCTGCTTTCGGACCTGCGAAACCAATGCATTTATGTTTTGATATTGCAGGTCAAAGTTAGAACCTGCCGAACAAATGGCTTTGATGATATAAATAAGAATGGGAAGGCACACTTACACATCAAAACTTCGTAGGAAGTCGGCGTATCGAGAAGTGGCTTGTAGGCTAAACTGCAATAAAAATTATAAATAATAGATATTCGTGCGTTTATGATAGCCACGGAATTTTTACAGCATACAGGGAGATTATGGACGATCGAAGACGCCAAGAAAAAAGATATGCAAGGTGAAAGCCCTGACTAGGGACTCTTTTTGTATGTTGTCTGCGAAGCTTCTCTGTTCGAGGGCTTGGCAAATGCTGTGACGGTGTCAGCTATGTGAAGAAGAAAAAAATTTCATGTGTGACTAGAGTTTTGGGTAGAGGAACGACTGTATGGCGGGCGTATGTGAGACTAGTGAAGTGGAAACAGGAGTGAGCAGGTGAGAGCTCCAATTTCTCGTCTTATGGACCCCGTTAGACTATTTGATGCTTATACAGAGGCCCCAAATGATTCAATTGGGATATTGATGAAGGTTGTGTATGGGCTGTGACTGCGCTCGATTTTTACGGAAAAACACGATGGTGGCCAAACAAACTGAGCATAAGCCTGTTACACGCAGTAATTATAGGTGCTCGTGAGTTAAGCTTACTAAAAAGCGTCTCGAATGAATCGTCAGCTTTGGGTGATTCTGTCGTAGTAAGATGCTTTACTCTATGAAATTCTGTCGTACCATTGTTCAACGGAGTGACGGCAGCAGCACACAAACTGACACCAATGATGACCATCACTTTCAGAATTTCTGAGGACTCAATAAATTTACTGTCAGTCATCTCCGCGCGCTGTAAAACGGTTAAATAGTCCTTATAGCCACTTCAACATAATTTGTTGCGCAAGACGTCTCATCTGATCACCACCAAATCCAAAAAATCCTGATTTCAATCACGTCCGATTTCTCGGCTTAAACTTCACATTAAGAGCTCGCAAATAGCTTATATCAGACCTGTATACTATATATCAACTATTCATCTAGCAAATTCACCATTGAAACATTGTCTACAGTATTTAATTTTCCCTCTCTCAGACCCTCTTCTTATATTCCGTACTGACATCGAATTATTGCAACTTAAAGTATCGAAGTATCACCTCATCTCGAACAACAAAGTTAAGAAACAGACGAGACTCACTCTAATAAAGCGCGTGGCACACACTGTTTGGTCCAAGCATATGTCTGCTACGTCACCATGTCAATATTTGCCCTAGACGAAGATATAGGAAAGCTTACGGTCAATGGTAGTTGCGCCATCATTGACAGCGAAGATGACGGATTCGACCAGGAAATATCGGGCGATCTTTGGCATAAAAACCTGTTATCCAATGACCCACGACCAGAAAGCTCATCCTCTCAGCTTGCGGTGCCCTCCATGTCCCCTTTGAACATATCTAGGGGCCGAAGACGGTCGTCTGTCTACGACAAGATGTCGGTCGTCACCCCACCTAATACCAGACGACTACAGATGCCTCCAAGTGAGTACACCGGGCCAGAATCGGTATGCAGTCTCAGCACACTGAAAAAACACGGCCCGCGTGATCTGGAGGATTTCAGACCCATCAGGGTCCTGGGGCGAGGTGCCTACGGTAAGGTCTTGCTTGTCAAAGATTTTCACACGACGCGCTTGTATGCTATGAAGCAGCTGAAAAAGGCCGAAATTCTCATTCATGAAGAACCCACGGTATCCTCCACCCAAGAAGACGCACTAGAAAAACGGTTGGAGCGCACATTTGCAGAAAAAACGATCTTGTCGGAATTGGAACATCCACACATCGTAAAGCTCTTTTACACGTTCCACGACCACCATCGGCTCTACCTAATTTTGCAGTTTATTCCAGGAGGTGAGCTCTTCTATCACTTGAAGGAACAAGGTGTACTGGATGAAGACACAGTAGCATTTTATGCAGCTGAAATTAGCTCTGCAATCAAGTTTTTACATCAAAAGGGAATAGTGTACCGGGACTTAAAACCAGAAAACTGTCTTTTAGACGAAAGAGGTCACCTAGTGCTGACAGATTTTGGACTTAGTAAGAAAAGCGCTGGAGAAGCTTCTCGCTCGGGTGAAACATCACCAGAGGCTGGCGAACCAGTGGAAAAGCTTTTTTCGATCATTGGAACGCCAGAGTACTGTGCACCAGAAATTTTGGAGGGCAAGCCATACACGCAAAACTGTGACTGGTACTCGCTTGGATGTTTAGTGTACGATATGCTCGCTGGTAAGCCACCGTACACGGGTGCAAATCACAAAGTGATTCTTAACAAAATTCTCAAAGACAAATCACCCAAAATTCCAACGTTCTCTAGTGAGGGCATGAAGGATTTCCTGGGGTCCCTACTCAAAAAAGACGTTACGAAAAGGTGGGATGTTGACAAGCTCTGGGCTGTTGACGGGCCCAAACCTAAGAAAAAGAAAGCAGGACAAGCAAAGACCACCAGCTTCCAGTCTCATTTCGTCTTCCGTAAAATCAACTGGTCGAAGCTAGAAAGTGGGGAGCTTCAGAAAACTACTAATGGCCCAATAATGCCCATTATCACAGACTGGGAGTTGGCCGAAAATTTTGACTCAGAGTTTACAGGCATGCGGTTGGACAGCGCTGGTTGTATTGATATTAAGCAGGAAATTAAGCCTGAACATGCACACCTGTTTCAAGGATTTAGCTATGTTGCGAGCAGTAGCTATTTGGAGCGTCATTTCTGAACAGTGGCTACAAATAAGAGGTAAGCAACACCATATGGCAGATTTTAATGATTTCTAGTTTTAGTATATTCGTGTAGTATAGCATAGATAGAATACGTTTAATTTATGGGGGACGGGGAAGGATTTGTCTTTGCAATCAAAGACCGAGTTCGACGTTTGAAATATAAGTGCTCGGGCTCGGACAAGTAGCAAAATTTCTGGTGTTTTTTTCGTACTGTCTTGAGATATGCTTGCCAAGTTTTGTGACCGTTCTTATTTTTCAGTATATGTTTTCCTATGAGGTATCTGATGCACTCATGGGGCTCATCAATTTCGTCAACCTTTAAACTGTTAAAAATAGAGTCTGTGAGTTTTTCTGGCTCTATCAAATCTACTAAATTGCAACCTAGCTGTATTTCACGATCCATCCACTTGTCCCCGGCTTTGAAACACGTCATTAGATCTGTCTTGGTGAAAGAGGTGAGCGACATCTGGTTTGGATACGGATGTCTCGGTGAAGTGGGACGAGAACTCCAGGGTAATTACAACAAGACTACGAATCTAAAATATAGAATGAAATGGTTTGGGAGTCGTTTTTATAGTGCGTCTCAAGGTGTAATTTGAGCAATTGACGCTTTGACGAGAAACGACGCAGAATAAAACCAGCAAAAGTGAAAAAAGTCCACCACTATGAAGATGAAAATAGAAAGATGATTCAATGATAATATCCATTTTCAAGCAACGAATTGTCTGCCTAGGCAGTAACATGTCATTGTATCAGATGTTGGCGCTCGTGTTATTGTCACAACGAGTGAACAGTACAAAACGATATAAAAGGACCTTGGATCGTCGGATTTGAGCTCTGAAAACAATGCGTTTGAATAACAATGTCAGCAGTTCCTCGGCGTCATGCAAGAAAATGGCCATGTAGATAAGGGCTCCTCCCTTTATCGTGCGAAACTTAAACACAAGTCATAATTCTGAGCCAAGACAAAATTAAAACTAATGTCGTTTCCAGGTTGCCAGGTATCCAGGTTGCCGTCACTTCAAAGCTATTTAAGATGTCAGACTTATTTCAAGAACATCTCAAATACACCACATACGCCAATTAATCTAAACCTTGAGCTGCCAAATGTTAAGAATACTTTTCCGGATTTTGATTTGGGTCTCTTGAAGCCCGGAAACATTTTAAATTGAGACCATTCACTAAGCCGTGGGCTCTTTTTAATTTCATAGCATCTAATTCCTGTCATTGCGTATCATATTTATAGATTTTCAGCCTAAAACATTGTTTAAACAATGGCAAAAGATGAGACGCTTCCTGAGTTAAAAATGCTCCATTTTGGCATCAAAATAATTGCAAAACTCCATTTATTTTCATTGGAAGTTGAATCGAAGCTTTCCTCAAATCCTTCAATCAGTCTTCGCCAAGTTCTTCTTTGACACTTTCATTGCACTTAATGCTGTATATGTTTTAGATAATCGTTAAAAAACATCAACTCTGCTCTGATCGTCAAAACATTTACCATTCAAAAAGGATCAAGAACCCCGCTTATGAGCCCGCTTCAAATAGCCAGAAGCCTGTCCGGAAGGGCTAGTGCATGTTTTGATTTACTTGGCATACGTTTGAGACAATCCAGTCATGTTTTCAGGCGAGGGAAGACTAAAAACATGTCTTTAATTTTGATGAGCATAGTGGGTCTTTTAGCTCTGGTAGCTGTGATTCGTGGGATACATGGGGGTGATATGTCTATGGAAATGTTGACGTATGATAATAGTAAGTCTAATGGTACCGCACAAGGTTCGGCAGGTTACGACGAGTTCGATGAGGTAGCGGACGCATCGTATTCTGACTATGAAAACATCAACGCCCAGATGAATAGTGCGAACGCAGGCATTGTGGGCAGAGCTGTGGCTGAAACTTTGAAACGTATCAAGAAGTTCTCGCTTGAAGGTGAGCTAGACAAGACCAGAAAAAAAGAATGTGACATCGGTGACATCTCGATCACGGACACGGCTAAATTCTACAAGCTGACCGAGGAGTCTTTGGCAAACTGCGTGCAACTTCCTGAAGAAACCTTTTTGGCGCTTCGCGAAGGCTTTGAAGGCTTCAGAAAGGCCATCGTCGACGATCTGCTGCCATTATTCATGGATGTTGACCAGCCGGCATTTCACGGTGAAGGTATCGTCATGGTGGGAGGCGGAAAATACTCTCTATTTGCGCTTCCTGCAATCAAAGCCATACGAGAAAATAGTGGTGTTAAGATACAAGACAGCGTCCCCATCGAGATTATCATACCTCCCCAGGACAAGGCCGATAGAGGTTTCTGCGAAAACGTTCTGCCGGCGCTGGATCCTTCAGGACTCACCAGGTGCGTCTTTTTAGATGAAGTGCTGGGCGAGGAAACACTTTCTCACCTTAAAGGCTACCAGCTCAAGCCTTTGGCATTGTTGGTGTCCACTTTCGAGAAGGCTCTGATGCTAGATTCCGATAACTACGTTATCAACTCTTTGGAAGGCTACTTTACCAATGGCAAATTCAATGAAAAGGGTCTTGTTCTGTGGCCTGACTACTGGCGTCGCTTGCATCATCCTAAGATTTACGAGATTTTGAACTTAAAGCTGGGCAGAGATCAAAGAGAGAGAAACTCAATTGATGATACCTCTCCTACTTACTTGTACGATGTGGATTCTAAAAAGACTCCCTTACATGATTTGAAGAACACAATCCCCGATGGCGGTACGGAGTCCGGTCAATTACTGGTGAACAAGAAAAAACATCTCGATACCCTGCTTATGAGCTTGTACTTCAACTATAACGGTCCGTCGTACTACTACCCGCTTCTGGGCCAAGGATTTGCTGGAGAGGGCGACAAAGACACATTTGTTTTGGCGAGCCGTGTTTTGCACGGGCCGGATTCGTGGCATCAAGTGAAGACGCCAGTGTCTGCGATGGGCCACTGGACGGACTCGAAAGACGAAATTCGATTGACAGACGAGGATCTTGAGAATTATACGAAAGAAAAGTCATTCAGAGGTACCGCGATGCTACAGCACGATTATATCGAGGATATCCGGTGTCATGCTGTCGCTCAAGAGGTGATCAGAAACACCATCAGCAACAAGGAAAAGCTCTTTTGCGAAAGCTGGATAAAGTCCCACAAAGATGACTTTACCGGAAAAATTGAAGAGAAGCGCGAACAGTGTAAAAAGAACGCTGAAGCGCAGAAGGTTTTCCAAAGCGAGATTCGTGATTCTTACAGTCTCGCTGATTATTTTGCCTTTTTCAAGTTTACCAAGGTTTCGTTTGTGCATTCCCATTTGCCCAAGTATGATCCATGGGAGTGGTACGAAACGGGCGACATGAAGTTCGATGGTGCCAAGGCCCACAAGAATCACAAGGATGATGCGCTTTACAAACCTGCTCATTCGGGGCATTATCGCATGTATGACTCCAAGATGAGAGAAATAAGTGGCTATGACTTGGAGCTGGCCAACTGGTCAGCGTTCAACACTTACTTGTGTGATGTACCGGATGGCTACAAAAACTTTGGCTACTTGTCAGAGAAGATTGCGGCCAGTGAATCTCCTGTCCAAGGCTACCGTGGCATGTGCAAGTATATCAGCGACCGGGTTGAATACTTGAAGAGCACTACTTGGGAAGATATTAATGTCTAATGAAATACTGTCGCTGCAATTGAAGAGTGACTAAGTGACTCGTACTTAGTTAGAGGTTGGGTGCACAAGATATTACGGGAAAAGTGTATTTGAACATCTGAAGTTTTCCGTGTTAACCTAACTATTGCTTGATAACCCGACTTTAATCGAGTTCAGATTTCAGTGTGTTTAATCGTAAGTAAATGCCACCATTAAACCCTATGTTTACAAGATTCGTTTCCAGCAAAATGTCTACAACGTTTAAGTCGCTGGTGTACTCGTCGCACGACGTCCAAGACTGCACGAAAGTGCTGTCGCTGCACAAATACCAGCCTCAGGGTCTAGAGAACTCAATAGTGCTTCGCACGTTAGCTTTTCCTATCAATCCGTCCGATATCAATCAACTGGAGGGAGTTTATCCATCGAAACCTGCAAAAACGCTCGACCTGGGCACCGAGCATCCAAGTGCCATTGCTGGTAACGAAGGAGTTTTCGAGGTAGTTCACGTTCCCGACAACACGCAAGTTCTCAATGTGGGAGATATGGTTATCCCTTTGCTGGCCAATTTTGGTACCTGGTCTACTCATCGCTCTTGCAAGGATGCCTCGCAACTAGTAAAAGTAGAAGGCTGCGACAAGGTCGCCGCTGCTACCATAGCGGTCAATGGGTGTACTGCTTACCAACTGCTCAATAATTACGTTGACTGGGACCCTAAGGGCAACGACTGGCTCATTCAAAATGCTGGTACGTCCTCAGTGTCCAAGATCGTTAGCCAGCTGGCAAAACTGCAGAACATCAAGACACTCAGCATCATCAGGGACCGCGATAACTTTGACGAAGTAGCTCACGAGCTGGAGTCCAAGTATGGTGCTACGAAGGTCATCTCGGAATCTCAAAATAACGGCAAAGAGTTCAACAAAGAAGTGTTACCTTCGATCTTGGGCCCCAACGCGCACGTCAAACTGGGTCTCAACTCGGTTGGGGGCAAGTCCAGCTCATCGTTAGCTCGCAAGCTTGGCCAGAACGCTACAATGTTAACATACGGAGGCATGTCCAAGATGCCTGTGACTTTGCCTCCCTCACTACACATCTTCAAAGGTCTGAACAGCTTGGGCTTCTGGGTGACCAAGAACTCGCTAGAGGACCCTCAGAACAAGCGAGACACGGTTAGAAAGGTGGCTAGCCTGTACGCAGAAGGGAAACTGATCTCACCCAAGGACGAGGTCAGAAAGCTAGAATGGGACCCAAATACCATGTCGGATGACGAAGTGCTACAACTGATCAAATACGGCATCACTCAGAAGGGCAACAAGAACGTGGTGACGCTCAAATGGTGATTTTTAGGGCATAAAACTAATGTCCAACATGTCTAATTGCTATATACAACTTTACAAGCCCCAGGGTGGGCTCTATGACAATCTTATGAATTTTATGAATCCGTTTTAGCCGTGGACAGATACCGACGGCCAAGCAGTAGGCCAGCTACGCTGATCATCAAATACCCTATCACCTCCCACCTGGTAACGATGATCTGTGTGGTTTCGGAGATGCAATCAGCCGCAGCCATGAAAACGATGGCTCCTACGAAGCACGTAGACGCATATTGCGGCGAGACCCGGTCTGACAAGTTCACTAGAGCCCAAATCATGGGAAGATGGCCTGCGAAAACAGAAACGAGAATCCATGCCGATTTTGACCAAGTGCATTGGGCCCAGAGATTATTTGTGCCGCTAAAGAAGAGTAGCGGTCCCAGAATGAGCAAGTTCATAACACCGAGCTGACTGATCTCAAAGTTGGAAATTCTGGTTCTTTCTCTGTGTGTAAGGTAGGGCCGAATTGAGTCAACTGGTCCCGTTTGCGCAGTGGCACTCCATTTGCTCCACAGCACGAAAAATGGGCCTATCGTGAGCGCACCTAGTCCACATGTCAGGGCGCCTTTCAGCCTGTCGAAGAGAAAAGGGTCGTCTAGCTCGCCTGTGCTTTCGTTCACGGACAATTTCCCGGAAAGCAGATCGCTGGTGGCCTTGGTGTAAGACACAATGAAAATGCCGGCCAAGATCACCACCATGAGGGCAAAATTGCGCACCAGATGCTTTCTTGGGGCCACGCCTGCCACTACCAGCAACAGAGAAACGATTTCGAACATCGATGTGTTGTGCATCATAGCCACGTCTAGAGCTGGGGACAGCCTTAAGGCCACTAAAAAGGTGTACCCAGCGACAATCAGCAACGACGCCAAGACGACGACTTGCAACAGACGCTTCAGCTGTGTCCTGAGTGTCCCAGTCGCGCGTGGGAGGCTATCGTTATCGAGGAAAAGCTCTTCATCTGTCACAACTGCGGCCGAAATCGTCACGGGCAACATTTCAGTGAATCTTGGTCCATTTCCGCCCAAAGAACCACTTTTCAACCGGGAAAAAAGCTCTGTTAATGGGGCCATCACCGTCCATGCCGAAAGGTGTGCAAACAGTAAGCACAGCGCTTCCTGGTGGCTGCTGCTTTGCTGTTTTTCTGGATCTGTGAGTGAATAGACGTGTGAGATAGCTTTGGTCTGTATAACGTAGCCAAGCACAGCTACGAGCCACATTCCGGTTCTCATTTTAGTCATGAGTGCCACGCCGACAACAAGCAAGCCAGCAAAAGTTTAAGACCGGGGAATCAATAACACAGGAGTCCGTGTTTTATAATCTCTGGAATCCCGCTGTCGTTGGGCTGTGTTCACGATGGGATGTTATTTTCCACTCGTTTAAACTCAAGGTATCCCGTATAGCTGAAATGCTTTTTTTCGATGTCCTCGAGCATTTCGTTTACGTAATCATGTATGAGCCGTGCATTGCCGCTCAATAGTCACGTGATGTCTATTTTTGGCGTTCATATGGACGTATACCCCATGTGTAACGGCTAAATTTTAAGAAGCGGTCAGTAAAAAAATATATGACTTCGTGGCCAAGCTGGTTAAGGCGTGCGACTGTTAATCGCAAGATCGTGAGTTCAATCCTCACCGAGGTCGTTTTAATTTTTTCACTTTTTGGAGGTCTGGTCTCTCTTCATCCTATAAGGGAGCATAGGAGATGGTAATAGTGGTAGTTAGATTCATATACTTCAAACAATTGTTACTATCTCTTGACTTTGGGCGGGAGCTCCCATCGTAGATTTTCAGCAGCCTCCAGCCCCGTGGTTTCCTTGAGCTGCGCTCGAAGTATGCGGTTTCTCTCATATAACCATATCAGATAGTTGTAGCCTGTATAGCAAACAATTTCGTGTCAAGTTAGTATCCTCGTCTGACCGGCCCTGGAGAAATTCAGTCGATGTTACATACTTCGGGCATATATCTGCATTTCTGAACGCCGCTGGCTCGATTCGAGATCGGGCACCATCTCGACCAATGTATCGTACGTTTCCCGCATCGCCTGGCGCCGTCTTTGCTCGGACGAGACGTGGTTCTGACGTTTTTGGTCTTCCGACAGCGAGCTTACTCGTGGGGCCTGTTTGCATTTTTTGAGTTCCGTAGTTGCTGTTTCTTGAGGCAGGGGTGTTTCCACGGTCATTGATGGAACAAGCAGTGCTGTGAGAGCCTGATTCCCCTGTTAGCTGCGAACTGCGTGTATTGCGAGCTGGGTTGGGTACAGCGCTCGCTCGAATAGTTTTTTTTCACATGTAAGATATACTAAGCCGATGGATAGAGAAGACAGCGATAAAGAGGTGGCACGCATTGCGTGCGATGTCCTGTAAGATCGAGTAGGAGCGAGGAGCCCGTTAGATCTACAATACGATGCATAACGCACTCAGAGCTTGAGGATGGTCATTCTAACAATGTGATGGGTACTGTAGTATAGGTAGTTTTATTTCGTCTCTGTTTTCCATCAAAGCTTGCGTGGCGTAATGGCAACGCGTCTGACTTCTAATCAGAAGATTGTGGGTTCGATCCCCACCGTGAGTGCATTTATTTTTGTTCGTCAATTTTTTAATCTGGGCTTTACGGTAAGAGGAAGTCGCTCGCAAATATCAAAATCTTCCAAGATATGTACAGTGGTGTGTTCTTTATTTATGATGATTGCTGGTACTATTATGTACAGGTGCTATCGGTCCTAAACGCTAGTTTCCTAGCTGTTCCACAAATATGATCTGGGACTTGACTGTCTGAGCCGGTTTTATGGCATCAACATTCTCCAGTTGCAACTCCAGAGCAGTTTTCTTAGCAGCTTTGCGAGCCAGGTTCTGGTGGCCACCTGCCCTGGCCTGCTGAATCTGTTGCATGAAAAGATCGCTCTCCTTTGTCAAATACCCCGACTTGCTTGGATTGCTGTAGTAGTCAATATCCTTTCTCTTGACAGGTCTTGCCTGCAGTGGAATGCGTCCGCGCTTTTCCAAGAACCACTGCGGACTCAAATGCACCCTCAATCCCAGCTTGTTGAAATATCTTGCAGTGAACTCTCCCCCGGCACGTTCAATGGCTTTAATGGCGCTTTCGGAGGCTCTCGTAGCCTCAATCTTGAGCGGAAGGTTGTAATTCTCTTTGCCGTCGCCCAGAACCTTGATTCCGTCCTTGATGGATCCTGTAACAAGCCCCAGCTGTTTCATTTTCTTCATATTTAAAACTTCGTTGGGCCCCAAATTCAAGCGGCCCTTACGGTGGAACCACATCACTCGGTCTAGGTTCAGTTCGTTCAACTTCAGCGATGTGACGTTGGTGAACCCAATTTTTGGGAAAAGCTTGTAGATAGGCGTTTGGCCACCTTCAAACCAGGACTTGACCTTTCCACGAGCTTTTTGACCCTTTTGACCCCTTGCTGACGTCTTACCCTTACCTGAAGAGGGACCACGACCGACTCTTTTGTATTTCTTGGTCGAGCCCTCAGAAGGCTGCAACTGTGATAAAATGGATATGGATCGACATTGGAAAGCTCCCAGCTGTTTCAGGCCATGCTGAACACCTTTAAGCATCGTCAAAGGACGAGTCAAGAGCATCTTGGTCTCTTGTGGGATCAAAGCAGAATTGATGTACTTCCTGGCTTCCCACAACTCCATATGACTTTGAATATAGTCGTCAGAAAATTTGACGATTGAAAAGGTGCGTGCAAGTTCTTTGTCGCTATGCTTGAATTAGTTTTTTTGGTACCACAACAACAGCTTCTATGGCCAAGTTGGTAAGGCGCCACACTAGTAATGTGGAGATCATCAGTTCAAATCTGGTTGGAAGCATTTATTTTTGCGTATTTTTTTTAGATTAGCTTGTTAACATCACTTCTTCACACATTGTCGTCTTTTGGAAACAGAACTAGACAAAAAATGAACAGATAAACAAATCAACCGCGAAAGTAGTTGAGATCAATTCAATTTTCTTAAAATTTCGTGGTCGTTAGTCAAAATTTATATGCTGTTTAAAGTCTATGTGCGGAAGTTCCAAGAATGTTGTTATATGCGCTCCCGACGCCAGAAACCTAGGGATTAGCCCGATGATAATCGAGGGTATCTGGGTTGACTATGCGTAACGGACCATGTTCTTGTGTAACGTCGGGTAGCGATCCATCGCTGAGCCTAACGCGGCCGTAACTGTCATCGAATATAGGTGTCTGGCCTGAGTATTCGTTGTTTATAGAGTTATCCATCTCTGAGGAAGATCGGCGCTGAGAGACGTTGCGTTGAGCCGCAGCTACCGCAGGAATGCCACCGTCGCCGAACGAGTAAGGCTGATGCTGTTTCGTCTCTTCCAAATCCATCTGCTGCTGTTTCCGGTAGCGCCAGAATAAAAAGAAGACCAATGCAGCGACCAAAAAGGACCCAAAGATGGCCCCGATCACCACACCGGCTATTGCTCCGCCAGAAAGCGATTTCTTCTTGTTGGAGCTGGACTTGGACGAACTCGAGTTAGACTGCGCTGACGATACAGGCGTACTGACCACCGTAGTTTGCGTCACATACATGGTCGAGCGACTGCTGTTCGGAAGAGTAGCGACGGTCACTGCTGAGGTGATCATGGTGGTGGAAGTGTGAGATGACTCACCAAAACTTGAGCTCGAGCCCGAGCTTTGAGTAGCACCAGAGCTGGAGGTCGGGCTTGATTTAGAAGTAGAACTTGACGCAGAATTGGAGCTTGAGCTCGAACTAGAGCTGGAAGACGAGCTCGGCGTAGATGATGAGGCTGAATTTGAGCTTGCAGAATCGCTCGAACTGGAGCTGGAGCTGGAACTTGAGCTCGAACTCGAACCCGAACTCGAACTGGAGCTTGTGCTGGAGCTTGTGCTGGAGCTTGTGCTGGAGCTGGAGCTGCTGCTCGAGCTTGAACTCGAGCTTGAACTTGAGCTCGAACTCGTGCTTGATTTCGAACTTGAGCTGGATACCGTCACACCAGATTTAAGATATACCTGAAAGTAACCAGATCCGCCACAAGTATCGTAAGGCCATCCCACGCACTTTGAATCGCACTCACCAGAATCCACGGAGGACACGGAAGACAGCGCAGAGGCGGAAGACCCACAGTAACAGGTATCGCCCCCAAGAAGAGCAACCACGTCAGCACCGTCGCATTCGTTTTGGCAGTACGATACACTCTGGTATGTGTAGGAGCCCTTGGAGCTCAGCCCAGAGCTCAGATCTGACTCTTTAAAACATCCATATTTCGAGTAAGTTCCGTCTGCTGCTACCTGTGGGACAATCAACCCTGTCAGAAGCGGGATGAATCCTACTTTTGACCAGAATGTGTGCATCAGAATGGTTCTTGTACCCAAAAATCCCAACTAAATGGTATCGGCCCGTTTGAAAAGGAAGCTTCAATTATTAGTGGACTTTTCGTCTACTGTTGAAGCACCTACAGAGCTCTCGAACTCCCTGGAATTGAATATTTGTAGCTGGTTGGTGGTTGAAGTTTGAATGTTTTGAAACTCATTACACTTCCTTCGCATATTTTCTTCATGCTACGAAAAATCAGGAATCTGGACTTTTGATTGAGGCGCGACGCATTGGGATAAAGTGATAGGCATTTGGCCAGTGATATTTGATGGGAGCAGCAAGAGTGGAGACGAGTGGTTACTGGGAGAGTGGTTTACGATGCCGTATGGTACTGGGATCAAGTAAAGGAAGTGAGGTTTTGTCAGATTTTGTAAGGTTTTTGTATTTAGGAGACTACACATGACATCGAGAGTTAATGTGGTGGATGGACGTTAAGTGGTAGGTGTGTGAAAAGACATGGGTGCCTTGGGTGAAATAATATTTCATGGAATAATGATAGAGATGGATTGTTCTGGACGAATTGGTCAATGTGCGGAGAGTTTTGTTGGCATCTCATTTTAAATTGATTTATTTATTCGAAGTTGCAGCGATAAAATATTTGAAAATAATGTTTACGCGAACCGCGAGAATGAATATCGCCGTTGGGTCCGCGTCGAAGAGTGATATTGGAATTGTAATGGAGTATGATTTCTGCCAAGAGCCAAGAGCGCCAGATCTTGGGCGATGACGTAATCAAGCGTGCCAAGCCGCTCGAGTAAAGACGACAGGATAGGACGAAGTGATATTTGTTTAATCTGGGGACACTTGGTCGTTGGAATTGTTCGGAGATTATCACATCCAGTGAGTTTATTAGCAAAGTGAATGGTGTATTTTTTAGGCTATTGGTGCCCTAGGATGCTTGAACTTCAAGCGTTTGTTGTTCGGACGACTCACTAGTAGAAAGTGATATTGTCAGTTTGAGTCCCTGCATATCCAGTGACTGGCTGGCGTACCGCTTTATTGAGGATTCATCATGCTAGTTTCAAGCGCGCATGGATCTCAAAATCCATCGGATGACTCTTCTCGTAAAGGTAAATCGCACAACGACACGACAATCGATGTACCAGAGTGTAAGTTCTCTATACAAAAATTTGAATACCGATTCCGAGAGCTGCTATCTCCATGACCAATTTTAAGAGCCTCTTTCGCTACGGGCGATGTTAATTTTCACTTTGGTGACCGAAACGATGTCGGCGACACGATAATATTATATGAAAATTAACAAAAATAACAGGAAGAAATCTACGTAAGCTGGCAGAGACAAGCTACATGTTATAGGTGACGTTTTCAGCTTCCATCAGAGTTTTAAAACCTTACAAATACGCAAATCGCCACCTTTGACCGGGCAAACATTAATTTTTCAACCTACGTTCACCACGGCGTGAAACGCGCCGGTAAAAGCACGCAAATACAATGAAAAGCTCGCCTTAATAAACCCACGCACTATGGCAGACGAGAGATTCGCCATATAAAGCTCTTGTTTTGTATGTCAGAGTCTACGATCACGTGACATCCAGCAACCAATTTCTGCCAATATAGCTCATTTTCCAGAGCTCACAGCTCATATAGCTCATCGCTCTCAAACTTATCAAAAAACCAGCGCTATGAGCTCCCTCAAACAGTTACAGCAGAAATCCGCTCGCAAGAAACAGGTTTACAAGCCTATCCTCGACAACCCGTACACAGACGAAGCCCACAACTGGCCCTATGTCGAAGACCAACCACTAGTGGCCGAATTGGTTCGTAGTCACGTGACCGAGGTGCTTCGGCACGCTCCCGAGTCTCTGGACGCGCGTTTTGGATTCAACGCCGTGGTCAAGTATTTGGAGCAGCCAAGTTTCGAAACAGTAGCAGCAGATGAACCGTCCCGAGTATTCCTGTTCGTGTGCAATCGCGATTCAGTGCCCAGTGTTCTGTTGGCCCAAATTCCAGTGCTCGCCCGTGTATCGCGACGTGACGTCGTATTGATTCCACTTCCGCGTGGGTTCGTTTCACATTTCGACAAATGCTGTCCTGCTGGTCAGTACCACGACGGGCTGCTGCTGGTGGTTCAAAATACCGACTTTGACTTGCAATTCGCTTCTCAGTTGACTCGTCGAGTCGGTCACGTGACTCCAAAGCCCTGGCTCAAGTTTAACGAGTCCCGCATAGGCGTAGTGGCATCAGAGGTGTCATTGAACGCGAGATCTGCCAAACCAACCAAGTAATTGGTATGAGCTGTGGAAATTATCTGTTATTTTATGGATAACGCGCTGAATTTCCACCTTTTTCTGTTGGCCACATTTTTTTTTTTCACGCTCATCGCCCAGCTCAATTCTAGAAATATCCAGTCCTACTGACTATTTCCATTTTTGAGTGTCAAAAGTACTTCAACTATAAAACCAGTCGTGGTCAGTGGGTCTCAACGGCTTTTCTCGTCTCTTGAGAATTTGATTGGCTTTAAATTGAACTAGTTTGAGCCTGCTTTTTTTACCCGACAAAAATGGTGGTTCTCAATCCTAACAACTGGCATTGGATCGACAAAAACACTCTTCCATGGACTGAATCGTACCTGCAAAATTTGCCCGCAAAAGTCTCGTGTACATCTGTCCCCGATGCTCCCCACACAGTGCGGGTTGTGAAACTGGACTCTGTCTCGGGAGATTCAAACGTCTCGCAACGCAAAGGTAAGGTCATCTGCTACTTCGATCTCAACGTTCAGTTCGTGACGCAGGTCCTGGCGACAGAATCGGACACCATGGTTTGCGAGGGCAAAATCTTGGTTCCAGAGCTAGTACACGATGAAACGGACTTCGAGATCCGTGCCGAGGGCTTTGGAGACCACTACACGTTGGTCAAGGAACAACTGATCCCCAATCTCCGTGCTGCGCTGTGCCAATATCAAGTAGACCTGATTGAACAGCACTCCAAGGACGTACAACAGTCGTGAATGTCCATGTCTGTCGCAAGAGTTCGACAGTGTCTCTTTTTTATGAACAGATATCCAAGTGTGTGCATGTACTACAACGAAGAGCTCTAAATGTACAGCGTTATAAGAATAGATATAAGATAGAAGAGAAATCGACATATAAAAATAGCAAGAAGGCGTGCTTCTAGTAAACGTACGGCACAATCTTGTAAGGGACTGCAGACTCGTACTTCTTCCAGTCATCTCCATATTTTATCTTGCACAAATGCTCATCTCTCTGCTGGCGGTGGATCAGAAGTGTGGCAAAATACAACGAATAGTAGTATGTCAAGGGCGTCTGGAAACCGGTGGCCAGACACCAGCTGAGCGAGATCAGCCAGTCACCAAAATAGTTCATATGCTGGGACATCCCCCACCAACCGTCACATAGGAGCTTGGTGCCACGCTTGGTGTCGATACTCTTGAGGTGAGTGAGCTTGCCCTGACGGAAGTCAGACTTTTGCTTGTTGGAAGAATGGAAAATGTAGTAGCCCAAGGCCATAATGGAAATTAAGAAAGCCAAATATGGACGTGAAAAGGTGATGGGCGAGACACTCAAGTAGCGTGCCTGTAAAGTGTAAGTGAATGGCACCAAAGCCAAGTCTCCAAACGCCAACATGTAGCCAAAGCCATCAGTGGTGATGTCCATCATTGTCAGACACCCTTCCTCGTTCAAAACACCGTCAAAGACATAAAAGCCCTGCGCCAAAGTAACGAAAAGAATCGCATTGTTCAATTCGCCCGTCTGCACGTAATGGTGGTGGAGACAGGCCACATTGATCAAAAACCATAGCAGCAAACCTGGACGTAGCTCGCAGAACAGCTTGAGATCCAGAGGGCCTAACCGTGGGTTCAACTCGCGCCCGATGAACCAGTCGTAAATGATGTTTCCCGAGTTGCCGCTGACGGACAGAACGCGCTCCTTGGTGCCCTTTCCATTTTTTTTCATCAGTGGAACAAAGCTGAGAGCGTACAGAAAGAACGACATTAAAAACGAGAAGATGATTGTAATGATGCATAAATCAGTCTGGTTGTCGTACAAGTACTGTAATTCTGGCATTGCGCCCTTGGTCAATTGCCATCTGATCCCCAAAATCGCAATTAGGGTGGTGGTTAGAGCTATTCCGTTGATTTTGTAACGCAATTTAGTGCCATCTCTTAGCTCGACGCCATCCACGTTGCGGCCCGGCAGAGTTACGTCGAACAATGCCAGTCCACCAAACCACGTCAGGTAGTAGGTCCACAGTTCACGGTTGGTGAGATACCACTTCAATGGCTTAATGTGGTTCCACAGCTCTGCTATGTCGAAGTTGGAAAAAAGGCCCGTAACGTGGTAATCAACACGGACCATTTGGTTGAGCACAACGCACACCAATGGCAGCCCAAAAGTGATTGCTAGAACTCCGGGAATTCCACTGAACTCATAGCTTGTAGTCTTGGGATTTAATGGCCCAGCTTGTTTTGACATGAGAGTTGTCCTTGATCTTGGTTTTTGAAAGACAGTTTCAAGGAACTTTGCTCACACTCTTGGAATTCACTCTTTTATGGATTTTTCAGCTCAAACCCTACTTGCAATAGATGGATTCCAATTTTTATATTCCAACGCGCCCTGCTCGTATAATTTTCAAGCTGTTTAAGCGACGATTTTATGCGGATTTTGATCCGTCAAACAGTGTTGGCAGAAGGTGCAGTCCTAAACTTAGTTCTGCCCTTTATACAATGCCAAACCTCACTTTCAACATTCAGCTTTGGACAACTCTTGGCTAACGCATTCAATCAAGCAACAATTGAGGAATAGCAATAATTTCTTGACATTTCGCTCGCAATCCGAAACCGTTAGGTCCAACACTAGACTCGGAATCGGATCCATCAGCTCTGCAGTAGCCATGTTGCTGAGAACGAGCACGCCTTGAACACTGTCGATCCATATTCCGTATTTGAGAGTTGCACCCTTTGGGCGAGCTGGGCAATGAGACCTTAAATTTCTAATGCTGGAGTCAGCTTGGACGCAGCCAAAATGGCGAAATTTGGCTGTGAAGTCAGAAAGCAATCCACCCACTTGAAACGCCAAATACGAGTCCCAAAACTTGGCGACGAGTTGTGAAAAGGGCGCGAAGGTCACTTGGTGGCCCAGAATTTTGTTCCAATGCCTCCATTTGTAGACAGTGTCGTATATGGTATCGTTGACGTAGCATTGCAGCAGACGGGACACGTTGACACCAAGATAGGTTGCACTGCTGGGATGCTCGCGAAACTTGTAGGAGTCCAAGATTCGCACAAACTGTTGCGTGTACTGCCGCAAAAGATATTCCGTTTTGAACTGGTCTACTTTGATGGTCTGCAGGATCTGAGGGAAAACCGAGACCTGGTAGTATGGTCTTGTGGTCTTGGTAGCATTTGGTGTTGAGCAAACGCGTACCTGGAGAAATGTCTCGTAGTCGGGAGCTTGGTGGCTTTCAAAACACGACTTGAAAAGCTGGAAGGGCGCGGCACACTCTCCGATTGCCAGGGTCAACCTCAGATCTTCTGAGCTGCTGTTGAGGACCCACAACAAAAACGCCAATTTATGATTCCCACGTACACTTGCGCTCTGAATTGTGTTTACGAAGTGCAGAGGCGGAACCAACGGCGCCGACGATCTCACCACCAAGGGCAGAGCCAACGACACCACTGTGTTCTCATTGGACTCCGGAAAGCTCCCACCAGCGACCAATGATCTGTTTGGAGTCTCGATAAACGTGATCGCGTCGTCCATTGTCTACATAGACCAGTAAGCCACAAGCGGTACAGAGCCTGTGAGGATACTGGGAAGCTTGAAAACTAGTAAATATGTAACTCTGTATAAAGAAATAAAGCTATGTTAAGCTTATTTCTTGGTTTGTTGTATGTTGTTGTGTGTTGTTGTGTGAATTTCAGGAGTCTGAGAGCTGAGCGGCTATTTCTTGTAGTTTTGATCATTTATTTTTGAGCATGTGACATTTATCGCTAAATACGAATTTGATAGGATCTCAAAATTCCAATTCTACTCAGTGCTGTAGCCAGCGCTGGGATGGGACTTGTGAGAACAACTATAAAGACTTGCAATCCCTGGACGTTTGAGACTCAATTTCTTGAACTATGCGCCAAGATTGTGACTACACGAGATGCCTGGATGGCTTGCGCGAATTGGAAGCTCAGCTTTTGGCTGACCCGTTTTCCGGCAAAAGCGCAGCAATGATTTCAGATTATGCCAGTTTGATTCGATTGCTGGTGGTTATCGTGGCCCAACAGCACCGTGGTCTACGGCTTTCGTGGCGTAAAGGCTCTGCGTTGAAAATAAATAGCGAACAAGACTTTTCGCCGTCAAAAAATGCCACCGATCAGATCGCAGAAGTGGTTAAAAGCATAGACTTCGTTACTGAGCTGGAAAAGCGATTTAAAAGAGCACAGACTCAGAGCCAAGTAGATTTCCGTTTGCGTCTTAAGGACCTGCAGATCGAGGCCTACGAGAAGTATCGGCAGGAATTGAAAGTGCACGATGACGATAAAAAGGACGGCGACGACGTTGACGGCGACAAAAATGTTACTGGCGTCGCCACAACAGCATCTGGTGAGGTTTCTAAAAACTCGATAGCGCAACCTGAAGACAAGAAACACAGACTGCTGTCGACGAACAAAAAAATCACCTCATCGTTGGTCAGAACGAGCCACATGTTGCGCAGCTCGGTGCTGCAGAGCGAATTGAACGTATCAGAGATCCAGGAGCAAACTGCGTCCCTCTACAGACTCAACGATCGGTTTGATTCACTTTCTGGGGTGTTAAATACCTCTTCGAAGGTCGTAAACGTCATTCAAAACGCATCAGGCCAGGAAAAAAGGCAAGTCTACTCCGGGCTGTCGTTTCTGGCGCTCTGCATAAGCTGGGTATTGTGGCGACGTGTATTCAAGCTGCCCGTGAAATTGATGCTGTGGCTATGGTTCCGGTTTTTCCGATCGATCTTGGCGCTATTGGGGGCCGTTCCAAAAGTCGAGGTCGGCTTTGAGCCGGACTCTACGGCTGCGCTTCTCACAGCCACTACCACAGGTACCACGCCGACTGTATCGCTGGCGACAGTCAGCGACGCTGTGCTTGAAACCGTGAAGAATATGGAGGATCCGTCCAGCTCATTGGTGACGATGGTGGGAGATGTTGTGGACGATGCGTTTTCCAGGCTACGCGACGAACTGTGAGGGGGAGGGAGAGAAACAAGAAGGAGATTTTGATGGCAGCTGACGATACTATGGCTGGAGACTACAGCCGATGGGGCCACCAGGGACCTGAAGAGGCATCGCGTCCTAATGCACGTGACCCGAAGGTTTTTTAACTCACGTCAAGACAGCGACTGTGCAAACAAGCGATTCCCAGAGTGAGACCTCAACTAAACGCGATCTAAAGAAAGAGCTCTCAGCGTCTGCCGCTTCCCGAGAACATCACTACACACGTACGTCGGTTTTTGAGGGCACTTCAATAGTCTACAGCTTTCAAAACCTGCTAATCTAATTGCAGGCTTACACTACCGTTTATAATAATGCTCGCAACACTCATCATATAGGTCTCGTCTCTCATTGTTTGTTCTTCGTAGGAATCAAAGATATAGGTCTAACAAAAGCTCTAGTCGATTAGTTTCCATAGATTGTTATTAAATTGGGTCCATGGAAATGCGTCTTTGTACTCGTCTTTGTACTCGTCTTTGTACTCGTCTTTGTACTCGTACTCGTACTCGTACTCTTTATGCACGTTTGCCGAACTTGCGTCAAGGTGCCGTGCGTTAATTTCTGACTACGTTCGTCCATAGCGACACTAAAGTTCGCCGAGCCTGCATATCACTTAACACGAACAATATATATTCTCTTACCTCCGCCTTAAATCGTACCCTCCCTCTCCATCTCAAAACTATATAAACACCCCGGCCAATTTCAACCGCCCATCTTGATTCCTCAACCATGGACACCACTTCTCTAATTTCTTGACCATCTGTCTTCTCGAAAACTACGGGTTGTTTCACATGCTGTTTATTACCATAAACTGCGCCCAAAATTCGAGCTAAGAATTCTGGCCCGCCACCCGTGGCGACAGCCGATAAAACCCCACCGACCAAAAAATTTTCTTGCTAACTTTGAACTTCATAGTACAAACTCGACCTCACAAGGACGAAAGTACACAACAACAAATATTACAGCCGCGTCAACAAGGACCTCTCACTGTTCACCGCGACTTCCCCCGATAAAATTGTATAAAGGCAGTCAAAAGTTGTGTGTCTTTGGCGCTCAGCACTTGAAAGATCGGTTTTTTTAAATCGATTCTAACACCAGTGCACGCTCATCAGAATGGCTCAGCACCAATTCACTGAGTACACACCGGAGAATATGGGCAAAACAGGGCCAAGTGGCCGTCGTGGCAGCTACGGCACGGCAGCTAAGACTGCAAAACAGGGCTCTGAGGCCAGTGCAGGCGTTGGCGCCAGCACTGTCCCTGGCGAGCCCGACTCGGACTCGGACGCAAACTCTTTCTCACGTATTCAGATCAAGCCCGTCAACGACGAAGACGACACCTCGGTGATGATCACGTTCAACCAAAGCGTGTCGTGGTTCATCGTGTCGCTCACTTTTGTCGCATCCATCTCCGGATTTATGTTCGGCTACGACACCGGTTACATATCCAGCGCTTTGGTGTCGATCGGAACCGACCTCGACAACCGTGAGCTCACGTACGGTAACAAGGAACTCATCACCGCTGCCACGTCTCTCGGAGCGCTCATCAGCTCAGTCGTGGCAGGCACATGCGCCGACATCTGGGGCCGCAAACCGTGCATCATGTTCTCGAACGTTTTGTTTGTGATTGGTGCTGCGCTCCAGGTCTCAGCTCACACGTTCTGGCAGATGGCAATTGGCCGTCTGATCATGGGATTCGGTGTCGGAATCGGCTCTTTGATCTCGCCCCTATTCATTGGTGAAATCGCACCCAAGATGATTCGTGGACGTCTCGTGGTAATCAACTCGTTGTGTCTCACAGGCGGCCAGCTGATTGCCTATGGGTGTGGTGCGGGGCTCGATAAAGTTCACAACGGCTGGCGTATCCTGGTGGGCCTGTCACTGATCCCCACATGTATCCAATTTGTGTGTTTCTGCTTTTTGCCCGATACGCCTCGTTTTTACGTCATGAAGGGTCGGCTCGACAAGGCCGCCGAGGTCTTGGCCAAAAGCTACAACAGTGCTCCACAGGAGCTCATCCAACAAAAAATCATCGAATTAAGTTCTCTGAATCGCACCATCCCTGGCAAGACTGTTGCCGTCAGAGTCTTGAACACCATTAAGGAACTTCACACAGAACCTTCAAATTTCAGAGCGTTGGTTCTTGCCTGCGCAATGCAAGGTATCCAGCAATTTTGCGGATGGAACTCGCTCTTGTACTTCTCAGGCACCATTTTTGAAACTGTTGGGTTCAAAAACTCCGCCGCAGTTTCTATTGTTGTTGCCGGTACTAACTTTGTCTTCACATTGGTTGCGTTCTTCGCAATTGATCGCATTGGCCGTAGAGTTATTTTGCTCATTGGGTTGCCCGGAATGTGTCTGTCCTTGGTCGTGTGCGCGATTGCATTCCATTTCATGGACGTTCGTTTCGAAGGCGGCGGCAGTGCCGTGATCAAAGACTCTGGATTCACTGCTTGGGGGATCGTTATCATCCTTTCGATCATCTGCTATGCTGCGTTTTACGCCTTGGGAATTGGTACCGTTCCATGGCAACAATCGGAGCTGTTCCCACAAGCCGTGCGTGGTGTGGGTACATCTTACTCGACCGCCACAAATTGGGCAGGTTCTCTCGTTATCGCGTCTACATTTTTGACAATGTTACAAAACATCACACCTACCGGGACGTTTGCTCTTTTTGCCGCTTTGTCATTGGTTTCCTTCCTGTTCATCTACTTCTGCTACCCTGAGTTGTCGGGTCTTGAACTCGAAGAAGTGCAGATGATTTTGAAAGACGGCTTCAACATCAAGGCTTCGCAGACATTGGCGAAGAAGCGCAAACAACAAATGGCGGATCAGAGAAATGCGGCTCATGACAACGAACTACAAGGCTACAACAAAGCTAAACCCTCAGACGAGCTGATGGAGGGGTGATGATGATCACTAAGATGATGATGATGATCACTAAGATGATGCTTCTACTAATTTAGTCGAAGACAGGGAAAAGTTTAAAAAAGTCGGTTTGAAGCCCGAGCTAAACGGTGTTGAGTCACCAGCAAACTCACCTCAGGGAGAAGAAAGAAACCGCGGGCCCATGGCTACCCAAAAAGACGCCGTTCGTAGTGTTTTTCTTCATTTTTCTTCTGGTAGTTCTGGTGCAGTATTGAGTTGCTAACATTAGTTTAAAATAGAAAATAGAATTACTTAGATACATTTAAGAAACTTATGGTCAAACTTATGGTCAAACTATAGTTTTCGGAGCTTGCAATACTATATGGACGTCTTCTTAACTTTGAGTCTCATACTCCAATCTTAAGAGTTATCACTTTTAGCCAAACTGACGTCGATTTGTAGATATCACTCTGTTCCAAAATGACGTCGGGCTGATATTTTCCCATCTCATAATTAAAAAATTTTAGTCCAGGCGATGAGCTGCGATCCTGTAGACTACTGTAGAAACCAAAGCAAGCTCTGTACCGATCATGGCTCCAATTACTGCTAAGAAAAATGGCAAGAAGCATGCTCTCAAGCTAAAGGATACCAAAGGTGCGAAGAAAGCGAAAGTCGAGGTGAAATCCTCGTCTTCCAGCGATGAAATTGCGTCATCGTCAGACGAAGACGACGACGTTGAATCAGGCGTTCTTGATGGTGAAGAATCCGAAGAAGAAGATGAGCTAGACGAAGTTTCCGAGGAGGACGAACTAGATCAGGAATCTGATGAAGAGCAAGCCGAGCAGAAGGAAGAAAGTGGTTCTGATGATAACGAAAACGAAGAGGGCTCGAGCGATGAGAAGAAAGCAGGCAAGGAAGGACCAGGACAGCATGCAGAACAAAGAAAATTGTTGAAAGAACGTAAAATGCAAAGAAAATCCGGTGCCGAAGTCCAGCAGATCAAATCGCTGTGGGAAAGACTGCGGGTGAACAACCCACCTGTTCCAAAGCCTGTACGTGAAAAGCTGTCCAACGAAGTCTGGGAGCTGTCCAAGGACTGTATTAGTGATCTAGTGATGAAACACGATGCCTCGCGTGTTGTGCAGACGCTGGTGAAATACTCGTCCAAAGAGCGTCGTGAACAGGTGATCAACGCGCTTAAGGGCAAATACTACGTTCTGGCCACTTCGTCGTACGGTAAGTACCTATTGGTCAAACTACTGCATTACGGAACCAAGCAGTCGCGGCAGGTGATTATTGATGAGCTGCACGGCTCTCTCAGAAAGCTAATGAGACATCGTGAAGGTGCTTACGTCGTGGAAGATCTGTACGTTTTGTACGCTTCGCAGGAGCAGAGACAGCAGATGCTTCGTGAATTCTGGGGTGCTGAGTACGCCGTTTTTAGAGACGCTCACAAGGATTTGACTCTTGAGCAAGTATGCGAGAGTAGCGCAGAGAAGAAAAACATTATCTGCAAAAACTTGATCGGAACCATCAGTGCATCGGTGGACAAGGGCTCCACCGGATTTCAAATTTTGCATGCCGCTATGGGCGAATACGTCAAGATTGCCGGTGACAAGGAGATCTCAGAATTTATAGAGGTGCTCGAGGACAAGTTCGCAGAGCTGGTACACACCCCAGAGGGTGCCGAGGTGTGTTGCACCCTAATAGCGAGAGCTACTGCCAAGGAAAGAAAAACTATCATTAAGAACTTGAAAGACCACGCGGACAATCTGATCAGAAACGAGCATGGTAATACCGTCTTTGTCACTGCTCTGATGTGCGTGGACGACACAGTCATGATGTTCAAGTCGTTCGGACCTGCTATTAAGGATCGTCTGCAAAGCATTGTTGTCGACAAATTCGGCAGAAGGCCTTTCTTGTACATTCTGCTCGGACTAGACGGGAAGTACTTCTCTCCTGTCGTCAAAACCGAGCTGCAAAAGTACATCAAACTGTCGGAGAACACTTCTAAGAAGCCATTTGAGCAGAGAAGGAAAGAACTTCTAAACAAGTTTGCCCCAATGTACCTAAGCACCATCGCCAAGTACTACGACCTAATTTTGGAAGAAAATCTCGGGTGTCAGTTTATCAGCGAGGTTCTTGTCAACGACGAGTTTTACGAGCAGCTTGGTGAACAAGACAAAGCCAGGTTCCAAGAAGTTATCGACACTATTATCGCCTATTTCAAGGGTGACATCACGGATGAAAAGCACCCAATTCACAGACCTTACTCTGTTAGACTATTAAAATCTTTGATTCAAGGCGGGAAATGGAATGCGAAAGAGAAAAAGCTTGAACCACTGCGTAGTGTCCAAGGACTTGGACACGACTTCGCCCAAAAGTTCTACGAGGACATCATTGACGAAACTAATCTACTGGATTGGATCAATAACGTCGATAGTTCTTTCACTGTCGTAGCGCTGTATGAATCGCTGTCGAAGGCTGGAGATAAAAAACTCACAAAAGACTTGAAAAAAGTGGCTAAAAAGATCGATCAAGAGAGCAACAATAACAAAGGCGCTCGTCTACTCGTCAAGCTCATGAACGAGAAGGCCTAAACCCTCAAGTCAACCTGTACATTACATATAGAACCAACATATTGAAAGATATCATCGCTTTCCACGAATTGAGCTATAAGCTCATCACAACTCAAGAATACGCACTCCAGAGTAGTTCAGTAACAACATTAACCACGCCTTAGATTGTCCTTCAAAGTCCTAGTTTCCCTGTTATGAGCGATGAGGAGAGTTCTCAGCAACCAAAAGATGAGGACGCCAAAAAAGAGCTGACAGAACCCGAAGAGAACAGTTGCAACGCAACGAATGATGAAGCTCCAGAAGCTGTCTTGGATGAAAAAGACAAACTCGAGGCTTCGAAGGGGCCATTGGCATTTGAAAGCTTGATTCAGAATTTGCCGGCTGGATGCTCTCCGATTAGTTGTGATGCAGATGATAAAAATCTTTATTTGGGAACTCAGCAGGGCGACCTTCTGCACTACTTCGAGTTGGAACCGAAAAATTATATGCTAGTTTCCCAGACAAAGTTTGACCCTAACCAGGATGTACCAATTGAGGCAGTGAGAGTACTTCCGCTTATCGAAATAGCTTTGGTCCATTCTGGAAAATCTCTGCACTTTTACCTCTTGCCAGAGTTTGCACCAGTACCAAATATGGGCAGTATAGCCAATGTGAGTGACTTCCAAATCGTACGGTATTCTTCGAGCTCAAATTCGTATCAAGTCCAAGTGTTTGGTTCAGAAGGCGTCAGAAAATTGAATATCTTCAATAAACGCGTCGCAACTTCCGATCTGGCCTACTCTAAGCCTGTATCTAGGGCGAAAGTGCATCGTAAGTCAATGATGGCTTCAAACGGGTCTAATTACGAACTCATAGATCTGAAAACGGGTGACAAATCACCTCTTTTCCACGTCAGCGAAACAGGTGTTGATTTGAAACCTATGATCGCTGCCTACCATACTGACGAGTTTCTTGTGTGCTGCGGAAGCTCAGCAACGGACAATGCAATGGGTCTTGTCGTCAACTGTCAAGGTGATATTACACAAGGAACCATAGTTTTCGAAAGATATCCCTTGGACATACTAATCGACCTTCCATTTATACTTGTGGATTACGGAGAGCTAGGAATCTACGTCTATCAGGTAGAAATGAATAATGAACCTAAAATTGTTCAAAAATTTCACACTAACGCGGAAGGCTCCAGGCTACGACTAGCGAGGAGCACGAATGTATTTTCATTCGATAAGCCTGAAAGAAAACGGCAGATTGTTGATAAATTGAGGCTGGTACCTCTTAGCCTTGGAACTCATGAATTTCGTATTGATCAAGAGCGAAGCTACGTCACGAATAATTACGAGGAAGTGACATCCTTGTTAATATACTCATCTGCCGGAATTTACCTTCTGAGCAAGGAGCCCATCATTCTGCAAATTTCCGATTACAGTGAAACGACTATAGAGAGAATAAAAGAAATATTACAAACATACCAAAACGTCAACTACATCGGAACATTTCAAAAGCTAAATATACACTACCTGCGTTTATTGCATCTCCTTTTGATAACTTTGCATTGCCAATCCATTGACCAAAAAATTGTCTCGGAATGGTGTTCAAGCGCTTCGCAGGTGGACATACGTGTTTTTCTTCGCTTGTGTGACATTGAGATTCTGGGCGACCCTTGGGTTCCCAACGGTCTGGTTAACTTTATAAACGAGACGCGCTCATTGAAGCTTTGCAATAAGTTCTTAGACTTTTTACAAAACCTCGCCCTCATCCGCGAGAAGCTTCGGGAGGATACATCATGCTCAGTGAAGGATAGGGAAAACCTTTTTCGCAGCATCGATAGGGCAATTGTAAAATACAGCGTCGAACACGAGCTTAATGTCAACATAGACCAGTGCGAACCAGACAATTATGCAGATTTATTGCCGCTGCTAAAGATGAAAAGGGAATTATATGGCCCGCTGATCTACGACATTCATCTCCGCATGGGCGACTATCCGAATTGTTTGAACCTTTTAAAAGAGCAAGATAACGGCCCTAAAATTAGCTCGTTCATGTTGAAGCACTTCGTCGATCTGCAGTCCAATGACAAATACAGCCAGAAAAACTTGCTGACGGACGTTGTTTTCTTGATAGAATTTACAGCTAGCGGTGCTGATCGTGAGATAATAATGAAAGATGTTATAGATATCATGGAAAACGCGAAGCTCGATGCTAAAGATTTGGTGACCATAGCAGAGAGAAATCTCACAAAGGTGACAATCTTGGAGACCTTGGGTTTCAGTGATGTCAGCGATAAGCATTTCATGATAGACTATTACATCTCGAACGTTCAAGAGGTAATGGAGAAGAGAAATCTATGGGATTTATTTGCTCAGTTATTGGCCTCCTATACTCAAGACTACGATTATTTGAAGCCGGGCTTTAGCTCTTACTTAGATCTCAAATTGAGTGCAAATCCTGAGTGCAGTGGGTTGTTGAAATACTGTGAGAAGTTAAGAGCGTTGATATACGCAGAAAATGACAGACTTGTATTTGATGCTGTTGTCGAGCGAATTAGAGAATTTGACATCGCCGACGTGCTCTTATTTTATTTGATATGTGATGAAGACAAGTATCTTATCTTTGAAGGAAACTTGCTGGACAAGTTAATGACCTTCAATGATTTTGAGACTATCGACAAACTTCTTACACAAAAGGATGTGGTTAAGGTATTGAAATTCTACTTGAGCCTAGAGTCCGAAAAAGACTCGTCCATGCTGGTGAAAAACCATTTAAGAAAGCATTTAAACATGGTGACTTCCTTCGAAAACTTGGTTGAGATCTTAAAACTCATTCCTTCTGACTACGGTCTAGCGAATGTGGCAGATGCCCTCACTTCTGTACTGGTAAAGTCTAGATCGACCATTACTGACCAGGAATTGCACAAAGCATTGTTAAAGCACCAGTTACAGGCTAGCGCCCGCCTGCTAGAGGGTTTAAGGGAAAAACCCGGTATCTTGGAATAATTTAGTTTCGTTACTTATTTACATGTTTATGAACGTAGTACCAGGCTTTCATCGATCTCTAGTCCGCGATCAGCTCAAGCCCTGAGTTGAGAGACGGGTTGGAGACCGGAGCACACGTTGTATACGAGATCTTTGTCGGCCATATCCATGTTCGATCTCTCTAAACTCAACCTCACAAGATCGCTGTTTTGAACGAGCTCACCCCTCTTCTTAGCGTTCTTTGATAGGGTTGCAAAATCTTTTTCGCTGGTAGGAGACAGAGGAACATACTTTCCCTCTACCATAGTCTCAAATTGGCTCACATCTGGAGAGACTACTACATTTTTGAGCAGTTTTTCTCTACGCCACGCCACGGACGAAGCTGGAGTATACTTTCCAAAACTGGTGACATTTGGACTGAGAGAAACGTTGCGAGGCTTCTCAGATGGCGAGGTGGCCAACCCTAGGTTGATAGGGCGAGTAAGCGGGAAGTCGTTTTCCTGCAAAGTGAAAAGTCCGTATTTGTTTAACTTCGAGAAAGAGCTGTGTGACAAATTTGGAGCGTATTTCAACAAGCCGAGAGGTGTTGGCTCGTCAGGAGAATACTGTTCAGAAGCAGCGGACTTCTTCGCTTGAGCGACAATTCCCTCCATAGTAAAGGACGCGTTCGTGAGACCTGGAACAGTACGCTGTCCCGTGCGAGGAGCACGATTTCTTTTTCCACTTGAATTCGAAAGCTGTTGCGACTTTCTTGTATTAAAGCGGGCGCCCTCAGAGGAGTCCAAAGCGTCCATGATTGCTGAGTTGTTTGACTGCATCTCGCCAGTCGCGCTTGCACCAGCACCGGCTCTTCTACGCCTGAATTGCGGTTGTCTGTTGATTAAAGTGGCGTTGATTCCAGGCTTTCCGGACCCAGATGGTCCAGACATGTTTGAGTCGTTGATCACAGGACCTTGGTTGAAGTTGGCATTTCTCGAGCCTGCTTTTTTCCCATAGTTGTTCCTTCCACTTTCGTCGTTTTCTCTAGCGCGTCTTGGAGCTCGAGATCTTGGATTTGGCCGGTTTTGAATTGGTTTCTTGGCTGCAGTTTCTTTCACTCGCTCTAGAACATTTTTCAGGAAGTCCTGGGAGATGGCGCCGCTATAAAGCCTTCTTGAATGCCCAATTTTTCTTGGCACAATCATCGTGGTATTAAAGACTCTGAAGATAGCAGAAACAGCCTCTTCCCTCTGTTTTTTGTTCAAAACTTCTGGTATTTTGCAGTTCAAGAATTTTTCAAAAAGTGTAGAAGCTGATATGTTCAATTATGACAAGTACTGACGTCAAACAACGTTTGAGTCGTAAACGAAAGAATGAGACGGTTTCTGCTCAAACGGAGAAATGCAATCAGTTTATAGATATAATTTTGAGTGCTAGAAGAAGTTCGGCGAGATTTGAGGCCCTCCTGCTGGTCCAAAAAACTCACTCTTTATTAAGGCGAAAATAATGGATTATTTGGACTAGAACTACTTTTATATGCAACATATTCCCACAGGCTTCTTGATGATAAGAGCATCATGATGGAATAACTGGGATGTGCTCTTCTTCCCTCCGCAAAAAGTGATATCTGCAGGACGGGATACCAACAATTAAACCAGCGACAGAAAAAAGTGCACTTGGTCTTCAACTCTCAAAGTGCGCTTCTCCACGCTTGATCCTGCGGTAATTTATCTTGCGATTCTCCAGTATTGGTTCTAATTCTTGAATTGCAGGCCCATTCTTGTCGCTGTCCACCAATACGACTTGTCGAACAAGGTCGATTGGTATATCGTCAGGAGTCAGATATACATCATTGAGGGACTTAAACAGCTTTATCTTGCTATGCAGATCCTCAACGTTGAGATAAATGTAGACGTTGCTGGATAGCCGCATCCCACTAACCACACCGTCGTCCAAGCCAGTAATACCTGAGGCCAAATGGATGTGATTTCGGCGCATTTTCTTAATGCATTCAGACTGGAGAATAAGATGCAGGCTGTTGAAGTTAGTGCCATGGACCAGCTTCGATGGAAGCTGTTCTTGGGAGCTGATTTTCTGAAGAACTTCGTCCGAGGGAGACACCGACTTCAAAGAGTGGCCCTGCGTGGCACATATGAGTGCTTGTCCGTTTACAGACTGGATGTGAAACCGTTTCTTTGCGTTGTTAGCGACTACTCGATCGATGTCTGACATTTTGCAATGCAAGCTTTTCAGTCTGTTGTGCTGCAGTAAAATGTCGACAGCGACGTAACCGTTGTTGTCTATTGGAAGGCCCTCCTTAACAGCACCGTGGCGAAGAAGGTAGGCCAGCGATTTGGAGATCTGAACATCGCGTTTGTCTTCGGCCATGGTTTTCGTCGTATTTTATGCAAGTCACCATGAGCTACATGTAATATCAGGAATACAGCTGAAAACCTGTCCTTCAAAAGTTAGTTTGTTGAAGAGACATATGATATAAGCCGAAAAATCATTGACATCTGATGTGTCAAGTTCTGTCTAAGTATCACTGCACATCTATCTTGCTGTAAGAATAGTTACTTGATTTCTCTTTGTATATATACATGTATTTGTAGATGTTGATTATCAACAACAAGTCCGAGCCATTAAGGGACCTGCTAGCTTCCCAATCTATTCATAAAGCTTCTGACCACCACCGCAGCAGCCACCACCTTTCGCAACAAGCGTTGCTTTCGCTTTTTTCACCGATTCGTTGTCGCCTAGCTCGGTTTCGTCGTGAATGTTAAGGGCATATTTGTCGCCCTCGAGCCTCTTTCCCTGCACAATATTGCGTCTCAAGAACTGTGCTACTTCGTTAAGGTGATTTATCTGCTCCTGAGGTGACAGTTCTGGGTTTGAAGGATTGATCATGCCATTTCTCATTTGAGATCTTGCTGCCAATAAAACGCGAGTATCTTGGCTAAAGGCGACTCTCGTGGCGCGCAAACCGTTTCTGTAAGCCGCCAGCGCCGAGTTACGTGTGCTCATAATGTTTTTAAAGCTAGTTGAAAACCTGGGAGTTGTAGTTTGACGCTTGGCTCAACGCCAATGTTCATGACCTTCGATAATTCATGCTTATTACTTAAAATTTCAAGCACTCGATGTCACGCGATGAGGGCTATCTCGATATTAGAGATGAGTGCTTCAGCTCAACTTTGTTGTCGAAACATCAATAAACAAGTATGTTTGAATGGTGTACTCGAACTCTACGTATCATTGCGGTCAGTTTGATACCAATAATGAACGTTTCAACTCAAAGGAGAGGGTTTTTGTTCTTGCCGTTGTTTTGGGTTCAAAATTATTTGAGTAATCATATACTTGGAACCACAAGCTCCAGAATTGAAGTTTACCATTGCCAAAACTTGGTCGTCATCTGTCTGTAGCGTTTCTGAAGAATCGTCATCGGAAAATGTACTGTTTCTGGCCGAGTGACGCTACAGTATAAAGTGACAACTTTTTAGTAGTAATGAAGGGCATGGCTGACCAGAGCATGAGCTGCAAACACCTCTTTTGCATAACTCCAGCTGCATGGGACTTCGGCATTGTTTTAGTGCTCACAAAACGCATAGTTTTTAATGCTATCTTGTTTTGCCTTCACGGATTTCTCCCACAAAGTAAGAGACTAAAGAACTGGGAACATAGTAGTATATGTCTTTGTCTATAAAAAAGGTTACACTACACCGCCTTCAAATTGAGAAGGCTCGACGAACTGATACCCGTGTGCATGAAAAAGTAGGAGCCGATAAGAGCTCTGAAATGACATATGGAACCCAGAACAACGAGGACGTGGAACAATTGATGGCTGTGGCCTAGATAATCAAATTTGCCAGGCAAAAATGCTTCGGGCAGCCTGAATCCGTAGACTACGGCGCCTGCAATGTAAAAAATCGCTTCCCAGAACACAAACCGCAGTTGAACTCTCTGGGACGACTCCTCCACCCCAAACTTGATGAGTCCGGTCATGATGGGCACAATCCCACTGAAGCCAAACATCACGAAAAATGCGGCCCGGAACATGCGCCAGCTCTTGGCATTGAAGCGGTCATTCAGCACAAACGTTGCGCAGAGAGAACCTAGCACGACCACTGCGATTGTAAAGACTTTGAAGTATAACAGGTAGTCGTAGAAGCCATAGTACAACAGCGACACAATCGAGCACGAGATCAAGAAGATGATCCCCATGTAGTCCACTTTACTCCAGATATCACTATGTGTCTCGGAATGTTGCTTCATGCAGTGGAAGAAAGTACTGCACATGAGACACAGGAACGCACCCAATAGATAGAAGTTGATCATAATATAATCGGACATCGAAGTCGAGGGAAGTTGTGGAATCAGCACGAAATCCGTGAAAAACAAAAGCAGTCCCAAATACGTGACGCTGGGTACCATATGTGTGTAGATGTTTACGGTTTCGTTGTGAAAATAAAAAAGTGATTTGACACATTTCATTGAGGATTTTGTTTCACGCACATAGCCTTGTAGAATTTTATCGTTGTCGCGTTGCCATTCAGGTAATTCGTTGTAGCTGCACAGCTTCGGATTTGCGAATTTCTTGGCATTTCTTTCTGCGCTATTGAGCTGAGTTTTTCTGGCTGTTCGGCCGCGCCGCTGTTTGACCGTGCAAGTGGTGCTCATTCCTACAGGCTCTATCAACGCTCTGGTCTTGTTGGGACGATCTTGAATTGGCTAGGGACACGATGACAGTGTCTTTTATATTTAAAGGTTTCAACATAGCTTGAATTTTGTTGAGTTTAATTTTTCAGCGTCAGTATACGAGCCCAGCGATGACTTTGGACCTTTGCAAGACAACGATCGGGAGGACTGTTGGCCGTCTGAGAACGATGAATCTGAAGCTGGAATTTTTCGCCGAATGCTGTTGAAAATGGCTTTTAAATGAGACCTATAGCGAGGTTATAGAGCAACATTTGGAACTTAAATGTAATTATCACTGCTTGACGTCAAATGTCCGCTACCAGAGACATTCAACAGATGTGCATTTGTGACCCCCCTCCATTAGTATGCACTTTTCTCTGAAACCGTTGGGTGGAGCTTTTTCAGCACGTTGAGCACATTTGTGGACGGCGCCAGATACGATTCGCGCGAGCTATGCAGCGAAAGCGGGCGTTCGCCATCTTTGATTTCTGGAAGCGTCACAGAACAACTGTAATTGTCTTTCGTTGTAGAGCTGGCATTATTTTGGGACGATAGTCGGGTTTTGGATCTGCAAGACCTACGAAGCGCACTTCTGAGCCGACGACCGAGCTCGAAAAACCGTCTTTTGGAAGCCTGCGGTTTTGACTCATTACTTTTCACATCTGTGGACCCCTGTGAGGCCTCTGTGAAAGCTGGAGAAGCACAGCTCTCGGCACTGGATATGGACTCGCGTTTCAGGCCATTCAGCAGCAAAAGAAAATCCAGCTGTTCCGTGTCGTAGCTGTATTCCTGAGTGCTGCGTTTTTCAGTGTCTAAACACCCGAGCCAAGTGTTAGATTCCGAAAGCCAGGCTCGTAACCTTCTGCGGAATCGCATGCGACTCACATATTCATCCGCCTCGCGCGCAAAGCTCGCTGCTAGTTGAGTGGTCATAACAAGCCAAAATCGAGCCACGGACCAACAATCGAGTCATCACAAACTGCGAAAACTACAAAAGCTAAACCAACTACACTCAATGCACATATGTCCACATTTTGTCAACGTCCGCTGGCAAATGCTCGAATTTCTGAGTGACGCAAAATGTCACAGAAGACTATACAAAAATCATCCGTTTAAGCCCAAAAAACTACTCAGGAAAACGTGAACGCTCTAGAGTTCAGTTCCAGGGCAATTGACCCGTCATAAAAGCTTTGAAGGGCCAGTTTGTTGGTTTCCTTGTTTTCAACACTCTCTTCTCACGAATTAAGCTGTAATTATTAAATTCAAGTTAGCAATTCACTACTTCAACACATTGACAGAAAAAAAAGCTGGCTATTTCAGAGGGTAGACTTCGTCCTAGAGTCATCAAAATAGTATTCATCGTGTGTTCAAACCTATGGTCAGGTTTGGTGCCGTTTTCGAAATTTCTAGGTACGAGATCAAGGCAGAAAGAACGCTTTCTAAGCGTTTTTCGCATTAACCCTTTCTTAACGCAAGACAATGTCTTTAGACTACGGAAGACCCCTCATTCCAGAACATCAGAATGGGGCCAACCTAAGGCCACATCTAGACCATCGTTCTGCGTTGGGACAGTCTGATATTTCCGTAAACTCAGTTCCAGAGGGTTTCAAATCAGCCAAAAATCATGCGTCCTCCAGACACTGCTACGGCCAAAACTTGCCAAGGCCACCGGTGGAAAAGGCTCTCACTGACACCAGTAACTTTATTCAAATTCACGGCAACTCTCCTGGGCAATTTGAGCCTACAGGCGAGTCGGACGCTATCAGTTTGAGCAGCGGGGGGAATAGCAGCCCGAGCAGCGCACGATCGAGCTCAGAATCGTTAGATGCGTCAGGCACTGGCACGGCCACGGTACGAGAAATGTACATGACGGAAGCAATGCGCAAGAGACGCGACGAGTGGGCTGAAAGGGGTGCCGCCAAAATAGTCAAGGAAATAGTCAATCCCGAGACAGGTGTCATGGCCAAGCACGTCATCAAAAAGGGCATCAAGGACTTCAAATTTGGAGAGGTTCTTGGGGATGGCTCGTATTCAACGGTGATGCTTGCTCGCTCTAACGACAGTGGCAAGAAGTACGCGGTAAAGGTACTTAATAAAGAGTACCTTATTCGCCAAAAGAAAGTGAAATACGTCAACATCGAAAAGAACACACTGCAGCGATTGAACAACGGGAGGGGCGTCATCAAACTATACTTTACTTTCCAAGACGAAGCCAGTCTATATTTCTTACTAGAATACGCCCCGAACGGAGATTTTCTCTCTGTAATCAAGAAATATGGCAGCTTGGCTGAAAATTGCGCCCAGTACTACTCCGCCCAGATTTTGGATGCTATAGATTACCTCCACCATATGGGCGTTGTGCACAGAGACATCAAACCTGAAAACATCTTGCTGGATAAAGATATGAAGGTAAAATTAACAGATTTTGGCACCGCCAAACTGTTGGATAAAAATGATGGAGCAGACAACTATGACCTCTCGGAAAGGTCTAAGTCGTTTGTTGGCACTGCTGAGTATGTTTCCCCCGAACTTTTGAATGACAACTACGTGGATTACAAGTGTGACATATGGGCATTTGGCTGTATTTTGTTTCAAATGATTGCTGGAAAACCTCCCTTCAAAGCTACCAACGAGTACTTGACGTTTCAAAAAGTTATGAAAGTTCAATTTGCATTCACGGCAGGGTTCCCGCTCATCATCAGAGATTTGATTAAGCGCATCCTAGTCAAAACTCCCGAGTCAAGACTCGATGCAGCACAGATAAAGAATCATCATTTTTTCAGTACCACCAACTTTGATGACAATAGCGTATGGGAAGATCCTGCGCCCCCACTTCTTCCATACAAAGTAAGCGCAAAGGCTATGCAACCAGTCTCAGCACTCGACAAGACAAAACCTCGGTTGGTTATCAATATGCCAAAGAAACACAGTCGCGCGCAGACTCCCTCTGCGCCATCAACGCCCGAGCTCATCAACGAACCAAAGTTCTCAGAGCCTGTTAGAGTTCCATCAGATGCAAGAACTGCTCAAATTTTAGAGAATGCAAAAAGAGAAATTCAGAACAGGCGCCAAAATAATAGAAGAACGACAAGCGCAGCGTCCGCGGCTGCTTTGGCGCTGATGAAGAACCCTTCTAGATCGTCGCCATCTCCGATCTCAAGCAGATCGGAATCGCCGCGCACTGCCGTCACAGAGCATCCTTCATCTCCCAAACACCCTCACACGGCCCCTAGCACCCGTTTGGATAGGACACATACAGCAACACGTAGTAATAGTGAGCCTGTTTCCACTCCAGCAGTGCCGCCAATGAACAAAACCGATATTTTGTGGTCATTCTATCTCAAAAATATTGACGAACGGGTTCTCAAAACGGGTGAGTTGGAAATGACATGTATGAAGACTACTTTGCTAGAAAAGAGATTGAACAGAGCAAGCGCATCATTGGTAGACTTTGAACGCAACCCTCAAAGAACTACCCTCCTGTCACAAGTTGCAAGGTCCGGAGGGGGAGTGACAGGTTTCAGAACTGAAAGCGCTCGCGACTATTTGTCCGAGAAAGATTACTATTTTGAGTGGTCTATTTCGGATGATGTTATTTTAGACTCTTACAAGAAGAACGAAGCAGAAAGCAGTGATACACAGGCGGTGTCTAATAAGCTCAAAAAGCTGTTCCATTCGAAAAATGAGGAAACCGAGAAAACTGTCGAGCCTTTCCCGTCAAATGATTTTTTGAGAAGAGTCGTCGTGATTACATCTTTCGGCCGTTGTCTGATTTTTGTCAAGAGAATCAAAATACAGCCGGAAACAAATCTGTTCTTCGACCTAGAGTTTGACATCAACCTGTCTCAAAAGGACGTCAAAATAAAAGAGATTACTGTCGAAGGAATTAGCTCCGAGATTAGCTATTTGCAATATGTGGTGGAGACGCCTTTCAAATCGTTTGTGTTCAAGTGTAATGCTGGTGACTCGACTTGGTTGTCTTCTTCACTCAGAAGCGTTAAACTAAATCACGAAAGACTGGCTGCTAAAGGTAGATCAGAGGAAACAAGCAGTGTTGCCAGCAGAGCAGCCCGACTTGCCAGCCCAACGATAGCATCCACATCGACGTTTGCACTAAAAGCTTCTCCTACTTTTGTAAAAGCGTCTCCGAAGGCAACCAAATCTAAGTCACCTGTAAAAGAGCCCACTTCCGTTGCATCTATGCTCTCCACAAATGGATCCAAATCGGATCGACTATTTGATACATTTGTTAGCAGCAAGGGTAAACAAGGCAAGAAGATGGCAAAACCAGTGCCACTATCAGGGAAGCTAACCAATGGACTGCCTTCAACTGTTTCGTTGACCGACAGGTTACACGAAGCCACTGATATATCTAGTTCGTATGCACCGTCAAGTGCCTCTAGACCTAGTCAAAGATCAGGATCATCGGGCAAGAGCTCTAGGTTACTAGCGAGATCAGACCGGCCGCTCAGGAAGTGATTAGATGACCATCGACTCAGATGATATGCGAGGCATAGGCTGAATGTATCTTGCAAATTATTCGTAGAAATCGTTAGACTCTATGCTAGACTACTTACTAGGTGACTTTAATACCCGATCGCTCTTGCAGTATTGGGCGATCTTCACTGTCGAATTTCTTTCGCGAGATACGCACATAGATCGATGTTTGTGGAAAGCTAAGGTTGTACCTTGTGCTTGGTTTTCTGACATCAAAAAACCACCTGGAGTAACCACGATCGAAGGTATACACGACCAGTGCGCTAGTCTTGTCCGCGCCAACTTGAATGTTGCTACGTTCAGTAAGTGACGAGTAGCTTACAGAGAAATCTTCTTCAAGCAGCACCCTCGCTACCGCTGTCACTAATTTCATTTTCTGAATCACTTCTACTTTCATTTTCAGAACCACTTCCACTTTCATCTTCGCTTTCGTCCTCAAGCTCTTCGACAACAACTTTATAACCCTCGCTTTCCATAAATCTTTGGACGGACTCCAGCTTCGCAGGGTGACAGCTCACAAAAACGGTTGCAGTATCCCAGCTGAACATGCGCATAAAATATTTCTTGAAAACTCTTTCGACATCTTCTGCTTGGACTTCCCCAAGTTTGCTGAGAAAAGCCTTGTTGAAGTTGGGTCCTCTTTTTCTACAGATATCGTCCACATATTTCATCAGCGCGGCAGAGAAGTAGTCAGATTCACTCGAAGCAATGCCATTAATGATGCTACTCACCGCACCTTGTAACAGTTGCGACTCAATCGGGGTTTTTCCTTGCGCAAAATTTTGAACAATGGATCGGGCCGTTTTGTAGCAACTAATGATGTCTGCACCACGATAGACAGAAAATCCCACTGCATCAGACTCTATCATTTTGATAATGTTAGCACCGTATGCAAGGCCAGATCCACGTATTCCCTTCCAGAATGGGCCCTCCACGCAGCCCAAGTACTCGGCAGCAAGACATATCGCAGCATAGTCTGGGTGCTTGTAGTCAACGTTGATGTCCAAGCTGGTTGCAATTGTCATGTAGGATGACTCTGAAGCTGGTGTAGTAATTACATGTGCTATTCCCTTGGGGCGTTTTCCAAGTGGAGAGAGCGAATCGACTAAGCGTGGAACTTCAGGGTAGTCCATGATCGGCGCACTTTGGCGAGAGTTTTTAGATGCAAGTTCTAACCATGGTGTGTACGCATCGCCAATTTTTTCAATGCCTCCTAATACAATAATGTGGTAGGACTGGAAGTCTTGTGCCATCTGCTCACGCATAGCATTCAACTTAGGCAAAACATCTTCTTTAAACTTGCCGTCGTCAATCTGATCAATGATATCTTCAATGATCTCCTCCACGTATATAGCGTCTGTGGACTTCTTCATCGATCTCGAGGTGTAGAAGTTTCTATTGAAGAGAGAATCCACCATGAGATCACCCTCTCTCTTAAGTTCAACAATCGAGCTCCAGTATTTTTCCAAAAGGACTCTGACCCTTTTTTCATCAAAAATCATGTCAAATAGACAGTTCTTTATCCATTTAACAGCATTCTCGTAGTTGATAGCCTTAGAGGAGATCTTGAACTCAAGAAAATCAGGAAAGCCACCGCCAAGACCCAAGTCAATCTCAGAATCGACAGTTTCTGATTTAAGGTCAGAGACAACCTTTTCAAAGGCGATAATGGAGCCATCCTCGGCTTTCATAGGCATAGAGAAGAGCTCACACACGATATGGTAAAGAGGTAGCAATTTGACGTCGCTCACCTTGAAAGTGTTGAGCAAAACGCGCAGCTCAATAAACTGGGATGGGAATTGCTCGAAATGCAACGAGAAGGGGAAATTTGTGGGCTTGGCTTCGATGAGCCTTTTTGCCCACGCTGCCGAAGGAACATGAGCCGATGATTGGACAGTAGAAATCCCCTCTGTCTCTATCAATGATACGCTGTTTTTTGCATCCGCGATCGTAAATTCTTCCAGTAAAGATGCGGGAACCTTTTTTGAGTTATGTGCCACTGCTTCGCCTAGTCTTTTTCTAAGTTGGGCGTTATCTTCCTCCTCCAAATTCTGTTTCGCGTTTTCAGTTCTTTTTTCTTTGACACCTTCCAGATGTCTGTACAGAGCAGCACTGGGTTTCCCTATGATGATTACCGGCTTATTGTCGATAAATATTGTGTTCAGCAGTTCTTGCCATTGCTCGAGAGACCACTCAGAGAGTGCATCAAAGTCACTGAGATCTTTGAGAGAGGCCTCCAGAATTTTTCCGTGAACATCACCATAGATAAAGTCTGTTATGCAAGTTTGACTCAAAACGGTGAGCCCATTTTTCTCGCATTTCATAACGTAATCCCATCTTCCGTTCTCTATTACCTGTTTCATGCGTGAAAGGTCAATTTTGTGACTTTGTAGAATGTCGAGAATCTTGTCTTTGGCTTCATACATCCGTTTAACAGGTACACCATGAAAATTCAAGTTGACAAGTGTGCGCATGAAATCATCTGTCCAGTACTCGGCCAAGTTTGCTAAAGGATCCTCAATTTCAACAAGCTGATTATTGAAAGGAGCCAGCGCCGTTTCTGTAAAGTAGTCCATTAGGATCGAGACCGCTAGATCGTAGAGATGTTCGACATAAGGTTTCGCGATCCAAGACATAAGAATTTCACCTTGGGATTCATCGGCTTCCGGGAATTCAATCTCGGAAAGGGTTATTTCCTCTCTTTTGGCTGGTATTTGAGAGAGTTTGGTATCCAAAAACGGCCTGAAGCGCTTGCCTTTCAAGATTGGCAACGTTTCGTCAAACTCTGACACAACGGCTAGGATTTCCTCCTCAGAAACATTGCCCGCGATAATGAGACAGAGGTTTTCTGGCGAATACATGTCTTTGTGAAATTTACGAATATCATCGTTGGTCAATTCTCTCAGCTGGTCTGTTAAGCCACCTGTTTCAGACCGATACCCACTACCTTCAGCAAACATTTTTCTCTGTTTCTCCCAAGGCATAGTTATAAACCAACTCTGAGACTCGATTCCTTCCATCTCACTGAACACTACACCTTTCTCCTGCAGGTCTTCCGGGTCGACGTGGTACACTTCGGTTGTACAGGCATGATCCGTTAAAGTTGGATTTAACACATGGTCCAGATAGACAGGAAGCAGTTTTTTGAAGCCTGGCCACCCTGCTGAAGTCAAAGTGTACACTGTTTGGTCAGTAGCCGTCCATGCGTTCGTCGATGACATACACAGATTGCCTGCTGTATCCAAAAGACCCTTGTATGGGTATTTGTGAGAGCCCATGAAAACAAGATGCTCTAACGTGTGCGGAACACCCGAGTCCGTAGCGCATTCTGTTGCAACGGCGAAATAGCCTTGTACCAAAGGTGAAGCTTTATTATGAATATGCACTAACTGAAGGCCAGAACGAGACGAAATAAACTTGGATAGATGATATTGTGGGGCGTAGTCCAATTGGAACGACACCAACTTGTTGAAAACCATTGCCTCTGTCTATTGTTTTGGCACTCTTGCAAAAAGTTGTGAGTAGTTCAACGTTTGATGGGAAAACTATATCAGTTTAATTTCTAGAATATACATGCTAAGGACCTTGAAGGAAATTCGACCCAATGGCGCAAGAATAGAGCCCTGGGGACTGCTAACGAGCTTCATCGATGCCGAGGGAGTTGTGAGAGGATCTGTACCGTTAAAATGAGACTTTTGTGATGATTTAGCCCTTCTTTGTCGTAGAGATGTTGAATAAACTGATAGTCATCTTTCAAGGCTTCGAGAACATAGCTTTGTTGAGAAGAAACCTATTGAAATAGACTTGAGTGCTTGGACTCAAGGAGATGGTTTTAAATGTGCTTTATGCCGCATGGTCCTCAAAAAATGCCCGGAAAAGTCGCTTATTGCGTGTAGGTAGGCCAGAGGTAGAAGCTTGACAACTCACTTGGTTTCATACTGAACAATTGAAAGCACAGAGTGCCATTGAAGGCAATTTATGCAAGCCCCTGTAGCTTAATAGGGTAATTTTCCAGTATGTTGAAAACTGATCCCTACTGTATGTGCTATTCGACAATGCCCCATGAGCGACTCTTCCAAAGTATCACCTAAAGAGATTGTGTCAAGAATGATGAATCTATTCTTCGACAGGCATGTGGTATTGCGTGAATCACTGGCCTCCGTGCAGCCCTTGACGAAGCTCTGGCAAAGTTCTAACAAAAAATCGCATATGAAGACATCCTGAGAGAACCATGGATTCGCAACTTACTTTTCTGCAGCTTCCTCAAAATTGCAGAAGTTCTGAGAGGGGCATCTGAATTATAAACTATGGCAAGTATTAATACCTCTCGATCGATAACACCATTGAACAAATGAGAAATATTGTTCAATCTGATCGCGAGTAGCGCCTTCTCATCAGTGAGATGGAAAGCGATATCATGCGGAGAGTCCGAAAGCAAAAGCTACCTAACGAGTAGATTATCTATATTCCAAAGGTAACCGTTGGCGTAACTTCAAGCAATGAAGGTTTTGTCGTGCCATGCTGTCAACTATCGTGCCCACAGAGGCAGCCATTACTTAAATGCGCAAGGGCCCAGTCTTTCACCATTAAGGCAACAAAAGTGCTGAAATGAAAGGTGGGCTCTTTGATCAGTAGCGGTTCCAATGACTTGCTAATTGCAAGTAAATCACAAATAAATGCTGATGCAATTTTGCTTTATCGTGGAGGCCGCTGTGGGGTCCGACCCTAGCACCTGTTTTGCAACCTGACCGTGGAAGCATCCTTCCCATGTTGCTGATGAACAACAGCTCGTACACCGAATTCTTTCAGACGCCTACAAAAAATCATGCTATTTTGGTACAGGTCTTTCGGTTGGAACTGTTATCATACCCTTTTGTTCCATTGTCCGGCGCTGGATGATTTTAAGCAATTCGTAAATTAGGGTGAGGTATGGTGCGGGTATGCCCTTTTCTTGGGCGATTCTTACGGGGTTTCCGTTGATCACTTCTATCTCAAGCAAGTTGCCCTTGCGAATGTCTACCAGCATGGATGGGCTATAATAAACGGGATCGTCAGAACGAATCATGAAGTCAATCACATCTTCGGACAGCTCGACCCCGTCAGATTTGGCAATTGCAATAACTTCTCTCATGGCCTCGCGAATAATGGTGTCCACGCCTCCGAAAAGCTCGAGACGCCCAACGTCCACGCCAGTCAGTGCACACACGGAATTCAAGCAGGCGTTGTAGACCAGTTTGCGCCATCTGGAAAATTTCACGTTTTCGTCAAATTCGCAGTCATTCCGATCGTTAGAGTAGAGATCAACAAACCTGGTACAGACTTTTTCCAGATGCGCGCGATCATAGTTCTCGTTTTCAAAAAACCCAATTTTTATCGCGTCCTTGCATTCGTGCTCTATGTGCCCATTTTGGTTTGCAGATCCGATCATGCTGACACCGCTGAGAACCACATTATTTGGGAAGCGTGCTTTGGCCTCAGCCTCGATCCCAATGCCGTTTTGGACCAAAACAATGGCTGTGTTGGCCGTCACTGCAGGTGCAATGACGTCGATCATGCTGGCCACCTCTGGGACGCATTTGGTGGCTATAATTGCGAAATCAAACGGCCCATATTTTTTGCTTTCCTCCACGCTGTTGACCACATGAGAAGGTCTGAATGCCGCGATTTGGCCATAATCGCACGAATTAATGGAAAATCCTCGTTCTACGACTCTGGAATAGTCCGAACGCAACACAGACGTCACGGCTGATTTACCAGCATATTCCAATGCATACGAAGCTATCGTACCCACGCCGCCAGAACCAATCAACAAGATATTGCACTTTTCGGTCATCGAAGAACGCTCTACAACTGAACAAATATTGTAAGCTGAGTTGGCTTAAACGCAACGTAAAAGAACGCTGAAAGGACCTCTAATCACGCTGAACAAACAACTACAACATTTAAATAAAATATTTCGGCGGCGAGTGAGAGCGTGTGACAGAGGGCAATATGATAATCAGCACTTTTAAGGCTACTTGGAGCGAGCCAAATCCGAAGTATTTCTGGATTCTATCTCATCGGTAAACGATGGAAAATTCCGTTATTGACTTTTCAGCCTGTTCTGTATCTTGAATCCTTATCTCTTTCTCTTTGAGAATAGATAAGCGCTTCATTTACTATCACATGATCATCGAGCATTCTGTTTACGTAATGGTGCATAAAACGTAACGGTCCATGTGACACGTGTCTCCCTGGTTGTTGGATCTGACGTTGATCCCGCCAAGAGACCAGACCAGCTAGAGGTCTGCTGTCGTGGCAAGTACCAGATTTGATAGATTTTCTTGATGAGCTCTCTGGGTCAGCTTATTGCTCGTGTCGCGGGTCTTTAGGTTTTGGAAATCCTTTCTTTCGCCTTCGCCAGTTCGTCTCGCTACAACTACCACCAGCATGTCGTAACACCCTTGGCTAGAAGACTCCAGCACAATCAAACCAGCTTTGTGAAGAAACTTCTTTAATCTTTTCTAAGCTGAATTGCCTCCTTTCTAAGAGATGCAGAGGTCCAAATTACGGTAAGGTGCATGCTTTTGATCCTATGGGTATCCAGATTGCCCCCAACCGAAATGCAGAATCTCGATTCTGCAGCTTTGAATCGAGTCCTGACAGTGATTTTTCCTCTGGCGGCTGAAATCACATTGCTGTCGTGAGCACCGGAGATTCAAACTTCGAGCTCCTCAGCTAACAGCTGCATGGTGGTAAAATTAACGAATTCCAAGCTCAAAGGCGAACTTAAACTCTAGGTTATAAATTACGATGGCCTTTTGGGCTGTATTTCGACTAAAACATGGTGCTGAACACACTTGCATGTCCTCCCATCACGACACCTTCAACAAACGCAGTCCACTGTCTGACGCAGCCGAAAAGACATTTGGCTGGTATGATTGGAGTTTGTCGATGATGATCGATGACCTCGGTCCAGGAACGGCTTTGAAAGACAAATTGGCAGCCTGAAATGTTTACCGGGCAAAACCATTTTCCACGAGCTCATAAAGTGTTTCTCACGATGGTAACAAGTCTGAGCAGTCTCCCGTTTGGCATCTCAATTTTGAGCCCACTTCTGGCTCACCAAAATTCTAGTCTTCACATAGCTGGATACTACGTTTCGGTGGATACTAATTTAGTTTTGGCATTTTGGAAGGACTTGCATAAAGTGCGTCAAGATGTTCTTACTCATCATAAATAGGATTTGAGAAATGAACACACAGGTATCTCCAATTCCTACCTTATGTGTGCAGAGAGTTCTATAGCACGCTAATAGATTATCTTTGCATTTGAGACATGAGACATAGAGTGTCACATACTCACTACTTATACCTACATAATTCATCAAAAACCTGATTCCAAGGACATATGTCCAGCACGAGAGTTTAGCTTCTGCTAAAGGCTTGAGCGCAATGCTTACTTACACAAAAGCCTTGAATTCACCCCAGTTGGGATCGACGTACCGGTGCACGCCGTACTTTTCGTGAAATGCAGAGATCGCCTGCGTATCTTCTGGTGACAAAGTGAACGTCTTAAAATTCGACTCGATTCTCTTAGGGTTGGAAGATTTGGGCAGGACACAGTAGCCACGGGCAATACCCCAGTTGATAAGAACCTGTGCGGGCTCGGCTTGATATTTTTCTGCGATTTTGGAGATTTCAGGATCGGACAGCAGCGACGACTTCGAGGAGCCTAGTGGGCAGTAGGCCTCAACCACGATACCCTTGGAGTGGCAGAACTCTATCAGTTCTTCCTGAGGAAGTTGTGGGTGGATTTCGATCTGGTTTACGGCAGGAACAATGAATTTCAGCTCGGGTTTTAGGATGTCCTTCAAGTTATTGATGGAAAAGTTCGAAACTCCGATAGCCTTGACTTTGCCACTTTGCACAAGTTTCTGCATAAGCTCCCAAGTCTTGACGAAATCCCAGTCATCCAGGTCAACGCTGCGTTTGCCGTCGAATGTTTCTGGAACCGTCAAAAAATTGCCGTCCTTGATAGCGTCTGTTTTGAGTGCCACAGGCCAGTGCATTAGATACAGGTCCACGTAGTCGAGCCCCATGCGCTCCAACGACGCATTCAAAGCTGCTTCAGGGTTTCTGTGTTGCGTGCTCCATAGCTTAGTTGTGACGAAAATCTCGCTACGGGGGACGCCGGACTCGTTGATGGCTTTTCCAACAGGAACCTCATTGCGGTACATGGCTGCAGTATCGATATGTCTGTAGCCAGTTTTCAATGCGGCGATCACCGAGTTGTAGGCTTCCTCGTCCGAGGAATCCCACGTTCCGAGACCAACTGCAGGAATTGTGGCCCCGGTGTTCAATTTGAGAACAGTTTGAGAAGACATTGACAATTTTTGGGTGAGTGAGTTGAAAAGTTGCGAATAGTTATTGATGAATCAACCAAACGATTCCCTATACACTGTCGATCTTGCAAGCTGTTTTTATATTCCAAAAACTGTGGAAAATTATAGCATTTAGTCATCGGACCGATTTTCTACGAGCAAGAACACCCGGACTTTACAGCTCCGAATATCCACTCATCTTCAGCGTTCACTTTCAATACAAGAACCGCACCGTTGCTGATTCATTGCAATTCTGCGAATATTCGAGCTATTACAAAACTCATTCCAACGCCTTGATAAGAGGGAGCCCATGACGTATTGTAGAAATAGCATAGTAATTTTTAGCGGAAGTCTGAAGCGGTGTGTGAGCTGATTGCCGTTTTTACCACCACATTTCCGCGTGCACGGACGATACTGCTTTGAGTAAACAAAGAAAACAGAAATGGCAATAGAAGGGCTACGAAAGATTTGAAAATTACAGGTCAAAGATGTGCTAGAGGCTGTGAATGAGAATTAAGCTCGTGAGAAAATCAAAAGTGACATAATTAGGATCGCCAGGTTTGATTTACATTTTAATCTGTTAGTGAATGATGTTCATTTGAGTTTCTCGTTTAATAGAACTTATATGAGCCAATTAGATTTTTCATTTGTATATCACTTTGTCCTTTGCTGACGCGAGATCTTGGAATTTGTATGAAGTGTTGTGGGGTTGATCAAGGGTACTTGGTTCATGGCTTCTTCGCTGGGTTTTGATTGTGATTGGAATGTGTCAATGGACAATTCGTGGTTGTAATAGGTGTTGGTTTTGTTATTTGAGCTTTTGAAGATTTCCCGTTCTTGAAGTTAATTTTGGTGCATAAAACACTAAACTTCTTTAATTTCTGGTCTAGAAAGAGTGAGCGCGTCGTTGGCCAGAAGACTTCCTGGCAGAAGCTTCTTCTTGGCCAGATCAACAGCCCACAAAGCTCATTGACAGCAGCAGTAACAGAATATAATCAAAGCCCTTGAGCTCTTTAACTTTAATGGCAAAACGATTGTTATTAGTATACAATTAGTAGTTTGGCTGACATTGGCTATATCAGCCGGACTTTGTTGTCCAGTATTAGGTCTCTCACAACGTTGTAGCGCATCACGTAGATCCCCCCAATCGCGAGCTCTGCTTCTTCTTGCAACTCTTGGATCGTAACGGAGTAGAATTGCTGGCCTGTTTCTTCGTTGACGAGCAGCAGTGAATCTGGGTCCCGCTGCGCCCGGTCTGGACCGTTTACGTACACGAAAACAAACCGACTCCACTCGGGCTCCTCCACCATCTTCACAGATCCCTCGTTGTCGTCCACGGCTTGCAATTCTGGCGGCATATGGCGCAATATCGAGTTATTTAGTAGCTTCAGCAACATCGTGGAGTGACGCTCGTGGTATCCCAGTTCCTGGCGCGACAACAGCTCATCCAGAGGCACCGCGGCACCAGCGTCATTGAACTGGCGCAGGTACAAGCTGTACTTGTCGATTTTGGCCAGTCTACACCGCAAAAAGCTTCGCAGTACGAACTTCAGACGCTCTAGGTCTGCTTCCATGGCCAGCAACGGCAGTTTGCTTGTCACGGCCCCATTTCTGCTGTCTGCAGCGTTTGAGACCCCCGCTGTGTCTTCCAAATACCCCATGGACAGACACTCGATGTGTTCTAGTTGTTCCTGGACCCTGCGCAGCGTTCGTTGCATCAGCAGGTGCGGGAACGGGAGCAGCTCAGGACTCATTCTTTCATTTCTCCAGCTTGTCATCAGCCTTTCGAAGTCTTTCACGGGCGATGGAACTGGGAAATGGCCAAATTTCTCGGTTTCAGGGCCGTCTGTTCCCAGAATCGTAGTATCGTTGTGAGATTGCGAGATCAGCGAAGACTCCACAGCCGTGGTATCTCTGTCCAAGTCCGCGAGGATGTCATCAATATCGATGTTCATGAGTCGATAGAAGTGGATATCCAACGCCAGTCGGGAGCCTTTCAAGTGTTTTTGGTGTTGTTGGTTTTGAACATCATATTCGTTTTATAGATGTACTAGCTCAAACTCATCTGGTTTTAACCAAACTCATCGCGAAAGGAGAGAAGTGGTGATGGATATTCTCGAGGAGAAGCGAAAGAAGCTACGGGAGCTCCGAGAGCGGCGACAGCAAAGCCGTGGCCCGGTTTCAGCGGACCAGCGCGACGATTTGGCGTCTCATTTGTTGAGTTCCAGCAACACCGAGCATTTGGCCAACCCTGTTGAAATGATAAACATCAGCACGCAAACCGAGGGGCTGAGTGATTCCAAAGAAGACGTTTTAGCTCTCCCGACAATTTTGACCTACGAACAAGCAGTTCAGACTGATCCAGTGGACTTGACAGAGAAAAGTATTCAACTAGACAGCGAGATCGAATCTTCAACAACTACAACAACAGTGAGCAGCGATGAAAATAGTTCCAGACCAGAACTTGCCGAAACTTCACCGCACTCTGTGCGAATTGTGGAACCTTTTGTCATCAACAATCAGGCCTTGACCGTTGGTGTCAGGTCGTTTTCCCTACTGGAGGCCCTGGACAAATCAAAGGCATCATTGACAGAGAAGGAATTTCGAGACGCCGAGCATTTCTGCATCTCACACACTTTAGGCTCCAAAATTGAAGTTAAAACCGGGATCGAAAATAGGTGCGTGTGGGTCGATTATTACGCAGAGTTGGCGCTCGTCGTGTGCCAAGACGCGAGCGAATCGTCACAGGGCCCGGTTATTTCGTGTACCATGGTTTCGGTTTACAAATTTAGCACTGGTGAACTTGTCGACACAGTGGAATTCAAGGGTCAAGCAATCCTGCGGGGCCAGTTTATACGCAGAAAAAGATCCACGGTGACATCTGCGCTTCTGACCTCCTACAACGGCAAAACAATCCTGTATGAAATTCGAGCCGTTTCTCAGCCAGATGGGGCTCTGAACATCGAGAGAAACCTTATCGTACGCAATTTTCACCACTATCCCGTCTTTGCACTCTGGCAGCACCATATAGACAGCCCCCGAGTGCTTGTCGGTAGTACAGATGGCAGTATTAGCGACTTGGACATCTTGAAAATGGATTTTTATCAAACTTCAGACACAGATGCACATTTCAAGATCTTGCCAGTTTCTTCGTCTTCATTAATCCTTACCGATGACTCCAGTTCGGAGCTGCCGTCAGGGTTTCGAAAACAGCTTCAGAAACAATCGTGTTACGATGAGACCGCCATCACGTCTCTGGTCACCATGCCGCACGACCCTACAATAATTTATGCGGGCTGCGAAGATGGCGGGATCTACAAGATTAATTTGAGTGACGTGAAATCCGGTATTGTAAGAATCGATACCGAAAACAATGGCTTTACCCCACCAAATGCGGGAGAGAGCGAAGACATTTTTCATACTTTCCCAATCACAGGACTTTGTCAGTGTGTGAATGCACCTAACCTGCTCTTGTCGTTTGGCATGGACTGGGAGTGTAAGATATGGGATGTTTTCAACAATAGAAGGCTTGCAACCATTGAGCTAGATTATCCAATTATTCGCGGCGAATGGGTCAGTTACGAAGACACCTTTTCTATTTTCATTTTGACGCCAGCTGCATTATCGGTCTACAATCCCATGGTGACGCTAGAGTTTACAGAATCTGGGTCGATTTCCTGGCGAGTTCTAAATAAACCTGTCGAGATCTTCAGCATCAACGTGTCGCATTTCGACGAATTTACCTATTTTACCAGCTTCACAGTATTGGAAGAAAACGGGCAGTTTTATGCGCTACTAGGAGGCGACTGCCCTCATCAGTTGTGCGTTCAGGTCAATATGCAGAGGTAACGGTAACAATGACAGGTGGGGAAACAAGCATCTGGAAAGGACAAATATCGCAGTGATAATGGCAGGACCCGAAAAGCATTGAGATAGACACATAAACCTAACAAAGATAATGAATTGAACATTAATTGGGCTATAATAAGTCAAGGTAGGCATAAATTTACGTAGTGGGGCCATTAAAGATGCGGGGATAAGGCTGCTGCATTTGGCCATAATAATAACTCGAAGATTTGATTCGCGAATACGCTATAGAATTACTGCTTTTCAAATTTTAACGTGTAATTCCCTGAAGTTATCACATTTAACATGATGCATTAGCATCGGCATTTCTACGTGTCGCATAAAAAGAGAGTCTTTTTGTAGTGCAGCGAGTATCTCAAAATGTGACCCCACAAATTGAGCAATGACATGAGCAAAGCAATTGATACTGAGAAGGAGAAGCAGACTCTCGATCGAGTCAAGAAAATAGCCATGTTACCTTTATGGACGCAGCAGCATCTCTCGAAAGTGACAGATTAGTACAAAATGATGTAACAAGAAACCTAAATTAACTACCAGAAAACCTTGGGAAAACATTACAGTGAATGGTTCAGCGAGAGCTTGGCCACGGCGTTCTTAGATTTGAGATTATTCGTTCTTATCGGCTTCTTCCATAGTTTCGCAAATGACTTTATTCAAATATTTGGGACAGAGTTGATTTCAATCGTACAGAGGTGCCTGTCGATGATGATAAGCATATAAAAGCTCAGCTGGTCGAAATATACTTTCCAGACTTCTTGGTCAAAAAAAACGCAAAAAATAAAGTTCCTTCCCCGCCAGGACTCGAACCTGGAATCTCCTGGTTTCAGAAGTGGATACAATCGTAGCCAGACGCCGTGACCATTGGGCCACGAGGAATAAGAAACTTGTTGAAAGAGACGACGATGATAGTGGTACATATATGTGGTTAGCATAAGGAAGAGGTCCCGTGCTGAACGGGCTCGCCAGTACGAACTGAATGACAGTGTCATCTCTCGAACTTATGGCCACGCAACATTTGAATAATCACGACTTTATCTCTCTACCTGTTCAATAGCCAGTAATTAGCTTATCCTGTAGTTTTATTTTGCGTTGCCGCAAGAGATTAATCTTGAGGATTGCAAAGTTAAGTAATCAATTCGAAACATGCGCTTCTGAGCGAGATTTCCAGTCTTTTATTTCACCACTGAGATCCAAAGCTGCTATTTGGACCACAAACCAACACGTAGCTCATGGGAATGATGTATCAGTCAGGGCTGTAAGTTCCGAGTAAAAAAAAAACGATTTACGGGCAAATAAGTTATTTCAGGTTAGAGCTTCAGCTACGCCGAGCCAAGGGCCAACTTAATCAAGCTTTTATAATAATGGCCACCCACATAGGATCACAAGCTGCAGTTTCACCAAAGAATCGTTTTTGGGTAGGATTCACAATTGACCTTGGAAAGTGATTTATCGAATGACCAAGCGGCCAGAGCGCAGTATTTCGCAACTAGCATAGGCATCTGGTCCTACCAAAGAATACGAATTTCGATTGCGGTTCATTCCTGCTGCCGCAGTGTGCCTGCATACTATTACCTTCGGTGCTACTCGACAAATAAAACCATGACCGAGCACATCGCTTGATGAATTGTTACAACGAAGGCTAGTAATCGTGCCCTGTGCAAAACACGTATATCCACTTTTCTATTTTACATTCACTTTGCAATCCTACCTTCTGAGTTCGATAGCAGTGGTTCTTTCCCCATCACAGCTACAGGAACAAATGCCCAGAAACCGAATCCACAGTGGAATTCATAAACCATTTTAATAGAGCACCAACACAAGCGCAGAATCCATGATCATGATCCACTGATTTTTTTAAATTCTGATAATGTCGAATAGCTCAACGATCATCAGACGTCAATCACAGGCTTTTTATATATCCCAGTTCATCAAAATAACAGGTAAGATCAGAGTTGTCCTGGCTTATAGCAGTGATCAGTCAGCCTGTCTGTCCTTTGATCTTGACTAGTTTATTTACTAACCTTTTAGTCATAATAATTCAGATTTTTGTCAAATATCAACCAGGTCAACTTTTATAATCGAAATCAACTACTTAAACGATGGCACTATATTCGAGTTCATTCAATTGACCGGGCAATATTACTCGGACGACTGATCTTCTGATCTTAGGTAGTACCTTTTGAATCAAACAAGTGTAAATAATGGCTAGCCACTTCACACCTATTCCAGAGGCTTTAGAAGCCTTCAAGCAGAACAAGTTCTTGATGGTTTTGGATGACGAAGGCCGGGAAAACGAAGCAGATCTTATTTGTGCGGCCGAAAACATTACACAGGAGCAAATGGCGTTTTTGGTGCGGTACTCTTCCGGGTACGTGTGTGCTCCTGTGAGCAACAGCGTAGCAGACAGAATCGACTTGCCTCTGATGCGTGAGATGAACGTTAAATCGTCGAGAGACGACCGTCACGGCACTGCATACACCATAACATGCGATTTCGCAGACGGAACTACTACAGGAATTTCCGCTCACGATCGAGCACTGACCTGTCGCAAGCTGGCAGACGCTGCGACAAAACCATCCGACTTTCTAAAACCGGGACATATCGTGCCTCTGAGAGCCGTCGACGGCGGTGTGCTGCAGAGGGACGGCCACACCGAGGCAGCAGTCGATCTGTGTAAGCTCTCGGGTAAAGCCCCTGTGGGCGTTATTTGCGAGTTGGTACGGGACGAGGACGGATTGATGATGAGACTAGACGACTGCATCAAAATGAAGCAGCAATTTGGCATCGACATTATTACCATTGAGCAACTCAAGGACTATTTGTTGCAGAACCAGCAGTCGCAGTAACAAAAGAAAGCACCTTCGTGAACCGAACATCTATCATAAGTTGTTTAAACTAGATCAAAAGTTGTGTATATGTAGTATCATTAAAATTACCACGCGCTTTACCTCCACGCTACTTATTTCTTCTCCTTGGGCTTGGCAGGCACAAGTCTCTCTTTTTGGCCCCAGACCAGCTTGTGAGGCTTCATAAACTGATCCACAACTTCGTCGGTGATCTTTGCTCTGCGTTCCTGAAAGTCTTTAACAAACTCTTGTAGAGCATCAATGCACAGCTTCTTCATTTCGCCTGACAAAAGTTCACCCGATTTGTACTTGGCTTTCACGTCCTGGAGCAGTTCGTCGTCGTCCTTGAAAAAGCTCAAGTACTGGAATGCAACATCCACATCTGGGTCACCACCCAATTTTCTGTGGTCTTCAATTGAAACCTGGCCACCAGAGAAGGCGTATTTGTTGATCTTCTTCTGGATTTGCTTTGGTGTGTCAGTCATGAAGATCGCAGACGTGTCGTCCGAAGCACTCATCTTGGTAGTAGATCCTTGTAGAGCGGGGAAAAACTTGGAGTGGACTAGGGAAGGCTTGCTGAACTTCAATTTTTCGGCCACATCTCTGCAAACCCTGAAGTATGGATCCTGATCGATCGCGCAGGGAATCAGACATGGAGTCTTGCTTGGAAGTCCCAAAACGTCTGGGTAAGACGAGGGGAACGCGGAAGCGATCTGAATAGACGCGAAATGAAATTTTCCAATACAGTCGGAGTCGTTGAACCCAAAGACTGCCTTAGCAGTGGACCCTGTAATTTGCCTCGAGGTTCTCACAACGGTTTCGTAAAAACCACCGCCCATGTACTGAAGGTCGGAGAAGATGAATGTATTCTCTGGGTTGAATCCAACAGAGATGATGTCAGCAGCGTTCTGACGAGCAAAACCCTTGACGTCCTCGATCTTCAACTTCTGTTTGAAAAGAAATTTCTCGTCGTCGGTCAGTTCGATGACTAGAGGCACGTCAAAAACGTCTTGTAGCCACTTCGTGAACAAAAAGGGCACCATGTGTCCCAAGTGCATGGAGTCAGAAGATGGACCTCTTCCAGTGTACAAAAAGAATGGTTTACCTTGTTCGTACAGATCTAATATCTTCGAGAAGTCTCTTTCACTGAAGAAAAGACCTTTACGAAGAAAATGATGTGGTGGCTGGCCAGTGACCTGCTCAAACCTTTGCAGAGTCTCGTTTGAGATCGCCTTGGTCCCAAACTGCTTGATCAACTTGTCATAATCGATGACTTGAGCCTTACCGTTTTCGTCAACTGCACCTTCAACATCCCACGGTGTGATGTTCTGTTCTTTCACAGAAAGTTTCTGCAGTTCCTCAGCAGTTTGAGCAGCGGACATTGATTAAATGGAGTTGCCTGCCAACGGTTCAGGTGTGAGTTGTGTGTTACCTTGATAAATTATTGATGGGTAGTTTAAACGCATCATAGTTTTGAAATTTTTCAGTCATCTAATGTAATATGACATAATGGAAATGCTTTTAAGTTCACGAATTTAGATGTTTTGACGGTGGAGAGAAGCGTGAGATCGCTCTTAGAGCTTTGAATTGGAGCTGGACTGTACGGGTAAGAATTTCTGAATTTTTGAGTCTACTTTTGAGATTTTTCGGCTTTGTAGAAGTGTCAGTGCCAGGCTTAGATGTTGACGTGGGTTTTGGAACTCTGGAACGACAATATGGTTAAAGTTATGAACAGAGTTTACATTTTGGTTTAAAATTTCTATTTGAAGCAATACTTCGCTTTAGAACAGGAACATTTTGGTTTTGTATGGTGCTTGTAAGATGTACTTTACAATGATCTAGCATTCAGGAAACGTCACGAAAAAGATGCGGTTGGCTACAAAAGGGAAGAGACGTAAAGAGCCCTCTAGCGAAAGCGAACTGAATACTAGAGCTGTGAAAACCTTGATATCATCAGTTTATGGCCAATGTTGCTGTTAGTATCACGGTGTGCTGTTGCAAGTACTTCAAGCCGCAATTATTATAATCTTTGAACAACGCCATATTGCATATCGCGTGCAGTGTGAAGAGCAGGGAAAAACAGACAGCAGTTTTGAGCCTAGCGGCGGCTTTCATATTACTCTGTAGCCAATGATCAAAATATGAGTGATCGTCTGAATTCGGAACTTGTTGCCCGCATCAGCGTTAAGTCTTGCTAAAGCACACACTTGGATTCGACCACCTCATGAAAACATACCAAGAATTTAGAATGTCCTATATACGTCTTTCAAATTGGTTTTTGACTCATTAAACATTCATTTCTGGCATTAAACGTCACCATAACTTCCAAATTCGAGGTAACTTTTAGCACCGCTCTCTCGGTACCACCTCTTGCTCAAAGTCCCTGACACAATTTATAGACACATTGAACCTTATTTTCGCGTACTGGTCGAAATTACGAATGATTTCGATGTCCTTTGCCAATGTCGTCTTTTCAAGATGTCACCGCTTTTAATTTGAAGCTGAACAATACATTAATTAAGATATCACCACTGCAACGGACCATTATAGGTTCAACTCTTGCAAGCCTAAATCCAGCAATATGAACCGAATATTTGGTTATGGTGGTCGTAAGACCCATGATCAGCTTCTTCAGGACTCTAATAAGGCCATGAACGATGCACAACAGTCAATGCAAGAGCGAATTTCGGGTCTCGACACTCAAATATCACAATTGAATGCCCAGCTACAAGCTATTCAGCGTAAAATAGCAGAAACCAGCTCTGCTGGGGGCCAAAAACCGTTGCGTCAACGTGCTCTGAAGCTCTTAAACAAGCGGAAACAACTAGAGTCCATGAGAGACTCGTTAGACGCACAGTCGTGGTCGATGAATCAGGCTCAAATGACGAGCGATAACCTTAAAAACACCATGGTCACGGTCAACGCTCTGAAACAAACGAATAAAGCCCTGAAGGCGCAGTACGGGAAAATCAACGTTGAAAAACTGCAGGACATGCAGGACGAAATGCTTGATCTGGTTGAACAGGGCGAGGAACTTCAACAAGTGCTCGCGATGGGCAGTGGGGCTCAGGACATCGACGATATAAGCGAGACAGAGCTTGACGCAGAACTTGAAGCTTTGGGAGACGACATCATGCTGCAAGGAGACATGGCAGGTTTCGAAAGCGAGGCTGCAGGCGAGATCCCAGCATACCTCAGTGGCACGATTCCTCATTTCGTGGACGAGGAACCAGCCAAGGAGCTGCCCGGAAAGCTAGAGACTGCCACGTAGATCGTGCGCGTTAAAAATTCTATCTGGTGATATATATGTATTTGCTAATCGTAAGGTATCTCTTATCACTCAGCTACCTTCTTGATTGCCATGAAATAGTTGCCGACCCCGGAGTAATCGTGCTCTGACCAGCCGGATAGCGGCACATACATGGCACCCTTGCAGTTTAAGACCTGGTGCTGCCCGCTGCACTCTTCTTGAAACCATTGTTTGATTTCCTCAGAATTTATGTATTTTGAAACATGATGAGTCCCGCGAGGGACAAGTTTGAGCACTTGTTCTGCCACGAAGATAGTAGTGAACCACGAAATAGGATCTCTGTTGATGGTGCTCACGACAAGGATCCCGCCCTCCTTAAGTCTGCTCCATGCATGTCTTAAAATTTCGCTAGGATGGTCCACATGTTCCAACATCTCAAGGCACGTCACCAGGTCGTACGAGCCTGCAACTTCCTCAAGAGACTGGACTTCGTACGCGAGTTTGCCAGTCAAGGACGGATCTTTCAGAGCATGAGACTCGGCAATCTCAATACACTCTGGCGTCAAATCGATGCCCTTTACCTTCGACACGAACGGCATACGTGCCAATGATTCTGCCAAGATGCCCCCACCGCAGCCAATGTCCAGAACTTCCAATTTTTGACCATAAAGCTGGCTGTGTATGTCTTGGTCGAGCTCGTTTTCGATGGCCTTAGCGATTTGCCTTGGTAGAAACGCTTTGTAGTTGAAACCCGGTACATACGTCTCAGGTCCCGCAGTATATTGTTCTCTTAGAGTTTTTTGGATGAAATCCATGCGTGCTAGATTCATTTTATGCAAAATTCGTTGAGGACCCGAAACGTCCCACCAAGAGGGTGCCAAGTCGCTAAAATGCTTCATTTCGTCCTGCGAAGTTGAAGTCGACATCGGAAATTTTGGACTTGAGATTGCCTCACCAGAGCCTGCCATGGGTTTAAAAAACTCCGGATTGAATTTTGTATAGCTGCGCTTGATCGTTCTTAACATTTTGAAACCGCGACCGAGACGAAATTGGCTAGTATTTGCGCGGGAGAAACGGCGGAGTTGGTTATGACATTGAAGTATGTTCACATGTTTAATGATATTCATTTCCCTCTTGTCCAAAATGACACTATAAGATAGAATGATATATATCATGTGACCTATTCACTGACACTAAATTACAAAATGATACAGAAAATCACTTAAAACGAGTTCATGATTATAACATTAAGCAGCTTCTCAGGTAAAGAGCGAGCTCATCGCACCAAGACTTCAAGACAACAAAGGCTCCAAGAAGCAGCACTTTAGCACCATGTCGGACTCTGAAGAGCTGCTAATGAGCAGCAGAGCGCGCAGATCCAATGCTGGTAACAAAATGCAGAAACTGATTGATCAAGAGCGTCAAGAAATGCAGGAAAAAACGGCCAATTTGGATGACGATGAGATCTACCTATTATTTCAGGAAGACGAGGACGACGAGGAGTTTCGGGCCGACTCAAAGCGTGGCAAGGACGAGGACGAAAGACTCTCGGAGTCTGACGATGAAAGTGAGGGCGAGGACGACGAAGAAGCGGGGGAACGAGAGCTTGAAAGACAAGAACGCAAGAAACGCAAACAAACTCGCAAATTCAGTGCTCCAGTGATTCGAAAGCGAGCTAAACCGAGTGAGGATGTAGTTAAACCACAGTATGAGCAGCCAAAAGCAGACAGCTTGCTTCTTGACAATCGCAGAACGTCCAAAAGATCGTCAGTCGTTGCAAACAAGCTACAGATCTACGAAAAGTTGGCTCAGGCTGAGAAGAAAAGAGAGAAGATACAGAACCGTTTGAGGCAGACAAAGGCGAAAATGGCCTATGTGGAGCTTACTCAAGAAGAGAGGCTGCGACAGGCCGAAGAAACGGAATTGATCAACACCCAGAGTCTCACGAAATTTAGAGAAGAGGAAATCTTTAAGAAAGAAACTCGCATTGCCATGAACTTGCGTAAAAAGGCAAAATTTGCGGTGGGCCAGATCATGATTCGTGTCAACACGACGGCGTGGGCTGTTACGCCAATCATGGAGATCAAAGATCGTGAATACTGGGAGCAGCAACTGGGAAAACGACATAAAAAGAAGAAAAAGTACACCAGACGCAAGAAAGACAAGGATGAGAAGAATGAGAAAAAGAGCCCGGATGCTCCTAGCGTGGGAAATAAAGACAGGGATCAGCCAAGCTCGGTGGATAAAACACAATGCCCAAACGACTTGTCTCAACAGACTGGGCTCAATCAAGCGAGTGTCGGAAACGGAATCGAATGTACAGGTTCAGATCAGAAAGGAGGTTCACCGCAGCCAAGGAATGACGTTGAATCCTCATTCTCACCGCCCGTCTGCGAGAATATACAAGGTGATACTAGCCGGCTAGTTGAACCAGATTTGAAGACAGACGTGCAGCAAGACTCGGCACCCACCCAACAAAATATTCAGGAACAATCTAGCGAGACACTACTACCACCGAGTGATAAACCTTCCATTAAGGAGGAGTCGGATGTTCCAAAAGCGAGCGTCGGCTGCGAGCTCCCAGCCCCCTCAGAACCTGTAGATGCCAACGGTAAAGAGGAAACACCTTCTTCCAAGCAAGTTTCTTTTGCTTCAGAAACAGATGTTACCACGTTTGACCACTCCCTTCCGTCAAACACGCCGTTGTCAAAGGAGCACTCGTTAGAGCCGGAGTCCTCGCGACAGAATTCTGAAGAACCTCTCGACGAAATTGAAGGAAATACAGATGCCTTTGAGGTTTTCGAAGGCCCTGAACAGTTAGTTGGCCGGAATTTTGTCACCTTATATTCCTATCCTGAGGAAAACCTAACGGTACACGATATAAGGCCCTTCTTTTTCGGTTCTCAGTGGGCGCGCCCTTTGAACTCTCGCTCAGAGGACGTTGAAACTATTGCCAAGATCTATAATGAGCAAAACGAAGATGAATGGATGGATGTTAACTCTACTTTAATTCCAGATACTTTGGTATTTGACACTTTCCCCAGTTTTGGAGAATACGACAAGAAAGTGTCAACCGAAATCGCTGAGGAAACTGACACCAAACTGAAACTAGAGATAAAGACTGCAGCTCCTGCTGGTGTCATTCTACCCAATGGTGTTCGGAAGAAGTGTTTGATTACAAACAGAGACTGTCAATACTTCGATCCAAAAAATGGTGTTCCTTATGCGGATGTTGAGTCCTACAAAATTGTTCAGGAGCTGCAGGATCCGATTGGGGAGGGAAATTCTGATACGCAACCATCGCCTCAGTTTAAGTGGTTTGGGTTTGCCCGCGGTGGTATTTTCCTGGATGTGAAGCAACCGGCCGCAAAGGGCGTGCCAGAAGGATTTTGAATGCAGGATCGATTTATCTTATTACGTATCTTAATGAATGTGACGCACGTACGGCAAATGTACTTATGGATCTGACTGGAGAGGCGAGGCCATATCTTTTAGACAAGAAGTTGAAATTGTTAGAGCTTGTTACGAAATTTGTCACGCAAGGCCTTTTCAAGTCCTTTCTATAATACTTCCACATTCCAGCGTTCCAAGGTATATTTTCACCGCATAGAGGTTGTGCTGGTAACAATTTGTTGGAAACGTTGCTGAGGTACAAAATATTCCGCGCTCTAGTGATGCCCACATACAGAGCGTTCTTCTCTATTGGAAATGTCGAATCGGAGCTTCCTAGCAGGAAAACAATAGGAAACTCCAAGCCCTTTGAAGAATGTATAGTGGAAAGCTTTACGGATCCAATGCCCCGATCTTGACTTGAATCTGAGAATTGGTTGGCAGCTTGAATTTGATCAAACTGCGTTTCTAATATCCACTCTGTATAAGGTACGTTTTCGGGCTTCAACTGTATACAGCCTTTTAGTGCCTTAAGCCACTCTGAGATGTGACATTTAGATGCATCAATGGCCTCTGCGCTTTTTATCCCTTCAGAGACAAACCCTAGCTTAGAAGCAGTATCTGCAAGGGTGGCAATCAAAGACACTGGTTCCGGATCTGCGTCCAATTCCAATTGCTCCATTAGTGTTACAACGTGCTTCACGTAATTGCGAATTTTATTCTTGTTGGCAGTTGACACAGAAGTGAGTCTTCCCTGGGCAAGAACGTCCCAGAGAGAGACTTTCGATGCTTTTGCTTCGGCAAAAAGTGCCTGTAATGCCTGATTACTCACTCCTTTAGATGCACCAAGTGTGACGATTACACTAAAATCGCTAGGATAGTACGCGAGGTGATTTGCCTCACCAGATGCACCCTGTTCTTTACTCACAAGCACGCACAGTTTTAAAAGGTCAGACAAAAATTTGACGGTTTTGTCACTCATCCAGTCTGGCTGTGCGGTAAGCTTTTCGACTGGAATTCCGTACGATCCAAGGTATTCAGCAACGAAGTTCAATTGTGCATTGGTCCTGGTCAAAATCGCTATATCAGAAAATCTTGCTGAATGGCTCACTACCCGACAAACTTCTCTAACCACAATTTCAAGCTCCTCAATGGAGTCTGCCGCTTTTATAGCTTGACATTGAAGACTCATTGGCAGTTTCGAATAATATGCCTGCCCGACGCTCTTGTCATTTTCTTTGATCAAAGCTGATGAAAGCTGAGATATTTCTGGCGTACTACGGAAATTATCAAATAAGTAGTACGTTTCTTGTGCCCGAGTAGACCGGGATTCTTCCAAAGATTGCATTAAAATCTTGTTGTCTCCCAGAAATCCGTATATGCTCTGGTGAGGATCTCCAAACAGAATGAGCTGTTTGCCGCGAGCAACAATTTCGAGGAATGGCAGAAGTGACGGAAACAGATCCTGGAACTCGTCGACAACCACTACTTTATACTTTTCAAGTAAATCCTGAGTAAACGAGGCTGACGACTCGGGTTTCGAAGAATTTCGCGCTAGGTCAAGATATTTTGCAGCAAGTACGATAAGTTCGTCATTTGTAACCACCTTAGAGCCCCTCATGATGCTGATTATGCGCTCCATAGTGGAGTCTTGAACCCGATTTTTGCCTCCCACTTGGTACTCGCGAAACAGTCGTTCAAACATTCTAGGGGTCAGTGCAGTGCCCGATTTACTGCGACCAAAGTTTTTGAGGATATCAGGAGGAATCAGCTTCAGTAGACCTCTCCAGCCGTTTTCTTCAATGATATTGATCAACCCCTCGTTCTCAACAACAACCCTATTGGCAAGACCGTGGATGGTTGAAACATTAATTTGGGTAACAATATCGGCAGTAGAGGTCTGTACTTCGCAAGGCTCATTTTCTTGGAAAACGTCCAAAAGCTTGTGAACGGCATTGTCGACGGCTTTGTTTGTCAGTGATAGGATGAGTACTTCGTCAGGCTTCAAAGTACCACTGGTGATCAGCTCTCTGACTTTCAGCATAAGAGTTAAAGTCTTACCAGAACCTGGACCCGCTATCACTTTAATGGTGGTTCCCGCAGCATATTCGCTATTGATCACCTCTTTTTGGGACGGCGTTGGTTCAATCATCACAAAGGGGAAACCGTAATATCAAATGCAGCTAAGATGTCGGACCTCATTGATCTGAAGATGTGGCAACGGGACAGATGATCGTTCTGGCTATCTTGCTGGAAAGACTGGCTGGTACCATCCAGAACAGCCTTATAGAAACTTTTCAATATAAAGAGCCCTTCACGTGATCGTGCTGAAGGCCTCTACAAGACCCTCCAAGTGGCTCTTGGTCTCTTGGAATATCAGTGATGGGGTGTATCCGTCTTGATCGCGTTTTTCTTGACTAATTGAGTTTTTTTGTAGTACGTTTAGCAGATATGTGTAATTCAGAGCCAAAAATCTCTCCGGATATTTGGTCTTCTTGCTGCACTTGGTCATAATAGTTTCGAAATCGTTCCTGATCCTTATGATCGAGTTGTAAAGCGGTTCTGATCGTTCGTCGATGTTCTCTTTATGTGCCATAGAAAGCATAAGGATGCTCGTTAAAAACTTTGAAAACTGCACGGTTAGTTCGTGGGTCGTGGTAGAGGGGTCGCTCTCCTCCTTTCTGCCAGTAATACTTTTGCCACTAACGGAAATTGGAACTTTTCTTAGGCTTTCGCACTGAAAGTCCACAAGCTGCTGGAATTTGGGCCACAGTAACATTAGTTGACCATTTAAAAAATCATCGAAGACCGGCACTAGCCTCCTTTGGGCCTCAAACTTCAGGTGATGAGATATCCAGATGCTGATGAGCACACCGAACATGTCGAAAGTTGGCGTAATAAGCCGTTTGGTGTACTCCATGGCTTCGTCAAAAGTAGGTTGGAAAATCTGTTCCAGTATACCGCGCAAATCCTCTCCGTTATCCTGAATTTGAAAAAACTCGGTGAGAAAGGAGAACTCTACCGAGCAATTGTCGAGAAGGGCTAGATTCAGGTTTTTGAAGCCCACTTCCAGAAAGTTTGGCGCGCTGTTATTCTCAGCAATTTGCGACACCATCACGGTGTTGTCCTCCTGCGTCAGCACAGACAACCGTTTTTCAATCTGAAAATAATCGTTCACCATTTGATCCGTAGGTCCTGAAGATCCTAATATGGAGCTTTTGTAACTTCCAGAGAAGTAGTTGGTAAATCTGTCTGTAGTAGAGTTCGAGGTGGAGGAAAGCCCGCGACCCAACACGTAATTGGAGTCGATGGCTACGAACTGCAAGATTGTCAAAGACCGAATATAACGTCCAAAAAACTGCTTGTAATACCACCTCATGGTGTATGCATACGCCTGTCTTAGCTCTAGAGCCAAAGAGTAGTTGTTCTTTGATAAAAACTGGAAGATCTCTTTGACCTCCAGCAGTTGCCTCTGAATTTTTTGCGAGGGCACGGTTCTCTGATCACGGAGCAGCTTCACCTTGCTCACGATAAGACGCTTACTGCGTTCAACTATGAGGGACTCTAAAACTTCCAGAAGCTCCTTGAGTTCCGCAAAGTCAGCAGGCACATCCTGACCACTCTCCACGTATTTTGAGTAAATCTCTTGTTTGTCACGAACGTAGGCAATGTTTTCGACCCACGCGTAGTTGATTTTGCCCTTTAAGATTTGGTTGATAACCTCTGGTGAGATGACCAGATCATTGACGAGAGGAGATATTTCTGCTAGGTCTTTAGAGTTCCTTGATAAAAGCTCGTTAAGTTTAAGTGACTTTCCCCTTACTAAGCTCAAATCGTGCGTCAATGACTTGAAATTGTTATTCAGGTCTGAAAAGTACGTTTGTAGCGGTGGAATCGTTGCTTCAATTGCATTTTTGATTGTTTGAGACTTGGTTTCGAGCTCTTGTAGTGCTAACGTGGAAGATCTATCAACTTGAAATCTATGGTCTTTGGCGTGCTCCAAAAAACTTTCATACAAATTCTCAGATGATTCACAGTCATACCGTGGGATTTCAGTGCCAACAATTGTCTTTAAGGCCTCCATAAAGTGCCAAGTTTGTGTATTTGACGTTGGTAAAATAAGTACATTTCCTGTTGAATGGGTAATTTAATCATATCAATGTGCATAAAAAGGTCGAGACTACATAAAAGTCACAGAACAGAATGCCTATGCTCAACTATTATTTCATTGTTTAGTACCCTAAGTAATTCTCACTTTACATATTCTCGCCAACATGCCCGCAAGTTGCAAGTAAGTGCCCACACCTTCAAGGACACGCATATGAGCAAACCCAATTTCGCGAATCATTTCGAGTCTGATGCCTTCCTTGACCTCGTCGAGATTCTTGGTAACACGGAAACAGGTCGTAACAATGTCTACGGCGGAGTACCCTTTCTTCCAGAGCTGTTGGAGCAGGTCTAGCGAGGTGTCGAGGGAATCAGCGAGTAGCATTTTCTTGACGATCAGAGGGTGAGGGGAATCGACGATCTTGAAGACGTTCTCACCATTTACCAGTCCGTAACCGGCAACCGTACTTTGCAGGTTATTCAAAGCTTGTCGCATATCACCCTCTGCAGTGAATATGATTGCCTCAAGCCCGTCATTAGTGTACTTGACGCTTTCTGCCTCAATGACCTCCAGCAGCCTTCTCAAGACCTGGTCGTCCTGGAGCTTGGCGTAACGCAAAATGGCGCAACGACTTTGCAAGGGTTCAATGATCTTATTGGACTGGTTGCACGCAAATGCGAATCTGGTGGTGTTGGAATACAGCTCCATTGTGCGTCTAAGGGCCTGCTGGGCACCTGCAGTCATAGAGTCTGCCTCGTCCAATATCACGATCTTGTGCCGACCAGGAGGCAGACTGCACTTTTTCTGCGCAAACTGCTTTATCTGGTTCCTGACCACGTCGATGCCTCGATCATCAGACGCGTTGAGCTCCAGCACTGCCTGTAAGTAAGCGTCTCCCAGCAGTTCGTGAGCCAAACAACTCACAGAGGTAGTTTTCCCAATACCCGGCAGTCCACTGATGATAAGGTGAGGCATGTTTCCGTCCTGCGCAATCTGCTGCAATCTCATCACCGTCTCTTCATTGCCCACAATATCTTTCAGAAGCTGAGGTCTATATTTCTCCACCCATGGCAGTTCTAGCTTCAATGGCTGCTTGGACATGGTTTTCTGACGCGCTCTCTCGAAATACACAGCTTAAACTTACTAAAAAGGGCGATATAGCTCGCAGTCGTCCTTTGAAGATCCTTGAGATATCTGATCTTACGCTCTGTATAGGTAGTTCAGTGGTCAATTTGAAAAATTTTGGAACTTTTATGCGATGAGCTTAGAAGCGATGAGCTACATCAGAACAAGACTAAAGCCATTTTAAGTGCTAAATCAAGGTCCAATGAGTGGTGTTGAACTTGTTCAAAAGAACGGCTCTGAAAATGAGTCGGACCGGTCGCAACAAGGCCAAGATATAGCCAAAAACTACACAATGCATCCTCTTCCACCTGTGCCAGAGGGAATGTCAAAATCACAATGGAAGAAGGCATGGAGGCGGAAAAGATGGGAGGAATCCAGGGAGGAGTACTCGCAGAAAAGACGGGAGAAAAAAGTCCGGGCCAAATTGAGCAGGCGAGCCAAGATTCAGGAGTATAAAGAACGCGGTGAGGAACTACCGGAAGAATTGTGCCGGAAACCACGCAAGAACGCGGACCAGAAAGACTCTGGCATCAAAATTAAGATTGATTGCGCCTTTGACGACCTCATGAACGATAAAGAGGTGATCAGTCTCAGCAATCAGATCACGCGAGCGTACAGCTTCAACAAGCGCGAGAACCATTTCGCTGATGTGACTGTGACCAGCTTCAATAAACGTCTGAAAGAGCGCTTCGACCGCGATCTCAGTGATTCGCGCTACAACGAGTGGAAGAACTTTAAATTCTCCGAAGATCCCCAACTTCCGGTCGAAAACACCGTCTATCTCACCGCAGACACGGACGAAGTCCTGGAGCGTTTGGAACCGGGCACGACCTACATCGTGGGAGGCATAGTCGACAAGAACAGACACAAACTACTCTGCTACAACAAGGCCCGTGAACTCGGCATCCCCACCAAAAAACTGCCCTTGGCTCAGTACATCAATCTGACTGGCAGAGAAGTGCTTACTTCGACGCATGTGATTCAGCTGATGCTTCGGTACTTCAACAATCACGATTGGAAGGAGGCGTTCGAGTCGGTTCTTCCTCCCAGGAAGCTCGAAGAGATCAAAAAAAGTGAATTGGACTCATCAGACGTCGATCATACCGGAAAGAGCGTTACTGGAAGTCCCGATAATTGCGAGACCAACGACGAGAGTGGGTCCGCCGTCGAGGCCGTAGAAGCTAAATCTTTGTGCTAGAAAGCAGTTGCTTTCAAGGGCTTTTCAAGACTACGGCTAGAAGTGACAGCCGGTGACCGTTTTCGATTTTACAAATTATCACACCTTGATCTACGTTTCAATACATGTTACCGCAACGAGTCTAGTACCATGAGCTAAACGCATTTGTTCATTCGCCAATTACGGCCGTCTGACTGCTCCTGAGAAGTATATACATCTGTCGACCAAAAATGTGTAGAATCTGATGAACTAACGCAAATGCCTATATATTGGGCCAATTTACAACAAAGCGGAAGAAATGAACTTGACATTCCTGGACAACACAGATCACCACTTGGCCAAAGATCTACATATATTATGTGGTCAGAAAATACAATTTCTACATTTGCCATTGTGGTCAAATTGTGCATACCAGTCGATACAGCCAAGCAACGTTGTCTTTTTAATAGTTGAGACTGCTTTCTGATCGGAAGATCTTGAGGATGATGATAGGCTAAAACTCCAAGAACTCAACAACCAGCTTGACCTCTAAAGCCTCTTGGACCTCTCGGACCTCTTGCCGTCGCCACACCTGCCAACTATCCAGTAATCTACCTATTCCTCTAGTCGTCTCGACTGAATAACATGACTCTTAATAAAATTTTCGAATTGGTAAAATGACAGACGGTCTTGGTGAATTCGGACTCTTTCTGTATCGCAGGTATCGACTTTAACACTTCAAAAGCTAGCTATTTTGGGAATCAGAACAAGTTCAGTCAAGCTCGTATTTGCTTCACATCTGATAAGTATCTCTGTGTGTGTCCAAGTTTCACATTTTTAACTGCAGTGTATCGCTTTTCCGCAATAGCTCAAATGGTGCCCGTCGTGTTGAATTCGCAGTCGGTGAGCGGTATCACCGGCTCTATTTCCATCGCATGCTGGATCATCGTGTTCATGCCTCAAATCTATGAAAACTTCTACCGCAGCTCTGCAGACGGTCTGTCGCTGCTATTCGTGATTCTTTGGCTCTTAGGTGACGTTTTCAACGTTCTCGGGGCCGTGATGCAGAACTTATTGCCAACCATGATTATTTTGGCAGCCTACTATACTCTTGCAGACATCGTGCTGTTGATCCAATGTCTGTTTTACGGAAACGAGGAACAGGTGGACCCAGTACATTTGTCGCCTGCGAACCCTATCAACGAGAGAGTTTTGGCCGACGTCTTCCATGAGCAGCAACCACTTTTGCATGAAGCCAACAAGCACCACCATCACGCTGCCACGGTACAGACTGTTTCTCCTGACGCTTCTTCCTCGTCTGCCACAGGCCAATCTGACGTTGAAAACACTGCTGGTGCTGGCAGTCGCAAGAGAACATACATCACTAACGGGTTGCTAATAGCAGGCGTTTTTCTAGGTGGCTTTCTATCGTGGTACGTTTCTTATTTGAAAGAACCGGACGCCGTTCCTTCGGAACCTGATTTGCGCATGAACTGGCTCGCTCAGTTTTTCGGCTACTTGAGTGCGGTCCTATACTTGAGCTCTCGTGTTCCCCAAATCCTCCTCAACTTCAAACGCAGATCTTGTGAGGGTATTTCGTTCCTGTTTTTCCTGTTTGCCTGCATCGGAAACATCACTTTTATCATTTCCGTGCTCAGCATATCTCTCGAACCCCGCTATCTACTAGTGAATGCATCATGGTTGATTGGTAGTAGCGGAACGCTGCTGATGGATTTTGTCATCTTTTTGCAGTTTTTCTTCTTCAAGAAAACCGGCATCGCTTCCACTGGAGTCCCGGTATGAAAAGTCTTCAAGTTTATACTTGACGAAGCCAAAGTGGAAACTTATTGGCGACAAGTCTTCGTTGCTCAAGCGCATTTCAACTGTGTAGCAGTTTGACTCCCCTTTCTGTTTGACCCGTCATTATTTTCCGGTCTTTTCCAATCATATGCGACTACGAAATGCACTGCGTCAGCGTCACAAAATTATTACCATAATGCCGTACACTAAAAATCCAGTATTTTGTATTTAATTGCACAAAACTTAGCTTTTTGGGTTTTCACATTTATACCCTTCACCTCAGCACTCCAGGCAGAGAACAGAGATTGAACCTTGCATTTCGATACATTTTAGCGAACACTGTTGAAGAAAATCACCCACTACTATCTATGCCGCTGCTAGCTAACAGAAGCTATCTTTCGAGTAACGAGCAAGTCCAGTTGGTTGACAAAACCGATCTCTATAACCTACAGAACTATCATATACGCGATGACAGCGAGATAACATCTTCAGACGATAGTGACATTAATATTGTGGGCAGTGAGTCCGAGGGTAGATCTTACTACGTTTCTGAAAGACCACTCAGTTCAAATGCAGAAGCAGAACAGAATTGTGCCAACACTAAAATGGGTCACAAAGGCGGCTCCCCATTTAAAAGAGGGATGAGCTCATTTTTTAAGAGACATGAATCGCGCGATGGTTCTCATAATAAGGACTCCACTATTCATGCTGATGTCCCAGAATTGCAGAAGGATGGTGAAGTGCTCGACACGACTGAAAGCCGCGCGTCAAGTGCATCGAGCTCGAGCAGATTTTGGAGGTCTTGGAGACTGAGACATCGTAGAAATGACTGCGATTTTGATGAGATCACTGCGAGTCAGAAACAGACCCAAGAAATTGAAAACAATTTAGATGAAAGCAGCGACAAAGAGGACATTAAAGAGAAGAAAGAAGAACCGAATGATACAACTGAAGAAAAAGTCTCCGATGATTTTCGTGAATACATGGATAGAGATTTTGCATTCAGACACCAAAAAGCTCAACCTGACATTGCTGCAAGAGCTGTACCACTTAAAGGAAAATTTGAAGCTCAGTTTTCCGAAAGCGAGACGTCGGACGAGGGAAACGACGATGAGTTGGGTTTATCGAGATGTTCCAACTTGGAAAGACCTTCTGAAGTTTTGCCACATATGGCGTCGCCCTTGACACCGGTTGACGAGATTTCCGTTGTTGAAGAGAAGACCGTCAGGAAAGGTTCCTTGCAGTATAAAAACATCTACAAAACTCCACAGGACTACATTTCTCTCGAAGAGCAATTTGATCATTTGCAGGTTAACAAGAATTCGAAAACATTCTTTAACTTGCTAAGCACACTTCATCTCCTCAATGGCCCTTCTCAAAAATCTAGCAACCTCAGCTCACTGGAAGAATTTACTAAGACTATTTTGTCTTTAGTTGAGAATTCCGCGAAACATGGACAGGGTAGTTCTGCTGAAAATGCGACGACTGCCAATAACTTGATGGAATTCAAGAGCACAATTGACACTGACACTGGAGCACCCGATCAAGTTGTTGAGCTGGAATCTGAACTATCGCTGCTACGCGACAAGTATGAAGGTAAAATCAGCGATTTGTACAACTGTCGCAAAGAGCTCAAAGCTGCACACGACGATTTGGCTGACGCTCGCAATGAAATAGCAGAAAGCGACAAGGAGATGAGCACCTTAAAAACTGAACTCAATTCTCGACGTCAGGAATGGACTGAACTAGAGAGTGCCCTCAGGGCTCAACTGAACGAGCAAGCGGACGGTCGCAAAACCGAACATGCCGAAACACAAAAATATATGGACAATTATGAGAAGCTACAATCTGAACACACAAAACTGGAAGAGAGGCATCAATGCTTGCTTGAGCAAGGTGATGCATCTAGGGACAAAATCCATGAGTTGATAGGAATCGTATCCGAAAACGATCTCAAAGCGAGAAAACTTCAGCAGGCAAATGACCGTCTTCAAAAAGAACTCACTGATGCCAGTCGTCTTGCCACAAAAGCCAAATCAGCCAATAAGAAGCTCGAAACAGACTGCCGTCGAGAGCACTGCAAGCTTTTGGACTGTCGTCGAGAGCTTGAAATTTTACACGGACAATTGGAACTGGCCAGTTGTCACAAGACAGAATCGCTACAATTCATGGCTCAATTGATGATATCATTTAAAGACGCGCTGTGCGAAAATTCGTTGCAAGAGTGCGACGCATATTTAGAGTCTATTGGCTCAAATGAACTATTCAGCTGCGCTCTCCTACAATGTGGACCAAAAATAAATGAACAACAATGGAAGGAGCAGGCTTCTCGCCAACGCGCTCAGATTGCAGAGTTCTATCGACACTTTGCGAAGAAAAACCTTTTGGACCAGATCTTTGCGAAATACGTCTCTTACATGCGCTCGAACAGGTTTTTGTCGCAACAACTCAGAGGTTTGCGTCAACAAGAGCACGACCATGAGGAATATATCTCGCGATTGCTGCAAGACTGCAAATCTCAAAGAGTTCTGATTGCCAAACAAGACCATCGTATTTCGAATTTGAAAAAGAGTTCCAAAGATCAGAAAGCCGAGCTGGAGTCAAAGTGAAAATTCATGAATGGAGTTTACAAAAGACGAAATTTTGAGATCCGTCCTTATAAAATCTTACGGATTACTATTTTTTAACGAATTATTTTCGTTTTACATACTTTAAAAGACCAAAAAGCTTATTGTATAACTATGGAGGGCACTCCACACACCTTTCCATGAAGTGTCAGCTTTGAGCTTCAACCGATGTTTAACGAACTCTCAACGACTATCGAAATTTGCGACAGATAAGTACAGAGTGATTTGAGTTCGAAGCATAGAAATGTTGAGTAAGTTAAGCGTACCTATTTCATGTTTGGCTGGCGTGTTACAACGGTTGTTTGATATGTCTGAATCTTCTTTATTTGCAGAATGAAGATCCACAGGAAATTTTACTTTATGAAAGGCTCTAACACAAAGTATAGCATAAATAGTAGTATGGCACACTTCAAACTATGTAGCTATATGGAGCTGAAGAAAATTCAATTGAACTTCTGGCGTCTTCATCAAGATCTATAATTGTGGTGTCATTCACAAACTTTCACATAATCCACTGAAAGGAAGCAAGAGTTATAAAATGAGGCTACTAGATATTGTACAAAACGTCCATAGGAAACTTGGAAACACATTACAAGAAACTATGATGAATGAGTCCACTAATGAGAAAGAGCTGGGAGAGAGCTCGAGAAACCACATCGAAATCCTGGTGTCAGTAAAATACAACATATCATCACTACCAACGAATAGTCGCGTAATTCAAACTCAGATAATTAGGCTATTCACGCGTTTGTCAAGCCGCTGCGATGTAAGTCTCTTCAGACCAGTAAACTGAGAAAGTGAGCTGTATAGCCACCACATCATAGACATCAGCTAACTGTACTCTAAGTCATATCAGCCATGTCATCCAGTCGTCCTGAGCTGAAGTTTTCAGATGTGTCAGAGGAAAGAGGATTTTACAAAAGGTTTGCCAGCTTGCCAGAAAAGCCCTCCCAAACCATAAGAATCGTCGACAAAGGTGAATACTACACGGTGGTCGGGAATGACGCTCTTTTTGTGGCAGAGAATGTTTACCACACGAACTCTGTGCTGAAGGAATGTAGGATCGATCCCGGTACTGCCAAAACAATCCACGAGCCTCTCAAATATGTTACGATCTCTTCACAGGTTCTCTCTGGTCTTCTCAAACTCTGCCTCTTGGAGCAAGGCATAAAAGTGGAGATATATGACAAATCCTGGAAACTACTCAGAAGTGGATCTCCAGGTAACATTGAACAAGTGGACGATCTAATGAATATCTCGTTCGACTCTGCAATCGTTCTTACCAGTATCAAGATTCACCCCAACGCGCAGGAGGGCAACTGCGTTCTGGGCGTGTCTTTCATAGACAGCGGGTCTTACAAGCTAGGAATGCTAGACATTGTTGATAATGAGGTCTTCTCGAATTTAGAAAGTTTCCTTATCCAAATGGGCGTTAAAGAGTGCCTTCTTCCTGACCAGAGATGCAACGAAACTATGTCGAACGAATTGAAGAAGATGGTGGGTGTCCTGGACCGTTGCGGCTGCGTCTCCACTTTTGTTAAAAGCTCCGAATTTTCGCATAAAGACGTGGAACAGGACCTCGTCAAACTTGTCGGGGACGAACTTTCCATGTCGCTAATGAAATTCTCCAATCTGGCCCTGGGAGCTTGTAATGCATTACTGAGCTACTTGCAAATTATGAATAACGAATCTCAAATGGGGAAATTTGAGCTAGTTCAGCACTCGCTAACAGAATTTATGAAACTTGATGCATCTGCGTTGAAAGCGCTCAGCGTTTTTCCTATCAATAACTTGGGATCAAGCGGCATCCCCGCTAGTCACAGCTCTTTTGGTAGCGGGTCCAGAATAACAAGTATGTTCCAACTCTTGAACAAGTGCAAAACTAACGCAGGTGTCAGATTACTCAATGAGTGGTTGAAACAGCCTCTTACCGACATCGAGGAGATCAAGAAAAGGCATGATCTTGTTGATTTCTTGAGTGACCAGTTAGAGTTGAGAAAGCTTTTGCAAACGGACTATCTGCCATTGGTTCCCGATGTTAGAAGACTGACCAAAAAACTGATAAGAAATGGAAGTCTGGAGGATGTTCTTAAAATATACCAATTTGCAAGGAAAGTTCCCGAGATATCCCAAGTTTTGGATGATTACTTGAAAGACGTGAATGATGAAGAACCTATTAAACCCTTAGTTCTGAACACTTGGCAAAAACCTTTGACTGAGCACCTCGCCCCTCTAGACAAGTTTCAGGCAATGGTGGAGACTACAGTAGATTTAGATGCTTATGAGTCCACGAATGAGTTTATGATTAAGGTGGAGTTTAACGAGGATTTGGCCAAGATTCGCGCCGACCTGGATAATCTCAAAGACAGCATCAGAACCATTCATCTAGATGCAGCGGATGATCTAGGATTTGACCCCGAAAAGAAGCTGAAGCTGGAAAACCATCACATCCATGGTTGGTGTATGAGACTGACCAGAAACGACGGTAAAGCACTTCGTCAACATAAGAAATTCTTGGAGCTGACGACCGTGAAAGCGGGTATTTATTTCAGCACTAAAGAGTTAAAGCAGATATCCGAGCAGACTGCTCTTTTGCAAAAGGAATACGACAGGCTGCAATCTGACCTTGTCAAGGAGATAGTGCAGATAACGCTCACTTACACTCCTGTATTGGAAAAGCTGTCGATAGTTCTGGCGAAACTGGATGTTTTGAGCTCTTTTGCTCATGTGTCCTCGTATGCTCCAATCCCATACGTCAGACCCACTATGCATGGCCTAGGCACACAACGGAAGACTGAACTCATTGCCTCGCGGCACCCAGTCTTGGAGGTCCAGGACGATGTGACCTTTATTTCCAACGATGTCCGACTAGAGAGTGGGAAAAACGAGTTTCTCATTATAACGGGGCCTAATATGGGCGGGAAGTCCACCTACATTCGCCAAGTTGGCGTGATATCTCTCATGGCCCAGATTGGCTGTTTTGTCCCATGCGATACGGCCGAAATTGCGGTAGTAGACGCTGTTTTGTGCCGTGTTGGCGCCGGTGATTCGCAGTTGAAAGGTGTTTCTACGTTCATGGTTGAGATGCTGGAGACCGCATCAATCCTCAAGAATGCCACTCAGAATTCTTTGATTATTGCCGACGAATTGGGCCGCGGAACGAGTACTTACGATGGTTTCGGGCTTGCGTGGGCCATATCCGAACACATCGCCACCAAACTCAAGTGTTTTGCGCTGTTTGCGACTCATTTCCATGAGCTGACCTTGCTCGCCGACGAGGTTCCTACCGTCCAAAACATGCACGTCATTGCGCACATCGAAGACCTGGATAAAAGCTCGCATTCAGCTGACGACATTACATTATTGTACAAGGTTGAGCCCGGCATTTCGGACCAGTCTTTCGGTATTCACGTCGCGGAGGTGGTCCAATTCCCAACCAAGATTGTATCCATGGCCAAGCGAAAGGCCGCTGAGCTGGAAGATTTGAAGCACGACTCTCAAATGCTCAAAAAACAAAAATGCTCCTCTGAGGAAATAGCAGAGGGCACTGAGGTCTTGAAAAACCTACTAAAGAAATGGGTCAAAGACGTACGCGACCAGGGCCTTGAGCACACAATTACTGAAGACCAGAGCCAAGAAAAAATCGTTCAATTGCTCAACCAGATCACTACAACGTCCTCCCACACTGACAACAAGTTCATGAAGGAAATTTCGCGGTTGTTGATGTGAACAGTAAGTATAGCGTGGTTGATGACGGAATCTGCAAGCGAAAATGACAGACGCAACGTTCGTGCAGAATTAATGCTTGAACATGTCAAATCTCCGTGATGGCAAGATTGGAGTCCAAGAAGTTTTTCGGTCCTAAAAGGATTTTCACAAGAACCGTTGGAAAGTAGATACTACAGCAACGATGCGTAACGATGAATAGGTGGTACCCGTATTAGTCCCGATGGCCATCTACAGCTTAATATGGTGTACTCCGCACATTAATGGGATAAGTTTCCACGATGATGTCAAAGAAGTTGCTATTATTGCGAACAGATCCCATGACATTAATAGGGGCATTGAGTTAACGCAAAGTAAACTAATGTGATTGCTGGAAGCAAAGCAACCTTGCTTATTGCAGCGAATGGATAATGGTATAAAAGGGCTCAGGAGAAGGAATTAGCGGCGTTGAGCCGAGAGAGAACTTGAAAGGTAAAGACAATTGACATATCATCAACGTCCTAAAAACAATGTTGCATCCTAAAAACACTGAGATATATTTCACGCTCAACACTGGGGCAAAGATGCCGGCCCTGGGGCTTGGAACGGCCAACGAAATTGAGCAAATCCCTGAAACTAAACAGGCTGTAAAGGCCGCAATCAAATCCGGCTACAGACTTATCGATACCGCGTGGGCGTACCGGTGCGAAGATCGTGTAGGTGAAGCGTTGAAAGAACTTTTTGAAGAGGGAGCTATCAAACGGGAGGATATTTTCATCACAACCAAGGTCTGGCCCACACACTGGGATATTGCGTCCGACTCCATTTCCCGATCGCTGGAGAACCTTGGAGTTGAGTACGTCGATCTGGTCCTTCAACACTGGCCTTTGTGCTTCAACAGAGTGGAAGATAAAGACGGCGTCGATGGCATCGCGAGAAATCCAACGCACCTCGATGGATCCGCAAATATCAATGAGGAAGGGGATTACCTGTCAACCTATAAACAACTCGAAAAAATGTATCTAGCCAAGGATCCTCGTTTCAAAGCTATCGGTGTCTCCAACTACCCTCTGGATTACTTGCAAAGGCTGCTGAAGGAGTGTAGAGTTGTGCCTGCTGTGAACCAGGTCGAGATTCATCCTCAGCTGCCTCAAATGGAGCTACGCGATTTTTGCACAGAGCACGGAATCCGTCTAGAGTCATACTCGCCCTTTGGTGCTACCGGCTCGCCTTTGACTAAAAACGCTTTGATGCAAAAGCTAGCAGAGAAGTACTCTTGCACGCCGAATGACATTCTTCTGGCGTACAACATCAGACAAGGCGTAGTCACTGTTCCACGCTCGGTCAATCCCAAGAATATTGTAGCCAACATTGAGTTCATTTCCCTAACGAAGGAGGACTCCTCTGTTTTGAACAAATACGGCCTGGAGAACTCTCAACGCTTTAGGAACGAAAAGTTTGCAGAATCGATACCTGGCTTCCGGGAGAATTAGAGTCTAGCACTTTAAGTCTTTACTACTTAGCGGTGTTTTTAATGAACTGAACGAATGTATATATATATATATATATATGGTCGCGATATGTATGTTCACGCTCGACTGTGTGTATGCCTGCTTTAAAGAGTCGTCAAGAAGGCATTAAATGTCTTATCACATCATAGCTGGGAAAACAAAATCTCTTTCGAACAGCATGTGGTCCAAAGCAGTCTCGAATTCAATTTGGTCATTCCATGACGTTGGTGCTGGCATTTGATTCCCATCCGAAGGGCTGAGATTCATCCCGAAGCCCCCGTCAAAATTATTCATCAAGCCTGTTGCCATATTTGGCGTGCCGTGAGTGGAGTTTACATGTCCAAACTTATTTTCAACGCTTTGTGGCCCGTTAGCAGGCGCAAGATTGTCCCTGGACACTATTTGAATAGGAAGTGACGATAAGAGGCAGTTGAAATCATTCACGTCAACCTCACTGAAAACGTGCAAGACTCTAGGCAACTCACCGTCTGCACCCATTTTATCGAGGGTCGCAGCATCATTCTCTGGACCGTCCGCAGGTAAGTCCACACAAGAAGCAAAAATATTCAAATGTTCACGCAGTTGGTTTACGGAGGTAACCTTGTTCAACTCGCATCGAGCCATCCAAAATCCGAACCTGTCGCTAATAGAGCTGGCTTCAAACTTATACTTGCCCGCTTCGGCGCAAGAGCAATTGAAGCAATGGATCGCCAACGTCAATATGAAGGTGTAAATGAACATCGTTACGTTCCACTTTATACTGTCTTTCAAAAGCTTTGAATCCCCCTCGTTGCATAAATATTCGTAGACGTTCAAGAGTGCTGTGATGTATGTGGCGGTCTCTTCATCATGAGCAAATCCAATAGACGTCAAAAGTAAGCCGTATGAGCCAACACAGAAAATGTAAAACATTCTATGCAACATATGCGGAAAGAATTTAATTTGAGGCCATATTGTTATAATTTGCATGCCAGAACTGCGAAGATCCCTCAGCGCATTCTGATTGATCAATTCCACATTATAGCTTGAGCGCGAGTGTATGTCTTCATTATCAAAAATGAAGGATGACATCATTTGACACACTACTATCATCAGATGCAAACGCTCAAAGTGAAAGGATAGGACACTGGTTGAAAGTATGTCCAAATGATAGTCGGAAACATCACCTTCAAAGTGGAAATTTTTGAGATTTCCAATATGGTCTTGATGGTGTTCCAATGATAGCTCCTCCGGTAATGACTCTTCCCATTCTTTCAATTCACTCAGTATCGAAAGGGCTTTTCGTAGAACCTCGTCGAAAGTTGCGTTTGACATGGAATCTGCCCTCAAAAGATCTGTGTATATTTTGGCAGAGATGCGGTTTAGCTCCATTCCGTAATAACAACCACCCAGGAGTAAAGTATCGGGAAAACTTAGCAGAAGCGACATTGAGTGCTTCAAGCTGCCCTCGTATGAAGAATCGATTTGGCGAGTCGTCTTGCGACTTGAAAGTTGATGCTTCGCGATAAAATCAGCAAAGAAAGACTCCGTGAATATTTCTGTCTCGTCAAAGTTAATTAGAGGAGCTCTGCAAAACGCCAGAGACAGTTGCGCATCAATTGCAATGCACATGTACCACATCTTGAGTCTCCGAGACGATTCTTCGAGACTTAAACCTTCGTATGTCTTACGTTTGTGCAGTCCCACTTCCTGAGCGAACCTTTGAGCCACGCAGAATATGCTGTAAGCGACATTGGCACTTACTTTGGAGTGTACGTATTGATACAGCAGGAGGAGGGCTTGCACGGATCGGAGACCTTCACTTATCAGCGAAACTTTATGGTACTGGTACATGCAGTTGAGTAGCATGTGGCTTTCGCGAGTGTGCATATCTGGACTGCTGTCTTTGAGATGGCAATCGTTTGTGCCGTTCACATTGTATGCTGTGCAAACGCACACCCAAATGTCGACAAGTAGCAGCTCAGAGTAAGAGAGCTTTTCGTCTGCGTAATACCGATTTACCACATCAGCCAGATCTTGGTGACCAACAATGCTAAAAGCACCCTCAAATAAGCGCGACTGGCACACTTCCATCATTTTTTGCATTTCGGGCTGTGATGGGAGAGGGTACAATTGTGGCCCATTCATTGGAACAAATGGGTTCGAGAAATCTATGAGTTTCTTTACTTCAGCGATATACCATTTCGACGACATCACGAATACGTCCATGAGTGGCGAAAAGGATGTCACTGCTGGCAAGTCGGTGTCAGAAGTTGCGTTGGAGCCAATGTGACGACCGTGGCAAAATTGAGCCCGTTTGCGAAGCCATGCGATCCTGCGTTTGGTGATGAGCGAAGACGTGTAACGCTTCTGTTTTGGGCGCGGTGACACATCGACCAAGCCCGGAAAAGTTCGGTCTTTTTGCTGTTCTGGCTGTGTGTGAGCGGTAGAGGCATGCACCTGGGCGTGCTGTTGCGAGAGGAGATTCACAAGTCCTCGAATCTGCGTCTCTAGCGCTTCCAATTTGCCTTCTAGGGCCTGTGCCGGCGAATTTGGCGTCGTGACAGACCAGCCGGACTGTGGCTCTGAAAAAGGGTACATATCTACTTTCGCAAGCGAGTTTTCGCCAGTTTTGCGGAATTTCCGAGTACTGCTAGCACCACCAGTCTCAATTCCGCTGGCCAAACGGTGTCGTTCCAGTTCTTGATGGTGTTTGAACGTGCAAGGCACATTGAACTTCACGCAGTTATCGCACATGCCAGTCACAGGATTTATCATCCCGCACTTGATTTTACGTTTGCGACAGTAATCGCAAGCCTTTAGAACTCGTTTCCTAAGCTTGGGAGCCAGTGGCTCTGCTAATCGGTCCATTACAACGGCGAAGAGTCAAAAAAGATCGAAATTTGAAGCTAAATAGCTCGCGAAAATCGCTGTAAAAGGGCGATTTTTTCTCACTTACCAGCAAAACCAGCTACAAATAGCTGATATCGTGCTTAAATGCTGGACAAAAAGCTATGGGGCCTTGCTTAGTGTTGTATGGTCCGAATATTTGGATAAGTTGTACAACCTTCCTTTCATAATATTCAATAATACAAATTACAACTTTTGACAGTATAATAAATTACACTTCCTATATCGTTATGCACGAAAACTAAAGTTTCCAAACCCCTAGTGATACCTTTTGACGAAAATAGGTTATGCGCTTAAAGGGCACAGCTGTATATGCGCTTAGAAGAGAAAGAGACACATACACGTGACTACGGAGATAATCGGATTTATTATAATTTAAAGTCCAAGAGGGTTTATTAGCCCGAAAGCTGTAGTGTCTAAATCTATATCTGTATGTCAACTCTCGAAGTATAAAACCGAACATCTCTGCCGCTGGTTTTTGGTTTAACGAGTCGTCTCTTCTGTCTGTTGAGCTCTCTTGCCCAGAACAATCGCTGTTGTTGAAAATGGGCTTGCTGAGCATATTTAAAGGTTCACAGAAGGTCTCTAAAAAAGAGCTGGCCGAGATCGAACGAGTCATAGAAGTGTGCGACCATCAATGCGGCGAGTGCGACCCAGTCGAAGGCGGCAGCGCTGATATGGAGAAGGAAGAAACGAAATTTGGAAAGTTGAAGATCGAGCACGATACACCATTGTTCGGGTCGTCCAAGAGCGCAAAAATACATTTTGTGGTTCCCACGTCACAGACAGATTGGGCGCATGACGCATGCGATGAAAGACAGGGGTCTGTGCAGCAGCGAATCAGCCAATGGATCGAAAAACGAGGATCAGACTTCCCTCAAGGCCCTGGCGCGACGCTAAAGTGCAGCGTTTCTTCGTTGCCAATCGATATGATGGACATTGATGTGATGCGTGGTGTGAAAAATGACGTCCTGGTGCTGCCGCATTTTCTTAAAATCAAAGCTCTCAAAGCATCGGACGTCGCGACACAGCTGGACTTCCTGGTGCCACTGTTGGTGGAAAACAAGCGCGAGCAACTGCTAGCTCTGGAGAATATCGTAGAAGCACACGAAAATTCGTTCGTATTCCTGTGCTCGCACAAAACCCGCGATAAACGGTGCGGGATTACAGCCCCAATTCTGCAGAAACTGTTCTACCAAGAGCTGCAGCCACATGGATTGTACCGTGACGCCTCTGACTTTCGGCCTGGCGGGTGCACCGTGGGTTTTGTCAACCATGTTGGCGGGCACAAATTCGCGTCCAACGTGATCATATATCTGAAGTCGTCCCACTCGCTCATTTGGCTCGCCAGAGTCACCCCCAAAAACATCCCGGCCATTGTCAACCTTATGATAGTTCCGGAAAAGCCTCAGCTTCCTTGGCCCGAGAAGGTACGGTGCGTGGAGAAATACGCCGCGTGGTGAACTGATCATCCGACCTCTTTGCTGCTAGTTATTACAACTCATCCTTGTCTTCAATTGTGTTGTCACGATTTTCCAAAGTGCGCAGCAAGGCAAGTTTCAGCTTGATGCTCTCGAGCTGCTTGTCGGCGTTGAGCTCGAGGATTTTCTCCAGCTTCTTTATCTCTTTCTTGGTGTCTTTGACCAGAGACAAATACTTCTTCATAGTAACACAATCGTCATCGAGACAGCTACGGTCGCTTAAAACATTAACTATTGCCTGTTCCTGCTGGGTGTTTTCAATAACCTTCTGCACAAAGTTGGTCAAAATTGGCAAGTCTCTACTGCCCTGAAATTCCACCACTCTGTCGAGATCCATTTCCCACGTAGGACTATAGGCTCGATTCTTGATTGACGTAAGTAGTCTAGACCACCAAGACTTGGTTTCAACAGCCTCCGGTTCAACACCTGTTTCGTGTTGTTCGATCAATGGTTTAATGACCTCAACCATAGGGTATCCAGGCAGTCTTCTGCAAATTGTAGAGCCAAAAAGCTCGCAATTCACTTCCAAAAATGTGACGTTCACGGCAGCACTGTCAAATTTTTCGCTCAACTGCCTAAACACAGGGGCCAAGCCCTTACAGTGTGAGCACCAAGTCGTGTAGTACTTGACTACAGTGAAAGCATCTCGATTCACAGTATCGTAAAAAAAGTCAAGCGAAGTAACTTCTTCGACTCGGCAAGCGACCAAAATTGATGAAACTGCAAAAGTCAGGATTTGTAGCAGTTTCATGACTAGCAAATGTATTATAAGATGGCTATGTATGTGTGGGAGAGGGTCTTTGAAGATACATTTCGATGGTTAATTCGAAGCCTTTATTCATAATATTGGGCTATTTAAGAATATTGTTCTCATTTGGTACGCGTGTGACGCCGCTGTCATCGAGTCGAGTGTCACCTTTGGTCGTTATGATAGAAAGGTGGCAGGTTCAGCGTCTCATCGGGAAGTGGCCCTGTGAACAACGTATCACGGCTCTTTGTCTATTTTGTTCAATCCAAGTCGCCAAGAAGGCAGAAGATCAGACTGCTAATGTCTTTCTTGATGCCAGTGTCAGACGAGAAAATCGTAGGGCAGAATCATTATTCTTCGTGTAGCGTACTACAGAGAGAAAGCGGTATGGAGGGTTCACAAAACCATAGTCCATGTAGCGCCCGGAATCCTTTTCTTGGTGTGTCAAATTTTAGGAATATCCCTAATGTTTGGATTAAATAATTGTTGTACACTGACAGGAAAGAAGCCCATCTCAGGAATGGTGAGACGGTGCTTCAATAGTCAAACGGAAACTTGCCGTGTGTGACCGATTTTATTCGAGCCATTGGGAAATGCAGGTTGAAAAAGAGAGATATTCGTGATCTAAATTTCTTTTGGGTTATAGACACCCAGGTACGTTGCATGTCCAAAGATATCGAATATGAACGTGTACTGGTAGCTGTTTTTTGAACTGAAAAACTAGGTTATTGACTGTGGTGCAATTTTATGAAATAGAACAATAATGTGGCGGGTGTGATGTGAGAGGAAAAGAGTGGATTCATATCAGAATATCAGATATCGACTGGTTGAGACTGGAAAAGATGTGTAGAAAGATAAATGATGGCGAGTCTGGGGAGAAAACGGGATTCGTCTGTTTTGAAACTGGTATTATTTCACTCTCTACAAGTTCAGAGAGTCCATTAGTGTTTCGTTTTCGTTAAGCGGAAGAAAAGATTTCCAAAACCCGACGTCAGAATTGGACATGTATTTGACCGTTCCTGTTCCATCGTGGAGTGGTCAAATTTGGGGGGAGAGATGATCTCTCGATTTTCCGGACTTTTCAATAGCTGTGCTTGCTTTTCGCGGTTCCTTGTGAGAAGCCTATTAGCTGCAGCACCTATACTCGGCTGTCTTAGCGCCAGATGCCGAGGGCAATTATCTAATATTGGACAAATTACAATGAGAACTAAACTACATGCTGCACATCTTTTGAGTGATTGACCAATTTGGCCATTACAACAAGACGTCGGGTAGTCGCCTGGTGACATAAAAAAACACATTAAAGCAGATTTCCCAGGGACGATCTTAGAAGATTATCCCACTTGTTGTAATATCGCGAGTGTCGAGTGAGGTGTAAAATTTCTGAATAGATTATGTTTACCTGCGAGAGAGGTGGGTGTTGTTCTCATAAGAATATTATTACAATGAAAAAAGGGCCGATTGAGTGGCTATTTGAAGCGTGGTTGGTGCAAGCAGACCCGGAAGTACTCAAGTGGACCAAATAGAGAAGTTGTAACTCCTCAGAGTAAATGAGGAAATTATGGGAAAACCTGGGGAAACTTTAGGTAAACATCAGTGTGTCACCTCAATTGATTATTCTTCTTCCAAGCGTCATTCACTTCCGTCTCGAGGAAATAAAAATGTAATTGAATACATTGTGGGATCTGGGGGCTTTGGAAAAGGTGTAAGTTTCCAAATCATCGCGTAAATAGTCTTCGCTACGGTTTTTGATGCAGAGGGACCATGGACGCAAGCCACTAACGCAAACGAGTCACCAACAGACTTCTTCGTCAAGAAAACTGACGAGCAAGGCACTTGAGACATGGAGATCGATAGCCCCAAGTCTTCAGCGCTGGAAGAATTTGAAAATAGCAGAGAACAGACTCAACTCTATGAAGATCACTTCCATTCCGTTATTATTCCTGAAAAGCTGTCCATTTTGCGAAACTGCTCAAAGCTATAGACGTATTGATAAACTTGAACGACTACAAGACCTTAGATGGTGGGAGAGAATTTATATTCAGATGGGACACTACGACGACCTATTACCTGGTGAAAAACTGTTTTGAGATTGGTCCATTTTTAGGCTTTAAACTTTTAAAGTCAGGGTCGGCGTTTGAATTATAGCCCAGCTCTCTCATGTTTTGAGAATCGATCGTCGTTATCGTTTGTTGGATGATATTTCGAGTGAATTCTGAGAATTCACTATCCCTCGCAGAAGCTTCCAACCAAAAATCTTCTTCTTTCTGCAATCGAGAACACCAGCGATCGATTTTTTAGCAATTTGACAGGAGTATGTTTCAAGATCGAACGCTGACGCTTTCGCTTGTGCAGTATTGCGGCAGAATCATCTTCCATTCAAAATTGAGCGCTAATGCTCTCGGTTGATCAAAAATATTTCGACTCCTCTGATATTTCAAAATTCAGCGCCGACTCTTTCACTTGTACAAGGTCGGTACGATATCCACCAACTATTCAAAACTGAGCGCCGATGCTCTCGGTTGTTCAATAATATTTTGAGTCCTCTGATAATTCAAGATCGAGAGCGTTGGTGCTTGTAAACTTCGAGTTCTCGGCTTGTTCGGTAGTGCTTGTAGCCCTTGCACAGTGAAAACAAGTTTCCTCGACTTATTTCGCTGACGTTCTCGATTGTTCGATTTTGTAACGACTTTTCTACCCATTTACAATCATTTGCTGATGCTTTTGATTGTTTAGGGATACTAAAAGCTCTTGATTTTTCACAATTGAGAGCGTTAGCGATCAATTGTTTAGTTGTGCCTGTATCCCTCTACTTATTCACAATCAATCGCTGACACTATCAATTGCTCAATTATTCTACGATTCCTCATTTCATTGTACTTGTACTTGAATTTCGACACATATCGCTGTCATCTGATAGAGCTATAGGAACCGGTGGCCTTTTAACGTTCCCAAATAACAAACACTCCTACTCCTTTAGAGGTCTAAACAAAATTCTTCAACAATACTCAGAGTTCTCTCTCATTTGATTATGCTAATATTTCTCGTTCAGTTGCGCCCGTAGCCTCATTCAAAAACACATTTTAATAAAATAAAGGCACTTGGACAGTGAAACTAAGAGCTTTTAGTCAATTTCTCTATTAATTCAAAATTAATAATTGACGCTAAGAAGGCTCTTGTTTACGCTCTTGATAGTTCAATTGTACCACAAGTTCTGATTCTTTTGGTAACACCGAACCTAATTTCTGTGCTACGAGTTCTCCAGTCTCTGAAGTTTTCAATCTTTCAGTAGTTCTAAGAGCTCTCAATTGTTTAACAATTATACGGGGTTTCTTTGCTCCCGATTGTTCAGTAGCGTTTTGACTTCGATCGCTGACGCTTTCAACTATTTAGTAGTTCTACGAGTTTTTCATTTATTCACAATTAATCGCTAACGCTCTCGATTGTTCAACTGTACTACAGGTTCTCGAGTTTATTTACAATCGATCGCTTTTGCTTTCAAATCTTTAGTAGTGCTTGTAGCCCTTTCACCTGTTCACAACTGATCGCTTACGCTCTCAATTGTTCAATAGTGCTTGTAGCCTCCCACTACGCTCTCAGTTGCTCAATTGTGCTCGTAGTTATCAAATTTACTCACAACCGCGCCAACGCTCTCAGTTGTTCAACCGTGCTTCGAGTGCTTCGAGTTCTCATTTGTTTAGTAGTACCAAACCTAATTTCCTGTGCTACGAATTTCCTGTGGTACGAGTCCCCTAGTTTACAAGTCCCCTAGTTTACGAGTCCCTTAGTTTATTCACAATCGACCGCATTCGCTCTCAATTGTTCTCTGGTACCAAGAGTTCCCTATATATTCACAATCGTTCGCTGACGCTCCCAATTGTTCAATAGTGCTTGTGGCACCCTTCGCTGACGCTCCCAATTGTTCAATAGTGCTTGTGGCACCCTTCGCTGACGCTCCAAATTATTCTGGGATGCTAAAATTTCTCGACATGTTCAAAATTGCCCACTAATACTCTCAATTGTCCACTGCTTCGAGTTTTCTACATATTACGATTGAAACTAAGGGTTCCCTATCGAAACCGCTCTGAATGGTGCGGTGCTTCGGGTTCTCTACGCATTCACGATTGATCACTGACGCTCTTGGTTGTTTAATGGTGCTACCGAATCCTATTCTCGCTCTCGATTGTTCAATAATATTGCGAGTCCTTTGATTATCCACAATCGAGATCGTTGGTGCTTGTAGCCAGTGTGCTTCGAGTCCTTCACTTTCGACCGCTTTCGCTCTCAATTGTTCTCTGGTACCAAGAGTTCCCTATATATCCACAATCGTTCGCCGACGCTCTAAATTGTTCAAAAATAGTAAGAGCCCTTAATGTTTTCACACGTGATAGCTGACGCTCCCATTTGTTAAACTGTGCTTCGGGTCTCTAGCCTGCTCATAAATAAGAGCTCTCTTATACATAGCCATAATAATTTGTCTATCAAAATAACGCTAATCTCGGGTGTCACAACCCACAAGCTCTCGCTTCTACAGTGATTGGAGTTATTATTATTCACAATCGAGAGCTTGTGATCAGGAGTCGTTGGTGATTGGAAAAATGCGTTTTGTTTGTTCTTGCACGTTTTCACTATTGAGAGCACCCTTCGCTCTCAGTTCTTCACTTGTCCTCCGGGTTCAGCCCGTTCACATTCCTAAACATGTAAACACCCTCTTTGCCCTCCACAAACTGACATGACCGGGCCACTTTCCACATCGATTTGAACATATTTTCGTCGCTGGAACGGTAATGGTCGCCCATGACGCGACGGATCGCCATTGACGCGGGTCGCGCGTTGTAGAAGGGGATCCGACTCACGAAATGGTGCAGCACGTGCGTTTCGATGATATCGTGGAAGATATGCGGTCCCACAAACCAAAGTTGACGGTCAATGGTTGCGGCGGCGCCCTTGGCGAAATTCCATTCCGAACTATCGTAGTGGGGCAAAGTCTGGTCTGTGTGTTGCAAAAACGTAATGAACACCAGCCAATGGTTGACCCACAGATACGGCACGAACCAGCTGATGAACACGGACCACCCGCCAAACTTGACGTACCACATCCGCAGCACCAGACACTGCGCTAGCAAGCCCAGATCGCTCAAGATGATGTAGAACGCGTCTTTGGCCTCGAACAAGGGCGACGTTGGCCAGAAATGGTTACGCGTCCATGCGGGTGCCTCCGGGTATTTCTGGCCTGTCACGTTTGTAAACAAATGCATGATCCACCCGCCCAGCTGTTGCAAAATCAGCTCGCCCAGCGTGCGCAACGGCGAATCCTCGGTCATGTCCGAGAGTTCCGCGGCCCATCCGCGGGACTCCCAGAACTCCTGTTTTGTGGGCGGCAAAAACACCATATCGCGATGCAGATGGCCCGTGGCCTTGTGGTGTTTGGAGTGCGAGTATTTCCACGAGAAATATGGCACCATCAGATACGAGTGCAACACCCATCCGACAAAATCGTTGACGGCTCCGTAATCGGAAAACGCCTGGTGACCGCACTCGTGCGCTAACACCCAGAGCCCCGTGGAGAACAAGCCCATCGCAGCCGCGTGAACGCTCCAAAACGCGAAACGCACAATTAGGGGCGCCGACACCGACTCCAGCGCGGGCCCGATGTAGCCGTGTGCGGCAACCGCAAGCGCCACCATGGCCGCGATATCGCGCGTCATGTACATCAGCGACCGAGGCAGACTGCGCTGGTAGCATTCGGCAGGTATCGCCGAGAGGATATCTTTGATGGTGTAGTCTGGCACGCGGAAAATGTTGCCGTGGGTGTCTATGGCTATTTTTTGAGTAGCAGTGGTAGTGGAAGTGAGAGTGGCTGTGGTGTCTGGGTGGGCCTCGGGTTGAGTCTGGCTCGAAGTGGCAGATCCAAACCTCTGGAATCCTGCCATGGCTGGAAAAGGTGAGTGAGGAGAGTGAGGAGAGTGAGGAGAGTGAGGAGTGTGGAGAGATGAAGTTGGCACGAGATTACTACGTTTCGAGATGAGCTCTCGATTCTCTGGCTGTGGATACATATATACATATATATACATACATATATATATATATATATATATCTGTATGTGTGTGTGTGTGTGTTTTTTGGCCCTCTCTGTGTCGAAGACGGGCACAAGATTTACTTTTCGTCGAGATCGCGAGAGAGTGCGTGTGGCAACCGATACAGCGTGGGCGTGGTGTGTGGGTGGCGTGGAGAGATTAGCCCGTACTCGAGGGAGGAGGAAAAAAAAGAAAAAGAAAGGGCACCGGAAGCACAACTGAACAACTGAGAGCGTAAGCGATCAGTTGTGAATAGTTTTGGTAGCACAAGCATAACTGAACAATTGAGAGCGTTAGCGATCAGTTGTGAATAGTTTTGGTGGCTTCTAGCACAACTGAAAATTGAGAGCGTTAGCGACTAATTTGAGTAAGTAGAGACCCTGTGAAAGTTTTGTTGAGTCCGAGTCCGAGTCCGAGTCCGAGTACGGTAATGAGTACTTGAGCTTCAAGCACTACCGCACAACTGATCGCTTAAGATCGCTTACGCTCTCAGTTGTGAATAGTTTTGGTGGCTACAAGCACAACTGAA